TTATAGGGTTAGTAGGGGAGATAACGGCCGGAGGGGCGTAATTATTAATAGAGGTATATATTATACTCGCGACCGGAGGAAAGGGAGCTACTATAATAAGTCGAAATAACCTATAGTAAGAAAAGCGAGACGACGAAAAGCTATAAGAAGAAAAGTAAAGCGACGAAAAGCTACGAGAAGAAAAAGCGAAAGGACGAGGAAGTATAGAAAGAAGAAAGCTATAACTCGAAGAGAGATAAGTGAAAAATGTATAAAGAACTTAGATTATACGCGACGAAGAGAGATAACGCTTAAAGCTCCGAGTCTATCTACACCTTCTACTATAAAGATAAATTACCCTCTTTTAGATAGCTAGATATATATACTATTTTCGAACCCTCCCTATCTCGACTATAAGAGACCCTCGACCCCGACCCTTAGCTACGAGGACGTAGCTCTTTAAGGAGGGGGAAAATGTTACGACCCTCTACTAGGAGAGTGCCTTATAGGCTGGATCCCGCCTAGTCTAGTGATCTAGAACCCGTGACCTAGTAGGGGTAGTATGACCCCCCGCTAGAGACCGCACTAGGGAGACTAAGTCCTGCCGGGTTAGGTGACCTAGTCCCGTGACCCGCCAAAGGTCATCTATACAGAGACTGCTAGGGGAACTTAGCTCTTTAGCGATTAGTTTATGAATATACTAGCACCCTACTATTCCTTCACTCTAGTTCTATATTACCTACCAGGACCCGCTAGTACGCCGGTCTTAACACCCCCGCTAGAGACCGCACTAGGGAGACTAAGTCCTACCGGGTTAGGTGACCTAGTCCTATGACCCGCTAAAGGTTATCTATATAGAGACTACTAGGGGAACTTAGCTCTTTAGCGATTAGTTTATAAATATACTAGCACCCTGCTATTCCTTCACTCTAGTTCTATATTACCTACTAGGACCCGCTAGCACGCCGGTCCTAATATTAGGGAGATATATAGTCCTAGTAAGAATAAGATCTCTCCCTTACTTAGTCCTATCGTCGACTATAATCTTAATATCCCTAATTATACCTTAGACTAGCTAGTTTATTAGGGCTATTTTAATCGTAGTAGTTAATAGTTTCGTAGTACCTAGTATAAAATAGTCTAGCGAGCTAATTATATATTCGTTATAGGCTATATTATAGATCTAGTTATTAATCGAGATACTAATTAAGAAGTTTTATACCTCGTAACTATATTCGACCTATATAATTAGGGTTTCCGTAGTCCGTTTAGGTACTAAATTAGGGTTTTTTAGCTAATATTTCTCGGCGGGGTACCCCTTCTTTTTATAGAAGATATATACTAATCCTAGAGGTCCTCGTTATATATAGGGTCCTCGCGGTTTTATAGGTTTACTAGTTTCTATAGATAAGGTCCTTATAGCTACCTTTTTTCTAGCGGCGAGGTTATCTTCTTCTCTTTATAGTTCGCTATATAGGCGATCGAAGAGGTATTAGTCTAGCTAGTTAGTTAACCTACTAACTATTTTATCGTAGTTAAGCTTCTACGGGTGCTATTCTAGGCTATCTAGGCACGCTATAAGTTCTATATATTTTTCGAGTTCGTCTATTTCTTATAGTTTAATTAGTAGACTCTCGATCGGGGGACGTATAATAGTCTTATTAGTCTATATAGTCTTAAATACTTCGATTAGGGTTCTAACGTTACGGACGCGGGATATATATAGTACTTTTATTATAATAGCGCTTTATTCGGCGGTAAAAGTATCCTTTATATCGTATTAATTTTATAATTCCTACTAGATACGCTCGGGTTCTAGAGGGCTTAGCGGTATAATATTTTTCGCTAAGTCTAAGTATATAGTATTTAGGATAGTAAGCTAGGCTACTTCTTTCTATATATTTAGTATATAGTACTTCTTATATAAAGGGGGTAATAATCCTACCTTACTATCGATAACTTATTCGAGAAGGTTTTAGTTTAGTACTTATTATATATTAGTAGCCTAGGTATAGTAATTATTTAATCCTATAAGTTTTAGTCCTTTATATTCTTCTTTTCTTTTAAATATTTTCCTAAGGTCCTTAGTAAAACTAAGGTATTAAAAGGCGTTTTCTTCCTCTTCTTAGGTATTATTCTTTAGGGTAGCGTAGCGGTTACGTAGCGAGAATATAGAGCTATCTCGATTAAATCGGTTTAGGTTATTAATCTATATTAATAGGACTTATATATTAGTCTTAATAGACTCGGAGACTTTAGCGGGGGGTCTACCCGCTACGAGCTACTTAGTTAATCTTTAGGGCTACTAGGTATAGAGATACTCGATCGACTTAAGTTCTCTAGCTAGTTAATCCGTGGGGTTTAGACGTTATAGGCCCTAGCCGGGGTCTATATTTCTATTACTAGCGGGAGCTATAGGACTATTATTTCCTCCTTCGTTATCGCTACCCTTACCTAAGGCGCTACTATAGTTATTATTAGACCCTAATTCGTCTAGTCGGTTAGCGTCGGAGTCGGAGGGTTCGTAGGGTATATAGGGTATATTAGGTGCACTAGATACCCCCCTATCTCGCTAGGACCGTCGGGTAATAGGGGTTATAATAAAATTGATAAAAAAATAGGTAGATCTACGAGAGATCGAGAGGTATAGGTATAAAAGGTAAGGTATAAAATAAGAGGTGAGATATATATAAGAAGGAGAGAGAGATCCTAGGGTAAGGACCTATATATATAGGTCTAGGTAAAGATTAGATAAAAAGGTATATAGGGGTAAGCAAATGTTTGCTAGCAAATATAGTAAATAGACTATACTACGTAATTTAGGTATTCCGGCTATTAGAGACAGCCGGGCTTATAACCTGTTGAAGATCAGAGGTATAATATAGCATATAGGGTTCAACAATAGGTTTAAATGATACTAGGAATAGGATCTCTTATGGAAGTATTGAATTATCTGGAGATCTAGATAATATCTGCCTTTTCCTGCTATTTATGCCCCTTTATGTGCCGAGGATCGGAGTCCTCAATTTGGCCCCCAAAGGTGAGCTTTTCGGCAGAAAAGACAAAAAGGGCGTAGCGTTGATAATCCTACGGATGAGAGAATCCTACCTCAGGCATGGTTCTCAACAATTTGATCTATTCTGCGCTGGAAGGCTCAGGTAAGATATATATCCTATAGAGATGAGTTCTCTTTGTTCCAGATGAGTGTTTACGTACAGGCGACTGGTGGATCAGAAAGCTGGATGACGGGTATGCATTCAAGCAGATAGCTCGAGAGTCTAGCAACTTGAGAAGAACTCGCTGCCATTTTTAAGGACGTTATCTAATAGCAGCATCATGGACATTCCAAAGGGCGCAGACTGGACTGGGAGAGCGAGCACAATCAGCAGAAGGTTGTAGAATACCATAATCTAGTTTATTTTGACAGCTCTATGACCCAATTTCTTAGTAGGGTGATCGAGCCAAATCCAGTCCCGACGGAACTGACAAATGTCTCGAATTTCGTGTTTCATTTGAGGGAAGTCTTCACGCTCCCTATGTTTTATTATCTCCAATCATGATACGATGAAGTTGATGTCACTGATGCAGCCGATATAGTTTTCACACCAGCTAAAGGGCTGAGTCCGGTGTACAGGTGAATACATCGAGTCCAGCCTGGCTGACGAATCTGCCAGTCAAGGATTTTGAATGCACTTTTATTTGCTGGCCACACACTTGCCCTTTGCCTCCATAGTTCTTGAATATGGCCATATTGATCCGCAGGACGAGCGCTGAGGGCAGGGCTTCATTGTTACAGCAGCGCAGAGATGGATCCCTATAATAGCTATATCCAGATGGATGAAGGACCATCGGCTACCATCTAACCATCTGGTACTCGAGGCTTGTCCACATATAAATGTCCCATTTTACCAAAGCTATTCATTGCAAGGTGCACATGGGAACGCCTAGCTTATAGGAAATGCGCCCAAATGTGGTCTCATCCTTTACCTCGTGGAGTGGAAAGCCCACAAAAGCTTATTTGCAAACTAAACTGTGCGAAACGAAGCTGTACCAAGACGGAGTTTTTCCTTTGCCCAGCCTAGGGGTATTTCATTTGGACATGACGCGAATACAAGGAGTATTGTATACAGAGGAGCCAGAACTAGAACTCTTGTTTGCTCTATCTGAGGTAATTACATGGCAGGGTCTGGATCTTTTGTTGTACATGTACGTGTAGTCATGTGCTAGCTGGATAGGTATACTGTTCAAAAACCGACTGTATCTGGCATTTCTCCACGGATCAATATCAAGTGACAGTTGGAATCTGAAGATCCCGATATAAAGACCACGAAGGACATACAGGGCTTCATAGGAATGCAAGAGATGGTAGGTGCATCTTAACATCGAAATTGATCCACGAGGCTATTCCACCTTTAGACTAGCGCCGATCATAGGCACCTGACGCAATGTCACGGGACGCTGAAACACTCGCAGCCAGCCGTTGCCATGACAACTCCCGCAGCAACAGTTTCTTGCTTGGGGTAACAATCCACTTGAATCCATGGGAGAGACATATCAAGTTTCGTTGTTTCTACTTCCCTTGTCCCCAACATCTTTCTTTGGTTTTGGTGGTGTTCCCTGCTCGCTTTCTTTGAGAGTTGGCATCTGTATCTCTTCCTTATCCCTCCGTTTTTTTTTTCCGTCTTGGGTTGACACAAACACCCGTCGGGGTTTGTTTTGTTGTTTTCGCCCTGTGACGCAGCATTCCTACCACGATCGACACGATTTTGCGCATTTCCAGTCAATAAATCAGGTCTGTTGGAAAACACATCCCACGCGATTCCACATTAAGAAAGGTATGATACCCGATCTCGGCGCCCTTGGACTTGTCCATTTTATCATCGGTCGCGAATCCACCCGCCAATCAGGGCGGAATGACCATGACCGTAAACTGACACATTACAGATACCCTTCTGTTGCATTGGGGATCTATCACAATTTCATACTCAGAATCCTGAGTTAACAGGAAACCCACTAGCAATATGGGTAACGGATCCGGCCAGCGGCCGCTTTCCGAAGTGAGCCCTGTGGCCCAGAGGCGCAACTCGCCAAGCTGGAACCAAGTTAGCAAAGTACTGTGAACAACATATGTCACGCATGATAAAATTGGCTAACAAGAGCAGCAGACGCCGCATGGAGACGCCCCCACATACGATGTTTCGTCCTTGAATAACAATGCCTCCCCCCGCCTATTTTGGAAGGGTCGCGACTCGCCATCTCCTTTCCCCAAGGGGATGGAGAATAAAGCACCATATGACCCGGAAGGGTGCTTTTTCCCCAAGAAGCGCCCGTCGCTTGAAAATCTGAAACGCGTGTCGAAGGTGAAGAATCATAGCATGTTCCTTGAAAGTGGCCATGACTACGATCCGGCGTCGGTGGTGTTCCCCCAGAGACCTTTGGTACCAGAGAGGTCCTCACAGCGAGATAGCCAAGTCAATATTCCGAAGTCCCAGTTGGATGATGATACGACCCAGACTTCTCGGCCACCATCCCCGAGCAAAGATCAAGCGTCACCCAGCAAATCCTCGTTATCCAAGGGTAGTCGATACGGCAAGGGCTTCGATCCTCAGAAAGATATTTGGTCTGAGCACGGTAGTGCTGGGCATCGACATGCCAAGAGCGTCACATTTGACCACGCTCCTCCTCAGATCAATGAATATGAAATGACAACACCGGATTTATCCTCACTCGCCTCTGAATCCCGAGAGAACAGTTATGACTCTGAGGAAGAAGCGGATATTAGCTTCGAGGCCGAGTCGTCTATCGAGCGTGATGACAGCTTTGATGCCTCGTTGGAAGATATCGAGAAGACACCCGTTGTGCTGCCAGAGGACTGGCGCTTCATGGGCTCAAACACAAATAGCGACGAGGATCCCTTTATCGAGGATGTTGAAGACGACAGTGCTGATGAACGTCCCATCTCCCGGGAAGGCGGATCATCTCAGCACACACGAGTCGAATCCCTGGATTCAAATGGCGAGCGACGCCCTCTTCCGCCTTTGCCATCAGTGAATCGCATGTCTGGTACGCGGCCCTCATCTGCTGGTCAGCTCGCTGCTACCTTTGACCTCGGTAGTGCAGCCCATCGTGTCCTTCCATCTCCTCCGCCTCCTGCTTCTTATACGAAGTCTGATATCACTGCGGGTCTCTCGTTGGAGGATAGACTTCGTTCGATGATGCTTCAGGAGAATGAAAAGGATGAGAGCCATGATGGCGCACAAAGCGTTGAAGAACCATTGGAGCTTCCCAGGGCTGATGAAAACATTGGATCGAAAGATGATGCCCGCAGAGATGACGAGGGCAAAGAGTACTTCTTCACTCCACCCCGAATTTCTCGCGATTCGATTTTGCGAGGCATTCGAAAGGGTGACAGTTACGAGGATGACAGCTCTGATGAATCATCTGAAATTGATTCCAGCCCCAAACATTATAACCATTACGATCCGGATGTTCCAATTCCATCTCTGGAAACCGACGATGATGACTGCTCTAGCGTTATTATCAAGCAAGAAGAGCACGATGAGGACCTTTATTCCATCACAGATTACTACCAGAACAAGTCAGACAACAGCTTGTCCTCCCATGACCAGCGCGCCAAGTATGATGATGAGAGTAGTTATTCGCTACGCTCCGCTGCTGCAGCGGCCGATCGCGAACATGCCGATAATCATTATCACAATGCGGGATCCGAGCAAACTACCCCTATCGCTGAGGCTAAGGTCAATCCCGAACACCTTGTACAACCAAAGGAGGAATCTCGTGAACTGAAACAGCAGAACGATGCTCAAGGTCAGCCTTTGGATATGACATCGATTCGACAGTCTCTCGCACGCCCTGCCACTCCTGAGATGAAGCAAGAGGAGCTTTCTGAGCCATCCACTCCAGACTCCGTTATTCGTCATCCCATCGAGGATGATGAAGACGAGGAATATCCGGAAGAAGAGGAGCCTGAGCATTATGAGAGTTCGTCGGACGAGTCTGTCCCAGACCCGGTTGCGACGATTCGAGCTCCTGGTGCTGGTCTCAAGACTAGACCGTCACTAACCCCCGCCGATATACAGTCCATGGCTGCTACCCGCCGCCAGATTAGTGGCCAGCACGTGCCACCAGTTCCTTCATTGACCAAGCAGATCTCTAATGACTCGAATCCTTCCGATCGCGAGGATGAGAAAAGTGACCTGCCCCCGCAGCTGGGACTGCCTACGGATCTCTCTCAGCGGAAAAGCAGTTGCTTGAAGCTCGACATTCCTTTCAGTATCCAAGAAGAAAGCCTCGGATTTGGATTGAATAAGGAATTCGATCGTGTCATTGAATCCCAAAAGGTTGCGTTTCATCTCGCTCTTTCCCAAAGCCCTGGTTTTGCGCCATCGTCCCCGAAAAAAATACCCAAGGATCCCGTGAACCCAGGAAATAATGTACATCCCGCTGACTTCCCTACTCCTAAACAGAGAGGATACCTCATGAGACAGAACACCAAAGTCATCATTGCCAGCAGCCGTAACGAAGAAGAACCGACGCCCTCCGCCGAGCAAACACCTCAAGATCCGCGTGGTACACGTTCTGCGGGTTCATCTCCACGGAAAGCTAGCCAACAGACTTGGACCACGGTTCCTTGGAATGGTTCTGCACGTCGATCAAGTATCAAGACTGCCACTGGTATTCCGAAGAAAAAGCCCGTACCTGGCGTTGGTGGAGTCCCACCTCTCCCTGGACAACCCAGCATTGTCCAGGAGGCCCCCGCAACTATCGAAGAGAATGAGCCAACCATCCCCGAATCATTCGAAGATGGCGAAGAGCGAGGCCGTTTGTTTGTGAAGGTCGTCGGCCTCAAATATTGTGACCTTCCTCTCCCACGTGGTAAGCACACACTAGGATACCTGATATATGTACCCTTACTAATATATTTTTAGGCGAGCGGTCCTACTTCGCATTGACTTTGGATAATGGACTGCATTGTGTCACGACCTCATGGTTGGAGATGGGCAAGTCTGCTCCAATTGGACAGGAGTTTGAGCTCATTGTCCAGAATGACCTCGAGTTCCAGTTGACACTGCAAATGAAGATTGATGAGACCAAATTCCAAACCCAGGAACCCGCAGCATCACCATCACGCCAAAAGGCATCGGCCCTCAGCCGTGTATTTGCTTCCCCCGTCGACGCAAGGAGCTTGACATAAAGCAACAGATGCAATCACAGCAGCAGAAGGCAAAGGACGTCAATGCCCCTGTGTATGAGCGCCTTCGGAATCTGGTTGCTCGTGATGGTAGCTTTGGCCGCGCATATGTGGCTTTGAGCGACCACGAGCAGCAGGCCTTTGGCCGTCCACACATTGTCGACGTTGCTTGCTTCAACGAATGGGCGGTTGAGGAACAAATGAATAGCGTGAAGAGCAAAAAGAGCGCGACTAGCGTCAACACGCAGCGTCGCCCCCCTTACAAGATTGGAAAGCTGGAAGTCCAACTGCTCTTTGTGCCTAAGCCCAAGGGTAGCAAAGATGAGGATATGCCGAAGAGCATGAATGCCTGCATTCGCGAAATGCGTGACGCAGAGAGTGTTTCAGCTCGCTCCTGGGAAGGTTTCCTTTCTCAGCAGGGTGGAGATTGTCCAGTAAGTGCCCATGAAATCCGCTTGTGCCAATTCAACACTAACCAGCCACAACAGTACTGGCGCCGTCGTTTCTTCAAGCTGCAAGGATCCAAGTTAACAGCCTTCCACGAAACGACCCGCCAACCTCGTGCGACAATCAACCTTGCCAAGGCTTCCAAGCTCATTGACGATCGATCCTCCCTCCTTCAAAAAGAGACCAGCACAAAGAGTGGTTCTCGCCGCAGGTCTGCCTTCGCTGAAGAAGAAGATGGCTACATGTTTGTTGAGGAAGGATTCCGAATTCGTTTTGGAAACGGCGAAGTCATTGACTTTTATGCGGATAGCCCCGCAGATAAAGAAGGATGGCTTCGGGTCATGTCTGAAGCTGTCGGCAAGGGCTCCACGTCAGGCAATGGTGCAATCAAGCCCTGGGCTGATCTTGTGCTCAAGCGTGAGCGCAGCATGAAGACAAGCAACGGCGCCGCTGCTCGTCGTCCGCCCAGTGGGATCCCTGTGGCCCCTGCCGCCCCTGCCGCCCAACCATCGCCTACTCGGCACCGAAATAGTGCCATGATGGCACCTCCATCATCAGCAGGATCTGTGGCGTCGGCACCTCAGCCATCACGTCCTCGACACAAGCACACCCAATCTCAGCCTGAGATCGGAAGTGTTGACGCGCGTCGACAGAAAACCCGCTCTCTCATGTTTTAGGTAGCCCCTTGAATATGAGTTGCGGTCCAACAACATATCAGTCTTCAATTCTCCTGTCTATGATGTCAAGTTGTCACAATAACTACCTTTTTATTTGTCCTTCGGAGGTGCTTGGCTGTATCTCCTCTTTGGTTTTCCTTTCTGCGATGTCTATCCCTTGGTTTTTTTTTCGTTCCCTTCCCACATGACTGTCCTTCACGGTGTTGGTGTATGATGCGACTCGTTTCTTTTTTTTTTCTCTGTCAAATTATTTTATGGATTGGTACAAGCGGGATGGGGGAAGCAAATATGGCAATTGTATGATTCAAGACTTCATAGCACGCACAAATGATTTCCTTTTGATGTTTTTTTTGTGTTTTGCTTTTTCTCCAGCTGTGTCTCAGTGATTAACTAGTTCTCGTTACTTAATTCCGTTGCATCAAGGACTTGCCGAAAACATAACTCTCACTCCGATGCCAAAAGTTCCGCATTTTCGCGAAGACTGACCTAGGGACATCCAGGGCTGGAAGTAATCCAATGGCTAGGAAAGGTCGAGAGTCCAAACGTCACCCAGCCGCTGATTCGCTTCTCCCAGCCCGCCATGAACCACAATACTGCTAGCATCAAGCACATCTGCATCAAACCAACCTCGTGGCTCAGGGCGCTTGTCCCCCTGTGTTTCAACCTTGGTCCATACCTTGCTCTCGACATCAAACACCCACACATCACCTAACATCTTGCCCGCACCCTGATGCCCCAAGGAACTAGGATCCCGTTCGCCGAACAGGGTAACCAAACAAACCCGACCTAAAACAACAACAGGAAGCAGCGCTGCCACACTACGCGGCGATGGCCCAGTCTCACCATCCGGACCAAACGAGTGCGAGCTCCATAAGTTGGCACCAGGGTCATAAATATCAACCCTACCGCCCTGCTCATGCTGCCCATCAAATCCATTCATCCGATATAGCCTGTCCCCCGTATACGCAATAGACGCCCCACCGCGCGGCGGCTCAGGTGCTGCAGCGAGTTCAGTCCACTGTTTCCGGGATACACTGAACGCCCACAGGTCCGATAGGCGGCCCTTCTCGGGACATCCTGCGTGGATGAACACAGTGTCGTTACCGTCGCTGGCTGTGCAGTGGTAGCTGCGTGCCGCTGGGACAGATGTGTTTGACTCGGGTGCTAGAAGAGACCATCTCTCTGTGCTGGGATCGAATTCCCACATTGCGCCGCTTTCTTCTATCGGGGCCATTGCAGTGCCTCCTCTTCCTGAGAAGATGTAGATTTTGCCATTGACGGTGGCTGATGTGGTTCCTACTCGGGGTGAGGGGGACTGGTCGGTTGGTGGGTTGGAGGATAGAGTTGTAGCTGTGAGGTGGTTAGTTTATGTGCCGCTATGGGTTGGTTTCTTTTTTTCTATGTATTGTGGTGTGAGTAAATAATTGGGAGAAACTCACGATCATCAAGGGCAACAATATGGACGTTGTTATCGCGGGGTTCACGCGGCCGCAACTCCCCGCCAAAGATGTGAACCTGTCTATTAACGACAGAGACAACTTGGGAGGACCGTTGCAGAATCTCCGCATCGATGATCTTGGTCCATTTTGCTTGGATGACAGCCATGGGGGAAATGGGGATTCGGTCCTTGGACGTTTGGTTATATGGATTGCGCACAGGAAAGTCTTCAGATTCAGATTCACACGACGTTGCTATTTAACACGATTTCATTGGCCCCACTCTTGTTGAATGCCAACTGAGGCGATGCCAGTGGTCTGACACAACCGAGAGAGAAATACGAGGGCATTTGTTGAGATCGGAGGACCTTGGTGGTTGTTCACATGGCTTGATTGGGAGACTGCTCAGTCGAGACGGGTTTATACCACCGATCTCCCTCTTGCTTCGGGGTCATTCTGGTCTATATGTTCGTCGAAATAGTGCACTCATATCTTCCAAGGTTGAGGCGCATGGAACTGTAAGATAACACACAAATGCCCTGCAATGTCAGTCACGGACACTGGCACAGCCCTGAAGGATTATATACTTGTTCTACATCTATATATAACCCTTTCCACCTTAAGAGCTATATCCTTCAGTGCGAGGATCCAGTGTACAGTATATATCGATGTTCTCATAAGAGTCGTTGCAAGAACAAATAGCATATAAATTATCATAAAGTCGGTCGGAATCCCACATCAGCACAGTCAGGTTGCATCTACGCATATTCCAGCATACATATATCATCCCGTCAAATGATATTGCGGGGAAATCGTAGATTATAAATGATACGACTATTAATAATGTAGCCTTGCACCATAGTCTTGGTGAATGAGCAGGGCATTTATCAGCATTCTCCATGTCACACCTATATTGCGTGCTGTGTTCTGACAAATGGACGTCACCCACTGTGAAGCGGTGGTATATAACCATAAGAGCATTCTCTCTAAATGATTCCACCCAATATCCAAGGCTACACTCTTCTGAGGCTTGTCCGACCAAAATCGCAAAAATCCTAGCATGGCTGCTGCCGCTGTTCAACTCCCTGCCTCTCATGGCTCTCTGCTCGCAGAAAAGCCCCAAATTCCAGTCCCCGAGAATCCTCACCATGTCCAGACTACCCTCAACTTCCTCAAGGAAAACGAGGATGGCTCGCCCCCAGCGCCTTCCTACGTAGGAAGACCAGAGACTTTCGATAAACCTATCACTACCCTTCCAGCGACCATCCACGACATCAGCGGCCATGAGCTCGAATACAAGCTAGATAGCCATGGCTTCCAGATTTACTACCACGAAAGCCAAGAAAAGGACTTCCTGGACGAGGAGAAGATCAAGAGGGAGTACTATCCGGAGACAGAGCAACTGCTGAAAGACGCGTATGCAATCCAAACCGTAATACATTATAACCAAGCTAACTATATGAACAGCACAGGCGCCTCCCGCATCTTCATCTTCGACCACACCATCCGCCGCGAATCAGCCGATAGATCCTTCGGCACCCAGCTCCGCGGACCTGTACAACGCGTGCACATTGACCAGACCTACGAAGCATCTAAGAACAGAGTCACCTTCCATCTCCCCGAAGACGCCCCCGAACTCCTCCAGGGCCGATACCAGATCATCAACGTCTGGCGTCCGATCAAGACTATATTGAAAAGTCCCTTGGCGGTGGCAGATGCCCACTCAGTGCCTGACAGTGATCTTGTCCCTACCGGGCTCATCTACCCGGACCGCGAGGGCGCGACATACTCCGTCAAGCCGAATCCGAATATCAAGTGGTACTATCGCTATGGCCAGACTCCGGATTTGGTGACGCTGATCAAATGTTTCGATTCTAAGGTTGATGGAAGGGCTCGTCGTGTGCCTCATACTGCTTTTGTGAATCCCGAGACAGAGCACGAGGCTGGGAGGGAGAGTATTGAGGTGCGGGCGTTGGTCTTCCATCCTGATGATCGTGAGTAGAGTGTATATTGTGAGAGAAAGCTGGACTGCTGTTTTGTTGTTTTTGTTTATCGATTTCGCCTTTTGAAAGCACCAGATTGACTCAGCCGAGCTATTGAGCTATGAATTTAATGAACTATTGCATATTGATCTGCTGTATCTTGAATTCAATGCTTCTCTATAAGTATTATAATCATGGTCTAAGCTAAAAAAAGACAAATGCACCCAATGTAAGATATCTAATCCACCTTATTTCCCCTCAATAGCCAGCTTCCAAGCACTGGACACCTTGTTCCAGTACTGCTCAGGATGAACTCGCATATGTCCCACATGCGGGGTGCCCTCAAACATCTCCAAATCAGCCTTATACCCCAAAGTCTTCGCACGAGCAACATTCTCCTCCAAATCCTGCCATCCAATAATCTCATCTTCCTTGGAATACAGATACAATCTGCTCGATTCCGTCGTGACACAGGCCTTGTCATTAATGATCAGATCCGCCCACACACCCGATGGCACTATGCGACACATTGCCCCCCACAAATAGCTCACCCAGAGGAAAGCATACCACAGGCCGTGCGTGATGATGAACGGCCACGGGAAGAACTTCGCCGTGCCGACCGCCATAGCGCGCGACCACCGGCTCACCTGGGACGGGAAGTTCAGACTGCCCGGCGTGGAATCCAGGACCATGAGGTGGTGCGGGAAGGGCTTGTCTTTGCCGTGACGACGCTGGTATGCCATGACCGTTGCGGCGGCGAAGATGGCGCCGGTGTTCGACATAGCGTGCACCAGCAAACGCTCCTTTTCGCCGCTGCCGGTGGGCGTGGGGAAGATGGTGTCGACGACGGGGAGCATGGCTTGGATTCTGGCTTCTTCGAGCTGATTGGAGGCTTGGAAGGTTGTTGATAGGATCACGATGATGCGGGCGGATGGGTATAGCTCGTGGAAGCCGTCGGCATACTTGGTGACATGTTTGGGTTGGCCGTCGCCCCAGCCGGAGATGAGGATTGTGGTTGGTTCGTCGGCTGGGGAGGGTTTGGCGTTCTCGTGGCCATTGCGAAGGTATACTCGATCGGATATCGGGGTGAAGCCCGGGAATGGTTTTGGTGGAGCCATGATGCAAGTGTGGGCTGTGGAGAGGTGCAAGGGGGGATATGTATAGGCCTTGATCTAGCCTTTTCAAAGTGGTAAGTTGTTTAAGCAACTTTTGGCGACTTTTTATTTGTTATATGCTAGTGATCTAAAAAAAAAAATTCTCTATCCGTGGCGAGCGACCTAATGTGGAAATTGTTCCGGAGCAGATATACCGTTGGGACGGTGTTCGATCTCTCGAACCAATCTCTTCTTCCATATTGTGGGTCGTTGGGGAACGATTGGAAGGAACTTGGCGAATGGGAGGCTCGGGTTGTTGATTAGGCTGTTCTTACGGACCTCGGCATCTCCTATTCGATTGTTTCATATGAAACTGCTGGCCTCAGGCACGCGGCTTCGATGGAAATGATAGGCAGATCTACATTCTCATCACTGGTGAGGACTGCTATCTAGTTATACCGAGTCATGCTATTCGAACAGCAAGAACAAGCAAGCTTTTGCCGTCTTGAATAGGCTGGGGAGATCTAGATCTATGCATAACTCTTGTCTCCACCGACGAGAAAACGCCGAGTTAAATCCCCGAATCCCGAAGCCCTACGGCATCGAATTTCTTTGATCGTCCTAACTTGGGCAGCATAAGTGACTCTTGTGGTATCATTTATGCACGATATACTCCGTACCTAGACTGCATTCTGTATAGAGACCCACGAGCCATGCGATGGGGAAGAACGAGGCTTATGCATTAATGGAGACAGCCGTGCACAACTACCAGATGCGGTAGTATTGGTGCCTTAGTATTTAGGCTCCGTCTCCCTGTCAGCGCCGTATATAAGCCCCCTAGGCTATAAAAAGGAACCTTGGTTTTTGTTGTGGCCTAGTGGTAATTTGCTGTGTTTTTCACACTGATAACACTGATACTCCCTGGTCACCAGCGAGAGTGAGATTTCAAATTTTATACCAGCGGTGTTGCTACAGACTGAGCTGAATTCCTGCCGAGTTTACTCAAATATCCAATAAAGAGACTTGCCGCGAATAATCTTTTTTTTTTCGAGGTGTTTGCCTCTCACTTGGATATCTTGATTCTTGTGTTTTCTTTGATTTCTTATTTCTGCAGTATGGTATGACGACGTAGTCCCCATCAACGCAAGTGACACACGGCATTGGCGATTGAATTAGAGTCCACAAAATGCCTATTCCCGGTGAACAGCAGCCGACTTCTCCTTGTCACTCTCATCGTAGTAGTTCATTCCCTCAGGAGCAAGCTCCTTACCATGACGACCGATCTGGTGCCAAGGCAACTCAAACAATGCCTCCATCGACTCGAGACTTCTTCCTGCAGTCTCAGGGACAAAGAACCACACCCACACAAGACCGGCAACACAAACCGCACTGCAGAAGAAGAAGAAGCCATAGTTATTCATGGCGAGAATCATACTGGGCACGGCCTTGGTGTTACCAAACTGATTGGCAAAGTGGGTGCACATCACAATAGACGAGCCGAGAGCGCGCAATCGACTGGGATACACCTCTGCATTGACCAGATATTGGAACGAGTTCCAGCCGATACACCAGCCAAAGCCGGAAAGATAGATTGCTGCGACTGCGGCGACACCTGCTTGTTTAGCAGAGCCTGTGATTGCAGCTGCGCCGTCCTCGCCAACATGGGCTGAGGCTGGGACTTTGGCCAGGTAGATGGCGATGTAGCAGATGGTGGCGGCTTGGATGATAATTCCCGTGTACAGCGAGCGACGCCGGCCGAAGAAATCGATCAGGAAGAAGGCAGAGAGATATGATGATATGAGCTTAACGACACCGAGGATACATGTGGCAAAAAGCTTCTCACTTTGTCCGGTTTTTCCAAGAGCGGCGAAGAAGCTGGTGGCGTAGATTGTGATGGCTGATGCGCCAGACCATTGTCCGAGAAGTTGCGACATAACGCCCAACATCAAACGGTAGCGGTTTGACGGGAGCATGAAAAGCTCCTTCATCTTGCCCAAGAAGGAAGATCCGTGGGTGCTTTCTTGTTCGGTCTCAATGTTATCGCGAATCTCGGCCATCTCCGACATGATACTCGGGTGATCAGCTGGCAATTTGCGTAGTGCGCAAAGATTCGTAAGAGCCTCCTCATGTTTGCCCTTCATGACAAGGAAACGAGGAGTCTCCGGTACGGTCCAAGACAAAAGGAAGATGACTCTAAGATCAGGGAATGTGTCAGTTTATACGGCGACGTGATGAATCTCGAGGCCACTTACCCTGAAAACATAATATGGACAGACTGCGGAACCACCCATTGGGATCGAGAGGAGTCTGGGATATTCTCAGAGCAACCCCAGTTCGCGAAATAGGCAATTGTGACACCAAAATACACGGCACCGGCAAAGATGTTCGTCAACATACCACGAATCTCCTTGGGAGCGACCTCGGCTAGGTAAGTAGGACCAACGACAGTGGTCATACCGACTCCAATACCAGCAATCAAGCGGCCAGCGAGAATCTGTCCGATGTTGCCAAAGCTGGTAATAACGATCACGAAACCGAGGGCCCAGATGATCGTGAGGAATTGGAGTGTTCGGACACGGCCGATGCGATCACACAGCAGGAATGCTAGCAAAGCACCGCCTATGGATCCAAGTTGCACCATACTTGTGATATTCGATTCGCGGTCGGCGATCTCTGACGCAGAGCCCACTTCTAATGGAAACTCGTCCTTGAAACTTTTGAGGGTGATCATGCCTCCGACGAGACCCTCATCGATACCTCTGCCTGCTCCGAGAATACCTATTATCTTTCATTAGAGCAAGGTCAAGACAGAGAGTCAGGGCAATACGTACCGAAGATTCCCACAGCCCAAAAAAGACGAAGGTTGAATACCTCCCTCGGGGTGTCTGTCATCCGCAGACGACTGAAGAAACCCATTGTGGATTAGGCGATCTGTAGAAGATCTCTATGCAAGCATAAAAAAGAAAAAGCAAAGTATGGGGATTATGTCGAAGTAAAGAGGCGTAAGATTGAATTGATTGACATCGCACCCAAGGCCTTTTATATCCGACGCGGGCAGTTTCGAGCAACAAAATAACCTATGCGGGGAGAGGACAGGGGCCATCCATGGATTTCTGCACCTACATCCTTCCCCCACAAAGTCCAGAGCTCTAAAACGAGGCAAAAGCAGGGACAATCTCGTTTAGATTGCGATGTTCAGCCTATCACGATCATCTGACAGGAAAATATTGTCTGAAAACGACGAAACCGCGACAACTCAGACTCACAAAGGACCTGGTGCCTTGAAAAGCTAGCCACCAGCCACGAGGGCTATCCCCCTCATAACCTCCCGGAATTGGCTTGAAATGGCGTGTTAGAGTATGCCAAGGCCCGTCGAGTTATGGGTGACAGTCCAATCGCGTGAAGTCGGCCGAGGCTAGGATCCACGACGATATCGTGGCGGAAATGGGTTGCGGTCGTTGGTTCGTTGACGACTTAGCGAGGGAGACTTCAACGCCTAGCGCGCAGTTCTCCGCACAAATACCGAGTTTGCGGGGAGGACGGGGGTTCTTGGGCCGGGGTACGGGGCTTGGAGGTCCGGGGATTGCGGGGGATGTTGATCCGAGGTGTCGGGGTTGGGCTGCTTGCTCTTGTGATGGAAATAGAGAATTTCGTGGACTCTATTAGTCTTGGCCTTTTATATGTACTTGGTACATTCTAGTCACTCTCGTGAGTGGCATGATTGAGGAAAACGTACAATCGTAAGAGATAGTAATGAAGATGTCGGAGTTAGTGAGTCATATACGGAGTACTGGGTCATCCATTGTCTAATAGTCCTTTCCTATAATACCTTATACATTCAGTAGAGAGATATATTCTTTCCTTGCCTACATGTAGTTTGGGATTTAGATTAGTCTTCATACTTGTTTTGAAATTTCCATTCATTCAGGGTTAGCGCATGCGTATATTGCTATATGCCAGTGCTAATACTGCCCAATAATATACATAATCGTTGTCCTTGTATGATCACGTTGAGTCGCTCTTCGCCCTTCGTTCTACTATAAAAGGATAGGCAGACTGGAATGTCAACAGACGCGCTAGAAATCATCGCCCTTGAGATGACCAAGCACTCGTTCTTCCTTCCCCATGCTGAGCTTCTCGTATTCTCCAATCATTTCCTTCAAGCCAGGTGCCGGGGTTGCTTGCGATGTATCTTCAATCTTCTCCATATAGCGTGTGTCCTCCGCCGAGCTTGTTACCTCATGGTGCTCTTTATCCCGGGATTGTGATATGAGGTCTTGTCTGAAAATTCCCTTGATCTCTGGTGGAATTTCATCAGAATTTTGTAGCTTTTTTCCCTGACTTCGTGACCGTATGGAGAGCTTGAAGAAATGATATAAATTTCTTCCCACCGGGGAACGATTTGCAATAACGGAAAATGCACTTGCCAGACATAAAAAGTCTGGATCGAGGATATCAACGCTTGGTTGCTCGAGTAGGGTATATAGAGCAACATTGATCGCATACATGGCAAACTGGTGCATGTAGTGAATTCCATATTCCGTTCGTAGCGATTGAGTGATGGCGGATATTTCACGCGCGGATAGAATGGCTGCTTCAATAGCAGTATGCCCACTCTCTGCACTTAAATTCATGGGTGATCTCTTGTCAAACATAGAGAATGAGGAGTAGTAGCCGAAGTTGTCGCAGCACAGATTGATGACGAGCGCGTGGTACCGCATCCTGTTGGGAAAGTTCTCCGAGTAAGCTATGATCTAGACAGTAAACTGAGAAATCACAAACCCGAGCAATAGAACATGCGGTGCCGGCCGTTCTGTAAGTTTGAAAGTATCAGGGAGGTCCGCCTCCCATTGGCAGAGTCGATCGTACATATCTTGCTTCACTTTGTTCAGGTCGACTCCATCTTTTTCTGCTATTGCCACACTCTTTGAAATATCACGGGCAATGTAAGACAGATTGCAAGCTTCATCAAAATAGAGAGCCATGTGAGAGGGCCGGGTGTAACTTGGTATTGGATATGGTGTCCACGCTTCCCCAGTGCTTCGTTCACCTCGCTTGATCCGGTCTACACACACTTCATGCACACGACTCGGTTTGAGGAAGTTTGTATGCACGATACTGCGGCGTTTTGATGTTAAATTGGGCTTCTGTGTGAAAAGAGGGGTGCCATGTTAAACATACGTATCAATCTGGAAAAGACCCCAAGCAGTGCGTTTGACTGACACCAGCATTTCTTCGGACATTTGCGAGCTATTCAGGCTTAGTTTGTTGTTATTGACGATTTTAAGCTCTTCTGCCATCTCTATCGCTCGATGAAGCATCGTATAGCCAAAATTATCATGTCCCAACACTGAGTATCTGATTCATAGAGGGGAGGCATCAGTTGTTGGGCTCAATTATCGGGCAAAAAAATCCATACCTCTCATATAATAGTAAGATTGCCTGCAAGGTAGCGAGACGAATATCACTTCCTCTTTCAAAAGAGTGCGAACTCATGTATTTCTCCGCTTCGGCGAGGAAAGCAGCGCCTTTCGTTTTGACATCTCCCGGAACGGTGTATGCCTCGGAGTATTGCGAATAATCCTGATTGGAACTATTGAGCATATTGTCCACACAATCACTGGATGCTCAGCACTCACGCATGCATTGGCAAGGAGGGCATTAACTAAAAACGGACTACAGAAATCCGAATTCAACTTCCCTTTCGCCATGTGGTCAAGAAAGGTATCGCGGTCAAAGAAAGCGAAGAATGGATAGTCCCAAGTCATGTACAAGGAAACCAAGTGTGAGACCAGATCATCATCATGGGTGACATTAGTCCATGGTCTTGCAGGGACCTTGTATGGCGCACTGCCACACAGATAGCGAATATCCATGGACCGGGGGCGGAATTTGGGTGCATCATGCTCGATCTTAATGTCGTATTTAATCTTCTTATTCTTGCTGGGTCCTTCATTTTTCTGGGCATCTGGCAGGATTTTATTTAGGTAGATGCGAATCTCCTCCAGTGGAATATGGGATCGGATCATTCGGAGTAGTTCTTTTTGCTCCTCCTCGCTTGTCGATCGTATTGCCTCAAAGCAATCAAATAAGAAGTCCCGGTAGTAGTCTGGTTCGCCGGTGGGATCGTCCCTGGCCGGTCGAGTTGAAGGTATCTGAGCCATGCCAGCTTCCGATCACCCTATCTTTGGTCCGGGAATTTTGATCTGGCCAAGTTCCAACTGAACCAATGCCGTATTCATAGATTTGCATTCCTTGGAGATCTATATTAGAGCATTAGCCAGACGTGATGTTCATATGAGTGCACCCCATACTCGCCATATTGGTATGGGTCAGGAAACGTGACAAATAATGACATCAAGCAGTTCACCAAACCACCCGGCCCTGAAACCTGCCTCAGATCTCTCTTTTACTTGAAATTCTGGGCTCTTCACACTCAAATCCGGTCATAGGCTTGCATGCACCCTCCTTGATGACCATCTGGGCCAGTGATGTCATCGTAGAATGGGCCAGGCAACGTGACATCATTTCTTCTTGGTTAGGTACCAAGCTCAATGAGAGACCTGGTAGCCTCATGTTCTGACTTACGGCAAATCCTCTGCCATGAAAGTTGCAATCCCCCGACAAAGGTCTACCGTCGTACCACCATCTAATAGGCGAGTCCCACGCGCATGCGAATCTTGCCATCAGCGAAAAATAAAGTGCAACGGTGAAACTCCAAAGTGTAGGCAATGCGAGGAATCGAAGTCTCCATGCTTCTATCCGCTGAAATGGCGAGAGAAGAAACAGAAGTAAGAGCGACCCATCTACATAAGGTTGTTAACCTCGAAGAGTGGCATTCTTGTTGATCATGCAAAAATTTGGGAACATGAACTAAAACCGATACCAGGCAAATAGGGACTCTCCATAAAAAGGTACAGGACTATGAGAGAATGCTGAAGGAAATGGAAACTCTGGTCCGTGGCCCATCTGCCGAGCGTATTAAAGGTATACTGCAGAAGGTGAGAGGCCCATCAGGCCCAAGACATCTCGTACCCTGGGCTTTGTCTAATATTTCAGCAGTATAATTCTGGCTCATCTGATGCGTTGGATGGAAATCCAAGGCCTCATCATACATCCAATGTCCAGGGCCAGGGTTGGCCTGAGCGATCCAGCTCATCATCTTCCATCGGCTCCCTGGAGGCGGTAGACCGGGTCGAAGATGATCTCAATCTAACAGAGAGCTCCCGAGCCACAGGCTACATGGGCAAGAGCTCAGAGGTCACATGGATGCGGAGAGTAGAAGAAGAGGCAGAACAGCGCAGTCGAGGCCAGCCACCAAACTTCACTTCTAGCGACAAGGACAGCAGCACCCGAATCGCTCCACACGTGATCAATTATCATCTTGACGACCTGGGCATCGATGCACCTGGGCCAGTTCAAATGTATTGGGTGCCTCCTCGACTACTAGCAGATCATCTGCTCGAGACTTATCTACGCATGGTCCACCCTCATTTCCCCATCATCAACCGCACTATGTTCTCTTCACAATACAGAGCCTTCTTCAGTGACATGTCCTATGCAGACAGTAAATGGCTGGCAATATTAAATCTCGTATTTGCAATTGCGACAAATTACTCATATAACAGTGATGCGACACAGCGAAGGGATACTCAAGACCATCTGTTCTACCTAACGCGGGCTAGAATGCTTAGTATGAGTGGGGATAATATATTCCAACATCCGGACATTCAACAAGTGCAGATAGAAGGGTTGATTGCGTTTCACATGCTATCTACGAACCAAATCAATAGGTGAGTTGTCTGGGGCTTTTATTTACAGAACATGTCTAATACCAGCTCTAGGGCGTGGCGAATCTCGGCTTTAGCAATTAGGTCCGCAGTCTCTCTGGGAATCAACACGAAGACCAGTACTTGCAAAATCTCAGCTGTCTCTAAGGAGGTTCGTTGTCGAATTTGGTGGTGTCTGTTTGCAATTGAGCACAAGTTAGGTTCGATGACAGGCCGAGGAACCTCTATCTCAATTCATATGTCTACCACTCACCTGCCTCTTCCATTCGACGAGGATCAATTTTCAGACCCATCCGCCGCAGAGCTTCTCAATGATTATGGACTAAGGGAAAAATGCTTAAATATGGCCATGACTAGCCCACACCTCCGGCATACCGATAGTCCGCAGACTGATGATACACTAACTGAGGCTGGGCATGCATGGCTTCGAGGGCTACCAGTCAATTCCAGCATCTACTTCCTATACTATTCCGATCTGATCGTCGTGAACCAAGAAATTCTAGACCGGATTTACAGCGCAGAAAGTGCATCCGTATCATGGGAAGACGTCAAAGGCAGGATCAATCAACTGAAGACAAGCATTGACACTTGGAAATCGACCCTCCCGCCTGGGCTGAACTTTAGCACCATGAAAGACGAAAACGACCAAACATACTGGGCAAAGACGAACTTGGCATTTCACTATTACAGCATACGAATCATTCTAGGACGACCCTGTCTCTGCCGGCACAGGACGCATCAGCAGAAAGCCGACCGAGAAGGATTCAGCCACGACATGGCTGTCATGACTTTAGAGTCTGCCATGCACATGCTTGATCTATTACCAAGTGAACCAAATACCGCCCATGTATATCAATTCTGCCCGTGGTGGTGTTTTCTTCACTACATCATGCAGACAGCGACAGTAATCATCCTAGAATTGTCATTTGACTGTTTCCACATGCCAGATCGAAGAGGCAGTCTTCTCCAGTCAGCGAAGAAATCTGTCATGTGGCTCCACACAATGTCCGAGCATTGTATCGCCTCCCATCGTGCATGGCAGCTGTGCGAAAATGCACTTCGCCGTCTAATGTATACCATGGGATACGATGCCAGTGATACACAACAATTTCCAAACCCAGGGCGGGACAGCCTCTTTGCTGATCCTCCAGGCCTGATGCTACCTACATATACAGATGGAAGTATGACTGGTGCGCAGTTCTTGCCGCATAATGGTATTCCCCAATCTTCGGTACCGGCATATGGAACTCATGACGCGAGTCCGTATACCAATACTACAGCATCTGAGGCCCTGTTCGTACAGACTGAACCAGTGCTTCCTGCAGGCGATACATACATTCCTCATGACCCGATTAGCGATGAGTTCATTCGATACTTCTTCCCTGGTTTGGATGGGGAAGAAACACACCGTGGGGACGATAACAAATTCTGATCTCGACGCAGGTCTGCTGGCAGATATTTGCATGAGGAGGAATCCGACGTTGAGTGCTTTGCATCAGAGAAGATCTACGCAACTCGCAATACTAAACAATAAATATACATTATTTACACAATGAGGAAATCGCGGCGATATAAATTTAGCTAGGGTTCGGGGAAGATAAAAACGAGACCATCACGTTACCCATGGGAGACATTGAAAGTCATAAGGCAGGCGACACCCTGAGCGCGTTTAGGTGCAAAGTGCACAGTGTAAAAAGCACAAAGCAAGAAAGCCTGCACTGTAGAACTGATCTCCGCTCCCCAAACCAGAGGAAGATCCAGACAAGATACCTAGCTCCAATGTCCAACCTTAACTGATTCAGAAAAGGTACTTCCACCAATGACCTTCCTCTTTCACGTTTGCCTCGTTTTCCCCAGCAGCACGAGACAGGCCTTCGCGATTTTGAAAATATATGTCGGATTAAAGTCCCAAAGCATCGACCTGAGCTAACCTCCAATATCCCGCCTCTCAGTCGCAGTATACGCAAATCCCTGTTCACCCGAACAACACCCACACCCAGTTGTGCAATGACCAGCGCCCCTCGTACATATCGTCTAATGAGCTCCACAGCAACCACAACCCCGAGCACAGCACCCGCCTCTACGAATACAATCTTGAACGAGTTCCTGTCGGAGACAACAGACCGGATCTTGTCTCATCGTATCATGATCTTCTTTCAAAAAGCCCAGTGGGAACATAGATCTATAGACGAAAAGAGATTGCTCATTCTGACTATGTTGTTGAAGAACGGCTTTTCGCTCTTCTTGATATCGGCGAAATTATTTCTCTTCTTCGTCGTTTGGGGGAATATTTATTGGGAGGGGAGAAAGAGACATGCCATCCTGGGATTATATAGTCGACGAGTACTCCGTATAAGGTTGTGTAACAGCATGGCCGTCGCTGAAAGAGGTCTGGGGTAAACTTTAATCTGCACACGTGGTACCATGGGGAAGGTTAAGCTATTGCAGAACTGAGTCTAATCAGACTTTCCATTAAAAAGGTACACGCTGTATAAAGGCAGCCAGAGAAGACCGCGGACACTCACGCTATATATATAACCCCCCAACGAACCCTTTCCAGGCTCCAGAGGTCCAGTATCTGAATCACAAGAAACTGTATATAGGATACTCCAATTTATCCACTCAGTGCCAAAATATCCAAGATAGAAATATACAAAAGGCCGGATAGATAACCCCCAGCGCCAATTCTAGTCTCAAGAAGAAAGAATGCGATCAGTATTCCTGCTGATCGTTCCAGTAGGCAGTTCCAGACTGGACTTCGCCGGTGGGCTCAAGCTTCCACCGGAGAACCAACTTAACCCACTGCAACAGGTGGCTGGCAATCTTGACACTGCCGACATCTGTCAGGTGGTTCTTGGGGTTGATGTCGTTGTGTTGCAGGAGTCCTTCGGTGGGGAAGTAGTAGACGAAACCGCGATCCTTGAAGTGTTCGTTCACCTCGCGGGTTTCTTCAAGGTAGTAGGTGCTACCGACGTAATTCTTGCCTTCCTTTTTGAATCCTCCCCATTGGGACTGTTGATTGTTAGTTGGAAGTGAACTATCTAGACCCCAAGGATATGGGTGGGAATGAAATGGAAAGAGTTACGGCATAGACATACCATGAGGAGAATGACGGCGTTGGGCCAGTTAGAGTGGATATTTTCAACCAAGCTAACGTAGGCATGGTAGTAATCCCGCCCGGGGATTTCGTTGGGGTGACGGTGGTCATTGCCGCCCATCTGGATAACCACAAGATCGGCAGGTTGCTCGGCCTTGACGTCCCAGTGCTCGGGGTCGTGGTCGTAGATTGCACGAGCACGAGAGCCGGGGTCCGAGGCGCGGTGCCAGTACCATTCCTAGTAGCGCTGTCAGTGAGATACTAGGCTTCTAGCGAGGAGGGGATGCCATACTATGCCGCGAGATTGGCCGCCGTAACATTGCTGATCCGCAAGGCAAACGCCGGGATAGGCCTGGTTAAATTCAGTCAGCAGGTCCGAAAGATAGGGCTCCGTGTTGGAGGGGGACTGACTGTAATGCCGTATTCAACATTGCCCAGGCCGTTGGCGAACATCCAGGACCACGAGGACATAGTTTCATAAGTTGCGAATTGTCCAGATGCAAGGCTGGAAGAAGAGTTAATTGGATGGAACATCGGGTGATATGTGATAAGAGGGTGAAGACTCACGATCCACCGATGATCTCGACTCTCTTTCCGAAGGTCGGGGCCTTGGTGATCTCGGCATCATTAGCGACAGCGACACCAGCAATCTGAACTGTGTGAAAGGTCAGCGACGAACAGACTCAACGACAGGAAGAGACTTATCCAATGCCCCAATTCGTCACTGGAATGTAGTTAGTATATAGATCGTCGCTAGATTCCGATGATAACATACCTCTCATCTCAAACAGATTTTTGCCGATTGGTTCATCGCCATCCTTGAGCTCTGACCAGGGACCAACGAATTGATATGTTGAGTCGGCGGTGACGTTAGAGAATTGCCAGTCCAGAGAGCCGACGCTAATAGGTATTAGAAGAATTCCCGCATGAATAGGGTGTGTCGACATACCGGTAGGCGACCAGCACACCTGGGATGGTGCTAGGGCCGAAGTTGACGGCGACCTAGAATGATATTAACATGTGGAACCAATTAGGGTTCCTCGGAATGGAAGACGTACCTTTTCACCGGTAAACTCGAACTTGATGCCCGGTGCTCTGACTTTTAATTAGTACCCATGACAAAAGGGGTGAAAAAAGAATAGAAATCAAGACATACGACCACCCTAAAGTTCGTTAGCAAAAAATATTAAAAACAAGAATCCGGGGAAGAGGAGCCCGATGGGGGGGGAGTGGACATACAAGAGATGTGCTGGCTATCCCATCGACCTTTGTAAGAGATCTCTGGGGCATTTGCCGGATAGCTTCTCCAGGATTCGTCCAGAGTGACCGGCTCTCGCTGGCCGGGATAAGGGTTCAGTCTGGGCTGACCGTTCTCGAGAATGGTGGCCGAAGCGACCATGGCCCACGAGAGGAGGGCCGTAAATCGCTGTCCGAACCGCATTTTGAGTGTGAATGATAGTCCCTATCCAACAGAGTACAGACTTTCAAGGTACTACAACGTTGCCCCCTAAAGCATCGGATTCACCTGACTAAGGGGTAAGATGCAAAAGACACAAATTGCGTGATCTTGGCGCCGTCTGCCAAGGTCGAGGTCCACAGGGGTATTGTAATTAATACGAGTCGTGTGCCAGATTAATTACCGTTGGCCTATCTGATCAAATTTCCCGAGACCCTTTCTCTTAAATTATCTTGGGGGCGATGGTCCACATCAAATTAGGGCCAACGGAAGACCTCTGTTCTAGAACCGAACCAAGGAAATTCAAGAATGAAACCAGAAAAAAAGAAGGAAGTTGGATACCTCAGACATATCAGACCAGAATGCCAATGCAGATACGAATGCAGATACGAATACAAATACAAAGATGAATACAGTGAAAATACCTATCTCCGAAGATTCGGGACTTGGAGCCCGCCACATCTACTCCGTACCACCCCTGCACTTATTATTATATACCTATGAAGGCGTTGAGCCATGAAATGCAGGGGAACCCGCCACCCAGTACGGTGTAGAATACGATCTTTTTTTTGTTTTTTGTTTTTTTTTTTTTTCCTCATGTCCAACCCTGGAAACAGGCCCGGATGTCCAGAATAAATGGGTCGCCAAGGAACTACAAATTGATATCTTGGGCTGATCGACCACAAGCATACTGTACCTGGTGCATTTGGATGAGTCGGAACGACATCCCGGAGTGCTGGGAACCTCATAGGGCTTAGTTTTGGTGCATCACGTTCCAGACGATGTGAGTGATAGACTCCGTATGGAATACGGAACATGTACATATGTTGTATGTTATAGGAACGGAGTGCTCCGTACGGAGTCTCCGTACTCTGGAGACAATAACCTCTTTGACCCCGGATCGGGCCACTTTTCTTTTCTTTTTCTTTTGGCGGCATTTAAAGTGCTAGCGTGAAGGGTCAGGAAGTACGGGGTAGATAGTGCGGTGTAGTTCAAACTGACCAGTCTAGACATAAGATATGAATTTGGAGTGGCATGCAATAGCGTGCTGGACGTGTGACCAGAACCGAGGTAAAACGTGTTTCCCATTCATGGCCTCGAGGGGTTGGTCTCGAGGGGGGTTGGACGATCTTCAAGGCTCCAATATCACAGGGCAGAAAAACCAAATACAAAAAAGGGTGGTCCGACCGTACGGTGTACGGAGTACGGATACTGGGGGTCAATTTCAATTGAATTCTAGAAGGACCCATTGGTCCAATAGTGGAAGAGCTAGCATAGCGCCTGAGTCCATCCACTCAGAACGGAGAGCCAAGACCTTGGTCCGATTGGCTGGGGTTGTGTCCTCTGGGAATTCAGAAGAAAAGGTTTGCATTCCCACCGACGGAATGTTCTCCTTGGGTGTATTCATCCTGAAAGCAGCTGGGAAGTTTGGGAAGCGCGGTAGGGGATGCTCCATATCTTCGCATGGAGTCTTCTGGTCGAACGATACACTTCTCCTCCGTACAGACAATGGGTACTCCGCACTCGGTTTCGTATTGAGCGGAAACCTTGAAATAGGGGCCTGTAAATTCCATCCCCTTGGATGTCATAGCGTGACGCCTTCAATGTCAACGCCGAATCCGATTTACCGTTACCGGTTTCCAGTGGAGACTACGATCAGCGCCAAGATCCGGCGTAATTTGAGGCTGTTAGGCCGTGGTTCAGGACGGGGGAAGACGCTGTTTTCATTGGTTGATTTATTACACGCTCAGCGCATTTCACCTGCGCGTCGTCAGCTTCTTGTTCCTTGATAGCTTAATTTGTGCGGATAGCTTCATGTACGGAGTACGGAGTAGTGCAGTATTGCACTATTACTGCACTACTCCATACGGAGCACTGCAGACGGACTCCATTTGCCCCTTTCACTTGTAATCATCGCAGGTGTCTCCGTAGGACAATGCCCATTCCCGAGAGATACGCCCTTCGCGGCGTATTGTCTATATGTTGTGTACTCTGTATACGGAGCACACGATATAGAAATCCTTCAGCGTGGATTCTCTAAATGCAATAAAACAATACCCAAGACATGTTTCTTGTTTTTTATTTTATTTTATTTTTTCTTTCCCGCCATATCTGGGGTCTCATACATAAAAATAGCGTACACTGTATCATATATCAAAGGTTTTGGACTTGTATTGAAGCGCCCCGCCCAGTCAGCTCCACGCGAGGTGCCCGTTCAGTTCGCCTACCGTTTTCTGCTTGGCCAAGCCCCCGATCACTCGTGGGAAAGTCGGATTTCTCTTACATATACCCCATTCTGCTGTCCTAGCTTTTCCCACCTTTGAACCGTTCTCCCGTCTACGTTCGTTGATCTATGGGGGCTGTGGTTTTGCATCTCTAGGCCTAAGTATAGACAGTGCGGACCTGTCCCTTCTTCTCTCCTTTAAATCTTTGGCTTTCGACTTTCGATTTTTTGGCATTTTTGTGTTTCCTATTCGACCTTTGATGTTTATGGTCGCAGACCTCCCATCTCAATCAACCCACTAGATACCACGAGCCCTCGCTCGTGTGGTGTCTCATTCAGTCTTTACATCCGTCATGGAGTATATTCAGCCCAACCACATTTACACGCGCATACTCGAAAACATTCCCTGGAAGTCCGCAGATCCATCGGTGAAAGGGGATCCGCGGAAAAGTGTTAAGTGGATTGATGTACGTCTGGCAACTCAGCCTTATAAGGATAAACAAAAAAAAAACCCCTTCCAAAATGCTAATCTTCTGACAGGGTCTTCGAGGCATCGCATCATTCCTAGTCATTCTCACTCACCTTGCCCGAGCATGGGACTATAACCTCTTTTCTCCCCGCGACGATGTGGACACCCCTCCCCGAATTCTGCAGTGGCCCGTTTTCCGTATTCCTTGGCAGGGCCGTCTTGGTGTCACCATCTTCGCCTTCTTGACCGGTTATGTTTGTGCCCTTAAGCCGCTCAAGCAGTCTCGCAATGGCGATATCCTTGGATCTTTCACATCGGTGGCGAAGAGTGCCTTCCGTCGCCCTCCTCGTCTTATCTTCCCTGCGACTATCGCCCTGCTCATCTCATGGGGCATGGCACAATGCGGCGCCTTCATTGCGGCAAACCGCTCTGATTGTTGGTGGTGCCGGTACGCTGCCCCCGATTTGGAGCCTACCTTCTGGGCTGAGTTTGTTCGGTTGTTCAAAACTTTCCTTGAGGTTTGGACCACTGGATACATGGCGTACGATGATCACCAATGGGCTTTGCTTCCGCTGCTCAAGGCATCTATGTTGATCTACATCCTTATCTGTGCCACCATGTTCGTCAAGTTCCGATTCCGCCTGGTCATCTACCTGGGAATGTACCTCTACTTCCACCAGGACGCAGCCAAGAACACCGGTAAGTCTTTTTTTATCTGCGCCCACACACTTGTGTCATGTACTAATGAACAAATAAAACAGAAACTTTCCAGATGCAAGCTATCTATGGCATGTTCCTCAGCGACCTCTCGTATGAGAAGGGTTTCAAGGCATTCGTCGACCGTCACAGCTGGGGTCGCAAGGTTGTTTCTGGCACCCTTCTCATCCTGGGTCTTCTCATTTGCTCATACCCCGGAGAGCACCCCGAATGGTCCACATGGTCAAACTACATGGAGAAGGCATCGCACTACATCTTCCCCCCGAAAGTCAACGTTGGCAAGCGGTACTCCGCCATCGGTGTCGACCTCATTATCTTCGCTATCTACATCTCCCCCTCCACCAAGGAGTTCCTGTCCAGCCGTCTCCTCCTCTGGTTCGGTAAGCAGAGTTTCGCCGTTTACCTCGTTCACGGTACTCTCCTCCGCACCGTTCTGTGCTGGATGCTTTACGGAATCACTGGCCAGCCTTGGGATGGCGATATCGTCGACGACAAGGGCAACCCTATCTACGGTGACGACGGTGAGCCTCTCCACCCGCACTGGATCCCCATCCGTGCCCCCTGGGTTGTGGCCATCAGTATCCCGACCTGGATCTGTCTGGTCTACTTCTGCGCCACTCTGTGGACTGGATACGTTGATCCCTTCTGTGCGCGCATGGCCCAGAAATTGGAGAAGTGGACATTCCAGGAATCCGATGAGGTTCCGCCTCCCCTGCCTATGACGAGCATCCCGATGCAGACCGCTTAATTTTGAGCCCATTTTTTGTTTTTTGGAAAGACGTTGGAATGATTCCTTACGAAGCAATGCCCTGGCGGCCTTCGCTTTCAAGTGTCTATATGTCACTCCCTGTTTCATTTACTTTTCATCTCTTGCATTTTTCTTCTTTTCTCAGAGCACCATTTTTGGTTCTTTCTTTTCACCATATTTTTTATCATATTTGTGCAGATCATGATTGGTGTTTTTTCTTTTTTCCTTCTGACTTGGGCTTTCATTCTACGAAATGAATTCAAGTCGCGGATTGTGTGGATAATTTCGGATGTACATATACATACTCAAAAATCAATGCCCGAAACCTGACTATCAATCTTCACCTGAGCATCAAACGTGGACAGCGTACAAAAGTACATGACTAGCATCAGCATCCCCCCAACCTCAGAACCAAACCATTCCCCTCGCACATTTGAAACACGGCTGGTGGGAGAAAAAAAAAGGGGGGGGCAGGGTCAAAAGTCTTAACTCCGAATCTAACTGTCCAGGATTCAGCCACTGACATCGACGGCACACAGGTCCAAGCAACCGCATCAGCCAAAAACCTAGAAAAACCACGAGTCGCAAGATGACAGGCTCGTTCGTTATCTCCTCGCCCCTGAGCGCCAAGACCCCGAAGTTGCAGAAATAGGGCTGGATCGCCGCCACCCTATGCCAATTGCCCCCACCCGAACAAAAAGAAATTTCCAGACACCCGAGCGGTCCCAAGACACTCCGCCAAGATGCTAAAAAAGCAGAACTAACCCCCAATCAGACGCAACTGCCGACACGACGCTGACACTTGGGTTTCAGTACGGAGTACGGAGTACCTGGAACGGGAGGGGAGGGGCGCCTTATAAAACCGATCCCCACAGCCCCCTCCCCAATGTCCCATGTCGTTACTAGCTTTGTTACGGTATTACTGTGCTGGGAAGACCGAGATCTTCGTGACACTGATGGGGCTTTGCTCCGCTCGCGGGCCGAGCACTTCCGGAGACTTGCTGTTGTCAGCGGTGGCAGGTTGTTGCGGCCCGTTGATCCTTCTTCGAGAGGTTGGTTACGTGTATAAAGTGCGAACCAATGAGATACGAAGAGGCAATTTGGTTTATATTGTCTGCGCCGCCACAAGATAGGCGGTGCGTTCGTATATCTAGGTGAGCCGGCGTCGGATACACAGCGGTCATGTGGGCAATCTATTCACTCGTCTTGTACGAGCATGATCTTCGACGGCGGTTTGAGATTGATCATCGTGTGTTCTACGTGCGGACACGGGATATCCAAATGTAGCTAGCTGATGCACAGCATCTCCTGTTGTCTGGGCATACGGCTCAGGAGTCGACGGGATCTGCAGTGATCGATGAGGTGTGGTGTTGTGTATTTCTCTTGTGGTTTGGGCATAGTTCCTGTGGTTGCTTTTATGCTCTAGGAAACTTGCACAATCCATTTTCGGATACAAACCATTGCAATTCCGCACATAATTGAATCTAGTACGGAGTAATACCGGACAATTTCATTTCCAATCTGGTGCTTACCTGGTAGTACCGTTGTTCCTAATCTTATATTCTTGTTTTAAGATCTGCAAGAAGGCTTTATGCCAGGGAGCTGAGTGGCTGGATATAATATCATATCCCGTGAATATTGGACTAAAGTTCGCAGGGAAGTAGTTTCGAGCTCCTGGAAAGTTTTAAACGCGGTGAATGCAAGAGTATTATTACACTTTCTATGGAGGGTATCGAGGATAACCATAACAGGGACAGTGAGAGGATGAGAGGCACTGATATAACATCCACGTATACAGAGCTCGGAAAGCAGGGCACCCACAAGCATAACGCCCAAGTAGTTAACGCGTCCGCAGGTGTTTTATAGCGATCTATTCTTCTTCAGAGGGCGTATCTATATATTCATCATGTTTCCTACAATGTTTCTTGCTCTGCACTCAAGTCCTTGTTTATGGTCGATACCAAGCAGCTGAATACGTTCGAATTATGACTATTTTGATGAAGAACTGTATGATCGAAGTGGGTACAATGGGGGGATTCATTCAAAATCACAAGATTGGATGTTTTCGATTGCGGTTATGTGGACATAACAAGGCCCAATAAGGAGAAGACCGATATTCTATTGAATGAATCAATGCTTTCCTGCTCGGCTCGAGAGTAGACCCAGACTCAGCTGATGGAATATTCATCAACTAATCATTGTTGTTGTGGTTTCCCCAGCCCTCGTCCCCAACGCTCGCATTCCATCCTGACAGGTTATAGCCCGTGTGCTGAGTCCACACCTCACGGTTCCACAGCCAAATCAGTCTCTGCTGCTCTAGGTGGCTAGCCAACATCTCGGCCTCGGCGACAGTGAGATTGGCATTGAGGATCCATGGGTACTGAGGGTTCCAAGAGGGGACACTCGAAGCAGCCACAAATGGAGCTGAGGCAGGATCTATTCAAACGTTAGAACGATTTTGTCTGATATGGTATTCGAACAGTCGTGACTAGGAACGAAAAAGGCTTTCATGACTCAGAGGAATGCTAAAAGGAGCTGGACATGATTCAACGATAGGGGCAAGGGATTGGTGTTTTGAATGCGGTGGGTATAAAGATTGTCACTTACAGACATTGCCACTCAATGAAGTCTTGTTGATCGCTGTCTCTGTGACATTCGTCAGTCTTCTGTACCTCATCCTTATACCCAGAGAGTAGATGAAGCTTACTCTTCTTTGTTCGACCCCAGTGGGCAACTCCATTGGCCTTTGTAAAGTTAAAAGGTTGGTTGACCGGAAACTCTAGCATGGATTGCCGTTGCTGGAATGTGCGTGAGAGTTCTTACCAAGCCGTTGGCAGACTGTGAAGCTGTCATTGCTGCGAAATTCATCAAATCCCGGTAAAGGACTCGACATTGGACTATCTCATGTCCTTCGATCTGACAATGGGTGCACCACAGCTATGACGGGTCAGTATGAGTCCATGCTGTTTGTTGACGCGGCTGTTGTTGTAGTCTCTCGGGTAGATGGTAATGATATAGAAATGAATTGTGAGAGAAGGAAGTTTGAGCTCTGCACGGATGTGTAGCTGACCAAACACACCATGATGTTGCCGTGAAGCAACCCATCTGGCGTGGTTGTGAGACAGGCTGATAATGGCGAGTCATGACATGACACCATTATACTGCTGAAATGCATCATAACAACCAAAGTCATACTCAAAATTACATGAATATGAAGTCACTTGATTGGGCTTCAAGGAGGGTAGTGCATTGGCAATCCATGAGGAGTCATGGCAGTCCAATGCGATGAGAAAAACTTCAGAGAGGTCGTTGATCTTCTTTCGGAAGCACCCACTCTCAATATGACAAGGTCACTTACAAGGTGTCGATCGTTGTCGGCCATCGTGAATGAGAATAATGAGGACTGCCCAGGTGTGACTGAAGTAGCAAGGTAAAGACGAATGAGTGGTGATGCAGAGAGGAAGACGGAGATGATGAGAGGAGGAGATGATGAGAGGAGGAGATGATGAGAGGAGGAGAGGAGGAGATGATGAGAGAAGGAAAGGATGAGAGAAGCCAGTCAAACCCCATATCAGTCATCTATCTTTGTTCTTCAGCTTCTACACATCTGATTTAACAAATTCTTTCTTATTGATCATATATAGCTCACCTCATATAACGCTATGTCTTTGCGTATTGGGATACTCAAGCACTATGTTTGCATCGGAAAGTCATCTTATAGATAGTGAATACTGAGAGCGAGTCTAATTGACCTCCTTCAATACACCCAGAGCCAGAAACCAAAGGAGGTCGGACATTGCGTTTGCTATAGGGCATGGAGCTTGGCACGCCCCGAAACCAGACCAAGCTCATATAGATACGATCTATCGCATTGTCGCATACCTGAAGGGCGACACAATGAAGGGAATTACCTATTCAGACAAATACAGCATCTAGCTGAAGATTTTTGTTGACAATGACTTCGCCTAGTGTGCGAACTCACATACGTCAACAACCACGTGGATTTTCACGCTTGCCGGAGGGCTCATATCTTGGTCATCTTAGAAACAGAAAACCATGGCTACATCAACCATAGATGCAGGTCATATTGCATGCGTCGAGGTTGCGAAGGATGCTGTGTGGATTCGTAATTTGATCATTGATCTCTGTAGTCTATCCGCTCGATTGTCTTCTGATACCCCGGATCCCTTCATTACAACTTCAATCGGCTGGCGTTCAAGGGCCTTGGTCGCTGATCATTCACCCTTTTGTACGCGCGTGCGCAATTACAGCCCCAATATGAGGCTGCCAGTAAAACCGGGCTGTGGTTGGCCGCTGAATGACCCCAGTTTCCGAGGCGTTTGCGGATACTTCATCAGGGGTGATGACATGTCGGCGCTGCAAGACTCCCGGTGTATGGATAAGCGGCTGTAGGCTAGTCAAAGTTATTAGGAACACGCAGTACAGGGTAGGTTAATGAAAGAATAATCATCGTTCAGGCTATAATCTTGGAAAGATTCGCATGTGGGCACCTATACTCCGTGTTTAGGACTATCACGTGGCTGGGGCGTAGTTGGGCGAAGTCGTTTAGGTATTCAACGCTTTCTCTCCCTAACAATAGTCAACATTTTGAGTCATTTACTCGAACGAATAATACCTTTCGATGTCTTCCATACACCCTCAATTCAACAATTCGGAATATGCTGTTGGTTGGATCGCTGCATTACCGCATGAAAGGGCAGCCGCGGAATCTATGCTCGACGAGAAGCATGCACCACCTCAGTCTAAGAACCCACAAGATCCAAATATCTACACCCTGGGCTCCATCGATGGTCCAAATGGCAAGCACAATGTTGTCATTGCGAGTCTTCCAGTCGGCCGTTATGGAACGACGGCTGCCGCGACAGCTGCTGCCGGGATGCTTGCCAGCTTCCCACAGATCAAGTTCGGGCTGATGGTTGGGATCGGGAGTGGTATCCCAAGCGATGATAATGATATCCGACTCGGCGATGTCGTGGTTAGCAAGCCCGAAGGCTCCTTTGGAGGTGTGCGACAATATGACTGTGGAAAGGCTACGGCGCAAGGATTTGAGGAGCGGGGTGATTTGAACTCTCCTCCTTCTGTTTTGCTTAATGCCGTGAGCGCACTTCAGAGCAAGCATGAACGGGCTGGGAGTGATATCCCCGGCTTGTTAGATGCTATATGCAGCAAGTACCCATTGATGTCCAACCCTCGACAAGGAGCCGGCTATGTTTATCAGGGTTCGGAGCATGACCGTCTGTTTGACCCAGACTATGAACATCCAAATGGCAAGAGAAATTGTCATGAATGTGATGCTTCAAGGCAATTGGAACGTCCGGAACGTGCCAATCTGGACCCGTATATATTTTACGGAACCATTGCCTCTGGGAATCGAGTTGTCAAAAATGCACGGAGACGGGATATTTTCCCTCAGTGTCTCTGTTTTGAAACGGAAGCTGCGGGTCTAATGAACGATTTTCCATGTCTTGTTATTCGCGGTATCTGTGATTACTGTGACAGTCACAAGAACGTCCAGTGGCAAAGGTATGCGGCTGCAACGGCTGCTGCATACGCGAAGGAGTTGATGCAAATAACAGACGTGGAAGATGTTCAAAATGCATCTGAAGCGCGCACACTTACTAGTGAGAGTAAGTGCTAATTATGATTGGATTACTTCGGCTCCCCAAGTACTCGCTCGCCGGAGCTTCTTGGATGATATTTCCGTAATTTCGCTTGTTACTTGATTATTGCCACACTATCTCTTCTCTTCTTCGATTGAAACCAGTCTAACTGCTAGATTTATAGTGCGAGAAATCAAGGTCACGCCACAGAAGAATGAACAACGTGTACCTGAACTCGAGGACCGACGCTGTCGAAAAATCATTGGCGCCCCTGATCCGGTGGCCGATAAAAAGCGAATTGAGGAGGCAGAGGGCGGTCTGCTTGAAGGGTCATACCACTGGGTGCTCAATCATGATGAGTTCAAGAGGTGGAGAAACAGTGACTATGATCAAATTCTGTGGATCAAAGGTAACCCCGGCAAAGGCAAGACGATGTTGATCTGCGGGATCATTGATGAGCTTTCGAAAGAGGCTATTAATGGCAGCAATATTGCATACTTTTTCTGCCAGGCGAATAGCAATCGCATCAACAATGCTACAGCAGTCTTGTGGGGACTTATATCTATGCTTGTCCAACAGCAAAGCTCGCTGATCAGCCACATCCCGGATGACTTGTCTGAGAATAAAAATGCATGGGTTCAAGTGTGTGATGTCCTTCTGGATATTCTCGGGGATGAAGCTCTGGGAATTACCTATCTCATCATTGATGCACTCGATGAGTGTATCGCTGATGTAGATGAACTTCTCAGGTTTCTAGAGAAACACTCATCGTCATATCCACATGTGAAATGGGTTGTGTCAAGCCGTGACTGGCAAAATATTAGAGAGACTCTCGAAATTATCACACCGGTCAAAATTGACCTTGAGCTTCACGAGCACAGCTTATCAGATGCTGTTCAGTTTTTCATCGAGCATAAAGTCAAGGAATTGTCCGACAGAGAGGGATACACAGAAGAGCAGAAGCGTAACGTTCAGAATCACTTGGAATTGAATGCAAAAGGAACCTTCCTGTGGGTAGCGTTGATTTGCAAACAACTTTATGAAGCTTCAAAAAGGTATCCTGAAAGAGATCTCCGTGCTCTCCCTGTCGATCTTGATGATATGTATCATCGAATGTTGAGCAATATTCATGACTCAAAGTATCGCGACGATGCTCAGCTATGCATCTCTCTGCTTGGAATTGTCACGACTGTTTATCGCCCTATTACGTTAGACGAAATTCCATTATTTCTTGACTTACACGGAAATACGACAGGCAACAAGTTTGATGACGATGAGCTGATAGAGATCGTAGGGCTTTGTGGCCCCTTTCTTACTCTCCAACAACGCACAATTACCTTAGTACACCAGTCCGCACAAGACTTTCTCCAGGAACGGGTATACCAAAAGATTCATCCTGACGGAGAGCAGAAGACACACTACTCTATTTTCTCGGGGTCTTTGAAAGCAATTCACTCAACATTGAAACGCAACATATACAAGCTTAATGACCCCGCCATTTCAATAAATGAGGTCAAGCGGCCAGATCCGGATCCGCTAGCCACGATTGGCTATGCCTGTATCTACTGGGTTGATCACCTCCAAGAGTATTCCCAGCGCAAAAGTCCCACTCCAACGAAGAATGAACAGCTGCAGGACCTCAATCCACTTAGGTCTTTCATGTGCAATGACTTGCTTCATTGGATTGAAGCTCTCGGTCTATTGAGAAGCTTGTCAGCAGGAGCCACGTCGATGCTGAAGCTCGAGTCTTTGTTAAAGGTATGCGTACAAAACGCTGGTAAATGACAGTTCTAACTCAGATATAGAAAATTACAAGAGATGCAGATTTGATTGCTAGAGTCCAAGATGCATACCGGTTCATCATACATAACAAGATGATGATCGATAATCATCCACTTCAAGTGTACTCTTCGGCGGTGTTCTTTACTCCTCGAGGCACCATAACAAGGAATCAGTTTGAAACTAATGAGCTGGGATGGCTTAGTACTAACGAAGTTGTCGAAGAAGGCTGGGGGCAGTGCTTGCAGACCCTCGTGGGCAACGGCATCCATATGAACTCGGTAGTCTTCTCGTCTTCTGGCACGCTGCTCGCGTCCGGTCATGCTGGAGGGGCTATCAAAATCTGGGATCCCCGCAGCGGCCAGTGCTTGCGGACCTTTAAAGGCCAGGGCGACTCAGTTTACTCATTGGTCTTCTCACATGACGATGCGTGGCTCGTGTCTGGCGGTAGCGCCTTTGAGATCTGGCAAACCCACAGTTGGCAGTGTTTACAAACATTTGATCGTTGCCATGACCCAGTTAGATCGGTGGCCTTATCACCTAGTGGCAAGCTTCTCGCATCTGGTAACGAGAAAGGCACTATTCATATCTGGGATACCGATAGATGGCAGTGTCTGCAGACTCTTGAAACTCACCGTTACCCGGTCAACTCAGTGGCATTCTCGCCTGATGGCACCCTTCTCGCGTCTGGTAAGGATCTCGACTTGTCTCCCGAGCCTTGTAGGCTCCCCGGCATTATTCATATCTGGGATACCAGCACATGGCAATGTCTACAGACCCTTGAAAGTCACCGCTACCCGGTCACCGCAGTAGCATTCTCACCTAATGGCAAGTTGTTCGTGTCCGGTCGTGGCGGCGGCTTTAACGGTGGCAGTGGCAATGTTCAGATCTGGGATGTGGAAAATTGGCATTCACTGCAGCAGTTTGATGACCTTGCCCGTGTCACCTCCGTTGCCTTCTCAAATGACGGCTCGAAACTTGCATCTGGTTTCCAAGAGGGCGACATTAGAGTCTGGGATACGCATAGTTGGCAATGCCTGCAGACCTTTAAGGACAACCAGAACTGGACCACCTCTGTGGCCTTCTCAAATGATGGTGCACAACTTGCAGCTGGCTCTATGGATTCCAATATTAGGCTCTGGGACATGCAGAGTAATCTATCCCTGCAGAGCATCGATTGCCACCATGACAGGATTGGATCAGTTGAGTTCTCGCCTGATGGCGCACTATTTGCGTCTACTTCTACGGATGGTACTATCAAGATCTGGGATGCTTATAGCGGACAATGTCTACAAACTATCGAAGATCAGTGTGTAGGGTATGTACCAGTGGCCTTCTCGCCGGATGGCCTGTTGTTTATATCTGGGGATGAGAAGGGGACGATTAAGGTATGGGAGCCTCACAGTTGGCGATGCCTAAAGACCCTTGAAAACAATAGTGGCTTTGTATGCTCTATAGCCTTCTCACCAGATGGCATGCTGCTCGTTTGTGGCTATGATACCGGTGTTATTAAGGTTTGGGATCCACGGACCTGGAAGTGTCTACGGATCCTTGAAGCAGGAGGGAATTATGTGCGGACCATCAACTCAGTGGTCTTCTCGCCTGATAACACGCTATTAGCGTGTCTTACCTACTTTCTTTCTTCCGGCATTGAAAACGTTATCAACATCTGGGATTTACGCAACGGGGATCGCCTGAAGACCATTTGGTGCCAAGATGAGCCAATTATCTCACTGATCTTCTCGCCTGATGGCGCCCTGCGCGGTTCAGATTGTTCCAAACTTCCTAGCAAGACCATGAAAGTCTGGGATATCCTTAATTGGCATCGTCTGCGGACCCGTGAGGCCGACGGCAGCGATGTCATGAAATTGGATGTCACTAAACCTTACGTCCAAATCAACAGAGGCAGTTCTATCCTACCTTCTCCCGGAGATCCGACATGCTCTCTGACAGATCCAGAAAGCCGGTCTGCTCAAGGATTTGGTGTAAGCGAGGATCGAACTTGGATCACATGGAACTCGGCCAATCTGTTGAAATTGCCACCAGTATTCCGTTTGACGGAATTTGCTGTATCGGAATCTGGCATTGGTATTGGCTGCTCTTTAGGACATATTATTCTGTTGAATGCTGCATGCCATGGTTTGCCACAGAAGACAGATAGAGGCCGTGGTAACTAGACAGATGAAGCAATGCGGGGAGAAGCCAAGTCCTGGCCTCGTTTTCATTCAGTCATTTCTTCTTTTCCCACACTTCTCAATGTTTGACCCTAAGAGATAGCCTCGTGTCTGCTCACTTGATACTGAGATATGCATACATCCCAGCGCCGCTTTTCATGTTTTGCACAATCCCGTGATGCCGTTGGGTAGCACCCGATATATCGCAATTAATAATTGGGATGTTCGACTTTTATTGAGCAGAGATTAGAGTTATATGGACCATATAGTGAACCCGTTATTATATACATTTTTGAACGTTCGTTTTCGGATGTGTGTTCCTGGTAGCCTGTCTCACTAGGGAGACGGAGTGGTAGAGGGGAGCTCATAAACGCAATATTCGTTTAACAAGTGCCTGGGGACCACGATTGATTTGGATCAAGATGATCAGAGTAAGAACCAAAGTCACTACAATGATCTGAGGGAAGAAGGTTAATCCCAATCCAGACAAGCAAGGGTTGTCTAGGGAGAACTTACAACGAACAGTAAGATCCCTACCAAGTTCAGCTCCCATCCTCCAGCGTGTACTTTCCCCCGAGCAATGGCATTTTGTTGTCTCCAAAACCGGAATGTACCTATCAAGGCGACAGCAATCGCAACAAAATGGCAGGCCACCGAAAGCGGGACTCTAATCTCATGAAACGACAAGCGATCGACTTGGAGTAAGGGTCGTTGCAGGCGGAAGAGTTGAGCGACGAGAACCCCTTGCATGGCGATCACCGTGGACGTACGGATGTATGCAAGGAACGTTCTTTCCAGGGCTTCGAGATTGTTTTAGTGGAATGGTCAAAAGCGTGCCTTGGGAGTGTGGTGTGAATTTACCGAAGTGATCTCGATTGCTCTTCTGTGGCACCGTCAGGCTCACATGTCGATTCCAGAACCGACATATCCAGCTCCAAAGACCTGTGCGAGCTTCAAGCTCGCGACGGGAATCCGGACGGGACGTTGTCCGACGTGTGCTCACATACTCCTCGCCCGACGAAGCTGATGGGGACGAGTAGTCTATGTCGTTGTCCTCGCACGTTTGTATCTGTTGGAGTTCCAATGCCTCTCGGTCGTCCGTGCGGGTCTCGCGAGCGGGAGTCGGGCGTGAGTCGGTCAGGACTGCGTTGGGTGGCTCCCCGAGAATTGGAGATTTACCGGGCTCTTCAGTCATGATGAAATGGAGTGGGAGATGGCAGATAATCGCATTGTTGTTGTTGAGGCAAAAACTCCAAAGAGAGTCGGAGTCACAGGGAGGGCAGGGATCGTTTCTTGTTGGGTTCCCCACGGATCGGCTCCAGCCGAACGTCCAACGTTTGCCCCGCAGAGCCTGGGGTTAGGTCCATTTGAGAAGCCATTGTCATTGAGAGGTTTGGAAGATCGAGCAAGAGAAGAGTTATATCTGAAGCTATAGTTCACATCTGAAACGCCCTGTATCCACCGCCGTGTTGACTCCAGTTCGTCGACAAGACCCCTGTCCCCAGTTGCTCCTCTGGCCAATCAGCAGCCAGGAAATGCCGATTGCATCATTTGGGACGCGGATGTTGCAATGCGCTGCCAATGACGACGTCTCGCCGTCACCAACTCGCCCAATGGACCCCGTTTCTGGACTCCAAAGCAGTTAGCTCGCAACAGGCAGCTAAGCTAGCGGGACCGTCGATCTCAACCCCAGATACCGTTGGAGTTGTGGCTCCAACGTCTTTCCCGTTCACAATGCTAGGGGAAAGCTCCAATGCCTCCAGCTCATTACTGCCATGCACTGTATCGCAAACCTATTCAAGGGGCTTAGTGCCTAGGCATTGATCCGATCAACCATCTCGTGGATTGAATACCGACTCCAACCTGGGAGAGCGATACCACGGACCTTTGATTTTCCGCTCCGATGCGTGAGGCCCATCTCTATATCTTTCTCCTGGACAACAGCCAAGAACAGCTGTGCGGAATGGCATACTTAGCTTGGTAGCTCCTCGTTCCGTGGATAACACTCTTGGATTGCTTCAAATTCCCACGACCCACCCCCTCATACTAAAATTAGATGCGTATCTACAACCCCGTGGCCGAAACAGGAAATGTTTTCCATTGCCAACGAACCAAACGTCGTATGGAGCCGATTGATCAATTATGATTGCCCCGACGTGCTTGATAGTCTTGATAAACATGGGGAAGCCAAGTACATACCCTGCTGGTTCAATCCTGCCAAAATGCAGCCCGTGTTCATTACTGACATACTCGGCTTTACATCGCCGGAACCCGTGCTTGGCGTAACATCTTTATCTTTAGCTTCATGGAACACTATATCCTCCCCCTGTGCCTCTGCGGGGTGCGGGGAGAGTTGTACGAGGATGTCACACATTGTACGAACTATCAACTATGTGATCATACAAATAGAACCGACGTCTGCTGCTGTCTAATGCGGCCACAACACCTATCACATAACGATGTCTCTCTCACAACGCGTGGTCATTATCGGAGCCGGGATCGTAGGCACCAACCTCGCCGATGAGCTGGTCTCCCGAGGATGGAAGGATATCACGGTCGTGGAGCAGGGCCCGTTGCACATGCCGGGCGGATCGACTTCGCACGCCCCAGGCCTTGTCTTCCAAACAGGTCCCTCGAAAACAATGGCACATCTCGCACGGTATACAATGGAAAAGTTCCTTTCGATAGAGAAAGATGGATATAAGTGCTTCAATCAAGTCGGCGGGCTTGAAGTGGCAACCACTCCGGCACGGCTGCAGGATTTGAAGCGGAAACACGGATATGCCTCGTCATGGGGAATTGAATCCCGGCTTGTGAGTGCTGAGGAGTGCTGCACGCTATACCCTCACTTGAATAACGAGATGGTGCTGGGTGGACTGCATATTCCCAGCGATGGTCTCGCACTGGCAGCTCGAGCAACACAGCTGCTCATCGAACGGACCAGCAAGGCCGGGGTACGTTACCTCGGCCATACTCCCGTAACTGGGATTGAGCGCGACGGTCCTCGTGTAACCGGCGTGAAAACCCCGAATGGCATCATCTCAGCAGACCTTGTGGTCTCTTGCGCTGGGTTTTGGGGCGTTGAACTGGGAGCTATGGTCGGCGTGGAGATTCCTCTACTCCCATTAGCACACCAATACGCAAAGACGACAGCGGTACCCGCACTCGCTGGACGAACTATCAACAACCTGCCGAATGGAATGAATGCTACACTTCCAATCCTCCGGCATCAGGATAAGGGTCTGTACTACCGTGAACACGGCGGACAATATGGCATCGGATACTACGGACATCGTCCAATGCCGGTCGTTGCATCGTCACTGGGATTGACGCCAAAGCACGTCGATGAGAAAAGCATGCCCTCTCGGCTGGATTTCACATCCGAAGATTTCGATCCCGCGTGGAAAGAGAGTCAAAATCTTCTCCCCGCGCTCCGGGAAACAGATATCGCTGATGGCTTCAACGGCATTTTTCTCTTTCACGCCCGACGGTGGGCCACTCCTTGGGCAACCATCTCACCTCGACGGCTTCTGGGTAGCGGAGGCTGTGTGGGTTACACACTCAGCAGGCGTTGCCCGAGCTCTCGCCCAGATCCTCACAACCGGTCGATCTGACATCGACGTCTCCGAATGCGATTTATCCCGTTTTGAAGAAGTCCAACTCAATCATGACTACGTTAGCGAGACCGGGCAGCAAAGTTTCAGCGAGATATATGACATTATTCATCCTCTCCAGCAGCGCAAGTCACCGCGGAAGTTGCGTGTCAGTCCTTTCTATGCCCGCCAGTTGGAACTTGGGGCATTTTTCCTCGAGACTGGGGCTTGGGAGCGGCCATGGTGGTATGAAGCAAATAAAGAACTGGTTCAGGCTCTGCCACCGTCATGGAAGCCTGTCGAGAGAGATGCCTGGTCGGCAAGATTCCATTCGCCTATCTCCGCAGCCGAAGCGTGGAAGACTCGGAATGCCGTTGCTATGTTTGATATGACTGCTTTTCATCGATTCGATGTGTCCGGTCCTGGGGCTCTTTACTTGCTTCAGCGGTTAACGACGGGTGATATGACCGCCAAGCCAGGGACGGTTACTTACACTCTTCTTTTAAATGACCATGGTGGAATTCGTGGCGATATATTTGTCCTGCGACTCGACGAGAGCGCGTTCCAGATTGGAGCAAACACTGCAACCGACTTGGCATATCTGAAGAGAGAAGCCCGCATCCAGGAACAGAACACACCAGGTCAATGGACCCAGGTCCGTGATATCACTGGCAGCACATGCTGCATCGGTCTGTGGGGTCCTCGAGCTCGGGATGTCCTCGCCGGAATCAGCACAGCCGACATTTCCAACAAAGGACTTCCCTATCTTAGCCTCAAGAAGACGATCCTCGCCGGTATCCCTGTGACCCTAATCCGCAAATCCTCCGTGGGCGAGCTAGGTTGGGAAATCCAAACCAGCGCCGAATACGGCCAACGACTATGGGACACAATCTGGCAAGCCGGAAAACTGCACGGACTCGTTGCAGGCGGCCGCAGCGCTTTCAACTCCATGCGTCTCGAGAAGGGATACCGAACCTACGGTGTGGATATGACGACAGAGCACAATCCGTTTGAAGCGGGGGTCGCCTATGCCGTGGACGCAAATAAAAAGGACGATTTCGTTGGAAAAGCCGCTTTCCAGCGTCTGTCTAACCAGGTACCTTCTCGGCGACTGCGAGCTTTGATCATCGATGATGGTCGCTCGGTGGTTCTCGGCAAGGAGCCTGTGTTTTATAATGGCAAGGCGGTCGGTTATGTCACTACTGCTGCATTTGGGTACACTATTCGCAAGCCGATTGCGTATGCCTGGCTTCCTGGTGATGTAAACGAGGGTACGACTGTGGAGATTGAGTACTTTGGGAGACGGATTCGAGCAACTATTGTAGCAGAGCCGCTTTATGATCCTGAGATGAATCGTCTTAACCAGGATAGCTTGTCTGCTTCATCTGGGTCTAAAGATTCTTTCAGGTCGCGACTTTGATGGTTACATACATGTTTTTTGAAGGCAGAGTGGAGCAATTGTTTTGCTTTCTGGGCATTTCAATGAATACTTTAGATAGGTGGGAGAGCATTACAATTAAGGCACGTTACGACAACCCCATTTAGCGCCATTTTACCACATATTCCTTTATAAGTCCCTATAAAACATGACGGGATTTACTACCTCTTCATCTTGTGACGTGAAGGTCTACAATTCTCACTGCAGCTAATAATACAAATTACTACCGTGACTTCTCGATCTATGAGTAATGAACAGGCAGCATGTACAGGAGAAATCTAGACTCAAATAAACAGACGGTCCGCATGATGGCGGCCGGACAAGAGCCCTGAAAGGCTAAAAGAAAGATCTATGATACAATACAGACATGACGACAGACACACCACTACCAAGAAGGAGACCATATCAATATTGACCTGAGAGATAACGTGTAGGTTTCAATCAAGCACCAGATGAGGATGAGTCCTCATAGTATGTGGAGCTAAGGGAGCTCATGGGACGCATGTTAGGGTCATCAGGACGTGTGACTATCGTGGCCAGGAGCCCCACCACCAGGTGCAGCAGGATGCGGGAAGTGGTTGTCGGTCTAGATATCTTGTGATGAAAGGGGCTCAACAAGCGGGTGGCAAGACGATTGATGGTAATATTGCAAGTTTTCGCAAGGGCAGATATCATATTTCGGCATGGTGGTGGGATATGGAACCAGTTCCCAGGAAAGGTCCACTTTGAAGTCTTTGAACCTCGATTTGAAAGACTCCACTTCCAGGCGTAGTTTTGAGGTGGTGCTTTCACAAAGGTTTTCGGGGATTTGGCATACAACAGTGCATAGATTAGAAATGGTGTCTGTTTCTAACTCATGGACCAGAGCCGGGAGCCGTAGAGCTTTCCCTTCCTCATATCGTAATGTAAGTCTTTCGAGACAGTCCGGTAGGATAATCTCTCCTTCGTGAACACTACCCAATGAACCAGGCGTGACTATGACTTCCTCCAAGACATCGAAGTATTCGAGAGCAGGGCCTAGCTGTGATCCCCCGTAAAAGTCCAAATCTAAGTACTTCAATGACCAGGTATGCCGGTCTCTCAGTTGGTCTGTAAAAAGGCCATAGTCATCTTCCTGATATGGGGATTCTAGTGTGATTGGACCTCTGAGGGTCAGTCTTTCCAATGCGCGCGGAAATTGAATAATGTACTCGAGAGATGCAGCGGAGATGCGACAGTTGAGAATGAGTAACTCTTTCAGGCTGGCGGCGCAACCAACAGCATGCTCCTCGGAAAATATAGCTTCATAAAAGATAGCACCAGTGATACAGAGCTTTTCCAACTGAGGGAGTGTGAAGATGGATTCGTTGAAGTCGATCGAAGGCTGATGTTGTTCCAAATCGGGAAGGTGTGAATCCGTACCTATATGACCTGTTGGATGTTAAAATCGATCCTTCTCATGGCCGGGCTCAATAGACCGCTTACATGTTCTTAATGCAGGAGTCAAGTGTGTGAGATTGTCCCGTGCAAAATATGTACATACTACCAGATCATTGGCAACATCCTTCAAATTAAAGTCCCTCGAAAGGGGATTGAACCCAAGGCCGAATGGGTCATCTTCTGAGCCAAGAGGATATCCTTGGGATTTCAGCTTCTCCATGATATCTAACAAAGTGGATATTCGCAAGTTGTCGTCATCGCGTGCGAGGTAAATTGCGCTAAGCACTTGGTTTATTGCCCCTTGTGGCGTGTATCGATCACTTGGTCGAAAATCCTTCCTCATGGCTAGATTTTGTAGGTTTTCCAATTTGGGAAGCGCCTTATAGAATGGCTCAGAGTGGTGAGCAAAGTCCTCAAAGCCCATATCATCGGCGTGTCGCACTTCTATGACTAGTGCTGCCAATTCTGGGCAAGTGGACACAGTGTCGGCAAAACTTCGAGCGTTCTCTAGCCCTTTCAGTCGGACAGACCGGTACATAACACGGTTGACTTCCCGATGAAGCCATTGGCACGTCTGTGAAAGCCTGCTGAGATGTTGTGGGTTTTCGTCACAGCGAAGATACTCTATGATCATCAACCAAAGCTCTGGCGGGAATATTGACACTGTGCCGAACATGTTGCTGCGGTATTGAGTAGCCCAGTGGTAGAGATAGGTATCAGTAGTAGACTCAATAAGTATGGGGGATCACGTTGCAAACGCGCCCAGTCATGGATTGCTCCCCCGAAAAATATTAGATAATCACTCGAGTGCGGGTGCCCAGTTGGCCCTACACGCGATACAGTAGGAATAACCTTGCGACTAAGGCAACGTGAGACATTTTCTGCTTATGGCACAATCCTTTATTAACTCGATTGCGTGCCCCGGTATATGTTGTATGCTCGTGACGTTAATATCACCAGTGCTGTGCCGAATCTGGAAAGCGGTATCCCTCAACACGTATACATGTCGTGGTAACTGGTTGTGGCTGCGTACATTGTGCTAACCCTTCAACATCTTCATGGGATTTTTGAAACGTTGATTTATCTAGTCCTTTTACGTCCACCTGCATAGTGTCAAAGTTGGATGTCCATGGCCAATCCAGAATAACGGCAATCTCCATCTGGATCCACATCTAAGGAACTTATCTTTGACCTACTCCGTACATAGTCCGTATTTGACTCCTGTGCACGAAGAGTGGGAAATCGTGACTCATGCATACTTTGAAGGGAATAGGACCGGTGCTTCGTTATATCCAAGATCAGCAAAAGGGGCGAATGTTTGAATGTGCAAAGAGCCTGATTACATTCTATCTGACTATATCCCATGGGGTATATCTGACCTCATACATACCCCCATAACCTATGCGTGTAGTTATAATTAGGTATCTCAATTTTTTATGGGTAAAGATGGAATATCGTCAGTCTAGTTTAGCTTCACATGCACAACGATTATGTATGGACCATGTGCTTGACCATGATATGTTGTTAAAAGACACTTAGATATAACTTGCTAACGCGCACTTGATAGGATAGACATCCATTCGACATCTGATTCATAGCTCTTGCCGGGAGTTTTTCCAGTGTGATCTTGTAAGATGATGGATTACATTTGTATTAACTATCTTGTAGATATGATGTTGATTCAGGCATCACAGTTGTCCGGGATATAGGATCTAGAATGGCTTGGCTATGAAACAGCTAGTCGTACGACGCATACGGAAAATATCCGAACCACGCCTAGACCCCCCGGGGTGGCCTTGGCTCCTGCTAGCTGAGAGGTCTGAGCGTGCCCAGCAGTCCAAGCCATGGGTGAGATACGAGGAGTGGGGTCCATCGATGTCCGTGGCTGGCTGTTTCCTGTCAGACCAAGGCTCTTAGCAGTTCTCGGCACTTGCCTGAACAGGACTTAGGGTCACAGGCTCATCTGATAAGATCGAGTGAGCCTTTTATCTGAGACCTTTATTTTCGCCTCTTAGCTGTTCGGAGACTTTTTCCTTTTCCCACTTCATCTCTCTCAGATAGTTTGATCGAGTCGTGAAATTTCGCTCAACCCTGTCATGGGTTTATTCACGAAGATGAAGGTAGAGTCTAGCCACATCGGCGAAGACTCGGACAAAAACCCCCGCAATGAAGCTATCCCAGTGAATCCCCCTGTGAGCCTACTGGGCCAAGGCAGTCCAGGTGTTCGACGGATCGAGATCGTTACATCGCACTTCCGACTATGGGATCGGGTTGCTCTCTTCCTTGCCATTTTCCTGATCGCTTACGTGTACGGGTTGGATGGAACTGTTCGTTACACATACCAGGTCCGTGTCACCGACTCGCCGCAACCCAATTCTGACGTCAAAGAGTGTCGAGAACAAAATAAGCTGACAGTGGTCATTTTTCATAGCCCTATGCCACGCAAAGTTATGGCCAACATAGTCTTCTTGCGACCATCAATGTTTTGCGAGCTGTCATCGCCGCTGCTGCGCAGGTACGGGCATCGAAAGACGAACGACACATACATATTAGCTAACACTCACCCTCCTCGCAGCCAACTGCTGCTAAGATTGCAGATGTATTTGGCAGAGCGGAAATGATTCTCGTCTCGATCGTCTTTTACACTGTAGGAACTGTTGTGGAGGCATGCGCGACGAATGTCCAGGCTTTCGCAGCAGGTGCTGTGATTTATCAGGTGAGCCATTTCATTATGGACGCATGATATGTTTTTGACTCCGTTTAGATTGGATACACCAGTATTATGCTCTTGGTGGAAGTCCTAATTGCCGATGTGACTTCTAGTCGGTCTCGTCTTCTCTTCTCCTATATCCCGGCCTTGCCGTTCCTCGTGAGTCCCCATACACCCACAGTGAAGAACTTGCGAAAGAAAATACTAATTTGTCCAAGATTAATACGTGGATTAGTGGCAACTTGACTGCTGCAGTTCTCAAGGTCACTTCATGGGAATGGGGCATTGGTATGTTTGCTATCATCTATCCCGTGTGCTCTATTCCTCTTATTGCGGTTCTCTACATTGTCCATCGACGAACGAAAAAGACTGGATCACTCGAGTCCTACAAAAGTTCGCTCCAGTTATTGGGAGGACGGCAACTGGCTGTAGAGCTTTTCTGGCATCTGGACGTCATTGGTATGATTCTCTTGCTTGGTATGTTGGCTTGTATTCTCGTTCCCTTTACTCTCGCCGGAGGCGTGACGGCGCAATGGAAAACTGCCAAAGTGATTGCACCACTTGTGATCGGAATTTTATTGATTCCTGTTTGGATCTGCTGGGAGAGATACTGCAAACACCCAATGCTACCCTTCAAGGTAAGTCGCATACTTGAAGCTATATCCAAAATTGTTGCTGACTCTCATCGGTTGTAGCTATTCAAAGACCGCGCAGTTTGGGGTGCCCTTGGAATCCCGATCATGCTCAACGCTGGTACGTCGGCCACAGCACTATTCTTGATTGAAGGCTAACATCTATCTAGCGTGGTATTTGCAAGGTAACTTCTTATACACGGTGCTTTATGTGAGCTTCGATGAATCTGTCCTCAGTGCGACTCGAATCACCTCTCTTTACAGCTTTGTTTCTGTTATAACGGGTGTTATTCTCGGACTCATCGTTATCAAAGTTCGCCAATTAAAGCCTTTCATCGTGGCCGGAACCTTGCTCTTCATGGTGGCTTTTGGAATCCTCATTTACTTCCGAGGTGGCAGCTCGGGCTCCACTCATTCCGGAGTCATTGGCGCACAGATTTTACTGGGTATTGGTAAGTGGTTGTCCGGGATTTCTCGTTGATTTGAATATGACTGACAAAAGGTATCAGCTGGTGGAATGTTCCCTTACCCAGCTCAAGCCAGTATCCAGGTTGCGTCAAAGCATGAACGTGAGTATTATTTATAATCGAACATAGCCTACGATGGAAAGAAGTCAATTGCTGACAGCTAAATAGACGTTGCTGTGATAACCGGACTATATCTCGCATCGTACAACGTGGGCAGCGCATTGGGAAACACAATTTCTGGCGTCATCTGGAACCAAGTCCTGCCCTCCGAACTAAACCGCAGACTGGCCAATCCAACCCTCGCTGCGTATGTCTACGCCCAGCCGCTTGCATTTGCAGACGCCAATCCTGTGGGAACTCCCGACCGAGACAATGTCATTCTCGCCTATCAGAAGGCACAGCGTCTTTTGTGCATCACGGGTATTTGTTTGACAGTCCCTTTGATTGCATTCGCTCTGGTGATTCGCAACCCAACCCTCACAAAGGAACAGAGTCTGGCCAAGGCCGAGGAGGATAGTATTGACTCGGGCGCCTCTCAGTCGTGAAGCCTGAGTAGTTGAGGACAATCCTGAAAATCAAGTTGGCCTAATAAGGAGTGGGAAAGCAGAAATATTTTGGTTCGCTGTATGCAATATTGGGTGAATAAGCAGAAGAATAATCGCAAAATTATGTTCGTCTTTGAGTGAAGACTTGATTTCATTTGGCTGAATCATTCAGTTATAGAGCAGGAACATGAATTTGACCCATCATGTTACTATTTGACATAAAGAATATTCTAATATCTGATTTCAGTCGTTCGCATTACACTATTAAGATGCAATTAATGCACTTAATGCACTATCCCTGCAAATCTCAACTGACCTTCCCGACTCTCCGAGTTGAAATAATGGATGCTATTGAATGACCTCCAGTCTAAGTCTTCCGCATGGGATCTTACTACATGTATATGTCCTATTCGAAAGAGTCGATCAATCATAGTTTGTTCTCGTTGAGCCCATTCAGAGGTAGAGTCAACTTGTGAAACCCCCTTGCTGCCTTTCTGACGCCGGTGGCTTCGTTCTTCACCGAGGTAGTATTCCGTATGCACACAACCACAAACAGCTTAGACCTGATGGCTGCGTACTGGCTGGTGATATATCATAGGCCAACACTGCAAAGACCCGTCTAAAACATCCGTCTGGCGAGTCCTGAATGGCCCCAGCAAATGCCGATCCCAATGGATGGAGTAGAAGTGGGCACTTCATCCATGCACCACCCCAAGCCCAAGCAAAGTCTGCGTCGAGAGGTAAAAGGTGCAGGGGGCCAATGTGCAGAGGAGCCGAATCTATTTAAATTAAATCACGCCACTGGGCTCCATAGTATGCCCATCTTCTCTCACGCCTATTGCAGCCCACTGCACTTAAGCTTAATTCTCCTCCAGCCCATCATATACGTATATTATATTCAAGACATTCACCATGACCATTACCACATCTACCCTCGAGAACAGCAATAAAACACCTCAGCGACTCCTCCTCATTAGTGTACCCCGTACCGCATCGAATCTCCTCCTGAAAATCCTCAACCTCCCCAACCAACCGAACGCCTTGACCAACGAAAGAGGCGGCTATTTCTTCCACGACGCCTTCGAGGCATCCGGCAAGGATGGTCGCTTACAAAAGCCTCTCTGCCAATGGACAGCAGACCAAAAGAACCAGACCACAGCCGCCCTCCAACAAGCCGTCGACAAACTCGAAAGCTATACCACCCGAGCCCATACCGAGAACAAAATCATGTTCACCAAAGAACATGCTTTCTGGTTCCTGAACCCAGGCGCGTTCACAAGCACTGTGAATGGCCCCGAGAAACCCGAGGATCTGGAACAGTTCCAGGTATCGGTGCCAGAATGCTACGGGCCGTCGCGGACATTCTCCCCGAACAACCAGACCGTTCTGCCAGATGAATACCTGCGCACGTGGCGGCTTGCTTTCATCATCCGTCACCCGGCGCTAGCCTGGCCATCGATGTATCGTGCGATGCAGAAACTGTCCGAGGCAGGGTTTACGGACGAAGATGGTGTCAAGGGAGTCTCGGTGGTGAATATGAGCTTTAAATGGACGCGGAAGCTGTTTGACTGGTGTATCGAGCAGTCAGATAGATCTGTTACGCCGTTGGTCATTGATGCAAACGATGTGATTCGGAATCCAGACGTTGTGGCTAAGTTTTGTGAGAACGCTGGGTTGGATATTGCATCTATGCAGTATGAGTGGACTGAAGCGAGAAATAAGTCTGATAGCTCGAAGCCTCCCTGTGTCGATGTTGGTGGTACGCAGGTGCTGGATTTGAAGCAGCAAGGTCATTCTATCTTTTTGTCGACGTTGCAGGAGTCGACTGGTGTTGTTAAAGATAAGGCGCCGGTGTTGGTTGATATTGATGCTGAAGTTGCTAAGTGGCGTGTGGAGTTTGGGGATGAGGCTGCTGGACTGATTGAGAAGGCAACGCGGGATGCTTTGCCTGATTATGAGTATTTGAGGGCGCATAGGGTTGTTGTATAATTCATCTGACAAATTTGGTTGATTGAAGGGATGAATTCTATATACCCATTGGGACTTTTTGTGGATTGGAAATGTAGGTATGAGAATTGAGAGAAAGTAGTGGAGTTTTTCTCTTAGTGACATATATATCTGAGTCTCGGACTGAGGAGAGCGTCAGGGACTTTGGAAGAAGAATAATTGAGATATGGCCAGCATACTAGAAACCTCCTAAGCCGTTAGCACGTTATATGGACCGAAAGGTTTCCATTGTAAGAAGAAAGGTGAATCTGCATTGAATATCCATGGCCTGGCTGGTAAGTCTCACCCAAGGAGTCACTAAGGCCAGCAACGCTTGAACTAGGATGTAGCATTGGTAGGTCATGATATATCATGAGACAGTGAGGACAAACAAAAGCTCATCATCATTCGTTAGATGAGACCTAATTGCTATCTTCACTGACTTAGGTGCCTTCTCTCTTCGTCTCCCTGTTTGCTGGTCTTCATAAAGCTATATAAGCGCCTTAACGATAGTAGATGCTTCCTAGCTCTTACACTACTTCCAGAAATAGCGAGGGAACGGCTCATGTGGTTAATATTCTCCACGTCTGGCCATCGTCATCGTTACCCGTCCATCTCTTACATCGTAGCATCGCCCGGGAAATTTGGAGTTTGCACTACTTGATCTTGATCAAAATCCCTCTTCCTCATACCTCTTTGTCAGATCTCATATCCTGCAAGTATCACCTATCTAATGCTAGGGAGAACTTGCACGATCACGTTGACTAACTCTCGTCACAGCGATATATCTTGGAGATATTCGCACTTAGATCGGCATCTAGGAAGATAGAGGAAGAAAATCTCCATCATCACCTCCAACCTGGACACCATGTCGTCCACTACTACCGGCGATGAAGGATGCAATACACCAACTTGCAGCATGTGTGATGAAATATCAATGGAAAATCTATCTTTGACTGATTGGGATGAGCAACGCTCTCGGAATTGTCCTTGGGGATGGAGGTGCTTTATCATTCGTGATCCTACAACAAAGCTTGTCATTGGGCTTCATGAAGGCGAATTGAAACTTATGTCTGAACATACTGGGCATAAATGCGGTCTTTATTGGGACTGTGTTCAGTTAGACAACAAGTTCCTGGGCTTTCGGAATGTTGTTTCTGGTACCTACATAGAGTGTCAGAAGAATGGGGAATATCACAATGGGAAGAATCGCTCCACTTGGAAATTCGTCGCCAGCTCTCAGGGTTGCAGTCCGGAAAAATCCTTCTGCGTGAGGGAACATCCAAATGGCGGCCATATCCTCCTTGTGAGTGATGGGAACCGGCTATGGCCGATGGTGATCGATAAAGACACAGAACTAAGGACAGGCCATCTAATAGATGAAGGAGTTGCGTGGGAATTCACTCAGGTTGGACCTATTCCTTGAAATCTATTAGTTACTCTGACTCTTCCAAATATTGCTCAATGAATCTATCAGGAATCACCACTCAGGCACTGCTCTAATCCCTCGCATATATACCGCTTGTTTAGATCTACCAGCTACAAATAACAGCGGAGGCATTCGAGAAAATCGGCTAGCTCGTTGACGAATCTATCGCCATTCTCTTCATTTTATATTAGTCTGTAATTCTATATTGCCCCTATGAGAGGATTATGAGTGTTGCCTAGAACATCCAGCACATCTACGAGCATCAAGAGCACCAGCGCTAAAATTCTAGCGCAGACTAAGGCATAGTGCTCCTTAGGCAGCCATGTTCTCTCGGCCATTGGAGTATCAAATTCAAGAATAACCGGGCCATTCACTCTCCAAGATCGCTTAAGACAGGGCTTCGAAGACCCCTGGGAGCAATTCTAGGGATATCCGAAAAATAATGGAAGAAGAGTTCATGCTGGGTATACGGACAAGCTAACAACTATTTCTCTAAAGAAGCAGCCAACAAGGCCTACATTATCTAACCTCGCAAGCGGGAGAGACCAGGGAACCAGTGTGACATCCGATCCAGCCGTGGTGCAAAATTGATTCGTAAAGGCCCAAATGTGGAGTCGTGACACCAATGGCCTCAATAAGTCCCAACGCAGCTCAGTTTTTATAGCACTTGATTGAATTCGCCTTGTCCTCCATGCCCGACGGGAGGTCATACCACTCTGAGGTGTTGATATCGGGCGTGCTATCACCCCTGCACTTTATTGAACTACACAGAAGCGCAAGTCAGCCGGGATCTCTGATCGGAGGATAGAGGGAAGCAAACATACGACCAGAAGCGACAGCGGTATCCAGAAGGGATTTGAATGGAGTTGACTTTGTTTTTGAGGGTAGTACCGATTAAGGTATCTGTGCACAATTGTTGGATTAGTTTTCATCGCGGCGGTTCAATAGAATTGAAGGTTTGATGGACTGAAATGGAGCAAAGGATGGGATGGGTTGTTGTGAATGTGGGCACGAACGGCATGTATTTTGAATCCGGACTCTGATATCAGCACAGTCTTCCCATTTTCTCTTCGAGCAGATTTCCACATCGACGTATTCGTTCTTCGCATCTTGGCTGCGAGCACTGAGCTCAAGAGGGTCGGCGGTAGGCGCGGCGGTGGTGATGTCTATAGCAGTGGCAAGCAGTAGGAGGGCTGGAGTAAAACGCATGGCGAGTAGTTTGGACTGAAAGTAAAGATAGAAAATCACAGTGTTATGGGTTCACTTCAGGCATGAATTTCCCTATTTCCAGAGCAAGGGACTGCCTTTTATACCCACGTCTGGCCCCCAAAAGTAATATAACACACATATGAACCTCCCCAACACTACGGAGTCGAAAGACACACAAGCAAAGCAGATACTAACCAGTATTGGCTGATCTACTAGCCTAAGGACTGACTAGCCGACGAGTGGCTCCAGTGCAACCATTAGCGGCTTTCAGGGACCTGGAGCCAAAAAGTTGATGCCTAGGGATGTAGGCTTTTGATGGCGAAGATTGGAACTTATCTCGCTTGTGAGAATATGGAGGACTAGATTGTATGGGCATGACTCGCAGTGAGGGTTAATTGCTGTAAGGGAGCTTTATCACCAGGGCGCCTCGGGACAGAAGATGGCTGGGGTTGAGTTGGCCGCTGTCATGTCGAAGCTGCTACAACGCCACCACATCGACGCCGTACCTCTTGCTGGGAAGCAGCCGAGGGGTATCGAGCAGACGCTAGAAGAGGTTGTGAATGGTGGTATTATGAGGATGTCTTTGATCATGGGCGGAATTTATGATGCGGGCAAGAACAGAGACATCCCGATGCGATTGTCTCGGTGACATTAAGAGCCAACGCACGTATATCCCTTCCATCGGGGGGCTTTGGTGCATTCAATGGCGTCTTTTGAGGCGATTTATGTATTCTTGTGTTGAAATTCTGGATTTTTCAAGTAGAAAGACTGGCAATCTCTTTTTAGTCAGCGGCCATTCCAATAGTTGAAACAACGTGAGTGAATACAACAGCGAATAAGACGACGAATGGTTTCTCGAGGGAGGACTGGCTGGCAATCTACCGATCAGAGGGAGCCAAATGTATCCTGTGTCCCAATGGGTGGTTGGGCCAGCTTGAAGATCGTTGAAAGACAACCCAATGCGCCATCAAAACCAACTCAAAAGCAGAACAGAAAGCAATACACGATAAAGCCACAAGTATTACAATAATTAGCAGAAGAGGACAATAATAAAATTCTCCAGGAATCTGTAATATCGGTAAAATGCAATTCTATGTCAATGATGCGGCTTTACGAACCTGATTCTCCAGTTGTCATGATTATTCGGCGCCTGCGCCGATGGCTGACTGTTTTTCTAATTTCATTATACATCTTCAAACTCCTCGTCATCCTCGTCGGATTCCTCAGCTTCTTTCTTAACCTCAGCCTCAAGCTTAACCTCAGGATCAGGCTTGATCGCAGGGTCGACCTTAATTTTCTTTGCCGCGGGTCCATCATCGGCAGGAATAGATGGGGTCCCAACAGAGGACTGAGGAGCGCTGGAAGCCGACTCAAGCTCACGCTTGATACCGACACCCCCAAAGGATGTGGTGGGGGCACTTGTAGGGCCACCAGCCATGGAGGGTGTAGCTGGTCCGCTGGGAGCGGAAATACCTTCGACATCCTCGAAGTCCTCTTCGTCAGAATCGTCTTCCGCACTGCTCGCGTCTGCTTGGGCCTGCAGTGCCTTCTCGCGCTCCATTTCTGCGTAGTATGCGGCGACCTTGTCGTCCAGGGCATCCACACTCGGTTTCTGGTCTTCATCCGCAAGCTCAGACTTCACCGCAGTACCCGTCTCGATCTTGGTCTGGGAACTGCCAACCTGGGCTGCATTGACTGTAGAATGCGTGTGCCATACAGGGAGGGCGTTTTGCTTCTCAACCGCTGCTTTACGAGCGGCCTCGTCTGCCACTTCAGCGGCACTCTTCTCCTCACTCGAGGTGAGTGAAATCTCCAGTGCAGCTGCGTCTGTCTTGGCATTGGGACGCGTGATATCCTGTGCCTTGGGTGGAACAGCGATTGCTGCACGGACTGGGTGTGTGTTCTGGTTCCTGATAACCTCCACCTTGTGATCCCACGCAGTTTCAAAGTCATTCGGAGGAATTTCGACCGAATCAATTTGCTTTAGCAATTTGAGCATATTGTCAAGCTGTGCCATAAGCTTGCTGTTTTTCTCATGGCCCGTACGATCAATCCCTTCCACGCCTTTAACATCCTCCGTGCGCTCCAGGACAGCGCCGCAATTTTGGCATTCGAATCCTTCTTCTCCAACTAGACTCAGTACGTCCAGTTCGGTCCACTCAGATTTGCATCGTACACAAATGTACTCTTTGCGCTCCTCGCTCGGTGTGTATTGGGCTTTAATAGTGGCGGTCAACTTGGAGACTTTGAATTTGATTGCATCGACAACCGGGTGGAGAGGGATATAATAGTATTCGCGGTTGACTGGACGGGTGGATCCATCACGAATTTCGGCGCGTGTGCTCCTATAGTCATCACAGAACTAGGTCAGCTTTGTTTGATTTTTTTTTTCCTCGCACTGCTGCGCGCGGCGCATCAGACAGAAATGCCATACACTCCGATCAAGCGATCCTCTCGAAGCCTAGCGCAAAGCTTGCGTAGATCTTTCTGTTGCATTCCCATCAAGAATGCTAGATCCTCAGCGTGAAGGCTGTAGCTGGTCAGCATATTGATGTTTCAAAAGGAAGCTATCGTCATACACTGAATGCAGGAAGAGCGCATCGACTACCAGAATGTGACGAGTCTCATAGAAGGCCCTTGCCACAGTCCGGATGAGAGTCTTTGAAAGATCCATGGTTGTAAGAGCGTTGGAGCAAAAAAATTGGTTCAAGAGAAAATCCGATAAGCATTCGACCGTGGCGCAAGGCGTTCAGTCGCAAGGTTCAGACAGTGGACAGGATGAGCATGTGCTTGGATCACAAGAGACAGCTAAGTGAGTGAAGAAGTCCGAGTCTAAATATGAAAGGAGCGCGCTGGAGCGACAGGCAGCGCTGAGCTAGTGAGTGAACAATGGGCGTTGTTAATTCAGATTCAAGCCCTCGGAGCTTCATGTCACATGCAAAGTTCACTCCGCCTCAGGCAGCACACTTGCCATATCCGGTTAGTCAATCTACCCGCACGCTAGGCCGTTCTCGGACTAGTACGGCGATGATGGAAAAGATGAATGGCGCGGAGACGAGGGCAAAATTCCCTAAATCGTTGATTTCATGCGGGCCTCGATCGTTTACCAGCGGAACCTTTTTGGGATCGTCACTGCACCCAAGTGTTCAACCTCAACTCGCTCACTACTCCGGAATACTCGGAGCCCCACCGTTAGCCGTCAGTTCTACAGATCTTTCTGGCGCGACCCAGCTGCACCTCGCGCGGAGCTATCAGAGATCTTCCAACGCATACAATGGCCGACAACCAAGGAACAGGAGGCGGAGGTAGTGAAAGGCGTAAGAACCGCGATATGGGGCGAGCGGCATGGAGGTACGCTACACCAATGATAATATCCCCGTTCTTCGCATTGTCAGCTAACTAATTCAGTCGTCAAGCGGTAGACAAGCGAAAGCGCAATGAAGATAAGGCTGAAGCCAAGCGTCGCAAGGTTGAGAATGGAGAAGACGTCAATTTGCCGATCTACGCGACCCAATTCTCCAAAGAGGAGATCGAAGGCGAGGAGCGCCGCCCTAAGAAGAAGGTCGCTCTTCTCATGGGATACTCGGGCACTGGATACTTTGGAATGCAATTGTATGTCTCTTTTTGCCAATTGAGTGCTATTGTCTTGTGCTGACGAGGTATGTTATAGGAACGAGCAACAGCGCACCATCGAAGGTGACCTGTTCACAGCCCTCGTAAACGTCGGCGCAATCTCCAAAGCGAACGCAGCCGATCCCAAGAAGTCATCCTTCGTCCGTTGTGCTCGCACAGACAAAGGTGTCCACGCAGCCGGCAATGTCGTCTCACTGAAGATGATCGTCGAAGATGCAGATATCGTTGAGAAGATCAATGCCCAGCTCAGCCCTCAAATTCGTGTCTGGGGCTACGAAGTGACCAGCAAAAGTTTCAGCTGCTACCAGATGTGTGATTCCCGCGTTTACGAATATTTGATGCCAAGCCACTGTCTTCTGCCCCCTCACCCAAGCACCTATCTTGGACGTAAAATCGTCGAGTTTGCCGATAAGGCAGGCGAGTTGGATGCCGTCAAAGCTCGACAGGAAGAGGTCGCCACCTACTGGCAAGACGTCGACGAGAAGTATATCAAGCCAATCCTGGAAGGTCTGCCTGAAGATATCCGCACGATCGTCGAAAAATCCATATTCTCCGACGACTCCCGCGATGCTCTCCAGCCCTCAGACGAGAACAAGGAAGTCTCTACCCCCGCCGAAGAACCCGCACCACAAGAGACTAGTGAACAACCTGCTACCGAAGAACCGGCACCCGCAGACCAGGAGCCGAAGCCCTTCGTCATGGAACCCCGCCAAAAGGCCATCCTTGACGCCATCAAAGCCATCAAAGCAGCCTATCTGACCGCGAAACGAGCCTACCGCGCACCCGCATCCCGCATCGCCCGCCTGCAAGAATGTCTCGAACGCTACGAAGGCACAAAGAACTTCCACAACTATACGATCCAGAAAACACACAACGATCCCTCAGCGAAGCGTCACATCAAATCCTTCAAGGTCAACACCACGCCGATTATCATCGACGGCACAGAATGGCTCAGCCTGAAGGTCCACGGTCAGAGTTTCATGATGCACCAGATCCGAAAGATGGTCGCGATGGCTACAATGGTTGTCCGTTCGGGCTGCCACCCAGACCGTATCACGGAGACCTACGGTCCTGATCGTATTGCTATTCCCAAAGCCCCTGGTCTGGGTCTCTTACTCGAGCGGCCGATTTTCGACTCCTACAACAACAAAGCAGCTGGTCTTGACCGTCTGCCTATCAATTTCGGGAAATTCGAGAAGGAGATGAATGAATTCAAGCAGCGGGAGATCTATGATCGGATTTTCCGGGAGGAGGAACAGAGTGCTGGGTATGTTATTCCCAATCTTGATTTCGATCTTTATTGAGATCGTGATACTAACTTTTCATACAGCTTTGGCTCTTTCTTCAACCATATCGATCACTTCCCTGCTGGTTACTTCCTTTATGTTACCTCAGGCGGTATTCCAGCAGCCAAGCTCGCAACCGCTGCTGGCGCCGGCAATACCAAAGTTGGTAACAAATCTCGTGACGCTCCACAAGACCAGCGAGATGCACTTGCTGCCGTGGAGGTTGGGTCAGACGATGAAGGCGAGGCTCCAGCGGGCGGAGAGGAAGAGGGTTGAACAAAATATTAACCTAAATGAACAATGATATTCATGAAGATCTTTCAAAATGCAATCTACACAAGGATCAGATTGTCAAGAGCTAGAAACGCTCGAATTTCTATTCTGAGAAATAGACAGCGAAATGCATGTAGATGACCTGTCCATCCAAAGTCACCATTGATAGAAATAAAATCCTACTCCAGTTCCTCATGACCAAAGGTACGCCCGAAAAAAAAAAAAAAAAAAAAAAAACCACAATCATTGCAAGCGCAAAAACAAAATAGAACAGCAAGAGGTCGTAAAATCCGTTAGGTGTGAGAATTGGAATCATAGGCACACATCGCGCTCGCTGAAACCTGTGACGCCGAACGCATGGGAAAGAGACATATGAAAGGAGTAGATTGCAATAGAAAAGTCCGTTGGTTAGGGAGATCCAGGAACTCCTGTCTCGGAATCTGTTGCGATCGCAGAGTTTGCCTCCCATTCCTCGACGGATACCACGTCTGATTCTAAGGGTATCGGGTTAGATGATGTTTCAGGGCCATTCACGAGGGATAGGAATCGAAGCCTACCGGAAGGCGGGTCGTCAGGGACTTCTTCGAGAGACATCGCTCTGAGCAGTGAGAGGAGTTCTGAGGGGATCATGTTAGTGGTGCTGGAGAAAGAAATCACTTCAGGCAAGTGACTCAAACTTACCTTTGGCCTGCAGGCCGTCGTCCTGGTCCGTCTCATCTCCGTAAAAGGTGGCTAGACAGTAGTTCATCACTGGGGCGATGTTTTCAAGCAATCTTCCGTCGACATGATTGATTTGATCATTCAAGAACGAAAGTTTCAGTCGATGGATACAACTTCTCAGAAGCCGACGGCCAATGTTATGGCGCCGTGCTTGAGTAGTAGACTTTTGTTGCTCGAGCGTCTGTAATTCATCATTGGGTAGGTCACCATCTTGCTCAATGTCTGCTGCATCGGTTTCCGTGTTCTCCTCTTTGAAGAGCTTCTCTTCGAGGACATTGTGCATGTTCCGACGAACAGTCTCATCCTTATAAATGAGCAAGGTCGGGGCCCAGATGGGAATGCTTTCTAGAACAAGTTCTTTGAAAGTAGCCGGTTCCATGTTCAGGCGCTCGTTGGTGCCATGGCAGAGATGCATGAAGAAGTCGATGTGCTCCTGGCCGCCGCTGTTGTTGATGCTTTCGACTCCCTTTGCAATAAACTCAATCATACCAACGACTCGTCGCTCGTCTGGGCAACGTTGGCAGAACGTTGCGGCTGCACCCAGAAAAGGTGCGCATTGGACAGCAGGGTCGATTCTCACGCCACTTTCCAGTGTTGATTGGATGGAATTCAATAAATCTGTCTCAGGCTCACCATCTAGCAATATTCCAATGAGAACGCGGATGACCGGGGACCTGGCAAGATTATCGTGGTTCACAACCTTCACCAAGAGGGACAAAGAACCTTCACTGTCAGTTGGCTTGATGAGGTCCATTTCCCTGGTGTTAGTTGAGAACCTCCCGTTAAGAATTCGCCTCTGTCCACCAACAGGGGTAGGGCGAAGCGAAAGGTCAACATGTCTGAAAAAGACCAGGCACAATGACAGCAAAGACTGATAGCTGAAACGGCGTCCCTTGCTCAATAGGCGCGCATAATTTGGATGTCGATTGCGCAGTCTCTTGGTATCCGCTTCATCAATCCAGAGAATTTCCAAACAGACGGCAAAATACCCTTGCTCAAGTAAGATCTGAATGACACTTGCGCCGTAATTGGAAAGTTTGAGAAGGAAGCCAAAGTAGTCCTCCCAAACCCGCATAGTGCATTGTACATCGGACCACAGGCTTGACAGCATGACCACAATGCGTTGAATGAGATCTTCAAATCGGTCGCACCACAATATCCGTTCATCTTCGTTGAAATCCGGCTCTGTGGATATCAAGTGGAGCTGCTTCAAGGCATGATTGATCAGCATAATTGCTTTGCTTCGGATTTCCGGCTGCTGCGTCTTGATCATGATGTTGTAAAGTGAGGTTGGCCGGTCAACAACCCACTCAAGGGTGGATTGAGCAGCGTTGGGACTCTTGTCAATCATGTCAATGAGTTCACCGTAAAGTTCTTGGTGTCCTTGAAGATCCTTGGTACGAGTAACTAATTGCTCAATGGTGTCCATCCCAATATCGATAGCCAACGATTCCGCTCTTATTTTATCGGCATTCTCGAGAGCCATGTTGGGCCATCGCTGGAGTAACTTGTGCACAAAAAATGCGTATTGTGGATCCAGAAGACAGTAGACCCGAATAAGCAACTCGTTGTCCATGGCAATATAATTCTGGGTTGTGATTGACACCGGAACGTGTACAGGAACATCAGGCTTCGTTGGCTTGAAGACCTCTTTGGATTTCTCAATGGTAGACACACGTTGGTAGAACAACATGTATGCATTCCACACTTTGCTCTTTGGGGCCCCGTTGATATACTGCATGGTCTCACTCGGGCCACCGAAACAGTGGCTTGCGATCAAAGAAGGGTCGAATTTGGAGACATCAGAATCATTGAACTCGACCCAAGAAGCTTCCCCGCCGGACGAGGGACGTTGGAGGGTATATGAGTAATAATGACCTGATTCGGCTGTACCGGTGTGCACAAGAACGCCAACCAATTCAAACATATCCGGAGCGATGGTTTGCTCGGGGTCAGAAAGGTGCTCAACTGTGTAGGGTGACATATCGATGTGGTGAGGGAATTGGAATTCATCGTTAATCTTGCTTCTCAGCATATGTACCATGTCAAAGTCAAAACGCTTCAGGTGGAAGATCAGGTTGTCAGGAACATCTTTCAGACAAGCACTAAATCGGAGCGTCGAAGTCAGAATATACTTCCATGCCACCATCTTATTGTCACTTACCGCTTAACAGCGTCAACATGCCGTCCACATGAGGTACAGGAGTATTTGTTATCTGAAGTTTCGTTAAAGACAAACACTTGCCGGGGACGCATGAATTCACTTACCTCCCTGCATAACCTCACCCGCCACGTAAGCCCGCAGACTGTCTTCCAGTGTCGCTTTTCCTTTGATCTCACACTGGATCGCAGAGAATGGCTCAAGTCGTTCAGAGATATGATCGCACTCCATTGACTTGATTTGCTGAACAAGCTGCCCTCCATAAAAAGACCGGAACCTCTTTTTCTTCTCACCATCGAGAACCTGGGCCTCCCAGCGATCAAAGAGCAGGTTGTAAAACTCATCGACATCCATCTGGACAGTGACGTCGATCTCCTCGTTGTCGTATGTAAGAATGCTTTTCACGAATTCTGAGGGTTCGATACCCTTGCTCCAAGTCTCTTGCATCCATGTGAACAGCCGTTGGGTTTCATAGAGAAGCTTTTGTGAAATGCGATCAGTAATGGGCAGATTGAGGATAAAATCCCGGAAATCAATATTCATGAAGAGCTGAGTCATGAGCGAATTGAGATAGCAAGTGTTCGAGAGGTTCTTCAGCCCCGCATAGCCTTCCGGCGACCGAAGCATTAACGATCGGTCAAAGGCAGATTCGAGATAGAGAGAGTCTAGCGTCAAGGTTAGTTGATCAGAATCTAATCTCAGGAACCATAAATGGGTGTAGCGAACCTCGGGGAACATTTGAGCCGAGCAGTTCCAAAATTCGACAATAAGTCTGATCGCTCTGCTTGCACAACAAGAGAACCACGCTGTAAAGGCTGGAGCGGGTGTAGCTGTGCATCACTGGAACATGAGGGACTACGTGCTCCGCCGTCTCAGGCGAAAAGTCCGGGAACAGGTACTGGTTGAAGATGTCCTCGGCAATAGTCCTAGAGTCTTGTTAGATCTGCAAGCACACTTGATCAGATTAAGAAATGAGACGTACAGTGTATTCAAAGTGACACCTGCAGCGTTGGCCAACTCAAGGCACCATTCTAACAGTGCCGAAAAGCCAATCACCAGATTATCTGCAGGTTCACGTCCAACAAACTAAAGATCATCAGTAAACAAGTTCTGTTTGGATCTTTTTCTATGGGAATCAAATCACCTCTTGTGTTTGGTGAGTGAGCATCACTCCACTCCACTGTCGGAGATACTCATTGAAGACCACGTCCCCAGGCGACTTTTGCGCAATAGTGCGGAATAGCCATAGAGAAGCATTGAAGAATTCTTCGGATCGAGGGACATGTTCGATAGTCTTGGGGATGACCTGTAAAATGGAAGACCAAAGAGTGGCAAGCATGTCAATCCGATTTGGGTTCTCTGCAACAGAAGATTCCACATCAATCTTTTTCATTGACAGCTTAAATGGCTTCAAGGGACCGCAAACTATCTTCAAACGTTCGAGAATATCCGTTCGAATTGATTTGCGTGTTTCTTCCAGGAGAAGTGATAGGATCAACTCATCAAACTTGGCGTGTTGCTTAACGGCATTCCAGACATTGATGTCGCGCAATGAACCCTCGACTAGAACTGCGAAAGAATTGCAAATCAGGCCTTGGGCACATGTACCAGCTCGTGGATCAGTAGGACTCGCGCGACCAATCTCAAGCAATTCAAGAATGCGTGGGACCAAGGACTGTGGGTTGGCGATGAGGACAGCTTCATCATCTTCGGGTCGATACACTAGAATACAATTAGCCGAGATATTCCAATGGAACAATGATCGACATTTAACATACCAGATATAGCTAGCAGAAGGCATTCGATGGCTCTCGTAGCTAGCAGAACAGTTATGGAGTTACTGGAGAAGGAACCAAACAGTTCATCTGATGTCAAGAATGCAACCAAAACTTGAACGCTGTGAGAGACAAAGCCTTGATCTGGAGGCATCTGCAGCGGTCGTTAGCACAAAAAACATTCAAGACAATAAAGGATCAAACTCACTTCTACAGCCTCCTCGTGAAGACACATTGACAATGTGCTCAACGAGTACAGAGCCTTGAAGGGCCGCTGCAATGGGAACATGTCTGTCTCGGAATTGTTCTTCGACCGAACGAGTTCTAGCGCTTGCGCCTGAGGCGGGAAGACAACCAAGAAATCAATGATCTGCAGATTATCAGCACCAGCCTTCAAAGAAAATGAAAACCCCTAATGATCCCTTACCTGCCGAGCTAAGTCATCCTTCAGATCCAGCAAATCATATAGCTCGTCGAAGTGTTGAAGTACTTCGTTGTCCACTGCTGTCAGGGACTGACGTCTCCCAGCCCAGGTGACTTCGTGGGCATCCGGGGCTTTTCGAAGAATGAGCAAACCGGAAGAGAGCTTCAGGTTCTGCACGAGGGCCTCTGGGTCTTGAAGTAACTCGACTTTCTGTCCACCAAGTATAGCAGTAAATTTGGAAAATCGACTGAGTTGAACGAGCATTTCTACAAGCTCCGAAGCCGTGGAAAGACCACCAATGCGGACAGAGCAGATTTTTGATGTGGTAGTGCCATTGAAACATTGGTATCTGAATTCAACGGGATCGCCCTTCAGAGGACGTTCCGGGAGGGTAGGCGGAGAGCCACGAGGGGAGCTGTACTGCGGTCTAGTTCGCAGTCCATGCAGCAGTTGACGAAGGAAATGCAGAGAACGACTGAACGTGAGCTCATCGGTCCCAGTCTCATTGTTGGATTTGTCAATATCCATGGCGACGTCGCCATCGGTTCTTTCATTGCATGGCGATTTCAACGCGGCAGCGGCGGATTTCAGTTGGTCAACACATTGCTTGACAAGGGCAATGTGGGTAGCGTCAATGGCCGATCGGGGGGATCTGCGAACAACGCCGTGGTCCAAATAGCTATCGATGGCAAACTTGATAGCCTCGGCTTCAATTGACTGCGGGGGTGCCGTGAGGATGAGATGCCAGATTCGATCGATCCCAGGAATGGTTATGACTTCATTCTCCCCGACAATGGAAGGGGGCTTGATTCGGATCTCGTAGTGGACGGACTGTTGTGTGAACCACAATACCTCACGAGAGTAATCCTTAGGAAGCACTTCGGGTAGATACTCATGAATGCAACGTTCAAGGAACGGGTTTTCTTTGCTGGTATGATTTGTGAGATCAACCATCATTTTCCAAATCACTTGACGCTCGTCAGGAGCCAAGTTCTGAGACATGAGAACCTCCTTCCATAGAGTGTTACCGAGATCAGGAGTGATGGTTTCCGGGGCCAGATCAATGAGACGGCGCATGATTTCCACTCTCGAGGAAAGGCCGTGCTTTGAAGACGGGTCCTTGGGTTTGGCGTGGTCTTCACTGACGAAATGGTGGAGTTCAATTATCACCAAGCGCGTCAAGTCGAAATCGTTAGCAAGTTTCCAGATCTCTCGTGCATCGTCGCGAGGCACGAGTGCATTCAACACTTGTATGCTACCTGCAGCACATTCATTCATCTCCCCAATGTCTTGGATGCAGCGCTCATATGTTTCTGCCTTATCAGTTTCGTTGAGTCCGGCCTTGATGAACTGAGCCAGCTGCTCGCTTCCAAATCCCTGCATGAGCTCCTTTTGTTCAGCGGGTAGGTCCTTCGCGCCAGAACTCTCACGAATGAGGCGGACACAAAGCTTCAGTGGAATAGAGTCAACTTGCTCCCCGCTGGACAGGTTGCGATAGTCACGATCGTTGTCCGATTGGCTCTCGCGCATACGAGGCACCAATTGCTCACAGAAATCGATGATGCGGCTGTCAAACCGATCTAGAGGGAGCTCAAGCACCTTTGAGCACACGTAAAGCAACGCCTTGGATCTGAATGGATGCATGGCAAAGGTCCGTGCGAGCATGGCGATAACCTCAGATACAGTCCGATCATCCTGACTCTCAGTGACCGTTTTCCAGATGACATCAGTGTCATGGTCAGTGTATTTGCCGGTCACAATTAAAAAGCCGAAGATGTTACTGCTGCGGCTAATCAACTGTGGGTGGGAGTCAATGCCCACAAGATATTCAAGGACCTTGTTTCGCCGAAGGTATTCCACCATGTACTTCAAGAACGGCATCTCATTCCCATCCCGGTTGTGAGATATGTTCTGACTCCAGATGCTAATCAGATCTGACTGCATCGCTTCCACGCCGTGAACGCGGAGCTCCATTCGACCTTCCATAATCTGCCTTTTCAGGCTGTCGAATTTCCATGTCCAAATAACACAGAGTGCGGCTTGTTCTGCATCAGCTTCCTCGGGTACCTGAACCGATAGCTCCTGGGCCAGTTGGAGTAAGAACTCCGGGTAACCGAGGCAAAGAAACTTGTAACTGCGGAAAATCGGGCCCAACAGACTATCACTCATTTCGCCAGTGGCCAATTGCGATTTCTTTCCCACAAAGATCTGATAGGCTTTGTCAATTGCTCTAATCGTTTCGTAAAAAGGCTGCAGTCTGTTCGAATCGGTAGGCGTGTCAACTAAAGAATCAGAACCACGATTCTCATCGATATCCGTGTCACGTTCAAATAGCGATAGCATATTGGTCAGAGGGCCCGGAAGCATGGCGAGGAGTTTCGGGCACTTCGGAAGCAACGAAACAAGCTTGGAGGCGTATTGCATCATTGCGCTCGACGCATCGAATGGAGGAGCTAAGATCTTAGCTTTGATTCGAGCAGAAAACGCATGTGCGTCGATGCAAAATTGGCTCTCCAGGACCTGGAAAAGAGGGATCTGGATGCCATGGATGATCCAGGGCAAGCTGTGGAGATATCTCCCAGAGGCGGTCGTCGAAATATCGATGTCTTCGTCCCCCTCCACGCCAGTGAGGAACGCGATGTCCAAGCGAACGAGATGAACGACAATAAGAGCATAATCCAGAAGATATTCTTCGAAAAGATCTGAGATGTCCTCAATGTCATCCAATTGTAATTCTAGTTGTCTGCGCAACAGACGATCCAGGATGCAGGGCAGATATCCCCAGAATTCCATATCAGCCATGACTTCCTCTATTGTAAGTCGATCGATGTCGCGCACACATGTTGTCAGCCACTTTTTGACTGCAATCAGGGCTGTCGCTTCGCGTGGGTGTCCTATCCATTGAATTAGTATGTAGCCCGGTCTCGCTGCCGGTTCCTTGCTTACCAAGTTCAAGCATGTCCCCAATCACCTTGAAATTCTCTCGAGTGGTCATATCGGGATCTACTTTGGGAAATGACTCGGAGAGAGGTGTCACATCTTGTATCTCAATGATCTCCGGTTCGTCTTGTTCCCGCACCACTTGACCCAGCGGCATCCAGTTGGATGTTTTCGGATCTTGATCAATATCTTCGGGTTCAGCAACTTCAATTTTTGGGCTTCGGGGGTCGAGGGTGAGGAGGGAAGGGAAATAACGTTAGGAGTGGTATCGGTGTGTTGTTGAAGCTCCAGGTCGTTGTCTGGAAGCTCAGGGTCTGAGGGAAGGAGGGAGGGAGTCATGGCAGGAGATTTTGTGTTGATGGTGACTCTGCTGGCCGGATTGCCAGAATCCGACGTTTGATCCATGTCTGAAGCAGGTGCGATGGAGGCAGTACGCGAGGTTCCTTCCAGAGACAAGGTTGGGCTCACGCGGCTTCCAGAGTCGAGACGCGGACGTTTCCGGGTCGCCTGAGGATCAAGATCCTCCATGAAGTCGCTAATGAATGGAGACTCTTCGATTAAGGGTGTGTGAGGTGGGGTGTAAGAGCTATCTGGCGGGGGTTCAGCCATGTCATTTTCCGCGCGTAGGAGATCCGAGGCCGTTGAAATGACGCGCAAACCGGAGGCTGTACAAGAAGGAATGTGTGGGAAAAGAAGGGAGGTTAAAATTCAAGAGAAGAGATTGATTGGGAGAGAGGGAGAGGTAAAGGAAAGTCTCAGAAAAGATAGAGCGGTCGACAGCTTTTTTGGGGGACGCGCCAGGATCAGTGACGTTGTTCGGGTGGAGAGCGACAGGGCGATTCTGAACAAAGCACTACCAAGCTTCTGTTGCGCCCATTTGCTGTGACTGATTATTGTGCCATTTGATTGCCCATTGCAAAGAACAAAACAAAAAAAAAAGAATCATACACTGAACACCTAGCAGGTTGCTCGCAAACGCTACTGCCTACCTCAATGGTCTAAGTACTTCGTGCTCTCTCCGTACAGTGAACGGCCAAATGCACAGCCCCTTATGCGGCCCTGTGCATCGAGTCTGGACTCTTGGCATTCGTTCTCGAGCTTCTGTTTGATCTCGTCAAAAAATCAAGTTGGAGCAGCTAGCAGTTTCATCGACTATCATGATCTATATCGTGGTCTGGACCAGCCGTGCATAGCGTTAATGTAACACGCAGTATCTTTGACCTTCAGGCTTTCAGACATGCAGATCACTAGCAACTGCGATGTCGCTCCAATACCCATAAGCTTGACAGAGCCAACTACTCTGTCATTGTTGTTTCAATCCGGCGGATAATCCGAGCTGGGTTCCCAGCTGCCACATGGAAAGCAGGCACATCCTACAAACAAAGTCAGGAACGCTTATACAGCGCCGTCTATGAAAGACTGCATACCTTTGTAACCACACTTCCAGCCCCAATTGTTGCCCCTTTGCCAATGGTGACGCCTGGAAGAACAATCACATTCCCACCGAGCCAGCAGTCCTCTCCGATCACAATTGGCTTGCCACTCTCTGGGCCTTCAAGGCCATTTCGCAGGGCGGGATCCAGCGGATGATACCCAGAGAACAAGTTCACATTAGGACCAAACATAGTGCGGGCTCCCACGGTGATCGGACAGGTGTCAATGAAGACACAGTTGAAGTTGACAAAGACCCCAGCTCCAAGCTTCACGTTGAACCCGTAGTCGATTTTCACCGGAGCTTCAACCCAGGGTTCTTGTGCAAAAAGAGCCTCATCGGCAACAGGGTCATCCAATTTTGGTGGCAGAGGCGTTTTGTCCTCGGTGATACTGTATGAGGCTTTAGCACTCAATTATATACTTGTAGTGCCAGATCGAAGTAAATCAACCGGTGGACTCCATGCTACTTACTCTCTCCACATCTCAACCAGACGCCGACGAGGGACCTCCTCCGAGCTATTAAAGCGATTACAAGCCCATTTACAGCGCGTCCGAGCCGCAATCAAGTCTGGTGTGAAGGCACGGTAGAGCTCCCCGCGGAGCATCTTCTCTCTCTCAGTGGGCTGCGACATGGTTACGACAGAGCTAGCGGTCGCATATGAAAACAGGAAGAAGAAATAGCGGACTCCAGACGCTACTATGTCTCCTCATATTTAAGCCCGAGATCTGAGAGCCCCTCGAGCTAATACCATGTGGGGTTCTCGGGGGTTGGATGTGTCATGTCGGGCAAAGGCGCCGATGCAAAACAATACAACTCGCTTGAGATTGTTCTCAAACAATGAAACCGACACTCGTCCACTGACAACACCCACTATTTAAATCTCGCCAATCCCTCGAAAATGTGCCCATCGTCGTGAAACCTCACAAGATCAAAGGCTTGCTCACCTTCCAATCCCTAATTTCTTTTGACAATGTCCGTATCCGCAACAACCTCTGGCGCAGACCCAAACGTTTCCAACTTCATACACACCCTCAAACCAATGCACAACCGCACCGCCAGCAACGTCTCGTCCTCCTCCGAAGCCTCGAGCGATGCTCCTAACGTCGATACCGCAATCTACCCAGATGGCAAGATGTCACTGGCGGGGATCTCGCTGCGTGCCATGCTCCTCGGAACCAGTTTCGGGCTGACAGCCAGCTTGACGCTGTTCCTGAGCACCGTACACGAGACCCCACTCTGGCGCGTGCCCTTCTTCATCGCCTCCCTGAGCCTATTCCACTTCTTGGAGTTCTACGTGACGGCACGTTACAACACACGGTACGCGACTGTGTCCGCGTTCCTGCTGTCGTCAAATGGATGGGCATACAATGTTGCACACGGGTCTGCCGTTGTAGAGTGTCTTGTGTCGCATATTTTCTGGCCTGGACAGACTGTTGCTACGCGGATGCTCAGTGTGACGGAACCGTTCTTCGGAAGCTCGGTTTCGTTATTGCTGGTTGGGGGATTTGTGCTTCTGTTGATCGGACAGGTCATTCGGACGATTGCAATGGCGCAGGCTGCTAGTAACTTCAACCACCATGTGCAGAGTCGGCATCAGGAGGGCCATGTTCTGGTCAAGACTGGTTTATATCAGTATCTGCGGCATCCAAGCTACTTTGGCTTCTTCTGGTGGGGTCTAGGAACGCAGCTTATCCTAGGTAATATCGTCTGCTTTGTTGGCTATGCCTTGGTGCTGTGGCGGTTCTTCTCATCCCGTATCAAGCGTAAGTTATCTACGGTTCTTGTGTGCGGATTTTTTTTACTGATTGATTCGTTTATTTACAGGCGAGGAAGCTTACTTGATATCCTTCTTTGGCGATGAGTATATCGAATACCGCAAGACCACCCCAGTGGGTATTCCGGGCATTTAATGTCGGGGATTATAGCAAAAATAGATTTGTTTGTAGACACTACGATATGCGAATAAACATAGCGCTAGGCGCGATCCATTGGGAATATAGTATATCGTACCCCACCCGTAGGCGTAAGAGCTTCAATCCTTCAAGCTATCTACATTACATACTGGCATCATTATAGCTTACTTTCCGGTGCCACGCCTCCGACCGCGCCACTCATGTAAGGTCCATTTTCATCTGAGTCGCCTGGGGTGGGCTCAGAACCGAAAAGGACAAGCTCACGTCCACCTTGAGAGCTCCACCAAGTGACACAGCAGTGAGCTCGATCAACGTCCATTTCGCCGCCGGCAAGGGCTTCCCAGAAGCGCTCAATACAAGTATGTCGCATATGACGGTCGGAGATTGTGTTAATCAATTGCGCCGCTAGGGGAAGCCATTCTTTTAGGTCGTTCACTTGGAGGAATGAGAGGGAATCAAGGAGAGCAAGCGTCAGAACGGCTTGTTCGGAGACAGGTGGACTCTGGCTCATATCCGGATTTGGGCCCTGCGGCGGTAGTGGTGTCGACGAGGCGTTCAAAGCACGGTCGTGAACAACCTCCAGCAAGATAGAGGGTAGAAGGGGTTGGGTATTTGCTAAGGGTGAAGGGGGTGCTGTAATTTGGATGACAGTCTTGAAAGCAAGACGGAATTGACGCGCGGAAAGGTTATTGGGGAAAACCTATGTATAGTTAGAGGCTATTTCCATATATCAGCGACGGTATAACTCACAGTGAAAAGGGTTTCAATATAGAAAGGCAGATGTTTGGCAGCCAAATCCGAATTGTGGGGGATGGCGAAGACGACAAGCACTAGACTGTGGGCAGCCTCGAAGATTTCCAATAAGAGGCTGTTGGCACCTGCTGCAAGATACGGAAAAGCCGCAGATAAAAGTAGTTCTTCGTTTGTCTCTGACGACAGAACAAGAGGGAAATGCTCTGCCACATTCAAGAAGAAAAGATCCAAACATCTTTCGACTGGATGCGCGGGTATTTGCCCAATTTCACTTGGCTTGATGCTTCGCAGGAAGTTCTCGGCAAGAACGGGATATTGCGAGAGGATATCTATGGCTGCCAGCAGCACAAACGTCTGCTGCGAGGAGGCATTCTGTCCAATTCGAGAAGAAATGAAATACATGTTGCGAAGGATGTGAAGGCATTGCATTGAAAGGTATGGTGCGCCTAGAGGGAGCATGGTTAGCACATAAAAAACATAGCAACTTGGTTGTTACTTACTACTGCCAGCAGCAAGAACCGGGTCATTGATAGTTCTCCCCAGGACGGCCCGAAGGGTAATAACTACCGAATACAAGCAATTTCGCAACGTTTTCCAAAGTGCAGGAAGTGTAATTTCCCGGGACTCTGCATCAAGAAACTCGGCTTCCTCCGCAACGTCGATCTCAGACAACTTATTTTGCCGCCACTGGACCATAAGTGTCCGAACGAAGTCCGCAAGGTAATCAACCGTCTGCGCGACGATCCTCGGATCCCGGACATTATCCACGGAATGCGCGATAAGACGGGACAAAGGACCTAGGGTTGAAACAAGCGGACGAGCAGCTATTGCTGACACAATACCAAATGTCGGGGAGTTGGATGACCAGCGGAACTGCTTTCCGGGGGCCTCAACAACATCCTGATCAATGGATCCCAAGAAATAACCACCTGCGAGGCCTTCAGAGGACAAATATGCCGACTGAATCATCGTGGGAAGCAAACGATCATAATCAAACTTGCTCCTCTCAAGATCCGACAAGAGCTCGAAGGTATAGTTCAAAACCATAGTAATACATTGTCCATCGATGCCGATCTCGGAGTCCAGCTCCTCCAGCGCCAATTGCGTTGCTCTCGCAAGAGCTGACTCAAGCTTTACCCGAATATGCCGTGGTAAGCCTTGTCGGTTCTGTCCTTCGAATCCCATAAGGATACCGCCGAGCAAAAGCATGTGCCTCCACCGCGGGGACTTATCATCGGCACCCTCAGCGACCGCCTTAACCCACGCCTCGCACTCAATTTTCCTGTTTCGTCCGTATGGTATTCGGGGCTCCTCATGACTATCATTCTGCAAGACGGCGATAGCGGCGGTATTAAAGATGCTGAGGATCTTGCGACACGATTGGAGGTCAACGGGGTGACTCCAAAGCGAAGGCGCAGCGAGTAGTTGTGAAGATAGCAGTGTCAAATTCAAGGGATTTCCCAGCATTGACAGAAAGCTGGTAGCTGTCGGAAGAAGACTAAAATCGATATGCCGTTAGCCTGACGTTGGCCTTAGTGATCGGATTGGGGATATGGGCACCGACCCAGAGGCATCTTGAAAGCTGGAAGTCGCCTGCAGCGACCGCAACAGAGTAGCCAATGAGCGTTCCGTGGCCATTGGGGATGAGACTAGAGGAATAGGGATAATCCCAGACAAGAAGCTCTACATCGCTCAGGGAGTGAGATGATCAACCGCGGAGAACCCCAGATCAACCGAGGTCCGGGTGTAGCGCCAAACAGTGCAAACAAGCATCGTCATCCCCTTGGAGCCTTCCAGACTTGGCTTGTTTTTGTTATACGCATTAGCTACAACCCAAAGTGACTGTCCTCATTTATATGCCATGCTTCGATGATTGATTCTTGCTGCAGCTGATCGGGTGCAGCTACTCTCCATGGCCAACAACCGAGTTCCGATCAACTACGAAGTACCTGCTTTCCCGTCATTATATGATCCCTTGCCGGCGCATCACGAGCAATCATACTACCTATACTACACAAAGGACATATGGCGCTTCACATTCTACTGGACATTGGTTTTTTATGCCGTGACACATCTTACAGTCGCTGGGTGTGCAGTATTGACCCATTTTCGTAACTGGAAGGTGATATGGGTTGTACCATTGGTGTACAGCTTTGTTGCAGCCCTGGAAGCACTTATAGCTGGAAGTATAGTTGGTGTTGTGTAAGTATATCACTTGAAATCTAGCCTCCTCGCAAGGATTGGGTAGCTGACGTATTCGAGGTGAATAGTCTCGGCGCGGTGTATGAAGCAGGCAACTTCAGAATGTCAACTTGGCTGCCGATGGTATGGGGTGGTGTCAATGTGATGGTGCTTATTGTCACCAGCTTCCCCATGCAAGGTGGGCTTTGAATAATAATCTTACCCACGACCAACCTTCGACCATTTCGCACATAGTCACTCCCTTGTCTATATCGATATAACAAACATGGATTTGCGGCTACATCCAATCAACCTACACATCCAGAGATAATAATTGCTGTTGAGACTTTCGAAACGCCTGGAATTTCATATGATACAGCTGGGATTGAATATCATCTCAAATAACGCCGTTGCCCCGCGTGAAAGTATGTAGCCATGCTATGTCCTTTACGCCAATGCCAAGCCTGTAATGCGCAATTCAATCAAATATCCATTTTCATCACTGTCTCCGATTGCCATCAGGCATACCACCACCATGCAAACCAGGCAAGCCACCAAATCCACCGGGGAAGCCTGGGTTATTCGCCAAAGCTTGGAGGTTGAGATTCTGCGGCATGGGGAAGCCCTGGAGTTGTTTCTGCAATTGTGCTAGATCCATATTCATCGGAGGGGCTCCGGCCATACCCTGCGGCATGGGGAAGCCATGCATTCCAGGTGTGGGGGTGTTCGACTGTGATGGGGGGTGCGTAGACATGAGAGCAGCTAAACGGCCAGGATCCATCCCACCCATAGCACCATCCAGTCCTGGCTGGCGAGGCTGGGCGCTGCCAATGCCAGGTAGCAAGCCTGGAACATCGGTCTGAGGGCCGGCCGGCGGCGCACTTTGAATACCTGGCAGAGCGGGGCCGCCTGGTCGTCGTTGGTCGACCAAGCTGTCGGCCTCATCTTGCATTTCTTGCTCCTCTTCTTCACGCATTTGTTTCCGGCCGAAGCCGCGGTTCCACGTTCCCTGGGCTTCTGCGGCCTCCTCCCCGATGTGGAATCGGTCTTTCATGTAGCTAGTCTCCCCGGGTCGAGTCCGTGACCAGAATCGAGTGAAGTTATCTTTAGATCCAGAAGCCAAGATATGGCCCAATGGGTGCCAGTCTAGTGACCAAATCGTAGCACCGTGCGCGTATTGCACTCGGTGTGCCGGGTAGATCACTTGGGGCGGAGTATTGGTCGGGTCCGGGCTATCGTATGGAGCCACGGTAGGAATCTGGCCAGCCGGGAGGTTGGGCTCATCCAGTAGATAATGATAGAGAGAACCATCCTCGGCACCAGTCGAGATCAAGTTACTGTGAATAGGATGCCATGTCAAAGAAGAAACCGGTTTTTCATGGCCTCGCAAAATGCAGATATCGCGCATCATACGTAGATCAAATACTCTCGCGGTCTGGTCGCGCGAAGAAGTTGCAAGAAGATTGTTGTTCACCCGCGAGAATCGGGTGGATGTGACAGTGTTTTTATGGCTATGAAGGGTCGTCAAGCAGCGGCCAGTGCGAGGGTCCCAGAACTTGACCTGGTGGTCTTTTGATCCAGAAACGATCAAGCCCTTGGTTGGGTGCCAGTCGCAGGACTTGACATCCCAGTTGTGTCCAGTCAATGTCGCATCGGCCGTTCGGGTTGCGAAGTCGAAAATCTTGAGTGTGGTGTCATCGGACGCTGAAAGGAACTTGGTATCGCTCGGTGCCCAAGCCAAATCACGAACTGCATCATGATGTGCGTCATCAATTGTTTCAACATTGTTAAAGTTAGGTCGCCAGTATTTGATGTCGCCTCTTTGTCCACCGGAGACCAGCCAGTCCTGGCTATGGGCCCAAGCCAAGGAGGTGACACCGGCTTGGATTTGATCGTAGTGTGCCTGGAACAAACAGCCAGCGCATGTTAGCAAGAACATAATCCGTGGACGGTGGGAAAACGCACATCCATGACCGTCTCAAAGTTGAACGCTGTTCCATTCCAAAGCATAAACTCTCCCGTATGACCGCCGGTCAACAGCCGCCTTCCTTCAGGAGTCCATCGTACTACAACAATGGGTTTCTTTGATTTTCCGATCGATTGGTGTAGGTGCCGCACAGGAATTGTATCGACGGCGGAGTATGGTCGCGCCATCGGGGGAAGAACCTGTCGCGAGTCAGTCTCTTTGTCCGCAAGAAATTTCGGTCGACACATACATCGACGGTAAAGCTGGCACTTGGTCGCTCAGTCTCCAATCGGTGTCCTCCTTTGTATCGCGGTTGCCGTGTTCGCATCCATTGTACCATCGAAGAGCCATAATCCGTGACAAGACCTGAGAGAGATGATGATCAGTCAGGCTCTGAACAAACAGAAGCTGAAGCAATCAAGTGCATTCAAAACAAAAAAGACATACGGGGTCTGCGAGGTCCAACTGGACCATCGAAATTCTTTCCAAATCGCCCTGGGCCATCGCCTCCATGTTCCTCGTAGTAGGCCATCGCGACCAGTCGATAAGCTGTAAAGGATCAAAGCTGTCAGGCTGCCAACATGAGGATCAAAATCAATTGGAGCGATTCTGAATACTGGGCCAGACCAGTGTCAAAGCCTCAAATAATAAAAATGAGATGCGGAGAGAGTTGAAGCTCTTGGGGCGCAGGATCCGTCCCTTGACCACCTGTGACGCTGATTGGCCGTGCGGCTTTATCTGCGAGCTTGCGCTATGATGTCTCCCCCGCCGTGTCCCAGTATTAAACCATGAACATTAGACTGTTCTGGCCCTTTTTGTCTTGTGTCCTTTGCATCTTTCCTCCTCTCTGACCCTTTTGACTGTCATTATCTCTGACCCTGATTGTTCGTTGCGACACCAACCCACTGTCATCCGTCGTTGCTCCGGTTTGAACGGAGCTCGACACAAGACACTTTGATTCTCCCGCCAAGGTCGGATGGGCGTTAAAATGTCTTCTCACATAGAAGCTATTACGAGCGCTCGCGAGGTATCGCAGCCCAATTCCACAAATGGAACCGTTCAAGAGGGAGTCGAGGTCTCCCCGCCATCCATATCAACAGCAAAGAAACGCAGTAAATATCGTCATGTAGCTGCATACCACTCAGAAGCACGCCATTCCAGCCTTAGTCGCGAGGCTGAAGTGATGCCTAACTTCCTGGGGTTCAGAAATCTTATGGTTTTGGTATTGGGTAAGGATCACCCTGGGAATGACGATGTATGGAAGAGTGGCTAATATTCCTACAGTGGCAATGAACCTACGATTGATTATTGAGAACTTTATGAAAGTGCGTGACCAACCTGCCCAGTTACTCTGTCAATTTCATCACTAATACACAGTACAGTATGGTGTGCTAATCTGTATCAAATGCCATGATTATCGCAAGCAAGATCTCGTGCTCGGGTCCATACTATTTGCCTCGGTACCCTGTCATTTGCTCGTGGCATATATTATTGAGCTATCAGCTGCCAGGGCAGCCAAGCAGACAGTGGGCCGCCAGAAGAAGACAGAGAAAGAAAAAGAACATGATCAGAAGGTCTTCCAGTCAACGTGGCCGTACACAGCATTTTTGCACACCCTGAATGCCACATTGTGCCTTGCGGTAACCAGTTTCGTGGTGTACTTTTACATCCACCATCCCGGTATTGGGACAATATGCGAGCTGCATGCGATCATTGTGTGGCTAAAGAATTGCTCTTACGCTTTCACGAACCGAGATCTCCGTCTCGCGCTGCTCAACCCCTCTGCAGACCCAGGTTTACCTGAAATATACTCCTCATGCCCCTATCCGAGGAATATCACCATCAATAACCTGGCATACTTCTGGCTTGCGCCGACGCTAGTTTACCAACCTGTCTATCCGCGCACACCATCTATCCGGTGGTCGTTTGTCGCAAAGCGCCTTTCAGAGTTCGTGGTCCTGGCAATGTTCATCTGGCTTTTATCCGCGCAATATGCTGCGCCGGTATTGCGTAACTCGATTGATAAAATCGCAATCATGGACATCGCCTCCATCCTGGAACGGGTTATGAAGCTGTCCACTATCTCACTAATTATTTGGCTTGCCGGGTTCTTCGCAGGGTTCCAGGCGCTATTGAATGCCTTGGCCGAGGTTATGCGTTTTGGAGACCGCGAATTCTATACCGACTGGTGGAACAGCTCCAGTTTGGGTGCCTATTGGCGATCTTGGAATCGCCCTGTTTATCTGTTCATGAAGAGACATGTCTTCTCCCCCCTTGTGGGTCGTGGATGGAGTCCCCTAGCTGCAAGTGTAGTGGTTTTCACACTCTCTGCCGTGCTTCACGAAATGCTCGTGGGAATCCCCACACATAACCTCATTGGTAATTTCCTACACCCTTATTACAGCTCACATACTAATCATGTCCAGGTGTGGCATTCTTTGGAATGATGTTTCAACTGCCCCTAATGACTCTCACCGCGCCATTGGATAATATGCGCGGCCCCCAAGGCAGGGTGATCGGAAACTGTATCTTCTGGGTCAGCTTTTGTCTGGTTGGACAGCCACTTGGAGCTCTCCTGTACTTCTTTGCTTGGCAAGCTAAGTATGGCAGCGTGAGTAAGATAGCTCCCAGCGTGGCAGGATGAACTCAACATCGAATAATGGGCATCCGGTCTATGGCACGTTCCTTGACATATACTGGATCGTATTGCTCTCCATGCACATATCAATGTGGGATCAATGCTAGACAGCATCCTTGTTTAATATGACTGACTGGTTACTCTACCTCTTTCCTTCACTGTGAATTTCAATCAGTTTGTTGTTGGGACCTAGGTGGCATTATGGGTCGTGAAAGAAAGATAGGCCGAAGAACGTATGATTTAGTAATTAAGAAAGGCCAACTAGGCCACATCTCAAATACAACCCCTGTTTAAACAGAATGGGCGTTGGTCCCCGGGAGAAACGGCCGAATTTGGTGAAACGGCTAAATTAGTTGCACCGACGGGAGCTCGGAACCTGTCCTCCCCGATACTTAATTGTGTCCATATAAAAGAGCTTCCCCAGATTCAAAACAATCAACAATCCACTACTTTGCATCATCTCAAATCCTCAAATCTCTCATCATGGTCGCAATCACTCTTCCTGAGAACTATGGGTACGTGCAGTTACTCCTATATCAACCTCGGACCCTTGTGCCAAGGCTAATGGTTTTTCCAGCGCTGTCATTGCCGTCGCACTAGGCGCCATCCCAGTCCTGGCTTACATTCATGGCGCTATCACCACCAGCCTGCGTAAGGAGGCTAAGATGCCCTACCCCCACAGCTATGCTTCAATCGAGCAGTGCAAGGAAAACGTGCGTATTACTTCCCAGCCTTGACGGGCGGCCTCGGCAAATTCCCAAAATCGATAGTTGCATACGATGTACTACGTATGTGTCAAGTGGCGAGAGACATTCACTGAACTTATTATATAGCCCAAAGCCGAGCAATTCAACTGCGCCCAGCGTGCGCACGCCAATTTCTCCGAGAATGCCCCACAGACCATGCTCTTCATCCTGGTCGCCGGACTGATGCACCCCAACTACGCCACTGCTTTGGGCGCCTCCTGGGTTTTCTTCCGCACTCTGTTCATGTACGGCTATGTGTACTCGGGCAAGCCCCAGGGCCAGGGTCGCTACATGGGAATCTTCTGCTGGCTTTCGCAAGGTGCTCTGTGGGGATTGTCTGTTTTCGGTGTGGGCCGCAGTCTGCTGGCCTAGGAGCTTGAAGCGGCAGAATTTTGGTCTCTTACAACCCTCAAAGCGCAGGCGTTCTTTCAAATATTATACCGCAATTGATGATACATTCTCATATCCAGTAATGAATGTCAACTGCTCTCGTACATACTAAGATGAGCCCCGATTAAGTGGGTGCTGCGGGTCCTCGGCAGAAAAAGTTCCCCGGTCTTCGGTCGTCGACTCGACGAAGTTTGTCTTGTCGATTACTCTGCTCTTGGACCTCTAGAGAACTTTTCATTCCTGAGACATTTGCCATCTAGCTTACATTCTTCTTGCTCAACCCTCAGAAGTATACCCACATCTTGCTATATACGCAACTACCTACATCTTCACCCCCACCAACCCCGCCATGTCGTCCAAGTCGCAATTGACCTATGGCGCCCGCGCCCAATCGCACCCTAACCCCCTTGCACGCAAGCTCTTCCAAGTCGCTGAAGAAAAGAAGAGCAATGTGACCGTCTCCGCCGACGTGACCACCACAAAGGAGCTCCTGGACCTCGCCGACCGTACGTGGACCTGCACCCTCCGATGAAACAGCCCACTAACACCTATCTCCAGGCCTGGGCCCTTACATCGCCGTGATCAAAACTCACATCGACATCCTCTCCGACTTCAGCCAAGAAACAATCGATGGCCTGAACGCACTAGCGGCCAAGCACAACTTCCTGATCTTCGAAGATCGCAAGTTCATCGATATCGGCAACACAGTCCAAAAGCAATACCACAATGGCACCCTGCGCATCTCCGAATGGGCCCACATCATCAATTGCTCCATCCTGCCAGGTGAGGGCATCGTCGAGGCCCTCGCGCAAACCGCCCAGGCCTCGGACTTCCCTTATGGCTCCGAGCGTGGCCTCCTCATCCTCGCCGAGATGACCTCCAAGGGCTCTCTTGCAACAGGCGCCTACACCTCCGCCTCCGTCGATATCGCCCGCAAGTACCCCAGCTTCGTGCTGGGCTTTGTCTCGACCCGGTCATTGGGCGAGGTCGAGTCCACAGAGGCGCCCGCGCAGGACGAGGACTTTGTCGTTTTCACCACGGGTGTCAACCTCTCGTCCAAGGGCGACAAGCTCGGACAGCAGTACCAGACACCGCAGTCGGCTGTGGGGCGCGGTGCAGACTTTATCATCTCTGGCCGCGGCATCTATGCCGCTGCGGACCCTGTCGAGGCCGCTAAGCAGTACCAGCAGCAAGGGTGGGAGGCGTATCTGGCTCGCGTGGCTGGGCAATAGAGCGATCCCATCCCTCAATCTCCTATATGTATATGCGTGATGATGCACAATGAAAATTCTATATTTGATGGCGTGGCTAGATAAACTTCTTGCGGCTTGTTTTCTGACATCAGGGTCGTGCATTGTTCACGAGTCCACGAGTCTCTATGTAAGGGATGTCCCACAGGTGCCTGCGACGCAAGGGGATAGCAAGACCTCGTAGATCGGTGAATATCCGATCGTGGGTTTCGGGGGTTTGAGAGTTCCCACCATGCAGGTGCTCTCTGTAAGCCGCGGGTTTCAGCTCGTCTCGATCTTCGGTGAGATCTGCAACGATTCCTCGGGAAGCTGTGTAGATGTACACCGGTGAACTCCGTATACCACGGAGCTTCGGAGTGCAGAAGTCAGGCTATAAGGCTGATCAAAAGCCTTCTCCCACCTTGGCAACTGCATTGGCAAAGATAAGAGTGGCCACTGTACTTTTGGGTTCAGATCCATCTTCAATTCTACGATATCCCCATATCCCATATAAGTCTTGACGTAATTCCCCCGATCTCCCCCACATCTCGCACACTCCACAATGAGCCGCTTCGAGCTATTCCGACACACCGACAAGTTGGAACTCGCAGCACAATGACTTGATGCCCAGCAGATGCCCAGCAAATGCCCAGGCTCCCTCAATGCCGATCCATCCCCTCACCCCCTCTCTCCAGCGCCCAATAAGACACCTTGCAACGCCGCCAACCCCAGATGATCGGCCTCTTATCGTGGAGAGACCCACTGAATGGTGCCGCGTTGCTGCCCGTGCTGTGTTGCTTGATAGGAGGAGACGAGGCTCCATCTAACTCCAAAGATAACCATGGGCATGTGAGGTGAAACTATCCGGTTTTATGCGCCTAACCGAACCCTCAATTGGGGGTAGCGTTGGCCTACCTTGTATATACTCCGTAGCTGCCGGTCGTGCGGAGTTCTCACCGTTGTTCGTTTTTCGACTTATTTAGCTGTGCCCGCCCAGCTGTCTTTTCTTTTTCGTCTTATACATTATTTCCTTGCTCTTTCGTAGTTACTTTGTTTGACTTCGTGGGGATTGCATTTTATATTGCTCGACTTGGTTGACTGGGGCTGATCTATATTGTTCTTGTACTCCCCATCCTCCACCCCGGAAGCATGGCTTCAGAAGAAAAGGATTCCAGAATGTCCTCCGGCATTGACAACGGCATTGATGTTGAGAAATCTAAATATGTGGATCCAAAGATGGAGAAGCATTCGCACGATGCCGACGAGGCTATGAAGGCTATTTCTGCTCTTCAGGGTGAAACCATTGAGCTGGATGAAGCTACAAACCGCCGTTTGTTAAGTATTATTGATTGGCATATGATGCCCATCATGTGTTTGGTTTATGGAATGAATTATCTGGATAGTATGTGCATACCTTTCCTCGTTTTTGTCGCCACACAACGGAAGGATTTTATATTTGATCTCAATTACCTTGCTATTCTGGCTTGTGTGCAAGTACGATACTGATGTTTGGTGTGAATTATAGAGACCACTCTCTCGTATGCCAATGTCATGGGTATTAAAGATGATCTCAATCTCAAGGGAGATCAATACCAGTGGCTCGCGAGTTTGTTCTACTTCGGTATGTTTCATTCTTTTTCTTTTCCTGTCTTGGTTTGGTTTTTGGCCCGAGAGCATTGAATCTCATGGCTCTTGCGGATAGGTTATCTCGCTTGGGAATACCCAACCAACCGCCTCCTCCAGCGTCTGCCACTGGGGAAATATTCTGCAGCTTGTATCTTGATCTGGGGGGTGATTCTCTGCTGTTTCGCCGCTGTGAAGAACTATTCCGGCGCCATTGCCATCCGCTTTATGCTTGGTGTATTTGAAGCAGGCGTCACCCCGGGCTTTGCACTTTTGACCTCCCAGGTATGAACATCGTCCCTACCCTGTCCAAAGCATCAAGCTTGTAAGCTATAACCCAGCTGACCTCCCACCGTTGCCCACAGTGGTACACAAAACGAGAGCAAGGTAGCCGCGTCAACATCTGGTTCAGCTTCAATGGTGTGGGCCAGATCTTCGGCGGAGTTGTTGCCTACGGCATCGCCGCCGGCACCGAGAAGCACGGGTCCGCCATCGACCCGTGGAAGATTGTTTTCCTCGTCACCGGTCTGCTCACTGTCTGCCTGGGGCTGGTCTTCCTCTGGATTGTGCCGGACAGTCAACTCAACGCGCGCTGGCTGAGCGAAGAAGATCGGGTTCTAGCCATTGCACGTGTCCGCGTTAACCAACAGGGCATTGGAAACAAGCACTTCAAGATGTATCAGGTCAAGGAGACACTATTGGATCCCATGACGTGGGCGTTCTTCTTTTTTGCCATTATTGCCAGTATCCCGAATGGTGGTATCTCGAATTTCTTCAATGAATTGGTATGTTCATGATAATGATAACGTGCTATTGGAGGATCGTTGTCTCTGATGCCAACGCATGCTGACTTGACCATTCCAGATTAAAGGATTCGGCTATGAGGGCAAGGACAGTCTGATCCTGGGTGTCCCCGGTGGCGCTGTGGAGATCGTTGCGCTATTGCTCAATGGCTATGTGGGACATATCACGGACCAGCGCATCCTTGCCAGCTTGGGTGGGCTGGTCTCTGCCATCGTGGGGATGGTGCTCATTGTGGCGCTGCCTCTATCAAATAATGTCGGTCGCTTGATCGGCTACTATCTCACACAAGCCAGCCCAACCCCTTTTGTGGCACTGTTGTCGCTCATTTCGTCCAATATTGCCGGATACACCAAGAAGACGACCGTGGCAGCGTTGTACCTGATTGGATATTGTGTTGGCAATATCGTTGGTGAGGACTCCGTGCAGATGCGATAAACCGCACGGAAAATGGCTGACACATCTCCAGGCCCACAAACCTTCCGCCCCGAAGACGAACCCCGCTACGTCCCCGCCGAAGTGACCATTATCGTCTGCTGGGGCGTGTGTATCCTCCTGCTGGTCGGGATCTGGATGTGGTACCGTCGGGAGAATAAGAAGAAGATCCTGTTTACTGCCCGCCCGGAATATGTGAGACGGGAGAATCAAGAGTGCGTTTCCCCCCCCGCTGTCGTTTAGACTTCTGACTGTGTTTGCAGGTGGCTCGATCTCACCGATCGGGAGAATCCCGAGTTCCACTATTCTCTTTGAAGGGGACTTAAGAAGGGTTATTATTCGCTGAATTCATTGTTTTTGGGGATCTGCCCTTGTTTCCCCGTACAACGTAAATTCTCGTTGAGACCAGGGGTGTCCCAACACACGCTAACAGGTTTAGGAAAATCGGCTGCAGAACGTATGCCGAGCATATAGTTACTGCATAGCGTGCCCATCCCTCCCCCGTGTCTTATTTGCCGAGTCGTCATGATCGTCTCAACAGAGTTTGTGGAAATATGTGGGAATCTGCCATGTGGACCATTGGGCGTTCTTTGCCCCCGTACCCCCGGACGTTCCAAGGTTCTTTTTCACCTCTGCTAGCCTCCGGACTATATTAAGGCAGCCATACTGCTAGAGATGGTACGATAGCCATGATCGGAAGTGAAACCCCCTAATAGACGCCTGGATGGAGAATAACCCCTGCATTTAGCACTGCAGGGGCAGTGGCGCCTTTATTCGACGATCATGGGCTTCTAGACGCCGACCCCCACTCCGCTAAAATAGATGAGGAGCGGTGTGGGACATGAAATAAATAAAAGGGAAGAGTCTGGTGGATTCGACGTCTCAGTCTTCATTCCTTCCTTTTCAAACTTCGAGATCATCATGGAGTTGACCTCTCGTTTTCGTCACTAGCCCTAATCTTATCCCCGTATATGTCTGTGTCTCCAGGGGACTGTGGCCTGGAAGTACATCTCTGCAGGGGTGATCGTTAGGGCACCTGCCAGTTATATATAGTGGCCTTTGATCAGAGTTTCCCGCTGACGGCAACATGGCCTCCGTCACATGTCTGGCTCTTCAGCCCGCTCTGGTCCTGGATACAAAGACCTGTGAATCCGTCGTCACTGAGATCAAGAGATGTGACTCCAACACCTCCTCGGAGATGGTATCCAACATGCGAAAGATCGACCCAGCCAAGGGACCCAGCTCGTTACAGTCGGGCCGGCGTGAATCACAAATATCGACCTCTACCTCCATCAGTCACTCTCGCTCAGCATCCCGCAGTACCGTGCGATCACGACCCAACAGCCGACGCAGCTCCCTCCACTCGGGGCGTCGAATTGTGCACAAAGCCAGTATCGTGCCCGTCGTATCAGCTCGCAGTTCCCCGCTCGACAAGCGCGAGTCGCTACTTGCCCTCCACCGGGAGTCATGTCGTTTGTTTCAAGGCGATCTGTCGAACAGATCATCCGCCGAAATCCAACCTTCTCTACAACGGACACCATCCTCTGCCTATCAATCTCGGCTCGACCGCCGCACATCGTCAGACAAGGATCTCTCAGCACCCTCGTCCGCAGTCACACCTTCGTACTCGACCTTTCGCTTCGAGTCTGAGTCTACCTCGCCTATCTCTAAAAGTACCTCGCATCATGTCTCATCAAAAGATCGATCCAACCCCATGGCTGCTAGCGGCCACAGCCCTTCATCTTCATCCATCCACGTCCCGGCGACAGTAATGGAATGGACCTCACCCGATACCCGGCGGCGCGAGTACGAGAAAATCGATCGGGCCAGTAGAGGTATGCGCGGGCTATGGCGCCGCGTCGCACCTCGCTGTTTCCAAACTCGCAACTCGCGCACTCCCTTCTTTGAAGAAGGCAAGCCCGACCGGGAAGGCAGCGTGCGTCGATTCCGTATGGATCTCCCCGAAGACGAAGAGCCCGAACGGGATTCTCCAACCAAGCCGCAAGCTCAGCTCTTGGAGTTCATGAGCAAGACCTCCTCAAATCCGAATTCAACTTCCTCCGATGGTGCTCGACGACGCTGGGCGTCTCTTCGTTCTAAGACCTCTTCTGCCTCTAATACCTAGATTGTTGGTTTTCCGATTCTGGTTCTCGGGCGCCAACTATCACCCACCCCCACCTATCATCAGAGCCTAGCACCGGTGCTGCTCGCAACACTACTCTGTCTCACTCACTGCTTTCCCTATGATACCATGATCCCCGAGTGACGATCTGCATTTGCATCTGGCCCGCTTCCCGTCTCAAAAGACCGTTTTTGGCGGGTATTCAATCCTTTTCTGGCCTATCCTTATCTCCAGTCTTTTGCATTTGCATCGTTTTCCTGTCGTTATTCCGAAGACTGAGATACCCTTATATTATTCAAAGCATATCGCTTTTTGCGGTCTTCCGTACCCCTCCCGGCTCTAGTGATTGTCATCTTTTAGTATAATCAACTGATCTGATCTTCTACACTATCCTACGGCTAATATTGTATACCAGATGAAAAGTAGCATATCCCTCAAGACTTGCTCGTATCCAAAAGAAGAATATATCGCCAAGTACTGACCCCACCGAAATCCCCGTCAGATAGGTGCTTATGAGGGGTAAAAGCTTGGAAAAAGGTTCCTTGACACAAGATAAACCAAAGACGGCCTGGAATGTCTAAACGAGATTCCCGTCCAATGAAGAATGCCGAGCAATCTCGAATACGTACTTAGAACGTGCCAATACCGTCCTGCTCTGCCGATCATTCGACGACCGAATCATCTTGTCAAGTGCCGGGTGATATTGGGATGGCCAACGCTTATTCGTAGGTACGCATGACCCTCGGCAGTCAGATCGTCATCTGTGCGCACCGGTGAAGTTGATCCCTGTCTCTCAAAGGATCGTGGGCTATGGTTCTTTATTGGATGCTTTTTGGTCATATTTCGGTGGCTGGTGGCGGTCGGTTCGACACATGGACATTTACTATGTATTAGGTCAATATACACCAAAACAAATAGATTGATGCCCTCATGGTTAGTCGGCATACGAAGTACAGCAAGTACTCTACTTCCTACAATTCAGCGATACTCAGATAGGATTCATATCCATATTCAATTATCCAGAGAACCTTGGACACATCGAGATATAATTTCATGAAACATCAATACGCCAACCCTAAAATAGGCCACAATGCACAAGCGCCGGGTATATCAGAACAAAGACCCAAAATGCTTTTTTTGTTTTCAGAACCAAAATCACAGAAGATCAAAGTCATCCAGCTTCTCGCGGTACCGCAGGATGTTGCGCTTGATCTTACTGGAATCGACCCAGGTGACGAAGTCTTCCATGTTGCGGGTGACCATGAAGGCGGGATCATTGACAACCTCGGTACCAACACGGACATGGCCCTGCTCGATGAAAGTGGTAGCCTGATAGAGAAAAAAAGAGTTAGTGATTTCGTCACATGCAAGCGATCACCGGGACCGGATCTCCGGAAAGATAAACTTACAGCCTTGATAGTCTCGACCATACCGGAGCGCACCATGAAGACGGCCAATCGGCGACGACACATGGCGGACACTGTGACCTCGCGCTCGACTCGAGACAATCCGGCGCCCTGCTCGCGGGTCTGCTTCAGGATTCCCATGCGCCACAACTTCTCCAGTAGCTCGGACTCGAGCTTCTTGCGGAGAGGATCCGTCTCCGGGTCCAATTGGGAGAGCTTGTGTGCGAGTTGGCGCAGAGAACCGCAGAGTGCGTTGTATTTGCGGTAGTCCATTGGGTCTTGGAGGAGGTATCTTTGGCGGATTTCATGTTCGCGGTGGTTGCCGTCGGACTTGTAGTTGTGGAAATCGACCTTGCGAAGAAGCCTGGAAGGAGGTTTTATGGTTAGCTAACGGCCGTTTGTAATATTGTGCAGCTTCGGAGGTAGTGGATGGGGCCCGGGCGAAGATTTCTGGGGGATTACAGGTGCGGACGTACTTCTTCTCGTGGTGCTTGAGCTCGCGGACCATTGTGACGGTTGGATCAGCTAGCTGAGATTAAACTGATAGAGAGACTGCGAGTGGATTCCAGCCAAAGCGTAGACGTTGGATCTTGAGAAAATCGCTGCGATAACAAAAAAATCAAGGCGGTCGGTTTCTGCTCGGAGATACCGCCACACCGCCTTTCCCCATCTCTCCACGGCTAATTCTTATCAACATGAGCTTGAGCTTCATCGGCGAAATGGAGAATCCAGTGAACACGGCTGATGCCCCGACAATGTCCGGTCGCTCAGGTCGCCCAAGGGTCGACCTGGAGCCGTACAAGCCTGAAATCATCGAATTGTTCGAAAAGAAAATGAAAAGTGACGACATCTGCAAGCATCTCAAGAGACAACATGATATCCAGATCTCGGCGCGTACTCTCACCAAACGCCTACAATTATGGGGTGTTAAGAAAAAGGTGGAAAGCAACACCTCGAATGAAGCGCTACATGCTCGCATCAAGAATCTGTTTTTCGATGTAGGTCTGTCAGACCAAGATATCGTGACTGTTCTACATGACGAGGGCTACGATGTCTCCCATCGTACACTACGCAGACTCCGCCACCGGCTCGGCATCCGTCTTCGACTTGACTCTCCTGCGCAACAGCAAGCACAGGTCCAGGAGATCCTCGACGCTTTGACTGAGGAAATGGATAAGGGAACCATTGAGGGATATGGAAAGGAATTGCTGCACAACCACTTTCGCAGCAAGGGACATGTATTTGCCCGAGATCGTCTCTACAGTGTCTACCGCATGCTCCGCCCAGATACAGTGGAGCGCCGTACAAGCGATGTACCCCGGCGTCCTCCCCCGCCGAAGATTCTAGCCGGGCCAAATCTCACCTGGCATGTGAACGGATACTCAAAGTTGTCCAATTTTGGGTTCCGCATTCATGCCGAAATCGATGCGTATTCTAGATTCGTCCTTTGGATCCATGTCGGAGTTGAGGCACACACGGCCATGGGCGTCCTCAAGAACCATCTTGATACTGTCGCTTCGAAAAATCGTCAACCACGTACCCTCCGTTCTGATCTGGAGGCGGAGGTTCCTCTTCTAGCTGACGCCCACTTTGCCCTTCGCCGCACTACCGAGCCGGAGGTGCTCCGTGAGCAGTGCTGTGCACCCGGCCGAGCTACAGATACCCATCGGATCGAATCCTGGTGGGCCCAGCTTGCTAAGTCAGTAGTAACGCTGTACCATGTGAGCCCGAACCCGCCTGTTTGTTTCCCTGTCCCTATTGCATGATGCTAATATCAACCAGAACTATTTCCGTCAACTTCACAATGAAGGCCTCTTCTCGTCAACAGCAGTCCCCGAACAAATCGCCCTCTTCGCAATCTACATGCCCATCCTACGCTCTCATATCAAATCCTACGTCCAAACATGGAATATCCACAACATCCGCAAACAAGCCGATCACCCAGAGCGCGCCCCAGGAAAACCTTACATGAACTACCACCACCCACCTAAGGGTGTAGAAAATTTCGGCCTGCCAGCTGATGTCCCGACACTGCAGGCCATGCAGCAACATCACGCCGACTATGACATAGAAGAATACCTCCCACCAGACACTCTGCACTGGTGTGAAACACAGCTCCAGGAGCTAGGCTTTGACCCCTATAAACCACCTGCTCGACTACCTGGGGATCTCCAGCCATTCCGCTCAGTTTACCTGGCCCTCCGGGAGCGCGCTTGGCGACATGAGCGGTCGGCGGCTCAACCAAAGCTGGCGCTTTGTGATGTCGCTGGTCAGGTCTTACGGGGTTATTTCCCCTCACAACCTGCACAGTAGATCTCAATGAATGTAATGATTAATGAACGGAAGGCCTGGGTCTTGGACGAGCTATTTGATCTAATGGAAAAACACTTCTTTGCTCCTATGAATTTGTCGAATTGGATTCTGTCCTGCTTGCGAATACTCGAATGAAGACTAAGATTAACAGAATTCTCTCATTCAAATCTACTTTTCGACACAGGCTAAACAGAAATCTCCCATATGTACTTTGTTTCCTATTCTCGATTCTAATCTGAGGAGTACATAGGGGTAAAGAGCGAAAAATCACAATTTGAATGTTGGATGTAACGTTCATAGATCCATATCTCGTAACGAAGCATCAGACATGAAATCAATGAATCATTGTCGTAAATCAAAGCCCTGAAACCCGGGGCAAAAGGAAACACAAATAAAAAGACCGCTCAAGAAGATCCAGATCCAGACCCTCCTGCAATCAGCCGGCTCCTACCAGCAATCTTCTCACTCAAAGCCCTAATATTCTCCGCTCCCATAATATCAAGCAAAGAAATCTCGGCCTTAAGCTCTTTAACAATCCACGCACGGAACTCCATAGCAACAAGGGAATCAATACCCCCAAAGCCAAAGCGCTGAGCATCCAGTTCCGAACAAGGAACAGCAAGCAAAGAAGAAAGCCTCTCGACAATCCCATTCGACACAACATCCACCGCACCCGCAAGGCCAGAAGACGCCGCCAAGAGCGCAGCAGTACTAACAGTCTTCTGCTCCGAGACCTCAGTGCTTTTCGCAGCAGCCGTGCTCCGGAAGTGCGTGAACATCGAGTAATTCAAGTACGTAGGCAAAGGCACGCCATTCTGGCGACACATATCTGCCGTCGGCAAGCCGAGAACGAGCTGGGAGCGGGGAGGTCCCTCATTCCTGTTTTTGTCGGGGTGGATGAGGAATTCCACTGCGGCGTGGACTTCGTCTTCGCGGAGTAGCTCGAATAATGTGGCTGTGTGCGTGCGCATTGAGTTTCTGTTCTCGGCGACCCAGCCTACGTTCGAGACGCTGCCGAGATTGATGCTGGATGCCTGCATGCCGTGAGAGACGCGGTATGCGGCGAGAGCGTCTTGGAAGGTGTTGCCGGCGGCGTAGTTTGATTGGCCGCGGTTGCCGAAGATTCCTGCTACTGAGGAGAGCATTATGAAGAAATCCATGTCATTGGGGAGAACTGTGTGCAGGTTCCAGGAGCCTTGGACTTTGGGTTTGATTGCGGTTTGCCAGTCTTCGAATGATAGGCCTGCGAATGCGCCGTCCTGGGAATTTGGTTAGCTGTTGTCGTATTGAAAATGGGGAACATGGACTTACTCGTAAAACCATGGATCCTTGGATACATCCTTTGATGGGAGGTAGTTGGGAAAATGCCTCCTCGGATAATCGCTTGAGTGTAGATGCATCGGCCACATCGCAGGTCAGGGAATGTACCTTGCACCCCAGTTTGTTGAGATCGGCAGCCAATTCCAATTTCTCCGGACTCGAGGTGGATGAGCGAGACAGGAATATCAAGTTCTTTGCGCCTCGAGAAGCCATCCATCGGGCTAGACTGCGTCCCAGACCGCCATAGCCACCAGCAAGAACGTAGGAGGCGGATGGGTCAAATTGATATGGTAGGATTGACAGTGGGACAACAGGGATCATGTTCGATGGCTCGGGCACAAATACAACTTTAGCTGCTTTCCCGCTGTGTGCAGCATGGATACCTTCTTTGATCTGGGTGAAGTCCATGACACTTGGAGTTTCGATTTGACCGATCTTCCCCTCGGAGTACAACTTGAGTGCCTCGCAGAGCAAAGGGCGCACCAATTCTGCTCGATGCTGGACCAACAGAGGAATGTTGACGGTGTTGATGATCGTGTTATGAGGCAAAGAAGCCAGCTCAATTGTGGTATCAGCTCGTAAATCTCGATTCGAAATATCAGTCAATGCTCCGAATGGAGCAACACAGGCCAATGAGCCTCGGAGTCCATCGCCACCAAAGGTGTTGACAACGACATCAACCCCAGCACCGTGAGTGTGTCGCATGATACCCTTGACAAAGCTCTGATCCTTTCTAGAGAAGATGCGCTCTTGAGGGATTCCGTATGCAGAGACGAGGGTATCACGTTCCTCTACCGTGGCCACAGTAGCATAGATTGTAGACCCAATCATTTGCGCATATCGAATGGCCGCTTGACTGATATCTGTGGCACTGGTATGGATTAAGAGGGTATCCTTGGGCTCGAGATGGACTATCTCACAAAGTCCTCGGAGTGCAGTCACGTATGACCAAGCCAAACCGGCTGCAGTTTCGAATGAGATCTCATTGGGGATCTTGGCAATCAGCTTTTCATCAACTCGATCATGGGTTCGGATGCAGCCACTCTTTTTGTCGCCCGAGATGTAGATGACTCTGTCGCCTGGGGTTAGGTCTCCAACCTTCGAGCCAACCTCGGTCACGACTCCAGCGATTTCATTCACAAGGCGGCTGGCAGACGCATCTGACGAAATCCCAAGCGCTCGGATATCAATATCGACCTCTGTATCTTTGCGCACTTCTTCATACTGGGTATCCGTGATCCAGTGGTATTCACCAGTACCGGCACCACTCGCCCGCAATTCGATGGGACGATCCACGTCGCCAAGGCGCTGGACCTGGGGAACGACCTTCGAGGACTGTGCAGCAAGGAATTGATCCGCAGTCTCCCACTCGTTCAAACGGCCGATATGAATGAGACCATTCTGCAATTTGTACTCGGCGTGGCGATCATTCTCCGGCTTGTCCACGAATTGTCGTTTAACGATCTTGCCAATAGCTGTAGCAAGTCCCTCCGGCAAAGCATTCTCTGGCTCCGCATCTGTCAATATGACAATGTTTGAGCCATCGGCATCTCGCTCCCAGCGTACGGTGCGGAGAAGACCCAAACTCATACTCGCATGTGGTTGGGCAAGGGGATCTGGGGTCACCCACAGTAAGTTCTGGCACTCATTGAGCATATTCTTGAGAGCATTGTATTTGACTTCGTCAATATTCCAGAGATAAGGAGACTCTAAGTCCATCAATGAGATGTACAGAGCATCCGGCACCATGCAATCTTCAATCTTTGAAGGCTCTTCAACAAGGACACTGCCATATCCAAGTCCCGGTAGAGTTTTCCGAAGAGACTCAATTATATGTGCCGCTTTCGACGTCTCATGCGTCAAGATTACTGCAGTGTTTGATGACTTCTCCTTGGGTGCCTCAATAGCAGAAGAAACCAAAATACTCTGCCAGGTCAAATCGGGGTCATTCGAACTCGGATATTCAATATCGATGCCCGAGAATCCCGCTTTCAGCAGCAAGGGCTCCCATTCTTCGGCCGGGATGTAGGGACACCATTGACGACATGGCTCATTCCCTAGCCACCAGCCAGGGAGTTGACCGAAGACAAGTGGATACCAGAGGAAGTCTTGTCGAATACCTTCCTGCATGATGAGCTGGCCACCAGGCTTTAGCAGAGACCGCAGGTTCTGCAATGCATCATTAAGACTTGCAGTGGCGTGGATAACATTGCCTGCGAAGATCAGGTCATATTTCCCCAGTTGAAGTCCCTGGTCGACGGGGCTGCGCTCAATGTTGAGGGACTGGAAGCTCATGATATCGGACCATGATTGGAAACGCTGTTTTGCTTTCTCGAAGAAGCCGGAAGAAATGTCTGTGAACGTGTAGCTGGCAATCTTTCCTTTGCTCTTCTCTGGATCCGGCGAAAGGACGGCTAGGACTTCAGCCGTGAAGCTACCAGTTCCACCACCGATCTCGAGGATATTCAGCTCGGAATGCTGGTGTCGGAGAAGAGAAAGGTGGCTTTGTAAATGCTGCGGCAGGTTGTACAAATGAAGACCTTCTTTGTATACCTGTTCCATCACAGCATCTTGACCGAACATGAGATCCAGAGGATCGGTTTGCTGGCGCACGACCTTGACAATGTTGCGACCCATTCGGGCGGTGATGGCACCTTCGGCGCTGTGTTCCTCGATTTCCTTGCCAATGGCTTCTTTGAGAGCTTGATCTTGAGCAATTTCCTGGAACTCGCTGTAGGGCAGATGAATGATCTTGTTGTGTGTGAGCAAATATTGTACATGCTCCATCCAGTCGAAGAACCTCTGCATATGGGTATCGAGCTTCATAACATCAATATCTTGAAGCTCAGCCAGGGCATCTGTGACGTAAAGCATCGTGGCAAGCTGGAGACATTTCACCCAGTATTGAGCTTCAGCTTCATCTGTGACATCGAGAGAAGTCAATGCGCAAGCGGCTTTTGAATCAATGAAATGAACATCTGGTTTGAATTCAATCGCACTGCACAGTTGACGTTCACTGCTTTCAGCAAGACCGGACTCTAGTGGAGTGAGCTCAATGCCGTCCATGCGAATGCGGTGGATGTGTGTATCTTCATCCAGTATTTTGATCTGGCCCTCGAATTTGTCAGACGCCACTATAGACACTGTTGCATGTCCAGTAAATTTGTGGGATGGCGCCGAATTCAAGTCTGCCGAGACCCAGGCCTCACGAATGAAAGTTGGCAATCTGATCTGATCAAGAGTGGACTTGCCGGTGAAGTCAAGACTTGCAGCGATCATTAAATGGATCATGCTGTCCATTGTAGCAGGGTGAATGAGATGAGGATGCATGTACTGCTTTGGCATGGACTGTGCAATGTCAGGTACAGTCACTGACCCGACAACTTTTCCAAGTCCATGACCACTGGCACGCACGTCGGCAAGGTTACGGAACAGAGGACCAAAATTGAGTCCAGATGTTTGTAAATTGTTGTATGTGGATTTGAAATTCATGGATTTGCCGCATCTCTCGTTTGCGTGGGAGAGTTCAGATTTCCACGAGCGGCTTTCTTCTTCCGCTTCACGGCCATTGTCCACTGGATCGAGAGCTGCTTCGTGCTCGACGTTGATTTGGCCGGTGCAATGTTCTGTCCACTCGTCGCTCGATGCATTGTAAGAAGTTATGTGGAAGCGTCGCCATGTTCGCGATGATGCCGAGGAGTCTTCGATGGTTGCCATTGACAAGGAGACCTCAATTCCTTCTTTCGTATCGGGGATAATCAAGGCTCTTCGGATGTTGACTTTTCGTAACTGGAAGCCAGTGATTTTGGTCTCGCCGACCAACTGTTTCGAAGCTTCAATCGCCATAATCAAATAGCCAACACCAGGATAGACATAGTTGCCAGTAACCTAAGCCATGTTAATAGATGGAGATATCTTGTACATAATGTTGGACTCACCATATGATCCCGCAGCCAAGGATTCTCGTTTAATCGGACAAAGTGTCTCCATCTAGGAGCAGTGGGATTCCAATCTGTGATGGGCGCACCAAAGAGATCATGGCGAGGAAACTTTCGAGTCCGAAGATTCTTGCTCAATCGGCTCTCAAAGATAATCTTCTCTGTATGTTTAAAGCTGTAGGGTGGCAGATCCACCAAAAGCCTAGGTCGCCTTCTTGCCTTAGATCTGGGAGCTTGGTTCACCGCGTGGAGTTCCAATGCACATCCACTTCCAGCTAGGAAGCCAACTGTAGTGAGCAGAGTATTGAGACTATGGTCAGTCCGCTTGAGCACAGCAAAGTATTTGAACTCCAATTTGGGGCTCTTGTAGGTTAATGTTTCTTTGATGGCGCTTTGTAGCGTTGAATGAGGTCCAATCTCCACAAGAAGACGCAAAGAATCAGTCGAATCAGTCGAACCATGACCAGAGATTGGTTTCGAGGTCATTGCAACCAAGCCATCTGTGAAAAGAACCGGGGCAACCATATTGTCCACCCAGTATTGAGCAGGCAAATTTTCATCCTTGACTTGTTTCCCTGTGACGGTGGAGAACATGTGCACTGGATGAGGCGCTGCCAGCCGCTTTCCTTGAGGAAGAGCGCCCATCAGAAGGAGGTAATCCTGAGCAATTGTATGCATGTGAGCCGAGTGATAGGCATTCTTGACTTCCAACTTTCGAGCAAATATGCAATCGTCGTCGAGAAGGTTCTTGAGACCATCAATCATCGTCTCGTCGCCGGACACGGTGTTGTTCTTGGGGCTGTTGTGGCACGCGATAATGAGCTCTCCAGTGCTTTCCTTCCGCACAGCGTCCAAATAGGGTTGCAATTGTGATGGATCGAGACCGACAGCCATCATGGCGCCATTTGCTGATAGCTGCTTGGATGATACATATCCACGGTAATAGGCAACTCTCCAGGCGGCCTCGCGAGAGAGCTTGCCAGAACAGTAAGCAGCAGCTATCTCGCCAGATGAGTGACCGATAACATGAGTTGGGAAGATTTCCCAACTAGCCAAAAGGTCGACAAGCGCAACTTGCAAGACCGTGCATAAAGGATGAGCGATCTCGGGAAATTGGACTCGGGGAGATTTTCTTTCGGTCAATAGTTCGTCTATAATGGATTAGTTTAACACTCCCAAATAGAATAGCTCAGTCCTTACCAAGGAGCGACCATGGACTTCCAAGCCTGCGGATGTATTCTGAGGCCTCCTCCACAGACTCCTTAAAAACAGGGTAGACCATGAGCTCTCTGCCCATGGCCTGATATTGGGCTCCCTGGCCAGTAAAGACAAATTCAATTCCAGGCAGTTTGGTAGTTCTGGTTGGTTTGGCAAAATTCGATTCTGTCAGATTCCAGGCAAGTTCTTTGGTTGAGGATGCCATGACAAAACTCTTCCATGGAAACTGGGACCTCTTCTTCGACAGAGTGAAAGAGAGATCATCAAGGAGTTGATCATGGATAACAGACTGGACTGTTCTCCGTTTCAGGTACTTAGCAAGTTCAAGTGCGTTTCTCTTAACTCCATCTTCGTCGAAGGCCGAAAGCAAGAATATCTTTGGCTGCTCGGCCAAATTGATAAATGAAGAGGCTGTACCAATTGTAGGCGTTGCACAAAAGCCATCACTTGTAGGGGTATCGATGCAGGTTGTTCCATATCCAGAGTTATCGCTGTCATCGAACGAATCCGAGCTGTCTTGGCCTGACTCTTTTCCTGACCGGGATAGTGCCATGATTCGGCTTTTTATTTTCTGGGGTGTAGGAACAGTCGATGTGGTGCGATGAGAACCCATAAGATTGCGGTCATTGAGATAGTGGTAAGCGTCGTCAAGAATGCAGTGAGCGTTCGCGCCACCAATTCCAAACGAGTTGACTGACACTCTTCGCAGCCCTGCTGATGGCCATGGGATACTCTCGGTGGGGAATGCAATGTTCCAATCCTCTGCAGGTATGGAGGGATTGGTTTGTTTCATATCAAAATTTGCAGGTATGATCCCAGACTCCAGAGTGAGAATCGACTTGATGATACTCGCGACACCTGAGCCACCTTCCAGATGTCCAATAGACGATTTGATCGCCCCAACATACAGCGGGGTCTTGCGACAACATTTGAAAGCGCGTCCCAGTGCACCTGCTTCAATTGGGTCGCCAGTGCTTGTTCCCGTGCCATGAGCTTCAACAAATCTTGTGTGCTCGAGATCTAAGCCAGCTCTCCAATAGACCTCGCGAATAAGCCTTTCCTGGGCTTCTGCACTGGGGACCGTAATACCTGGGGTGCGGCCATCTTGATTGACACCGGTCTCGCGAATGACCGCACGAATGGTATCTCCATCTCTGATAGCGGCGCTCAGAGGCTTGACTACAACAGTGCCAACACCTTCACCTCGTGCATAGCCTTCGGCACGGGAGTCAAAGCTGAAAGACCGGCCTTGAGGTCCCAACAAGCCATGGTGACTCATCCCAATAGTTTCAACGGGGTTTTCGAGAATACTCACGCCACTGACGATAGCCTTTTACCAATAACAGGTTAGCATAAGGATCCCAATCTCCATAACGATAACGTACCATGTTTGTCTCTCGGGCCCGTAGGCTCTGAACAGCGAGGTGCAATGCCACCAAGCTGCTGGAACAAGCAGTATCGATAGTCATACTGGGTCCCTTAAAGTCAAAGAACCAACTGACCCGGTTGGACAGAATCGCGTTGGTGACACCTGTGGGCTTGTATTTTAACATAGTCTCTGCATCCGAATTGAGAATGCCGAGGTAGTCATGGTTAAAACCGCTAACAAAAACCGAAGTATTGGAGCCAACGGCAGAGGTCAAGGGGATTCCTGAATTCTCCAAAGCGTGGTAGACATTCTCCAAGACCAATCGCTGTTGCGGATCCAATGTCAAGAGCTCGTTCTTAGTGATGTTGAAGAACGAGCCATCAAAGTATGCGGGATCTTCCGAGAGATAGTGTCCTCCTTGAACATGGAACTACAGGCAGATACTTGTTAACGATATGCTTTTCTTGCCAACGGATCTAACATTAAGGTGACTTACCGTTCCGCCATGCTCGGGGTCCGGATGATAGAACGCATCTGAGTTGAACCTTGCTTTGGGAATAGATGACCATGTGGAACGGGCTTGTAAGAGAAGCTCCCACAAACCCTCGGTGGTGGTAGCTTGCTGTGGGAAGTGGGTGGCTAGGCCAACGATGGCGATAGGTTCCAGGGCATCGGGAGGTATGGCTCCGTCACCGTTGGGGCCGCTTGCTAGAGAGATGGGACGCATCGTGCGATGCCAGGAACAATGATGATTGGGTATGAAGTCAACTGATCTTTCGGATCTAAGCTAGATGAAGGATGGATGTAACAGATGGTATGAGGATGGGAAGTATGGAAGATTGGGATAAGTCAAAACTAAAGAGAAGCAAGGGTAGGGTAAAGATACGGATAGGTTGAGTAGGGAGTAAAGGTATCGAGATCGAGTGAGGATCGAGGGGGCATGGGGGTTTTGATAACAAACAAATCCGAAGTCTCGTGTCATGGACTTTGACACAGGATCATAGCTCTATTAAAGTAGTTGTTGCTGAGGGGAGAAGGGTATGTGAAGACACTAAACGCACAATCGGAGGCCCGAGATTGGCAGTCTAGCCTGCGAGCACGAGCACTTCCATGGATCTTCCGGCTTGCCTGATTTAGTCGCGTTGATCCAAAAAACGGGAAGGGGGCTCGTTACAATGTACTTCAGATGTCAAGGGACCTTGCTATCCTGAATTGGAAGTCTACTAGTAAACAACATGTCCATATGGAGGACAATATCCGAGGACCCTCGTCTCCCATTGGACAGGTTGATTAGAGAAATATCATGTATTCGTGTGATAATCTTCCAGGTGGAGCCATGTCACACCAAAATACTCCCGATTAAACCAGAAAAAACAAGAAATTGTTTCCTAGACAGAGATTGCATTTCTCCTGTCTTACCATAGAGTGTCTTCCCCTGGGGGTGGATGTGCATGTAGATGGCTACAGGTCTATAAAACGAGGCAAAGATACCCGGATGCAAGACCGTGGATTCCGAGACGCTGCGCCTGCGGGGACATGCATTGCCGTTGGAACGTGCATTGTCGATCACTGCCGGACTAGGTAATTTTGACTTTTTTCGCGCCAAAATGAGTTTCGATATGCACCGTTGATTGGCCACCCAAAGGACAGGGAAGGATCAAACCCGCCGACTGGGACTGCCTAGCCGCCCTCGCCTTCCTTGTTTGTTGGTCTTGTTTGCACGGGAACTCCCGTACGGAGTACTCCGTAGAAGGATCTCATTAGAACCACGGGATACTCTACATAGCCTATGCTGTATATGTGAGAGAAAGGACCATGGCATATTGTCTATTAAACCTTAGAAAGTCTCAGGGTATAACTAACCTAATGAGCTGAACTCACATCGTACTTTGAGTACGAAGTACAACCTTGCTAGTCACATACTCCTACCCTTGATCGCTATGAAATATCAAAAGATTCCATGTAAACCTGATGAGCTGAAAATAAAATCATACAATATGCATATTCCAGACCGCAATCTGGGACAGCCGATCTATCTGTTAGACCTCTTCCACCCCCGGGCATTGCTGGTATAGGAAGGAGATCTTGCCGAGATCTCTAAAATAGCGCCATAATATCACCTAGCCAAGATTCAGCGGCCCCAACACTGCGGCTGTCAAATCAAACCCCGCAAGATTCTTTGATGCAATATGCATCACACCTCATTAATAGAGGCGCTTGCAGTACTCCGTAAACGAACATGGATCTACGAACCTGTGGATATGGCGTTGTAACTAATCAATTACATCATTAACATGCACTACGGAGTATACCTGCCCGACAGAAGGATCATTGGTACTTCGTATATCCTTCTATCGTGCTATTATCCCGGAACGCATCTCGCACCTATCCGTCGGTGTGGATACGGGATCTGTATGGCCAAATCTAAATCCCGCCCCCAGTTCTCCTATATCACTGCATCTAGGCGTGGTCTTCTTGACGTGGACGGTATGTATTGGCCGATAGTATCTCAGCTGTTGCTTTCATCCATTTTGTATGAGTTCTTTATCCTTCCTTTGACTATGTGTATGTGTTGCTTCTGCCGCAACTGTACTGGTGGAAGTTCCCCAAACTGTAGGTCGTGCATAGTGCATATGCGTACATAACACAGCGGGCATTTAGACAAACTAAGGCGCAAGATAGGTGTAGAATGATGTTTTTCCAGAGCTACTGGCAAGTTCTTTGTTGGTCCAAATTATCCTAGCTGATAGTATGAACCATGTGTCGCGATCTGACATGTATCTGTATAGCTTGAAGTTCGCTGAGTAGTTCATCTAAGGTGTAATAGCTCGATCTAGCCAACCAATGCTCGTCAATATCGTACCTTGGCGGGCTATCAGCTGAGACACTGGCGTTTGCTAGGACCACTCGTTGGGAATACTTGTCAACAGTGCGGGATAAAACTGTATGGAGACTCGCCAACTATCTGAACCAAAGACTGGAGTTGTCTCAAATCAATCACACATTATTCTGTACTCCGTATCCTTATCCTGGGCGTAATTGAGGCGTTCTCTAGGGCCAGGTTAAGTTCAGCCTAACGATTATTTCTTTGTGCTATCTCATATGGATACTATATCCGTATCCTATAATACCTTTCTCTTCAGTGGGAGGATAATGTCTATCTCTATTAAGTTATTCCCACTTGAAGATACGTCCGCGAGTCATGGTTATACTAACATGTGTCCGGGTGTATCCATAGACCTTCTGATACACGAAGACCGCGCATTCTGTAGACTGCATCTTCTTAGACACCTAGAGATGTACATAAGTACTGTACATGAACTACTGGATTAGTCTGATTGCAATGAACAGCAAAGTACCACCAACCTCCCCCTAGGTTCAATCGACAAAGTGGATAGGTACTTCCATCCTTGTTTGCATATGGTCAGCTTAGCCCGAACCTCCAAACGAACACATCATACTCTGTAGACGAACATGAAATAACGGTCAAGGAAGTACGAGATACGTGTAGTCCATCATAAACCAATCCCATTCGCTACAGCGCCTAATCCCTGCTCTCGAAGAGTTCGCCGATCTCTGTCGATCTCTGCTAAGTAAGGCCTACTCCATATCTTCCTTTGTTTACATCCTGCGCCACATGCGAGATGTATGCACGACGACTAAACGGTATCGGGGGTAATCAGAATTTGATGCTTTGTGCGCCGGGCGTATATGTAAGTACTAAAATTGGGTTTTGTTACAGATACCCGCGAGGCTGTCCAGTTCATCGATCAGCATCTCGCATTAGCGTGGGAGCCGCATCCTGGTTCGGATGTCGGGAATATTCAATCCCCGCTGCTCGGATTGTAGGGTTCGGGCAGGTGTCTATTGTATTGTATATCATATCCAACAATGTTTCCATATAAGTCAAGGGTCTATTCTAATCCAACCCATAGCCTTAGCCTTAGAATGCACGCCAGTAGAAACAGATGCAAGCAATATACAATGGCCATGGAGCAAAAAAAAGGGAATCAAAAAGAGCAAAAGGTAGAAAGTAATCACAACTCATCCTTCTCCTCCGCCGGCGGAGGCGCAACCGGTCGCCCAGAATCCTTCGCCAAATCGACTCCAATCTTCTTGCGCCACTTCTCCCAGAGCGAGTGGAAGTCCTTCTCCATACCGCTCTTCATCTGATCTGGCAAGACGACAGCGTATTCAATATACAAATTGCCCGTCTCATCATTCTCATTGTGATCATGTAAATGACCTTCGGAGTAATGTGGCATGCCCTCTCCGGTCACAGTCTCAACAGCCAGGGGCTGCACAACCTCGCCACGTCGGCGCCCAAGATGTACAATATGTCCATCAAGGTGTGTAAGGTTGCGGGTCCATTCACCCATCCAAGCCTCCCGCAAAGAAAGAGTCTCCTTCCAGAAAAGATCCTTTCCTTTGCGTCGGAAGAATGTCCCATCCGTTCTCTCCTCCTCCGACTTCCCGAACTCGGCCTCCTTCTCATCCAGAATGACAATCAAATCACCAGCAATCCAGTCAGGGCTCTCATCAGCCTCATTCTCAAACACAAGTCTGGTACCCTTGCCCATACCAGGCTCAATAACGGCACTGGTCTCAACCTGATTCCTGACAACCCGATTACCCTCACAAACAGGACAAGGATTCTTAATCTTCTTCCCCTGTCCATGACACCTATCACACTGCATCTGCACCTGCTGGAACATCCCCGGCGCAAGCATGTGTTTCTGAATAACCACACCACGCCCAGAACAACGATCACAAGTCACAACATGACGGTCCTTCGATCCCGTGCCTTCGCACGTATCACAAATCTGCTGCTTCTCGACGAGGAAATTGATCTCGCGCCCGGTGTAGAAATCCCGGAGCGGCAGCGCCGCACGTACTTCCATATCTGGTCCGCGTCGGTGGCCAGGCGCGTGGCCGGAATGTCCGCCGCCGCCGAAGAATCGCGAGAATAGATCGAATGGGTCGTGGCCGCCGCCCGCTGACCCGCCTTTGCGGTGCTGCTCGACCCCGTCGTGGCCGTATGCGTCGTATACTTTGCGTAGCGTGCTGGTTGAGAGAACATCGTAGGCATCTGCGATTTCGACGAACTTTTCGCGCGCGGTGTCGTCGCCGCTGGAGTATGCGTTAGCAATTGTTTCTAGGCATGCGCGGTAGAGAGTACCACCATAGTATGTGGAGAGATGTAAGTGATAGAGGAGCTGTACTTACGGGTTCTTATCCGGATGATATTTTTTGCTCAGTGTTCTGTATGCTCGCTTGATATCTTTCTCTGATGCAGTTTTGGAAAGACCAAGCACCTTGTAGTAATCTTCGGCGGCGATCACAACGACGGAGAATAGCACTACGGCTACCGCAACTAAGAGTCGTAATATTTGCATTTTAGCGATAGGGGCTGCGCGAGCAGCTGCTCATGCGCTCGGAAAGGAGACGGAGCTTTTGTGTATGTGTATAACGAGGATGATAGGTGAGGATGCTCCAATGAGCTGGGGTGTGGGCGGATTTGTTGCAGTTATTAATTGATCGACATGGAGTACGCGATCGTGAATAGCAACGGTATTCTCTTTGCCCGATGTGTATGCCAGAAACAAAAGAATTGGACGTTGGAGAGTGTTGTTGGCTCCGCACCTTCATAGTGCCGCCCAGGTGGATCTACATTAGGTGGCCTAAGAGGAACAATGTTCAGCCGGATCACGTGCGGAGTATAGCACATTGGGATTTGGACTACACACGCATTTCATGAAAGCAGAGTAGACAAAGAATTTCTGGGTTGAGATAGGTACTTTCAATTGGAGAACACCTAGGTATAAGCGGAAAGCGTCATTGCTGAGATACAGCTTTGTGTGGCTACATCGCATTCCGAATCGTTCAATTGCATAGATATGTTTCGGGTCAATCATAAAAAATAAAAACGCTACTAGTCAAGTAAACCCGTATCCTCAAACTCCCAAGTCAAATGAGAAACATAATCAGTGTCGTCCAGCAACATTAAAGATGTCATTGTGCCAAGTATGGCCAAGCGCATGCGTCTCATCTCCATCCTCAATAGCTTCTTGTGCACGTGTGGCCTCCTCATGCCATGTCTTCACAATACTGCCGGGAGCGTAAACCCCCTTGAAGACACCCTTATCCAGTGGCTCAAGTCCGATCCTAGCCTCGACACCCGAGTCGGCGGGTTTGAGGCGCGCAAGGACAGCTCGCACGAAAGTTGCTAGATCCTGCGGGTTAGCGATGCGCGTGGCACGCAGCCGTTCACGAGCGAAGACTAGCTCGCGGTTCAATGCAAATGCCGCCGCAACTATATCCTCAGCGATCTTTTTCTCCAGCACACGGCGGACAAGATGTTTCAAGAATGGCTTCGTCAACCAGAGGAGGAATTTCCACTTGCTGCGCTTGACGGTGTAATCAAGTTTATGGATGCGGACACGCACACCACGCAAAGAGAAGATTTGTTCTAGACGGTCGCGGCCGACCTCGATGTCCAGAGAGATGTCGATACCGCGGCGATCCAGGTAGAAGCTTGCAATACCTTCATCCTTGAGGCGGAAGAATCCTGTATGGGCACGGAACCAGTAGCCAAAGTCTTCAGCGCTGATATTTAGACCTTGGATATTAACCGTGAAAGCTGTTTTGATAAGTGTCTCTGTCCGCTTGGAGTGGGTTTTTACCACGTCGATATCGTTGCGCGTGAGGAGATGCATGCGGTAGGGGAGGAAGGAGGAAAAGTTTACTGTGTGCCCAGGCTCGAGGATTAGGTTCTCGAGGAGAAGATCCATCTCTGGAGCTGAGATTTCCAGGCGGGGAATGGGGATGTATTGAATCGCCCGGAGGAGTACTGGGAGGAAGACATTCACTAGGTCTGCTGGGAGGTCTGCCTTCTTGTCATTGTAGGCAGCCCAGGCATGCTGATAGATCTTTTTGGTGGCGTTGATCAATTTGGATACGGTTGGGTCCTCGGGCACAGTTCGAAGTGTGCGTTTGGATTGTGCTAGGAAATCGTCCATGTCTTTTCTCAGGTTCGTCTCTGACCCTACCTTCTCAGAGTGTTGCTTAAGTTCATCAAGCTTCTCGGGAGCGGAATCAAAGAACTCGGGATTGGTGAGCATTTCCTGCAGTGAGGCTCCGACCTCTCCAAGTAGATTATCGAACTCGGGATCCTTGTTTGCATGGCGCAAAACGTTGTGGAACTTCTCCTCGAGACGATCCCACTCCTCCGCACTCCCGAATGACCGCAAGAGATTCCAAAACTCGTCGACGGCCCGCTTAAGGTCAGCATTGACTTCCATGTCTTCCTGGGCGACCGAGGCAGCATTATCTGCTGCATCCGCATAGATCTTAGCGTAGCGCGCAACCAGTTGTGCAAGAGTAGCTACTGAGTCAGAGTAGTCCGTCCTCTCACGCAGTTTTTGAACAGCCTGCTTCAGTCGAAAGAGCAAAGTATCTCTCTCTCGACCGGACAGATGTTCCTTAGCACTCTGTATAGCATCATGACCTGTCTGAGCAACTCCTTCGCCAGCCACATCTACTACATGTGCAACTTCCTCTCTCAGGTCATCCTGTGACAGCGCATGTCCCTCGTCTGCACCGGGACCCTGTAGCGCCTGTTCCTCCTCCTCAGATGGTTTGACTTGTTTCGCAATAAGTTTCGAGGTTTCAGCAAGGGAATCGGCCGTATCAGCAAAGATCTGGCGGCCAATGGTAACGAGATCATCGACAAAAAGACGGAAATCAGAATTAGTCAACAGTAGACCACCGACGGTGCGAAAACTGTCATATGCTAGATGTATCGATTAGCGAACGATCAATTCGTTATGTATGGTTTGTCCATGCCAAGCCCGGAAGCTAGGAAAGCTGGGGCATTGCAGTGGAAATACGTGCGACCCACCAGCTTTGGTATCAGCCCGCGCCTTCACGTGGGCGGCCTGTCTTGAAACCCTCTCGCTATCCACCTCGACTCGCGAACGGGCCAGGCGCCACAGAAACTCTTGGATTTGGTTTTGGCTGTTCTTCTCCTGCAAGAATTCGATAAAGACCTGGATCCACAGTCGACTGTCCCGCACTAGCTGGCGACCGACGCTGCCAATATCTTGGTTACGCAGGTCGAGGACATCGGAGGCTAGAAGGGTGCGAAGATTGGCAATAGTCTGTTCTGTAGTTGGCATGTAACCCTCAGAGATCGCGCGGAACATTTGGTAGCTGTGTAGCTTTTGGTGGAGACGGCGCTGACGGGAGGTGTCATCTTCGTAGCGAGGGAGGAGGGGTTCTGTCTCGGAAGGCATCTTGGATAGGCCCTCCTGGACCGTGGGAGTGTAGTGACGATAATGGTATTGTTTAGAGATGAAGAGGTAAAAGCTCAAGGCAAGGTTGATGTTCTACGTTGTAGGGAGGAGCTTGAGCCTGCAGTTGGTGAACCTGTTTTGGGCACATGACGACATTTCTCCTCAGTGTAACCCAAATGTGTATTTTTCACTCAATTTGCCCTGTCATGATCTTTTTTTTTTTTTTTTTTTTTGTATGGAGGAAATTATCATCAAAATAAAAGGACTACTCGACATGAAGTAAAGAAGTGTATAGAACAACTGGGGACGATCATCTGGGGAAAGCTATGGAGTTAGCCATTCACCGTCACGGATAGTGTTTTATGCAACCACGGCAAGCTCCTATTAGATCGGGCTTATTTCGACGTGCACTCCATTTCTACGTCTTGACGACCGAGATATTGAGAGGGAATCCCTGGCCTCCAATTAAAAAAGGAGAAAAAAAATAATCCGAAAAATTGTCATAGATAAATAGATAAATAAGCAAAAAATATATGAAAAAGGAGATGTATACGGAGTACGGAGTACAACATATTGTCCATATATGCCTCACATCCGGACTACGCCATCTATTGGGAATGACACATCGAACGCAGTACTATGTATGAGCTCATCCGCATTCCACCACGAGGGAGAGAGCTCCAACCCTGTCCCAACGTTGGGAACTGCAAGTGGGAACTGAGGAATCCGGAGATATGTCTCCAGGGGATGTACGCTGTAGACCAGAGAATAAGGAATGAATTATTAATAGAATATTGGTTTTGCGCCTTACACAGAGCTGCCAAGGGGGCCCAATCGGTGCCGGCATATGAAATCCCTGGATTCCGAGGTGTTTCGTCTTACCAAGCATGGACTGTGCATGCGGTTCCAGACCTCGTCAACTGAACGCGTAAAAAAAAAAAAATAACGCAACCGTGCTGGGGGAGCATAGGTAATCAAAGCCCCTGGGTGTGTCGGCGACCGAGAGCCATTCACAACGCCGAAGAGCATCGCCAACGCGGCGGACTCGAAACAAGAGGCCTAAAAGTCTCACCGGTGAGCCTCCGATCGGAACAGTGTTTGGCTAAATTGCGGTACTCCATAGTGCTCCCGTGGAGCATCCAACAAGGAGGGCAGTACTCCGTAGTATGGGGTACTCTCCTCTACAGCGGCAGTCTCCGTCGCCGGTTTTCGATTTCCCACAGATTGCTTTTTGGGAGCTGATCTTTCCAGAAGCATTGGCCCGTGAAGCAGAAGCCACAGGGAAAAAAGGGGCCCCCAAAACGCAAAAAAGCAAAAAGATGCAAAATAAAACCAACGCCCCCAAAAAAGGGAAACACCGAAAAGAACATTAATTAGGGTATAGTGGCTCCACTTCGGCACTCTCTGCGGCTCTGGAAGCTCGTAGCTGTGGGTCGGGGTGGGGCCACCAGATGCATTGGGCCTAGCGCCGGTTCGAAGGCGTTTTCCTCCCCGGCTTTGTCAGCCAATCAGCATCGAGGATTTCATTATTCACAGTTCTACTTGGTACGTCTCAGCACTGCCAATTCGGCCACAGGTCTACCGTGTAGATTGCAGCTCCGATTTCTCCAACTTCTCCTCACATCCAATGTCAACGTCAACTTACCTGTACGATGCAGCTCCCTGCGCAATGTTGGAATGGGCGATAAATCGCGCACTTCTATGTGTCTCATTCAATTTCCAATCAATAATCCCCTTTCAATTCCATAGTCCTACTGATGTGACTACATCTCCGCATTTGTCGGAGTCGGCGCGCCCCCCGTCTCCACATGCTGATGGGCCCTCTCCTTGCTGGATCTACTTCCCGAAATAAAACGAAAAAAGGGAAAAAAAAAAAGAAAAAGAAAAGCTTTTTGGAGGGATCCAGATTCCCAAAGGGCTTTCCAGCGCAACGGTTCGCTGTCAACACCGAACCTGAACCCACATGGTCGTCGATGCCCGACTCTTCCCGACTCCAAATCATGACTCTTTTTTACTATACTTGCCTTGACACGCGATCCCGGTTAATTATCTGGTCTTCAGTCCGCTCCTCTCGGAATGTCCTGGATGATGTGCGCACGAACGTCCCAGGGGAAATTTAATATGTTGTCTCGTGTACATAAAAACAGACTCGCATCTGCTCCTCGGTCTCTCTTCTCTTTCTATTCCACTGCAATCTTGAAGCCCTCACACACCATCACAATGGCTCGATATCCTTCCCTGCCTACTCAGCAAAGCCGCCCGGTGCACGCTACTCCGGCGCCTTTTGTGAATCACGCCTCGCCTGCGTAAGTGACTCATATCACACCCAGCACCAGCTTGCGCCAACACAAGCCATGAGACATCACTAACATACACCTCCTTCGCAGTGATGCCAACTATGACACTGCCAACCCTTCATATATTCGCAAGTACTTGCGCACGTACGGCCTCACTCCTCCTCGCGCCGAGGGCTACGAAACACAAAAGACCCGATGCCTGGCTCAGCTCGGCCTCAAGAGCACTCCCATCGAGAAATTCCTATACCTCAGCACTCTGCGCAAGAACAATGTACATTTGTTCTACCGTCTGGTGACCGACCACCTCAGGGTACGTTCAGTTCCGAGACATGTGATTGGGTCGGCCAATCTTGGAGAAGACGAACATTAACCATAATAATCCCTGCAGGAAATGACGCCTCTGATCTATACCCCGGTCGTGGGCGAGGCCTGCCAAAGGTGGTCCGAGATCTACCAACAGCCCGAAGGTACGTTGTCAGCGACTCAAATCAGTTTCTCCGCAGTCAAATTGCCATCTTCTCCGCATTTGGCGTTTTCTCCACAGACGAAATAAAACCGGAAGCGCTAACGCTCACTTTTAGGTATGTACCTGAGCTGGGAGGATCGCGGCAATCTGGCTTCTGTCATCGCCAATTGGCCCCAGCCTAATGTCGAGATCACATGTATTACCGATGGCTCCCGTATTCTCGGCCTGGGTGATCTGGGCATCAACGGTATGGGTATCCCCATTGGCAAGTTGGCGCTCTACACTGCATGTGCGGGTATTCGTCCCGAGGCCACTTTGCCTCTGACTCTTGATCTCGGCACTGGCAACAAGTCCCTCCGGGAAGACCCGCTCTACATGGGTAGCCGCCGTGACAAGATCTCTCCTGAAGAGGAGCGGGAATTCTTGGACGAGCTGATGGCAGCTCTTACCGAGCGCTGGCCTGGGTATGTGACTCACTTTCACATGTTTTTCTCGGGTGATCTTCCCATAGCAACTCGGACTAACAAAGCTTCTCTAGTATCGTCATCCAATTCGAGGATTTCAAGAATCCTTTCCCCGCACTTGAGCGTTACCGCGACAGCTTCACATGCTTCAACGATGACATCCAGGGTACCGGTGCTGTCATCCTTGGTGGTGTCATCAACGCTGTCAAGCGTTCCGGCCTGCCCTGCAAGGACCACCGCGCCGTGTTCTTCGGCGCTGGCAGCGCCGGTGTCGGCGTCGCCCGCCAGATTGTCGAATTCTTCATGCGCGAAGGCATGACCGAGGATGAAGCCCGCAACTGCTTCTACCTCGTCGACACCAAGGGTCTTGTCACTGCTGACCGCGGTGACAAGCTCGCCGACCACAAGGTCTACTTCGCCCGTCGTGATAACAATGGCGAGCAGCACAAGACTCTCGAGGAGGTCATCGACCACGTCAAGCCCTCTATCCTCATGGGTCTCTCTACCATGGGCGGCGTCTTCACCCCAGAGATCCTGCGCAAGATGGCCGACTTGAACACGGCTCCTCTCATCTTCCCTCTCTCCAACCCCTCCTCCAAGTCCGAGTGTGACTTCGAGACCGCCATTACCCACACCGATGGTCGCTGCCTCTTCGCCTCCGGCTCCCCCTTCCCCAACTTCACCTTCACCAACTCCGCCGGCGAGACCCGCACCTACTACCCCGGCCAGGGTAACAACATGTATGTCTTCCCCGGTATCGGTCTTGGCAGCATTCTGTCCAAGGCCGTCCGTGTCACCGACAGCATGATCTACGCCTCCGGTGAGGCCCTCTCTGCGGCTCTCACTGGCGAGGAACTCGAGCGTGGTCTCCTTTATCCCGATATCACCCGCATTCGTGAGGTCAGCGTCCTCGTCACTCGCAAGGTGATGCGTGCCGCCCAGGAAGACAAGGTCGATCGCGAGATCGCCCTCCGCTCCATGAGCGATCTTGAGTTGGACAACTGGATCAAAGCCCGCATGTACGATCCTCACACCGAGGTTCGCGCTCTGGAGCGTGAGGTCGGCCACCTCCTCTCCAGCCTGGGCACAATCTCACCTCCCATCACGGTGAATGGCTCCCCCACCGAGGAGAAGAACGGTGCCAAGCTGTAAGATTTGATTTGATTTTTTTTTTGTCTTATTGTCTTCGGCTTGGCTATGCATATTCGTTGCATTTAGCCTTAACAAAACACCTCTAATCTGTGAGCGCTTAGGATTTCTGCGTGATGGACTCGCATGTCACCTGTTTTGACATATTTCCCCCTTTTTTGTTGGTCACGAGCGCACTTGTTTTTCTTCCGCCTTTTTTTCGGTTTCGATACGAACCTCTTTTTTTTCTCTGATAGAATACCCAGCGTCGTTTTTGGCTCGCATTTCGAGGGCCTTCTCGTCTTAGGCATAGCATTTTGTCTTTTAGCTGCTATTGCAATGAACAAATTTCCAGTTACTTCTCATCCCGGCCTCATCCCGGTCGCCTTATTCTTCCTCTGACTCCCATGTATACAAAAAGTCCAACAATCATTGCAACACACTTAATCAAAATCACCATCACGCTGACCATGACTCAAAAATCCCCCAGATCCGGATGGTCGCCGAGCCCTTCACCCCGGAACGCATCCGAAATTCACGTGGCAAACGGATGAACCCAACTCCCCGACTTCGCCCTCTCCAAGTGGAACGCCACTCCACCATCCGAGCCATTAGAGCTCTACAAGCGTCAATGCAATACCAGTAGCGCCCCCACTTGGTCAAACCTGAAAGTCGGGGCGATCAATCTCTCCGCGCTCTCCATTGCGCCGGGCAGAAGAGGGGCCGAGATGACTAAAGCCCGGTCAATTCCCATTTTTTTTCGATGGAAACAAGTGGATCTTTTTTAAGGGCCTTTTCCGCTCGTTCTTCAGATATTTCCTATTCGACTACGGAGTACTGGTGTTGGTGTGTTTTCATTGACGCTTCGAGACGAAAGGAGAATTAACGTTGACATTGACAGGCATTGATTTCTGGGCTGCGCTATCTCGCCAATTGCATTAGACTGTGCTTATATTTTATACTGCATATATTACCTGCATACTGCATATACATCATGCCTTCTCCCCTCGCAGACCCGGTCAAGCTTCCATGTGGATTGGTTTTGCCGAACAGGCTCAGCAAGGTATGGCTAAACATATGCACACGTCCAATCTCAATGGCTAGATATCAGGTCCTAATATTCACCTCTAGGCCGCAATGGCTGAGATGCTAGCCAAGACCAACCAGCCCACAGACAGCCTGGTTGACGCCTATGAGCAATGGTCAGACGGTGGATGGGGGAGTATCCTTACAGGTAAGCTCCAATCCTGCTACATGAAGCGTTAGACTTCCATGAGGTTGCAAGATGCCAAATCCTGGTCTTACATCCTGCTGCTTCTCCAAATATAAACCCTCAAGCCCTAATTCGAACTTTAATGCCACCTACCTGGGCAAACACAACACCCGATGGAATCCAACCAAACTAATCCCTCACTAGGAAACATCCAAGTCGACGTCAACCACATGGGCCAGCCTTACGACCCAGCCCTGCACGGCGAATACACAGACCGCGAAACCAACAGCGCGCTCGTCGCGCAATGGAAGAAATATGCCGACACTTGCCAAAAGCACGGCACCCCAGCCATAGCTCAGATCTGCCACCCAGGCCGGCAATCATTCCGTCTTGCGGGCTACCGCGGTATCTTCGCACAGACAATCGCACCCAGCGCCGTGCCCATGAAGGTTGGAGATAGCTATCTCGAGCGTCTGATTGGGTATCTGGCCTGGACTGAGCCGAAGGAGATGACCACCCAGGATATTGAGAGAGTTATCCGCCAATTCGTTGATACCGCAAGACTCATGGCGGACGCTGGATTCTCCGGCGTTGAGTTACATGGTGCGCATGGGTATTTGATTGGTATGTTTCTTTTTTCCAAACTTGGATATTCGATATTTGTTCTAATGATGTTCTCTGTTTAGATCAATTCCTTAACAGCAAGGTATGATCTCCATTGGGATGGATTGACCAGTCTTCTTTCCTCTCATTCTAGCTCCAACCCTCAAATTAAAACCAACACTAACTCCCCCAGACAAACCTCCGCACAGACGCATACGGCGGTACACCCGAAAAACGCGCCCGCTTCCTTCTCGAGATCCTCGCCCAGACCCGCGAAGTAGTCCCACCAACCTTCGCAATCGGCATAAAGCTCAACTCCGCCGACCACAGCTCCTCAACCTTCGAAGAAACAATGACGCAAATCGCCCTGCTCGCCTCAGCCGGCATCGACTTCATGGAAATCTCAGGCGGCAGCTACGAAGACCCCAAAATGATGGGCTACGCCAAAGCCAACGCCGCGCCGAAATCCGAGCGTACCGCTGCACGCGAAGCCTTCTTCCTCGAGTTCTCCAAGGAGGTCCGAACGCGCCATCCTGAACTCATTCTTATGCTGACTGGTGGATTCCGCTCACGCGCTGGAGCCGAGGCGGCGATTAATGACAACGCGTGTGATCTTGTTGGGTTTGGACGGCCGGCGGCGATTGAGCCGAGATTCCCGCGGTTGTTGCTTGATGAGAGTGTTGGTGCTGAGGATGCGCATTTGGTGTTGAACAAGGTGCCCATTCCTTGGTTTATGCGGCTTTTGCCGCTGCATGTTGTTGGGGCTGGGAATGAGAGTGTAGGTTTTGCCCTTCTTCTTTTTTTGATGCTTGCTAACGGGTTTTATAGGCATACTATTCTTCGCAGATTCAGCGCTTGGCGAAGGGGCTTGCTGCTCTTGCGCCGGCTTTGTAGATTGCGTGTATATTATCTGTTTTGTGTGTTTTGTTCTGATAATATGTTCAAGTGTTACTTGATTTGAGCCTATGCGGGTGCTTGAAAGCAAACTTAGACCATGGGATAGACATTTATAAGTATATTACTTGGATGAAATTATCGATTTACATCAAATATACGAAAAGGTTTATGTCCTGTCATCCTAAACGTATACATACTTTATATACGCTATAATAGGATGCGACGCAAATAGTATGTTTAAAATAGTCTCAATCGACCAAAGGGCCTGACATTCCCACCTCTTTAAAAAGTTACATCTCATCGTAAAAATGATATAAATACATGAATGAAAAAGCCAATTTTAACAGGCAGGGGTTTCGTCTTCCTCAACAGGAAATAACCGCACCCTATTTACCTTCTCCTGCTCCTTCAGCTGCGCCAGTTGTTGATGCAAGACATCATTCCCCCTTAGCAACTCTTGAATCCACAGCGCAGCCTCCCGAAGCACATATTTCCTCGTATACGAATGGTTCTCAAGCCCAGGAACAACATGACACAGCTGTTTATATCGCTCCCCAATAATCTCTCTCCGCTTCTTCTCCGATCGACAATGACACAAATTCTGTCCTGGCTTTTGCACGCATTTCCTCTTCTTTTGCCCAGACGTTGTTGCCGCTTTGGCGCAGCTCGCGCGTCGCGTGCATTCGGGATCTTCTGGGGATGTCTGGCTCTGGGCTTGGCTTGGCGATGATGATGAAGATGAAGATGGCGAGAATGCCATTTCGGAAAGAGTGTCAGTTGGGATCATTGCGGGCTGGAATATTGGGATCGTCCAGCCGTTTAGTTGCATTGGATCTGAGATGTGTTTGGGGATGGGTTCTTCTATGTCGGGGATGTCGGGCCCGACGTCCATGCTGGTGCATAGATTGACGATGTTTCGTAGGAGGTTTTGGACGACGCGCTCTTCTGTCCAGGTGCCGATCGGACAGGAGAAGCCGTGGTAGCCGAAGTTGGGATCTGAGCCCCATTGGAGACCTTCGGTTGGGAGTTGATGGCGGGAGATCGGTTGGGGTGTGGGCGCTTGCCAGAGGTCGCAGTGTGATGGGGGACTAAGCTCCATCTGGAATGATTGATTCTCGTCCATATTTGTGGTGGAGGGGCTAAAGAGCTTGGAGTTTTGGTCTTCGAGGTGAGGACTGGGTTTAACAGTCCGGTGGCATGGGTAGGGACTTTTGGGTTCGGCTGTTGATGGCGTTGATTGTGATATCTTTGCTTGTGAATCCCTAAAAGAAGTGAAAAGTATGTAACAAGAGGCACTGGAAGACAATAGCTATGTTTTGGGTTATTCAAATCCCCTAATCAGGTCCCCTACGTCAAATCCGGAATGCACCCGGGAGGCCGGATGTATCCCGGACCTCCTTCACATGGTATGATCGTCATCATTCCCCCGGATACCCCGGGTTCCGTACTTAGAGTTCGTTCCTCTTGACTCAAGGAGAAATAGATGCGAGTTAACCCCTGCACAACGGGTTCTAGACCGACGTGGCTTGCCCTTTGCCGTTTCAGCCACCCCCCTGCCGCTTCGTGATCAGAGAACCTGAGCGTGAAATGAATCATAATCATGGGAATAGTTCACAAATCAAGAATGTAGTGACCAAAATAAATACTTTTCTGTTCGAAGTGTTTAATGATCTCCATATATCTGTAAGTCATGCCTAATATACATCTTAGTTGAGCCCCAAAGCGTCACTAATCAGTGGGAAGACTGCCAAGGCATTCTGGTGGTTGACGCTGCTCATCTCCGCCGGGGTAAAGTCGCCATTGCCCTCGATCGCGTTCATTTGCGGTAGGGCTTGCGAGTAAGGAACATAGGGGTCTGCACGTGTTAGTATAATGTTGCTGCATGTTTCGGGGGCGTTACTGGTAACCGTCCACTTACAGTCAGTTCCAGTCACAATCTGTTCCGAGCCAATAAAGCTCTTCACAGCCGCCAGCTGAATAGCAGAAGTCGAGCTAGCGGTATCGAAATAGTATCCGGCGAGTTGCGCCAAGCTCTCGGGCATGGACAGTCCGCCCAAGAAGGGAAGGGAGGCCATGCCGGCAATTCGGGAGGCCAGGAAGGGGATGGCACCACCGCCGTGGGAGAAGATCATCTTAATGCCCGGGTATTTGGCACGTTGGCCTGAGATTAGCAGGTTCTCGATGGCGCGCACGGTGTCGAAAGGATACTCGCTCATTGGGATGGGCAGGCCCACGGCGACAGATGTGCATTCGGGAGAGGAGGGGTGGACAAACACGCTGGCATTGCGTGTGGCCATGGCTTCGAAGACAGGATCAAGGCTGGAGTCTCCCAAGTAAGTGCCATTGGCGTTGGTGTACAAGCCCACACCAATGAACCCGAGGGTATCCAGGCAGTACTGCGTGCAAGTTAGATTTGACCAGATGATTGATTAGGCGGGGTATGGTACCTTCAACTCCTCGACAGCCTCATCAACATAAGGGAGAGGGAGGAGGCAGAGGGCTCCAAGCCGAGTGGGGTGAGTTTGAGTGTAGTTGTGAAGCAGAAGGTTGATGTTGCGGGCCAAGGTTTTGGCTTTTTCGGCCTCTTTGACGAAGGAGACGCCGGGTGCGCTGACACTGAGTGTCGAATAATTGACTCCGAGGTTGTCCATGTTACTAATGTGCAAATCCAGTGACCACTCTGGAACAGGGAAGCCATCTGTGTACACAGTGCCATTCTTGACTGGGTAACCTGCAGCGATCAACTCCTCCCTATAGATGTCCGGAACGACATGCGAGTGAACATCGATCTTATAGTTTGAGTCAAGGGGATCAGTGAGAACCTGACCGCTAGCCATACAGGCCAGGGGAACTCCCAGTAGGAGCTTCTGCAAAAGCGAAGGCATCAGAATAATTCTATATGTGAGAGATGTATGTATGGGGTGATGGTTCCAATAGACGGCGATAATAGATTTGAGGATGAGGTCGACCCGGGAAAAAGGAAATCGCACTAAGTTGTCAATCGTTTGGAGATATGAACGTCCTTTTTATTGCTCGACCAGTCCTGACCAGGTGTGTGGAAGCACTCGATGCAAAATGCACGCTTAGTGTAACAGGCCAGCTCCCCGAATGGGGGTGGGGCTGGCTCTGCAGTGACCCATTTTCCGGTACTCATTCTCAAGGAGTATAGGGTGAGTGGTTTAAGAGATCATGCTATAGCCTGCTTGTTCACCATGGTAAAACGCCGGACCTACCTAATACATATCCCAAGATCCGCTCAAAAGTTCTTTGCCAATAGTCTCTTTCGGTAGTGTCCTCCGGTAGCCGGAAGCGACGAGCCGGATGGAAGCTTTAGCTGTGGGAGTTGTGTGTTCCATACGCCTCCGCGATGTTTTAATTTAGCGATTTAATATCGGCAGATTTGGGGGCTGTAAACTTGCTTGGCAATGTCGGTTGTCTCGGTATTGGAGCCTCTGGAAGTTCACGGAGTAGTTCTGGTAGGTAGGTAGCGAAACGACAGTGGAGCCCGGACCGGGCCAGACCTCAAACGTATGAACCAATCACAATGCATCCAAGCACGTTGGATCCAGAGATCTGGAGTCTGAGTATAGATTGCATTGCGTTCTATCTCGACATACATACCTACAACATCAGTACCGACATGTCGGTACATCTTAGCGGGTGAGAACCTTATGCACGTAGGTGCATGGTATTGTAAATTTGGTATTGATTTTCAGGCTCCACAACGGTTGTGTGATGGGATGCTCTACGGAACTCGCTTAGCCGTACTGTTATTACACCCACTAATGCAGAGCTAATGCAGAGCTAATGCAGAAACAGAAGACCCACCGAGATTCTTGTTGCAAGACTTGCGAGGTTATCCGTATTCAGATCCAGTAAACTTGGGATCATTCAATCCTCCGTGCAAGGCCCGGTCGTGTATACATCCAATCGTATCATATTCTCTGTCTCTCTACTAGTATAGTCCCCTCGCAGACGATGCTTCAGGATTAATGCCCTGATTGAGCCCGCAGGGTGGAATGCCATGGTAGTTTACCTACATAATATGGAACTTGACTCTCGTAATTTTAAGAGGGTTCTAGACCGGCAGGATTCCATATGATGACGCATAGTGGGATTTCTGTGCGAACTATTACCTAGGGATCGCTTAAATTGACCAAGAGGGGTAAAAACAGCGTGAAGATTCATTGAGAGGCCTTCAGCGGACTACTAGGGTATCGTACGATACCATCCTTCTGAAATTGCCCCGGGGGATTAGTGTATTCAACATAATACAGAGATTGGATTCAGCGCCATTTCCGTTCGACATCTTGCATAGCCCCCGCTGGACGCCTATTTCGTGCATAGCCAAGGAACATGCTGCAGGGGTACGAGAACTGTGAAACCGTCATTTAAGACCTCGGGGTTTATGCACCTAGCGATTGGGCGCATCCTGGTTGCCGCCGCCCGCATGCTTGAAATATATAGTTTTTTACCCTGGCACCTACGGGAAAAAATCCCTGTCCAAACTCTCCGGGCAGAATCTATTGAGTATGGGGCTTTCACAGCAGTTTGGCTCATGCGTAACCCCTCATTTTAAATCGAAGATCTACACACTATGGAGACGTTCTTCCAGCCGCGGTCCAACCAGGTAGGCGAAGGCCTGCCGAAGATCATCGCAAAATCTCCTAACAGTCCATCTAGGAGAATCGTGGGCCTCTACTGCTGATCATCAATGGCACGGTGACAGGCGTCGCGGCGATCATTGTGGGTCTTCGTGCGATTTCGAGGATCTTCATCGTGAAGAGATTCGGCCTGGATGACTGGACAATGGTAATCGCGACGATCATCGCAATTTTAAACGTGGTGATTGCAGGCCTTGGTACGCCATCTGCTCCTTATGTGGTCACATTTCATCTCTGACCAATGTCATGGATAGGAGTCAGTCATGGAACGGGAAAGCACAAATGGGATCTCATCAAAGCAGATGTGGTGCCTGCGGCAAAGGTATGAGAGGATGGCAATGTGTGATTGGAAGAAGAGGGCTAACCAATGTGGTAATCTAGATTCGATACGTGACCCATGTTATCTACAGCCTGATCACCGGTCTGATCAAGGTATCAATCTGTCTGCTATACCTACGCCTGTTTCCTAACCTCCGACGTGTCTCGCTTGGAACGATCGCATTTGTCACAGCAATGAGTGTCGCACTCATTCTCGCAACCATCTTCCAATGCACCCCGGTGGATGCTGTCTTCGATGAAAAGAAATATAAACATTATACCTGCTTCGAATCGATTCCGTTTTGGTATGCCGGCGCCGCACTATCTCTCGTGACAGATATTTGGATTCTTCTGTTGCCACTGAGAACGGTCCTAGGTTCGTGTTTGTTACAGATTATCTTTCTCTATCTCTCTAACGGTTTACAGGCCTTCAGCTTGGGACCAGAAAAAGGTTCATCGTCGCTGGTCTCCTATCATTGGGCTTCTTGTATGTGCAAGGATGATTTTTATCGAGTTGATCTGCATTGGTACTAACCGGACAAAAGTGCATGTATAGCCAGCGTCGTACGGATGGTCTACCTTGTCAAATTGTATCGAAGCTCAGATCCCTCCTGGGACACCTTTGGGATCTCTATTTGGTCGGGTATCGAAGTGGCTGTCGCTATCATCGCTGCCAGCATCCCAGCAATCAAGCCGATCGTGGACAAGCTATTCCCAAGGCTGTTTCCCAGCACCATGGGAGCATCGCAGTCAGCCAGCCATCGGTTTTATCCTTCGGGCAGTCGAATTGAAAGTACCTCACGCCGCTACCAACCGAAGGATATTCCACTCTCACTTTTGACGATGAGAGAAGGAAGTGACGAGGAAGATAATGAGTCTACAAAAGCAATAGCACATGCAAACTGACCATGACATTAGAAATCTTGCAGGATGAAAATAGGAGAGAGATCAACGTGTGTATTATACAGGACTCACTCGGAGAAAAAAAGGAAGACGAAAGGAAAAGAAGGGACAATAATCTGCATGGACCTATAAACACCTATCTCATTGCTTTTCGAGTAAAACAATTACCCCTTTAAGTGGTCAGTGACCGTAAAGCAGCACCCCGCATAAAATCGGTTCGTGGGGTATATGACACGTGATGCCCGGGTGTATCCCGGGCATAAGACTCCTTTTCCTTTCCCCAGACCCCAGAATACTCCTTCGGTCACCATCCGGATCGCCAATCAAACGGTGCACCAACAGCACTGTGGAGGTGTCATATGGCATCCCTTAACTGTGACTTATAGGACCAAGCGCTGCCAGAAAGATGCCTCCTAAAGGTGGAATTTCTAAACGAGAAGCACCACGGCGTCGTAAGATTGCCTTAGCGTGCGAGTCATGTCGAGACAAGAAGGTGCGGTGTGATGGCATGAAGCCAGTCTGTGGCCCATGCGCTCGTCGCTCGTATACCGTTGACCAATGTGTATACAAGCTGGAGAATGCAAGGTCTGCCAGCAATGATGAGTACTTGAAGATTCTCCACAATCGCATTCGAGAGCTCGAAGAGGCATGTGCAAAAGGCGGGGTTACTGTACCGCCTGGCCTATCGCAAAATGGAGCCCACATAGCCTCAGAAAGTCGCCTGGGCGAAAACATGGTTATGGATCATCTAGATGTAGAATCTAGAACCTCGGTTGCTGCAGAAGGACTGCTGGGGCTGGGCTCGACCCCTGTGGTATCTATACCAAATTCTTTGTCCTCGACACCCAATTTCCAGCCTCCAAGATTCATCGCGCAGAGAAACCAATCGGAAGCTGGGGAGAGCTACACCACCCCACGTGCGACACATTTGTCTCCCCAAGCAGGCAGTATCTATCCCTCGCCATCTCTCAATTCCCATAGCAATGTCACCGCGATGGGTGCGATATCTGTCGCAGAGGATGACCCAAGCATGGACTCTCCTCGGGAGCAGCAATACTATGGAAACTCCTCCGTAGCGTCATTTGTGCGTCTTGCAGGAGAGTCTATGCCATTACAGCCATACATGTCTACTTTACGAAATAGTAAAAAGGAGTCGTCGAGGTCCCATGGCGCTGATACAGGGCTCTGGCGGGATCTAAGTTACCCATCGGTAGATCTTCGGTTTGATGACTTTTCCTTACCGCCCCGATATCTAGCAGACCACCTTCTGGAGTGTTATTGGGACAGAGTGTATTCTCTATTTCCATTTTTCCATCGCCCCAGCTTTCAGCAAGCTTACGAAAACCTTTGGGAGTCGGACAAGTCATCAAAGCCTGAGTTGCCGCAGCTCAATATTGGGCTTGGGGGGGCTTTTGATTGTGGACCCAACTCCATTGTCTTTCATTGCTCACTGAATGCCATATTTGCCCTTGGATGCTATTTCTCCGACATTCCACCCGCAGAACAAGAGGCTGCGGTATACTCGTTTTTCCTTCGCTCAAAGCGATTTGTCAATCTGGATCTGATGGACATAGGTACTATTGGCGTTGTTCAAACGCTCCTGCTTGTTTCGCTTCTCCTACAAAGCACACCCTATCCCGTGCGGTGCTGGAATGCATTAGGACTGGCATGCCGAGCTGCTCAAGGTCTCGGATTACACGAGACAAGCACGCACACCTCGAATAAACCGCTGGAGATCGAGATACGACGACGTACGTGGCACAGCTGCGTCATTATGGACATGTTAGTTCAATTCCATTTCTAGATTTCTTAGTGAAGTCTTAACTAATCCAATCAAAATAGGATTGTGAGCATGACCCATGGAAGACCGAGCATGACTTCTCACATCGCACCGTTGCCTTTGCCTGCAATGGGAACAGACTTACAAGAACCCGATCCTTGTCAGCTCAGCGGACAATTATGTGATCACAAGCTGGGATACATGACATTCTACGTTTCAACCATTGAATTATACAAGATCCTCGAGTCTATCCTATCTGAAGTCTACAATGCTTGGCAAAGTCGGTCAAGTAGAAAGGGCACGACTTCCCCACGAGGTTCCAAGCTCTGTAGCCTGGATACATTGATGGAACTTGATTATAAGCTTGCTACTTATGAAGCTAGTGTGCCAAAACCATTGAACTGGACAGATGAATCCTCAATTCCTCATCCAAACAATGGCCATGCATTGATATTCAAACGCCAGCAGAATGTGTTACGCGCGAGGTACCTACTATCTTCAAGACTCAGAGTTGAAAATCACTGATATTCAAGCGAAAAATAGGTTCATCCATCTCCGCCTCCTGTTATACCGTCCGATGTTCACCCAGCTCTGCTCCGACGAGCGAGCAGGGTCATCCCGACGCTCTGACGTACAACCTGGCGAGAGAAACATGATATATGCCTCGGTTTTCTCGAAGTGTGCGGCTTCTTGCGTCATGGCAGCGATTGACCTTGTTTCGCTTATCCACAAGACATACCGTACTAATTTAACCGATGCATGGTGGTACAATGGGTTCTGTTCGTGCCAACTTCTGATCTTTGACCTATAACCTCATCAACTGACGTGTATTAGACACATCGACCGCAGGATTTATCCTGATCATGTCAAACTCCTGTCATTCGATCCGGGAGCAAGTCGATCCCCAGATAGTGGACGACAGTTGGCGAAAGTGTGAAGAAATTCTAGCTTTCATGGCTACTTTCAGTCTTTCCGCTCGCAACTCATTGCAATTCCTGCAAATGACGTACCAGCACATCGTGCAAAATTACTCAGGTTCGTGGTTAAAGAAGAAACAAATTCAGGTGTACAAACTGATATCCATATAGCTACCTCTCGGTCGGGGGATGCTACCTCGTTGGTCCCTACCCAGCTACAACAAAGGGGCAATCCACCACCGAACCGGCCTGATTTGTCGTCACATCATACGGAGCCAGTAACTGAGGAACATAACATTCGCCAAGAATCCAATAATATAGATACGAACCCTTTCACGACATGGGATGAAATGGGATTGGGTCAGGAAGAGTTTGGGTTCCTTGGACGGTTTGATTTGCCTGATATTGCAAGTTGGTTTGCGGATATACCCCCTTGGACAGATCTGAAAGATGGAGCGAGTCACCCTAGAAAAGAATTCACAATGTCGATAAATCTCTGAATAAAAAATGGTTTCTCATTTTCAATAAGAATCAAAGGGTATCATATTTGATGTCGCGCATTCTAATGCATATACAAAAAACAACAACAACAAACTCCCATCACAACGGATCAAAAAGCCTCATATCAGCATGACTCCAGAAAGGCCCGGACAGATTCTCCAAAGTCTCAAAGTCCGGCATCCACAGTGGATCACTTTCATCCTGGTCGATCCACGGCGCCAACTGCAACGCCATCCTCACTGCATTCTCAGAATCATCATCAGGGCATCCCTGCGGCTGAGGCGTGCCCATCGTATCCGGAGCCAGTCCCGTCGGATTAACTGGCGGAAACTTGTCATTTCCAGACATGCAAGGAGCGTTCCAATTAACCCCATACTGAGCCGTCATCAGCTCCGCGATCCCGGCATTGCGGGCGGTTTCGTTGCCCTGCAATTTCTCCATAGCGGCGTTGACCAGTAACTCGAAGGCGTCGCGGTATTTCTTGACCCACGCTGCGCGCTCGCCCATTACGAAGAGGACGGTTGAGCAGGCGCGGATATCGTTGCTCATGCGGACGGACCAGACTTGGTCTGTATGTGTCCATAGCGCGTAGAGGAGGGTGATTCCGGCCATGAAGACGGTTTGCACTGCTAGAAAGGAGTGGCCGTATTCGATGGTTTGGTGCAGGCGTTTGTGGGATTGGCAGATGTTTCCTGCGGCCAAGATGCATATTTGGTAGTATGGGTCTGTGATCGGGAGGAGAGGGAGGAATGGTTGGATTAGTAGTCTGACTGCTCGGTTGTAGTGCAGCATTGGGTAGTCGAGGTCTGAGCCACTGAATCTTACTAGGGCAGATTCTTTCCATTGTTCTAGTTCGAGGTATAGAGGGTCCATTTTTGGTCGGAGGGATGATAGAGGCCGATCGGCGCGGTAGATTTTGTGTTGAATGCGGGAATCGATGCGGCGGAGTTTGCAGAGGTAGATTGCGTATGTCAAAGTCGTTGTTTTGTTTGGATCTTGGGGCGCTGTGAGTAGTGCGGGATCTTGAATGTCGTCGTCTACTTCCAATGGGAGGTCGAGATCGATGTGGCGATCGGATATGCTGAATGGACGGCCGAGTGACATTGAGACGACTCGCTCCAGGTAGTACACAGTCCAAAACAGCCTTCGTCGCATCTGAGTAGTAAATGGATCCATGTTGCTTTCATGTATTTTTCGGTGAAGGCCTAGGTCAATGGCAGTACGCATGGCAAGTCCAATCATGTACCACATGCCATGACTCGATGCAGTTCGGAGATGGTATACGACAAGAAGGACCATGGCCTCGATGTTTTCGATGGATCTTGCATCACACATAGTGGGGACATACTGCAAGGCGGCAGTGTAAAAGCGCTACAACTTGTCAGCGATGGTTTATTTAGCGCTCGAGAAGTACGATTACCTCAGGGGTCGTGTTTGAATACTTCCCATTCAACTGAAGCATTGTTGCACCGATTGCATAGACCAAGTTGAGTTTGAAGATGGCGAATCTATCAGATTGAGTAAGATCCTCGCGCTTGATTTTCGCCAAGCGCCATCGATCCTCATGAATCTGCCATACCTGTCTTCGATTCAGGAATGGATATCGGGTATGAAGTCTAGCAAAATAAGTTTCAAGCATTTTTGCGCCCATCTCATCAGTTGGAGGCTCAACGTTCCCCGGCAAGAGATCTTCTACCCTCGCCGGCCGATCTCGAATTTGAGTGGTACTGGGCTGCTCTGATGCCGGGTGTACTTGTGCTGTAGTATTTTGGGGATTATTGGCTGCAGTGCTGGGGTGGCGCTGCATTCTCGAGATAAATTGGTTCCAGACACTTGTTTGGACCATCTCTCCCAAATCGGCAGCGAGAGAAAGTCCAGAGCTGGATCCTACGTATGCAGGGGCCTCAGAGGAGCTCAGGGCAAGAAGGCCCACAATCTCTCCGACGGGATTATTGTCGAATCCGGGAGTAGTTGTGTGTGGTGTTCCATGCCCTGCTTGAGGGGAGAAGAGTGAAGGCGCATTGTTTGTGGCGGTATTCTGATTTGGCGATCGATCAGACTCAACGAGCTTGCGCTCAAGGAACGCTACACGCTCTTCTAGGCCACGTGTGTAACTACTACGCGAATTAGATTTCCATGGCTGGTTCATAGTAAAAGGTCTCATATAACTCGGCTTACTCATTCTGGCGGTCGCTGTCCTCTCGGACGCTGGACTTGTCGCACGGGACACCCGCTTTCAAGCAGTTGGAACAGGTTGGATACTCATTGTCACACTAGAAAATCGGTCAATGCACTTTTCGGCCATCTTCGCCACTGCTGCTTACCCTCTGCTTCCGTGTCTTGCAGCGAGTGCATGCAGTTCGCCCCCGTTTCCGCGGGTTATGATCTCTTGATGCAGGACTCGTCTGCCTTGAAGACTCGGGACTATGCCGCGGCACATACATAGTGACTGGTTTTGCGGAAATATATCAGGATCTTTTGCGACATCTAGAACATTGCCAATGAAGTTCTATCGCAAGAGGTTGGAGGACGTCGGAGATGCGGTTGGTCGGAGTGCCAAGACAACGACATCTACTAACACGAATGCAGCCTGAGATATTGATTTTGCAACAGAAAAGGGAAATGAAGTATTTCTATTGATTCATACTCTCTAGATCAGGTGAAGGTTCATTGAAGAAATGAAATCGAAACGGAGTACTGAGAGGTTAGGTGCTTATAGAGCTCACCATAGGTCTATTAGTGAGCATATTTTAGGATAGATCCATGAAGTGTTATTTCTGCAAGGCTTGACGTATTGATACATTAAAGCAATGATATACGTGAATTAGAGAATTAGTTTAGCCTATCGATGAAAAATGTATGGAACTTTTGGTATCTTGCGCCGCCCATGCAACAGAAGTAAAGCCAAGTAAACGCGCAGATGAAACGGTCTCAAAAGCAACCCCAGTAGCCCAGTTCTATCCTGGCGCTTAGGATTTTCAATGCGGCTGCTTCTCCACGAGGCTATCAAAGTTGGGCTCCGCTCGAGAAGGAGGCATTGATGATTCGGCCAGTGTTGATGCAGAATGACGCTTCTCGATTTCGTGGCGGGTCTGGTGATCGGTATTCTCCTCGGAGCATTCTGGAATAGCCACTTCGGCATCTCTTTCTTCTTGGGCCTTGCGTTTCTCTGCTTCGATCTCTTCAGGCTCCTTCGGTCGCTCCAAGCCTCTATCACGTATCAACAGACACACCAGGAAGCACACACCAATGAGGGGAACCTGGAGGATAAACACAGCGTGGGAAGCTTTGGTATAAGAAAGCAAGATTGACGCCCACTCATCGGGGCTGAGGTTTGCTCTTGAAGGAAGTGAATACGAGGACTCTGCCAAGTGTGCGAACTTGGTTGGTAGATTGGAGCGAAGAGTGGCTTGCAGGATTGCTGCAGAGATAGCAAGTCCACACGAACCGCCTATGCAGCGGAAAAAGTTACGGTTTGCAATCACGACAGCTCTTTGAGACTTGGTGCAATGGGCTTGCAGGGCGACGAGAGTGGGCTGGAATGTGAAGCCGACTCCGGCGCCCATGATTGCCACAATGACACCAACGATGGCTGGGTGAGTGTGAGCACCAAACAATAGCATTAGACCCGAGCCTCTGTGGGAACGACGTTAGCATGGAATTATGGTAAGAAGCTTCAAGCGGTGATCAACGTACAGAGTCCATAGGCCGAATCCAATCCAGATGATTTCGCCATAGCGCTTGACTCGTGAGATGTACTGTCCCGAAAGGATCGAAAAGACTGCCTGGGATGCAACCATAGGACAAGTCATGGCTGCAGAGGCAATGGGCGTCCAGCCACGGGCGTTTTGATAGTACAATGGTAGGTAGTAAAGGCTGGCTTGGTATACTGCACCAAGCAAGAAACTCTGCAATAAGATCGCAGAAACAACCCTATTTTTGAAGAAGACCACTGATCGACGTTAACTAATACTCATTCATCTTTAGCCTCCAATGGAAACATACCTGGTAGCATCGGTAGTGTAGCCACTTTCCATTCAATAAGCAAGAATGCGATGAATGAACAACTTCCAATAATAAGCATACTGATAACCATCGGTGAGTCCCAAGGGAAATAAGATCCACCTCCCGAGATAGGAATCAAGAGAAAAATGATACCAATGGAAGATGTAAGCAATCCAAACCAGTCGATGCGGGCAATATTGTCCCGGAAGCTATCTTTGCGTGCATTATCAGGGATGAGGAAGTGTCCAACGACTGCAGAGCAAGCAGCCAGGGGAGAAATCAACCAGAAGAAACCGCGCCACGTTGAGCGCATAACAAATGCAGCGGCTAAAAATGGTCCGATGATATTACCAACTCCCAATGATGCACCCAAAATACCCTGATATTTGCCTCGCTTTTCTAGTGTAACGATATCTGACACGATGATCATCGTCAAGGAGGTGACACCTCCACCAGCGACGCCAGCCAGGCCACGGAAGACATAGAACATAGCTGGATTCTGAGACAAGCCACAGAGTAGGTCTGCAAAGCATAGCAGAACCAATGCAGAGATATACACGATTTTCCGTCCAAAAATATCAGACAGACGGCCGTACAACACCGTGAACATGGTATTGGCAATCAGGGACGAGGTTCCGGCCCAGGAAATGGTATTCTGCGCATTCAAGTCGCGAGAAATCGTGGGTAGTGTGACACTGATACCATTCTGATCCACCATGCAAATCAGCAAGGAAATTGCAAGACCTGTGAAGACGACCATGAGTTGTCCGAAGGGGAGAATATTCGTTTGGTCGTGTAAGGCCTTTTCGGCCTCTCGTTGTCGATTCATAGTTGCACGTGTAGTGGCGCAAAGCTTGCTTGAAGTGAAAGAAGCTTGAAATATCCCTAGATTGTTCCAGGTATTTGGTCGAAGGCCATATGTCCCTTGTTAGAGGACTTTGTTTTGCCAAAGTATGTTGAGGTTCGAAGAAAATGCTTGGCTTGGTATTGTAGGCTCAATTGTATGAAGGGTCTCGATGTTATTTAAAGGAATAGCCAAGTTCCACGGCGGAAGATCTTCATATAAGAGTCGTTGGATTGATAAAAGAAAAAGTTTTCCTCTTCGCAGGATTTAGTCTGGATTGATCAGCGACCCTTGTCGGTTGGCGGTTGAGCGCCGTTAGCAGGCATTCCATCGGATCCAGGTCCGAAACAGGTGAAAAGACGTATGTCCGCTTTCCATTTGAGCCCAAAAACATACCGCTACATGACGAACCAGACAAGCATTGGCTTGATTCCGCGCCAGCAGCTCATTGCCATTGGTGAAGAGCAAGGTGTTTTGTGGATCTGCGGCGTCCGACACCCGATCGGACGTCCGACAGCTGACTCATGACGGTCTGGGATGCCGAATTAGGAAGTCTGTACCTCTATCTCCGGATATTTTTCCGAGGTACTCACCTCGCCACCGTTGTTTTGCAACTTTGCCCCTCGTTGTGTGTTCTTGTCCACATAGCCGCCTGTATGCTATACTGAATGCTTGAGATAAGGAGCGGCATCAAGTGCAGATCTTCATGTGGTTTATCATTAAAACTGCATTATATACCTAACCGGCATAAACTAGTGAGTCTAGGAGACTGGAGAGATAACATATCACATCTTGCGCAAGGCTGAGTTGGGATCAGCTTTCACCATGCAACTTCCTCGCAATGCAGCTAGATAGATTGAGCTAAGCTGTTCCTGATGAAGTCGCTGGCCTAAACAAGTATTCATTCACTCAAATTGAGTTATTTGATCTGCGGTCGTGTTGATCTTAGCCTCGCCATCCTTGACCCTACCAATAGTCCAAAACTAGCCTTGCTTCACCCCCAATGTCCAAATACAGCTCCAATCGAATACTTCCATCTCTCACACTGTATTCTCACGGATGTGTGCAATTGTTTTCTCCGAGGCACCATATCCTCCTTCGGCCGAATTAATTGACCCATTTCGCTGTCCAGATTCAGCATTGCCCACGCATTTGTAAGAGGAGAACTTTCGAGCAGGAAGTCGTTTCTCAAACTGAGGTTCCAGGGGCATTAGCATCAATGCCATTGCCATACGTATCTTGAACTTTCAAACTCACCATTTCATCAATTTCTTCCAGTGTGCGATCTTTCACTTCGGGGAGGTAGAAGAAGATGAAAGCCGCCGTAATCAGGCAAGATGGGAACCATATATATCCATACTTTGGTCTAGAAGGAATCCGTTGTCAATCACCTGTAACTTTGGAGAGTGCTCTCAAGTATGCCATTGCTTACCCCCAATTCAAAGAGTCTGGGTTGATGAAGTAGGGAGCAGTGAATGTTGTCAACCACTAGTCCATGATTTTCAGCTGAATCCTCAAAAGGAAATCAAAGATACGAGGATTGAGTGGCCCCTTACAGCGCCCAAGAACCCAACCGCAGCTGCAAGACCAAATGTATACGACCGAAGCCGCTGGGATGGCAGCTCTCCACCGGATAACCACGCGTAAGTCGAGATCATTCCCTAAAATACAGGATATGTCAGACTCTTGCTGCAAATAGCTTCAAGCCGTAAAGAAAGAAAAAAAAATATACTCACATTATATCCAAGGATAAACACAACAGATAGCCCAACAATTGCTTTACCCGTGGACTCAGTACCTGGGTGAACGGTATAGACCGCAGCCACTATAAGTTGGCTAAAGCCGCAAATAACAAGCCCAGTAGTCAAGAAGATTCGGCGTCGACCAACATGGGTGATGAGACTAATGTTAATCAAGATAGCGACAACTCCAACAGCAGTGAGGATGCAACTGTTCTCGAATGCATTCCCAACATTGGCCATTTCAAAGAAGTAGGTACCATATGCTGACCATTGATATCAGAGATGTTTTCCTTCCAAACCATAGTATTTTGATAGTTATTCAGACTCACCAATCATATACATAGCTCCACAAGCAGCCTGAACAGTCACAGAAGCAACAGCCAAAATCGTGCGACGCCGATCAACAGGGTTAGTGAACATATCCCATACCGAGGTGCCGCTGGCCATGTCTTGCTCCAGCTCAATTGCGCCCTGTATATCATGTAGTTCCTTATCCACAGTCTGTCGGTCCGGTCTTAACCATATCAAGGCTTCTCGAGCTTGATCGGGCTTATCCTGCTGTAGCAGCCATCGCGGAGACTCCGGGATCATTAACATACCCGCGCATAGAATTACGGGAATGACAAAGATCAGACCAAGCGGAATGAGATAGCTGTTCTTGCCGTCTATTTTGGCTGTGAAATTATCAATGATGGTCCCGAGGAGAGAGCCAAGGGAAGTCCAAAATTGAAAAGCGGCTAACATGAGGCCGCGGTAACGAGCTGGTGAGCATTCCTATATTTCGTTACAGTGGAACGTTCCCTGTCTGCTTCCTCTGAACATACCTGAATGTATAATTGGGAAAAGGTCATCAGAAGTCCGTTTCCAAGACCAATTATTAAACGACCCGCGTATAAGCCGCCTATACTGTCGGTGGTCATCATGACAATGTTTGAGATATAGATCAAGACAACTGCTATGTAAAGACATGTTTTTCGTCCGAGATACGAGGCGAAAGGTCCTAGAACAAGCACATAAGTAATTATATATACAGCTACCTCACTGTGCAAGCGACATTACCTGCCGAGCATGACCCAATGAAGGCACCCAAGGTCATCAGAGAGGCGATTAATTGTTGACGTTCATGTGATATGTTCCACCCAAGAGGAGTTTCCGGTGCTTCTTCGCCGAATATCTGAATTGAGAAGGGTAATCAGTTTCTTCAATCTCTTTCGAGGCCAATTTCGATGGAGAGACAAGAGTACGGACCTGCAAAAACCCAACCATCGCCTGGAAGCCGCCTATCAAAGTGAAGTCCACTCCATATTGAAAAGGAGACATCGAGACCAGCGAGCATGCCGCCAACGACTTCCAGTGCGTTCGAAGTCCATTTCTATGGAGATGATCACTCATTGTATCGGTGGTGTTTCTATCGCCAGACAGATAATCCGGATAGTGAGGTCATAAGCACCTTGTGAAGAATAGGTTTTCAGTCAAATAGGCGAGATAAACGGCGTTACTATTCAAATCGATCCAATGCACTCCTTTTTGCAGTGATTACAGCTTTGGCCGCACAATCGAGGCAGTATCCTTTCCTCTCTCTTCTGTGAAGCCATGCTGGCGTTTGGGCTCTCGTACTTGCAAGTATTATGATTCGGGTTTATTCCGCCCATACCAATGGGGTCCTCATATCTCTTGGAACACTTGATATTGTCCGAGAACGAGAGCCTATTGGGCCGGGCGAGCTCCACAGATTCAAGGTTTCCAATCGAACTGGCTCATCAGGCGGAAGTAATACGAACAAAGACTGCATTGAGACTATCGGGATAAGCTGGTTCCACTACAAAAGGAGACGTGTAGATGTAAGCTATAGCCCATTGGACTCAACATCTTTCCGAAGCAATGCAGCTGCTTCCGGGGACGGCTCCTGACCATGCGAAGTGCGCGTGCCGAGATTAGATGCCCGATGCGATCGGCAATTTCGATATGGAATGGTGGCAGTGTGTCTAGAGTTGGACTTGGGGTACAATTATGTTCAATTGGCTGCAAATAACTGGTTTAGTCGGTGTCAGAATCCATCGGGAAGATCAACAACCATGTAACAGATACCTTGTTATGTGGGCCAAGATGCAGTATCTTTGATTCCATTCTCAGGTACTGAGAACGCACCGAGAGAAATCATCAGAAAACACGCGTTTATTTTCGCTCGCACAAACAGATGCAGCTCTGTTCAAGAAGGCGAGGGGGGGCGCCCTGCATGAGATCATCCTCTTCGTATGGGGACGAAAACTGGTTTTTGAGAAGAACGTGTTTGACCAAATGCAAAAATTCAACACGCGGGAGTAGATGACGTGAACGGTTCGGGGCTAAGGACAAAAGAATCATGCCCAATCCTATGAACAAATGGTGTTGAAACATTATGATCCCATGTGGCTCATCGATTCCATGCCAATAGAAGCCCTGATATGATCCAGTCCCAGGTCCCCTCTGATACTACATGTACTTTCCCGCCTTACAATGTCCCTATATAGATGTGTCACCGTCAAAATCAAAACAAAGTCCTCAGAAAAGACCATGGAGCTACATTTTTCAAGATTAGATTAGAAGGTGCCATCAAATATTGGATCAAGCATCCAAGATACCAATCTTAATCTCTCATGGGAGAGAGTAAAAAGTCCAGAACTGGAACGGTTCGGACATTTACCACCATAAATTCTCGTGCATGGTCATGGTAGGGTGTCAAATCAGCTGGTCCTCGTGTTCACCCGGGTTGTAATATGCAAGCACGACCAGCTTTTGATCTCAATGGGATTTTCGTCGGCATCATCCTCGCAAGTGCTATGTTAGGTATGTGCCGATCCAATTGGGACTCCTATGCCTCCACCAGGCCAGGTGTTCTGCATGGTAGATGTGTTGGAGGCGTTAATATCATAAGCAGTAGACTCGCTCACAGCATTGTTACTATTTCCTACTCCATTTTGAGGAGGAGCGCCGGAGTGTCCCGACATGTTGCTAGGATCTGGTACAGCATGGTGGGTCATGTAGCTGGCACCAGTAACGTTTCCCTGATTCGGAAAGAAGCTCTGATTAAGTGACCCGCAGGTTGTGCAAGTGAACTCAATTTTGAAATTGGTCATAACCATTTGGGGTACGGCTGCATGATCACTGCGCTGGGGGTAATCTTTCGGTGGCTCAACCACTCCTACAGGCAAAGTAGCAGCGGTCTGGTATTCGACTCCTGGTTGAGATATAGACATTGGATGCTGATTGTGACTGAAAGGGGGTGGGTTTGGTGTGGGAATTGATGGGTGCTGCACCTGAGGTGGAGGCGGTAGAGCTTGAGAACTAGATGAAGGAACAGGAGCAGGTATGTGATTATTTGAAGCCTCGTTCGGTGAAATGTCATCATCGTCAATCAGAGATTGTGGAAGATGATCTGGAAGCCAACGGTTCTCAGATATCTCCCCGTATGCTTGTACCCCATCTCCTTGCAACTCCGGAGATTGTTCAGGTGACTGCTGTTCCCCTACACTCATGTCTAGATCGAGCCCTTGTTCATCATGGCTCTCAGCGTGTCGTGGTTGAAGCTTTGTGAGCGCACGCTGTGCCTGGCGCATAGAAATGTCATACCCATGGTAGCGTTTCACGGCATCCACGACATCCTGCGCCCGTATTTTCGATTTCATATCGAAAAGCTTGGGAATCTCGCCCAGGAGAAATCGCACATGAGAAGCCTCAGAGCGAGCAGGTGTGGCTGCAGGAGAATCTGCATTGCGACGACAACTATGGCTATCCTGGAGACTGGTGATGTAGGTCGCATTCTTGTTCGAGCGACACACCACACGAAAGAAGCAATTCGCCGATGATCGACACCCAATCACCACACTTTTTTTGTTGCTTCGGGCCACACGAAGCTCCCAGTGTTGTCTGACCGATACACTGCGTATTGCTGTTTTGAAATCTTCCAGGGAGGAAAACCGCTGGCCCACATGGAGACCAGAGTACATCTCCGTCATAGTGTAAAACTCGTTAGGGCGTAATAGGTACAAAAAAATTAGCAGCTTTAACAGCAGTCGAAGGTGCTTAGGTGACAGAGTCCATCGGGTCACTTGGCTATGGCTTCACCAGGCCGTGCTTGCAAACAGCTTGGATTGCGGAGCACGGCGTGATCCTCAAGCAAGCACCCGATCAGTCTGCGTAATGATGAATTGTCCTTGTCCTTGAGCTAGAAATCTTAGCTAGTCGCAATGAATCGCGTAATCAAGGGCCACTATGTCAGACAGCACAGCTGATTGTTGGAGAATCGCCATCGAAGTCAATAAGGTTAAGGCGGAGTGCCAGACCGCTCGGCTTCACTTTTCGTGTTCCTCCCACCCTCAACACCTCAGAGTTGCGCATCCTTTCAATTCATCCTGCGCTATCAGGCTTTTTGAGTATTAGGATCAGACGCCATTAACCGACATACAAGATGGCTTCTTACGGGTTGTTAGGCCAACCAGAAGAAGGTCGAGTCTACCCCCAGCTCATCCTTGCGTGTCAATGCTCACATCGCAGCTCTTACAGATGCGCTGCACAAATTGCGTCTCCTTAATGTCGAAGAGAAACCATTCAAGCGAATTTCAAAACGCCTCTTGAACCCGGAATCCTTCATCGTCTCGCAATCCTCACTCCCTCTCACCCCTCCCCCCGAAGAAACCGATCCCGAGTCCGACGCGACCGCAGCAGAGGCCAAGAAACAAAAAAGCCTTGAGGAATGGCGCCATTTCCGCGAGGATGTCTCACTCGACTTTGCTGCCTTCGAGGGAAGCATTGCGCGCGTCCAGTTCCTGCTCACTAGCAATGAGCAAGAACGCCAGCGATATGCCACTGAGCGAGTTCAGATTCTGTCGACAATGCAGTCCGTCCGGGAAAGCACCGCCGATCTGCGCAACCAGCTTGAGGAGGCACAGCGACTTCTTTCTTTGCGAAAGACCTACGATGAACTGACGGACAAAATCACGAGCAACCGTCTGCTCAAGCCCCGCGAAGATCAGTCGGCAAACCTTCAAAAACTGCGGCTGGAGATTGCAGATCTGGAGAAAGAAAGCAAGGACTACGCCAAGACCTGGGCTGAGCGACGCGAGCAATTCGGCCGTATTGTGGATGAGGGAATGCAGCTTCGTCGCTTGATCCGCGATGAGAAAGAGGAAGTCGAGCGTCGGGAAGGCATGCAAGAAGGCGCAGACGCGGACGAGGGGGATGTCACATTGAAGGGCAAGGCCAGTGGCGGGAACACGCCTGGTCCTGAAAGCGATGCTTTGACTCCATCCCATCATAGCCAAGATGAGAGCAGTCGACCATCTACTTTGAACGTTGAGAAGCCTGATACTACTCGTGCCGCATCTCCTTTACGGCACGTTACAGCCGCCCAGAATGATGGGTCAGGTCTCGCTCGCGAGGACACTAGTATGTTGGATGAGGGCGAAATCTCTGCGATTAGTGATGGCGAACTATCCGAGCTTGAGGAGGGCGAGGAACTCCCCGATGACTTCAACGAGAAGATGGATACTACCTGAAGAAGCATTTTTCCGGCGTGTACATTACTAGCACTAGCAAGGAGTTCAGGTTTACGGTCTGGCGCTGTTTATGGTTTCAATTTATTGAATGATATTATGGAATTTCCATCTCGTGGGTATTTTTTGACTCGACGTAACTGACATCTCTTTTACGAGATCTCGCGCTCCGCGGTCTTGGCCAAAGAGATGGCATCTTTAGCAGCGGTGATGTGCTCAACATTGCTTTCAGATCCCTTTTTGCCCTCCTCGATCTATTAAAGTTAGCCAATAGAACCTCAAAGTACAGATTGAGGATTGGAAATGAGCATTCAACTAACAATCAGAGCTTCCAGGCTTGCAACCGCCTGCACGATCTTTTGCTTCAGACTAGGCAAAACCTTCTTGGTCTCTTCAAGCGACATATGCTATGGTCTATGTCAGTATTGAAGGCGCAAAGGAGAGTAGGCAAGTTAATTCAGCGGGAGCGAAGCTTCAATGCAGAACACATACCTCTTGCTTCAGGGTGTACTCGCGGTTCTCGTCATCGCTAGCAGTATCAGTCTCTAGCTTCTTAATGCGCTCAGTCTGTTGCAGGATTTCCTTGTGATAGGAAGCCTCCTCCTTGACCAAGCGGATCACAGAAGAAGTGGTGATCTCCAGTTGCGAGCGGGGTGCCATTGTGACTATCTGGGTGAGGGTCAGTCCTGTTTGAAGTTTTGGCTCTCGGTCTTCAATTATGCTTCCAGAGAATACGCCAGATGATGAGAAAACAGTCCGTCAATTGAAGCTTTTAGAATGCGGCATCCAACAGTCCCGAGGCCAGGATACCCCAATCATCAGGTGTATGAGTAACATTGCTGTACACGGCTTTTCAAGGCATTGTGTACATATATGGGCACCACGGCAGGAAGGTAGAGCCAATGAAAACATACCTGTGAATTTGGTATTTGATGACAAGAATGAAAGATATGTTGTGCTGATTTCCGATTTCTCAAAAGTTCATTGATATGCCCCTCGATGATGCTATTAAGACGATGTTTGCACTGTTTGCTATGGCTCGAGGTGGAGCATCACGTGGTGGGAACTATAAAACGAAACCGGAGATGGCGGACGATGGATCCGAAACACGACGAAAGTCCATTGAACATGAGCAGCTTTGTTTTGCGGTATCTAAAGAGCTTTGTCCAACAGAATAGGTCTATTTTTGTTCTATGGAGTCTCAAACTCCGGGGTGGCTCCACAATAGCAGGCTGCTATCAGCAGCGTGATGCTAGAGTGTAAGACTTCGTTGGAAATTGGAAGTTGTATGGGCAAATTGAAGCCAAACCGAGTCCAGTGAGGATTCCTCTAGTCTGACCTAATATATTCTAGTTATTGGATATGCTATTAATCCTTTTGTTGAATATTCTCTAGCTCATGACAGTGTTGATACGTGGGCATCCCTTCTTAGATTGCCATGGAATCACCTTGATTTTAAACAGATGACAGACCTGATATCAGCCTTTATTTGGTTGCATATTACATCCAACCTTGCAAATATACTATCAATCCTATAGGTGTTGTTGCTTCATACTCCGTACATGTCTGTTTGAGAGGCCATGACGACGGGTAGCGCATCTCACCGCCCAGTCTCTCCGCCAATGAGCGTTCGAGGATGACTGAGTGATCATCCAGTCATTTATTTAAAGCCGAGAGCACTCCCACCTTCTGCCACATCGTGAGTCGCATGGTATCGCATTGTATCTCGCATCTTTTCATCTGGATTTTATCGTTTGGAATACTATCTCAGTCTCATTTAAGTTGTCATCGAGTCTTTACTTGTCACCATCCCATGTCGCCCATTCTGTGGTACCCATTTCGGCTTAAACCATTGCCGTCATAAGCAACATGCCGGCCCCATCACTATTTCACCTGGCCTTGGCCACAGCTATTCGCTTTGTGAAGGGTACGTTGATCAGATGATTCCTAATACTCCTTTTTGTTGGTTGAATGCATATTGACTTTCTGTGTGACTTCTAGACATGGACGATCTAGGTGCTATGCCATACATGCTTGCGCGCCCCATCTTGCAGAATGTCCACAATCCTGAGAAGCTGGTATGTTTTGCAATCATCCAATCTACTCATAATTTGCTTGCACTCTATTCCCATTTCTTGAAACACTTGCTGATATGATCATGTTCAATTTGCAGCATGCCCTCGAGGTCGCATCCCCGCATTTCACCAAAGAAGACGGAGAGCTATGGTTAGAATTCATCAAGCGTGACATTCCTGACTGGGAAAGTTACCAGCTCCCAGAAAAGACTGATAACTGGTATGGGGTGTACTGTGATCTCTGCGATCAAGTCCAACGTGCTCTCGATGCCGATGCGGAGAAAATGAAGATAGCGATTGAAGGGATCAGTGCCAAGCGTGCACTTCTTACCCCCAAGATCATCCCTGAAAGCCGAAGCTCACGCATGGCTGGGGCCCGACCCAGTGCTAAACAACGCCAAGCTTCATTTGCCCGCAGAATGGGCGGTATCAAAGCCCCTTATGAACCATCAAGGTCGGAGCCTACGCCAAGGAAGAAGCTTAACATATTCCACCCACCAAAAATCAACCCTGCTCTCACGATGCCTACCAAATCTCTCAACAACCGTGCTTCACAGATCAAGCGCGCACCCATTGGCCTTATCGAAGAGCATCAACACAGGCGCCCTAACCCAGCCGAGAAGCCAGCACCTCTGCCTCCAAAGACACAGGCTCTCCCCCACGCATCAGCAGACTCCCAGGTATGCTTCCACCGTCGCTCCAGCACCCTATGCTAGCACAAGTTGGGCCTAGGCCGCGCCCTCCGATCTCTAGGACCACTATCGTATCTCGCACTGTGTCTAGTGTCAGTGGCTCTGGCGATGCGCCTGGCGCAAAGAAGCCAGCAGATGTAGCCATCAAACCTGGAGTTAAGAGTGGTGTCAATTCCCAACCAATTCCTCCTCGTGATGCCGCAAAGGCATCCTCTTCTTCGCTCCCCGCCCCTCCCACTTCTTCTGAGCCCTCCTCTCGCCCGCCGTCCTCCGGGCCTCCTCCCCCACGCCAAGGCATCATTCGCCGGCGCCCTGCGCCGAGCATTTTCATGCCAGCGAAGCGCCGCCGTGTCTCGTGATCTTCGGATCACTGTACTTTATGGTCTGCGGGTCCCCCGAAAGGGGACCTTTTACAAATCTTCTCATTTTGCGGCCGGATTTCCGGCATGTTGTAATAGATACCCGAGGTGGTTTTCACCTCACTTGCGTGTCATGTTGTTATTATAATGTTCTGAGTTCATAGTGCAAAAAAATATTGAAAAAATTGAAAAAGTTATCCTCCACTTCCCAGAGATATTGTAGCCTGTTTCCTGCTACTTTGTCTGTACAAACAAGGAGATTCATGATCGTCTTGCGCCTCTCGCTACGCTATGAAAACTTGATATGGATGCTCTATAGATTCAGTCCGCTATACTTCATAGTACCCGACGTTGAGGCTAAATTATGTGTCTCGGTCCTTTGCTCCCAACACAGTCACTAGTAATCCCATCATATCCGAGGATTCACACGTACATCCAACTACTCCAAAATATACACGTAAATGCCATCCAAAGCTCATCATTGTGACCATGAGGCATAGAAAAACAAGCGAGTTTGTGAGAAAGTTTAAAATTCTCGAGAAACAAAAGCTCAAATAAATACCATTGACTCAATCCTAGACGCCCAGTATACATATTGTCTCACAAGTGGAGCCCAGCTCCAGTCCCTATATCACAGCAAATGTCCCCCAAGCTGTAACCGAGGCCGTGTGAAATAGACACACATTGATGTTCTTCAATGGAATCACATTGCTGCAGAAATATGGTATCTAAAAATGACAAAGAGCGGGTTACATCGACATCGCGGTGCTTCCTCCACGCAGGGCAAGCACGAGATGGAGTGTAGCACCACCTTCAAGGTTGTATTCTGAGGCTGTCTTGTCATCCGCCCTATTGGTAAGATATTGTTAGCTTACATTTCCCTTGGTCAGAGGCAACAGGCTTCAGGGGTGTCTTACATTTGCTTGCCGCCGAAAATCAGTCGTTGCTGGACTGGAGGAATACCCTCCTTCTCCTCAACGCGCTCCTTTATCCGGGAAACCTGTATAAAATCGTTCGTGTTAGTCTGGGCTTCTTTTAAAGCATAATTTGATGTATATGTTGGTAAATGGGTTCGGTCATCGCGGATGCGCGGTAGTTCGTGCGGGGAGAATCTGGGAACGCATCAAGGCTGGCGGGTGGGTTACCTTGTAGTCAGGCTCGATATCGAGTTCGATCTCCTTTCCGGTGAGTGTTCGGACCCTATTTGGAGACGCGATGTCAGCTTGCGGCTCTCGGGTTGTTCGTTTTCAGATCGGGGTCTGGCGATGATGCAATGGGGGTGGAGTCATGATGGAGCTTAGAAACGCACTTGATCAACATATTGGAGCGGCGGTTGCTTTTTTAAGAGGACTGAACAGTAACTTGGGAGCGAGAGACAGCGCTGGCAATGTAGTTGGAGGTACAGCTGATTGTCAATGAGGGCTTGGAGAGAAGATGTGAGGCCGGCGGGGTTTTGGTGGGGCCTGTGGCCTTATTGCCTGATCGCGAGCCTCACACTCGCGACAAAGGAACAGAGAGACCAGTTTTGGAGTATGATCGGGACTTTTAAAGATGATCTACCGGGCTGTTTTCTTGTTGTTTTGTTCTAGCGGTATACCTTTGAAGTATCTGTTTGTCCCCCAGAATAGGTTATTTATTCTGCTAAGTTCAACAATATATAATATATCACCTGCAACATCATCGACAAACTGATAGCATCGAAGTTTGTAAAAATTGGCTGTTAACCTAGTAATTGATTGAAACAACGCTATCTCGTTTTAGAAAAATCCACCAAACGGTCTGAAATTGGTTTATATCTCTTCTCATTCGCATAGTCCTGGTTACCCCATCGACCCCGCTGAGAGTCTCGGCCCAAACTAGAATCACCCGCAAGTCTGGAATTCAACCTCAAACAACATGGCCCATGAACTGGCACAACATGAACCCCCTGAGAATCAGTTTCAGCAATTGATCACTCTTTCCAAGAACGACCCGGTAAGTTTAAGCTATCACTCTGCAATAGTTCAATATTGAGAATTTTCACCAGAAACAATTGCAACTCGCCTATGAAACCCATAGGAACAAGAGAACCGCCGTTTTCAAGGATCAAATTTGCCAGCCAGGTTTTCATGAGTGGAAGAAAGATGAAATCCTTTCTCAAGTCCTCGAGGTAGAGAAGGGACTGACAGACTTCATCGACCCGAGACACAATCTTGCCTTTTGGGCACGTCCGCCACAACATGTCCGGGACTTGGTGTACAAGATTCAGCAGAGAATTGGTCCATTGATTGGACCTGGTGAGTATTATATCAGATTCACGAGGAATGCACAAAGACTCTACTGATCATGGCCCTAGGTCTCTGGCTTGTGCCCCCGGATCATCTCCACATGACCACCCTTGAGATCAGGTCTGCATTGACAGGACCTGAGATCGATGAGATTGCTGATGTGCTCGGAAAGAGTGATGTTCTAGAAGAGCTGGCAAATTACACCTTTACACACCGCGCCCGTCTCGTTAAGCCAGTCATCAGCTATGATACCTCTGCTATAGCCCTGAGCTTTGTTCCCGCCGCTGGCGAGGAAGAACGCAGTAGATGTAGCGGGAAAGATGACCACTTTACGTATCACCATCTGCGGAGTGATCTCTACAATAAAGTGACGCAATCTGGCTGCCCAATTGCGGCTAGGTATACTGTGCCATCTGCGCATATTACCATTGCTCGCTTTATCACGCCCAGTGGAAATAAAGATCAAAAGCTGGATTCTCCAAACGAAGTTGAGAAGAAAGCTAAGAAACTCATAAATGAGATTGAGGATCTCAATCAAGAACTCCGCTCAGATGTGTGGAGAACTTTGGGGAATCCATCTCAAGGGGAATGGGTCGTTGGGCATGAAAAAGGGCTGGAATTGATCAAGGGCAGAACATGGTACGGAAAAGGCGATAGTATCATACTTGGAAAGGGATTTGCATAGCCAACTACAAGACATACCTAGAGAATGGAGTTCAGACACTTCGATTGATGCGGGATGTGAAATGTGCCTCAGGCATCAATATCACATAATGAGTCAGCACGAAGCTCGGTGACTCCCAAAACGGTTAGCGCCCACCCGATAGGGCCTAAGCGAGTCGAATCCCACAACCCAACAATCGCACTTGCTCTCCTCCGACAAGCGACAATCCAACGACCACCACCCAGCTATCCGGCCAAGTCAGTCAAAATGGTAAGAATATCACCCTACGAGATATGTCAAAGTGTTCTGCGAGCCCCGGTCATTCGAAATTCGTGTCGAGTCGTGGAGAGATTGTATCATGTTCATTGTGCGGCCGACCTCGAAATCGTCAAATCTGCCCGCCCATCGCGAATTACCATATGATGCACCATCAAATCGTCCGATTTCCACCGGATCCACGGAGTGTGCTACACGAAAGTCGACATTGAAGAGAGCTTAGGTGGCGAAATCTGCAATATCAATTCCGGTGATAGATGGGATCGGGGTTTCAAGTCGCAGACCCAAATGGGCGCACTCTGCGATCCTTTCGAGCCTCAGCCCTACAACCATGCTTTTTCCCCATGAACACTCGTATTCGGCCAACGCGATCAATCTCTTCGCGACTACAACAATTTCGAACTGGACCTCGGGGCACGAACCACATTGACATTGATCTCATCCGCTTAACCAAACCAAAAGACAAAAGCTCATGACATATCTCCGTACAGGTCAACATTCCCAAAACCCGCCGGACGTACTGCAAGTCCAAGGAGTGCCACAAGCACCAACAGCACAAGGTCACCCAGTACAAGGCTGGCAAGGTTAGTGCCCTCGACACCGGGATGGCAACGGAGTGCCATTGCTGACGGACTTTTGTGTATTATTTAGGCCTCCCTCTTCGCCCAGGGTAAGCGCCGTTACGACCGGAAGCAGAGTGGTTACGGTGGTCAGACCAAGCCCGTCTTCCACAAGAAGGCTAAGACCACCAAGAAGGTTGTCCTGCGTCTTGAGTGCACTGCCTGCAAGGCCAAGAAGCAGCTCGCCCTGAAGCGTTGCAAGCACTTCGAGCTGGGGTATGTTGCATCTGAATCTACTATTCTACTGTTCAGTACTAACATGTCTCTTTCTACAGTGGTGACAAGAAGACCAAGGGTGCTGCCCTCGTTTTCTAGATTGTTCATTTCCTTGTTCGGCTTCTGGGTTTCCTGCATTGCACAAAGTGCTTCGCTGTTATTGCGGAGCATATATGACCTTGGCAATGGAAAAATGAAATAGGAATTCATCTATTCAAAAACACCATCTATGACTACCGGATTATGAGTCGTTGAATGATTATCTTTTGCTTCAGAGTAGGGCTGTTTGTAGCTGTCGACACCGTAGCGGGAACCCCTTATCTGCACGCTTATATCCCGTCTGTATTGCTGCATCGTATGCTTCAGGGCGTTATCTCTGGCAATGACCCCAAGCTCGGATATCTCGACTGTCATAGTGGGCTGAGCGCCCCGTTCTTGGCGAGACTTACTACAATGTCCGGAGTATGTATATACGAATCCTCAATATGGATCCACTATCTACCCGTGGGGTGTTTGGTGAGACTTAACAGAGTCTCACACGCCTTGCCTCGCCTCATCTCAAGGCTATCGGTGCAACCAAGGGCCACACAAGGTGCCCAAATCCTCCTGTCCACCAACCAGTTGAAGTATATTAGTTCGGACTCGGCACATCCCGATCCCTCCGAGCACTAACAACCATGACACGGGGCAAGACAAGATATTTCGCCTTTTCAAACACGGAAATTGGCTTCCACAACCCACTTCAACGACTACAACGACTAGAGCAGAGCAGGACTAGTTCGCCTAGAGGACTCGACGAGCGTGGGGGTCAAGTAAACGCCAAGATGTCATCCCACGATGCTAACCCAAAACCCAGATTCACACCGGCAAGGGTATGGTTCCCTGGAGCAACTCTTGAAGCCGAAAGTGAAAGCGCCTGAAATGAAGACGTGGACCCCCACCGTGCGGGATGAACTCTCCCGAAGACCCCAACCCCCGCATTCCGGGGACGGGACATCGAGTTCGATTCAACCAGCCACCAGCTATTTCGCCAGGGTAAAAGGCTGAGGAATTCGAATGAGCCGATGATCTTTTCTCTCTTCAGTACATACATAGCTTGTATCGGAACCTACCCCAGTCCCCCGCCTCCCCAAGGCTCGTTTTCCCCCTCGGTTCTTCTCCGATATTGTGAGCTCTGCGCGGTCCATCCCATGTATCTCTACGGAGTACGGAGTATGGAGTACTGTGTGACGCATCCTCGGCTCATCGGACGCAGCCCGCTTTGTTCTAGCAGGAATTTGATAATATACCGGGGGTAGCTCTTGTTTTTAGGTCTTAGTGATCTACATTCTTGTTCACATCTGGTTTCTGTATCACTTGCTTATATCCTTACGAGTTTTCTGATTCTACAGAGGATCAAGAACCCTTCAACATGGCGATGTGGTATGCGCTGGGTATCGCTTTCTTTGCTGCCATCGGCACGTTCTTGTTCGTAGGTTGAACCCTGGGATGTTTGTTCCGAGATCCTCTAGTCTTGTCTCCAAAAAGAATATTAGTCCTAATGACTGTATAGGGCTTTGACACTGGCATTGCTACAACGAGTAAGTTAGACTATCTAAGAATGCTATATTCGCAACTCAAAACTGATGGATGACTAGCCATTGCCCACCAAAGCTGGATTGATTATATGAAACATCCATCAAATGGCCTCACAGGAGCTGTATGTCCCGTTGAATTGCCGACACAATAGAAAAAGACAAGAGACCTGATTATAATAGGTTGTGGCCGTGTATATCGCCGGCGAGGCCGTCGGGGCCCTAACGCAGACATTCATCGGTGACCGACTCGGCCGCATCCGCTTCATGGAAATGATGTGTGTAATCGTGACCATCGGCACCGTCATCCAAACCGCCTCCGTCAACATTGGCATGTTCCTCGCTGGCCGTGTGCTGGCCGGTTTCGCCGTTGGGTAGGTCGCATATCTACATATCTCAAACACAACCAGCCATGTTCGCCAACGGAATAAAGGCTAACAAAGCATCCTCCCCCAGCGGCATGGTCGCCACCGTCCCGATCTATCTGAGCGAAATCTCCGATCCCAAATACCGTGGTTTGATCGGTGGAATCTCCGGCTGCGGCATCTCGTTCGGAACAATGATGTCGAATTGGGTGGGTTATGCTTGCAGTTATGCACCCTATGGCCCCATCCAGTGGCGTCTGCCTCTGGGTATCCAGATTCCTTGGGGGATCATCATGTTCATCGGTCTTGCGACGTTTATGCCGAACTCGCCTCGCCAGTTAATTCGCAGTGGGAAGATTGAGCTTGCGCGGAGTGAGTTTGCGCGCATTCGGCGGGGGCTGGCTCTCCATGAGATGGAGGAGGAATTTGGTCTTATGAAGGCGCAGATTGAGTACGAGATGGAGCGGGAGATTACTTCGTACCGGGAGGTATTTATGCTATTTAGACACCGGGTGCTGGTGTGAGTTTTTCATTTATGCTTTCGGTGGGGGTGTTTGGGGACTGACTCAGATGTATAGATCGATTGCGGTGCAGACGATGACAAGTTTGACGGGAGTGAATGTTATTCAATACTATCAGAGTGAGTTCTGGGGTGTGAGTGTGTTGGCGTCGGGGATGTTGTATCGCTAATTCCTTTCTCAGCCATTCTGTACAAGAGTCTTGGAATCGGCTCACACTCAATCCTCGCTCTGGCTGCGGTCTATGGCACGTTTGCGTTTTTGTCGAACTCCCTAACGACAAAATATCTCACTGACCAATGGGGTCGTCGAAAGTAAGTTAACTATGGGGTTTTATATTATATGGCACCACTAATGGCCCGCAGAATGATCATCACCGGATTAGCCGGAGTCGTTTTGATCGAAATCTACGCCGCGGTGATGCAAAGAGTGTTCCAAAACACGGATAACCGCATTGGGAAAGGCTTCGCGATACTCGGGATCTATCTGTTTGTGGTTTGCTATTGTACGGGATTTGGCACCTGAACTGCACGATATGATTCGCTAACTCGGGAATTTCTCCATGTTAGATGGCATGCTCAATAGTACGACATGGCTGTATGGCGCCGAGGTGCTCCCTATTGCTCTTCGCAACAAGGTGATGGGCATTGCGGCGGCATCTCATTTCATCGTGAACGTTGCCAGTATGGCTTACCTGCATGAATCCTGCGAGATAGGTTCCATGAATGTGATATGGCTAACATGGTTATCTCCGAACAGTCACCGAAGCCGGGCCCAGTGCTTTTGCCAATATTCACGAGAACTACTACTATGTCTTTGTAGGATGCTCCGCGTTCTTCCTGGTGATCGCTTACTTTTACTTCCCGTGAGTAACCGATCCACCATCAGCTCCGCCTCCAGTTCCATTTTATCAGTCAATAAGACATAGTGGAGCAGCTAACATCCACTCTATAGGGAAACCAAGCAAAAGACTCTGGAAGAGGTGGCCGCGGCGTTCGGCGATCGGGTTGTGGACCAGGACGAAGGCACTAAACGCGCGACCAGCGTGATTGGCGACACACAGCACGTTGAATCGGCGGGTGCAACGGGCAAGGGAGTCTAAAACCCCCTTGCATGAAGATAAAGTGATCAGGGTTTTTTGCGGGGGGTTCACAAGAAGGTTACGCCAATGCGATTCCCCTCGAGATCCGAATTCCACGTGTTTTTAATATTCCCCACGTTAATTCCGGAGAGGTTACCTTGTGATAACCAACTCTGGAAGCCCTTGGGAGTTACTGGCTGGTATCCATGGATCCGTGTAGAGTAGAGGACAATACCCCCCAATTCCCACTTGCGAAATTAATTGTGGCTTTTCTCAAACTACCGAAGCCACAAAGTAAAATCGGAAACTGCTGAGCTGCATATCCGGCCGAATGCATTGTCGAGGCCCAAAAGAGATGCCTCTGAGGACATTTCGTGTGTTCCCGTTTCAGCTTTGGTCTCCACTCAACCAGCATGAGCAACGGAACGCGCCAAAATAGACTCTTGAGTGTAGATCATGACTTGCGTTTGACTGATGACCAGCCGTCGCTGCAGTCTTAGATTACCTACGTAATAGATACACTTGAGTCTCCGGCGACACCGTTGTACACAATGTTGTGGCTTGTGCCCAGTGGAGAATCCGGTGTATTCCCTCGGAACTGCGCCACACAATGTGATCTTGACATTGCTCCACGCATGAGAATCATGTCCAAGCGCGCAATAGAAAAAAGAAAACAAAGTAAACTATCGCTACCGCGGGGAATAGTCCGTAAACTCACGATCATTTGAAACCGGGTTTCCAAGGTACAGTTCTGCTCCCCCTGGATGCTCCTGAGATCGGGAAGAAGACTATTTGCCACGTACTTTGTGATTTCCAGCTGATGTCCCATATTTCGTGTTTCTTTCAGCTATCCGTCCCTCGCAGGCTGCCTTTTCGGATTTAGTTCGGAATTGCGGTCAACGAACGAAAGCGTTAAAGTTAACCGGATTCCCGAGAGCCAGGAACGCACATTAGGCCCGAGCCCACTAAGAAGAATAGTGTCGCACAAAGGGAAATATAACGGATTCTCACACTTGATATGTCAATCGATACATCATACGTTCTAAAGTACTCCGTACGGAGTCCTAGGAGGCGAATGTGCAAGAAAGAAAAAAAAAAAAGAAACGAAACGAAAAAGAAACGAAACGAAACGAAAAAAAGAAAAGGGAAGAATCAAAAACCCAGGGAAGCGGATCAAGTATCCGCATGCTATACAATAGGGCTAATTAACCTCCTAGTGAAAAAAAATAAACACTGTCTGACACGAACCACTCTGACAAGTGACGTCTGGGCTGAAAAATAAGGGTAACGTCAGAATTTTCATAACAAGCTCGTGTTTTGCACGTTTTTCCCTGTTCTAAGTATGGCGCGTTGGCGCCCGGACAGGGGGATTGGTTTGTTGTCATAGGCGCATCCGATGTGGCGCGGGTGCCTTACCCCCGACCAATGAGCAGCCGAGGGACCAGCCCTGTTGCGCTTGTGGTTTGGAGCTGAAGCAAGGGGGAATGATCGGCATCCGAGTGGCTTAGGCCAGTGGCAACGGGCATTTGGGTGTTTTGATCCTTGATTACTGTCTCTTCGCCCATCCTTACCTTACTCTCTCCAGGTGTCCAACTTGGCGTCCAATGTGAGTCCATTCGCACCTTTTTTTTTTTTCGGTCCGGAGCGGGACTCGGAGGTGTTTGAGACCGAACCCTAAGCCGCACTGCATCCATGGATTGCCAGGTGTATCAAGGCCCTATTAGGACTAACCCATCCCGGCACTCCGTTCCAGTCTATACTCCATTCTGTTTAGTGGCATCGGATAGGCGACTCCGCTTACATCGTTGATCGCCCAAGCCCCATCAAGGAACAATTTCCACTCTTCTAGAACTCAGGGTTTCATGCATCGGGCTCGCCGTAGTCAACCCTTGAGTCTTGATCCTTTTCCCTTATTTATTTTATTGCCTTTTATTTATTTAGTTCTCGGCCCGCGTGAAGACAGGGGCAAAATGAATGGGACGCTAAGATTCACTTGGTTAACGCAACCCAACGTGGCTGCTTGGAGGGAAAAAAAAAGGGTTACCTCCTATTAATAAAGATCTGCCTGGAGTATAGAAAGACCTTAACCGCTCTTAATCTTCAAATGTCATCCCCATCTAGTGGATTTTCTATATCGTGATTTTCTTGCTCGATCCATGGGCCCATGACCCCCCAACCAGGGCCATTGTTCCCAGTCCAATATCGTGGAGTAACCCCCTTTTTAAGATCGCACGATTCCCAATTTATTGTTTCTTTTTTTGGTTTTGGGGGTGGTTTGGGTTATCGACAATCCTCTTATTTTCTCTCCACAACCCCTCGAACGAGGTGATTGCGCCACTCTCAACTTCAGGTTTACCCCGACATTCTTATTCCCCCTTCTATGGCCTCATCCCGCTCGACTGGCAAGCGTCTGCCCATCAGCTGCCAGGCCTGTCGAACAAGAAAGATTCGATGTTCGCGTGATGGCCGACCATGTCAGACATGCGTGCGACGCGGTCTCGGCGCCGAAGACTGTATTTACCTCGGCCAGCCGCGGCTTTCAGCTGAACACGGCTCGTCTGGGGATAACATCGTGCAGAACGAGCTGTTAGCCCGCATTCGAAATTTGGAGGCCTTGCTCCAGAAACAAATGAGCGCGCAGACGACGCCCTCTGGTGGCGCGCTCTCGCCACTAGGTGGGACGAGTGCTGCTGGCAGTTTCTCCGAGCCTGATATTGGCTCTGGTCTGGAGGCTTGGGACACGCTAGGTCCTATGATGGATAACGTTGGCACTTTGCATACGTCGCCTTCCGGTCATGTCCGCTACGTGCCACTAGCTTCGCAATGGGAGTCGTTGGTGGCGAAGAGCCCCGCTGCGGAGTGTTTACGGACTGCTGACTCGGATGTCGCGGAGGATGATGATGATTTGCAGATTCCGTTGGCGAAGAATGGGAGTATATCACGCGCGGAGCTATTAGCTATCTTGCCGCCTGGTCGATATTGTGATACACTCAAGGATGTTTATTTTCAGGTCTTTTCTACGGTACGCCCCAAGAACAACCGGGGTGGGTTGCGGGTTAGCTGATCATTTGCCAGGTTTTCCACATCCTTCACGATTTAACATTCGAAGCGGAATATCAACACTTCTGCCACGATCCGGGCAGCGTGTCGACATCATGGCTGGCATTGCTCTTCGCCATTCTTTCAATCGCTGTAAGCGCACTCGACGATGATCATCCTTTGCTGGCTGATTTGGGGCGAGAGCGAACGGTCAGCCGAAACATCAAAGCATTGTCAGCACGATATCGCTCTGCGGCATTGCGATGTCTCGCCGCCGATGGAGTGATGTCCCGACATTCGATCAACTCATTACAAGCCTTGATACTTATAAACTACGCCCGAGTCCACCGTGGACTACCGATTTGGACATTGCTAGGATTCACACATCACGTTGCGATATCAATGGGCTGTCATTTAGATCCAGAACGATTTGCACTTGGACCGATCGAGCGAGAAGAGCGACGGCGGGTTTGGGCCGGATTGATGATGCTTTATACCATCCAAAATACCGCATTTGGGAGCCTCGACCAGCAGCCTCTAACCCACGACGTGAAAATGCCAGCGGATATTGACGACGTCGATTTACTCACCAGCCCCAGCGTAAAAGGGGCAGCGCGTTCCCCATCTTCTCCCCGCCCAACACAGATGACCTACCTTCTCTTGAACTTTCGGCTGTACAAAATCTCCTCCAAAATTTGCGAATCAATATTTAGTTATCCCAGCACCTGTCGCTACACCACCTCCAACCTCGAAGCGGAAATCATATCCGTCCGTGAAACAATCGACTCCCGCTACACACTCGATACAAACGAACCTGTCCTCGTTCACCACCAGGCCAACCACCACATCCTTTACAGCCAAATCCACCAGCTCCTCCTCCTTCTCCTCCGTCCCAGTCTCTGCCGCTATCTACAAGGTGAAATCACGCCCGCAACCTGCGACTCAAGAGCAAAGTGCATCGCATCCGCCAAGGCCTCGCTGTCCATCTTCCAAGCTCTCCTCGAAACACCCTCGTTCAAGCCTTATAAATGGTATACCAGCGGACTCGGCAGCTTCCACGCTTTCCACGCTGCCGTCACATTAGCAGTCATCCTGCTCATCCCGGAAAACCAATCCGAATACGAAGAGATCAAAGAGCTTCTCGACCGAGCACTGGACATGTTCGCTTCACTCTCAGTGCGCAGTGTTTTCTGCAGCAAAGCAGTTCCGATCATTCGACAAATGATGTATGTCAAATGCCCACCCTTGGAATCCCCACTCCTACTCAGCAACTAACCTCCAAACCCAAGTGACGTCGCTTCATCGAAATACAACCCCCGATCACTCACCCATTCGCAAACCCACCTCCAAGCGCAGGCGCACGCTCAAGCCCAGGCCCAAGCCCAACTCCAGCAACCACAAGCCAACATCCCGTCCCAATCCCAACCCCACAACCACCTCCGACCAGCCATCCAAACCCCCATGTCCTCAATGTCAACCCTATCCCCGATGGTAGCAATGCAGGATAATTACGTTCATTCGCACTCGCAATCTGGCTCGCCGGTACCGACCATTGCATCCACCTGCAGCGAGCCAGTCATGCATTCCAATTTCGGACAGATGCATCCACAAAACTGGATCGGTCCTACGTCTGTACCGTGGGATACACTCGGGCCTGGCGCAGCCGGGTTCGGGTTCGATTAAAGGCTCTCTATGTCTGAGATGACATGATATGGATGGACTTTTGACCGGCGCGACGCATGTTCGCGGGTCTGGGAGATGGACATATTAAACATGATATGGGTGGCTTATATTATCTTATAATGTTGGTCATGAGTCACATGAGCTATGAACAGATGGAAGACATTAAAAGCATTACTTTTTTTTACGTATATATGAGAGATCCGTGGGATCGACGCTGAAAATGACCGCTTTTGAGGCCAAAAATGGCTGCCTTGCCACCCTTTGACCGCTGCCCGGTAACACCTCCAGGGCTCTCTTCCGGGCAACTAAGCACTTTTAGTCATCCTCCGGTCCTGCCCAGGGGCATGTGATGTTGACGCTCGACTTGCACACTTGTTCGCCTCGTTTCCACACCAAAACGACACCAAAATGAGTTCTCTTTCAGCTGATTCCAAGTACCCTTCCTTTTCGCATGGTTCACCCGTAAGACCATATTGCGGGATGGAGCTAAGCCCCTACTTGGGAATTTCCCCCGTGTGATTGCGGAAACTCTGGCCGTGTAGGTACCGGCTATTGATTCAATCGCCATTTCAGTCGCCGGAACTAGACAGCTGGATCTATCAGCTGGATCTATCACGGGGGCTTGTTGTGACAATGACTATATTGTTTAGAAAGAATTGAGGATGATGTTATAATACAGGCTACTAACAGGCTACACGGTGAAAATGACATTTCTAAATGTAAACAGCGGACCTCTGAATTACTGTATCCGGTGTTGAGAATCATGTCTAGGGCCTGATTCCCCTTTTTGGGACTAGTCGACGCTACACCTAGCTCGACAAGGACCCTTTCTTACGCCGATAATGTCCAACCCGAGGCTACTCGGTGGAATACCGGAATGAAGGAAAGGCACCAATAGCAGTACATTTGCAGATATCATTGAGATCTTTACACAATGCTATACCTTTTAGGGAGACCCGTTCTTCTATACAGACCCAGCATTGTAGACAGTTATCAGTTGAACCATTGTTGAAACCACACAAGCTACCTAATGTAGGTATATCATAGGTATACCTTGTACGGAGTACATAACTTCAACATCCGGTTAGTTTTGCTTTTTAGGGTTTAGCGCCTCAATACGCCGTCACGTACGTAGGTACGGAGGTCCTCACTAAAAGCTCGTAATTTATAAAATAGAAAAATAAAAAAGTTCCCTTGATTTACCGCGTAATTTTTAAAGATTACCTACTCTGTATTATACCTAAGATCCTCTCGAAGAACCAGAAGTTACCTTTGTGTAAAGCCTACATGTAAATATAGCCCTGGTATTGAAGCGTAATTTAAAAGTCAGGGTTTGGCTATGTTTGCACTGTTTACAGTCTCATCGGAGCGCCCCACCTGGGAACCCGACATTTGGCGGCTCTGCCATGTCAAATCCGAACTAGGCTTAGTTGCTTTTCTTGTACTCCAGGGCACCTTCCATCAGTCTATCACCTTTCTTCACGTTTCCTTCCCTTTTCATCACTGATATCAAGTCTGTCTTACCTTTCATCAGCTTATCGTCTTTTCTCATCCAGCTGAACTATTAGCATTGCTGTTTTCCCAACAGCTTAATAGCCTGTTACCTCTTCTTTTGTCCAGTTTGATCAGGCCTTCGTTTTCTTGCCTGTATTATACCGCTAACATGTTAACCCTAGTCAACGATGGAGTTCCTGGTGACCCCCGCAATGGCAAGCATGCTCTTTTTGTGGCCAAGGAAATGACTGACTCATACAAATTAGGCATCACACTGGCAGACAATATTAAGCTACTTTTCGACCAAGGTACCATCGCGATTGTACCTATCCCCGGCCCAATGCAAAGTCCAACTCAATGGAGGTGTGTTGTCTTGGATGAATCAAAGAAGGAGAACATCATCGGTACCTTGAGTGGATCCTATATGAAACTGAAGGTCAGTATTGCAAAACCTAGAGTTGAGTATTATATTAATGATATAATAGGAGATTGACAACAAGCCATTGACGTTCGTTACTAACAACCGTCCTCGCCAACAGTATTTGTACTTTTGTTTCATTATTGCGTACCTGGATGCAAAGAGCCGAGGAGCCAGTGACGCCGTTGCGAAAAAGGTTGAAGCCACGCGTTTCTGGCCTTCTGCCGGCGAGTACCTTAATCGATCAACTCTGGTTACATTAGCCCTTTGTGTTTCAGGATCGGAACTCCCTAAATCCCTTGTTCAAGACAAGACGTTTGACTCCGGGGATACCTCCACTCGTGACGTTGACGCTGGAACTGTGCTTGGAGCTCATGTCCGGGATGCAATTCTTGCCATGAAGAGTCTCTAAATCATTGCTATGCTGTAGCCCTGGAGGACAAGCCATGGATGTTTTCACTCACTGTCAAAGGTTACAGCCTACATATATATACCTCTTTCTCCCTCTAGATGTACCCAGATACACACAATCTATATCTTTAATATGTATAAAGCGAATATTCAAAGGGTGTTTAACCCTGAAGATTATCTACAAGTCCTTAAACCCAGGAAACCCGGCATATCGCCGCTGCATAACAGCCAACCCCTCGCCATCCTTCCCATCAACCGGAGGTGTACTCTTCATAGCATGCATTCCTAGGAACTTCTCATAGAACGGCACCGATCGCTTCCAATCACCAGTGAACAACAGCGATCTCCGTAGATAAGGCATGTCATCGATGATTTCCCGCATGCAGGCCAAAAGCCACGATCCCAGTCCGAGGCCCTGGCATGAGGGGAGGACAAAGACGTCTGTTAGGTAGATGAATGTTGTGGTGTCTGTGATGCAGCGCGCGAAGCCAATGAATTCAAGCCCCTCTGAAGTCGGATCTGGGGTTTCATCTTTCGTTGAGTTGTCGGTCTGTGTTTGGCTTTGACGGTAGAGACCGAAGCTGATGGAGCTTTGTAGGGTTTGTCGTATGACGGGTTCGGGCATGGGCTTTGCCCAGTATACTTCATCGCTGGCGAACCAGGTGTTTAGGGTTGCGATGGGGATGAGGGATGGGTCTGTTGAGACGAGGTGTGGTCCCTTTGTCCAGGTTTTGGGTTGATCTTGTAGATCTGTGATTAGATTGGATGTGGACATTTTGGTGAATTCTGGAGGATGTTAGTTCAATTGGCTCGATTGTGGGGAATCAAGAGTTGTTCACTATTTAGTCCACCTTTCTTTGTAGAAAACTATGGACAAATTGGGAAAATTCGCATTGAAGAACAGGAGGGTAAGAAAAGGCTATCTCGGAGAATTGAGCCTTCATATAGGGAGGGATACGATCTGTGACTCACAGCATTGTACAGACACGACACCAATTTTCGCCAAGACGGTTGCGAGGAAATTTGGAGATGAGCAGATTGATCCGTTTACGAGGGGCGCCTTCCGATGACATGACTGTACACAATCTCAAGTGGAGTCAAATACGGAATACGAGATGACAGTCGAAGTATATTGTATGGTGTATGTTGTAAAGTCATCACTCATTTACACCAAGATAATCGCACTATTCATAGAAGACCAAGCATCTAACCTCAATGCTCTGCCGCCCAGGCGAACCGGCAGGAGTCTGCGGATCTTCGAAAGCAGTATGACCAGATCCATGAGCAATATCCGTCTTCCCCTCGGTCATAGTGTGACTCCTCGAGTCGAAACACTTGATGAACATGACTTCTTCGGGCGTCATATCCTTAGCATAGAAAAACCGATGCCCCTCATTAGGAGCAATAGCGTAAGTCTCCCCCTTGACTTCATACCCTTCTGTCGAAAACGTCGACGCAGAATCAGGCGCGACTTCCTCGTGTTCCTGCCACGCCTTGGGATAGAGCAAATCAACCTTAACGAAGTCCTCAGGGGCAATGCTCCTCCAATCAATCAGCGCCAGCGGGAAATCAGAAGCTGGGTTCTCAATCGGCCGCCAGACATTGATAATCTGGTACCGTCCCTTCAACAGTTCCTCCACTTCATCTTCCGGCAGGTGGCGGCGCAGCCTTGCCTCAGCAGCCCGGGGCGTCTGGTCCACGTGGACTAGCTGTACAGGGCTGCGCGCTGAGCCCGAAATGCGGCGGCGGATGGTGTGGTCGAAGATGACGACTTTTTTCACGCCTGGCAGCTTCGCCCGTAGAAGGGCTTCGACTTCAGCGTAGTACCCCGCTTGCACTTCTGCGTCGTCGGTGAATGTGGTCTCCTTGGCTGGTGAATTGTACAAAGCAAAGCCAGCATTGTCGGTGTTGAAGTCTGCCTCCTGGCCGCGGAGATCTGAGACTTTGCGCTCCCGATCTGTGAGTTTGTAGGAGTAGCCTGGGCCGTCGACTTTGCCCCACGGTTTCTTGAATGGCTCCGTGGCGGTGGCATCGTACGAGGCTGGATCGATGTATTTGAATGTTGCTGTGGTCATTTTGTTGGTAGCTTTGATGTGATCAACGTATTTCGAAGATCTTGGTGTGTTGGAGTTATTAGATGGGATATCCCTCTTAATGGGAGAGATGTGAGTTGGCAAATTGCAGATGAGACAGTAAGAAGATACTACGTGCTATCTTCCAAATAAGAGGTAATTGTTGAACTAGATATATGCGCAATCTGAATTTCTGACGACCGATTGGAAATCCACCTTGATTACTAATTGTTTTTGGTCGGGGCCTCCCGAGGTCGTCAGCGGGGCGGAATTGGCGTTGCGTCATCGGCGGATACTCCCGCTAGATCGATGAGCTATTTGTCACTCAGATTTTGGTTCCCATAGGAGATCCAAGATGTATATAGAATGGTCGCAAGAGCATTCTATTTGAGCCTCGCCGTCACACAGGTAGAAGGCTATGATTTGTAAGCATACGCAGGACTGAGATGTTAGGCCTGATTCCCAGCAAACAGTCGTCTGAGATTGGCATCTCCTCAATATCTCTTCTCACTAGGCCGTATCTATATATAAGTATCGCTCCAGGGCTCTAACTCAAATTATTAGATAGTCTTCATGACCCGCAAGGGTCTATATACCCCCGATACTTGAGGATGCTCGAAGCCGGCAAAGTGCAAAACAACCACTAAAGAATATAACCTCAATATCGCACAAATAAACGTAATACTAGCTTGGCTATACTTAATAACCAACCATTAGATTTGACATCGTGCAGTCTGTCGGCGAAACACAACGCTATATTCTAATACTCGTGCGGGGTCAATCCCGGAGATGTTAGCTAATGTAGGTGAACATCGAACGGGTTAGAGTCTCATTGCATAAAGACATAAGAGAAGGATACCTGTGATTATTATACCGGCCCGGAAGTATCCCGCTCCTGCATATCCAAAATTACTAATGGGCTACACCGTCACCGGACTCATCACTTATATTCAGGGTTCTCCTGGGCTTTTGTGCTTCAGAGAGACTAAAGCAAAAGATACATATCAGACTCTCCTTCGTTACATCTGCCACGGCAATCAACCCGTCTAAAACTATCTGCTCCGCAGTACCTTCACGGTCTCCGGTGTGTTGCGTCCGGTCGCATTCCGCAATGAGTCCACTTTCTTGCATACACCTCACGTTCTTCGAGCGGTTGACAAGTGAATGTTACTAAGTGCTGCTCCGGATACTCGGGATGCTCTTGACTCATGTCTTTTAGGTGCCTCTTTTTGAATTCCATCGTCTCTTGTAATCCCGTGGGATCTACGTCTTTTGATACTAGGAAAGCTGTGTGTCGATTTATACAGCAAACCTCAATCAATCAGAATTTGCAGGATATATGTAGATGTAGACGCCATCTATACAGGGATTCTAACCTGATTTTGCTAGGGCATCCTCTCGTACTGAATCGTAATTTTGGGGTGATTGGCTCATGTCATCGTCCATTCCAAGGTTTAGTACGTGCTATGTGGACGAATAAATCTAAAGAATGACGTATCTTCTAGATTTATGAACGGCACACCCTAATATAGCTATTTTTCACAGAGAGAAAATCCTTTGTCGGCCAGAAGTGAAGGTTTCCCGCGGACCCCGCTCCTGAGCTTTACGAGAGACAACCTCGGTCTCGAGGTTTATAATCATAATGAATACATGCATATATTCTTGTCTTACACAAAATTTGAGTTTTAGACTCTGGGGATAGTGCCTGGTATCGATGTCGACATAGAAAACCATGGTCTCATAAGAGTAAGGAGGAGAACTAACAGTCATACAGTGCAACATCGGGTCTTTTCGATTGGCACAGATGTCACACCGACAGCTAGCTTGATGATAGATCTGCACTCCAAGAAGACATCAGGCGACTTCCACTACATCTTTGTGTCGATCCTTTCTTGCGTCTAGTGGGCATGGTCGAATGAAGGAAACCAAAGACTCTAGCTTCCACTTTGTTCATCTATTGGAGTGATATAGGTGATATACCGTTGACATCAAATTGGCGAGTAAGTTATTGTATACTCTCACATATCCAGGTTGATAGATTAGGTGCTGAGTATGCTTCAGCAACCCACGGCACCGAAAACCTTCGCATATAAGCTTCTGTACTCTTGTCCCCTCAGCTCCCACATCTTCACAATAGATACTATTCTTGTACCGCGTGCATATTCCCCGAATACTACATCGGCGTAGGCAAAACAACCTAAACCAGCCACATGAGGTTGTCGCAAAGTCGACAGCCAATCGCCACCCGCCCTGATCGCACGGTCTCAGGAACATGAAGACTCAAATCCAAGTAAGATCCAATCCCTGATCTATGATGTGGCTATAAGATGATACCTCTCGAAGTGATCGACATGGGCTTTACGGAGGTTGCGCTTCATCCCGACGGGTGCAGGTGAACTAGTTGACTTGTTATGGTCTGCCTGTCCCCGGGAAATTCCACACGGCGCAAAGGTCGGCCGAATGAGAGGGCTTGTTGCAAGCCAGCATACCCCGTGGAAGCAGCTCATGACCTGATTTGAGCGGGGTTATTCTCTTTCAGCCCTAGACTCATTCCTGACGATCTTGCTGCTTTTGGCACTCTGGGCAAATGCTTGGCGCAATGGGAAGTGCTCATCCATCTGCGACCTTGATGCTTACCCACCGTTGAAAGCTGTATGTACCTTATTAGATGCTGCTGGTACCTCTCTGCGGCATTGATGTGCCTGCCAATCCCGAACAAGCGACCAATCAGACCTTCAGCATGGAGCATTCCTCGCGGTCATGTCCTGACAGGGGAGGGAGTCGCCAATCAGATTCAGTTCAGATGGACGTTATTCATCCCGCGTGGGAGCCCTTGTGATAAGCTCAATTTATGAATACCCCGCAGATGGATCACGTCTACGCTCCGCATCTATGATTCTAGATGGACGTTGAGCCGATGAGGCCCAGAGCCACACGTGGGAGGGGGTTGGGAAATGAATGGGCCTGAGGAATGTTGCGGATCTTTGGCTAATTGAGATATGTCAGGATGCCAACATATAAGAAGGGAGCCTGTTCCCCGCAGTTTGGATCGAGTGTCCAGCGAGCAATCACTTTGCCCATACCTTCAATCGGATCATTCCCTTGATTCACAATGAATCTGAATGCTCTTCTTGGCTTATTGACCTTCGCGGCGGCAGTCTCCGCTGCCCCCCAGAGGGTTCTCAAGTCCCAGGCTCATTCTTCGGATTCTATCGCCAACCTGAAGAACAAGATCAAACATGTTGTCCTCCTGGAGATGGAAAATCGATCTTTCGACAACCTGCTCGGTGGCCAGACTTTGAAGGGATTAGACAATCCTATCAACAATGGCCCCTTCTGTAACCCGTATAACCTAACCGATCCTTCTGCGGGTAAGGTATGCAGCGTTGCGACGGACTTTGATTCGATTTTGAACGATCCTGATCACTCGGTGACGGGAAATAATATCGAATTTTTCGGCACATTTGTCCCCAACAATGACGACATTGCTAAGCGCAAACTCAAGCCCAAACAGCAGGGATTCGTGCATGAACAGCTACGTCTCTATGGTGATGATGTGGACAAAGCTGCTCTGGCCAAGCAGGTGATCAACTACTACACCGAGGATGAAGTCCCAGTCTTCACTTCGCTAGTCCAGAATTACCTGACGTTCAACCACTGGCACTCGGATCATCCCGGAGTAAGTCCATATCAAATACCCTATTTGATATCCTCTAAGTGCTAGAGACTAACGTAAAATAATAGCCCACTAATCCCAACCGGGCCTTTGTCCTTTCGGGCACATCTGCCGGCCACGGCACCAATGACAAGGCTTTCAACCCAGACACTCACGGTCTCACGCAACGGTCTATCTTCCAGCAGCTCTCAGAAACCAACCGCACTTGGAAGAACTACTACACAAGTGCCAGTATGGTTGACGCCTTCTTCTTCGACTGGACCTTCACCAGCGGAAATGACGACAAGGCAGTTCCCCTGAAGGAATTCTATGCCGATGCCGCAGCCGGCGAGCTCCCGGAGTTCTCTTTTGTCGATCCGTCCTGCTGTAGCGTTGGCACGAACTCCATGCACCCTAGTGGTCTCGTCTCCGATGGTGAAAACCTCATCAAGAGTGTCTACGACGCAGTGCGCGGCGGTCCACAGTGGGAAGAGACTCTCATCATCCTGACCTTCGACGAGACAGGTGGATTCCACGATCACGTCCCACCCCCTCTGGCTACCCGTCCAGATGACCTGACTTACACTGAGACCGCGCCCAATGGTGAGAAGTATACCTTCTCCTTCGACCGTCTCGGTGGTCGTCTCCCGACTCTCCTCATCTCGCCGTGGATTGCCAAGGGCAAGGTCGAGCAAAAGGGAACTGACTCAAACGGTAATATCGTGTCTTACTCTGCTTCTTCGATCCTGCGCACTCTCGGTTATCTGTGGGATTTCGAGCCTTTCACTCCTCGTGTTGGGTCGTCAGCTTCATTTGATCACCTGATTCAGAAGCAGGCGCGGACTGATACTCCTGAAACGTTGCCGCAGCCTGTGGCTTTCAGGAGAATCAATAATTAAGTTTGATTCTCTGTTGATTCCTGCCTGTCGGAATTGTACAAAGGCTTTTAGCAAGGAGGTAGTACGTGCTTGGGCATAGACATTGCTCAACATGCTTGATGCATATTTGTGTCAATATTTCAGTTGCCAGTGGTCCTGCTAGATATTTGTTACTCTGTATATTGAGAGAAGTCCACTTGGCTTTTGGAATAATCGCGCGGGTACTGTGAATATTTATAGCCAGCAGAAAATTGACAACCTCAGCTTTCAAGCTTAAATAGACACCTGAACCAGCGTAGGTACTGGGAATGTCATGATAGAAGAAGTATTGTTCAGTCCTCAGTGTCAACAGAAACAGCAGACCTTCTGCAGAAAATCATCTTCAGTGAAAGGCACATCATTCCCATCCCCGAAGGAGATGTCGTTTGAGGAGAGCGTTTTCCTCTACCGGTCAGCCGAGATTTGATATTTCTATCAAAAAGAAAGAAAGGAAAAATGCAACGGAACATCCAACAGGAAAAAAAAGGAGAAAATTACTCGAACAGGAAATGCTAGAGCAGAGGCTTCCGTCTGACCCGGGCATAGAACACCAAAGGCTCCAGGATATCGGAATGACCTGTCTGCCAGATCCAATGACACGGAAGTGCAATGCCGTCGGGCCGACCTTGGAAGGCAATCTGGGCGCATCACCTGGGCACATGGAGACGTCATGTTGGGATTGGTCAGGAAACGGGCTCTCCGGGCGTCATCTGTGCTGATGAAACACTGATCTGGCAAGCGCTCTTGTGGTTTTAGATAGCGCCGGGATGTGCCTATATCGCATTAGTACCTTATTTGTACCCCGAGCGTGTATTCCCAGTTAACCATGGGCTTTTGGTGTCGGACAGGGTTTCCCTAGGCGCTTTTCATGTTAGGAAAAGCAATGGAAGTTGGCGCCTGCAAGAGATCAGACAAGGCAATATTGTTTGTTTGGATTTATATTTGTTCTCTTTAATGGAGTAATATATCGGACAATACCTTATAATCCTAAGGCTTTGGTTTTTGACCGCATCTTCGCATTTCCCTTTGTCTGAAGGATGGGAGGCGAAGTGCTCAGCCTTCCCCAAGTGGCCGAGAACGCCCCGCGCCCAGCAGACTGACGTCATCCGCGGGGCTCTCACAAAGAAACAAAGACCAGGGCGAGGATTCTCTGCCTCTTATTGCCCCGGTGGATAAGGGCTGTGATACACTGCAGTGATTTCCCTCGGTCAAAGGGTATGAGGGTTGTGTATGGGAACTCCTGGGCGCTTATTGGAACGAAGATGCTGCGCTATGATGCTCGTATTGTCGAATCGATCAGAGAAACGGCAACCTAAAATGCCGACCCGAGACCATCGGCGTAAAATTAATCTATAATATAAGGTGTGGATTGCCGCCAATCTATTCATGTCCTATCAACGGGAAGTGCGCGAGAGTGTTCTCATGACTATCTGCATATAGCGCCGATCCATTCTCCTGGGCTTGTTAGATGCAGCTGTCAACCGAATGACTTTGGAATGCATGGCCTCTGTCAAAGTACCGTCCGAGAGACCGGGCGGTACATGTACATATGTACATGTAATGTATACAAAGTAGGACCCTGGGTCACAAAGGTCAAAACCATGGAACCTGCCCGGATCAGTTGGTAGAGTCCATGGGTCGAAGCGGGAAGGACCAAACTCGTCAGGTAAACACTGGACGCCTGGGCAGTATCGTACAACGTAGGTACAGTACTCCGTACACCCTCAACACGAGACAAACAATCCTAAGCGACTTCTCCATCGTTTTGCCACAGCCCCCGGGCAAAGGTGCTGCCAAACCCCCAAGAGCCTCACGTGGTTGCCTTATCTTCGGTGTCTTCGCCTCGTTTCTCTTTTCTCTCTTCTATTTCTCCCCATCTATTTCTCATTTCATCTTCGCTTGTCATCGCTGTCAACTTTCATCTCCACTCCAAGACTCTCCAAGTTAGACACAGCGGTGCAGATCACCTACTCTTGAGGCTGAGTCGGTTGAGTGCGTGCCGACTCTCCGCTCTCTGCCCTACAGGATCCTTTCATCATTCTGAATCATTATTCAGCCCACTGTGGTTTCGCCGGCTTGTCTTGGCTTTGACTCTGTGTGGCCAGATCGTCGTTACCAATAATCAGGCTTGAACTGGAAACATCCCCATCCATTAGTCGACCACAGCCTCTCTGCACACACCCCACTTCCGTGCCGCCCCCCTCAGTTCCCTGCATTGTGCATCTTACTTTTTTTACTGCCCCTCGACATCTTACTTCTCGAATCATTTTTCAGTCTTTCATAAATTCTTACTATCTTCATTACATCCCATGTCGTACACATACAGAGATCGCGAACGAGACTGGGACGACGGGCGTTCGGTGTCAATTAAGCGCTACGTCATTCCTGCTGATGACGATCGTCGAGACTTCATGTCGAGACACGAAGACCCGTACAGCGGCGAGCGCGAACTGGTCATTCGGCGCAAAACTGATCGCGAGGAGCCTGTGAGCATCACGCGCTACGAGCGAGAGGTGGACTACGAACCACCTGTGCGCTACGAGAGGGACTACTATGAACGTGAGTACCTGAATCCCTACATTGGTCACCCACATTTCCGGTCCATGAGTTTTCCTGGAAGGGCGGAGCAGTACCCTGGCTCCCACTCGAGAATGACCCATACTTATTCGTGAAGCCCGCAATGCGTATACTAGTCCCCGTGAATCCGACTATGATGTCGTGCGCCGCTCTGAGGTCGATGAGGACCCGTACTATTACCACCGCCGCCGTCGAGTCCGCGAGTACGAGGACCATCGGCCTCGACGTGAGCTGAGCCCCGATGACTCCATTTCTCAGGCGAGTCGGCGTCGCAGCGATCGTGACCACGACTACAGCAGCGATGATAGCATGGTCTACATCAGGAAAGAGACCTCATATGACGACCACCCCCACCACCGTCGTCACCTCGCAGAGGGTGCTTTGGTGGGTGTTGGCGCTGCTGAGTTGTTGCGCAGCCGCAGTAAGAAAAACGGCGAAGTCAGCCATGGCATGAGTCGCATAGGTAAGACCGTTGGTGCCGGTGCTCTCGGAGCAGTCGCTGTGAATGCTGCGTCGCATGCTCGTGACTACTACCGCCGTAGTAAGAGCCGTCACCGTGCCCACTCCTTTGACGATGATCGTTCTTCCCATCGTCACCATAGACACAGCGGTGGCCGATACAGTCGGAGCCGTAGTCGCTCGCACTCCCACTCCCGTGCGAAGACTCTCCTCGAGCTGGGTGTTGGCGCCGCAGCTGTGGCTGCTGGTGTGGCTGCATTGCGTAGCAAGTCGAACGCCGGAGACCGCAAGAGTCGTTCTCGCTCTCGCACTCGCTCCCGCTCCCGGGCTTTCAGCCGGGGTCGCTCAGAGAATGGCAGGGACAGGGATGGATCGGCTCGTAGCATGTCCGAGCGCCGCAAACACATGGCTGGTGCTGGACTGGCTGGTGCTGCAGTCGCTGGCCTGGTTGAGAAGGCCCGCAGCCATTCACGCTCCCGGAAGGGTGAACGCTCCCGCTCCCACAGTCGTATCAGACAAGCTCTCCCCATCGTGGGTGCTGGTCTTGCCACTGCTGCTGCCACCGGTCTCTATGAGAAGAAAAAGGCCGAAAAGGATGAAAAGGACGGTTCGAGCCGGGGCCGCCATCGTTCGAGGTCTCACAGCCGCGCCCCATCCTCTTCCTACCCTGATCCATCTCGCGACTCAGCTGGTTTGATTGAATACGGCAATGACCCAGTCGCAGGCAGCATCCCTGCTGAACACTACTACGGTCAGCCTGGCGGGCCCTACTACAATACGCAGCAAGCCTACAGCCCCAGACGCCAACCACGCAGCCGCAGTCGTAGCCGAGCCCGCTATAGTAGTTCATCCGATTCTGACCGTGAAGGTCGCCGTCGACGAAGCCAGAAGCACCGCAGCCGCTCACGCGACCTCGCAGGTGCTGCTCTGGGCGCAACAGGCCTCGGATACGCCGCGCACAAGTTGAACGAGCGCCGCAAGTCCAAAGAGCGCGAGCGCGAACATTCGAGTAAGTTCCCACTTCCCCTCATTTCCATCGAGAAATATTCACCCTGACTAGTGGCGTAACCAGAGTATGAGGACAACATCCACCACGACCCTTATGAAGAATCCTATGACCCAGAGCCGTACCCGCATTCTCCACAAACGGCCCCAGGCCCTCCACCCATGGCCGATCCCCACTACTACCCCAACAACAACTATTTCCCCCGCCTCCAGGCGAGTCACCCCACAACCTGAACGCTACTCCTGCACCCTACAATCCGGCGGACTACCCTCCTCCCCCTGGCGCTGCTCCACCCCAGCCGTACGCCTACGGCGCTGTGCCACCACCAGGACCAGGAGCTGAACAGTACGCACCTCGGCCGCGTAGGGCTGATGAGAATGTGAGCATCTCCACCCTACCCACTGATCCAAATGATGTACACAAGGGTGGGTTCGATGAACCACGACTGTGGCTTCATAAACTATACATAACAAGAAGCTAATCTTTAATCCATAGGTCTAAACATACACCCATTCCCATCGTCCCTACCTAGGTCAACTAGCCAGCCGCCACAAGCCTCGAAATCTGTCGCGTTCGACTTGACAGATTCCCCACAGGATCCTGGCTATGAGACCGATGATAGTGACTCGACTGTTGAGCCATATTCATCTTCGTATCGTGATGACAGAGAACACCATCACGATCGAGATCGAGATAGCCATCATCACCATCATCATCATCGCCGCCGCCGCTCTTCTCCTGTCCCCCATCCACCTGTGCCCTATCCCAGTTCTTCCTTCTCGAATCATCACTCTTCCAGTCACCACCACCCATCATCGCACAAGTCTCACGAAAGAGATGAACGTGAACGTAACAGACCTTCTGAAACAGACTCAGATTCAACAATTGACCTACCCAGTCGCTTCGACAGACAGGGTCGTCTGCTCCTCGAGCAAGAGCCTGTTGTGAAGACTATTGAAGACATCGTCAACAAGGTCAGCAAGATCTTGCTCTAGTGGTGGTGTTAGCTTCCGCTTTCAGTTCCTCGTTGCCTCTTATTTTACCTTGAGCCCCTTTGATACTATATCCACCTTGACAGATTTCCTGGTTCAATCCCCTTTGATTTTTTACAGTTACTTCGTTCTGCACTTGATGATTTCCGTTCCCTGCCTCTTTGATATACTATCTTTGATTTATCGTCTGTTTCATAGGGTTATGAATGATGCCTGCTGCTGATGATAATGATTAACGACGTGTATGTGTGTTCAGATAGTGCAATGATTACTGCTTTTTGTTAGATAATATGCAGGTTTATAGATCGACTAGACTCATGTAGATGTTAGGACTCAGTAGGAAGACCTCGGATGTTAACTATCCAAGTTATGAGTGTCTCCTGACTTGTGCTGAATATTGACATTCAGACGAAATATAAGTAACAGATCTAATCAGAGATTACAAGCCAAGTCAAAAAATAGAGCTGGATGATACACAAACTTTTCAATCGTAACCTATATATCATCCCCAAAGCCCGAAACAATATGCATGTCAATATTTACAAGCCCGAACAAAAGATATCCACATAATCTCTAGCAGTATGAAACAAGATTTCAAAGCCCAATCCGCCTCGTATTCGAAGACTGAGCTAATGAGGAGAAGAATTTCCAAAAAAGGCCCTGCCGCCATACAAAACCAAAGGTGACGAAAAACGATTCCAAGATTAGCCAGGGACCAGATACATAGTATGGATACAGCGTGCACAGGCACAAAAGATGGAAATGGACAAGAAACTTCGAATGGAAACCTGCTCAGAGAAACCTGCTCAGATATAACATGGCTGGGTGCCGTGTGGGAATTGGAAGCATGAAATATAAGAAAGGATTTGCATCCATCTCGGGGAAAGAGGGAAATGAAAGATGAGAGACCAGATCTGAGATCCAACAAGTGCTAGACAGAGTTGATCCGTGATAGGACTTGCTAGAAGAGCATAAACAGGAGAATAATGCAAATGGGTATACCGCGGGAAAAGTCTCAAGCCAAAAGCATAGGCTCTTTGCCTTTTTGTCTCGTTACATGAGTGAAAAAAAAAATTAGAAAGATTAAAGGAATAACAGGACTGTCGTAAGTCAATGATATCGATCTATCGCTAAATTTGTTATGCCGTGAAAGGTCGTCTCGAAACCTCCGAGCTAGGCACGGTGGAACGGGTATCAAGGGGAGGAAGGCGGACAGGTGGCTGCGGCACAGCAATTTGGACTGTGTCGTTGCTCGGCGGTGTTTGTTGCGGATCATTGTCATCACTATCAGGAACGACCCTGATGCTGGAGCTGACAGAGGCCGAGAGATAACGCGAGCTTAGCGGAAGCTGGTATTTGATAATACCACGGACAGTCAATTCAAAGGGATGTTGGAGGACTCGCTCCCAGCGCTCTGTACCTCCTGCTTCAGTTTTGTTTCCTGGCCGGGCCAGACGAATTTGTCCTTTAGAGCTCGACGTGAGATGATTCCAGGGAGATGATTCGAAAGAAAGTGGCGAATCGAAGTGGAATACACGGCCGAGCAACATCGATCGCGGATCGCCTTCTGGGTCTGAGGGGGGATCGGTGCCCTTATCAACTCCATCGTTGGTGTGTGTGTCAGAGTCACTTGGCATGGATTTATCAATACAGGCCGCATTTCCCAGACACCGAATGGTTTGTGACAAGTGCCAACGACGTCGACTTTGCTCAATGCGTGGGAAGTTATCCAGATCTCCATGCTCGCGCCAAAACTTGTCAGTCCCAACGAAACGGCTTTTTGCGAATATGTTGAGATCAGTGTCATCGATTGTGACAGGGAATAAGTTCGGATTGACAGCTTGCACATTCAGATCCAACATCAGTTCCTGTTCTGATGCGAGCACGTTTTGAATGGCAATGACTTGGACATCTAAAAGAGGCTGAGTTGCTGCAACAATGAATGATGTCGCACCACCGGCGACAATCAACATGAGTAGGAAGATGATGGCACAAGAGCCGAATCGAGAGAATAATCCACGCTCGCGCTGCGCCATGTACTCCATTTGCCGCAAGCTTGCACTGTTAGGCCGGCGACCATTACGACTGTAGATTGACCGTGGCGTGCCCACCAATGGCGTGCGTTCATCATCTGCACCCTCTGCTTCAAAGTCATAGGGATGCTCGCCGCCCTTCTTAGCCCCGCTGATAGTCCTGTAGTTGGGAGACAATCGAGTGTTGCTGTGGCGCGAATGTCGATAGGTATTACCAACAAAATGGCGCGGAGACTTCTGAGATTGGGATGGGGCGTATGGAGAGTCGTTGTCAAGGAAGTTCGAGTGCGCGCTGCGTCCATGAAGACGACCAATGTTATGATGTCGAGGAGTGATAGTTCCACTTCCATCGGCCCTGGAAGACCGCGAGACACCATCGCCCTCAACAATATCGCCGTCAATACTGCTGTTGTAGGCGGTAAACTTCATGCTGCGTTTGCCTGTCACGCCATGAGCAGCATCTCGCAACCCACGTGAGCGACCAGCCAGCTGGTCTGCCTGACTCACCATGGATGTCGCACTAGGCGTCCGGGAGTGATAACGGGGAGTCCGGGAAGGATATGGATCAGGCGGGTTCGAATCGTAAACAAAAGTTTCGTCAGAGTCCGAAACATCAGCCTCATCGACTGCACTAGCCACTCTAGCCTCGAAAATGTCCGCCTTGCTTGTTACAGGGCCCGATGTAATGGTATTAGGTCGACGGTGCTTTCTCTTTTCTTTGCGCGGACGAATCGTCTCATTGGAACCTTTTGTGCGTAGAGTTCCTTGTTCAGAACGAGTAGCGTTGCCTCGCTCACCATTTCCCACTCCCATGGAGATCTGCGGTATCGAGCTGACCGTCTCTGTTTCCACAATCATGTTACGAACTGAGCCGTCAGCGGGCTTTCCGCGAGCGCCTGCACTGAGGGATGTTGTCGATCGTTGCGACATGAGGGCCCTGGGAGTCTTAGTACCAGACGCCTGTGGACGAGGCTCTTCCTTTGGCTCCGAGCTTCGATTTTCACCACTGTCGCTGCCACTGCCTAGATTTTGAGCGGGGGCGCGTGGGGTGGTTGGGTCTTCATCTATCCGGTGCAATCGTGGCTCTTCCGAGATCACGGACTTTGCAGCAGTCTCACTGGATGGGGTCGAGGGATTGCTTGCCATCTCTTCGACCGTTTCCAGGAAGACCCTGGCCCACTGACGCCCCTAGTAACTGCCCGGTTTGTGCTTCGGTCCGGTTTTGGCGTAATTTCCTCCAAGGGTAACGAAGATCTCTTGTGTGAAGTATTCGGAAGTGTCGACTCCATCTCGGCGCGACGGTTCGAGGCCCATGATGGCATATTGGACTTTTCTGGACTAGGAACATTGGCCAACGAGTCGGGAGGAGCGGAGAGAAGATGAGGCTTGACGGGAGAGGAAGCAGAACGTTGAAGGCTCGGTGTCGGTGAGTGCGTAGATGGAACAGAAGTTAAGCCGTTCGGGGGTCGGGTTGGGCTGGATCGGTCTTGGCTAGCCTTCCGGTGGTGTGTAGATGCTCGGCTGGGGGAGGAGGGATTGAGATTGCGTGAGGAAAGTCGGACCGGGGAAGATTCGCGGGAGGAAACAACGGAGTTGATGGTTGATGCGGGAGCGGAAGTCGGAGGAAAATTGGGATAAAGCTTAGGCATCTGAGACATGGGTTGGGCCTGGGATTTAATGATAGAGCGTTCCATCATGCCATTTTCGCTGGCCGACAGATGCACTGGGTCTGACGCCGCCTCCCCATCCCTAAGCCCTCTGGATCGACCAGAGGTGCTGTTAAGGTGAGGCGTGCTCTCGGACTCCGCAGCCATGGTCCCTGTCGAGTCAGAATGGGCTGACACAACACAGACAAGTCAGGAGACCCGAGAGGTAGCCAGTTGGGCAGACACAGGACCCGAAACGGCAAATACTAAAAGCAAGGCACAGCGCCTAGACAGGGAAAGCTCGACGGTGAAGAAGTGTGGCGGAAAGAGCGAATGAGCTATCACGAGGATCAACCGCGATGTTGCGCAGAATACGGGTCGTTACACATGTGAGGGTACAGGACGAATAGCCGAAGACCACATGCTGTTGCCATAAAATGGGGGATCTGTACAGAAACAAGCGAAAGGGCTGCAGGTGCAAGGGTGGTTGGGGAAACTGGAGATGGAGATTGTTTAGAACACCAAGTGGGCCTGGTCAGGGTAGTGCAAAGAGCACACACATCCCGATGTTGCTTTCAGTCCACGAAAAACGAGGTCTAGAACGAAGGAATTGAGAATCCTTGGTTGGTTCAAGGCGAATGGAGACCCGCCGATCCGGCTCAACGTCTCTGGTCTTACGTTTGTCCAAAAACCACAGAGAAGTCGGTGACCAAAAGGTGAAAAGTGGCTGAGAGGGTCGGGTTTGTGGCCGAGGCCAATGATCGTTGCCCACGTCAAGAAGGGGCGCCCACTGCAGGGAAGCACGGGTCTAGAATCCTGTAGAATCTCGGGATGGATTATAGATGTAAGCACGGAGGACGGAGTAATAAGGGTGATGGAAGTAGGGAATAGCGAGAGAGAGCAAGATTTAAAGGAGATGAAGTCACTGGAGTCGACTCTTCAGGTGGTGACCCGTGGGTGACGTGGAAACCGGTAATTAATGGTAATTAATGGTAATCAATGGTAATCAATAGTAAGAGATGGTAATTAATAGTAATAAATGATAATAACACCTGCAGCCTGCAGGAAATAATTAATTACCCATGTAAGGGAATTACGATGACACTGCCCCCCTGTGTACTCCGTACACATAACACACTGCTTCTTCTGAAGACTCTTTTCTTTGAGATAGCTATATATCTCTTTGGCCTCGATGGGCCAATGATCGTGCCATCGATGTATTTTTAGGGTTTGCAACATGTTCCTGTCATTGTGTCTGGACAAAGAATCCAACAACGCCACGCAAATCACAGCCTGAATGAACGAGTAGTAAGGGTACAATCAAGGACAATCAAGGACTATCTATAGTAGGCAATAGTGTGAAAAGCATAGGTATGAAAGAAATAGACAACTAATGTACAGTTCTATCCTAGTAGGCAATATGTGTACCTAGATAACCACCCAAATGCAGCACCATGAACCCGTATATCGTCACCCTAGAAACCGACACGCAGCGTATTCCTAGCGAGAAACAAAGACCAAAAAGAGAAAGCAAGAAAAGACTCCAGGGTTCCCAATTTTCATAACGAGCCAGTTAAAACAAAAACAACCAAAACAGGGTATCGATCCAGCCAGGTAGATCCCAGAATCTTCCAAGATGGGGACACATCGTGTCCGTTCATACAATTTTGTAGACTCGTTTAGCAGTCCAAACTGAAACGAATGCAAATACACACAGACCGGCAGTAACTATTGCAACGTATTAGTGGTCAACCCAGAAATGGAAGCAAAGAAGAAATCAGGGAAACACTGACTGCACCAGAACCAAGTCAGGCTATCGATCTCTTGACCGGGGACTTTAACGTTCATCCCCCACATGCCGCAGATGATGTTCATCGGTAGCACAATTGTACCAAGAACAGTCAGCTTACCCAATACATCGGCAGTATGTTCCTGGCGCTCGTTCATGAGGATGTTAATCTGCGCGAGGTAGTTGGAGTGGGCGCGGGAGAGGATCCTAGAACAACACAGTCAGCGGGATTACTGCCAATATCCACCAGACCAGCCTTGAGAATAGAGAAAACACCTACGTTTCATAGTGTGTAAGGTTGCCCGTCATTGTCATAATGTGATCCTGAATGTCACCCAGGTACAAACCGATCTCTGACTTGGGTGCGACCTCCCATTGCTCATTGCAACGCTTGGCGAAGCCCTTGACTACATCCGCCTTGTTGCTGAGCAGTCGGTACAGTCCCATGACTTTCTTGCGGCATTCTCCGACTCGTCGGAGCATCTCTCCTGGGGCGAATGAGGGAAGTACACTGTCATTAGACGACCCTTCCTTGCTGGATGAGTGCATCTGCATGATCATTTCATCGATTTCATCAACCTCATCTTCGATGGCCTGAATCAGCGGACCAAACACATCGGTAATGTCGTCAATCAGTGCGTACGAGATCCAGTCCGAGCTCAGGATCAGGTAATCCATCAGTTGACGAATGCGCCGCCGCACATTGGCCGGATGGGGTGTTTGCGAGAAATGGAAGGATATCACGCCCTCGCGGAAAACTACCACGTACATATTCACGGGCTCAAGATAATTCTCGCTATTGATATCTTGCTCAAAGGTACGGTAGTTGACGAAATAATAGCTGCGGAATAACTCGACCTTTTCTCGAGCTTCTTGCATCATGATATCTTCTGCTGTCAGTGCGTGAATTCCAAACGCTTTGGCAATAGCACGCATCTCTGCATCTGTCGGTGAGAGAACATCCAACCAGAAAGTCGGTCGCGGTCCATACTTCTTAGGCTTCGGCTGAGGGGTTGCGTTGGGCGATGTATTCGACTGTGCCGGTGATTGCTCTCGATGTGAATCTGGTCGTCCTTCACTGATGACAGATAAACGCGATGGTCCTCTGGCAGGAGGGACATTGCCAGCCATAAGGTCGCTTGTAGACTTTCCGCTTGGGACAATAGATTGAGGTGTCAGGTGAGGGTTGACATTAGTTTGATGGCCTTGAGCTTGGCTGTCTGGATGGGATGTCGGCTTGGTGATGGGTTGTGTTGAGTGGTTTAGAGATGGGTTCTCCATAAGAGATTCTTCCTCCGTTTCCTCGTCGGAGGAAGAATCCTCCAATTCGGGAGGATCTGGAATGAACAGATCGCGGAAGCTACCACCTGGTTGTACCAACTCCGAAATGGTTTGCGCATGAATGGTGCTCGGGAACTCCTCGTTGAAATAGGTAAATCGATAAGGCGCCTCATCTTCTTCGCGTCGCCAGGTTTTGTACTGAGGTCGCAACCGGCCCTCGATGAACATGGGCTCACTGATCTTCTTGACTCTGAGGTCTCCATTGCGCTCCTCTTTCTCCTCGCGGCTCCATTCTTCCAGTGCAGAGAGATCGGGCCACCGGCGGTGTCTACGGCGCCGGCGCTCACCGGTTTCATCTCGCAATTGCCTAGGTCCCTCGTCTCCCAATTCGGATATTGTTTCGGTAGGGAAGCATACGTCCTCCTCGGCTGGCAATGCCACGGTACGGCGCCGTCGCAATTCTTGGTGTGGTGAGAGCAATGGTGATCCAGGAGAAGAGGATGGCGCAGAATGTGGCTGTAATCCATTTCCATCTATGTCAATCAGAGTGTCATTGAGCAGATTTAAGGAGTCCCGGCGATTCTCCATCGACCGCGCGAGAGAGAAGTCCCAATCAGCCCCAGTCACCACAGCATCATCATAGTTCATCTCCGGGCCCAATTTTGGAGACCCGGGAATGGATGGCGGGTTGTTGACATCGTAATCTCGCTCCACAGTGGGAGAATAGACTGGACTGTGACTGTCCTTTGGCGAACATCCCGAAGAAACAGTTTGAATAGAAGGCTGCCGAGCACGAGATGCGAACAAACCCGCGCGAGTATCTGTTCCATATCGAGTATGGCCGGGTGTGTGACCCGAGATTGGCCGCACCAATGGTGTCCGGTCATTGACTTCGTCTTCGTCACTATCACCATTGTACTGCTGGTGGCTCCGTCCGCCTCTTGGGGTACTGCGGGGCTGCCCATCGTTCGATCGGTAGATATTGGATACGAGAGAGCTAGGGCGGAATGAAGATGCGAGGCGACTGTCACGGCGAGGTCGCATCAAAGGTTGATCCCTGTTCGAGAAAGCCAAAAAAATTAGTATCTATATCAAGCTTTGGTTCCCCTTAGTATCAGGATATCTTACCGATGATCTAAAAGCGCATCACTCTCCAAGCTTGTATTACTCAGATTGCGCCCCAATTTGAAGAACGATGGGGTGTCCCTCGAGGTTGGCCGATCGGCCTCCATTGGATCTCTGACACCTCCAGCACCCGAGTCCTCCCCAGGAAGATCATGAGATTCCTCTCTACTGGGCGGAATGAAAGACTGGTGCCGATTGCGACGCTTGCGATTGCGGTTCTTCTTGCGTTTGGGGGACTTGGAGGGTTTGCCAGCGGCACTATCAGCGGGGGGTTCGAAGCGGGTCTCGCTGGCTGGCGTAGTCTCGGAGACGGGTACCGGGCCAGTCCCTGGGGACCGGCCACCGCTCATTGGGTCGTAGTTAGCGTTGTTATCATCAGAAGGTGGATAATCGCTATGCTGTAGATGTTTTCCTGAGCTGGACGAATGTGAGGAACGAGACGGTTGAGAGGCCGCTATGCCAGATGTCGGGGTCATGGATGGATCCATTATGACAATCAGAATAATTGGGTCACAATGAAATTTGGGTATCTCCAGTACGGAGCAGTCGTACTGGAGAAATGAGAATTTTCAGTAGCTCATCAGCCAATGGAGCTAGGCCAACGCAAACGGGGTGCTGGATCATAGGCTAAGACTCGCAGCAGGCAGAATTTCCGGCTTTCCACGCGATCTGACTAGCGCTGTTGATCACGGGGAAACCGACATCGGCATGGTTGACAGCACACTCACTACCCAGGCACCACGAAAAGAGCTGCAGCTCAAGTTGGCGATGACGCGTGTGGCAATGCAGGTGGGAACATTAGGCTGAGCGAGGCACGAGAAGGACAGATAAGAACAGACCTGAAATCCGCAAATGGTTGAATATCACCGTGTAATGAAAAGCTGATTACTTGTACAAATGAGAGAGCAGTCATAAAGGAACCCCTGCAGATAAGATTCTGACTCCCAGCTGATTTCATGGAAGACCCGGCCTCGGTCGGTTTCCCGAAACGGAACGGATGAGGTCAGCACATCTATGAAAATGGTCCTTGAGCAATGTAAGAGAACGATGGATGTTTTCGATCTATGTGACTTACTTGAATGATTGTTAGCCTAGTGTATCTTGTCTCTTACTGCAATTCCAAATATAATGCACAAGGCATACCTACCAAGACGACCTACCTCGGCGAACACGAAGCCGGAGGACTACAGTGCAAAAGCAAATAAAGTGAGAATAAAAGGAAACAGAAATAGATTATTACATCGCCAGGTCAGAAGTACAGGTCATCACTCGTAAGACATCAAAGCCATGGTAAATACACATCTTGACACACAGTCTTGAGGGGACAAACAAGGAAATGGAATAGAAACAGGGAAATAGAAAGCAAATAACTCCATATGCTTCACGGTCATCGAGTTTCGATGAGCGCTACTTCAAATAACCCGGACGCCAGATCTCCGAGCAGCAAAAGACAAGAGGAACAAAGATTAAACAATAAGAGTATGGATGCAGCAAAGTCGCATGTAAAGATGGGAACAATCGTGATCAGAGTGTGACGCCTCAAATCACATTGCTCATGTCCATCATAGATGACGGTGCAACACTGTGGGCCACGCTGTGGACCGACCTGGTAGCATCGATGGACATGCGGTCGCCGCTCATCATCTTTGATAGCTTCTTGTCTTTGCTGGGGCGAGCAATAAGAACCTGAGCGGGGCACACGACAACCTCGTCGTCACCCTCGCCCACATCATTGCCCTTTTTGACGACAAGAGGGAAGAGCACGATGCGCACAATCGACTGTTTGGCTTCGAGCTCCCCATTGTCAGTGGTCAGACCACTTCGCTCATTCATCAGGGCAGCATTGAAATACACTTGGCGTGCAAGGTCGCCATTGGTATCGTATTCAGGCTGTAGGGGCGGTAACATGATGAATTCAGCCAGCTGGGTGCGCATCTCCAAGGATAGATTGACTGCCACCCGCATGATCTTGCGGAGATTATCCAGGAGCTGGGATTCAACATGGGACGGAGGAGGGAGAACCAGGGATAACGTTTGGAAGATCTCTAGAGTAACAGCCTCCGTGTCGTTCTCACGTTGCGCAGCGAAGGCTGGTCGCCGGGACAGCAGTGTGAGGGTGGTGGCTCGCCAGCGATGCACAGCACGGGTTGGGCCAACTTCACCCAGTTGTTTCTCAAGGGACTTGAGTTTTTGACGCTGCTCCCGGTCCATGCCAAAGAGATAGCGGGTGAAAATGTATTCCCAGACCATGGTCATGACCACGGACATGAAGACGTCGCGGCGACGGACGCGATCAGACAGGTATGCATCGGGATCAGAACCATCGAGGAGCGCATTGTCAAAACGGTCTGCAACTTTTTCATCCTTTACCTCACTGAGGGGGCGGCAGCGACGCTTGTCATTGTGCTTAGAGAAGCGCACAACCCATGATTGAACATGGCCACACAACTTCTGGCAAGCAGCATCGAAGTACTCTTCATCACGGAAGACAAGGGCATTGTCGTGTACCGAGGCTGCAATTTGTTGTTGTAGCTCCTTCACCTTGTCGCGAGCCTCCTCAAGTTCGGTACGGAGGCGGCGCAATTCTATGTCTTTCTGCGCAAGAGCCGACTCAATCTCTTCTCGAACTCGATCATGTACTTGGGACGACAGTTGGGAGTGTTGTGACTGCAGGTCGGCAAGCTCGCGCGTGGACGACTCGCGCAAGGCGTTGACCTCAGCTGCATGGGTGGCAGCGAGAGCAGATTTGGATTCTGTCAACTCCTCGTTCTCTTGAGTCAAACGAGATGTCTCCTTCTGCAACCATTCCACCGAGTTCTTCAATTGTTCCACCTCTGATTGACTGTCGCGCAAATCGCCGTCGCGGGAGTTGAGCGCACGGTCGCTCTTTCTGCGCGCGACGCTGGAGTGTCGCAGCTTATGTTCGGCTTCATCACGGGCGGCGATCAACAGGCGATTTTCAGAAATGAGCTGGTCGAGGCGGGTTTCGATCTCTTGCAGGTGCTGCATGCTGCGACGACGGCGGACACTAGGCGGTCGGCTGGGCGACCGCGGGGAGTTCGGCGTCTCACCCCATCCCTCCTACGGAAGTTAGTAAACAAAACCAAAACAATCGCAAAGCAAAAAAAGATCCAATAAAACCAAAATTAATAACTTACATATACATCCGACATCTCTCGCAGCGGACGTTTGCCCTTGTCGGTGACGGGGTCGTAAGAAGAGGAAGACGGGAGCTGATCAAGATCCAGATTCGAAGGCTGGGAGTCTAGCGCTCGACTAGCCGCCCGCAGATCGCCGCTAAGACTGCGGTTTGTACGACGTAATTTTCCACTGCTGTTGCTGGGTTTCAGAACGGGCATCCCTTGTTCGGGTGATTTTTGAATGTCGTCTCGGAAAACATCAGAGCCCTTGGATTTCTCGGTAGGCCAAGCTTCGCGATCGAAAGCATTGTCTGTAAATTTGCGGACGGGTGTCTGAGGTTGAGGCAAGACATGTTCGGCCTTCATCTCCAGGCGGGGCGTCCCGCGACGAGCCACGGTCGCTCCCTGGCCATCCCGTGGGTCTTGCTCCGCGATAGTATCAAGCGGAGTCCGGGGTCGGACGTAATCGTTACCAACCGGTCCTCCGAACAGCGACCGAGGAGGCGATGGAGAGCTCAAGGGTTGTAGAGCCGGTGGTTCCAGGCTCCATGTTCTGGCTGTCTGTTGATGCCGTCCGCGAATAGATGGTGATCGGCGTAGTTCACATAGATCATCCCCAGCTTCCGCCTGGGGTGGAAGTCGCGTGGGAGAAGGAGGTTCCTCAATGCGACTGGATGCCGGGGGATCAGATTGCATTAGAGATCGTTCGGTAGAGTCTTTCGTTTTGAATGACAATGGCGCATCAGAAGACTTTGCTTCCTGCGTGGCAAACTCAGGCTCCTTAGTTGATTCATCTTCTGTAGCAGGAGGGGTCTCAGACTGAGCTTGCAGTTCAGAGAGCGTGGACTCGATTTGTCTTTCAAGGCTGATCGGTTGCTCAGTGGTCAAGTCAGTGGCAATATCTTTGGTTTGGGCGGTCGCTGGGGGTGCTTCCAAGACAGGGATCGCAATGTCACGATTGACCTCCGAGCCCGCTACAGTCTCTTCCTCAGCACTATCCTTTAGTGACGATGTTTTCCTCTCCAAGACCGATCGCCGGAATCCCCCACGCTCAAGCTCGGGGAATAGGCTAGCAATCTTAGATCCACCAGGTGTAGTTGTTCGGGAAGGTGCCTCGATCTCTTTGTCGTTGAAAGTCTCCGATGAAGGGCTCTCCACTTGGCGGGCTGGTTGCTGCGACTGCTCTTTGAAAACCCAAGCGTTCTCGTGCACACCCTCTTTCCACTTGGTGCGTTGCAAGGCTTCAGGACTCGAAGCTTCGATGTATTCTCCGATAATCGCCGGCTCAGGTAGTGTAATCTCAGGTTCAGGCTCAGGATCCGTGTCTCTCGATCGCTGGAACTCTCCATATCTAGCTTGCTCCCAGTCAATTGCAGGCCAGTCTTCGTCGTCATGAGCGGCGTTGTCGATTGCCGTGTCCGCAACCTGTGTCTTGGTTCGATCTTCCTCCGACAGCGGAGCAGAAGCATGCTGATTAGGATCAACAGTATTCTCAGCCTGTGGTTCGAGATCAAGGGACTTGTTGGCCTTTTTCGCCTTCTTTCCCTTCTTCTTTGAGGCTTTCCGCGAAAGGCGAATTTCTTCGTCGACGACAGGCTCTGCATCGATTTGCATGGGCTCAGCCTGAGCTTCAGGCTCGGGTGTAGGTTGATCCTCAGTCGGAATCAGGGCATCTATCGGCAGCTCTGGCTCAGTTATGGATTTTGACGAGCTTGCGAATTCGAGCTCTTTGGGAGGCTCCTCCTCCGTCTTAGGCTCCATCGACTGGATCTCAGATTCTACAGCAACCTCGGCCTCATCAGCTCGAGGTTCTGCCTCTGGTTGGGGTGGGACTTCAGCAGTTCCGGCATTCTTCTTGGCCTTGCGCTTGTCCTTCTTCGACATTTTCTTGGACAGGGCCGGGATTACCTCAGATTCCTCAGGTTGAGTGTTTTCATCCAGGCTCCTGGCGATATTGGAATCGGGAATTGTCTCAAGATTCCGTGTTTCGTTGTGTTGGCCATTATTCTCCGCAGGACTTTCAAAGCTAAGGCCCTCATCGGCGGTACCCTTGTCCGAGATCCCGAGAGAGATGCCATGGCCAGTGGGATCGGAATCCACAGGTGCTGGTGTCTCGACTGTGTCTAGAGAGACGAATGCTTCACCTTTTTCGCTCTCTGAACATGGCTTCTCTTCCCGTAGGATGTTCGAATCCTCGAGACTGTGTGTTTCAGTGTTTTCAGGCTCGGGCTGAGGAGCCTCCATCAACTCTTCCGTGGTGACGAGCTCAGGCTCAGGAATAATTTCATGGGTAGTCTGCTCCGGGGTTGCCTCTGGTTCATGAGCAGCCTCAGTAGTTGCGGGTTCTGTGGTGGAAACAGGATCTTCGGATAGGACTGAAGTCGGCACAATAAGTTCTTGCTTGCCTTGCTTCTTGGCCTTCTTCTTGTCCTTCTTTGACATTTTCCGAGTAACGATCTCGGCTGCAGCAGCTGGCTCTTCAGCCGGCTCTTCAGCAATCTCCTTTGTAGATTCCTCCGGCTTTACCTCAGGCTCGAGGGAATCAATAGACTCGGAAGGCACAATGACATGCTCGGGAACATCTTCCTTGGGTTCCGAAGCTGTCAATTCAGCTGGCTCTTCAAAGCCTGTTTCCGCCTCTGGTTGAGACTCATCCTTGATCTCTGAAGACTGCGGCTCTTCGGTGACGGTCGATTCTACCACTTCCTCTGGAGCTTGAGGTGTGATTGTGGAAACCTCCTGGTTCTCAGGCTGTGACTCGGCCAGCTTTTCTTGCTCGAGAAGAGCAGCGGCAGCGGCAGCCTTCTTCCTCTCTTTCTTACTCATCTTCTTAGAGACTATTGGCGATTCCTCTTCGGGCTCAACGGGAGCTTCAGGAAGCACTTGCTCAATAGGTTGCTCAGTCTCGAGAATTTCTGTTGGCTGTTCAGCAGCTTCCTCAATCGACTTCCCTTGATCATCCATCTTCGATTCGGTGGACGGAAGTTCAGGGGAAGGCTCTTCGTTTACGCCTTCTTCGCTTAGAACAGGCTGTACAATCTCCTCTGCGAGAGGGATGACGTCTTTGGCAGATTCTTCTGGGATATCAATGGAATATGCCGTAGGCTCTGCTTCAACAATAATCTCATCTTGCTGCTTATCCTCGGCGACTACAGAGTCCGATGTGGGCTCAACCTCTGGAACAGAGGCTTCAGCCACCTCGGGTTCTGGAATCTCCCTGGCTTCTGGGGTGGCCTCGGGCTCTTGTGCAAGAATTGATCGGCGCTGTTTCTTCTTGTTCTTGTTCTTCTTTTTCTTTGATCCAGGAGTGGCTTCAGAGTCTTCGGTGGGAGCAGCCGCCAGTTCGACTTCTGGGACACTGATCTCCTTGGTATCTTCAGCCGCCTCCGGAGTCTGGACGGTCACAGTCTCTTCGACATCTCTTGACTGGTCTGCCGGTTGCTCCTCAGGAACACTCACAGGTTCGGGCTCAATGATGGGCTCAACAGCAGTGATTTCCTCTTCTTTGGGTTGAGGCTGGGCCTCAACAAAAGGCACAGCGTCAACCGGCTCCTGTTCGTGTGTCACAGCAATCTCAGGCTCGGCCTCAGCGATAGGCTCGGCCTCAGCGATTTCCTCTTCCGTGGATTTGGACTCAGCCTCAACCAAGGGCGCAGCGTCAGTTTGCTCCTTTTCCCCCGCCACAGCGGTCTCAGGCTCAGGTGTTGCAACTTCTTCCTCTTGTTTTTTGTTTTTCTTTTTGTTTTTCTTCTTCTGCTTCTTTGATACGACGCTCTCCAACGCCTCCTCCTCCACAAGAGGTTCCTGTGTCTGTGCCTCAGCGACAACATCAACTGGCACATCCACAGGCACCTCCTTTACCTCCTCAACCACCTTCTCCGTAGAGAGATCATCTGCTTCCGGCACAGACGAAATCTCCTCAACAATCTCACCCTCATCAACCGCCTTCACCTCTTCAAGAGATGCAGGCACAATCAACTCCTCCTCTGGTTCTTGTGCAACAGGAACAACGCTTTCTTCCTGTTGGGAATTTACCTCCACCAACTCGCCGGAATCAACTGAACGCTCAAGCACGGGTTGGGGAGGATAATCTAAAAAAGGACTCTCTATCGAGGTCTGCTCTACCTGGGAAGACATGTATTTATCAGTCGAGGCCGTATCTTGCGCCGCGGCGTCGTAAGTTTGTATGTCGTGGGACTGATGTTCTTTACCGTCATGTTCCGCAGGCGAGGATGCCATTACGGCTGGAAGCCCAGGGGCATCTGTTTCCGTGGATGTGAGGACCTTTTCGACGCTATCGGCCGCTTCGGTGGGCGTAGCGGACTCGGTTGCCGGAGCAGAAGGTGAATCGGTATCGACATTCTTGGATTGGCGCCTCTTCGCTTTTTTGGCAGCCTTTCGTCGCTCCTTGGCTGACATGCCAGCTTCTTCGGTCGGTTCGGCAGCGGCCTCTGCTTCGTTGGAGGGGATCGACTCAGAATCAACAACCACATCGGTGGCAGGAGTTTCGTTGTCAGCCTCCTTGGCTTCAAGAGTCTCTTCCTTTGGTGCCTCGTCTGGTATGGCTTCTGCTGTCTCGGGTCGTTCAACCTCGGGAGTATCAGGTTCGATAGGCGTTTCTTCGGGGCCTTCCGCCGGGTTCGTGGACTCAGAGGTTGGAGCATCTTGTGCCTCCAGAATTTCAGTCGTAGTATCGGTAGGAGATTGCACCACAGGCTCAGATTCCTGCGCCGCCTCGTTAGCAGCGGGAGTTTCGTCGGTCAAGTCCACGGACTTGCCCTTTTTCTTGTTCTTTTTCGCTTTGCGACGCTCTTTGGCAGTCATGCCAGCCTCAGCCTGGGCTTCAGGCTCTTGCGCACTCGGCGGCTGTGACTCTGAGGGGGTTTGAGCGTCCTGCTCTGTAGCGTCCACTGCAATCTGTGGGTCTTCAATCTGAGTGGAGCTATCAGGCTCAGGGATTGAGGAAGATTCCTGCTCAATAACCTCCTGGAGTTGTTCGGGGGAATTGGAGACTTCTGCGATTTCCGAGGCTTCCTTTTCAGCGGCAGACTCGGCGGGTTGTTCGGTCACTGGAAGCTCCTTGGCAGATTCTTCGGCGGCAACCAAGTCAGCTGCAGGCTCATCCTGCGACTCACTCTTCTCTTGAGCCACAGATGAATCTTCTGGCTTTGGTTCCTCGGGAGAAGCAGTGGCATCGTCCTCAAAAGCAACAGACTTGCGCTGCTTTTTCTTGTCTTTCTTGGCCTTTCGCTTTTGGGCGGGAGTCATCGCCGCCTCCTCGGCAGTCTCAGTAGCATCTACCTCAGTTGGGGTATCCTGCTGAGCGGGCTCTTCGGAGGTTACCTGGGCTGCGGGTGCTTCTTCGGTCTTAGCAGGAGTCTCAATTTCTTCATCGAGAGTTACTGGCTCGGTTTCCAGGGTCGGGGTAGATTCCAAGGGCTCTTCAGTGGCAGGCGCAGGAGTGATGTCTTCCTCGGCGGGTGTGGGCTTGGACTCTGCCTCAACAGGAGCGGACTGTTCTTCTTCCACGACAAGCGATTGACGCTGTTTTTTCTTGTCCTTCTTAGCCTTGCGCTTCTGAGCAGGAGTCATTGCTGCCTCTTCAGCTGCCTCGGTAGTGGCTGTCTCGGCTGGAACCTCCGGTTGAGTGGTCTCCTCGGGAGCGGGTTGTTCAGCCTTGACTTCTTCTGGCTCGGCAGGAGTTTGCACTTCCTGATCAATAGACTGTTCAATCTCTTGAGGTGGAGTGGGCTCAACAGGTTCTCCCTCAGCAATCTCTGGCTTAGATTCTTCTTCGGCAGGTGTAGGCACGGCTGTTTCCGCTACAGAGGTAGCCGCTGGCTCCTCTTCGGTGGGCACAGGCTGGTCTTCTTCAGCGACCACTGATTGCCGTTTCTTCTTCTTGTTTTTCTTCTTTGATTTCGAAGTAGTGGCTGCCTGTTCACCTTCGGCCTGCTCTGGTAATGGGGTTTCCGTAGATTCTGTAGCAGGGGTCTCCTCCAGGACTGGCTCGGCCATGTCATCGAGTGACTTGTCCAATACAGGCTCTTCGACAAGAGAATCAATCTTCGGTTCTTCCTGCAGATCTTCAGTGGAAGGAAGAGCTTCGGCCATGGGCTCTGGAACAATCTCCTTCGCCTCCTCTGGGATCTCAGGAGCCTGTTCGTGAAGTTCAGGAGTAGAAACACTTTCTTCCGCGGGTGCCTCGGTAGCAGCTGGTATCTCGACACCTGGATCATCTTGCGCTTGTGTCTCCTCGGCCTTGTTCTCGGATTCAAGATCGCCGGTTGCCTCAGGCTGTGGTGCTTCATCAGCACTCGCAAGAGCCTCCGCAACAGGCGTGGCTTCGGTCTCAGGCAAAACATCACCAGGCTGTTCGGAGCTCTGGTTCTCGGGAGAAGTAGGAGTAGGTTGGGCCTCAGATGCAGGCTGCTCGTCGAGCTGAACGGACTGTTGATTTTGCTGTTTCTTCTTGTTTTTCTTGGCCTTCTTTTTCTCGGCCGCAGTCATTTGCACTTCGAGCTCTGCGGGATCACATTGTTCCTTAGGAGCATCGATCTCTGCAGCGGGGATTGAATCTTCTTCGACAGAGACTGGGATGACGTCGTCGCTCTTTGGCTCCTCTGCCTTGGAAGCATCATCCTGTTCATCAAGTTCTTGTGGAACATCGACAGGAACAGGGGCTTCTTCCGAGACAGGAGGCACATCAGTACTTGCTTCTGCAGCCTCAAGCTCTGCTGATGGGGGAGCGCTCTCTACCAAGGGTTCGGCCTCAGTGGGAGCTTCGACATCTTGAACTGCCTCCGTAGTCTCAGCGGCAGATAGAATATCGTCTGTTACTGGAACTGCTTCGAACTCAGGTATAGATGTAGGCACAGCCTCATGTGCAGTCTCAGCCGATTCGGTATCCAATGGGGCGGACACATCCACAGGAGCAAGAGTTTCATCGTCTGCAGCAGGAGCAATTTCCTTGCTTGCCTCCGTAGCTTCGGCATCTGGTGCAGACGCGGTCTCAGCAGGCTTGACAGCCTCGGCGGTGGAGCCAACACCCTGTTCCTGCTCTTTTTGCAGCTTCTTTTTGGCCTTCTTGGCCTTTTTCCTCTCCGCGGCGGTCATGGGGATCTCTGGCTCGGCAGGAGATTGTTCGACCTTGGCCTGCTCCTCTGGCTCGGTAGGTTCCTCCTTTGGTATTTCTACCTCAGTTACCTCTGCCGTCGGTTCCGGAAGTGTGCTAGCAGTGGCTTCTTCCTCGGGTGCCACGAGCTCCGTAGGCTGCGTTGGTTCAAGAGGCTGTGTGACCTGAATGGGCTGTTCCATTTCACTTTTCTGGGAAGGAGTGTCCAATGATGTGTCTTCGGTGACAACAGGAAGTTCCTTTGCCATGTCCTCAGCGGCAGCTTCTGTTTCAGGTGCCGGCGAGATAGCTTCCGCAGGGTTCTGTTCGTCGGGAATGGAAGATTGACTTTGCTTGCCCTTCTTCTTGTTTTTCTTGGCCTTCTTCTTTTGTGCTGCAGTCAAAGCAACTTCAGGCTCGGCTTCAGGGTCAGGTTGGGTCTCGACAATGGGAGGCTCGACAAGTTCGCGAGAAGATTCTTCAACAGGATCTTGGAGGGTCGTGTTGTGCTGGGTCTCCTCGGCAACTGGCTGTGACACTTCATGAGATATGTCCTCAGGACCCACTTCCTCAGTCCCGACATGCATTGCATCCACCGTGGGCTCCAATTGAAGTGGCTGCTGGTCTTGGCTGGCCTGAGGATCTTCAACGGCGATTTCTGAAGGTGGTTCCACATCCTTGGGGGCTTGCTCGATATGCTCAAGTTTGGAAGGTAAGGCTTCACCGCCAATTGGAGGGGATTGGGTATCTGCAGGTTCAGCAGAAGTTGACTGCTCAGGTTCGAGGCCTTGGCTTTCTGACTGGAGTTCGGTCTCAGGTGCAGGCGTCTCGGCAATTTGAACCTCCTCGACAGCAGCAGATTTGCGGTTCTTCTTTTTCTTTTTCCGCTTATCAGCTTTAGATTCCGAAGCGTCAGCAGTAGTATCTGCCGCTACTTCCACGCGAGGCTCCGGCACGGATTCCTTTTCTTCCGTAGACAGTGGGCTTTGTTTTTCAACAGCCTCTTGGAAATTGTCTTCGGTCTCGGTGTCTTCTTTGGGAGTCTCAGGAATTACAAGGGCCAGATCATCAGGAGGGGCAACTGAGCTGGGATCCTCGGTTGCTTTCTCGATGTCGTGGAAGCCGCGGGATGTCTCCTCCGATTCTAGCGAAGTAGCCTCGGGAATTGGATTTTCATTGGCATCGGTGAAGATAGGCTCTGAGTGTTCCTGTGTCTCTGCAGGTAGGGGAGAATCTTGGGAAACAGGTAGGACGGATTCCTTGGTAGACACTTGTTCCACGGGTTCAAGGAGGTCTCCAGATTCCTGTTGCTCGGCTGTTCCTTCGAGTGGTTCGATCGAGGTAGTGATTTCATCCGATGAGAGTGCAGTTGGCTTTTCTTCTTGCTGATTATCAATTTCCTTAGAGCCCGAAATGTCATCCTGAAGCTGGGTGGCAACACTGTCATCAGTAGGCTCTTCGGCTGTAGATGCACTCTTAGACTTCCTCTTCTTCTTCTTGTCGCGCTTAGACTTCTTAGTCGAGGATGACGTATCCTCCACCTGTTCAATATCGGTAGGCGCGGCTTGAGTGACCTCGGCCTCAGGAGTGATGATGGGATCTGATTCTTGGGTTGCTGGAACTTCGGTCTCGAGTTCGCGGGATGTCTCAACAGGTTCATTAATAGCAGCATCAACCGGAACAGCTTCCATCGAAGGAGCGTCAACCGGGACGGCGTCCACCAGGGGAGCGTCAACCGGGACAGCGTCCATCGTGGGAGCGTCAGCCGAGGGAGCTTCAGTCGAAACTTCAGCGGGCGCGGGTTCAAATTGCTCAAGAACAGCAACTTCAGGTTCGAGTTTGGCAACATCAGCCGGGACAGCGTCCATCGACGGAGCGTCAACCGGGACGGCGTCCACTAGGGGAGCGTCAACCGGGACAGCGTCCATCGAGAGAGCGTCAGCCGAGGGAGCTTCTGTCGAAACTTCAGCGGTGGCGGATTCAGATTGCTCAGGAATAACAGCTTCACGCTCAACGTTGATAGCATCACTCGGGACGGCGTCCACTAGGAGAGCGTCAACCGAGGGAGCTTCAGTCGGAACTTCAGCGCGGGCGGATTCAGATTGCTCAGGAACAACAACTTCGGGTTCGAGACTGGCAGCATCACTCGGGACGGCGTCCACTAGGGGAGCGTCAACCGAGGGAGCTTCAGTCGAAACTTCGGCGCGGGCGGATTCAGATTGTTCAGGAATAACAACTTCAGGCTCAACATTGATAGCATCACTCGGGACGGCGTCCACTAGGGGAGCGTCAACCGAGGGAGCGTCAGTCGAAACTTCAGCGGTGGCGGATTCAGATTGCTCAGGAACAATAACATCAGGTTCGAGACTGGCAGCATCAACAGCAGCATCAACCGGGACAGCGTCCACTAAGGGAGCGTCAACCGAGGGAGCGTCAGTCGAAACTTCGGCGGGGTTCGTCTCAGGTTGTTCAGGGATAGCAACTTCAGGATCAACGTGGGCAGCTTCAGCCGGGGTAGCCTCAGATTTCTCAGGAACAACAACTTCAGGCTCGACATTAGCAGCATCACTCGGGACAGCGTCCATCAATGGAGCGTCAACCGGGACAGCATCCACCAGGGGAGCGTCAACCGGGACGGCGTCCATCAAAGGAGCGTCAACCGAGGGAGCATCAGCCGAAGCTTCAGCAAGGTGAGCCTCAACTAGAGGCTCGTTGATATCAAGTTCACGAGACACCTCAGCAACCTCAGCCTCGGATTGCTCAGGACGAACAACTTCAGGCTCAACAGGAGCGTTTTCGAGCGCGGGTACTTCTGCAGAATCTTGTCCGACTTCCTTGGAGACATCATCCTGTGTGACGGGTTCTTCAAGTGCAACCGGGTCTGCAGTCTGGGACTGATTTTTCTTTCCCTTCTTTTTTTTATTCTTTTTCTTCGAAGACTGGGTAGCGGCAACCTCCTCAGGAACAACTTCTGGCTCAGGTTGGGGTTGAAGATCAGAAGATTCAAGGGGTTTTTCAGTTGGTTCGGGTACTAATTCCTTTGCTTCAATCTCTGGTTGTACAGACTCGAGCGGAGGAACATTCTCTTCGATAGCGGTGACAGGCTCACTGAGCTCATCATCAACAGATGCCTTCTCATGAGTTTGTGAGGAATCATTGGCGGCAACTGCTGCATCGACAATATCGCCGAATCCATGGGTTTTAGCAGGCTCGGCAGCGGGTTCATCTATAGACAACGAGCGCGGTTCGTCATGGTCTTTGACAGCGGCGATAGTGGCGGAATCAACAACATCGGCCAAACCGGCGCCCTTAGCATCCTCGTCCCCGAAGAACGAGTGCTTTTCCTGGGTCGGAGTTTCCGGCTCAGCAGGCAGCTGGGATGCACCTTCAAGAGCATCAAGGGCACGTTGTGTTTCTTGCACTCTAGAGCCGACGCCAACAGCCGAGCCCTCTGCAGAAGGCAGTGGAGCCAGATGAGGCGAGGGGGGCAAAACATCTAGAATAGCGGGGTCGTGGAGGAGCTCCGAGGGAGAGTGGAATTCATATCTGGGTCTCTCCTTCTTGGACTCTGCATCCTCGAAGGTCTCAGCGGTAGGCGTGGCCTGCTGCGAGTCGAGGAGATCAAGATCCTTGTCATTTTCATTTTGGTAATCAGTTGAGATCATCAAGCCAGTCGGCCGCTTGTTAACAATAAGGGACTGGCTCAGATCGACATGCTCCCAGCTTTTCATGTCATCATCCTCGCGGAGGGATTTCAGATCCTCGATGGATGGAACGCGGGAGGAGTTTTTGCTGGACGGGAGTGATGGTAGGGGCTCCTCGGGCTCAGGTTCGCTCTTCATCAAGCTGTGGCGCTCGACGAGCCATAGAGGGCGGATCTCCCGTGAGTTTCGGAACTCGAGGGAGGTGGGCCGGCGGCTGCGCTGTTGGGTTGGGGAGCCCGGGGACGCGACTATGGCGGGCGGCTCGGCGGGAACAGCGCGCGAAAGACATGGGGAAGTTGGGGGCCGGCGGAAATGGATTGGCACGGCTGTGGGTGATTCATTGGTGGATTTGGCGATGGAGTGACGGCGTTGCTTGGGGGATCGGGATTCGTGGGAGCGATTTGTTTCAGGTGAGGCGGGGCGGCTCGAAGACTTGGGGCCCAGGTCAAGGGTCCTTTCTGTGGCTGGCGGAGAGGCGGAGCGGCTCCGAGGTCTTTGTTGGAAGGTCTCACTGGCTTGGGAGCCTGTAGCCACAGCAACTGGATCATCGGCTGATTCTGGAACGCCCGAAGCGCCATGACCCTCGCGTTCAGGGGCTAAAATTCCGGGGTGCTCTCTCAAAGAAGATTGCTCGTCAAAGTCGTCACTATGTCTGTCCTGCACATGGAATAATACCAGTAAAAGCTTAGTACATTTCTTTTTTTGTCCGGGTTTTGTGGTTTTTGTGCAAACTGGTCCGGTCCACCGTCCAGCAAAAAAAGGGAAACTATATGCCACGATAACGTGTACAGCAAGAAAAAAGATCACAACATAAGTAAAAGAAAAAAAAATCAGATGTTATACCTTCTCAGAATCCCGTTTCCTCCCTGAATCAACAATTTCCTCGTACCGATGCCGACGCCGCTCTTCCTTTTGCTGCCTACTGGACCTGTACTCCTCCAGATTGGTGTCATCCTGAGCACTTTTCTCCTTGTCCGATATGTAGGCATCTAACTTATCTCCATTGCTGGAACTGCGGTGTTTGGAAGAACGCTTCTTGTGGTGGCGGCGTTCATCGTCGACACCAACTTCAGACATTGCTTCGCGGGATGAGCGCTTATCCAGCGAGGAAGACCTAGAATGGTCAGATCGAACGCGCTCAGCAGGAGCTGAAACCTGCGAGCCAAATATACTTCTCAAGAAGCCACCGCTCTTTTCTTTGTCGTCCTTGCCCTGGCGCTTCTCGCGGGGCTCATCGCCCCGGGCGGAAGGCGTTATCGAGGCAATAGATCGAGCATCGTCATCAACAGAAAAGGTGTCACTATCGCGCTTGGAGCGACGCTTGCGACGTCTCTTCTTCTCCTCACCACCTTCCGCGTCATCGGAAGGGGGATCCTCAACATCACGAGGCGGATCGAAATCATCGCCGCTGCGACGAGATTTCCTAGACTTAGCTGATTCAGAGACGACAGAGCGAGAGTCATCGCGCGACTCGGACACATCTCGCGATCTGGAGTTATCAAATTCGTCTCCACTGCGACGAGATCGGCGAGATTTGGTGGTCTCTTCTTTAGAGACAGGGGCGGAGAAAACAGACCGGTTCTCGTCTTGAGGTTCAGAAACCTCTCGTGACAGAGGGATGTCAAAATTATCGCTGCTGTGTCTCGACTTTCTTGACCTAGATGGCTCATGTTCCTCAGCGGCAGGAACCGAGGTAACAGAGCGGGCATCATCGCGAGATTCAGATAGCTCACGAGAATCGTAGATCTCGAAATCATCACCGCTGCGTCGTGACTTGCGTGACTTGGACTTTGAGGTTTCATCCTTTGACACAGGAGCAGAAATAACAGAGAAAGAATCATCATGAGCCTCGAGAGGTACTGCCTCCCGAGATTCGATTCCAAAGTCATCGCCACTGTGTCTGGACTTTCTAGACTTGGACTTGGAAGTCTCGTCCTTTGAGACAGGAGCAGTAATAACAGAGAAAGAATCGCCGAGAGATGGAGATGCCTCCCGCGACTCATAAATTTCGAAGTCATCGCCGCTGCGTCTCGATTTCTTGAATTTGGTTGGGGTCTCTGGATCCATAGCAGCAGGCGCCGGCGCCGAAGGAACAGTGTTCTCATCGATCAGTTCCTTAGTGTCGGCAACATCAAACCCACCGGGCATTGAGAAGACATCGACCTCTTTCTCGGGGGAAGCGGAATTCTCGCGCTTGCCATATTTACCGTTAAGCTGCTCGATCACCTCCTGGGCGATCGACGATCTCTCGCGGCGTTCGGGGTAGATATCTCGATCCCTTGAGAAGGACTCTCCTTCGGTGAAAGAAAGATCATCATTGTCTTGGACGATTTGATCGGTGGCTGAAGGAATGTCCTTAGTTGACTTGGGATCAACTTCTTCAACCTCCCCCTCGATGAAACCGTGAGGCTCCTTGCGAACATATGCAGTCCACGGTGAAGTGAAGGTTCGCTCATCCTCGGATCCAGGAGGCGAAGTGCGGGTATGGTATGATGGGTCGTCTGTGATCAGAGAAGGATCGAACCCAGCAGCGGCAGTTGCAGCAGCAAGTGTGGCAGCAAATTCAATATCGGTGCCATAACCAGATTTGTCAGTGACACCCTTGCTCTGAGAAATCTCGGATTTTGGGAGAGGAACATCCTTGGCTGAGATTTCCGTGGGGGAAATATCATGTTCCAGAGGATCCTGTTCAGAGGAAGAGGGTATTTCGTATTCGTGAGTTTCATGTTCGCCCCAGGAGACCCGAGAGCCAGTCGTCGGTCGGTCGCGGGGCTTTGCGTCATCAGATTCATTTACAATAGGGACTGGGGACGTGACATCGCGGACAGAACCACCATTCATGCTCTGGGGTGGAGTTGGCTTGATAATGTTGAATCGCGGGACTGGCCATGGCAGGCGTTCCACATTTTGGTAAGGTTCGTATGAATAGTCTGAATATTCTGGCTCTACAGGCGCAGACTTTTCATTTGTTTGACGTTCGCTGGCTGGCTCCACCTCCACAATAGTGGGCATATCGGTGGAGCCTTGCTTCTGGGCATGAACATCCGGGCTGTGTCGTAACTCTTCAGGGGCGTAAAATTTGGCGTAATCATCATAAACAGGTGCTGGGCGTGGAGATCGTGGAGAGCGTTTCTTCTGGTCTTCGCGGTGTTCCACCGAAGGTACTTCCTTCTCAGTGGGTTGAACGGGCTCGAATCGTGATACAATCGAGGGAATGGACGCTGTATCGATATCACGCTTCCGCTCAGCACGACGTTTCTCTCGGCGCTCACTGTATCGCTGGCTGGCCTCGGAGGCTTCATCATCCTCGGTCTTGCGTGATATCATAGTACTGGCAGCTGCCGCACCGACAGCTCCGGCTGCGGCTGCACCAACCCAAGAGGAGGAGTCACTGGCTCTGTCTCCGCCATATCGTCGGTCGTCATTATCTTGCTCCTTTCGGCGACGATCACGAAGTTGCTCTTCCTCTCGGTCAATGAGTTGGACGGGTTGATCAACATATTCATCTCGGTAGTTCCTGTCGCGACGAATGAGGTGGCGTTCCCTTTCAGCTTGCTCTTCCGTCAGGTCGAATTGCACGGATGCTTGATCCTTCGTGGTAGACCGTCGCTTGAGGCTAGAAGCAGTTTCCCGGGTGGAATAAACCGGAGACGAATCGCTACGTCGATGCAATCTCGGGCGATCGGCATTGGCTGGATCTTCTATAGCCCAAACCGCGTCACGAGGACCATGCAATTGCGGATCATATTTGTCAAATCCGCTGGCATACAGGGGAGACACTACAGGGCCGCTATACACAGGAATCGATCCTGGCACAGGTCCCTGGGTGGTGTACACGGATTGGGAGACAGGAGTGAAGGGCTGGGGCTGCTGAAGAGGAATGGGTCCCGGGCGGATCAGAGTGGGTTCCTCGCCAGACTTAGATGGGGACATTCTGGCAACATCAAAGCGGGAAGGATCAGAAGTTGGCATTGGGTGAACGTGTTGGAGACTGCCAGAGCTGCTCGGGACGTTACTATCACGGCGGCGAGCAGAAGAGATTGCAGCAGCTCCAAGAGCTCCGGCGCCAACTGCCAGAGCAGCATTGGTCGCACTCGACCTTTTCTCCTTTCTCTTCTTGTCCTTCTTGCTTCCCCATCTGAAGCCCCAGGTGCTTTTGCCAGAATCGGATGAAGACTCAGCGCTGCTTCCTCCAAACGCAAGGGCGGAACTAACACTTGAAGAAGAGCGCTCATCCGACTCGGCATCAATCCACTCATCATCATTCTTGGCAGAAGAAGAAGTCCTGGAATGACGGGATTGAGCCGTGTACATCTCACCTGCACTACGGCTGGGACCGTGATGCGATGAGCCAGCTAGGCGGTTCGCGGTGTCGCTAAGCTCCAGCAAAGCAGCATCGACATCTTTGCTCTTCTTTTTCTTCTTCTGGAGCTTTGAGCGCTTCTTCGAGAAACCATCTCCGAATGCAAGATCATTATCCAAGGATGATGATGAAGAGCCTTTGAAAGAGAAGAAACCGCTCTTCTTCTTGGAGTGGCGCTTCTTCCGGTTCTCGGAAGAGGCAGTGAAGAACGATCCAATACCACCGACAACGGATTTCTTGGCGGGTCTGGAAAGACTGACAAAGGACGACGATGAGGACGAATCCTTTCGACCTCTTCCAGGGGACCGACTGCGGGAGCGGTTACGCGATTTCGAAACTGCCAGAGCTGCCCCTCCCACGGCCGCGCCGATCGCAGCCTCTTTCAAATACGAACTGCGGCCAGATCGAGAGGAAGACCTGGATCGCGAGCGTGCGCGTCGAGAGTATGCAGGATGGGATGCATGCACTGAGTGTGTATGCGCGGAGTGAGCATAATGGTCTCTGTGAGGACTGCGACCAGAGCGACGAGTCACACCATGAGAGCTATAGCTTCTGCGGTCATCTTCCTCGGCGTGGGCTGAGCCCCTTCGGCCGGAATGAACACTGTAAGAATCATCGAACTCCTTGTTTGAGAAGATCGACTTAGTCGCATAACCAGCAATCATACCAGGTAGCCACGAGGATGACCTCTTGTGTTTTGGCCTTCGGCGGTTGTCCTCTTCGGAGGAATTGTATCGACTGTTTTTGCTGATCCTGGAGCTCCCACTGGTGCTGTAACGATCGCCGGAGTTTCGGCGGCGACTGTTATAATTGTGCTTTCGAGGGGCATCAATGGAGGTCGTGCCAGGTGCAAAACAATACTTGCAGACACCGATGCTTTCAGTGTAATCCTCGAATCTTCCAACACCCTCGGGATCACGCCAGAAATCAACGAATCTCCCCATGGCTCCGCGCTGACGTTCTTGGAAGGCCAGTGCGCTGAGTGTGTGGGGGTAGAAACCGGGGTGATGATGGGCAGCAACATGAGCAGCCAAACCTCCTGCGCCTGCGGCATACATGGCGTTATTATGACCAGGCGCATATGGTGGCATGCCAGCTTGGGAAGATTGCTCATAGTTGTGGTAAGGGTATGGCGACGCATGCTCCGAACCTGAGGAATGATGGTGATGACCCACCATGTATCCCGTTGCGGCACCCGCAGCGGCGATACCAACGCCTTCGCTGAAGCTATGAGAATGGGACGGCTTGGAGGGAGATTCGTGGGCAGCACTTGTCATCGGCTGGTTGTAGACCATCGGCTGAGCGTGGGCCATCGGCTGAGCGTGGGTCATTGGCTGGGTTTGCTGATTGTACGAAGTATGGTGTTGTTCAGAGGAATATGACTCGGAGTGCGACATCATTCCACCAATGCCGTAAGCAGCAGCTCCAACAGCGGCAGCAGGAAGAACACCAGATGAGGTAGGCTTCGACGGCTTCGACGGCTTCGGGGGCCTAGCTTGAGAGACCTCTGGTGGCGGACCCTGTTGTGCCGGAGCATGGAAATTGTCATCGAAATAGGCTGCCGCCGCACCAGTCTGGCCCATACTACTAGGCTCTGGAGGCGGGTTGGCCGATGGAGATGCGGCCATCAAATGCGCCTGAGTATTGGGAAGCACACTTGGACGATCTGGGCGAATACCAGGCTGATGTTCAACAGATTGACCCTGATCCCCGTAGTAATCAGCAGCAGCGCCAGCAGGATTAGGCGGCCGATAAGGTGCGGCGCTTTGTTCCGGGAACTGGCCGGGGAACTGTTGCTGTACATGCGGGTCATAAGGCACCTCGTACGCTGGCGAAGGGCCTGCAGACGGCATGGCATTGTCATACTGCATGGGAAATTGCGAGAATCCCGGGGCGCCAATCTCAGCGGCAAATTGTGCGCCGGGAGCGCTGACGGGAATATTTGTGTAGATTGGTGCCACATATGGATCCCCTGGCTGGGTGCGATGACGATCGCGACGGTCGCGCTCCCGATCTAAGTCATCGTCCAAGGTATCTTGCGTTCCTCGGCGGCTTCTTCGGTTCTCTCGCTCCAGACTGTCAGATCGGTCGCGGTCGCGCCGGCGAGAACTCTTGCTTTCGCGTTCGCTATCTCTGCGCGATGAGGAGCGCTCAACAATGTAGCGATCATCTTCGTTCATGGGTTCCGGCTCAGCGGTCACATAGGTAGATGCGATCGATTCACCGGCAATGCTGGGCGGCCCGCGCTGACTGCGGGAGCCCGATGGCGAGTATGTCGTTAGATCCCCCAAGCCGCGGTCACGGTCGTCACCCCGTGCAGGATTGCGACTTGAGATAGATCTTGTGTCAGACCTGTCGGACCTTTCGGACCTGCGCCGGCTGCTCCTAGAACTGCGAACGTCGGAGGACGAGCGGCCCCCGCCCATCAGGGCCTTGAACATGATGGGCAATTAATTAGAAGCAGAGGGAACCATGTGGGATGAAACTAAGTTAGGAATGTAAGCGAAAGGGGGGAAAAGATGAATGTTCCAAAGGTTAGCTGAGGGAATGTCAGGTCAGGAACAAGGTTGTGATGGGATTTGTTTGGGGGAGTAAACAACGGGAGCTGACCCGTGGATCTTACACCCGCCCCCAGTGTTACCGCTGAACTCGACACTTGGCGCTTCACCTGTTCTTCGTCCTGTCGTCGAGTTCTGTCAGAAGTGAGATGCAGAAGATCTGGCAGAAAAAAAAAATCAGAACAAAAAATGAGATTTGCCTGCGATGAACTGTCGGTGCAACGAGTGGAGCGAATCAAAGTCGCGGTGAAGCATCGTGCACGGGCCCTCGACGGGGCTGGGATTCGATTTCGTCAGCCCAGCCATCGACTTACTACGTCCTCTATCAGTCTTGCAAGCACATATAATTACACTGGCCGAGGCACTATCGGGCTACAGGATTGGGAAGAGAAGTTCCTCGTGAGAGAGAGTCTCTCGCCAACAATCATTCCAATACGACCATCCTGCGGACGGAGCACGGAGCACGGAGTATACGTTCAAGACCTCCTCCAAGGGCGCGATTATTGCGCCACACATCAGCAAGGTACCACCCGAATTCCTATGAAGGGGGGTGTAAGTGGCGAGAAGCCAGCAAAGGAGTGAATCTCAGAGTCTCGGACAGTCTCTTAAAAAATATATCCTATGTTCCAAATCCTATCGAGTACGAAGTATACTATATCCTCCTAAGAACCAAAAGCAACATCGCCGTTAAAAAAAAAAAAGTCCAAGCCCTAAATAACCCATATCCATAAACCCAACTCCACCTAACCAGCCCTCATCAATTTCTCCAACTGACACCGCAACGAATGCTGCATCCACAACGGAAACCCTCTAAAGCTCGTAGAAATCCACCCGGCCGAACCAGGTACAACAACATGTCCGCTCTCCCCCTTCAACACCTGCCTGACCGTCTCCTCCGCCACCGTCTCCGGATGAAGCAATGGATTAATCCAAGTATCATCCGGCGTCAAGTTCTTAATCAATGTAGTCCTCGTAAAGCCCTGCGTCACAAGCACAGTACGAACCTTTGGCGCCTGGTACCGCGTAACCAGCTCCGCACCAAGACCCTCATGGAACGCAATCGCCGCCGCCTTACTAGCCGAGTAATCGACCATATTCGGCGTGACAGTGTAGCCCGCCTGAGAAGCAACGGTGACGACCATGCCGTGGTTAGCCTCAATCATGTCCGGGAGGAATTCCTGTGCGAGCCAGTAGTGGGCCAGCGCGTTGACCTCGAACATGCGGCGGGTTGTGGCGACGGTGGTTTTCAAGATGGTTTGGCCGGTAAGGATGCCAGCGTTGTTGATGAGGATGGTGGGTCGGCCGAGGCTAGCGCGGACTTTGGTGGCTACTTCGGTGATGTCGGAGGGAGAGGTGATGTCGCATTCGTAGAAGCGGACACTGTTGGGCAGGATGTCGTCGGTTGGTGGGGGGACTATGTCCAGGATGGCGACTTTGATGTCGCGTTCGCCGAGTTGTTGGGCGATGCGTCGCCCGATGCCATTGCTGCCGCCTGTGAGGATGACAACTTCGCGGTTCCAATTGTAGTGGTCGCTGACGCGGTTGTTAAGTGTGCGTCTGTCGAGCCAGTGGCTTAGACGGCTGATGGCAGCTTGTGCTGCCAATACTTTGAGGATCTTGTCGAGATATGGGTGCTGTTGCATATATTCACGGCCTTGGGCTGTGTATTGAGCTAGTGCGAGGATAGGGAGGATCTTCCATGGGTCCAGCAAAGTGCGGGATATCAATTTGCCAAGTACATCAGCCGTGAAGCCTAGGGTTATATGTGAGCTTTGGGCTGCATATGATCGTCACAAGGGTTGATACCTTCCCTCGAGGGCCACTTTTTTGCGTTCGATGCCATATTCCAAGTGAGGATGTATGTACTCCGTGCACCTTCACACTCAATTTCTCAATGATCCAAGATGGGGAACACAGGAGCTAAAAGCTGACAGCGAATGTCTATATGTAGTATGGAGTAAGCCGACTCGTGCCATTCGGCCCTCCTGATCTATATGCGGGGAAGCCGAGGTCCGCGTGCATTTAATCGTTCTGTTCATCACAACGGTCAGATCAACATAAAGCCCGAGCCCCTTGAGCTGAAAGGAGTCTCGAGTGGGATCTTGCCCCGCGACGCCCAGGCCAACAGGGTATCTGACCCGGTGCACGGGCATTCATAACGTGTACACATATGCCACTTTATCTAGAATCTTGGCTTTCATCTCAATTGATTGCTGTTCTGTCCAGACGTATAATCTGCTGGGTAGATTAATCTACAGAATCAATCCCCCCAAAATGCAACCCAGACTAAAATTGGAGGTATATAGTTCCACAAACACCGGTACCACCCACAAGACAAAGACAACTCTTTGCCTGAAATAAGAGGGGATATGGCACAGCCATAACCACCAATGGGAAAGATAGATTGGAAAAGTGTCCAGAAAATGAATAACAAACAGAGTTGTTTGACTCGCAATGCATGCAGGTAGAATCCCCACAGAAGAACTCCACATCCCGGGCGTATCCCCGAGGAAACCATCGGGGGCACAAAATGCTTTCAACCCTGAAACTAGAACACGAAAATTGGAAAGTAAAGGTGCGAAATCCAGATCCAGTCCAGTCATCGCCTTGAGGCAATCAAAAGAGGGGTGAGTTCGCGCGACGTACAGAGAAGTTGCACCTATCCAACCACCGGGTATAATATCCAGGAGATCTGGGGGTCGTTCCCAGATCCGTGAGTGCCGGATATTGGTGTCGGATAGGGCACGGGCGACACCAATGAAAAGAAGCGTATAGTGCACAAGGTATAGATGACAAAACATATAACAAATGGAGAGCGCGGAAGGGCTCAGGCTTAAAGGGACATGCATGATGTGTTCATAAAGATATCGAATATCAGATATTGGGTGGCGAAGCCCATAAAGAACGGGATGAAAAGAAACGAGATGGACTTTGACGTTAGATGCACATTCAGGGGAAACTCATGCTTGTAGATTGGCTGCTCATACTCGGAGCTTGACCGCTCATGTTTGGGGTTTGGCTGCTCAAGTTCGAGGGTTGGGTCAAGTCAGGGGCGTGCTTGAAGATCTTTTCGTAGATCTCGGTGAGTATACGGGCATCGGCGCGAAGGGTGGGGGAGATGTTCTCGCTTTGGATGAGGAAGCTAATAGTGCGTCTGAGCAGGCGATCGAGTAGCTGTTCATCGACGAGCCCCTTGAGGCTGGACATGTAAGTTGCGGATAAAACGAGCATATTGCCAAATTGCCTGTGGAGAAGCTATATTAGCAGTGTTTCTATGTCTGTGGGTTGTCTCATTTCTTTTTTTTTTTTTTTTTTTTTCAAAACCCAGTGATGGGGCTACTTACGCATGGGCAGTGCCGAAGATGTTGGTGACGACCAACCGATGTCCACCTACACCATCAAAAGCCTCCGTGCTCTTGACTGCCGAACTAATACAGATCTCGCAGGCTTGTTTCAGCTTCTTCGGAAGATCTTTCAACCGGACCTTTGGGGGAGTCCAGCCATCAGCGCTTGCGCTTGGCGTAGAGCCCATGTCACTAGACATGCGGGCCATGTTCGGGGCACGAGTTTTAGCGTGCAGCATCGAGGGAGACATTTGTTGGGAGGTAGGCGAGTCCACTGAGGCCTGGCCGACTGGACCGACACGAGCACCAGTATGGCCATAGTGCAATGCGTGATAGAGTAGAGGTCGGTGGATGATATACCGAGCACCGTAATACTTGGCGCGCATACGAGCAGCATTGATTTCGTTTGCTGGCGGGTCGCTTTCGTCCCACTGCATGCTTAGAGGTAGGCTTCCGCGCCAGAGATCGAGGTTCAGACTCAAAGCCTCCTGTACAGTTGATGACCATCGCATCTGGCCTTGCTTTTCGACCTTGTACAAATCAGTGTGTACCCGATTCAAGACTTTGCGCAGGTGGATTTGGGCCGAATAAAACAGCATCATCATGGTTTGAGGCGCGTTGAGATCGTTAGGTAGGGTAATGGTAAATTTCCCTTTCGGGAGCTCCATTCGTCCCTCGGAACGCGAGATACCACTCGCTGGGATATCAAGCTCGGCGAGCAAATCACTCTCCAACTGCAGACATGTCCAGTATGCGAAATTGTACAAGTCCTGCATAGGCCCCTCCTCGAGTCGTTCATATCGCTTTGTTCTCACGAGCACCTGGCAAGCCCTTGACGCCTGAGAGATCCAACTGTGACTCTGGAAAGGATGAGCCAGCTGGCCAGCATAAAGCCCAGCAAGCAGTGCGGATTGGACATGTTCCACCTCGTTGGCACCTTGCAGATGACCCAAGATCGCGGTCCCGTATCCATAGAGAGTCAGGCCCGGAATGACCTGATAGTTCTTTGTACGGCCCTTTTCATCCATCGTCGATGACACGGTTCGCCGTGACAAGCTTTTTCGGCTCTCGCCTAGGGTGGAGGTGGTAGTGGAAAAAGACTGGCTAGGAGTGGTCTGCATTGGCAGCACATACATGGAATGCGAAAGCGACATCGGCATGGACGGATCCGAGTTTGGCGGGGAAAGCACTCCGTTGGCGGCAAATGTTGCGTTCGCAGGCTGGGCGGGAACAACTGGTGGGAGTGGATCAGGAATATACTGGCGGCGGAAATCAATCTTCTCGTCCATAATAGGCCCAGGAAGAGGAGCACTGGTTTCGCAGATAGCACCAAGCGCCATGCATAGCAAAACCACGGCATTGTCGATATTTTTACCAACTCGTGGCCGCAGCGGGTTGGAGATAGTCTCCATGAACTCTCCACACCCACCTGGATTCTCGTTGGATCGCCTCCGTTTGGCGGGTGGAGGACCATCACGAGCTGGTCTGGTGTAATTCGAGCTCAAGCTCGGGGAGGAGTTGGGACGACAATAGATGCGGATAAAGTTGGTGACCTTTATCTCAAGTTCACTTTGCATAAGGAACGGGTGAAGTTTGAACATGTTGTCGAGATAACTCTGATAATAGCGACGAGCAGTCACGGCATCCAGCTTCAAGTTACCAAACTTGTCAATCTCGGCGTCAGAATCAGGGCCCGCACCATCCCCATCAGTTCGGACACCATCGAGATTTTCCCCCATTGGTAATTCACTGTCATCGGCCGTGAATGAGATTTCGCCTTGACCATAGATACTGATAAGACCGCGCTCTTCTTCCAATCGCATCACATAATCCTCGTCATATTCTTCGGGGATCAGCAGCTTCTTGATTGAAGGCCACATCAATAGCTTGTGGGCTGCAGTAGTGTGCTCCACCGGGATCGATAGCTCTCCCTCGGCCTCAGTTATCGAGTCATCAAACCTCGAGTCCACTGGTACCATGTTCTGGGCAGGGATGGCGGAGGCCGGGATTCTCTGGGCAGGGGCAGGCATCTCTGCACTCCCGGGATCCAAAGCATTGGGAGGTGAAGTATGAGTTTGCGGCATCTGAGTCTGTCCTGCCTGAGTCTGCGCCATCTGAGTTGGCGGCATCTCAGTTTTGAGAGGAGGGTCCGACTTCACGACCGGTGGTGGGAGGACCGGACGCGCTTCAACCGTCGGAGGCGTTTTTTCGGCCTTTTCTTTGAGCAATTTCTCTTCCAGTTGCTGGAGTCGATCTTCCAGGAGGACCTGCATCGCAGTCATCTTATCCAATAATAGCTGGGTGGTCTTTTCTTGCTTGTGTGGTGGTACCTCTTTATAGACACAACCCAAGCTGTTCTCTTTGCAGTGACTACAATGCGGTCTTCCCTCGTCACATTTTGCTTTCCTAGCTCGGCATTGATCGCACGCCTGTATAGCTCAGTCAGCAAGAAAAAAAAAAAAAAAAAAAGAACCTTGTCTGTTCTGCGAGCCCAACGTACCTGTGTAGCCCGGTTTGCCTTGCGCTGACGCGCTCCCATCGCCTGATTCTGGTAATAGCCTGGATCGTACGCACCAGGCGGCGTCGAACCGGCAACTATTTGGGGAGCGGGGTTCATGAATTGCGAAGCGGGCGGTAACGCGCCGGAAACCGGTGTATGTTCGCCATTGCTCATCTGATCTGGGGGCGGGTAGCCCATGCGAGCGCGATAGTCTGGCGAGGCCTCGTGCGGCGCACCGTTGATGGGCTGGTGGAAGCTTGGGTGAGGGGGAGTTGGATCCTGCGGGGAATGCACGGGCGCGTGCGGGGGCAGGCCGTGACCATTGGGACGGCCATATGGGCCTTCCGGTGTGATTTGTGGCAATTCACGGTTCGGCATGACGGGATATCCAGGAGGTTGAGGTGGTAGGGGTGGCTGAGAATTTGAGGTGCGACGAGAGTCGGGGTGATGGCTATCGAAGGGCGGGGGGTATGCAGGGCGCCATGAGTCGTATGCTGCATGCGGGCCTGGGTGCGCATGGTGCCCCTCTGGAGGAGGCATGCGATTCATTTTTTTTTTCTCCCAATAGAGAATCCGGGTTTGCGGAGGGGCTTGAAGCTGCCAGGCGCAGTCGTCTCTTGTCGCAATTAGTCCCGGACCTTGGCGCAGGGTCTTTCTGGAGCGGACAAGGTACCGTTTTCAAAGCAAATGGGCTTGGTCAACTGGGACTTAAGCCAACATGGCGCTTGGAGATAGGAAGAGCGTAAATAAAGGGCAAGAACGGAATGGAGAATGGGACTGATGTCGGAAGGAGCGAAAGTCGGGAACAATGAAATCAGATCACGCCGTTAGAAAAGGTGTTTCCCGCGAATCAAATAGCGCGCCTAAAGCTCCGAATTTCCAGGTCACAAAAATGCGGTGATGTCGCAGTTCTGGAGTGGGTGAGTAGTGGAGCTAAACAAAGAAATAGTCAGATTACGGCGATGATCCGACCAGGGGCCTGCCGTTAGACCGAGCTATAGGAGAAACAAAACTTGGAAATGAAGCAGCGATTCCAGAGAGCCAAAAGTGAGGTGCATCCACCGTATATACGACAGATCGCAAACAGAAGTACAAGGTTGGGCACAAGGAGGGGAAAAAACCCAAGATGAAGTCCAAGTTGCGATGTACAGGTACACGGTATGTACTGGGTACCGGTCACGCAGCAGGTACCCTGGTCAGGTATGGTACGGCTGTCACAAAACCACGTACCTGAGCCCGTGGGCAATACGAATAATCCTGGGGAGCTAAATCAGAAAGCATTCGATTTCCCGCGTTTGGGAGACTAGAAGGGGAAGAGAGGAAATCGGATTCTGGGGGAAGAGAGGGGAAACATATAACATAATAACAGAATAACATAATAAATCACATAGTTCGAATTACGCCTGTAGGGATCGACGTGTGTTTGCCCCTCTCCCTGGATCACGGAGAGTACCTCAGGAATCAAAACAACTGTCTTCTCGTGGCTTCCGATTTTCATGATTTTTGGTACATATCTTTTTTAGGAAACCCCTGAAGGAAACACAAGTACTTCCTCTGTTACAGTTGACAGGTCGGCTTTGATTTTCCTTTTTCCGTTTCTTTTTCCCTCTTTCTTTTTCTTTTTCTTTTTTTCTTTTTTCTTTTTTTTCTTTTTGCCGACTTTCCTAACGGTGGGTCCGGCGGCTGGGGAAAATACATATGAGATGGTCTGCAGAAGCGAGATTATATTAATATTCATGGACAAAGATGTGAATCCAGCGGGACGAGGCTCCGGACAGCCCATCTCTCCTAGGGACATCTCTAGTACTCCGTACTACGATCGAAGCTAGGGTCCTCCGCGTGGAACGGGGTCAACCGCTTCGCCGGGAAATGCGCCATGCAAGTTGCTTCCCTGGTTGTCCCGGGAGAGATGGTAGGTATCCGGATTCGCTCAAGGCGAGTGCAAAGCAGTGCTCATCTCACATTACAATATGATCCATGTCGGGCAGCGATCAATGCTCAGGGAACCTGGAACTCGAGTGCGGAGTACGGAGTATACTCTTAAGCCAGATATTGTATCCAGATCAATTCTCTCCCAATCTATGAATCATCCTCTTCGAAGGGTCAAGAATTCAGAACGCGAACCCCCCAACCCTCCCAGGAAACAATTGACAATGGATGTGTCCGGACGTCAAGTGGGATCGCCTTCCAGAGCCTCAAATACCCAATAACACGCGCCGCACTGGCCGTCAATGCGGTCAATAAACTCGGAAACACTTGCAAGGGGCGCTTCTCAAACATATATGTTGTAGGCCATGGAAACTCTGGACTGGGGATTCGGTTAAATCGGTAGACGTTCAGATCGGCGATGTCTGAGCGCTTGCAAGCCCCTCTCCATCCAGCGCATCCTTCATTGGAGCGTCATTCGGGGATATCTTTTCCATCCCGTGGCTCCCAGGGCGGCGGTTGTCGGGGCTGATCAGCAACCCAGAGCTCTGGGCACCTCCCCGTGGGCTAAAGTGTCGTTTAATTCAGATACACTTTGAGCCGGCATCCACTTATCTCCGGAGAATTGGCCATGGGAAAATATCTAACATACCTCATGTGCCCTACGTGAATATAGTACGGAGCAGGTACATACCTTGGTACAGAGTACCAAGGCCAGGTATTGTAATTACGGCGTACTCGGGGTTACCCGTCGCTGGCCCATGGATAGGCACATCCACAGCTTCCAGGGGATTCTTCCAGAAAAAGGAGTGGAGAGGCATCCTCACGGCTTATCTCCTTCCCAACGGAGACGGTGACACGGTTTACCCCTTGATCAGGATGCAGCTCAAGGCCTCTGTGCCACCGAACATTCAACGGCGTTCCTCATCTTCTGGGTCAACCGGATAGTGGCACACAGTTGCTCCAGCATTCCTGGGGTTCGATTCGTTCTTTTTTTTTGCTTTTTTCTACCCAAAAAAACCGTTGATTTGTGTCCTGTCCGTGCCGTCACCCGCTTCAATCCATAGCCACTCGGCAAAGATAGAAGGATCATGGTGGAGTACAATATTGTGGTATGCCTACTCCGTACTCCGTACTCCGGGAGTGGATAGTGTATGGATACCTACACAATCCCCCCATCTCAAGGCTGATTACAGTACAATAGACCTCACCATGAACCGAGGGAATGATTCCCTCTGGTCAAATTGTCTGAGAGTAGATTGATTCACCTCAAGTAATGTCAGGGGTGTCCGCTCTCCAAAAACCGGAGCATGGAGGAGCAATGATCACTTGGAGGATCCTTCATATGGAGCCGGGATTGGACGGCACGAATGGGGTGCGTACGGAAACAAGAATCAAAAATATGTAATCCGAGGCTAAACCGAGGAAAACGATCCAGCAATGTGAGGCGGGTATCTGAATAGTCCGTTGCCAATTCCAAGACATCCCACTCCGGTTGACAGCCGAATCGAGTTCTTGCCACCGTTAAGGGGTTTAATTAGGGTTACATGGATTTCCACTTTCCCATACAAACGTATCCTTCCAGTTTCGATCAGCCATTTCGATCAGCCATTTCGATCAGCCATTCGATCAGCCTTTCGATCAGCCATTCGATCGGCCATTCGATCTCCCGTTTTGATCTGCCATTTTGATCTGCCATTTTGATCAGCCCTGTTGACCTGCCCTTTGCACTATCCTGTCCACTAGGTTCGGGGCGGTGCATGGGTTTCGATCTTCATCTCTCTATGTATCCTGCGACTACGCGTTGCTCGGTGTGTTGTTTCTAAGCATAATAGATGAGAATGGATCCAGGATGATAAGAAAGTAGAATGTCAATCAGGCCAATGAGAAAACAAATATCCATTGTCATCAAGCCCAATCCCTTCTCCTCGCTTCGTCTCTACTAGAATTTTGGAAAGCCTTCATACCTTCCAAACAATGCGCTCCTGCATCCAGATAATAGCTGCACGCCATGCACAGTGCAGCATGTCGATACCTACAATTAAGTTCCCAGACCCATACGATATGCAATGTTGAACGCAAGGGGTAACCACCGAACATGACATTATCCAACCCAAAATCCAACCTCTCTATAAGCACAGGGGACACCTATGTCATAGTCCAAACACCTACACCTTCCAAGTGGGACTGCTCAATGTCTTGGAGCCTCAAGCCTCTGGGATCAACCGCACTACTCCGTACTTCGTACTCCAAGCCCGGTAGCGAGACAGACCTAAAGTTTGATATTCTCCTTTGCATTCCTTGAATTATACTACCTTATAAGCCTTAGGTACGTTCCTGTATAATGTATCGCTATGGATCATGTACAGTGCCGCGTACAGCCGAAGCTTTCGCCTCCGAGAAATCCCAAGGATCCGAATGAATATGCAGCAGACCTGGCTCGTATCCAATCAGGACTGAGCATCATCTTCCCGCGACGACAACATACTTGGAATGACGCCATATGGGGAAGAAGACGCGGGCGATCTTCTCTCTAGGCCGTGATCCCCACATCAACTCCGTATTGAAAGAAGGCGATACGGAGGGTTGCATAGTGGTTGGATATGGCTTTCTCACATTAGACTCGGATACTGATGCAAAATTGATATGGCCCGTATGTACGGACTAGACGGAGGATTGAGGGCAAGTAGAGATGCAGCTTACACCTCTACTATCTATGGAGTACGGAGTAGAGAGGATGCATGTTCTAATCAGATAGTTCGGGGGATCGATGGATGCCATACCTAGGTACGGAGTACGGAGTACTGACCTAGTTGCCACCGTCGCTGATATGACATCGTGAGAGGTTGCACAGATGGGTATGGCGTATACGGAGTACGAAGTGGCTCAGACGACGTTGACACGCGCCAAAGGCAAAGTCGAAAACGCCGATAGTCTAAAATCAAACTGCAACCGCAACCCTAGCCTGTCACTCCTGTCATGTCTCATAGAGCCAGGTCACACGATAACATGCGCAGCTTCCTTACCAGTCTATTCTATCAATTCATTTCAAACGGAACTTCGCAATTTTCGGCGATACCAGCGCATGTTTCGCGTAATTGCCCACAAGTCGCGCTGAAATGTGATCGCCTTCATTCTCTCGGTACCTTTGACACATGAATTTGTCACTATACTCCGTACGGAAGATAGGGGATGATCTTCTGATGGCGGAAGGCTAGGCCCGCGAAGCGCGTCTTCTCCAGGGTTTCGATCGACTTTGATCGAGTCTAGAACGAACGCTACATCTCACGGGACACGACAGAATCCTGTTGACGATCGGGACTGCAGCACAGCAAGCGCAGATTTGATAAATCTGCCAGGGCTCATTCTTGACTGCGAGTTGTTTTGGAGCAGCACCAGCTACCTATCGATTTGGGAGGCGCAATTAGTCCTTCTCCGCTTATCCCCACATGCGCGACACGGTTTTAGTCTCATATCTCCACTCAGAAGGTGCAAAATGTGATGTGTAGAGGTTGTACAACACACACCCCCTTTCACCGTTGGCTGGGACCATGTCTCGACTTGAGAGTTCTGTTGCCACAGTGATCTGTGCAACTGATACATCGAGATTCATCACTTACTTACCTTCCTAGCTCCCGGCCGGAGGCGCTCCCACGTGGGTTTTGCTCCATGTGGTCATAAGGTGTGGGTTGGATCTACTCGAGCTATCGCGAGAAGCCTCGGATCCAAATGCGCCTCTAGCCACTCTGAAAGCTAATTAGAGCCGATCACCTCTGGCAATATCGCTCGCCAAATCCCGATCGCGATTCACTCGCTTGTCACATCACCCCCTGGCTCGGGGTTGCCAACTACCTTCTGAAAGGGTCTTCAACAAGGCTTAATCAAAATGCAGAAGAGAAGAACAGAAGTCAAAGCAAGATCTACCTCCTTACGCTGCATCACCTCTTGGGACAAATCACCGAGGCTTGAACATTGGAGTTCATATGAACCGCTGGTCCGTTCGCCAAATGCAAGGGAAACCGAAAAGAATGAAATCATGAAGGACAAGATCAGTGTCCACAGCCCAATTGGTATTCTTGCAGCCCTAGATTCCAATCCGGCAAAAACCAAGGAAGTCAGGATTACAACCGGATTCTGACCCCGTGAGGTGTTACCGAGTTGTGGCAGAAGAGGTCAGTCTGGTCGGATTTCGAATCAGCCGGTCAACGTTGAAAGTTATTGGTGATGTGCAATATCACTCAATCCAGCTCTACCGCCAAAAGTCAGCCCTCCGTCGAGCCGTCGAGCCGACGAGCCTCCTAGCGCGGCTGTGTACCTTGCCGTGGGGGACAAATGGATTTCCAACGCGACTACGGAGTACCTCAGATATCTCACATCGTTCCCGCTGTCGAAACCGACATTCTGGAGTCACCATCCACTTTATGCATAGCATTCACGCAAGTCATGGTTTTGTACACCCCCTTTATGTTGGTATTGCCTAAATAGGCAGTAGACTGGATTCTGGTGAGGTTAGCTCCTCCCCACTTCCTCGAACCAGTTACTTGCATAGATTCTAATCTCTGAGATCAAACAACCAGCCCCCTGGGTCATCAATGCATCGTACACAGCTTGATCTCATTCTGATCTGATTTTGAGTTTCTATTTCTGCAGCCTCCGACCTATGGAATTGAGTTCAAGGCTCTCGATTGACGATTATAACCCCCCTGAAGCCGATCTCACTCAAGGGATAGCTCTTATTTGGGAAACTTACATCCCTGGCCTGAGCAATTGTTCCCCGAGTACTCCGTACTCCGTAACCCGTACTCCGTACACCGAATCGTCACTCCACGGCCTCCACATGGCCTTCCAGCTGAGCGGGTACACACCGTACTTTTGTTCATCCCCATTGGGCAGTGCTCCGCACAGAGCCTTATTTGCGCCGATGTATGTATTGCACTGGAATGTGGACACTTGCTCAGCGCACCATATTCTTGATTTGGGGGGTCCACGGGGCTCATCACGCTTTGTCATGGATATGGTGTGATCCGCTGCAGCCTGCGGTTGATACCCATTGTTCTATAAGGCTCGAGCGCAGCGAGGTGAGGCGAAGGACAATTGGTATGGTTTGATTGGCTTTGCCCCGTACTTGATTTAGCGTTGATAGCGGGTCTTTGTGCGATCATCCCATCAGGAGATCGAATAGCGCTGGGGACCGTTTGGATACTTTGATACATACATTGTACACTCCGTACCTGTCCGTGTACGAGGGTCCAGCAGGACATCTCTCGGTAGGAAGTACGTGTATCTGGGAATATCGATAGCAACGAGTCTGTCCACTATACTTACAGAGTACTTGTATGGACTCCGTACTCCGTGCTTCTTCAAACCTGCAAACAAGCATCGGACCAACCCCAGTCCAGAGTCGACACAACCGTTGTCCATACCCATGTCTCCTCTGCTTTCGTGTTTTGAGGCGTCCAACCAGATCCGATCTCACCAACTCGATCCCCGAAGATCCATAGCCTCGATGATCGGGTAACAACCATGTACTACGGAGTACTCGGTACCAATACATATACCAATACCTCGTGTACTCCGTACCTCACGTCAATCGCAATAAGCGAACCCCATACACTGGAAAGTTACGGGGGGAAGAAGTCAGATCTGTCAAGCGACTGCAACGCGCCCCACCACAGCCAACGTGTGTACTTTGTCCTTGATACTCGAAGCCCTCCAGAGCACGCACCTGTACGGAGTACTCCGTACGGAGTATCTCGAAAACAAAAAGCAAACCAAGGATCGCACCATTACCCTCCTCCAGCCTCCTGACCGAAAAAGAAGAAAAGAAAAAAAAGCAGCGGTACGCGCGCTCAGACAGCCAAGACGCAACTAAAACAACTAGAGCCCGATCGAAAGGGTCTCTGATCTCATACAATCTAACTTCGCACAGAAATATCCTCACCTATCATGTCTATTTGTGACGCCGGCGGAAATTAAACGGGAAACGGAAAAGCGACCGGTGGCATTGGCCGGTTTGGGGACCACTCTTCACACTCTCCACACCGGGCGCTGAGAATCAGGATTTTGACAGACTATCATCTCGATACATCACATTTGGAACGGATTGGTTGGTCTGGACCGTTGCTGCTTTCGCTTGGCCTTTTTCTTTTCTTTTCTGATATTGGGACGGAGGAAAGGTCGTTGGAGTTGAGACACCGAGTATGTCCGGGTATGCGTTGTTCCATACGGAGTACGGAGGGTTCCTGGGTTTCAGGGGCAGGAAAAGTACTCCGTACCGAGGTAGCATGTAGAACAATGATGGCGATGGGAACAGATATACCTGCCTCGGTAGGTACTCCGTGTTGAGCACGAGGCCCGGAGTAAGCATTGAGTTGGAGTGCCAATGTTGCAAGGGTACGCTGGATCGAGGTATATTGAGGCCTTACTGGACAAGCTCAACGATGTCTATCTCCTCCTCGAGTGTCAATTGACGACCTGCTCAGGGATCTCTAAATCTTTCTACTTGATATCTTCATTCGAGGAATTGCACAAGGCCATAGCTGTGATCTGTTGTCATTGGAGATGGGTATGGTAAATAAACAAGTAAAAAAAGGACATCGACGATGACATAGCAACCGAGAAATGGAAGATGATTGCTGCGCCGTTTGTACAAAATGCATCGCTGGAGAAAGGCCTCTGGGGCCAGGAGCTAACAAGTCTCTACGAACACCATGTATGCTCTACAATGGATGCTCTATCGGTAACTCTGACGGCACTGGAAGGTCAGCTTCACGTCGTGTCTGTCTTAGCTGGTGGTGGAACAGTTGCCAGACTCCCCGGAGTGCTTCGATGCGGTCTTTGGCATCAAAGAGGTCGAACCACCTAGTCCTTTCCAGCTGAAGTACATGCCATGGCTGGTCTTCGGTTGCAGGGAAAGTGCTGTCGCCGTGAGTGAGAATGTCCAGGTACCGTCGGTGAACGCGGAGGTGCAGGATGGAGATGTGATGGTTGATAGATGAGATCATGTAAATCTGTAGACGATCGGAATAGTTAGCTTTGTCATGCCGCCATATGCACACTCAATCTCAATACAAACTGGGTAACATGTGACATACATCATCAAAAGGGCTCTCCTGGACCTTGCCTATCTGCAAATAACTCATTCGTTTATCCCAAAGACTGGGCCCAGGCTGCAGGATCTTCCACTTCTCAGTGCTGGTGAGTCTCCGCATAGCACTTGGTCTTCGCGCGAGAGATGTGACAAATGGATGTTCAAACTTGTGACGCTTGTTGGCGCTCTCCGCCTCCCGGGCAGATGATCTAACTTCTTCCATCATCGAATCTGGCAAGGACATCCCGTGTCCATTGTGAACAAGATCATCCAGGATCCCGTCGTTGGAAGCCCCTCCGAAGCGAGGCGCCATGGTCCACCATTTGCCCTCGCCAGGTCGCTGCTCGGTTGCGCCTTCACGGGCACGCTCTTGTGCGGCGAGCAGCATGCCGCCCACCTCGCGGTACAGATCACTTATCTCACCAATTCCCGTCCCCGGGGTATCACCCGGGGCGCGGAAAGATGTCTCGGGGCGACACTGCGCGATGAGAACGGGGCCTTCGAGCATGCCGCTCCGCGCGAGCTGGCGGTCTCGCGGAGACCGGGAAGACTGGAAAGTTTGCCGGACGGGAAAGAGGAGGTTCTTGGCCGTGAGCCGTGGCGGAAGCGTAGGAGCGGTGACTTGGCATCCAAATGGCCATGCCGCCATCTCCACGAGTGCCCGGATTGTCTCGTCACGGATGTCATCCGGCATTTCGGCTCCATTCCCGACTCGACGACCCGTGTACCTGGCAACAACTGGCCGTTTCTCCTCGTCAACAGTGCCATTGTTCAGAGCCGCGGACGCCTGCGCTTCATCGAGCTCCATCGCATCTGCCAGTTCGGATCCGCTCTTAGACTCCGCATCCAATTGCATTTTGCGATCATCCGACAGCTCTATCTCTGACGGGGGTGTCGGCTCGGGGGTTGCTGGACGCTCGAAATAATTGTCTAGGCTGGTATCCCAGTATTGAGCCATGCGCTCTAACCCCGTCCAGAACTTTCTCGACTGCGTTATACGAACCCGACTCCGGCCCTCGCATGGCGGCAATCGAGACACTTCGCGAAAGGCGTCGTCATTGTCCAGCGACAGCTCCTTTTCTAAGACTTCATATCGTTCCTTCGTAGGATATGGGGCCCCGCTGCTCATCAACGGTCGGGGATTGTCGTCCGTTGGCTCGGCGATGTCTTTCCATGGCACGGGAGGACTGGGGTACGAGGGGTCTTCGGGAATCATGCGGGCGACTTCAATGTCCATGTCGTATTGGATGTTCAAGGGTTTGAAGCGCTCCAAGGAGATGTCCTGCGGGCGTTTGATGTCGGCCAGGAGACCCGGCATCTCCTTAAGTCTTGACTCGGACTCATTATCGAGGGCATTGGATAGGTTGTGTACGGGGAAATCGAGGGATATCGGGTGAGCAGGTGGTTTTCGTTCCTTCTCTGGCTCTGAAGTGGTGGAGGGTAAGGCTGTAGCAGGGTTGCGTTAACTCGGTGTTGCAATCGCGGCATGGGTGGCAAAGAAATTCTCGAGATATAGACAATGGACTGAAGGTCGCATCCAAACAGACAATCCCCAGCCAGGCGCCGTACAGTCACATAATCGCTTTGGGCCCGACTCGGATTCAACTGCCAAGGGGTTGAGATGGCGGGGAAGGGGAACACAACGAGGGGTAGCAAATAAAACGACCCTAGGCGGGCAAAGGAAGCTGCTTACCCAGCCCAGATCCCCAGCCAAACATGATGAGCTCTAGAGATCTAATGCAAATGCAGATGCAAGGTTATCGCCAAGTTCCAGTTTCACCCCGGGATCACATGGGAATCTGGTGAATGAACAACCGAAAAGGCAAGGCAGAAAAACACAGTATAGAGATAAAGAAGTCGAACAGTCGAAATTGGATCAAAAAAAAGAGTGACTCCCTGAGATGGGGAGATGGAGAAGAGAAGAAGGGAAATGGACTTTTGCAGGTGGGGAATTGGCGGGAACATGGACCTGCCTCTGTTTCTGTTCCTGTTCGCCTACTTCGTCTGCCATCTGAACTGGAGTTGATGCATCTATTGTCCAGGTTGGGATATATAACACACTGACTTGGTGCATTCGTTGATCGGCTGTATTGCTGTTTTGGCCTTGAAGAGGATCATCTATGGTGCTCCCACGTGCTCTTCTCCAAGGCCCCATACCCCGTACATGTACTCCCCTACTTTCATGGGCTACTCCTCTTATCTCGTATTCGTCTACATTTCTACGGAGCACTGGGCAATTTGTCTCTTGCAAGCTCAATCCTCTCTTTTATATTGCTTTTGGCTTGTGAGACTGTCTGACATCATCACATGATCTACCAAAAGAGGCATTGCTACTCGATGCTGGGCACATCTGCAGTATGACTCCAGAGAACTGCAAGACACCAGCAGCTGAATTAGGCAAAATGTGAAACCTCAGGGGGTAACTCCAGGTTGGACCAGTCAAAATGATCACCTTGGGTCTTTCGCCAATCCCGAAACGGCCTTATTTCGTCCGTGATACTCTCCCTGCTCCGATCCTACTTCCCCAGGGACAATGACGAGATTGTGTGCGTGCAGAAAAAGTTAGCGAGGGTCACATTATTGCATCGGATATTCTCTAGAGATGATCGTCCTCCGCTCCGGGTCTTATTGGACGGGGATGCTAAGCGCCGTTCATCTGTCACAGGAAGAGTTGCTTCCACCCAGACACCGGAAGAAGCGCCGGGTTCCAGACAAATGAAAGACAAGACCCCCTGGGAATTCGTGTGAAATCTTGCAGAATAGGAGGGGCAAAAAGTGTCTATATAACCCTCCGACCTCTTGGTATCTGACGTGCTACACTTTTGGCACCCCCACCGACGTGAATCCTGAACTGTATGGAATCCCGACCCAACCACGGGAGTATGTTCGTGGCTTTTTCGAGGCTTCAAGGAACAAAGCAAGGAATAAAGTATGGGGCTTGGATGAACTCTCAGAGTCACTTTGAGAAGCCTACTGCTTTATTGCGTTGTCGCTATATCCTTTGTCGGCCGGGGTCTCACATATAAAGGGATCCATTCTTCGACATCGCCCCTATGTTCCATACATCCAATAAGGACTTGGCAAATACCACCAGATCTGTCTTTTAACCGGCTGGTGTTGCCTGTGGGCTCGCGACGAGATGTCGAGTGCCTTCACTGCCATTGGTACTCCCTCTGCAGGGCTAGCCAGCATCACCCGGACGTGGACTACACATCTACCCTCTGAACCACCGAATCTAGTGACACTCACGTCAATTCAAACGGAGACTGTTCATCCTACATGGATCTACACAATATCCGACTCCGAGCGTGGTCCCAGCAGCACTGCGACCACTGTACTCGATCTCGTGTCGCCAACACTGAACCCAGCCCCAGTGACTGTAACGCTGACAACCACTGGTCTATCAACGACTAATCCGGACATCGTATTACCGACTGCCATCTCTATATCATCAACTGTCTCGGAATCGGCAACCTTCACATCGAGCCTAACAACCATAGTGTCTTCAAGCGCAATGAAAGATCTGCCGATTCCAACCACTTCAGAGTTATCTGAACACCTCGCGTGGAACTCCGATGCTCCTAGCAGCATATGGATTTCACAAACCTCATTGACTAGCCCAAGTACTCCTCCATCATTGCCACTGCCAGTCTTCCCGGAGGCGACGACTAGCTCCGTGAGCTCAGTTAGTGCCTCGACCATCTCAAGCACTGGGTCGTCCACCACACCCTCGATATCACCAGTCACCGGAGTTGTCACAAGCGCAAGCGCTTCAGACACAGCTCAAGCTGACCAATCGCACCCCAAATCCACCTCCAAGACCGGGACGATCGTTGGGAGCGTCATCGGAGCATCAGCATTCACCATATTCGCCCTTCTGGCCTTCGCTCTGTTCATCCGCCGCAGGCGACGCAAGCTCACGACAGAACGTCCCGATACAAGACAAAAGCTTTTACGAGCCGACTCCATGACCTCTTCAATCGGTCACTGCCGTTACCATTCCTATCCCTCGATGCCAGGCAATATCAGCCCGCGATCACCCAAGCTCCCAGTTATCCCATTGCAACCCTCCAATCCAGATCTGTCCCTGGACAGCATGTATCTGCGTGGCGAGCGCACAACACAAGATTCCTTTGCGAATCCGCCATCCGCAGTCATCGAGATATCTGCTCCATCTCGCAGCGTCTCAATATACTCTTCATCCTCCTGGGGAAACGGGCATGGGTATCCGAGCTGGGATTGCGAGCGCGAGGGCGCAGATTCCCTCGCTGTACCGCGCTTGAGTCCAGGTTATCTGGATACGCCGATGATGCGTGATAGCATGCGCAGTGACCCCTTCGACCTCGATCTCGAACCTCCTCCAAACGCACATCACCGGCCTTCGGCTCCTCCGCTGCCAACACCATGGGGTGTCAAGTTTTAGAAAGCAAACTTTGTTTTTTCTTTTCTTCTTTTGTTCGGGCCTATTTTCGGCTCGGTTCCGCTTCGCTTTGCATGTTGCATATATTATATGGTTATGTTGATACACTTGCTTTTCTCCCTTCTCTTTGACTGACGATGATAAGACTTTACGAACGTCATATATACCAGCTTTTTTTCACCTTTCACATTTATTTGCGTGTTGGTTTTTCTCTTTGATGCATCTATATCATATTTTTAGCTTGGTGTTGAAGGTCTGGATTACTCTTGGGGGTTCATTGATATGTACGATGAGACAGGGTGTGAGGATTTGTATTCCATTTTGATATTCAAAATATAGGCCTACTTTCAGATCTCGGTTCTTTCTTTTCTCCGCGTAACATTCTAGAATAAGAATGCGAGGAATGACGAGTGATGATTCTCTTCGTATTGGAGGCAATGGAATGGCCATCGGCTGAAACATGCTCAGGATGCCTGTCAGATCTAGCACATCGCCAACTTCATTGACCGCCACTCCTGACTTGTTTCAAAGGCCAAAGATTCCAAGCAAGGAGATGGAAGGGCCAAGGAAGCTGAAAGCCAAATATCATTATTTTGGAATGTTGTTTGCCCGACCGGTGTGTTTGATCGAAGTATGCCAGGCATCGCATCCAATTGAAAGAAGAGTCCACTCCAGGCCATGAAAAAGCTCTGAAAATAGATCTCTTTCTTCAGGGTATGGGGTGGCTTGTCTTCTCACCACTTTTGTCCCTCGTCATGCGGGACTTACCTACATCCAAGCTCGGGATGAACACATGTGGTGATCAGATGTCGAGTTGCGGTGAGTATTGGATCATGAATCGGCATTGGATTGAGGTCTTATTATGAAATCTGTAGATGGGATCCAGTGAACCTTGCTCTTACTTTCGCTCCTGGTAGGGTTGAAGTTTGAGCAGAGTTCTCTGTCGGGATATAGAGTCATGCTCATCCCGCCTTTGTGAGATCAGAGGCGTTCTAAGACTCCCGGAAGGATTTGGTGAAGCTTCACCGCCTCTTGAGATCATGGAAAGAGGTGGGAAATTAAAACGAACTGAGAATTGGAGAGGTTTGAGGTAGGCTTTTGTATGTGGGTTCCAAATCCGTACTCCGTATAGCTGCTGTCCTTATTTGAGCTTCTTGGCATGAGATTGGGGATTTAGACCCGTCTTTGCTGGTTTGTACAGTCATATACTTGGGCTTGAAGTCTGTCCTGCATTGGTTTTCATTAAGGTGAGGAATATAAATACATAGCGCGTATTCTTCCTTTACAGGGTTCGGAGGGCCACTTGCGACATTCCAAGTTGTATATTGGGGTCGCTGATACCTAGGTAGGTCTCAGGGAGTGATTCAAAATCTTAATTACTCTGGAATCATAGACACGGCCTCATTCAATCAATCTTGGGCTGGAATCTTTCTAGTGACGGGTTTTTATACTCCGCATTCTGTGGGGCTACGCTATGGATATATAGACACGAGTAACAATGATTCATATAAAATTTGTTTCTCCGCATAGACTTCGAATGAGTAGACATGCCAGAAGAAAGAAGTCAAATAGATATCCTGCAAGATCATCCCCATTGCAATAATGTGGTGTGAGTGGTGGGTTCATCTAGAAGTGGATAGGCCTTGGATTAAAGCCCCAGACAGCAGAGCCACCAGACCCATAAATTACATTGGAGTTCTTTGATCCACGACAGTGGTCAAGGGTATATAATAGTATGAGAGTCATTCCGATAAAGCCAATACAGAGCAAGAAAGTGTCAGCCACGCTGTATACATATACTGGGATCGGCTAGTGACCATATACAGCGCAATCTAGAAGACGGACGAGACCACTAATAGTATACCGGGAGGCCTAGATGGCGCATACGTTCCGCTTCTCAGCATATCAATCAGTATGCCATAGAAGCAGAGTACATCGTAGATGCGCGGGAACGAGGGTGGTGTTTTTGTTTTGTTTTTTTTGGTGAAGTAAAAAAAGATTTCCTTTTGCTTTCTCGTTACGTTTTTAACAAGAATAGCTTGAGTATCACATCATCATCGCATCTTCCTATTTTCCACACCCCATATTTCCCGAAAGATCCAAGAAGCCACGAACCCCCGTGCTATCAGAGAAAACAGGGGAAGGAGAGAAAGTCGTAACAGAATCTAAGACTAATAGGAAGACGCCGAAGGCCGACCTGAGTTCGATGTCGGGAACAGCCTCGAATCCCGAATCCAACCCAGAAGTTAACCGTTTCCAACCTCCGCACCGCCGAATTGCGAGAAAAGCGTCAAACAACGGAAGGGTAATTGAATTTTTGTATCAGATTTACTCCTCGCTGACCAGAGCATCGCGCTTGGCCTCCTTGCGCTCCAACCGACGCTCACGGAGAGCCTTGTTCTTGGCACGCTTGGCGTCCATCTCCTCCTTGAGGGCACGGTCGCGTTGACGCTCAGCCTTAGCCTTCTGGATCTGTAGCGGGGAAAAAGAGAACGAGTCAGCCTGGGTGTGTTCTTGTTGCGTAGGATATGGATTCTTCATATTCCATATTCGATCGTCATCCGTGGGGTTGATCCGGGTTGTAACTTACGTGCTCGACGAGGGCACGCTTGTGCTTGAAGGTGTTACCCTTGCTCAGGTGGTAGAGCTCGTGGTAAAGGTGCTTGTCGATCTTGCCGGCGGCGCGGTAGCGGACGAGCAAACGACGGAGAACACGCATGCGGCGCATCCAGAGGACTTGGCTAAACAGAAAACAGTATCAGTAACTGTGCTCCTGGCCCAATTCCGTTCAACGAGTCCGAGACAGGCCGATTGGAGACGAGAAAAGGTATGCATACCTGGGCATACGAGCGTCCTTGGTACCCTTGCGCTTACCGAGGCCACGGTGACGGCCGTTGCGGCGAGCCTCGTTGAGCTCACGGGCGGAGGCACGGGAGTGCATGGTGACGGGCTTGCGGATGATGAGGCCATCGCTGACGAGCTTGCGGATGGTCTGGCGAGAGTTGGCGTTGGAGATCTCGCTCATCTCATTGGGGTCGAGCCAAATCTTGCGCTTGCCGCAGCCGACCACGGAGGCGGCGAGGCGCTTCTGGGTGGTAAGGTTGACCCTATGGTGAGAGACCCGGTCAGCATCATGGCACACACATCATGAAGTTGTTCCTCCACTATGGCGAAAATATCGGGGTCCACGAGTTGGATGATTGACACGAGCACACGGGAGTGCTTCCGAGAACTTCAATAACAGTTTGGAGATGAACTCACATCTTGATGTCGGCGTATCGACGGTCGTTGGCGGATGATGTTCGTGGCACTGAGAAATCCCGACAGTGAGAGTTTGAGAGGGCACTGCGGGCCAGATTAGGTCAGCCGAGGGCTAAGCGAGTGCTTCCACCAACGGGCGGAGAGGCTCAGGGTGCATACCCTAGCACTAGTCCAAATCGGGATGATGGAACTTGAAGATCTTGCAGTCCGGGGAAGCCAAGAGTATTCCCACGGGATGATATGGGATGGTAAATGATAGATCAAGAGGGTGATTACAATTTGCTTTCTATTCTGGTTTTTTACCGGGCGATTTTCTTGGGCTTTGGTGGTGAAAAACAAAGATGAGGTTTATCACGTGCTGTCAAAGGATTGATGTCACCTGATTGGACCCTCCCGTTTAGGAAATAGTGATCGGCAGTATACAACTAAACGCAGCCCAGTGAATGGCCGGTATAGAATAACCTCGAAACGCAATATGAAATATACATCAACATACGTACATATGCATAACTTTTGTACGACTAAAAACAAATAAAAACCCAAGGGTATATCTATAGACATGTAGATGCTCCTTGGATGCGCAAATCAATCATCATTCATCGCCAAAGGCCTCTCCGAGATCGACCTTGCCAATGCTCCATACTTCCTTCTCATCATCCAGCTCATCATTTGACAGTCCCAATCCACCCTCACCACCTTCAGCCTCCCGACGCTCACGCGCCTGGTTAGCCAAACGAACAGCAATACGCTTGAAGTAATCAGACATGCTGCGCTTGGGGCCTGGGGGAAGAGATGCTCCTGGACCGGCCATATACTTGTCAAACACCTCGCTATCAGACTCGACCACCGAGAAGATGGACAAGAATGCTGCTTCGGCGGCCAGCTTGACGGGAATCACCAGATCACGGACACTGGCAAAGATGGGCGGTGCGAGCAGAGCCAGATGAGGACGGGCCAGCTCGGGGTGAAGACGACTGACAGTCCGAATAACGACCAAGCTCAGTCGGCGAGTATCGGTAGGACTACCAACCTGAATGGCAGGTGCCAAGGCTTCGAAGATGGTCTTGCTTGACTCGAAAGCATGGTCACCATCGTTGGACAAGAGGTACTTGCCTGCAGCAAGGGCGCTGTTGTCGGAGACGAAGGGCTGTTCTTGAATTAGCTTTGAACCGCCATGGATAATCTGGTAATATACTCACATCCTTGTTTGCAATGCCCTGGGAGATGACGGTAGGAAGCTCGGCAGCGAAGTGTTCCGTCAAAACCTCGGGACATTCAGCCAAAAGAGCATTAAGTCCCAGGACTGCCGCATGATCAAGTGAGCCAGTGAGGATACGGTTCCTACAAGCAAGTAAATTAGCATCTGGTAACACTAGTCCAGGAGAAGGAATATGCATACTTAATAAGAGGAACCGAACTTGTGGCAGGGAGGACCTTCACAAGCGCACCAAGAAGACGGGCGTTGGTAATGGCAACAGAATCTGCAAGTAGGTCAGTAAGCTATTGAACACAGAAACCTTTGATAGTAATCTTACCGGTCTGGTCACTGGCGTCATCGTCAATCAGACTAAGAATCGCTTGCCGGGATGCCTCGCTCATATTGGCACCAGCCTTGCCAACCACCTCCTGGAGAGCCTTCATCATGGCGTTCTTCACGCCAATATCGGTAGTCTTAGAGCCGGTGATAAGTTCTGGAGACAAAAATTAGCGATGAGGTTCATTCCATAGTTAAATATGCTGGAACTTACCAGCAATAAGAGGATCAACTCTGGGAGTCAGCGTAATCAAGATACCGAGACCCTTGGCAGCCCGGTTGCGCAGAGTTTCGCTTGTGGTGTCTGCAAGACCACGGGCGAATGTACGCTGGAGCTGAGGCAGGAAGGGCTTCACAGCCAATGGGATCTTCTCCAACAACTTGTTGAGGGTGTAGAAGATAGCGCCTGTCGGAACTGGTCAGTACGTAGATATTACTCGGGATTTGCGTGACTTACACTTGATATCGACAGAACGTTCAGAGACAACACGAATCAGCGGACCGGTGATCTGAGTAACGAAAGGCTTCAATGACTCGGCACGAGTACGGTCGATGATGTCTGACATCGCAAGAGCTGATTGAGTACGCTGATCGGCAGTACCATTGAGAAGACCTTGCAAGAAGATCGGCAAAATAGCCATAATACCCTTGGGCAGGCTGAAGCCCGGCAAGTCTGCACCAGCCACACCCACGTGTCGCAAAATCTGGCGTGTGGGAACAACCAAGCTCTCCATCTCCTCCTTGCGCATGTGGGACATGAGACCAGTCAGAGCAGTCCATGCTGACTTGACGACATTGTTGTCCGGGTCGTCGAATGAAATCAGCAAGGCGCGAATCAAATCCTGATAGTACCGCGAGAAGTCATGCTCGAACTCGGAGAAGAACTTGGTCAGATGGAGCGCCGCAGCAGAACGACGGCGGTGATCGTCGTGCTTGACAAGAGTGACCATTACATTCATGGCGACACTTAGGCCATCATATTCATCCACAGACACCAACACTGTGTCGAAGGCAGTGCTGAGCTCTTCCCGAAGATCTTCGTCGGTAGTCTCGATAATGCCGTCCATGAGGGAGTTGAGAATAGTTGGCAGCCTCCTGGTCATGGCGGAACCGGCAACCTCGGCCAGAGATGCTAGGGCTCTGGCATTGAAAGCAGTAATCGGTGACGTGAGCAACGTGGGAATCAGGTTGGGAAGAATGATATTGGCACGAGTCTGTTCTGTGAGGAGAGTCAACAGAGCAGACAATGCCTGCTCGGCATCCTCGTCGTTTCTCAGCAAGTGGAGAAGGTGTGGCAAGACCTGGTCCACAACCCGCTTGCCCATGATCTGCTGCAATGAGTCGAAGGCTTCAGCAGCAGCTTCCCGCACATCATCGTCATTGTCGACCAAGGCCACCCGAACGGTGGCGATAAGAATTGTCTCATAGTCCTCCAGTGCATCGGGGGAAGCAGCGGTGATAAGCTCCCGAAGAGCAATGCAGATACCCTGTTTAACATCTACATCGGGCGAAGTCTGAAGACCATCTTGAAGCAAGGGTAGCAAGGTATTGAGAACAGACTCGCCAGCCTTTTTGATAAGGTCTCCAAGAGCGTTGCTGGCAATAACCTTCTGCTCCATGTTGGTGGATCCAAGGCGGCGAATGATGAGCTGAGACAGCGTGGGAACCATCTCCTTGAGCGTTCTGGGAGAAGCGACAAGCGCCTTCCAGACACCCAGAGCCGCGCTCTTGACCTGTCCTGAAGTATCGCAGCGACAGATGTACAGGGCCGAAAGAACCTTGTCCCTGCGCTCCGCTCCGAGAACCTCCAACAAAGATTGGCCAGCTTGAGTGGCTTCCTCCTCTTCTTCGTCGCCCTCGTTCTTGCCAGAGATACCAGTAAGACTGAAGAGAAGATCGCCAACCAGCTCGACGGAACTCAAACGGATACGGTAGCTGTCGTCCGCAAGACCACGCTCCAGCTCTGGAAGCAAGAGGTCAATGGCCTTGTGGGCGAAATTCTTGACGAGCAAGCGACCGGCCCGGAGAGCAGTCTCCCGAATTGATTCAACATCATCAGCCAGACCAGCAAGGATAGGGGGAATGATCTTGCTGAGGTAGTTGGCAAAGCTGTTACCGAAGCAAGCAGGCAAGAAGATGAAGAGTGTCATGAAGCCTTCACGAACAGAAGGCTTGGCACTGGAAACGTTCTGGAGAATAGTTGGCAGTGTCTCCTCGAGTCTGGTAGTACCAAGGCCTGCAAGAACCTCCGAAAGGGCTTGAGCAGATCCAAGTCTGTCACCAGCACCAGTATCTGACTTGAGAGTAGCCATGAGGTTAGGAATGAGTTCGGGCAGAGCATCTTCTCCAAGTTTCTCGATGAGTGAACCAAGAGCCTTGGATGCAGTAGCACGCGTTGTAGGAACTGGATCAACAATGGCCAAGTTGAGACCGGCCACAAGGATGGGCAAGTGGGAAATCAGATCCTTGCGCTCCGTAAGATGGGCCAAGCTGCCAATAATCTGTGCTGACTTCCGCTTGGTGTTAGATCGGTCACTAAGACCACGCTCGAGAATGCGCACAACAAGGGCCAGGGAGGGGGCGTCTAGGTAGTGTGCGAAGGAAACCTTGATCAAAGAATCCAAAGCTTCATCTGTGTGCTTTGTTGGATCACTCAGAGCCTTCAGAAGCACGCCAACCAAGCTCTTCACTTCAGGGTTACTGATGACCTCGCCGAAGCGTTGAAGACTGCGGTTCGCTGCATTACGGACTTCCTTGTGGGTGTCATTGAGCACGACCGTCAAGGGTGGAATGATGTCAGGCAAGCTGGCCGCAAGCTGTTGCGGATCCAGGTAGGCCATGGCTCCAAGTAAATCGCAAGCACCCTTTTGACTGCGCCATTGCGTATCATCTAAGCCGTCAAGTAGAGTAGGGAGAATCTCTTTCACACCGTAAGAGCTGAGGTTTTGGAAGCAAGCTCTTGACGCCTCCAAACAGGTGTCGCGAACGCTGATGCTGGTATCACCAAATCCTCCCAGAAGCTGGGGTACGAGATGAATGACATAAGGTTCGAAGGTCCGCGCCAGAACAAGGGCGAATAGCTCATAAGCGAGCAAAGCACCTCGTCGGTGATCCTTTTCTTTTTTGTTCTCGGTAGCCTCCTTGAGCTGGCTCATGATTCGGAACTCCCGCAGGGTTGCGATACCTCTACCGCACACGACTGCTGCGAGACCGTATGCAGCACCGCGTTGACGAGGGTAGTCAGGGGCATTGAAAAGTCGGTAAATCAGGTTTTCCACATACTCTGCGGTCTTGGAACCAGATGATCTGATCAAGGGTGGCAGACATTCGGATACAGCATGCTGCACAGACTCTGAAGGAGTATCGAGGGCCACAAGCAGCTCACTGATAACAGTTTGCAAGCGAGGATCATCGGCCTTGAGATGTGTCGCCACGGATCCGTAAAGGACGATGACAGCCTCGTTCAGCAGGTCAGAGGTCTTGGTGTCTTTGTCGGAGGTTTCCAAGGTTGTTTGGAGAAGCTTCATCATCTCCTCAACCTTTGACTCGCCTCGAAGAATGATAATAGATTTACCGCTCTCTGTCATCTGGCCACGCACACGGGAGTTTCCATCGAGCAAGGGTCCCTTTTCGATCAGGAATCGCAAGAAGGATACAGCCTCATCACCATTGAATTCCTTGGTCATGGCATTGAAAGCAAGTGCAATACCACTGCGAGCTTCCCAATGGTCTGAAATGTCCACTTTCTTGGGCATTCCGTAGGCATCCTTTTCGGGCGCCTTAGGCTTGATCTCTTCCACATATTTGGACTGCAGTTCAGATAGAATGCCTGCAAACTTGCTCTTGTCGAACTCAATTGCATGTGCTAAAGCACGGGCAGCAGCGCCTCGGAGTTGATGGTCCTTCGAATCCAAGTACTTCATGATCTTACTGAACGATGTGTCATCCACCTCCAGCGCATTATCTTCCCAGATTGTGTCTGCAATCTCAGCATTCTCCTCCACCATATCGTGGCAGCCAAGCCAGATATGCTCCGAGAAGTCGAGGTCGGTCAGATCGATTTCAGCTTCAATGACCTGAAGCACAGTTGTTCGAACAGACGCATCAGCGACAATGGCTCCTTCCAAGAGTGTATCCAGCTCCTCGCTGTTGATGTTAGGTGAGATGCACCGACAGAAGTCGAACAACGTATCCTTCACCAGCTTATAGTGCTGGGTGTATCTTTGCATAGCAGACAGAAGCTGACCAAGAACATCGACACGAGGCAGACGGGCGTCGGTGACTAGACAGAATCATTAGCGAATCGGCTGGCACATACTCACCACGAGAGGATATAACTTACAGGAACCCGAGTGGAAGGACAGGAACTCGAGAGCAAGGAGAACCTGGGTGCCTTCTTCTTCTCCCTTCGCTTCTTCGATGCCGTTCTGGGTCAAAACCAAAGAGATAAGCGGGAGAACGTAAGCGAGAGATGTGGTATCGAAAGGACGTTGCTCGGAAGCAAAGCGCAATCGGTATAGAATTCTTGTAACAAGTTCACCAAGGGGCTCTAATTCCATATCAGCGGGGAGATTGGTGTTACCAATGGCTCGCAGTGTGGCAATGCCCACGAAAGATCGCAGAGGGCCTAGGCGGGTCGACACTTCGTCGGCACAAGTGATGAAGGCTCGGGAAACAACATCACCAACGAACAGACCTGCGCCGGCCTGAGCAAGTGAGAGCAAAGAAGTGATAGCAGCGTTGATCCACCCTTCCACATCGTTGGCAGGGCCTGTTGCAAGGCCCCGGATAAGGCCAGCTCCTCGTTCGATTCGCTTGACCTCGTCCAAAACATCTGCACGGATCTTGGCCTCCTTGGCAAGTTGGGCCTTGACCTTGGCATTCTCCTCAGGAGTAAGCTTCTTCTGGCTTTGTCCCTTCTTTTCGGCCAATTGTGCGCGGAGCTCCTCTTCCCACTTCAAAGTATCGTAATCCTTGGTATTCTTATCAAAGGCAGGCTGTTTCGACTTGCTGCTGAGCACATCGATGAAAGCGGTCCCTTCGGGCGTGCGTGCAATGGCGGCATCGGTGGCAGTAAACTTGGATAGGCGGGTGCCATCCAAATCATATTTAATTTGATCAACCAAGCGCGGGATCATTGCGTCAGGGGCAACAAACGCGAGTTCGGCTCCAGCGCTCCAAATGGCAAGGTTGACATTCGGCACTGCTGACTGCACAGCGTCTGCGTTGACGCGAACCAACTGCTCAATGCAATTGGCAGGGTGTGCGCGAACAAGATCGCCAGGATCTGTGCCGGTCCTCAGACACAGTTCAATCCATGACGTGCTCGGGATCAACTCTGGGCGACTGAGAATCAAGATTTCAATGAGAAGAACCTGGAGATCAGAAGAAGAGATTCCAGAGGCCTCTGCACCAGCCTTGGTTGGGCAAAGAGCCTTCAAGACCAAATGAAGTAGGCGTTCACTCTCTGGTCCAGCAGAAACTGCTGCTGACTCCTTCTCCGCAGTGCGGAAAGAAAGAATCCAGGCCCATAGTGCATTGACAACGGTGCGTCCAAAAGAGGCCACATCAGTAAGATAGACTCTGGACAAAGCTTCCACAGAGTTCTCGCGAATGTTTGAGGGAATAGCGGGCGCAGTGATTGCGTAGATGAAGGTCTCAGCCCAGGCCGTCTTGGATGCGTCTTCAGAGCTAGCAAACTTTGACCCGGAAGTAACAGCAGTCAAAGCCCTTACGAGCCACTGGATTTCTTCCTTGGAACTCAACTTTGGGTATGCCTTTGGGTTAAGAAGGAAAGAAGGCTTGGGACTCAATGTCATCGACTGGGTTACTTTTTCCTCCCAAGCAGACTTAGCAGACCCTTCGATGTCGGAAACTCGGTGGAACAGAGCCAGGAAAAGATAAGCCGAAAAGAGAGCACCACTCTGGGCTGATGGTAGCGGGTTGGAAGCAACCTCGCCAAACAGATCCTTCATCTTAGCAAGGAACTTTGTAACAAGGGGTTCAATCTCAGCACTCTTCAAAGCCTCAAGGTCAGACTTCCACAGCACTTCTCCCACACTTGTTTGCCAGATCTTGCGGAATGGGATTCGCTTATCGGAAACACCCTTCACGATAGTGTTGATAACATCATCGCTGACCTTGGTCTTAGATTGGATGAGATAGGTAAGGTGTTTGCTGAAAGATTTGATCTCCTCTTCTAGAGCAGCTTCATTGGGCTCCCGTGAAACAACGGGGCAGAGTCCTTGAACAATCTCTTTCGAGACATCCACTGAAGGTGAGATAGCTGCGATTGCCTGGGCATAAGCCAGGCGGTGCTCAGCGGTGGTAATCTTCTGAGTTTTCAACGGGCTAATGATATCGCTCGTGATCTTCAAGACCAAGGGATCGGTCTTGCATCGAGAGAGCAAGGATCCAAACGAATCAGATGCGCCTTGGCGGATTGAGAGGTTGTTTGACTTCATGCTAGCTAGAAGGTGTTTAGAAAGACGCGTTTGCACTATTTCCGAGAGATCAATTTCTTCTGGCAAAGAGGCACAGAGAGGTGGAATCACGCCGCCGAGAACCACCTCTGGTGCTCGTAGTATGGACTTCTCCATGGGAGGTACCAATTCAGTAGTGACATCTTCAAGTGTTACAAACGAGGCGAAAAAGTCGAACATGCCATTGGCGATATGTGTGGACACAGCGGATTTTGAGCCCACGATCTCCTTAACATAGAATGCCAAAATGTTTTTCTTGGATTCTTCAAGAATTGATTTCTTATCTGCTAGCCGCGCGCAGACTCCGCATACGACACCGAGAAGAGGCGCGTTCTTGTATGCTGGGGTGGAGTCCGTAGTCAGTCGGCTAACAGACTGCCGCACTGCGTCAGCACCCCATGCCTCAGACGAAAATACGGCTCGCAAAGCACGTCTGGTTACTCGAAGAGCAGACTGCTTCACTGCAGGCTTGGGGTTGTGGGCAAGACAATTTTCCAAAGCCTTGGCATCGACCGCGATCAAATCGAGCACAATGGCCAGCGGTGTGTTCTGGTCCTCGCTTGCCTGTTGCAACAGGATAGAGCACCACTCCAACAGCACAAATGCAAAGGAGGAAGCCAGGCCTGGTCTAGATGCCTCGGCTTGCAATTTTGGGGTAAGGAATTTTAGGTCTTCGGTCGCATTGGATGTGCGGAGGAGGGAGCGGAGGCATTGCTGAACCGCCTGTCGGGAGGATCGATCGACATAGAGAGGATAGGTTCGGAAGAGCAAGTCTAGGATATCTTGGTGGGTTTCCGGAGATATTTCAGATCCTATAGAGTAGACAGTCAGCCAACCTGCTTGTCCCGAGGCCATATATCGGCACGTTACCATTCCTGTCGCGGAGTTCTTGCAGGGCCCGGAGCCTGCGCGAGGTCGAACTCGAGAGGAGTACGACCCGCAAGGCATCCAGATCCCCGGCCTTGACCTGGTCCCATGGAATCCCATCCATGATCGGCGGTCAATACGGGGGAATGGAAAGAGAAGGGGGGTGGTTTAGAGAGTGTGAAGGTGGTGAAGTGGGCTAGGAATGCTGTCATAAGAGTTTTGTGTGGGGAGCTGGATTCCATCCCGCCATTGAACAGCCATGGCCGACTCTTCGTTCTTTACACACCCCAACCCTCTTTTACGTGAATCCTGTGCACTATATCCCACAGTATCTCACAGGCAAAATCCATTGGTCTTTGACCGCTGACTTTCAGCGTTTGAAGACACCTCCGCCGGCCCCGCTGCTAATTAAGCCATAATGCCGCCGAGCAGTAGGAAAAAGAAGAAGCCCGCCTCTAACCCGGCTCGTGGCTTTGCAACGGTCTCTACGCCCTCAAAGCCTAAACCAGAGGCAGCACCGACACCTTCTACAGCCCCTGAAACATCGAAAGTCACGCCGGAAAACGAACCACAGCCCCAACGCACCGCAGAGCCCACCGCGGACGCCGCCGCACCACAGGCGACCTCATCTTTGCAAGACTACACACCGGAGGAACTAGAGAAACATCTTGAAGAGGCAGAACTTCAAATTCTGGTTGATAAGTATGCTACAAAGTGCAAGAATGACGCAACGCGACAGGCCGTCAAATTGGATACTGAACGCCGTGTTTTCCGACAGCAATCGGTGACATTGAGCCTATTGGAGTGGCTACCCACAGATATTCAAGACAAGATCCTCGAACTAGCCAGTACTGAGGAGCATGAATATCTTACGGCAGGTGGACGAACCACAAGTTCAAAACAAGCTGGCTCCGAGGAGGAGCTATACAGCAAGCTTTGGATCCTGAAAGAAACCTTGGCCAAACTCGACTTCCCAGCGAATCGTATTGAGGATGCACTGAAGCATGTTCTGCACTATTTTTCTGCCAACTCAACCAGTGCTGGTCGGGATGTTGTGTGGAACCTTGATGAAGCCCTGGAATGGCTAGCTACGCACAGTGATAAGAATGAGTTGCCTTCTTATACGCAGACAAACACTCGTCAACTGAAAGACACGGATAATGTCACCTCATGGATGACAGGTAACTTCTTCAATTCCTTGGGCGCTTCTCAGTAGGATATCACGCTAACTCGTTTCAGAATCAAAGCCTTCGGGGTCTTCAACTCCTGTTTCATCCCAAAATCAGACCAAGGGAAGCAAGAAACCAGATTGGAAAGCATCAAAGGTTGCTCCTCCTCCTCTTGTCTCCTACGACTCGGACAGCTCAGTCGACCCAGATGTCATGGTTCCGGAATGGCTGGAGCTGCAAACTCAGCTTTACAGCCTAGAGCCAGATCTCTTCGATCGCCCTGGAAAAGGAAAGAAAGGCCGCGGAGGCGCTCCCAACCTGTCTGAAAATCCTGAATCCTCAAAATTGCAGCGTAAGATTGCTAAAATCGAACGCGATGTCCTTTTCGAACGTCGAGAAGCAGAGTATCTATGGGAGCAAAAGCTCGACGAGCTTAGAAAGGATGCCACATTCATTCGGCGGCCGGTTGACAGAAAGAAGAAGGCCGCAACCGCTGTAGAAGAACAGCCAATGGCCGAAACCAGCGAAGAGATAGACCCGAGTCTTCTTGAGATCGAGGGAATGGGCGATGCTCTGGGTGACATGTTCCAAGCCGAGCCCGAGGACTCAGGCTCTATCTTAGGTCTCCCTGCCCCAGAGATCAAAACACCAATCACACTCCGAGACTTTGGAAAGTCAACAGGGTTGACCCCTCGGCGGGTTTTGGAAGAGACTTGTAAATCAAGGGACTCGTCTTGTGTGGTTGTTTACCAAGATTTTTCTACTTCAAGCTATTCAAATAGAAAGGCTCTCGAAGTGCGATGGTCGAAACCTCAGGAGGCCCCGTTCTCACTCGCGGTGGACTCGATTACACACAAGTCGAATGCCTTGGCTACTTTTGTGTCAATGGATGCCCTTGCAACACCGAACGCCCAGCAGGCTGAAGGTTACGTGTCAACTCTAGCTCTGTTCATCTTGTTTCCTCAGAATTCTAAGGAGGGCAAAGCATACCTGCGGCTGCCGGCCGTTTGGAGAGATCTCTGGACTGAGTTTGCAGCCTTGCAGAAAACACAGCAGGATGAAATCGACAAAAATACGATTAAGGAGCTCAAACGTCTTGTCCAAGAAAACCAAGGCACTTTCGAAGACGACATCGTTCTCTCTGACAACTTCCGGAAGAGAAACGGCATCGGCAGCAAGCCTGGTACTCCGATGAAGGGATCCGCGCGTGACAATTACTCGGGTATTGATGACCGTTTGCGGGAAACATGGATGGCGAAGTCATCGACGCCCTCGTTCCAGCGCATGATGCAAGGCAGAATGAACCTCCCAATTTGGGCCTTCAAAGATGAAATCCTGAGCACGCTCGATGCTCACCGAGTTCTCATCATTTGCAGTGAAACTGGAAGCGGAAAGAGTACTCAAATCCCGTCCTTCATCCTGGAGCATGAGATGATTCAAGGCCGACCCTGCAAGGTTTATGTGACCGAGCCTCGCCGTATCTCCGCAATCTCACTTGCTCGACGTGTTAGCGAGGAGCTTGGAGAGAGCAAGAACGACGTGGGTACTAATAGATCCCTTATTGGATTTGCAGTGCGGTTGGAAAGCAAGTTCACTCAATCAACCCCATTGATCTATGCGTAAGTTCCGATAATTCGTTCACTTTCACTTTCGTTGTCTCTCAGCTAATTCTTTATAGAACCACGGGAGTGGTTGTACGGATGCTCGAGCGACCCGATGATTTCCAAGACGTCACTCATGTGGTTCTTGACGAAGTCCATGAGCGCACGATTGACAGTGACTTCCTTCTGATTGTACTTCGACGATTGATGCAAAAGCGCCCTGACCTGAAACTCATCCTCATGTCTGCCACTCTTGAAGCCCAGCGTTTCTCGAATTACCTTGGTGGAGTGCCGGTTTTGAACATCCCAGGAAGAACCTTCCCCGTGGAAATGAAGTACCTGGAGGATGCAGTAGAGATGACCAACTACCGTTTGTCAGAGGATGCCCAGCACACAGTTCTCGACGATGATATGGATGACCCGCCCACGGATGCTGACACGACAGGAGGCCTCCAAGCTAGCCTCGATGGGTACTCCAGGCAAACCAAGGAAACAGTCATCAACATCGACGAGTACAGACTTGATTATGAGCTGATCAAGAGGTTGCTGATCAAAATTGCCACGGCCCCGGAAATGGCTCACTACAGTAAGGCCATCTTGGTGTTCATGCCTGGTCTGGCGGAAATCCGTCGCCTGAACGATGAAATCTTGTCCGAGCCAATGTTCCAAAGAGGATGGATTGTGCACACGCTTCATTCTTCCATTGCCAGCGAAGACCAAGAAAAGGCATTCAACGTACCACCCGAAGGTACAAGGAAGATTGTCATTGCCACGAACATTGCCGAAACAGGTATCACCATCCCAGATATCACAGCTGTGGTCGACGCAGGAAAGGAGAAGATAATGCGATTCGATGAGAGACGTCAGTTATCTCGCCTGGTTGAGTCGTTCATTTCGCGTGCAAATGCTAAACAGCGTCGCGGTCGTGCTGGCCGTGTCCAAAATGGTATCTGCTTCCATCTTTTCACAAAACACCGGCATGAAAAGTTACTTTCTGAACAGCAAACCCCTGAATTGCTGCGACTTTCTTTGCAGGATCTGGTGCTTCGAGTGAAGATCTGCAAATTGGGAGAAGTCGAGCAGACACTTCTTGAAGCCCTTGACCCACCATCATCTAAGAATATTCGTCGTGCCATTGATTCACTGAAGGAAGTCAAAGCTCTGACAAGTAACGAGACCTTGACCTCTCTTGGAACACAACTGGCAAAGTTGCCACTCGATGTCTTCCTCGGCAAAATGATCATCCATGGAGCCTTCTTCCGGTGCTTGGACGCAACTGTCAGTATCGCTGCAATTCTTTCGTCCAAATCGCCATTCGTGAACACAATGGGGTCCAATGCTCAACGTGACGGTGCACGAGCGTCTTTCCGAAGAGGTATGTTCCATCATCTTTGCCTCCAATGACACTCGACTAACAAAATCTAGGTGACTCGGATCTCTTGACTGTATACAATGCCTATTGCAGTTGGAGACGCATGAGAAGCACGCCGGGGTCCAACGAGTATGCATTCTGCCGAAAGAACTGTCTCAGCCCGCAGACCTTGCTCGCGATCGAAGATGTCAAGATGCAATTAGTAGTGTCAATCATCGATGCAGGCCTTCTTACCCTAGATGCGACCCAGAAAGCCGCTCTCAACCGGTAAGCAATCGTTTGGTCTGAAGGATACATGATCGCCTTACAGCTACTAACCAATTCTCCAGTGCGCGCTCCAACAGCCGAAACAGACAATTCTTCATCATCCCCGAAGATTTCGATATCAACAGCAACAACGACGTTGTCATCAACTCGGTCATCGCTTGGAGCTTCTACCCAAAGCTCCTGACTCGCGAGGGCAAGGGCTGGCGTAACGTCGGCAACAACCAGACAGTCACTCTTCCCGCCGTTTCCATCAACAAGAGGGCGGAATCGTCGGTCAAGTGGCTATCATACTACAGCATCATGGCGCGTGCTCGCCACCTTAGTGCGCACGATACCAGCGCAGTAGACGAGTTCGCCATAGCTCTGCTGTGTGGTGATGCTGAATTCAAGGTAAGGCTGCATTCTTCCTCCTTTCTCTTTTGAGAATGAGCTAACCACTGCCATAATAGTTGTACTCGGGTGTCGTCTCCATCGATGCAAACCGTATTCGATTCGCCGTGCGGGATTGGAAGTCCATGCTCGCTCTGAAGATCCTCAACAGCCGCCTGCGCGAAATTCTCTCGAACACGTTCCGCAACCCCCACCGCCCATTGTCATATAAGCACCAACAGTGGATTGATATCTGGCAACAGATCTTTGCTCAAGCTGGTAAGCGATGAATATACCAGGCTTGATATGTGACTATGCGCTGTGGCTTTGATGAGATATGCATGTATAAAATCATGATGGATATGGTTGGGTCGGATATAGAATTTTGTTAGGTTTAGAGTCACCTTGTTGGACAAACACTTTCTTTTCATTCCGATGACCCTTTCCATGATGTATCTGTATATCCTTGTGTCGGAAATATATATCCGGAAGGGTTTCGTAATATAGTGCAGCGACGCCAACCTCATCTTCGACCCGCAGAAGGGATATATATAAGGAGTAGATGTACGAGGTTCAATGTATTTTCCCCCGAAACATATCTCTACAGCCCACTTATCGAAGCTTAAACCCCTAAGCAAACCCAGAACTCATATATCACACCGAGGCAACACAAAACTGCCGGACGATCTATCAGCAGGAACCGTAGCATCCCTACATGAACGACGGGAGACAGCATACTGCATCCACGCCTTCTGGAAGCGCGATCAGATCCGTCTACATAACACAGAGCACTGCAGATACATCCCGAGTCAATGCGTCAACGCTGTCCGCACTGATCCGCCGTGCGTAAACCATTGCATTATCAAGGCAATCCCCAGATATCAAGATCAAGATCTCCAGATCCACGCACAATGCTTCCGGCATAAGAGCACAAAGAAGAGCATAAAAGTCCTAAGGCTTCGATTCCAAATCCCCTAGAAGGGTCGAGACCAAGTCTCCAAACTGGTTCCCACCAGTTTCCCCACCGGACAACAATCGGTCTACGAAGACAACAACAATCCCAATCTCGTCATCGCGATCGATCAAGGGATATACCTATCCGCCACCGCCTGGTATCAGCATCCATCGACATGGATGATCCCTTGAGCAAACACGAGAACTGTTTCCCCATGCAGGTCCTCAACCAGCGGTGAGAACGTCTGAAAAGAGAAAAGGGGGGAAAAAAAGAGAACAGCCTCGAGACCTACTCCATACCCAGGAAGGGCCTTGGAAGCTTCCTGCACTCCCAACCCCCACCAGTATCGCCCCAACCTGGACCAACCAGGGCAATCCGTTTCCAATTCGGGGTTGTTTTTCTGGCGCCAAAAAAGAACAATCTAAAATCAAAACAAAAACCAAAAAAAAAAAAACAATCCCAGACACCAAACACGCCCCCCCCCCCAATCCACACCCAATATGCACAGCCTGCACAAGTTGAATGGCAGACATGATTCGATGATTCGAGAATGTAGCCATCAGGCGCCAGGGACGATCCGGGAAAAGATTGACATCGATCAGTCAGGCTGGGAACTGTCTCTGTTCATGCACCGCAACCCAGTCCGAAGGCCCTGCGCTGGCACTTGGCTATAGCTCGAGGTTCAGACTCTGGTTCTGGGTTTCCATCGTGCATGATGCTTGCAGCTTGGACTGGACTGTGCATAACATTCTTACTAGGAAACGCCTCCCCGGGGAGAGAGAAGCGTGGAGAGAGCGCGTGTCTCGTCTATTGTTTTATTCTAGGTGTATTGAGGGGATTGTCGGATGCACGATGTCTAGGTACTATAAAATATGACCTGAGACAGCGCAAGAGACGGTGAGCAGGCTCCCCCATTTTCCCTTTCTGGGATCTTGGGGTTCCTGCGATCAGGTGGCTCCCGGACTTTCCTTGTTTTCGCCTTTTGTTCTGACACCCGGAGTTTGATACGTACAGGTCTGCAGACACTGCATGTGGTGATGCTTATGTCTACTTTGGCTTTGTGAGAAAGAGTGCAGAAGCCCCTGTCGACTTGAACAAAGAGATCGAAATCACCTGGGACTATGTCGTACATCTAAACCTTCCCCTTCCGACCGAAGAAATCCCGACATCGGGTTTAGGGTCATCCTTCGAGAGTCGAGGACGGAGTACTAACTCCTCCGTAATGCAATCTTAAATCCTTCCTCCCATCGAGGGAAAATCCAATCAAACCCACCCCCGCGGGCATCGGACCTCCAGAAATGAGATAATTCTGTGCCACGTCTGCACGCAAGGGGGCAACTGGCGGTGAATCCACACGATCTAGCCCTTCGTACGTGGTCTTGCCCGCAGCCAGTCATTGTTGCGTCGGATCATCGATCGGCGGGCTGCTGGCGCGAGAGCCAATCATCGGCGCCACCGGCTTGGACAGAGGGCTTTAGCCTCGTTGCACATTTGGCCTGGCAGTGGCGGCTGGACGGCTAGGGCGGTTGAGGTACAGATTTGCTGGAGAAGGATATAAGGAAAAGAGGGAGTACGGCGGCATCAGCACTCGACGATGTTCACCTCTATGTCGAGTGATAAGGTGTCAGTCCCCGCTACCACCTAGTCTTCCCAGCTTCTTCCCCCCCTCTTTCGCGACGCTAGAGTGTGTCAAGGCAAGATGAACGTGCAGTCGATCTCTTGGCTCGGGACAATGCAATGCGAGGTTAAATCCAGTTGCACGGCCCCAGCCTAGTTCCACGCCAGATCCTGTCGTGGTGCGCTGTTATTCGCGCGAAACCGGTGGCGCCTGGAAATTCTCTCGCGTCACATGGAGTCGCCAGAATACGGCGATGGGGAGGTATACTCCAGGAATGTCCAAAAGGACCTATAGGTTAGACGGGCTATCTCGGTTCGCTTGTTCTGTACAACACATCACTAGGCCACAGGGAACATCCCTGTCCAATTCTCCTCGTGTCCGAGTGTCATTCTGCTGTGCCACTCTTAACCCCTCAAAGGCCTTGTGCCCATTGTCTCGCAAGCCTTAACTGGTGACGGCTTCGGGCATATCTTCTGCTTCGATAATGTGTGGGAAAGCATGGCATGCTACGGTGAAACATTCCCAGCCCAAAACGAACGAAAATCCCCCAAAAGGAAATAAATAAAACGAAAGCCCACAAGACCTAGAATAATGAGAGAACGAAGAAATATGCGCAAATGACATAAACATAAAAAACCCCTCCTTGATTCTGGGAAACGAAGCCCGCACGGACAGGAGTCTGCAGGGTAACTCGCTGCAAGGTACGGACGAACCCGTCGATCGACGCGAGATTGACGGCGCAAAACCAAGTGGAGGGCCCAGCTTACGGTATGGATTAAACACCAAGATTCTCTAGCGTGCTGGCCTCTAACCCTACGGCCCACTGTGATAGTGAGACGGAAACCCCCGGAAATTGGCAAAGAGGAAATCCAATCCGGAGTACGGAGCACTCCGTACGGAGCACTCCCTACGCCGTAATCGAAGTGGACGGGTTAGTTGGCAACTATTGCGATATATGTCATATCCAAGCCGCCACCTCCTTGCATGTTCAACGGTTCCTGGACGACGCATCACACCGGAATTGCGGAGTTGGCCAGACGATAACTGTGTGGGGCGAGTCGCTAGTTCAGGAGTCTCTGTGATTCTGTCGAGAAATGAAACTCCAAGGAAATCAAAGCCACAGCCGGGATCCTGGCCCACCTCCCCCTTTACCAGTTGACCATTTAGCCCTCCTCCGAAGGCCCCCGTTCGAGAAGCAATTTGGCTTTGTCGACCTCTATCGATTCAGGCGGATCCCTCCCCATGCCTCCTAAACTACTGTATGCTGTATGCGCAGCGGGTATCGGGCCGTCGATAGCGAGCTACAGTGCAGGGATCTGTCAGTAGCGTCCCCTCATTTCATTTGGTGGGTTTTTTCTTCCGGTGGGTTTGGGGGCCAAAGGAGAACCGGATTTGATGCTCCCTTTCTGCAGATGATGGGCAACATCGCGGTCCTCGGGACACAGTACAATATCCCACCTCCAACCTACTCAGTCGATGTATTCGAGATCTACCCGGAGAACGCCCTCCCAGAGCTGTCTACCCCGGGGTCTGGAGCCCGTATCTTCCCGGCCCCATGTTCACCGACCTCTCAAGGGTCTGTGTGGTGGGCTCGAGTCACCGGGGCCACTTCAGGGAATCCACTCTGAACAGATATTTCTATTTCCGTTTCGATTTATTGTATTTGGGAAATTACGTGGATCTCCCCGAAACCCATTGACCCAGGTCCATGCGTAGGAATCCCTGTCACTCAACTTGACATCTGTCAACCGTGAGCCCGACACTGGGAAATCATACCCGGGAACAGTTTAGCGGAGATAATCCTCAATCGTCAGATGCAAGGGGATCTCTCGACCTGGTGTTCCCAGGAAATAGGCGGTGTACGGTCGAGCTGGCTCTTTCTTTCCCCCTTGCTGGGATCTGGCTCTGGGCATGCCTATCGTTATGGTTGGGCACCCTCTGGGCGAAAAGAGAGAATTAAAAATAAAATGACACGGAGGACTACCCCGTAGTGATTGACATATTATTTGCTATTATTACTCTCTGGCTGACGTGGGGGATTATTCTCCCGGCTATCCCGACTATCCCGACTATTGGGCAACGATGAGATGCATACCAAGGACGTTCTAATTTGCATGTTTAATCTGGGAGACGAATCATCCCTCTACCACAGAGTTCAATCTACTCCCGTAACCGCGTTAATAGAGGGAAAAAACAGAAAACGGCAAAAAAAGAAAAAAAAAGAAACGAAACCCACGAAAATAAGAGGGAAAAAAAGAAAGAAAAAAAAAGAACCCGCCAAGAGGCCTTTCTTGGATGTATCATCATGGGGTCCCCTCCCAGTCGAGATTGCGATGCTACGTGTGAAATCTCATTTCCATTCGGGCTAAAATGAAGTTGGACAGAATTCTGGACTAAATGCTTCTCATTTCTTTCCTTTTTGGTTCTAATTTCCTTTTTGCTTTTTCCCTCTAATTTGTGATTATTTTCCCACTATCTCTTCAACGGACGGTTTTGGTAACCGCCCGGCCTCTGGCTGGTGATACTAGACAGGGATTGGGAGAGGGAAAAAAAAAGGACAGAGAACAGACCCTTGATCGACTTCAAGCCACCCGTGTTTCGTGGTTTCTTCTGAGCCACTGATTCCCCCTCTGCATCCCTGGGGTGACGTGCTTCTTCCCTCTTTCTCTCCCCACTGTTACTCACGGCCCGTCTTAACGCCCAGATCGTCCCGAACCATTTGAACAAAAAAAAATAAATAACATAAAATATAAAATAACATAAAATAAAGCAGAGAAGTGGAATAGATAAAATAAAATAGATAGAACTCAATAAAACTAAATAGATAAAACACAGTATTGTAAGGGCTGGCTTGAATAATTGTAGCATTACAACGGTCCGCTGGGATCGGTTATAACCGTACAACGTAGGCTCCGAAAAGGTGTTTTGGAGATTTGGGGTTGGGAACTGGGGGCGATCGACCGGGGGTCACCTCTAACAGTAAGATATCCGAGAGGAGATGAAGGCTCGGCCGATGTCCGGTGAATGATTTGGCGCTGGGATTTGTTTTATGATTATTAATTTTTTTAATTTTTTTTTTTTACCCAGACGGACCTTGCAGAGGTAGTCTGTCCTCCGTCGTCCGTACGGAGTACACCAGGCCCCAAAGAGAGGGGAAAGTGGTGCAAGCGCTGGCTCCAGAAGCGGGAGAGTGCAATCCGCAATCGACAGTGCAGCCGCCGCGCATTGCCGGACCTTTTCTTTTTTTACTTTCCCCCCCCCTCTGCAGCCGCTGACAGATGTCTTGCACGGTCAAAGGAATGCCGATCGGGGCGAGACTGGGACATCGTTCATCGTGCATCGTCCACCGTACACCGTACACCGTACACCGTACTTAGGTACTCCGTACACCGCGTAATTTAATATCTCAACCATGGATGGCAGTTTCCCCCGTTCCTCTCCCCGGCCCTCCATCCATGGTTCACTGAGTGGGACCCGCGTGGAGACGAACTGTATGAGGGAAAGTTCCAAGGTTGAGACCAACCTGGGAGCAGTATATAGATTAATGGTGCATTGGGGATGTTCCATTGAGCAGAGAATCCAAATTGATTGAATTGAATCTGATCGAGACTCCACTGAGCAAATCAGCCAGATCCAGCGGGCCTATCCCGGCCGATCAACCTGTTGCTTTTCTGCCCGTCACACAGACCAGGATCCTCAAGGAAGTTGGGATGTGAACTTATCCTTGAGAGTGGCAGGTGTGAATAATGGGGAATGATTTGCCTCTGGACTCTAACGCTTAACTCTGCTGATCCGGATAGTCCTTGCTTGGTGGCGTTGGAAATAATAGAATATTCCCTGAATAACCAAAAAAATAAAAAACAAAAACAAAAACAAAAGAGAAATAATGGAAATAGTGGAAATAATGAAAATCGAAGAAATAATAATACTAATAATACTAATAATACAGAAAAAAAAAAAAAAGAAAAGAAAAGAAAAGGCAGATATCGAGTCTAGAGGATGATCTGAACGCACGGTGCTGGTAGTCAACTTTTCTCTCCACCGGGTCCACTGTGATTGATTCGATGGCCTCTGCCTCTTTTTTTCCCTTCTCATCTCTCCCTCAAAAGACGGGGCAAGCCGGGATTTCTGCAGACAACAATCTTCTCTTTCTTCTGAGCTTCGGACCTTAGTCAGCTTCTTCGTCCTCCACTGATCGACTTTCCCGCTGCGGCTCAGCGTCATCTGTTCGCTTCACTCTTTTCCCCTCTCTTAACCGCCTAAGGCCTAAGTTGCACTGTACGATTTCCTTTTTATTTGCCTGCTGTTTCCCTGTTTATTGCTTTTTTTTCTGTATTTCTTTTTTTTATTTGCCTACATTTGGATTTTTGGGATTTTCTCCCAAACGCCATATCTCCAGCCTGCAGCGCATAGGGATGCGTTTGCTGCACCACCCCAGCCTCCACCTTTCTGTACGTCTGGCGTACTTCTCCCTCCTCCCTCGACTGAAACTTTACACTTCCCCCTTCCACCGGCTTTGGCCTTATTTGATCCAATGCGCTCCATCTGAGAGTTCATTTTCCAATGACATGACTCTTGCATGACCTGAAACGACCCCCAAACTTACGTTGCATCTTTAGTTCGAAGCTTTCCGACTTGTGTTCGGTTCACGATTGTTAATGATTCTGATGACCATTGTGCTTTGAATTCGTCTTTCAAAAAGTCCGGATTGCGCTTTTGCCTACTTCCAAGTCTGCTGCAAAAGGTTACGACTTACTACGAAGCTTCACCACGATATTGCACGCCCCTGCATCACCTGCATCTTGCATCGATTTATATTTTTTTTGTTGGCTCTAGGGATCTTTCAAACGTTCGGATCTGAAAGCCCATTGAAATATCTCGTTTGCAAAACTCCTTCTGTTTTCCTACTGTGCAACATATCCAGATTCCTGGGGGTTCCCAACGATTCTACAGCTACCCCGACTCATAGCACGCCGGACGACATTTAGCACGTCCGACGCTCGCTTCATACCTCCTCTATTTCAAGCCGTTTCTCCGTGCAACCGAAAAGCTGGAGCTGCCGTCGATCTCGCAGGTCCACACCCGCGGTCCTGCTGACATCCCCTGGTACAACCATCACGCGGCAGAACGACCGTTATTGCCCGGCGATAAACTCCCCGCTCTCAGCCTACCGACAGCCACCCAGGGCCTCTCCCGGACAACCTATCACGATTCATCCGTGACCAATTCCAGCAATTCCAGCGCTCGCACGAGTCTGTCTGGTGCCTCCGTGCCGGTGAACGAGCCCAGGAGCTCCCCATCATCCGTGGACGTGTCAGGGACCCAGGGTCGGCTTTCTTTGGATTCCTCCGCCCCGACTGAATATAGTCTTCCGCCTTCCGTCAACGACGGCTACTATCCTAGTCCGACCTCTCTCGGCAGCATGAACCAGGCCCAGCCGTATATGGATGTCCACTCGCACATGTCCTCTGCTCAATCATACGCTCCCCAAGGCGCAACCGCCGGCGCAATGTCTCATTATCAGTACCACGCACAACCCCCGGTGATGCAGCCTGCACCTTCTTATCCCCCGGCTGCCTATCCTCAATATGGTTATTCCAATGGCGTTACTTCACCTCCCACGGGTCACCCGCCAAGCTCAATGGGTGGCCAGATGCCCGCCCAGCTGCTGCCGTTGCCTGGTAAGCTTCAAAGCCAGAATGTGGTCGATGATTATTCTGATCGTTATCAAGTGAGCAATCACGCTGGGGCACCCCCAACGGGATATGGGAACAATACTGGTTCCCCGCTCCAAGGCTTTGTCTTTGACACCACGGGCCAAGTTGCACCACCTGGAGCCAAGCCACGAGTGACAGCCACCTTGTGGGAAGACGAGGGGAGCCTCTGCTATCAGGTGGAAGCAAAGGGAGTTTGCGTCGCTCGGCGCGAGGGTGAGTCCAATTTGTACTATATTGAATTTGAGAATGTCTTTCGCTAACAGGGCCCTTGCAGATAACCACATGATCAACGGCACCAAACTGTTGAACGTCGCTGGCATGACCCGCGGTCGACGCGATGGAATCCTCAAGAGCGAAAAGCTTCGACATGTTGTAAAAATCGGTCCAATGCATCTCAAGGGTGTCTGGTATGTACTTCGAGATGTCGCAAAAGCATCTACAGAATCGATGGCTAACTATTGACCGATTAGGATCCCATTCGAGCGTGCTCTGGAATTTGCCAACAAGGAGAAGATCACGGATCTCCTGTACCCGCTCTTTGTGCACAACATCGGTGGTCTACTATACCATCCCGCTAACCAGAGCCGAACGAACATGGTGGTGCAAGAGTCTCAGCAGCGTCGTCTCGAAGGCCCTCCGCCTGGTCCTCAGCGCACACCGTCTGGATCTCAGCAATCCTCAATCCACCACCATTCTCTGCAAACTCCCATGTCCGCTCACATGGCCCAAGGCCCAATGGGCAACCAGCCTGGCTCTCGACCGGGTCTTGACCGTGCTAACACCTTTCCCACACCGCCAGCCAGCGCATCCAGTCTCATGGGTGTTTCCAACCAAGGCAGTTCATACGAATGGGGCGGACAAGTGCCACACTCTCAGCCATTGTCCATCGATACCACATTGACCAGCCAGCGCTCAATGCCAACGACCCCAGCAACCACTCCCCCGGGCAACAACATGCACGGCTTGCCCGCCTACCAAGCTCAAGGCTACGATAGCTCGAAGCCCTACTACTCCGCAGCACCACAAGCGCACACTCAATATGCGCCACACACGCCTTTGACCCAATCAGGGATGTCCAGCTACGGCCAATCTCTACCCGGCGGATACATGAAGAGCGAGATGGCGCCACCAAACCCACGCCCAGGCGCATCGGAGTCCGAACCCACCGAGCGTGACCCCAACCGCTACAGCCAGAGCAACGGGCCCGGCGAGTCCGTCTCGGAGCACGAGCAGGAGTATCTGCAAGACCACAACGCCGCCTACAACTCTAACCGCGCCTCCTACACCTACACCACCAACCCTTCAGTCAGCTCCTTGACCGGCGAACACTCCCAGCTCACACCCGAGATGACCAGCTCCCCAAGCCAACAGAACGGCTCCGGTCGCATGACTCCGCGCACGGGCGCCGGCCCTCCTCCCCACTGGGCCTCGGGGTATAACACTCCTCCTCGTCCCGCCGCCACTACCCTGTACAACGCCGTGAGCGATACTCGCGGCACCCCGGTCAACGGTACCTCCGATCCATATTCCATGACCTCGACCACGACCCCGGTCTACGGAACTGGCAATGGATCGCTGAGTGCTGGCAGCAAGCGCATGCGCGACGACGACGATATTCGCCCCGACAGTGCTTCTGATTACGATATCTCCAAGCGTCGCAAGACCATCACTGAAGGTTCAATCGGTGGGCCGGTTGGTGGCCCGCCTATTCTTCAACCCATGAAGCCTAGCGCGGTCATGGCTCGTCACCGCTAATAACGATTACACCTGGGATTTTCTTAAGTATCTTTCTCAATTGTGGTTCTGATTTCATGTCGGTTTGGTTTTGCTGGGATTATCATTCTGTCGGTCCATTTCTCGGTCGGAGTTATCATTTCTTTTTTGTTTTGTTTTTTTTCTTCTCACAATAGACTGCGCATGCACAATCTGCATGGCGTCGCGGACTTCTCTGGCCTACCCATGGGCCTTCAGTCCCGACCGTGTCCAAACGAAGCTCATTTGTCTCTTTGTCTGCGTTTTGCTTTCTGAGGCTGGAAAAAAAAAAGAGTCTCGGCTGTTTCCGAGAACATCCAAACAATGGGGGAAACGAGGCGCGAGATACTATTTCCATTCCACCCAACATTCCAATCTGTCTTTGCATACCCATGTTCAGATACGTGTCGAATTGGCAATGGTGATCGATGACCTTGACGACTATGATGTGACGAATCTCTTATGAACGAATCTTTTTTTTTGTGTGATGACTTGACCACGAGCCGTCATTAACGAATTGCTTTTTCCTCTCCCCTTATTTTTTTCTCTTATGCTTTATCATTCAACATTTCTGCGTGCTCTGGGTTTTTGAAAAGGGGATTTCTGTTTTTGTGGCATGGCCTTGGCTTTGGTTTTGCTTCTCTCTCTACTTCTTTGCGCTGCTATTGCTATTGCTGCTGCCACTCTACTAGAGAGATGATTATCATGGTAATGAACGGTTATGAACTCTGGGTCTTGCATGCCTTTAGCGACATACAACGTTGGTTTTGGTCCGGTCTGAATTGATTGTTCTTCCGACTTTTGGTGCTCTGTAGATTGTAATTTGGACATGTAGTTCGTGGTTGAGTTGAGACCTGTCTCGCTGACACTCCTCGCTGGTCTTGGTGTTTCTACTCTCGCATTTGAGGCTCTAGTTTTAAGTCTCGATGGTGTCCAATGGGGAATTGGAAAGTAAAAATAAGCCATGCCCGAATCGCTCCTAACATCTGTACATTCAAACAGCGCTCAGTCCCTCACAATCCCCACAGCCGTCATAGCCCACGCCTGTCAATCGCAGGTGGATTCATACAACCCACGATCTTTAACTTCACATCAAAGAATTTGACAATCCGAACCTCCTCCGCAACAGTCATCGACACCTCATACTCCACAGAATGAGCAAAAGAAAGATTATAAGTCACAAAATCCGGCTCAATTCTCATTCCCGAAAGCAACTTGCCCGCAGCCACGAATCCATCCCAACGTAAAGCAAGCTGAAACATCTGCCCAATATCAAGACACTCGCTACCTTCCTCGGCCATCATAAACACCGGATGCTCCAGACTCCCAAAGACATGCTCGAGCCGTGAATTATAGCATTTATTATTGACACCGCGATACTTGGTTCTCCCCGTCTTGATTTGAGAATTGCACAAAAGAGTCATCTTGACATAGTTCAGCTGGACAATCTGCGGCACGCTTTTGATATCCTCACTGGTCAATTTCCAGTCCGGGGCAACGCTGATATTGAGTGGGAAAGGGGATGGATCATCGAGCTGGACGACAGTCGGCACTTCGAGCTGGATCAGGAAGCCAAATTGTGGCACCTTGCTTGAGCCGCGGGCCTGTTGTGTCCGCTGGCGGAGTGTCAGCGCCGATAATCCCCTGTCTGGGAATAGGCCATGGCTTCTTATGATCTGCTTTGCCGTTTCTTGCTTGAGTGCATAGCCAAGAATCGGCAGTTCCGGTGCAGGATGTCTCAATTTTGTCTCCGCGGTAGCTATGAATTGGACAAACGTGCCACCGCGGTTGTATTCAAGTCTTGCCTCGAGATAATATTCCACTAAGCCAAAGCTCTCATCGTTGCCGGTGTTTTCTCCGGTGGAGAACGAGCCGGGGAGAGTCTTGTACCTGGGTCCTCTGAATGTTGCCAGTGGTGAGGTCCAGGGCTTGGTAGGGAATCTGACCTCGAAGGGCCAGCTTAGGCATTCATTTTGGTAGTCTATGTCTTCTTTGGCAAGGTGCAAAGGTCCCCTGAAGATGATTCGTCTGGTTGGTGCTAGTAGTAGGCGTTTCTCTTGGTGCTTGCTTCGATGGTTTTCCCTTTTGTCACCAACACCGATTTTTACGTGTCCATTCAATGATAGTGTGAGGGTAGCATCCGGAGCAACGATCGAGCTTCGATGCACGATGTTTCCAATGACTTTGTCCCCTGAGGCGCATGTCCAAAATGGTGGTGCTGCTAACTCGATGGTTAGATCGGGCGATTTCTTCGGCATGATTTGTGATCAATGGCGGTCTTGACTATCTTCAGAATAATAAATAGGTATGGAGTATATCCTACGGAGTTAAAATACAGAAGTTCAAATACTAATAAGTCAGGCGAAGCTCTGGGGAGGAATCGGGCAGTGCTCATGGCCCCCGGGTTTAGGGCATTCAGGGCGGGGGCCGTTATTGGTAAGATCACTCCTCCGCGATAACCAGAGAACTATAGTATAGTCCATGTATTGTGTTGTGTAAATTTTGCCAAGAGGAAGAAGCAGGATCATAGCGGTGATGAATGGATGCAGAAGCTAACACCTTGGGAGAGAGCAAGGCATCCGCATCAGACGGACGTATCTCACGCAAAACAGCATCTGTACATAGGCAAAGGAGCGATGGCTGACAAGGCAGTCTCGTAAAATTAGTAACTTCCCGTCATTCTCAGGGTGGTCGGATGTTCTCTGTCTAGATGACCATCGCACGACCCATTCTCAATCCAAACATCAGAACATAGCCCCCGTAGGTCCGACCTGGGCCAAATTCAGAACTTCCAAAAATCAAGCAACTAGAAATAGATGTTACTCGCAAAGCTACAGAAAGGAAACCTGTCAATAGAAAGCATGCTTTCCACTTTTGATATCATCACATACATTCCACCACGTGACTCCCTCTACCCTATCCCAAAACGGCAAAATCAAAACACGTCCGAACCACGGTTTGTTCCGCTTCACGCCACGGCGACCTCTGTCCAATTTAACCCAAATACAACCACACATTACATGCAGTACACCTCATCGGGCCTGAAATCCCAACATTAAATGGACAAGCCAGCCCAGGAACACACCATGGCCAACATCCGGCCCAAATTACTCCCAAAAGAAAGACCTTCAGAGCCCCGAAACCACCTCCACTTCGATCCCTGGCAATCAGCCTCAACGGGCCACCAGCGCGCAGCCGAATCCGGCGGTTTCATCGGCTCAACGTCGTGGCGAGATGCGCGCGCAGCGAAATTAACCAGACAATATCAAAGCGGAGACTGTCTAGCAAGACAAAGACGGGGATCAGGAAACACAACTATCAAAGAACGGTCGCTCGCACCGGGCGCATTTGATGGGAAATGCGCATCGCCGTCGCCGCCCAGAGCATCCGGGGAATGGGTCATGCTGGCAGGCGAAGAAGCCAAGCGGAATGAACTCGGTGTGCGGGATATTCGGTCATTCATGGGTGTTGGCAAGCGGAAAGCCACCGATGGGCTGGAGAAGAATACGCATTTAGAAAAGAAGATGCGATCTATCGAAAATGAGAGCCAGTGCTCGGACCGGAGTCAGGCTCAAGATGGAAAGGGAAATGATAAGTCTCAGATAACAGACGAGTCCCAACCCGAGTCCCGATCTGGAGCTGGGCTCGATTTGAAATCGACTTCGGATATCTTCGCTGGTGTTACGATATTTATTAATGGCTCGACGGTCCCGCGGATCTCGGAGTATAAGTTGAAACATCTACTCGCGGCAAATGGGGCCAAGACTTCGATTTACATGGCTCGGAAGACGGTGACGCATGTGCTTGTTGGGCAGCCTAATACCGGGACTGGAAGTGGAATGGCTGTGTCGGGTGCAGGTGGAGGTCTCGCTGCAGGTAAGCTTCAGCAGGAAATTGCCCGTGGGGGCTGGAAAGGTGTGAAGGTTGTGAGTGTGGACTGGTATGTGCTACTCTTATCATGTCTCATAACCAGCGAGCCATTATCTGACATTACGTTCGTTTTAACTAGGGTCCTCGAAAGTATCAAAGCTGGACGCCGACTGGCGGAGTCTCGATTTCCTGGTATGCATGTTGCCACGAAGGGGCAGCGAAGTGTTGCTGGGATGTTTGGGTTGCAGGGAGTGAAGAAGTGACGTTCTTTTGAAATTTGGTATGGTTGTGATGCTTTGACGTTTTGCTTTTCTTTTTGCTTTACATTGCATTGCGTTTCATATGGCGATATGCCATGCATGGCGTTCTGGGTGAGGTCATAGCCTTTCCGTCGATGGCTTCTAGGTGGTTATGATGAATCTTCTCTGTAAATTATGATACCCAATGATCTATGATCAAATTTAATCTAATCTATCTGTTCCAACTGCGAATCTCTACTTCAGGATTCCCGGGCACTCGTTTACTCAAGCACTACTGTTGCGAAGCACGAAAATCATAATGAGCGTTAGCTCCAATTCACACTGGTATTTGCTCTCGTTTCATTAATCAGTCATATAACACCATTATCATAACATCCATAAACATACACAATCATATGTACATCCACATAAGTACATATCGGTGGAGAACCTGGGCGAACCCAGAACACAAAATTCGTAGCAAAGAAAAGTACAGAAAAGAAACCAAATTTCAAGAAAATCACCACGTAAACTCCGAAGCCATGCAGAATGCAATATGAGAAGAAGCGGGATATATGCATCATAAATCAAACCTCCAAGATGGTTAACGAAGCCAGGTAGATCCCCAACAAATCTCACATTCACATTCACCGGAACGAGCTTTCCCTACCACCGCGGTTGGCATACGTCTTACCGTCAGGGCTGCTGTTGTCCGACATATGCCGGCGCCAGCCGCTCTGTTGACGAGTCGGGTATCCAGGCGGAAAATCGCTGTTGCCTTCTGTCTCACTGGAGATGGAGCTAACCATGTCAGAGTCTGTAGAGACTGTCCTCATACCCGAGGCATTGGTTGCGGTGGGCATGAGATCTAGGGTAGGAGTAGGCGTGAGGTCAGGAAGTGGTGGGAGAGGGTTTGGATGGCGATGGGTAGAGAAGGAGGATTGGGAAGGAGGCGGGGCACGAGTATGAGCCTGCGCAGATGAGTTTGTCCGTGTGCGAGTCCTACTGCCGCTGCCTCTCGATGCAGCTTGCTTCCAGCCTTCGTCTCCTTGGGAAATTTGTTCTGGTGATGAAGTCGTTTGTGGGCCTTGCGGAAGGTAGTAGGGGTTGTGAGATCCGGAATAGTCGTAATGATTATCTTCGTATGCAGGAAAAGCAGCTGTTGACATACTCGACACAGAGTTTCCATGTGGCCGGCCTGCGTACATGGGCTGTGGCTCGCCGAGTTCTGACTCGCTGCTGGACCAACGTTCCAGTTTTTCATTCAGAGGTTCTTCTTCTGGATTTGAATGCCGCGAATCGCCATGGACTAGGCCGAGTGATTCTTCCTCTGTTGCACCGTTACGATGGTCGCCTCCCAGGTGCGTTCGGCGAAGGATGCCCCGGGGCGAACCTGGCGGATGTCTGGCGGAAGATTCACCGCCAGCCTTCATACGACCAATCATGCTATTGAATGAGAACTGGCGTTGGGCAGTGTGGACGGGAGGCTCAGGTGCCAAGGATTCGGGCTTCTCGTCCGCCCATGAAACAGACCGTGCGGTATCACTACGCGGACGGTTAGAGCTCAATGGAGCGTCTAAACCCCCCGCCCCATAGTATTCGGTATCAGCATTGTTACTTTGATGCGGCATGTCTGTCATTCCAACAGATTGTGTGTTTGCGCTAGCATTCTTCTCGTCTTCCGTATTCACAGCTCTCCATTGGGAAGGATTAAGCACGTTGGCAGCCCGAGACCGAATATCGTCCATGAAGGAATGGGTGCTTTGCTTGGTTTCAGGTTGGTGGTTGTCTTCATGCTCAACAGCAGGCAACCGGGACATACCCCATGGAGGGTGTTGACGTTTGACCGATGGTGTTCTTGGGGTGATAGGACGTGACATGGTTGGTCCTTCTCCAATAACAGTTTTGCGGCGGCGCAGGCCATCCCATTCAATTATTTCATTCTCACTTGGCGGTTTCAAAGTATCCTCGTGTTTATCATGGAAAAAACGCCGTGCTTCATCCGATTCCATTGTGCGCCGAGCAGTCGAAATGCGGCGGATGATAGAAGCCGCACCACGAATTGAGTCTGCCTTGGGCTCAGACTCGGGCTCCTCTACGGCAGCAACCTCTCGAATCTGATCCAGGTCGCCCTTGAAAACAGCTGCATCGGGGACATCCTTGGCGGACTTGGATAGCTGTAGCAAAACCACCCCAGCACAGATTTGTAAGAATCCAAGGATCACAGTTGTGATCTGGACAGCTGTGCCCTTGAAACCCTTGAATAAGATGGCAGAAGTAACAATGGTAGCACTAGTGAACATCACATAGTATGTTGGGGTGACCAGAGCGGCATTGAAAAGATTCAGTGCTTTCTGTATATCGGAATTAGCACAGCTCATGAGACACGATGAAGGATGAACACATACATTAAGATAAATAATCTCGGTCAGTAGTGTTCCAATAACGAACACAAGCAAGACATAAAGGAACCAATGCTTGAACTGCTCCTCACCATTAATCTGAGTAAGAATCGCAGACCCCAAGCCTTGAGTGGCCACAACACTCAACCCTCCGACCATGCTGCAAATACTGATATAAACGAACATGTTCGTCTTTCCATAGCGCGGACCCGCCCACAGAGCCGTAAAGATAGCGCCAACAATGATCAGTCCACCATAGACCAAAAACCCAGGTTGAAGAACAAAATGCTGCATGCCCTGGATATTACTAACAGCGGATTGTTCAGGCGCATTCATGGCGATGACCACCGATCCAATGATACAACAAAAACAGCCAACTTTGCCCACGAAACTCAGTCGTTCCTTGAGGAAAATCGCCGACAGAATCGTCGTAATCACCACGGAGAGCGCACCAAACGGCGTAACCAAGATCGCATCGACGAACGCATATGCGACGAAATTGCAGATCTCTCCAACAATCATCAAGATCATGCCCGTCCACCACCAGAAATTCTTCAGATATCCATATCCCTCGCCGGCCTCCTCTTCGTACTTCACGTTTGCCTTCAGGAGGCCGATTTTCTTAACAACAAACGAGATACCGATAAAGATACCCGATGCGACAGCTAGGGAGATACCGACGGCTTTGTATATTGGCGGGCGGTCCGGTTCCTCCCCGCGCGCGAGGAGGATATTTGCATGCGATAAGGCAGAATTGGGCTCCATAATCGCGGTGAAGGTGACAGGTAGGACCACACTGACCAGCAGTGGGAAGAGGGGAGGAGTTTGTCGCGGATAGGGAGCCGTCCGAAGACGAGACTCAGCGACGGTCTGAAACACTTGTTGACGCCGCCACGATATCGATAAAGTCTGAGCGTATCGCCGGGGCGATTATCAACGGGTCGTCAACAACGGTTTCGAGTCGAGAGCGCAACGAGTTTTGCGATGAGAACGAATCTATGATTAGGGATATTGTCGATCCAAGAATGTTTCTGGAAAAATCGACGGGGAAAATAATAAGAAAACGTGGGATTCCGCAAGGGGTCAGCCGTCAACGCTCTGACAAGCCGGTGGCGTTCAGATGCAACGCTAAGAAACAAGGTCGAGAATTATTTTTTAAGATAAAATTGGAATCATAAGGAGCGTACTCCGTAGAGCTGAATATTAAAGATGAATTAGAAGAAGAAAAGAAGAAAATCCGAGGAAAAGGGAAAGGGAACATGCAAAACAGAGAGGCTGGGCCGGTGTGGGGAAACAAAGGACCTGCGATCGCCGGGTACCTGGTACATCTGTACGTCCCCCTTCTCGATTGCTGAATGCTGAATGCCCATAGGCTACGGGGGATTCGGTGCAGATCATGCGTGGCAAGCTTTCAGATGTACTCCATACTCCAGACTCCAGACTCCAGACTCCAGACTCCAGACTCCATACTCCATACTCCATACTCCATACATCGAGGTACAACATACATAAGGTTGGGGGACTATCTCTACCTTGTATGACAAATACGCTCTATAAAAGTGGCGCTTGAGAAACCCCGTCATGCTTGTTTTATTCTCGCATAATTACTATACAGAGCATCGAATCCCACAATTGGAGGCTCATAAATGTCGTCATTCATTAGGAGACCGGGCCATCCTTGGGAGGCTGGACTAAAGAAAAAAATAAAACCACAGGATCACCTGCGCCAAGATGCCACCCTATCAACCCTGACCATCTCAACCGAGGGGTATTCAGCAGAAAAGACACAGAAATAACGTAATGCGGATATAAAAAATAGAAGGAACTCGAAAGGAAGTCGGGAATATCGACGAATCACCGTACATGGTAGCTAGGCTTCCGTTGCCGGTTGACCATCGGCGGCGGCTCATCAACCGGGTATGGCGGTCGGACCATGGGGTTCGAACTGGAAGAATGCGGCCGAGAAAATAGCGGTGCGGGCATGGCAACACCGCCATTGTCTTGAGACGGGTAGGGAATGGGTGTCTTGGGCGGTATTGGTGGTGGCATACCATTAAAAGTTGCAAAGTAATCATCACTACGCACGGGAGACGCCTGTCCTTGCGAGCTCGGCCGAATATGGTCATGGCTTCGGCGGTAATCGCTAGATATCTGGGGTGGGGAAGTAGATACATTATCCTGCGGTGTGGGATGAACCGGGAGCGAGTCATCCGGTGGTGAGATGGTAACCGCAGATGGAATGGGTGGCAGCGTGTGTGAGGATGCACGGTGATGTGCAATATCAACGAAGTCGCCGGGTAATTCTGCGGGCAACTCCACAGCGAAATGCGCAGGTGGAATATATGATTGGACGGGCGAAGAAAGCGAAAGCTCTTCAGTCTCAAGATCGAAAGATAAATCGTCGCGATCACCGCCAGCTGCGGCATGGCTCGCCAAACGGCGGTTCATCCGCTCGATCTTGGCAAATCTAACACCGGCATCTAAAATCATCTTTTTGACTTCAGGCTTAGCCAGATATTGTCGTGTGTTGGTGCTGATATCGGCCAGTCGGTTCCACTCATTCATACCAAACTCGCCGACCCCAACTTCAACATTGAGGCGGAAATAATTGTCCTTGCTGACATTGCGTTTGGCGAGGTGGGTTCGGAGCATATCAGTGTGGATATCTTCGCAGCCCTCGATCTTCATGATCAATCGACGCCGCGCTTCGGCGAATGTGCCCAACGAGTCACCGAAGAAATCTTCCCACCACTCATGTTGTCGGTTATTGGTACCAGCCGGACGCTTTCCAGTTCCCATGCTGATAAAAACACCAACTTCCCGACCTGGCCACTCGTTCACGATAGCCTCATCAAGTATCTGCGGCGATGGGTTATATGTGCCATGACCCTCATCGATGAAGTGATGTTGACCAATCTGAATGGGCTTGAATGCAAGGCCCGTCGCGGATGTAGCACGCCCTGCTTGCCAGATAGTGCAATCGAATTCAGGCGGGGGTTCTCGGCGGGAATCGTATGATCGTAAAAGGACAGCCGATCCTTTGCGCGGTGTACCTTTGTACATAGCAGTGACGGCACTATAATTGAGGTTAGTTAGTATCAGCGGCTTGCGATTTCTCATTTTCAAAACTCACGTCTTAGTCCTGTGTTCTCTTCTATCGTAAAGCAGCGCATTTGGATTACCCCAGCGCAAACCATTGAGGAAAGCGGAACCTCTTTGGCTTGTTGCGGTCATTGGATGCGAAGCAGCAGAGGTGCTGAAACTCCCCCGACTGACGGAACGCTGAGGAACAGAGACTGGACTATATGGTAAACTGGCCATAGAATCCCGGGGGTTGGCATTTCCTGTGTCATTTCCCTCCGCCTCAAACACCGTATGTTCCCGGACACATTCCCGGATGGCCTCCTCGAGCTTTGAAGCCTTGAACAGAGTCGAGCGATACGGGATACCAGCGATGGTCTTGTCGGTTTCGAAGACTCGGCGAGTCATACGCACGTAGACCTCTTTACAAGTCTCAAGGTCTAGGCGGAGGCGGCCGAGCATCAGGGCGATCAAGCCGCCAGTGCCAGTGCCGGCGATCAAGTCGAAGTGATCGCATGGTTTAGGAATTTGGTCGCGGCGTGGAGGTTTGCCTTCGCATTCAACATAAGTGCGATACATAAGTTCCTGAAGGAGAATAAGCATGGAGTAGCCACGAACACCACCGCCATCTTTTCAAAGTCAGCTGTGTCCATTATAGGCCGGGAAGTGGGAGATGATACTAACCTAGCGACAGGATCCGCAGCGGAGGACCCTTGGTAGTGTCCTTGCGACGGAGTTGGGCTGGATCCATGGCGATTGTAGAAGTTATTTTTGAAACGCTCGCTGTCGCTCTTTTTTTAACCCCCAGGGCTGCTGCGGCAGCTTACCCGCGGCGGGGCTCAGCACTGCCTTATGCACCGGATCGCGGGATGATTGGCGCCTGACCGATCAGGTCTTGGAAAAATGCAGAAGCGTTACACTGGTGGCACTGAATGCAGCTTTGGTTGCGTGCGTGACAGGTCAGCGTGAGAGACTCGCAGTTTGATGTGTGGACTCTAAGTAGGCAGCGGCGTACGGATGATTGGAGGGGGCTTGAGCCACGGTCCCTGGATAGTTTGTTGAGGCTGGACGGGCGCAACCTCAGATCGTACTATTTGAATCGCACAAGTCACTGAATATAACCTCAAGGGTAAACAGAATCTGCAGTTTAGTTGTTAAGAGTTATTCTTAGAACTCGAGTCCAAATCTAATCACTTTTCCATGGATCAAGAAAGTCAGGTGACTCGGTGTCAGCGAGTTGTGGCGGTGCAGGCAAATGATGTAATGGTGGCTGTGTGCTGATTTACCAATCAGAACGTCTTTTCATGCAGCTCACTCGTGTTTCACCCAGTCAGAGGCATAGAAAATATGGAGATACATTTTTTTCCTACGAGCTAAAAGATACGCTAAGGCGGAAGAAATTGATTTGGGACAAATTCAGGGCTGCAATATGTAATTTATGCAGTTCCCCGGGCCTGACAGCCATCTCCCACAATCTTCGAATGACGTCAATTTCGACATTACTGTCGATCGTAGACATGTACATTGAACATACATGTACACCGTCGTATACATTCATATGGACATGTATCCATGGATATTGTATGTTGTATGTTGTACATCGATATGCATGTGTACCAAATATTTCCATTTGCAGCCAAAAAGAATACACTTCCTGTCAATTCGTCAAGCCAGGCCAATCTAAACATGCCACATTAGCAACAATTCCCACGATCCATAGATCCCAAAACGGGTTGATACACTCACCAACAATAGATCTGACCGTTTCTCGCTTAGCAACCGTAACCTCATCCCCAACTTTGAGACTAGTACCTTCGCCACTTGGCTCCAAAAAGGAATATCTACCAAAGACAGGACTAAACCGTGCCCCAGTGTCCACCCTGCGATCCTTCATCAACTTCTTCAAAACAGCACCAGACTCACCAGTCCCCATCTTCCCAGTCTTGTAATCAACATTGAGGCTCTGGCAGCGCACACAATTGCCCGTCAGCAACAGCCTGGCCGACTCACGCCCCAATTCAGGGCGCACAGTTAATGCGCCCCAGAAGTCCTCTTCAAAGGCATCCGCAGCGCCCGAAACAACGATGTTCGGTCGGAACTTCGTCCGGTCCATGTCTTCGCCATCCGGAAGCCGCGCTGAGACATTGTCGACGGATGTCTCGGAGATGATGAGGTAAGGCGCGCAGTCGGCGAAGGTGATTCGGTCTTCGTGTAATGGGTTCAGAGTGTAAAAACCATACAACATAAATACCAGCCCAGCAGCAGTAAAAAGAACCGTGGACGTGAGACTGCGAGCTGTTTGAGGGGTTATACCGTGGCGAACGATAGCGCCACCGTCCAGAACCATACTGATCGCTGATGCTACAATAAGAATCGGGAGAATAATTTCCCATCTCCTATCGGACCTGTTTAAGTATTCGCGTGCTGCGCGCCACACGGTCTTTCTACCTTGCTTTGCAGGTGCCAGTGTGCCCAATACCTCTCTCGAATGTGGTCCTAGATACGCTAGGACTACAGGGTATCCGAAGCAGTCGCTAAACCAGTCATTGTACTTAGCGCCCATATTGTATCCTGGCGTTGGACTGGAGTGCATGACGATCTTGAGTGGGTCGAGGCTCTTTGAGTTGGGTTGGAGCGGAACCTCTAGTCGTCTAACTTCGCGGGGTTCGGAAGCCATCTCTGAGGACGGTGGAGGATGATATGTGACAATTAATTTCCCATTGTCCGTTTCGGCTTCCGGATACACGATATCGGTACTGAAAAGGGCCATCTCTGGAAAGTGTGGGACATGCATGTTCTTCAAAGCCATGGAGCCTGAGCCATCCCCTGCCGGGACAACCTTGAGGAGCATGAAGTGCCGGTCATATTGAAAGCCGCGTGTGGTTAGAATCCCTTCGGTGATTGTTGTCGGTCGGAGGGACTTGATCGGGTAGACATAGAGCTGATGCTAGGTCAGTGTTCTGTTTCGCGACACATTCGGCTGAAGGCCATGTTCCTACCTGGCTGACTTTCATGATTGTGAATCCAAGCCCTCTCTTGCTGTAAAATGACCGAGAGAGAGAGCACCACGTCCACGTAGTAGACTGAGATTTTGTGTTGACAAGTCGATCTCGGGGAAGATGATGACATTGTCTCCATCCCCGGGCAAAATTAACTTTGGCGGAGTAAAATCCGCAGCCGCACACCTCCAGACCCTTGGTACCTAATATTCGAATCGCGCTACAGGCAAGTTTATAGAGTAATTTTAATATTGCTATCTAGAACAAAATTCGGTATGCTTTATTCTTTCTAGTGTTTCATAGGAAAGTCTTCAGTCATATTCGTTTCGAAATCATGTAGGGGAATGTACAAAGAAAGGGAATCGGTAATCAAAAAAGAGAAACGTCTACTGGTCCTCGGCCCAAGGCAAGCTGAAGGTTCCAACCCAGTCCTCAACCTCTTGACGGAGCTGGACAATCTCTGAAATCTCCTCACCCTCGCCCAGGTACTCCAGGAAAGCCTTGACAGTACCCGGGTTCTTGACACCACGGGACTGAGCCGACTCACGGGCAGCCTTATCTAGCTTCTGAGTGATAGTGACAGCGCGGTCGACAATCTCAGCAACGCGGCTGAAGTCTTCGGGCTGGAAGCCACGGGAGGTCATGGCAGGGGTTCCCAGACGGAGACCGCCGGGCTTGAGAGCGGACTTGTCACCGGGTACGGTATTCTTGTTACTAGCAACGCCACACAGCTCAAGAACGCGCTCAACGCGAGCACCATCCACGCCGCGGTTCTTCAGGTCGACCAGCACCAGGTGGTTGTCAGTGCCGCCAGACACGATGTTATAGCCGAGGCCACCGTTGCTGGTGGAAGCGCCCAGGCGCTCAGCCAGAGCAGAGGCGTTGAGAAGCACTGTCTTCTGATAGGCCTCGAAATCGGGGGATTGAGCCTGCTTGAGAGCCACGGCCAGCGCGGTGATCGTGTGGTTGTGAGGGCCACCCTGGTGGCCTGGGAAGACAGATGCGTTGATAGGGTTCTCCAAGTCGTACATCACGGGATTTCCCTTCTTGTCGGTGCTGCGCACGCCCTTGCGATAGAAGATCATAGCGCCGCGAGGACCACGCAGAGACTTGTGGGTGGTGGTGGTCACGACATCGGAGTATGGGAAGGGAGATGGGAGCACGTTTGCGGCCACGAGACCCGAGATATGCGCCATATCAGCCAGCAAGTAGGCGCCCACAGAGTCAGCAATCGCACGCATGCGAGGGTAGTCAATCAGACGGCTGTAGGCCGAAGTGCCCGCGACAATCAGCTTAGGCCGGTAAAGAGCGGCCGATTTCTCCAACGCATCGTAATCAATTAGACCAGTCGACTCATCGAGGCGGTAAGGCAGGGTCTCAAAGTATTTGGAGATGGCCGAGATTTTCTTGGTAGGGGTCTGGTAACCGTGGGACAAGTGGCCACCGTGGGGAAGGTCCAAGCCCATGAGGCGGTCGTGGGTGTTGAGAAGGGCAGAGTAGGCCATGAGGTTGGCGGGTGAGCCAGACAGAGCTAATGTGAGTTAGCCTTCGCATATACTACTGTACTGGGTAGACTGTATCATACGCTGAACGTTCACTCCCCACTCCTCTGGGTTCAAACGGAAGGTCTCGAGAGCACGCTGCTGACACAACCGTTCAGCGGCATCGATGTGTTCATTTCCACCATAGTACCGAGCACCGGGGTATCCCTCGGAATATTTGTCTAGATTACGGTTAATATGGTATATCGAGGAAGCAGAACCGGTGACCCGAAATACATACTTTGCATAACACTGCCAAGGGCATCGAGGACAGCTTGTGAGGTGAAGTTCTCAGAGGGAATCAGGTTAATGAAGTGCTTTTGGCGCTTTTTCTCCTGTAATGGTCTTAGTGGTGGTTCGGTCAATCGGAGGTTGTCCTATCGGCGATGACGCACCTTCTGCAGGATATTGAACACGGCGGGATCGGAGTCCTCCAAGGAGGCGGCGAGTAGCTGCGAAATTGTCAGTTACTATATCCTGCTTGCCATTGAATCCATCCCGATCACCTACCTTGTGCTGCGTATCACGAGTGGATGATGATACTCCCCGCGTTTGAGGAGCCAATCTGGGCACGATAGAGGCGCGAGCGGAGACAACGGCCGCCCGGGAGCTTCCAAGGGGAAGCAAACGGGCAGCAGATCTTCCACAGCGAGACAAATACATGATGAAGCTGAGGAAGGTCAATTCTCAAGCACGAGGGTATATGTACAGCTTAGCCGATAGGGAAGTAACGGCTTTTAAACGGTTGATGCTGGTCGGACGAGCACTCACGCCTTCCCGTTGCCCGCGGAAAGCGGGAAAATGACACTATTCCTGTTCGAGCTCTCCGCCTGGTCCGTGCGCTGACCGGTGGTTTATCTTCGCTCGGCAAAATTCCTCCCTCCTTTTCTTCTTCACACAACTAAATCCAAGATGAAGAAACGGCGTTTTTCAACTGTGTCAGCACTCGTCGGTGACGGCCGGACTTCGGTCTGGCTGGCGCTGGACGGGCGCTGCTGAAAGGTCCCACGCCACTTAACCATCCTTTGAGGGGCCAGTACCATCGGATTGGAGTTGTTGTGTATTTGGTTCGCCAAGGAGTCGGCATCATTCTCAGGATTGGCATTGGTCTGCTACATCAGATTATCCACTTCTCCGAGCATGGTGATCTTCTCTTTTGCCCGACAGTTCCCTCGTCGCTTGCCGACACTTCAGTACAATAAGGACATACAATCTCTGTATGCGCCAAATGCAGCTGGAGTATAATTAGTTTTAAAAATCCACAGATGTCACAAGCCACTATTAAGTCCACAATTAGGCCGTTCTAAGTTTCTGCCTCCTATTCCTCCTAATGGCACATCGTCTCTCGCCAACAAACTGTCAACTGGTGAGATCCCCACACAGTAAGGGATCAGGGGTGTCCGTCCTTCGTACGTAGAATATGAGCCACGCAGGGGATGATCATCGCACTGAAGATCATCAATCCACTGTTGTCTAGGCTCTTGAGCGTGGTAATTAAAAATATAGAGGTGGTTCATCCCTAAAATCTACGTCATCTAGCACTGTTCATTACACCATCACTCAATCTACGAGATACGGAGCTCATCATATGCAAAGCCGATTGCGAGTTACATCCCTCGTGGATTCACCAGAAAGAGTGCACTGGGTTTAGGCAAGCGCTCCTTTGGCAGGATGGTTTGTCAACTAACTACTGTTAGCATAAGTCAAACAAGGTTATGATGTCCCCTTCGGGAGGCAACTGGGAGTGGAGCTTTAGAGAAAGGGGAAACCTAGTGGGTTCTGCGGCTTATTCCAATTTAAAATGAAACGAACGCGTGAGGCTGTATTGCAGGGACATTATACTCCGGATACCTAATCCCGTTCCGCGCTGAGAGGAGCAAAAGGTAAATTTGCAAGAAACTAGCTATTTAGATTCCCAGATCAATGTCTTCATCGTGACTGGTAGTGGATTCAAAGTAGGTAATCGAAATGATAGATTCAATTCTATTCAGGTCAGCACTTGATTGTGCCCAGAATTTTCCATATGATGCAAATCCATGGCTCTCACTAATAAAGAAACGATCAAACTGCGCGTAGGATTGCAGTGGCATGCCTCTTTCTATGAAGGCGCATGTAGCTTCAATGGATCAATATAACCGATCAGGAGGGCTTTGGGGGGACCACCGAAGTTTGTGGGCGCTGTAACTACTGATGCTGGGCCATGTATTCTATAATGGACTGTGGTACTCATTCGGGTTATTAGATCTCGGTTGGTCTAAATTGTGACTTTGGTTGTTCGTGGTGATGGGCATGATTCGGAGCCATGACTGAAGCTCCGCTTTACAGCAAAGAGAGGTAAGAAAGACTATATAATTAATTGAGCACGTGTACGGAGTACTCCGCGTATGGGGCTCGAAAGCCAGGAGAATAGTTTCTGGTGGCAGATACAGGTGATCCATGAAAGAGCTTTGAACAGGGGAATCAGTACTCCGTACTCCGTACAAAATCCGTGTCCTTGATTTGTGACTACGCCCAATTTTGAAAGGGGATTTGGCGCCCCTGTGTCTCCCGATTGACCCCGCCCCTTGGACAAAGCTTGGTCAGGGATGGAAGATCAGGGGGAAATTCAACGGAGCCAACAAGTCTACTGAAGGTTTGTAATATATTCGAATATCTATGGATTCCTCACCATGGGAACTGTACTTACCAGTCCTATATACCACTGGACCCGAAGGCGAAGATAGGTAGACTAGACACCTCTATAACACTCCAAGGGAACACGCAAGTCGTCCTTTGGGCATCTATTGTGTGGTTTTTCAGCCGTCTCTTTCTTGACATCTCCTGAGGCATCATAAAAAGGTACAAAGGAGTCAGGATGACTCCGTACTCCATACGCTATTGCACATTGAAAATAAGAACTCATTCCCCGATATGCGCAGATTAATAGATATTAGGATCGTGCCCTCAAATTCCATGAAAAGATACACTATCCTTTACTCCAAGGAATCGGCTGAAATTGCCTGACTATGTTGCCTTACAAACATGGCGGTGAGTGGAGATCCAAATGAATGCGTTGTCAGAGTTGGCGAAGTGACGTGCGCTTTGCAATCTTGGAAGCCAGCTGGGTGAGTACTTCGTATTGTCCACGACATAATATCAAATGTTGATCCTGAAGATAATATTCAAGCGATAGATTCAGATGATCCAAGAACCTAGACTTGGAATCGCCAGTGCCCAGAAAATCCTGTTCCAACCCTAGCAGCCACTGGCGCCTAACTGGGAAAGGATCCCCGGGCCACGCACTGTCAACTTGTGCCTCAGGACGTGCGCCTAAAGGTGAGGAGGATGCTAGGGAGAGAGTGACATCGGGAGCCATAGTACTGGAGTGGTGGTAGCAAGTACCCCTCCCATGCTCGGTAGTGGGTTGTGAGCTGAGAGGCGGTTTATTTTTTCTGTGTGGGTATTGCCACGCTCGGGGCCCCTTTTCCCGTGTTTTTGGGAGGTTTCCCTGGACGCAGAGGGCGTTAGTGCACGGGTACCTGAATCTCATTAAATTAATCGGTATTGGTTATAAACTGCCCTCCCCCCTTCTTCTCTTCTTCCTCATCCATTACACTCTCTTAACAAATCCCCGGTTTTTAACCGATTACATTCTTTTAACCGTCATTCTTTTGGATATATCATATCTGTGATCATTTTTGGACCCCCTTCCAGCCAACTCTATATCTATATCACAATGCGTTTCTCTATCGCTGCTCTCGCTGCCGGTGCCGTCGGTGCCATGGCCGGTGTCACCACCGAGACCGTCACTGCCTACACTACCTATTGCCCCGAGGCGACCTCCATTGTGCACGGTGATCACACCTACAGCATCTCTACTGTACGTTGATTTCGAGACAAAAGATGCGACAGAGACTAACGGCGTTCTAGCCTGGCCACATCACCATGACCCACGGTCCCTACACCGTGACTCGTCCTCTGCTGAGCTCCATCGTCACCGAGTGCAAGAGCTGGTATGCATGAATTACCCCGCATTCTCAATATCTCTAACTTATCTCTCAGCCCCTCCTCCACCCCTGTCTCTGTCTCCCAGGGCAGCACCCATCTCATCCCCGTCCCCAGCGCCCCTACCTCCACCCCTCTGGTCCCCAGCGCCCCCCACCTCCACCGGTGTTCACGGCGTTCCTGGCGCTCCCAGCGCTCCCCCCAGCGCAGCCACCCCCTCCCAGCCCGCCTTCAACGCCGGTGCCATCAACGCCGCTACCGGCGCTGGTGCCGGTCTGGCTGCCGTCTTCGGTGTCGTTGCCCTCCTGCTGTAAAGCAGCTGAGCGTGTCAATGGTATCATGAAGAGGTAGCATCGCGACGGGTGTGATCAGCCTGGTGATATCCTCGCGATGCTATCGGGTGTTTATGGGTTCTTCTTCGGGTGTATATGTCTTGTCTACGTCTCCTTAGATAATACATAATGACCCCTTGTGGGTTTCACTTTTTATGTCTGCCTTTCTTGTGGAGGGCTTGTATTTTCATGGTTTTTGCGCAATATTCTTTTGGACATAACGCTTTTATATTATTCATGTCTGACTTCAATCGAGAATGATCTCTTACCTTTTGTTCATCGCACTTCCCCTCCATCAAACCCTTATCTCGTATATTCGTAATTGGGTTCTTCGCCTTGGTTTCGCCGCCCACTTCTCTCGTCCTTGAACGTGATACAGATATCACGCATCAAGCTTGAGCTCAGCCATAGGGGGTCACTCTTTGTAATATTTAATATGCAGCTTCCATTCAACATGGAATCATCTGCTGCATGAGTATCTATGGGAGGTTCCAATTCACATCGCCACCGATCTGACAGGTTATTGTGAGGTTTCTTACACCATAGCCAAGCCTTCACCCTCGTGCATCCAAGGCCCACTGCAGGTACATCCAGAATTTGTGAGGTATCACACAGTCATGCATCCTCCCCGAAGGAGCCACTATGCAAGTCATAACTGGACCCATGAGGATCTTTTGGGGATAACTCATTATGAGGCAATCTGGAATTATGCTATATGACGAAAAGAAGCAAGACAAAACAAAGATACTTGGGCACAGCTTTACTATATTAGCTCTCATTGTGAACCTTATCACTGACAAAGAAATCTCTCTCCCAGTACCTCGGGGTTGAGGTCTTCCAACTCTAGATTACTAGCTAGACTTCTTTTTTTCGTTTCTGGAGAAAGATAACGTAAAGTCGGGATAATCACATGGCACCATGGTCTCTACAGGTCTATATGAGTGTAATACAGTAGGTCCGATATCTACATGGACCTGAATAGACCGCGTTTGTCGCCCTGGTTTGCTGCTGTTGGGTGCCGCTGTATCTATAAAATGATATTGATCTCCTGTCTTCACCGTGATTCACCATCCTTCTTACCTACATACATGTAGGTGGTCCTCATATATCCTTCCGTATCCCGATACCCATCGAAGAGTTCTCTGGTATCCCCATCATCACCAATCATGTCGGCCACTCCAAAGGAAAAGACTCAGGCCTCAGCTAAGGTTGAAAGTCCCACCCATACAACAAATCAGTCAAAGGTCGGGTTTAGGCGTCTATATCTCAAGTTCAATAGGTTTATGGTCTTTCGCTTGATGATTATATCTATGAGACTAGTGACACAAAAGAATCTAGAGGCGAGTATAAAGAAACTAATATCAAGATGTGTTACAGAAACTCTTTGATGATCGCTCTCCCGCGCAACCCGCTGCCACCAGAAAGCGCAAGAGGGAAGGACGGTATTCCGAGGAGAAGTCCCAGAAGATGCGTTTCTTGGTAGAGTCCACAGCCTTCAAGTCGAATGAATCTGAGGACTCTTTCAAGAGCTCGCACAGGTCCTTGAACAACCAAACAGAGAACAATGGAGATGAGGATGTGGCCGAATCTACCCCGTCGCGTGGCATTTCAAATTCTAAGTCCTGCGAGTCCATTGAATCTCAAGCCCATATGACCCCGCTCAAGCCATTGAAGTTGAAGATCAAAAATGGAGCGAAGGACACAAAGAAAATCAAGATGTTTGGAGCCGCAGAGTCCCCAGTTCCAGAGTTTGTTTACCCCAGGGAGCTGTTCGAACCCTCCGACAACGAGAAGGAAGTCTCGCCCGAGCGTCTCTTCGATAACCGCGCTGACAACGCTTACAACGGCTTGACTGCGGGTTCTCCTTTATTTGTGCCGCAGTTCTCTCCTCGGCTCTGGAGCCGATGCGACACTGCTATGGCGCGCCGGGCGTACAATGAGCTAGATGACATCACCGTGCGCCTTGGTGAAGTCATGCGCGGCATCAGAGTATTGATTGGGAACGATGACTCTGATGGTCTTGACGACAGTTGCTCTTGTAGTTCAACGGAGATTCCCTACGGTATTCATGATCCGTTCGAAGAGTTTGACGAAAGCACCCGTTTGGAACTGGTGGATGAAGACCACCCAATTGCCGTGAGCGCCGATGAGGATGAAATCGCTGATGGATCCGGCAAATTCCATGAGGATGAATAGATGGAATTGGTTGCTTTTCACTTTGCTAGAATAATCTTTTGCACCGAATCAGTTTCTCGTTGGAATTCATTGGCACCAATTTTTTTGAACAAAATGTAGGCTAGCAGGTATACTAAGGAGATATTCTAGTAGCATCATGAAGACCGTTGAGTTTATTTCGGGGCTTGAGCTTGACACCAATGAAACCACAAAGGCTACCACATAACGCCCTTCCAAGCTTAATTTATGTGACGTCTGTGTACGGCGTATAAGGCGGCGAATTGAATTTGATCTCGAGCAGTCCTCGAAGATACCGCGAGGACGTCTCGGCAATTGTGGACACGTGAAAACTCTGTTCGTCGCGTAATTCGCGGGGACAACTCGGGACACCGCGGTACTTGATGCCCAGTCCCCAACAAAAAGCAGCCACCATCTCCTATGTGTTGATTTGGAAATATGGAGCCTATTTCATCCGAATCAATTCCCGATACCACTGATAGAGCCTTCCTGGATGTACCGGGGGCACCACCGGTGACGTCACGCACGAACGCGTCGCAGCCACGATCCGTCGCGTTGAGCCCATACGCAAGTTCCAGCAGAGAAGTAGATCGAAATGCCACTATCGAACGGTTCGCAGAGCGAGCTAGGCAGCAGTTTGAAGATCTTCTTTGGTCGCTTGAACCAAGCGAGCTGCGAGATATCGCGTCGGCGATAGAGCAGAACGGCCACCATAGGCTGTCTAGAAAGCGCCAAAGGAGATCGGAATCAAACGTCGAAACCAGCACGCGTCTGCGGTCTGCCTCTGACGATGTAGCAATTCCAGGCCCCTCATGCGGAAATGAAGGGTCGGAGGCGGCGATTTGCGTACGATGCTTTAGGAATTGGGCGAAGGCGATCGACGGCAACAAAGATATCGTCGAGTGTGTTACGGAGAAGCCGAAGCGGAAGAAATGCGAGTCATGTTCGTTGAAACGTGTATCATGCGAATACGTAAGTAGGAGTCCTCCATTATATGATCATTAGGAAGACATTGACACAGCGATCTAGATCCCTTACGATGGTGCTAAAACACTTCGTCGGCTCAAAGTCCAGATGGATCAGGCATCCGCTGCCGATTGGCCTGCTGCGCGTAGGAAATTTGAACGAGAATACTGGAGACTCAGCGACTATATCTACGACCATCCTATCCCGGCCGAGACGGACCGCAAAGCAAAGCAGAGGGCACATAAAAGACTTCAACGCCGAGCGATTCTCCATGCAGAGAACGCAGAGAACGCAGAGAACCAAGTGGGCAATTCGGACATTCGCGAAGGAGATATATCTGATATATCTACGGATTCAGACGGAGAGGAGGATGATCTTGCAGTTGAGGCCCAGATCCGGGAGGAAACACAACGCACTTTGTGATTGTACACTGAAATTGATAGCTGGCTATAAGCAATCCTAGGGATGGATTTGACTATGAGGGCTTTCGTTCTATGCTACTACAAGGCTGCTGAGGGGCATGAAGTTCTACTCGGAATTATAAATCTCTTTTCATGTTAAGCAGAGAGCAGAGGGTTTGGGTATTTTGTCAAGTGGTGTCTGCGGTGGAACTGCCACGATGGACCAACCGAATGCATCATACTGTGATACCAGTAAAACCAAAAGCCAACTGCCACGGCGCCAGGTAGAGACCATTGAGTCAGCGGGGTTGGGCTTGGCGGTAATCGTTTGGGTAGACATTTTCCTGTCGTTTGAAGCTATCTTGCTGTAACAGACAGCAGATCTGTAGTCACATCTACGAAGTATAAAGATCGAAACGACTGAGAGAAGCCCACGTCGTCTGACATACCCTAACCATGTAAAGTCATGATCGACGCACGCAACACCCAAAAGGAAGAGACACATCTGAACTTTATATTTCTTAGGCAAGTCAGATATGATGCAGCGAGGTATCCGAGCCTACTAAGAGACCTACAACGTTAATATGACAGGGTTTTCTAGTGCGGGGGCCACATGAAAGCCTATGATCGAGTTGCATGCCTTGGATATGTACAAAGTAGGCGGGGAAGCTCTACGATTTTTCGGGCGCATAGAGCAAATCTCCACAGGTACGAGTGCCTGCATGTTTTCTTCACAGCGAGCTGGTGTCGATCTCAATCAAGACCCTTCGCGGTGTACGGAGTATTGAAGACACGAGCAAATTTGACAGACGTGTTATGCGTTCATTGGTTTAAAGAAGTAAATTAAATGACAATGAAAAGATGTAAGATAGGTAACAAAGTTAAGGCTCTACATATAACACAGTACATATACCTGCTAGAATCAGTGTTTGGTTGCGTACCAGACAACCTTCCTAGTAGTCCTAGATCTCCCTATAGATTCAACAGGGGCAAAGGAGGATATGAATTCTGCAGGAGTACAAAATGTATTTCTTTCCACCCTTTTTTTCATACTTTCTATTCCGACGTTTTTCCTTGCCCAGTTATTCAATTTTTATCATACTTCATGGCAGAATTGATCATCCCATGTAAACTACGTTGGAGTAGGCAGTCTCACCGGAAGCCCACTGGGCTCCAGGGCTCAAAAAAGTGATTATGTAATGCAATCGGCCGCCAAGATGGCAGCCAAGCCCTAAGTGGACCCCGGGACTGCCAAACGCATCGATTTCTGAACAAAAAAAAGTGTCAACCCGGCAAAAAAAGAAATCTTGAGGTTTGTTTTTAGGAATAGCCGAACGCGGGGGTCGAACCCGCAGCCTTAAGATTAAGAGTCTTACGCTCTACCGATTGAGCTAGCCCGGCCGGGCTGTTGTAGGAGGTAGGACTTTTATGCATTTTGTTCAGTGAGGGATGTTCATTTCACCTTCTGTGGATAGCCTCGTGCGACTATCATTGTAATCCCTCGGTTCCCTTCTTGAAGATGATATTCGATATATCTTTCTGTCCCAGCAGCCTGATGCTGTTGGCTGTGCGTCGAAGTATAAGCAAGAATGCTCTGATCTGGTAGACAAAGAGTATATTGGTCGAATGTAGACTTCGATGAGGCCTCGGTGCGGATTTATAACCGCGAAATCTAATAATGCAAATCCGATAATGCAGGTGGAATGGAACCGAAATGAAAATGAAAATAAAACCCGAGAGAAGGGAAAGGGGTATATACATGAGCGGCGTGAAGAAAAGCATAGGACCAAAAAGTTCGAGAGGAAGGCATTTTGCATGGAGATAGCTTGAAGAAAAGCAGATGAAGGATCTCAGGATGAATGAAGCAGGATGGAGAACGCTTCAGAGCAAAATTCTGTGTGCGCTATTGCTGTCTCCGTTATACACATCTGTGCGCTCCTCATCCACCTTGAACGTGCGGTGGACGGAAATATCGTTGGTGCCAGCAGAGGGATCCACGTTCCCATCCTGGAAGCTATGAAGCTGGTAGGAGTGCTGACCTCTGTTTTTGGGCTGAAACCTGTTGGAATTCGAGTCTTCCGTGATTTTTCCAGTCCCGCGCGTGCGTGACGAGAATAGCGATAGCCTGGGTAGATAGGTGGCGATTAGACGCTTGAACCGCATTGCACAGGCGCATATGATGCCGAGGTTGACTTCGACGATGGACCACACTCCTAAAATGGCTTCGGTATAGGTCGTGTCGGCAGTTGTGCCAAGGAGCAGAACGTAAGGTAGGCGTGCTATTGAGCAGATCGTGACACTGTGTGAGATATTAGTGGCGATGTTTCCTTGGAATAATCGAACGATTAAAACGTTTCATCAAATATGAGAGGAAACGTACGCAGATCCCAAAGCTAACAGACAACCAACGGTTATCTTTTGCTTGAGTGAAAATTGAAGATTGTGGATCATGGGGATCGGTAGAATTATGACAGCCAGGTCGGAAGTAATGTTTAGGACAGCCTGAGATGAAGCCACGTTCTCTAGGCATTTTGTCGTCCCTGCATGGAGAGGATTACATGGCCCTCCAGTGATGGCGCATAAAGCCAGAGTATATGCAAAGATCGCAACTCCGACAATCGAGACGAGGACGCGGTATATCTTTGAAGGGTTGATGCGGTATAAGACAGACAGAATAGCCATCTTGGTAACGGCTGGACATATCAAATAAGTCAAGGTGTTGATGAGCAAGTGCTGCTTGTCGTTAGTCGATTTGTATCAAAGTACAGAAAGACATCTTACTTTGTTGAACTCCATTAGATCTGCCAAACTGACATTCCACATGTGTTTCCCCCAGCCATAATCCATTACTGTTGAGTCAGATCTTTGCTTAGCCCGAAATTGCGAGCAACATACAGTTAACGATGGTCACGAAATACAATAAAGCCAGGCCATAGGAAATCGTGACAATGACTATCAAATGAAGTGTAAGTGTCTGCCGCATCGTCTCATGGGCCTTGATACTATACCCAAGTCTACATCGGCCTTTTTTGTCAACTTGAAGGCTTGAAAATAGCGAAGAGCAAGGCATATTGTGGCTAACAAGTAGGTGATACCAAATGCGATGACAGTCCCTATCTGTAGCGAATTGTAAGGCTCGTGGAAACGCGATTGCTGGCCGTCCGGCGGCTGCATTCCTGGTGTTGTGGCCAGATCCATGGTACCCATTGTATCCATGTTGTAGTAGAGATCTGGTGGAGTAAATTGAATCGAGATGATCGGTATGGATCCTCTGTCTATATTGCATCGACCCCCGTCCAGGAGTCGGCAGATTTTACGCCACATGGGCCAAATCCTTGTCAAACAACTCCTTCAGTGCAGCAGCAAGAATAGCCACAACCAGTAGAATGGGGGTTCTATGAAACATGAGCGGGGATTAATCTTGACTAGCGCATCCTGTCAACAAGACTAACTGCGCAAGTGGCTTGGACAGCTCGTTTTGAACCTATCACAAAGGTATTGTTCTCTCTCGCTTCCGAATGCTCCACTAACGGTACTTATTTCTGACATGGGGGAGAAAGATATCATGAGAGTCTGGCCACTTTTTGAGGAAAATGGAAGATCAAGCCCGCGTTGAGATGGACACTAAATTAGTGCACCGTTTAGACTTCAGACAAATACGCAACGGCCTCCGCGCGCGCCATTTTTTGTCTGGAATGTAGAAAAGGGGTTAGCTGATGCATGTGATTTTTCTTTCTTTCCATCAAGCTCACATCGTGCGTTGAGACAGACTCATTGCAACCTGTGAACGAACAAACTATCTCAAAATGTTGTTCTGGGGTCAGTCGGCTGTAGCGCCAATTCCCGGTGATCGAGTGGTGCCACTTCATTTTTTCGAGGATAGCCTGCTTGTCCAGGGTAACAACATGGCCGTGTCGCTCGTGTTTGATGCAGTGCTAGACCCGGAAATATTGCGTGAGTCTCTCGGAGGCTTGGTTAAGCAAGAAGGTTGGCAAAGGCTAGGAGGCCGACTGAGAAAAAACGTAAGAACAGCCCTATTCCGGGTTTATTTAAAGCTACATAGACGTAGAGATCTTCCGGGGTATATGCTAACAGATCCTGCGTTACGATTAGGCCTCGGGTAAGATCGAATGGCATATTCCAGCCCAATTTTCGGCTGACAGACCGGCGATCTCCTTCGCGCATGTCGACCACGGCATGCCTGCCGCCTCGCACCCGGCAGCCTCCCGGATACCAAAGCCACAGACGCGGCCCTGTGTTGTCGGCGATCCGGACGATTTAGAAGGCCTGGCATGGGAGCCTGGATACAAGCCCAACGGGATCAATGACTATCTTACGGCTGACATCCCTGTCGTGGGGCTGCGTGTCAACTCTTTCACCGACAAGACCGTCGTAGTTTTGCAATGGCAACATGTCGCTTTCGATGCGCTCGGATTACAATATGTTGTCGAGGGGTGGAGCTCGATGCTTTGGGGCAAGGCAACCGAAGTATTGACCCCGTGTGGCCTTGACTCAGATCCGTTCAATACTCTTCGCGAAGGTCTGCGTCCCACGACGGAAGAACATGTCCTGAAAGATAAAAGGGTTGGTTTAGGGGGATTGCTGAGGTGGGGATTGGGTTACGGTGTTGATATGGTGCTTCGAGCCAAGGAAAACCGCATGGTCTGTATTCCAGAGACGTACTGGCGAGCGCAGTGGGAGAAGGCCATCGAGGAGCTTCGTGCCGAGGCTGCTGCGAACGGTGAGGATCCCTCAAAGGTTTTCTTGACTGAAAACGACGTTTTAACAGCCTGGATTTTGCGGTGTGTGGTTCGCGAGATGGGATCAAGCCCCGGGCGGACGGTAGGTTTCAAGACTCTCGTCGTGCGCCTGATGGACTGTATTCTTACTAACCTTACTCCCTCTTCAGGTAGCTGCATCAATTGCCATGTCGCTCCGCAAATCTTTTGAGGGTGATCTCTTACCTTCCTCCGCCGAGCACCCTTACGTTGGTAATGCCTTCGGTTGGGCCAACGTACTTGTCACCGCGGGTGATGTAGATACCAAGCCGCTGAGCTGGCTCGCACGGCAGGTCCGGCGCGCCATCAACGAGCAGGGAACTCGTGCTCAACACGAGGCATATTATGCCATGGTTCGCACATCCAGAACTGGTCTGCCAATTGTCATTGTTGGGGATGGGGGTATGGCCCAGGTTGGTTTCTCCAACTGGAGCAAGGCTGGCTTGTTCGACTTGGACTTTTCTCCGGCTCGTCGGGGACCCAGAAATGACAGCTTGTCCTGTAAGCCCTCCTATATCCAGGAGAATCATGGCCCTGTCAAGCCCGCGGATGGTTTCTTCATCTTGGGGAAGGATGAGAAGGGAAACTACTGGACTTCGGCGTGCAAGGTCAAGGGGCAGTGGGCAAAGTTTGAGGAGCAGCTGAAGGAATTTGATATGTCTGATTCGAAATGATTCTCTCCGGCAGGCATCGATTACTCCGGAGCGCAGAGAAGGCTAATGCGTCTGACTCCTCGCAACTTTACCGGTGTGAGGGCTCACATGAGCAATGTGTTGGCCTGTCCCTGCGCGGGGTTTTTGAACCTCTCTTTTTTTTCTTTTTTTTTTCTTTTTTTCCATCCACCTTGTTTTATTGTTTGTCGATGTTTAGCGATCTGTGTGTATGCTAGGAATCTTTGCCGACTAGGTTTGGTTGATGTACTATGTAGTTGCTGATAGGATGATAGGATGATGCTATTTGCGAGACAGGCATATATATCCACCGCGGATCACCACATCTTCCATTGAACACAACACAGTCACCCCCAAAGATGTCAAGTTCATTCCAACCATCGGTCCATATATCACACATCATAGCCATGAGCGCCAAATCATCTACGGAGTATTTATGTACTACTCCGTACTCCGTATAACTATCACCGATTCTGTACGGAGTATTCCGTACCGACCACCTGGGTCGCCTAAGACAGCAAGACCTCCAACTACCATGAGCTGTACTTCATCCTGTACCCTTTATAAACCACCCACCACCCTAGGCTATTTGAGCAGGCTCTTTTTCCTTTCCTCTGTGTTTTTATTCCAACCCAGGGGAAAAAACCAAACTTTCAACGGGAACACTGTCGGGAAGCCTGCCTGAAACTCCGAATCAGCTCATATTACATTTAAGGGCAAACTCATCAATAAGGCGGTTTGGCCGAGTGGTCTAAGGCGATTGACTAGAAATCAATTCTCTTCGGAGGCGCATGTTCGAATCATGCAGCCGTCGGTTCTTTCTTTTTTGGCTCCCGTCCTTGTGTCTATTTCTGCTTCAAATCTCGAATCCGAGACCTACTAGGGAGCAGATCTGCGTCGATTTCTTAGTTCTGGGATCATCCACAAGTCGTATTGAGGACTTACCTTTTTTCTTCCGCATCAACCCAAGAAAAGAGTACCATGAACAAGAGCAAATCGAGGGTATTGTGCATTGAATGCCCCACAGGATTGGAGAACAGCAAACCTCAAAGGGACTTCCCTAGAACAGATATACAACCAACAAGGAAGAAACCCGTTTGGAAGCGAGGTAATGCAAGCCGAGCGGGCAGGGCGATGAAGGCCACATCCATGGATTGGTATAGTGCTCGTGACTATCTCCAGATGAGATATAGATTGATTCCTCCCAAGGTGGTGTATCGAATGATAATCCGATGCTTCTCAATATGTAGGAGTGGCCCAGGGTAGGACCTTTTCTCCGCTGCTACGGGGTAAATGTGAGATGTTGGCTATTTCCTCTCAACGCTTCAAAGAAAGTCACGGATGGACTCTCACGGCTTTCCCCTTATCTTTTCAGATCAAACATTCGAAACAATCAACGAAACATTCTACTTAGATCGATTCCACATAAAAGAGATATTCCCCGATTGAGACCAAACAAGAACATCCAAATATGGATACGAAAGCATGTTGGGCAAGCTCGCAAACCTGGAAAAGTCGGTATGGTCAGACTGGAATGGGTGTCCCGATGGTATGAATGAAGACCAAGATGAAAGATAGTGGATGGGGCTCAAAGACATGTTCAGGTGCTATATATATTATTTGCTAAAAATAACCCAACAAACTGTCGCTTCGGATCCATTGCTCTACGCATTTCTTTGTTTTTCTGTTTGTTAAAGCTATCGAGGAATCGAAGGGAAAGAGGGATCTAAACATATTTCTTCTTCCTTTTGCGTCGCTCCACAACCCCCAAGAAAGGTATAGTAGGTTGACCGCTCAAATGCCTCAATATTCAGGGGAAAAGGATTTCCCCCGGCGGGATCGAAGACCCGTAGGTTATTTCAGCGAGGAGAAGCAACAGCAGCGCAACGAAGAGGTGAGAGGTCCGTTAGAAGGAACCCCCCAAATGCCATCGAAGAAAAGATCAGCCCCAGATGACTCGGGGAAAGAAGCGGTTCCTGCAAAGAAAAGACAAAGGCAAGCTCCTAAATCAAAGCCTCTGGACGTGGAAGCTCTTCTAAAGGATCTTGATACCGATTACTCCAAAGTAAAGCCTGCACATCCACCGAAAAGACCTGCTAAGCAGAATTGGACCCCGACAACGGTTGTTATTACGGATCGGGGAAAAGCACCTATAGGTTGGAATCCAGAAGAGCCTGATTTAATGGACGAGTAAGTTCCACCTCGTCAGCACTGCAAATACGATTGGTAACATATGGCATTTAGTGATTTGCCTGCGCAGATTGTGAGATGTCGCGAGAGGATCAAGGAGAAAATCATGCCTCAAATTTATGAATACAAACTGAAAGGCTTTTTGGCACAGCAGGAAGAACGCACGTCAGTATTTTTAGGCACTTCGATACCAGAGGTAAAATTCGCTAACGTATTCAACCCTATTTAGCAAAGCGATCTCTGCAGCGAAAGGACTGAGTTGGCCTGTTTTACAACGTCTAGATGAGCTCCAGTCCATTTTGAGATGGCTAGAAAGCGATGAGATCAAGGATAAATACAAACTCGCCAGCAATGTCAAGAATATAATCTCAGCCTACAGATCGGGGGCTTTGGATTGGTGCCACGGCTTCGTCACTTATTGGAACAACGGAGCTCAAATTTGCCAGCCAAGGCCCTTTCAGTGGAAGGAATTCCAATATCTCCATGACAAACATCAAGGCAATGAGACGGGATTTTGGATTGAAGGCGTGGGTCTTGCCGGGCTGCCCCCTGTTACTATATTGCCGATGATGCTAATCTCAACGTTTTAGTTCAATGGGCCTGGACCTAGCGACCAACTGTCTGCAATACAATGCGGCCCGGGCGAGCGCAGGTGGGGAGCTTATGTACGTTTGACTCATTCTCCCCAGATGCTTCTTTTTTCTCATCGTCTATTAGATGAAAATTAGTCTTCGAATTGCTAGGACATGGGTGAGCGAAGCTTCCATGCCCTTGGAACTGGAGTTCAAGGATGATACTGGGGCAGATTACATGACTATTAATGATGACGATATAAGCGCAATGAGGGTTGATCCAACAGGCACCGGCGGACTTCACCCGTTGCCTCGAATTATGGGTGTGTTAAGTGTAACACTTGCCGATGGGAGCGGTAGGAACATGCTAGTAAGAGAGCTGCAAGCCAACATATGGGACGCCGATGAGCGCAGATACATGGTGCCTGAATGGGACTCAATACCGGCTGTTATCAACCCTACGACTGGAGCCAAACGTTTGAATGGTCCATGGTTGCGGTGGAAGCTTTACACAGCAACATGTCCTGACAACTCACGACGTTTGTGGATATATGATTACAATCCGAGCAATCCTCCCGTTCAGGCTGACCCGCGCATCCCTACTGCAACCCAGGCACAACTAAACGCCCCCTATCCCACAGCAACCAACTATGAGAGTATTGGAAATCATCCCGAGTTCGATACAAACCTTCCATCGGGAGTGTCAGTAAAACAACCTAAGCAGTCGGGGGGATCTAAAAGGAAACGCAAAGGTTGATGGTTGCATGACATGTTCTCTCCCCATTGTCTATGAATCTACTATCTATATCACCTCCACAGCTCTCCTGCACATATCCCTACTTTTGTTCTATAGCTCTCCCTTTTTTTTTGCAATTCTTGGTTTTGAAGATCTTCGCGTGATGTTGTGGTGTTCCACACCTCAAGTTCCTATATATAGGGGTGTGTCGGTTTTTGAGACCCTTTACAAATCCAGCCCTTATATTCGACGCCGATTGCTCGTTCTATGGATGAATTGTAATCTATGACAGATAGATTGAATGCGTGGTCGAAACATGCTCTGTTCGTACATGAAAACCACGCTCTAAAACACGGGAAAGCCGAGACAACTACTCTATTTTCGCTCAGTCAACAAATACATCCATGATGATTACCAGGCCCACTTGGTAGGGTCTTTCTCCCAACCGGACTTTCTGGGTGGCCTAGTTAAACGTCAGAGGACAGAGGTCATGTCGGAAAATTTCTCGCCGGAATCGAAGCGGGGTCTCGGAAACCTGCAATATGCCTAAATATAGTTAGCATATTCTGTTTTGTAATAGGTGTATATGGTATATCACATACATATCCCCGGTTGACTCATAGATAGATCTTCTGCGAAAGAGGGAGCCCTGGATGCCATCCATGACGCTTCAACTCTCTTAGGTTTGTCGGTTTCACTCTTCACACTCTAAAGGAGGTTCTGTAAACATACTGCCAGATATTGCGGAACTTCGTGTGGACGGCCTCGCGTAACCGCGCCGATTCAGGCCTCCAGAACTGATCCGTATCAAGTGGCTTCCCGCTGACCATTTCCCACACAATGTGTTATATATCCGTCTGGAACCACGCCGTCCTCGCCTTGCTTTCCTTCTTTGTAGGCGAGGAGAGCTGGGACCACAGTACAGTGTTGTTTACCGAGATCCTTCAAAGCTTGTAGCTCCAAATGGTTACGGGGTGGAGCTGCCTGTTGTTGTCGTAGCCGGGGGAGCTGGGACTCTGTTCCGGGTTGGGAATCTGAAAGTAAATTCTCATGAATGCCTTCTTGCTACTGTCTGTCGCACTGTAGCAGAGGTACTTGAACACGGCGAAGGAAGGTCCACCACCCATCTCAAGTTCACGATTGGTCATTCTTTGGAAATCCTGAGCTTCTCCTCGAGAACCCATTTCTGAGGCGAGGGAGTGGTGAAGGTCACTTGTGTGCCTCAGCAAAGATCTGAATATCCCATGATAGACATGGTGTGGAGACTTGATGACAAGAGTGCAAAAAGAAAGAGGGAAAACTGGTCAGATTCAGGATATCAATAGCCTGCTCTTCATATATATTGAATGGATAATGATTCCTCTTCCTCTCTGTACCCGATCTCAACCTAGGTATAGCAGAGGCTGTAACAATTCTACCTCTTCCGGGGCTTGCACGACCACATCTTGACAGACCCAGAGAACCATAATATGAAGAATTGCCGTAGCCTGTAATCAAAGAGTTAGGTGTTAACAAGAAAGTGCTTTGGGTTTCGTAACTCTCTCTGTTTGCGAAGGGGAATAACAGCCAATGTTCAAGGCACTCAGGTGAATGGACTGAAGAGTAGGGCGGCAAGAGGGAGTTTCCGAACAAGTAAAAACAATAGAAAAAACAAAAACATACAACAGTGAGGATTCGCTGGTGGTCACCCACCCAACAACTAACTCACCGGCGTGTGGCTTGAGTACGGCTGAGCGGACGGGAAGCCCTATTTTCCACACCCTATGGTCGTATGTATTAGATGCTACACTAGCTAAAATCATATTATGAGTACTATGAGTACTATGAGTGTATAGAAGGGGTTACAGGGTGCAAACTAGGGTGAGCTTACCCGTAAATTATGCCACGGCACTAAAATTTCAGCTAAGCCCTAGCTATAAAAATTACGGGGTTCTATAGGTACCGATCTTCAACGCCTTGTTTTAAAACATACCGCTGTTAGCACCTATAACACTGTCAGAGTCTACTGAGAGAGACGTCGAGATGCATCATGAAGATGGTTGATTAAAGTAGAAGACTAGCTGAGCTATGGAAGGAGGGAGAGATCTGACAAACACCTGTTTTCAAAATACTCAGCCGCGCTCCCATAGCAAAGAATAGAACAAAAAAGCAAAAATAAAAACATACAACAGTGAGGATTCGCTGGTGGTCACCCACCCAACTACTAACTCACCGGCGTGTGGCTTAAGTACGGCTGAGCGGACGGGAAGCCCTGTTTTCCACACCCTATGGTCGTATGTACTGAATATAACAACAAGAAGAAATATGAATTGCAAAAAATAAACAGAGAATAGCTAGAAACTGGGTAGAGACGATGGAGTTTACATCTCATCTACTCTATCACCATGGGAGACGACAAACTAAATAACTCCAGTCTGCGAGACTTGACAGTTTGGTTTGCTCTCCCTCTTTATCAGAAACTAAACATGGTGATCATGAATGGATAAGGAACTTGCATACTTTTCCCGAGAAGACTTTTGATCTCACGTACTTGCAAGGGTAGAATGGTATGAATATATCCAACTTGGAGCCAAAGGAATGCTGCTTTATGAAGGGGATCTGTTTACCGTGTTTCGAGAACAGCCGGCATTATTCCCTTTCTTTGTCTGTCTTACTTTGGTCAAAAATAACCTTGTGAATCATGAATAGTAATTTTGTTGTTCTCCATATTGTGTGCCAGAGATAAACCATTTCATGCCGGCTTTGAAAGGGGCATGCTTACTCTTTATGCTTCGTGATATACCTGGATCTCTTTGTTTTCATTTTTGCATTAAATTTCATACAGAGACTTTATATTAGAGCCTTTGAGCCTTGCAATGCTTATATCTTCATTATTTGTTCTGGTTTCCAGAGACAATAGCGTTATTTCGAGTCTGAAACTACATGATGGTGCCAAAGCTTGTCAAGCAACCTATTGTTGACAACATCGCTTTATCCTCAAACAACAACAACAACAATGACAAAGAGTATGCATAGAGAGTCTTGTCAAAGTGCCCTACGAGTGCCTATTTAGAGTCGATGTTGACCCCGATCCTCGATATTCAACCACAACAAAACAATCAACAGTGCCATAACAGCTTAACGGTTGCCTACTTCGGTATATATCAACAATTCAACAATCTAACAACTTGTACAAAATATCCTGCTCAAAATGCCCCGCACTACTTTGAGAATCCACACACGCACTCGAGCAAGTCCCGCTAATGTGCAGAAAGTTTGGGCACCACTTGGTCTTGGTCAACTTGATGCCAACGGAGTCAATGCTGGCATTCGTAACGAGACTCTTGAGATTATTCGTGATGTATTCGATCCTATGTTGACTGCCTGGCTTGCTGACCCAACTCACACTTGGAACCAACAGTTTGGGAAGAAGGGCGGCAGCAGGGAATTCGAACAAGCGATTATCGCTCGAAAGGCAGAGCTACCCCCGTCGGTTCAATCTATAGAGAGTGATGATGTCCTTGGAGGGATCCTCTTTGATCTTCTCAAGTTTTACCGCTACACTGATCCCAGCTGGCGGGTACCTTTGCCTCCTGCCCCTAAAGCCGCCCCAGCGCCTATAGCTGTCCCTGCACCTGCCCCTGCCCCTGCCCCTAAAGCAGCCCCTGCGCCTATAGTTGTCCCTGCTCCTGCTCCTGCTCCTGCTCCTGCTCCCAAAGCCGTACCCGCCCCTAAAACCGGCCTAGATTTACTTGCAGAGGCTGCCGAGGCTGTAGAGGCTGCAGAGCTAAAGACCGCAACAATGGCCCCTAATAAGACTGCCCTTGACATCCTTGCAGAGGCTGCCGAGGCTGTAGAGGCTGCAGAGCTCAAGATCGCAACGATGGCCCCTAATAAGACTGCCCTTGACATCCTTGCAGAGGCTGCCGAGGCTGTAGAGGCTGCAGAGGCTGCAGAGCTCAAGACCGCGAGGAGGGCCCGTGATAGGACTGCCCTTGACATCCTTGCAGAGGCTGCAGAGCTTCATGCTGCGACGGCGGCCCCTAATATGACTGCCCTTGACGTCCTTGCAGAAGCTGCAAGCTATAAGCGACGGAGAGAGGAAGAGGATGAGGATGATGATGAAGCCCCAGCCCCGAAGCGAGCACGCTAGGTCTTTATAACCGCAGTCGTCTGCACAGCGTCTGGTGTTGATATAAGGAAAGCGCCTTTCTTATCTTGTTGCATTCACCCTGCAGAGCGATAGATTATAGATTTGCTGTCTTGTCAGGTGTCTTCCTCAGCCCATAGCTTCCTAGTTCAGTCTTCTTCCTTAATCAACATCTTCATGATGCATTTCAATGTCTCTCTCAGCAGTAGACTCTGATATGTCTAATTTCAATGAAAGAACTACTCCATGAACGCTTTCCTACGTAGCAGCTCTTCCCTTATAAGGCCCAGCCTAAGATACGTGATAGTAAATGCGGGCTTAGCAGTTGACCAAGTATATTTCCAACTCTCTATGACAGGTATTCCAACCAGAGTCTCTAATTTCTAATTAATTAACGTAAGCTCTATTGAAGACGTATTTTCTCGGGCTTCTGGAATTGCCGCTGTGATGACTATCATACGGACATGCATATTGCATGGCTTTTGACCTTCTGTACATATCAATCACGTTAAGATGCATTATATTATAAGGGGATCATCTCATTCCCCAGTAATGTACTCAAACAAATACCATTGTCGTCCGTCCGATGTCAACTGGGAACTAAGTGGCACACATACAGCCCTACATCCTATCAAATAAAGCATTTACATCAAAACCTCTCCTTGAATGCAAAAGAAGTAATAATACGACCCGCTGGATTGAATGACCCGGACATAAACCCAATCAACGAACATTGCTTAACTCGCTCAACATAGGGATGGGCTATTTCACCCGTAAGACAACCCGTTGCAATTTTGCTACACATGCCTCGATGTGTCTTCACGATACATTATGAAAAGATGGATTATGAGGTGGTACTGTTTCCCAACCGTCTAATAATTTCCACACAAAAGAGGCGTGAGGTCGTCGAGCACATCTGACCGTCGGAGGGCCATTCCTGACTATGGTCGTCATTGTACGCCTCGTCATGGCCCCTGGGAGTGTGAGGTAACGAGTCCGTTTCTTGCCCACAATCGTCAAATTGCAGATTCTCCCATGCGCCAAAGCTGGACAAGGTCTCGTGTGTGGAGAACCGACCATCATCAATAGTCTCGCTACAGTCCTCCATCGAGATTGACTGCGTTTCCGCAGTATCCAGAGCTTGCCTTTCGGAGCTCCAATCCGAGTTTTCTTCAGAACCTGGTGGTTCATAATTCAAGTCTGATCTGGAGGGCGAGTGTGGTTCACGACCTGTACCCAGTTTTTGGGGCGTTTTGTGGGGTGAGACCAGATAGCCCTCGTTTTCCGAATCAGAGAGTTCTTGGTCTAAGTACGGAAGCTCGCTTCGCAGTCCGCTCATGAACTGCACAGAATCTTCAGCGCGATTCCATCCCCATGACTGAGCAAACCAGCGAGCAAAGTTTTCCCAATGAATATGTGGGAATCGGAGAAGCGTCAACAGCTTTCCGAGTGTCCGACCAGACTTGTATGCCGATTTTCTGTTTGCCTCCAAGCAATCACGCAGTACCTCGTTGCACCGGAAGCTCTTGCGGATGAGTGGCAATTGAAGGAGACGATTGATATCTTTGTGCGAGTGTGCGATTTGGTCCAGTTCGCTGACCCTGAGTGTGAAGACAACTGCTTCAATTGGAATTCGTCCCCATATCAGAAACTCACCATAGCCTCTCCAGCTATAGGTGAAGGTATCGGTGTGCTTTGCCAGTGGATGAGCATAGAAAACCTTTGTATTCAGCTTTGAGCAGTCGATTACGGCCACCTTTGCATCATCTTGACTATGGATCGCTCTATGAATTGGCGCCAATGGGGAGCGGAATGAGGAGATGAATGGCGTTGTGCTCTTTTTCTTTGTCACATGGCTCCGGAAGTAGGCTAGAAACAGGTCATCAGATATTTCCTCCCGATCAAAGAATTCAGATACGCAGAACATTCCAGCTAGAAAGCCGTCCTCCGAATTGAAACCGTGTGAATTGCTATCATACCATCGGTACAGCAAAGGTGGGAGTTTCTCTGTGGGAACTCCTTCCAGGCCAGACTCATGTTGTTGGTTGTCTTGCTGATTATCGTGCAGGGTCTCATTATGAGGTTTGTTGTGGCTATTCTCTTTATCACCGTTCTGGTCCATTTGCATGCGACGTAGAAAAGAGTGGCTGGAACTTCCCGGTGCGATCGTGTGAATCATCACCGAGCCTTCAGTATGATAAGGGCGGGGGCTTGTCCGTGGCAAGGTTTCCCAAATAAGGGCTGATCCAACGTCGGAGCTATCGTGGTGGACACCTTGATGTTCACCATCACTATTATCTTCGTTTTTGTTTCCGTTTCCGTAGTCTTTATGGCGTTGATCACGTTGAATGCTCTCCGGCGGCCCAGTTGTCAACTCATGTCCACACCATAAGCAAACCTTCCCATGGCTGTTAACAACGGAGTCATTGTCTTCTGGAGAATTGTCATGAAGGAGGCTCTGCTGGTAGATGTCCTGGCCGGACTCGGAACTTTCGCTGGGGGAATGATGCGCGACCGAATGAATCTGCGAGAGTCGATTGTCAGTTTGCATGTACAACTGAAGTGCAGTCCTGATCAACTAACCGACTCAATAGTCTTGCTCTTGGCACTCGAAGAGCTGTCGTGCGTTGTGTCAATACTGTCTTCCATCTTCTCACGGAGATGAAACCGTAGGATCTTGGCTGTAGACTTGATTTTTGTGATAATCTCCTTCCAATCAGCGTGATTGTCAAATGCGGTGTCTATATGAACATGACACCAGACCGGATTGCGTTCATGCTTCATCCAAGACCACTGGGTGTTGAGGGTGGAAAATGGAACGAAGCCCCGAATGCCACGTTCATTCAGATGCTCCCTGAAGATGTAGGAGAAGATTTCCTCAACCTGTTTTTTGTCATGCTTGAAGAATCGGTATAAACAGCAGAGTACTTCTCGTTTGTATTGGTCCCACCTAAGAGTAGGCCTTTTTGGAGACTTGGTTGATTCCATCTTGTGTTGACGAAGCTGGAGAGGGGCATGAAAGCTTGATACGAGTAGAGGAGAAGTGAAATTCAGAATCCAGGGAGTAAATTTGAGAAAAGCAAAGTATCGGATCTGAATCCTTCTGGAAGCAGATTCCTGGAATGGGGAAGAGAGGCTGTGAAGATCTGAATGGGATGGGACTTGGGAGGAAACGAGGATGTGGTGCTTACAACAAGTCGACTACCCGATGTAGCTTGCTTACCACCGCCATGGATGGTTTGAAGACACAGGGGGCCTTTTTTCGGGTCTTGTCACTAAAGATAGATAATGGCTCCTATCATAAAGCTTGAAGCAGTCTAGGGCTCAGAGATATGGGCGTTTTACAATTCAGCTGCGGCTTTGGAGATCAGTACTATGTGCAATCTAAATTCCCCTATGTCTCGAAAGGTCCCTGTTTCTTCAAACTTTTCAATTCAAGTTCGGGATATTGATAAGGATAGCTTGGACAGTTGCATGCCAGAGCAATCGAGAGTGGAAATCACCGACTGATCATTCGAAATGTTCTTCACAAAGCCAGATACCTCTGCACCGCCCACTGAAGCTGAACGATCAGGTTGACTCTCCATGGTTTATACCACAAGGACCTTCAATTTCGAGGCTTAGTCCTGAAAATCCTCTTTTGGATCATACTCCCTATAGTTCAAACCGAAACCAGAGAAGTGCTCAAGGACCTCCTTGCGGGCTAGCTTAACCACATCACGCCATAAAATGGTGCACCCACAACGTGGGAAGCAGCCGCAGTGGCATGGCTTCGGATCCAGCTTTCGAACAATACCCGGATCAAAAAGCTCAAGTCTGTCCACGATTGCCCTGATGCTGCCTTTGTAGAGAGAGTCTCCAAAAGGCCTGATACCAACTCGTTTGATTTCCTTCAAGCATGTGCAGATTGCGGCCTCATTGCATGCACACGGGTCTTGATTGAGGAGTTTATCCACATTCCCAAAGAGCTTGCATTGAAGAATGGCAGGAAGCTGTGCCCTAGTTTTGTTGAGGCTCCCTATGTGGGGTCAGAACATTCCGAGTCACAATTCTTCCAACGGCCTGATTGAGAATTTTGTAAACAGGCAGGCTCACGTATGAAGCATTTGGGCCGCAATCTCTTTCGGTCAAAGAAAATGGGATTTGAATCTTTGATCGGGAAAGACATGTTGTAAACCAGGTATCTTGTTACGTCTCGAAAACCTGTCGCGTGGTCGAAAAAGTAACAGGGGAACAGAAGCTGACGGTTGAACATCTCATCTGTCCACATCGCCGGTTGCTCCTTGCGAATCCTTTTCACCCATCCCCTGAACCAGGGTTTCAACGTTTCATAATTGAAGCGATGATTGGTGCAAGCTTGGATTGCATACCAGATATCTCTGATGGACATGGTAGATTAGGGGGTAGATTCTCCATGAAAAGCGGCCAGCCAAACCCCTATACCTTTGATACTGTCCCCTTGTAGATAGATTATCGCTGGCGTTTTTATCCATTCTATCGCGTAAAGCCCTATTCAGGCAGCGTGCTCCTTTAAAGCCGACTTTTTGACGTGGAAAGTAGCCGTCTCGTAAGGGCTGCTCGGCCAACCTGGCTCGTCATAGCTCACCTCATCCGAATCAGTCTCTTTGGCAGAATCACCGTCTACATATCCAAGGCGTGAATCCGAGTCAGCAATTGATTGGGTGACCACAATTTTCAAGTCACTGGAATCTGATAACGTGAATGTTGTGTTGGCACTGGGGCCGGAATCCGGGGTTGGAGGCCAAGCTAAGGTTGGCATTTTCGAGACAAATCCGTTGAGATTTTTGCGAATAATGGGAATCTGAAGACTTGGTGATGTAAGAGGAGATAGATTGAAGAAGGATGAATGATGTGAGTTACAGAGTAATTGCCAACTCAAGCGTCTTGGATTTGCTGTCTCTCGTGGTCTCAATATCAAGGATATCGACGTGGCAAAGCCGGAACACCTCAGGGGAAGGGCGGAAGGCTTGTGGAAGAGTTTGGATGGGCAATACTGTGAGGTGATCTGGAAGACCTGGAAAGGCTTTGTGACAGTTCAAGGCACTGCTTCCAAGCAAAAGGTGGTAGGTTGAGGTGATGGAACGTAGATTAGGGGCGTACGATGGCAATCGCATAAGAGGAAGCCATCCCGCCGTCTGGTAAGCCCGTAGATGAAATGAGAGTAGATGATATAGCCGAGAAGAAAAATTAATGCTTAGATGAGCAAGAAGATGAGATCAGGTTCGCATCAAAGATGGAAAAGCAGAAAAGAAACTGTCCAGTGCCAGTTTGGAGGTCATGGGTCAAATGACGATAACGAGTCTCAGTTTGATATAGGATATACGAGAATTGATTTCACAGCTCGTGATACTTTTACCCCGGCCAAATATACAATATCTCTCTCTTTGTGGGATCTTTTACGACAAAGTGGTGTCTGGAGGCACCGAATTCCCATGTACTACGAGTAGGCTAGCAAAACAATCGGGAGAAAGCCCTAAGAATGGATGAAATGAAAGTTGCGACTGGATGGCCTGGTCATGAGTGATGACAATCTGCCTTCTCCTCGGAGACTGAGACCCAATCCAATACGTCGGAATTCCCCTTTGCTGCGAATACGTAGTCTTCCCATACCATAGATTTGCAATGCGAGGACCGGAAGCACCAGTACACCAGGCAAAAACTTCGTAACGGCATTACGGCGAGTCTTTACTTCATCATCTGTACCGGCGAACATGCATTCGTAAGAGATCGTGCAGGAGCCAGAGATAGGAAACGCTGTTTTTCGACATCCATTTGCTTCAATAGCTTCAATAGCTTCATACACGGTGTGAAAGGCATCGCCCGGGTTGGTGAGTCTAAGCTTATTCTTGTATAGCTTTGCATCGGTAACGGAGACGGCATCGGAAGAAAGGGTCAGGAATCAAGATCGACAAGGTCTTTCCAGAGGCTGGAGCTGGGGCTGGGAGCTGGGCCCGGTCGAGTCTCGGTTTTGTGATCACAGATATAAGATGCACATTCTATGCCGTCAAGAATGTAAATACCACACGCATGGTGGCCGCAACCTCCAAATCCATGGGATGCAACCCCGAAAATCAGGCACCATCAGGCCGGCCGTAGTCAGATCAGTAGAAGGGGTAGTCGGATGAACAATCCCCTAAGAATATCTACAGGTAGGTAACCTTGGCACTTCAAACTTCAGTAAGCCTCTATTCTCAAGATCTATTCGGAATATCTAAATCGTATCTAAAGCTTCGCCTTACCGGCTCTCTTGGCCTCTTTCTTCTCCTCAAAGTATTCCCTGACCCTGGCTCTCGCAACAATGATAACATCCGCGTCTTCAACTGTAGGCGGAACACTAACCTCTGCCGTATAATCTCCTCGAACTCCAACCTCAACAAGCTCCCGAAGAACGCGTCTAAGCGTCTTTCCACTCCGTGTCTTGGGGATCATCCCCCGACCCTGGATGATCCCACCAAGCGACGCAATAGCCCCGATCTGCTCGCGCACCAGCGCATTGACCTCGGCAAACAACTCTGGGCTGGGTGTTGCCGGAAGAGGCCCGGATTCTCCCGCCCCCGCAATGGCCTTTGGTTGGATAAAGGCGAAGGGTAGATGGCCCTTTAACGGGTCAGGAATACCGACAACGCTTGCTTCGCTGATGGAAGGGTGCGAGAGGATTGCTTGCTCGATGGATCCTACAGCGAAGGATCAGTGTCTCCGTCCACAGATTATATCACAGAGAAGAATAGGAAGGGGTTGCTTACCAGTACTGAACCGATGCGCCGCAACGTTGATGATATCGTCGCTCCGCGACATAATATGCACGTAGCCATCCTCATCAATCATCCCCGCATCACCGGTATCAATCCAGCGCCCGTTGAACCGCAGCAAGTACCCACGATAGAACCGCTCGTCAGCCTCGAAGAGAGTCGTGAACGCCGTTGGTGCTAGAGGCGGCGCCATAACTATATTTCCCATTGTGCCGCGCGGAGCTTCATTGCCTTCGTCATCGACAATGCGTACGTCGAATCCAGGCATTGGAAAGCCTGCTGATCCGGGGCGGGGAGCGAGCGGGGGATAATCTGGACCTGATGCCGGACCAGCAACAGCAGCAGTCCCATTCAATGAAACTCCCGAGATCGGCGAGCCGGATTCAGATGACCACCAGTTATCAATAACCAGCGCACCGTCTGCCGCATATTTTCCAAGCAGATCCTGGTATGCACGAACTATACTTGGCTCGCTACGCTCGCCGGCAAGGAAAAGCGCGCGCAGGGATTTCAGTCCTCCGCGCTTTCCAGCATCGCCAATGAGCTGATCTTCGGGGTCATCTTTCCGAATGGCACGCAGGGCAGTCGGCGCTGTAAAGAGTGCATTGACTTTGTGCTTCTCGACAATGCGCCAGAATGTCCCTGCATCGGGTGTGCCGACCGGCTTACCTTCAAACAGGACGGTTGTGGCGCCAACCAGCAGCGGCGCATAGAGGATGTATGAATGTCCGACAACCCAGCCTATGTCTGAGGCACAGAACATCGTGTCACCAGGGCCTTTGATCCCGAATAGGGATTTTACAGAGAGTTCCAGGCCTACGGCATGGCCACCTGCTTCACGGAGGACGCCCTTGGGCAGACCGGTGGTGCCTATCGTAAGATGCTTCAGTATGAATGAAACAAACCAAAACAGACCATAAGAACCGCAAGTCGGGTTTGATGTTCACTCACCACTGGTATAGATGATGTAAAGTGCATCCGTGCTTTTCACGGGAACGGGCTCGGCCTTGACTCCACGGGACCGTGCGCTCTTGACGAGTCTTTGCCAATTTCGCTGCCCGCCGCGCTTATCCGGCTGGTCCCAACGCAATTGATCGCGCTGCCAGACAATGACCCTACTCGGCTTGAAGCTACTTGCCGTGATAGCGCCTTCAACGAGCGGTCGGTAGGCAATGGGCCCCTTGGATCCTTCAATTCCACACGAGGCCGTCATGATTGCTTTAGGACGCGCCGCCTCAATGCGCTGCGCGAGAGCTTGCGAGGCGAAGCCCCCAAACACGGCGGCGTGGATTGCACCCAGGCGGGTTATTGCTAGCGCGGCTATCAGAGCCGCAGGGATCATTGGCACTGCATGCGATACATAGTCAGCCCAAGAAGCTCATTTTTTTTATCAAGCCCCTCCTTGTGTCTGCCGGGGAAGTATCATATTGTGGGGATTCCTACTGTAGATGATAACAACATCACCCTTCTGCACTCCTTCCTCTCTAAGCACACCAGCAAGAACCTCAACTTCATCAAGCAAGCGAGCGTAAGTATACTTTTCTGTTACACCGGAGACGGGGGATTCCCAGACAATGGCAACATTATCGCCATGGCCTGCAATCACATGTCGGTCGACGCAATTGTAGGTCGTAGAGATCTCGCCGTCGGCGAACCACGACCAATGCTCGTGCTCAGTGCCACTTGGCAGCGTCTTTGTCTGCCGTGTTAGGGCACGTGAGGGCTTGCGGTGCCAGTGGAGCCTGGTCGCGTGATGCGACCAAAAGCTTTCTGGGTCATTGAGAGAATGGGAGTGAGTTGTTGCTTGGGGGTGCGGGGACATATTTGTGGGGATGGAGGATTTGGATTGGAATTGGAGATATGACAGCAAAGGTGGCAAAGCAACAACAGGGATTGTATACGATGTAATAGATTAAGCCAGATGCTAACAAAAATGGAGGACGGGGGAGACACAAAACAGTGAATTGGTCGGCTCGGCTGGCTCAAAAGTACTCGTGAGCGAGCTCTGAAACTGCTTCCTACCCGAGGTCGTTCGGATCCGATGGTGCGATTGGCACCGGGGGGATGGAAGTTCAGAAGCCTGCATGATCGGTGCCTGACCGGCTAGAGATAGATGCTGTTCACGGTGGTGCCTGTGGGACCATTTTGCGGGGGAGAAGTACGGAGTAGTTGGGAAGCTGAGACCCCCGGATGCCGCCGAGTCCGTGCTTTTTCCCCGCACTTTCTTTTTCTTTTTCGGCGATTCCCAGCGATACACAGGGCGTACCCCTTCCGCAGTATTGAGCACAGCCTGGAAGAAAGTATTGCCCGTGTACTCCGTACCGAGGGACTCTATACTCCGTATCCCCTGCACTCTCGTGATTTTGTGGATATAGTGTGAAAATGAGCTCCAGTTATTACAAGTGAAAGACGACCTGTATCCAATTGTCTATATCGCATAAATGGCTGAAAAATGAATCAAATAGAACAAGTTCAGTCGTAGGGTATCATATCGAAATGCCTGCTAATGCGCGACTGCGATCTCCTGGCTTTGTCGCCTGGAAGTTTTTTTTGTTTCTTTCGGGGTGCTCCAAGGCAATGTCGTCTAAAACACTCCTCCGATCATAAAATTATCAAATAAACCTAGACCGGAGAAGAGAGACGGTTGTATCGAGGAAGAAAGAGAGGGAAGGTTGTAGAGATCACGACAAACCAGTCTGCGTGCGTCGGGCGCATTTCCGAAGTAAGAGCCAAAACCAAAAATTAAAAATGGTGCTCATGGCTTGCAGACACTGGTTGGTCTCGATCGCCACGCCAATTCTCAAGAAGCTCTTCAGAATGCGAGCGTAAAAGATGTAAGACGGCGGGGACTACCGACGCCGAAAAAGGGAACCAAAAGACAGAACCACCCTCCAGATGCACCCAGGACCAAAAGGAAGAGAGGAAGAGAGAAAAAGGAAACGGCCATTATTTCAGTGAGCGACATATCCAACGCCTCCCGGACGGACCCGGCCGATCACAAGAGAGTACATTGAAGCCGACTGCGGTGTCGCGACCGGTCGGTCCGGAGATTCTTGGGATATTCGGCGCCTGCGTCGCGGTCACGGTGCCCAGATCCAAAGCCTGTCGGGCGACGGTCCGCGCCACGGCCGCCTGCTGCTTGTTGTCGCTGCACGCGCAGCATACGGACAACGTCATAGAAGGCCTTCTCGACGTTGATGCAATTCTTGGCGGATGCTTCGACAAATTCGCATCCCAGCTCCTTGGCCAGTGCTTGGCCTTCTTGGGCTGAGACTGCACGCTCCACGGCCTTGTCGCTCTTATTTCCGACTAGCATGACAGGCACAGGCATTGCAGGTCCCGACGAAACGCTCATGGGGGAGTTCAGGTAGCTAGGGCCCGAGGGAGAGCCAGAGCTTGACGATTCCTTGACCATCTTGATTTGGTTGTAGAATTTGGTGATGCGAGAGAAGGAGGCGCGCGATGTGATGCTGTACACCAATACGAAACCCTCGCCATCCCGGATCCACTGATCTCGTAATGCGGTATATTCTTCCTGGCCCGCTGTGTCCAGCACCTCGAGCATACATGACTGTTGATCGATTACGACTTGTTTGCGATATGAATCTTCGATGGTTGGATCGTATGTTTCGACAAAGTGGTTCAGACACAGCTAGAAGAACGCACAGTTTCAGTGCGTGATCGACGGGATTCCGAATCGCCGGGGGCAACCAACCTGAATAGTAAGGGCGGTCTTGCCAACACCTCCATCTCCCAACACCACCAACTTGTACAACGTCATTTTTCCAGCCATGGTGGGCAAATTGAGAATCCGAGAAAGAAAGAAGGAAAAAAAATAGAACCCCAGCAATCAACCTGTCGGAGTCAGCACCAGACCGTCTAGGTATTTTGCAGCAACATACCAATGAATTATTTCAGGGGAAAAGAGGGGAAAGTTGGATGCGCAAGGAGGGGAAATGAAGTGGCCCACGTTCCAGGCGGGGGCGAAAAAGAAAAGCGGGAGCTTCCACGCGATTCACAGCAACCCCCAATTGTTCCCAGAGAAATGACGCAAAAGGGAGATATACGAGCGATGCAGGTGGGAGGATGGGAAGAGAAAAGAATTGAAGAGAGGAGAGGGGAAGGACTTGGCCCAGTGTGCGAAGATTGGTCCGGGCAGTGGCTGGAACGAAGTGGAGAGAGGGGTTCAGGGAATATATGAGAATACAACGCAAAGAGAGAATGCGAAAAAGGGAATGGCAACTACTCCGTGGCCCAAGTATGAACAGAATGGAAGAATCACAGAAGAATTCCCGTACTTTTCGTATCCCTGTGAGATCCCTATCCCTGTCCTCCGTACTCCGTATGCGTTCTCTACTACTCTATTCCTCCCAACTCCGAGACGGTTTCGGATGAGAAAATAAAATAATATCCAGCATGATCAGAGTAATCAGAATGGGAATAATAATGAGAATAATAATTACGGACTAAACTCTGCCAGAAAAGAAACGGGACAATGTTGACTGGTATGAATTCCTCTATAATTAGGGGAAGCCCACGCCTCAAGTGACAGCTCCATGAAGTCATACATTTTCCCATTGGCCTATCCACCTCGATTTTAGTCGATTTTAGTCGTTTTTTTTTTTTTTTTCGTTTTTCTTTTTGCTTTTTTTTTTCGTTTTGACTTATCTTTTCTCATTAGCTGAATGTTACCCATTCCATCTAAATGGATATTCTAATCCATATGGCCCTGTTCCATTTCCATCCGAAATGCGCTCGAGCGCCTACTTCATTTGACACCCCAGAAACGCTAACACCGAATATGCAGATCTCATATCACTCCCAACTCAACCCAGATCCTAGGTACGGAGTACAACATAAGAACTCACGAAAGAGGGAACCCGTGAGAGCGAAAAGTCCAGGTCCCGACAGCTCCACCGTGAAAAGGAGAACGCACAGGGCACAGTGGATAATCCCGGACTTGGCTGAAGCTCATTTCCTTAGCTGATGAGCTTCGGGTTTAATTAATATTGGTTCGCCCTAATATCTAAGCGAGATATCTTTTTCTTTTTCTCGAATTATTTCCAATCGCAAATTAAGGTCACAGTACCCCAGTCTACACGTGGAAGGCACGAACTACGGTTTCACGCTTATCATTTATATAGTACTCCGTACCTTCCAAGTCCATGTACTATGTACTCCGTACTCCGTACTCCGTACATGGATGTATATAAGCTATACGAGGGTATCCCTGGGGAATGAATATACGAGCATGAATCGAGCTATCGGAGAATGAAACGGCCTTTCGACTGTAGCGCTGGAGCCATCATTCAACACACATGAAATACCGTGCGAAAATGTGTCCAAAGGCCTCGCGGGCCTCGGATTAGGTTACTCCCAAGGTACGGAGGACGGAGGACGGAGGACGGATGCCCGGTACTCAGCACATAGCGTCTATGGTGTATTTAGGGATAGCCCTAAAGCAATTATAGGCAGGTAAGAGTCTCTCTCTCCATGGCCCTGGGAGGCGCTACCGAATAGCGCAGGAGGATAAATGCCATGATGGATCCCTCACACCGAGAGATTCTGGATTGGGGATTTGGGATCCGGAACATCCTTCGCGTCTTGAAAAAGTTCAACGCCTAACTCCAACCGGTTTAGAATCAATTCTGGGCTTCTTTCCTTCCACTTTGTACTCCGTACTCCGTACTCCGTACTGCCGTGCTCCCCCTGCCACGCACTTGCATTTTCCCGAACTCCAGTCTCTCGACAGAAGATCCCCAGCCCGCTTCTTCACATGCTGCATACCTACGGGGTAGGCAGTACTCCGTACATTAGGTATATACGGAGTATGTCCTCCGCACGGAGTACAACATACATATAGCCTATATTCCCCGGGAGATATCAGGAGAGTATGACGGTGGACCGGGTTTTCCCCAATGCCAGTGCAATGTCCACCCGCGGAACGGCACGTATAAGACCCCCGTGGATAGATCGTCCTGGGCCCTACCTGGATGGTAAGGTGGGCAACGGAAGTCGGAAGGTGGATATGAGGGCTTTTTTTTCCCTTTGCTTTTCCTTTTTTTTTTCGTTTGGATCCAACGCTTTCCCCTTGGGTTCTTCCAAAATCGTCAATTGTTTCGAAAAGATAAATCTCTCCCTTGCTTTGAATAGGCAAATTGGTCAATTTCCGCAGTAGGTACCTAGTTGGGCATCAACACACCCAATAGAGTACTCCGTTTCCCGTCCCAGTTCTGTGGCCGCGGGCCAGGGGTCACATCGGGGAATCTGTTGTTTGCGCCCACTTTTTTTTTATTGAATGTGATGGGCCCCCGGAACGGGCCCCGACGGAGACTTTTTTCCTCTTTTTTCCTTTTTCTTCTAGCCTCACCGGGCTCTTCCGGTGATTTATACACAAATAAGAGACAAGTGCAGGTGTGGTGCACGGAGTAGAGCGACTCCGTACAGAGGGTCGCCTTTCCTACAGTTGGATGGAGGGTTCCAGCAAAGGACTGCTCGATAGGGGGTTGTGCTAGGACTATTTCAACCCCCTGTTCGCACGGAAAGGCCCGGCCCAACGGCTTGCCAAAATGCTAACGAAGCTCTGCCTACCAATGGCGGTCATGGCTTTGAACCGACAGGGTTAACGGCTCCTCCCGCCAGGCCGTTTTATATGGGGGTTAATTCATGCCGTTTACCGGTCCGCTATGCTCCAGCCCTGGTCTGAGATCTTGATCTCGAGTCTTTCTCCATGTACTTGTTCTATCGTGTAGGCTTCCATTGCCCGGGTTTTGGGCATGTACCTGCCTTGTTTTGACATTATGCACCGAATCTTTGATCCTGTCGCAATGCCTCGTGATACATCTTTTGTTTGGGGATGTACGGTGTATCCAGGAGTCACCGGCCTCACGATCGGCAGGGCCGGTTCCCAGCATAATGGTCCTTGGAAGACGGATTGTTGGAAACGGACTGGATGCGGCATTGATTCGAAACTCATTCCCTGTTGGGGCTCAGTCTTTGTTTGGGGTTGAGATCTTCAGTGATCCTCGACTCGGCCACTTTTCGGGACGCACATCCCTCGGATATCTCGCAAACTTCGATCACATGGTAACCAAACTAGATGTCGATCCCAATGTGCTCCCCCGAAACATCCCCGATATCATGCTTCTTTTGACAAGCACGCGTGTTGAGAGCAATAATGGGATCCTCCCGTTGAGCTATTGATTGGATCAACGATGCCCGGTGGGACTAGCTCAAGCGAGTACGCGGAAGCTCAATATTAGATATATGATTATTTGTGGAGACAGGGGAAGAAAGCCATGTGGCCATGTGGCCACAGGGGCTTAAGCTAGAAGCATTCTATAGCATTATTGCAACTCTATTACCCATCTAGCCTAACGGCTCATCATCCGCGCTGACAATCATTCAATCGCTTGTGTCTCAGTAGCTCAATTTGGATTCCTGAATAAGAATAAGGATCGTATCATCGACAATTAGTGTGCAACGCCGGCTATCGTTCAAACTATGTAATTGATTGGACTTTGAGACTACAGAGTCCGAAAGTCGGCTCTCGTAAAAGTGGACATCATGAGCCGTGATGATTTAAAGCGGGCTTCGCGACAATCTATCCGTGACACACCTGAGAATGTTCCAGATTACCCTTACACTATCACTTTATTTTCGATGATAATGCCTTGTCAAGGTGGGATAGCAGTGGGCTTCACTTGTCACGTTTGATATACAGCTGTGAAATGAAAGCTCTACTTTGATTCAATATGATTTGAAACATTGAACCTGTCAAATTTGCGCTACAAACATATCTTGAACTCCGAAAGCACATATGGTGAGGGAAAGCCTACCCCCGCTCAATATCAGCTAAATAAGCCGTCACCCTTTCCACCAAAATCCGGCGTGGCTCCGCTTGATCACTGTCGCTCAGTGCATGCGATGCATTAGGAATGACCATACTTCTGGAATCCCAGATCTGCCGCCCACTCCCATCAGCAGCGGTTTGCCATCTCTTCAAGAGAGCCTCCTTATTAACCCACGGCGGGACCGACTGATCCCTTCCAGAGTAGAGCACAAGCATCTTCTGATTGAGTAAGCCCCTCTCTCGAATCTTCCCGAAAGTCCCGCGGAACTGTTCATCGCTCAAATCGGAACTAAACAGATCATCCTCAGACGGATTCTCCGGACTGTCTGGACTGACCAGACTCAAGAACCGCCGACTGCTAACCGGTGCAGAGGGCGGATATCCAATTCGCGATGTCACCGATAACGGCACAACAGTATCAACGAGATCGTGATCCTCATAGGTTGCACGTCGCGCATCCGCAACAGCCTTATTGTATAACGCGCGCATCTTGGCAGGGCTATCACGCGCAGTACCGCACTTGACAACCCACAGAATGCCCTCGCGATCGGAGACAGGTGCTTGCATAATCGCCCCATCAACAGGTACCCGCACGATGGGCTTCCAATTGCGGTCGAAGACCGGATGTGCCGGCCGCGGGTTGGGACAATTGATGTAGTGCATCACGTCCTGACTGCCCGTAGAATGACCCATGATTACCACCTTTCCGGCGCCAAATTGTGGCTCCTTGTACTTGCGGATGTACGAGACACACTGTGACAGTTCGTCAATGTCCTTGCCTAGTCGGCCCATGCCCCAGCCGCCGCCGGCGCAGGACAGGATTAATGAGAACACGCTCCATTGGGATGGATCTAGGGCACGGACTACGTCGTTCAGATAGTCAACTGAGCCGAGGCTGTCGCCCAGGCCGCCCACAAACACGAGCGTGTGTGGCTTCGGTACATGACTGCGGGTGTATTCAAAGGCTACAAGAGTTTCGGTCTGTGAGGTGGCGTTAGTGGCGTAGATGGCTTAGATGCGGGAAGGGTTGCTGTACACAGTGATGTAAAACACCAGGTTGGCCTTGAGGCAGTGAGGCTAGAAGCTTGATTTGCATTGTGAGACGTCAAGTGCTGTGGATGGTGCCGTTGCAGGGGGTTGACAGTAATGTGCGTCAGATCAGATAAGAGGTCATCAGATAAGGAGCTGCAGTGGGTTTATCCGGTACCGGCTCCACGAGGGCGGTAACGTGAAAATTAGGGCATGGTGATGTATTGCCAGTGTGTATTATTGGTATTAAAACGGCAACTCCGATAGCGGATGCTCGACTTGGATACCTTATGTTGTATGCTGCCCAGGTGATAATCCTACATACAATGTTGATCACTGCGACACAAAAGAGAGGGGGAATGGGATTAAAAGGACAACAATAGACTGTATTTAATACAGCAAAGATACTTGTCCCTGCCTATTCCTGCCGTCATCAGAAGCTTGTGAGATAGAACATTCGAAAGCTTTATGCCTTCCAAAAGCCCTGCGCGCATAACAGGCTTCACATCAATGCATCAATAGGTACATAGTATCTGCGCAGAACTCTCTAATTCATAAATGAGTATGGAAGTATCTGAATGAAGATGAAGCAATAGTGGAAATATATCAAGACAACTAAAAAGAGCATGATATAAAGTATTATGATCGATCGCAGACATACATATTACAAAAGCAATGCAAGGTTTGAGTAGCAGCTTGTGATTTTGCCACAGTTTCCTCCATGACCAGAGCCAATTCCTTTAATCTCTCCTCCCAGAACGCCAGCCGCTCTTCATCAGCCACGAGTCCAACAAATGTCTGCTCAGTCCCAGTGCACGACACCACGCGAGCTGGACTGACTGGTCCAGGATGAGGATTGGCGTAATCAACAAGAGCCTCAAAGCCAGCGAAGGAAATGCTGTCGAAGTATTCAATATCATGATGATTGACGACAGAAGAGAAGAACGAGGCATTCGGTGACCAGTTGGTGCAGTTGTCGGAGATTTGCTGAAAAAAACCAAGAGTGGCATGACGACCACCTCCCAGATATCGGCTGTAAACGCTATCCAAGAGAGCTTTTGCAGCTATACCGGACTCGGACCCGATGCACAATGGCATGTACTAGTAGGTAGGTCCCATTATCCGGTCGATTTAGGGAACATTCATTGACTGTTCGCCAGGACACCACGCCCCCAAAGGTGATGTCTTGCGTATTTAGATGCTGCGTCAGGGCTTGCACCCAGCTGGTAGTGAGGAGTGTAGCCATGGTTATATCTGGTGAGAGTTTTGATACGTCTACTGTTTTCTTGATGAAGTAGGTTTTGTGCCAGGTTGAGATTGGGATAAAGATGTCAAGCGTGAGCCTTCGAGCATGTCCCACCAGTAGTTGATGTTGCTAAGTCTGGGGTCGGCCTGGTATTGAATGAATGTCGAGGATGGAGGCGAGGATGGGATTGGGTTATATTAGTATTGCATCTCTAGCTGGCGGGGAATACCTGGGAAGGAGATTCCATCATACTGGGCATGTGAGATGTGAATCATGAAGCCGTTCTCTTTGGCCCCATGAACCACAAATAGCCCAAGAGATGTCTTCCCAAACTCAAAATATGGATCAATCTTGATATCGTCCTTAGCAAGATATTTGCAGCATTGGCTCACGGGCTCATCGGTGAAGCGTTCAAAGTCAGATAGAAAAAGTCTCTCCAGTACTATCTGTAGCATGTGGCCGGAATCCCGGACAAAGATTGTTCTTAGAATATGGTGCCTTGCAACAAGCTTGTTGAAGCAAGTCACCAATGAGTCGACATCAATTTCCTTGTTCATATACAGCATATTGTACTGAACGGCGCTTCGAGGTGCAGAGACAGTGGCCTCAACATCTTGCCTTTGTAGGTCTGTTACTGGTAAAAAATCCTGGATCTGCCAATTTGAGTCTGTTGAAATTGGGTGAATATCCCCAAAGAGGAATGTTGGAATATCAGCAGTGTTTAGCAGAAAGAAAGGAGCATAGACCTTGCTGGACACTTTTCTTCCGACAATAGCTCTTCTAGTATCCCTGCCATACCGCGCAGCTGCATATTGCGGAAGATATCTGTCACAGATGAATGGTAGCCAGACAAACGGATAACCGAGACTAGCTTCATAGCCATGATTGAGCCTCCACCAAGTCTGGAGTAGTTGTTATCCAGGGCTAGCCTCTCTTCTTCCATGCTCAATGACTTGGCCTACAATGAACGCAGAGTTCGCTCCTTCATTGTCATGTAGATTGGATCGCTTCTTTAAGAATGTAGATTCATGAAGGCCATTCGGGACCGTAACAACAAGCCCGGTGTGTCATTTTCTGCCATTGCTTTGAGAGCCTCCACTTCAATTTCTTTCCTAGCGTAGGATAGACTTTTGACAGAGATATAGACAGACAGAATCATATATGGCGGTAGAACGTCTGAAAGCATTTTTTTCAGACCAACAACTGATTCAAGTAGCTGTGTGGGTACAACCGATGAGAAGAGAAGGGTTGATACTTTGGAGGTAACCCCTAGGTCAACAATCTGGCCATCTGTAGTTAGTATTTCACTCAAGAGAGCCACCAATATCGGAGACTGGCTATCTGAACCCTTCGGCATAATGTATTGAGCAGCCAAATCGGTACCTGCAGGGAATGCCTGGCGGAACTGGAGATCGACCGCAGCGAGGTCCATAACCTGATCATCGACTCTTCTAAGACTCTCTTTTCGGCCAACCTAGAGTGCCTTTGGCAATTACATACTTCCCATCCTGGAAACATCGAAGGCTATGTAGAAGTCTGCTTGCTTCTTCATGAAAGTACTGGTCTAATCCCAAGCTTACCCAGTGGGATAGGTAGTATTTAGATTAGAATTGGGGGTGCTCACGATGCGGGTTTCGCGCATATGCTTCGGAATTTAGGGTGGTCGAGGCTCACTCTTCTTTGGCTTCATGGAAAGAAGGACAGTAGATTCGCCGACACGCACATTTTGGGATCATCTAGGCAGTGTCATTTATGGATACAAAAAGGTGAGGTAAATCGGAAGTTCTCACAATAGTGGCGTCGTCAACTGGCCACTGAGTCGAGGAGTGCTCCGGGCACTCGCGCCCCTTTTTCGATTGCCTTCAGAATTCACTCGTGGATAAGTGATACATAGGAAGATAATGCCAATCTAAATTATAGATAAATGGGAGCAAATAAGACTGATTGTAGAGTAAGAAAATATCTGATGCTGGCGAACGTGATTAAGAGACTAGGAAACAGCGGCCGCGAACAAGATACTTCAACCCCCTTAGTTAAGTTATAAGGTAAGATTAAAATATGTATAGCTAAGCTATTTTTGCGCCAGTAATAAACATGTTGCATTTATGTTTTAATATCTTACATTTTGGCTACAAGTTCATGTATAAGTCGGGACTTGTTTCGCTGGATGAAACTCCTCTCCAGATTGTTTTGACCTGGCGAACAGAATCCCAGAATCATCTCATCTCCAATCGCCAGGTAGTAAAAGCTGAAGTAGTTGGTCATAATTACTTCGGCAATATGCGGCAAGAAAGAGGATATAATACAATGGACATATCAGTTGAATGTTCATTGAAAAAGTAAGTGTATCAAGTAAGTATGGATTCTCAATTAGAACAAGGCTCAAATAATCCTTCGAGGAGACCTCGCTGCTGTTGCCGTAAGACAGACTAATCTTACTCAAGCCCAAAACGCCTAGATATCTTTTGGAAGCCATTGGACTTGAGATCAACCCACATATCGACCCAGCCTTCAGCCTTAGCCTTAGCCGCCTCCTCCTTCGACCACGCTTCCTCCAGCTGGCGCTCAACGTAAATAGTCTGGAGTCCACAGGTCTTGGCAGCCTTCAATTCGCTCAGATGCGCTGCCACCATCGCGCACTGACCTGGTTCCAGCCCAGACTTTTCGGCCGCGCCATTATAGACCAGTGGAGAAGGCTTATAAGTGCCGAAGTTTTCTGCACTGACAAGATCCGTGAAAGGCAGGGATTCGTAGCGCTGGAGATCCTGCAACAAAGACACATTCCCATTTGATAGGGTTGCGGTTGAAAACTGACGATTCAGTAGTTCAAGACCCGAGGCACTGTCTGGCCATGGGGTGAGCCGGTGCCAGGCAAAAGCGAGTTCCCACCGCTTCTTGTCACTGAATAGGCCATCCAGATCGTGCTGCCGAAGGAGGTCTTGGAGAACATTATAGTGATGCTGATCAACTGACACAAACTCAGTGGATGGATCAAAACGTATGAGTAAATACACTATAGGAGCGCCGCCATTCTTCGGCAAACGATAGCCAGTCTTGCGAGAACATATGTGCCACGCGGTCCTGCATGTCGCCTGAGAGATTATTGTGGGGATTATTCACGGCATGCAGGGCGGCTATACACAGCTCCTCTGTGATGCATGTACGCCATGACACAACAGTGCCGAACATGTCAAAAAGCAATATCTGAGGTGGATTATCCGTCGACATTTTGTGGATGCCTGGGTGTTGAAGATGATCTGTTCCCCGCACTTTCGAAATACGTCTGTGACCGAGGCTAGCCTGGACAAGTATGTACATACCTACCGGTCTTCGAGCCAAACCCACCCCCTTCGGGGGATGGGTCCGTCACGCTCAACAACAATTAACCATCAACGCAAGATTCCGGAATGAGGTACTTTTTAAATAGTAGTGCCATATAAAAGGTACCTTGCACAAGATATCTTGAAACTTGAGATTTCTCAGCCCTCAAACTAGCTAAAGCGAAAAAAAAGATATGAATATAAACTAGAGTTCAAATATCGAATATCTCCTTACCAGTTCGTGGTATTATACCAGAGTTGATCCAAATAAAGTAACCTTGGAAACTCATATTTAACCAAGCAATATAAAATTACAACCTCCTAAGCTATTATAGGGAGTCAGAGAACCTTAGAGACACGATATCCAATACCGAGATACTTTTTATATGGCGTTACCATAAAGAAGTACCGGATTTCCAGAATCTTGTGTTGATGGTTAATTGTTGTTGAGACGTATATAGGTGTATTCACATGTTTACCTATCCAGAGGAGCTTAGTCAGTGGCCCTCCTGGAAGCCCTCTGGAGGTAACGAGGAGGTAATGGCCTAATTGTTCTGGCGTTCATTTGGAGCACAATGCATTCGTATTCCACACGGAATAATCCGTACTCCGTACTTCTTTTACAAGTGACTTATCCAGGAGACATTATGATCGGTCCTAACCCTTGAGAGTTCAAAGTGAGCAATGCGCAGGAAAGTTAATCACCCTGACATGGAATATACAAGGTTTTGTTCATATTGTTCATTGAGGACAAAGTGCTTTTGCGATGTTGATCAGGTGATACAATTCGACCGGTGCAGCAGCGCCGTCTGCGGCCCCCAAGCTAGGCTCGCCGCTAGCGCTATCAAAAGAAAAAAGAAAAAACAACTCCTGACTTTGCAGGGATATGAAGCCGGAGTGAATCGACCTGTCAATGGTCAATGTTCAAGTCCCAAGTACTCCGGAATACGGAGGACGGCATACTTCGTCCTTACAACTTTGCCCGCGGTGATAGCCCCCTGAGGCCAGTGGGGCAGTCACCTCAAAATGGTTCGCGGAGACTGTTCTTCCTTCGTGCCATCCCCCGTTGTTAGTCTCCCAGTGCTAATTTGGGGGCTGGACATCCAGAGTCTAGACTTGAGTACGGAGTACGGAGTACTCTCTACGGATATTACACTGGTGGGCAACCATGGTCATAATCAATTTATTGCCAATCATTGGCGATTCTCGTACGCCACTTCGATCCCCCGTCGTGCGACCGGCCCTTGCCCATATGCAAGAGAGAACTCCGATCCTGACCGAGGCCATAATGCCTGATCATAGACTTCGCAAATGGGAGTTTGGTTCTCATTTCGGCCGTGGTGGGTGCTTTGAAGCTCTCGGTGGATACCTCGGATGGATCTCTCTCTCTCGTTTTACCCCTGATCCGCAATAGCCTACGGAGTAGTCCGTAGGAGTTGCCCATTTTATCTTTGGGGAGAAAAGTACTCCCCCCTATGCACCAAATACTGGGAAAATCTGAAACACATATCACAGGCTCTCATGGAACTAAATTGTCCATGGCGATCGTCACCCAAACAAGCTACGACCCATCCGCCAACGGCGATTTAATTATACTGTCAAACACGCTAGCTATCGCTGCTATTTTAGTGTCTACAAAATCGATTCCATTGGCTATTCGAGAGACATTTCTCTTATTATTTGCCTGTCGTTTTTCGAGGAAATAGGGGGAGGTCTTCCTTGAGCCATCCAAGCCCAAGCTTGAGCTTCGCTATTTGGATTTATCCGACGCGCGGTGGACCCCTAGACGCGTTTTTGTCACGAACACCTACCCCATACTGGATATTGAATTCAAAATAATCACCGGACCAATATCCCGCGATATTGGGCTCCATTCTAGTCCGTTTATTGTATCTTTGTCAATCTCAGAGCAACGCGACAGTTTCATTGCGTCGATGACTACGGAGTACGGAGTACTCCATACTCCGTACGGAGTATGATATCTTGCTATGATCTCTTCCTGTGATATCTTGCGAACAGACCTCCAACCCGTTTTCTCCCACGTTACAGGATACGATCCAAAGCGAATCATGCATTAGTGCCTTGGGTGGCAGCTGCTGTGGAGCATGAGTCCTGTGGGCTAATCGGGTAGGCTCTTTTGCTTTCCCCATGCCCCCTAACGAACGCCCCTGGGACTTTTTTTCTTTTCTTTTTCCTTTTTCTTTTTCTTTTCTTTTTCTTTTTGTCTTGATGCGCCAATGCCCGAGTCTCCTCGCGTCCGGCGTGGTTCCGATATATGTGCCGCAAGGCTGATCTAAGTCCCTGAGGTCTTTCCAAGCTTAGGGTAATCTATGTTGTAGGTCTGAGTTCGAAACAACTCGGCTCAGATCATTGCCTCGTTTGTAAATTCACTGGGTCTTGAATCCTGGGAGATCCCCTAGTGATCTTGATCGCCCCTCGAAGACCACACCCTTCAGATTGATCTCTTCCTGTTCCGGGATCGACCCCTCTCTCCCGAGTTGACCTTCAACGCCTCTCTTAGACGCCCAGATCGATTCCTGTGAGTAAAGTTAGGGTGTGTCTTCCTATGCATATCAAAACCCTGGGCATTTCAATGCATCTTCCGACTGCGTTGTAACCGTGGCTGACCTTCTTTTCGTCTCACGAAGTTCCACAAGGTCCCAACGCTGGATACTTTCCCCCCTCGGCCTGTGTCCAAGTCAACAGCACAGGTGATACCTGTTGCCAGCCATACCAGCACCGGTTTCAAGCGGTCATCAGTCGAATGGTTAAATTACAATAATCTGTTGATGGGATCCGGTGCGTGACGTGCTCTGGCTAGCCCAAGGAGCAGAGCCCGGGTGATGATCTGAGGCTTTCCATCCGGCACAAGCGCGAAGAGAGATGGCAGACTTGCAGTCCCTAGCCATTATGGCCCACTCATCCCCGGCACCGTTGTCCAGACCCAGACCTCGAGCCCCATCAAAAGGAAGATCGAGACCATCTATGCGCCGGCGAGATTCCTCCCCCCACCGTCATCCCCTCCACCTCACCTTCCAACCCCCGCATTCTCGCCCGACGGACAAACAGACGAAGATGATATCACCGAGGATACTTTATCGCCTTTCGATCCGCGCAGGATCACGCCGACCCTCCATGCATCTCTGGTGTCGGAGATCCTCTCCCTGCGCCGGGAGATAGAGAGCAAAACGAAGGCAATCGATGGATTAGAGGAAAGTTTGGATGAGTCAAGGACTGAAAATGAAACATTGACCGCGAATCTATCCCAAGTCACACGGGAAGGACGCTCGTTGAAACACCAAATTCAACTTCTGGAAGGTGGAACATCGTCTGCAATGACCGAGCTGGCTCGGGAGCGTGATGAAGCAGTCGAAAGCATCAGCGATGTTCGTAAGAAACTCGAGCAGGCGCAGAAGAAGGCTCGAAATCGAGAAGAGGACGTCGAACGAACCCAATTACTCTGGGCTCGCGATCAAGAGTCATGGGCGGATGAACGCCGAGCCCTGGAACGCAAGGTCCACGTAGTGGAGGGCCGCTTAAAAACTGTTTTGAATGAGGTCGCCGCCGCCCAGGAAGTAGCGACTCTCCATTCTCGCTCACAGCCGAGTGAGCACGGTGAACGTGTCCACGACAAAACTAAAGAAAGCGACACAGCCAGCGTGGCATCTAGTAGCCCGGACCGCCGACGCACAAGTGTGACCACCGTGAGCTCGGATGACGAAGATGCCATCAATTTCCGCAATGTGCGGTACTCAGTTATAAGTATTTCGCCTGGTGTCAAGACTAGTTCGGGTCTGAATCTGGCGGAGGAACTTGAATTGGATGAGGAGGAGTTCGTTCCATCTGATGATGAACTCCCCGCCTCTCCGGAGGCGCTCCCCGAGGAGCGTCCAATGTCGGTTCACTCACAGGGATCGCATAGTGTTTCCTTCAAGGCTAGAAAGATCTTAGGTCTGTCCCTACAGAGTTTGGGGTCACCCACTGCTATGGAATTCCGTGCTGGGCTCGCTAGTCCAGTGAAATATGACGTGACAGTCGAATACCGCGAAATCGGCACCCAGTATTCGCCGCCTCCGTCGCCTACCCTAGAGGCGAAGGTAGCGGATGAGATTGTTCCTGGGATATTGAGGCCAGGTTTCACCCCCGAAAGCGAAGGCGACGAAAATGCGGACCCGCTAGAGTTGACGCAGAATCAGACATTACCCATTGCAGCCGAGATGGTATCTACCTCCTGCCAAACCGAGGACGAGCCTCCGAGTCCTCCATGGACGCCCAAGTTAGCAGACTCGCCGCCCGAGGCTCCTGAATCAGCATCTCAGTTGCTGCAGATGACATCGACTTCTACACAAACCGATTCCATTCCAGAGACAGAAGTCGCCCAGAGCGGAAAACCTCCTACCTTGTCACCAAATGATGTACCTTTGCCAATGGACATTCCAATGATTGCCATTCACCCACCTGGTTCTGAGCCTTCCTCCCCTCGAAGTAGCGTCGTCCTTCCACCGCAAACCAAAAATATTGGCTGTCAGGCCAATTTCCAGGCGATTGTTGACTGTCGATCCATCGCCACTCAGACTGAAGAGATCCGTATCGATCAACGCCTTATCAAACTTCCTGCTAGCCTTCTTCCCTCTGCTATTCAGGATACACTACCTGAACCCGAGTCTCGGGAGCCTGGCCTCGAATCATATACTGTGCCCCCGCTTCCACCACGTTCTGAAAAACGAAACCAGAGACGGATAGCGACAGGTGGCCCCATGAGGCCTCCTAGAGCACCCAGTCCAGATCACATTCAGGCTTATCCGGGTAACAACGACAATGGACCGCTCTCAGACGACTCTTTGTCCAATATTCGACGACCACTGCGGTCTAGTAGCCTCTTTGCCGGTTTCGAACAAACTAGCGACGAGGAAGGGCCCCTTGGGGAGCGTGATGTCTTTACTGATGATGAGCTCCTTAATCGCCCATTCGCCGCGTATACTGTCAGTCGTGGCAAACTCGTCAATGCAAAATCAAGACCTAGTCTGGACGAAATGACTCTCCCCGAAGTTGACGAGCAACTATCTTCGCCGGAGTCAAGGCCACCTGACATTAGTCGTTCTCGCGCTCCTCAAAGGTCTGCAGTTATTTCAAGTGCTCGCCAGGCTGGCATGCGCAAAATGGCCATGATTTCCAGCGGAACCGCTGCACACCAGAAGACTCGCGCCCGGAGTCCCAGCGAACCAAGTCTCGAAAGCGGGAGTGCAGGGTCAAGCATTGCCCCGCCATTCCCTGTTCCTATCCGTCTCAGCTCACGCAACCTCCCTCCCAACGGTAGCGACGGACCGCCAAGCCCAACTCGCTCAGCCGGCAGGCAGTTCTCTGATCGCGGTCAGCACTCTGTCGTCCGGCGGCCAACCCTACGTCGAGTCCGATCCGCAGCAGCAATGTCAGAATCAGAGGTCACCGAGCAACCAGAGACTCGCTCTTCCCCATCACAGTCAATTTCGACATTTTCTCCAGATAGCCCCATTTACCGACCATACCGACCACCGCCTATGCCGCTTGATGATATCACGGTGCCTCGTGAGCGGTACGGGGCCCCGAAACGCGCCTCGCATCGTGCGACTGCATCTCAAAACCGGGGTTACGAACAGCGTGAGCGAAACGATTCCACTGGCGGTGTACAGCCGACCAGTGTTGTGGATGCCATTGCGCAGACCATGGTTGGCGAGTGGATGTTCAAATACGTGCGTCGACGCAAATCCTTTGGAATGGGTGAGTCCAAAGAGAACTGGGAAGGCAAAAATCCCGACGAGGTGTCGGCGCATATCACGAACAGCGGTGTGCGGCATAAGCGATGGGTTTGGCTTGCCCCATACGAAGGCTCCATTATGTGGAGTAGTAAACAACCTACAAGTGGGCCTGCCTTGCTCGGCAAGAGTGGCCGGAAGTGTCAGTCTCCAGGAAAATATTTCATGTTGATCAGAGCGGTAACTAACATGAAACCTCCCTATTGCAGTCACCATCCAGTCCGTCCTCGATGTCAAGGATGATAACCTCCTACCGAAGAGCGCCGGCTCTTCAAGCCCTTTCAACCGCTCCATCCTGGTGCTGACACCGCAGCGTGCTCTGAAATTCACAGCCCTGACCGTCGAACGTCATTACGTCTGGCTGACGGCCCTATCCTTCCTCAGCCACTCCTCAATGGGGCTCCAAGAACTAGCAGTACTTCCCCCAGTTCCTCAAGAGGAATCCCCAACCCTACCTAAAGCCGCCCTCCGTCGTAACCCAATTCGCGACTCCATCCGCGTCGCAAAGGGCCGCCCCCGCCCGACGCCACAGGGCAAACGCTCCTTCAACAGCACTGGCGCTCCAGCCCCAGTCCCTGAAATCCCAGATGACAGCATCGACTTAGCAGCCGATGCACCGCACGTCCCCCGCTTCTCATCCCACAACCGCAAGCGCAGCAACACCGCACCTCGTCCACCAGCTCTTCACACTCTCCGCAGCTTCTCCAGCCAAGGCACTATGCCCTCCCCGTACAGTGCCGGTTCTTCGGAACTCCACTTCCCCCAGGTCCCAAGTCTACCTCAAGGCACCAGCAGCCGCCGCACGTCCGAGGCGAGTGGGCGGGCGCCCAGTGCAGCGGGCAGCAATGTGTTTGATATTGGCACTATGCGCATGGAGGCTTTCATCGATCATCATGCGGAGGAGATTAATCGCGCACCTCGGGTGCCTCCCCGCCAGCGCCATATCCGCAAGACTTCAAGTCAGTGGAGTGAACGACGGTATGAGTTTGATACGCCTTCGGTCAATGGCAGCGAATTCTCATACCGCCCCGACGACCCTTGGAGAGGATTCTGATGTTATGACGAATGTTGCCTCGCTTTCCCTCTCGTCTCTCGCTCCTATCTTAATTAATACCTATCTATATACCTATATCCCGTGTCATTCTGGCGTTGGTCTTGTGTGTTCTGTCTTTTTCTTTGGACAACTAAGCTTGTTGGCGCAGGTTCCTCGTAACCTCCTCTCCCCGTGTGTTGTCTGCGCACTGCACAAATTCCCCTTTCCCTTCACCTCTTTTATTTTGTCGCTGTCACCTACGCATCTTTATTTTCTGTTTTCCTCCTCTTCACAAGTTTATCTTTGACCATTTACCATTTGTCGCTTTCGAGTTGATACCACTTTGATTTGGATACCATATCTCGTGCAGCGAGCGGGAGAAGGGCGTTTTCCTTTTCCTTTTTTTGTTCTTTTTGCCTGACATTCCAATATCAAAACGGGGGGGCTTGTGGGTATCAGGACAGGACGTTGGGGTATACTTCTTCTATATAATCAGCTATGTATTGAACAAGGGAAGAATCAAGTATTCCATACGATCATTGCCCCATCCTCCTCTCTGATCTCTATTTTCTAAATCTTTGCCAATGACGTTCGCACACAAAAGTGACAAAGTCGAATCGTGGGTATAACGTTCGCTAGCGGAGTAAATACATCAAAGATTTGTGTGATGCACATTGACAGGGGAATCCTCAACAACATCTATTCAGATCTACTCGATGGTCGACCTCACAGCTTCGCAGCATCCTTGACCTCGCCGACCTTGAGCTTAGGCGAGTACTTCTTCAACACGGATTCGTTGTGGTACTACCGCCGGGGTTAGTAGAGTTCAAGAACCGACTCGGCCGATTGCCAATCATGTAACGATAACGTCGGATTTTCGTGAAAAAGATACGAAACTCCAAAACCAAACACACCTTCCAGAATTGTTTTGTGGCATCCTTGCCCGCCACACGCTTCAGGATCTTTGCGCCGCCGGGGTGCTCGTCAATGAACTTTGTTACGTCAAAGACGCTGCCGTCGATGATAATGTAGAGGCCCTTGTCGGCGGTGTTGTGGGAGGCCACATCGGCGGGGGTGAAGGTTTGAGACATTGTTATGAGAGAGAGGTAAGATGAGATGTGAGAGGAAAGAGGAGTAGGTGACGTATAAAACGGAAAGTCTGGGGGAAAGCGGAGAGAGCCGAGGTCCAAGTTGCCGCGGTTGCAATTGCCTGCGCTGTGATTGGCCGAAGCTGCTTATGGAATATCATGCCATTCATCTACTGTCAACATGGAGACAGTCTCTTGTCTCAAGTACGACTTGACCGGGGAACAGTCTCTTGTCTCGAGTACAACCTGACCTGGGGACAGTCTCTTGTCTCACCGAGTGTCCAATCTCTCTACCCCCGACTCTTTTCCCCAACTGCCCCTTGCCCCTTGGACACCTTGCGATCCAGCCCCAGACTCTCCAAGTCTTTCTTCTTATAGTAATGCGGCGCAACCTCAACCAGCCATTCTGCCTGCAGTGGCATGTTACTGCGCATGTACTCCTTACTGGTAAGAACCAGCTCGAAGTAAATGACCCAGCGTGGATTGATCTCCATAAGCGTACTAGATGGATGCAAGTACACCGACTGTCCATTCTTAATAGTCCGATAACTGTCCCCACCCCGCTGTAGTCGTGCCGCGTTCGGGAAGAACCCAGCAGTAATGGCCTTCTGAATTGGCTGTATATTTGTAGATCCACAAGTACTGACTGCGACCTCAACGCGGTCGCACAGCTTGGCAAGTTGGTCACGCACGTCGCGCGCCCGGGTGAGACTACGTTGCTGCAGGAAGTTCTCTTTCGCCCAGATGGTGCTGAAATCCGAGTCGACCCATTGGTTCCAGACATTGAGGAGCGTAAGGTGGTCACCACCTTCTTTGACGGTGAACCGATTGCGCGCACTGTCCGCGTGGATCTTCTTATCTTTGGGTCGGAAGAAGAGTGCGCTGCCTTCGCCGAGCATCGACACGATCGACAGCACTTCCTCTACACACCCGTATTTGTCGGAGGCAAGGATCGCCTTAGCAAGCATCGGATCCGTCGGGAACTCGGCCATCTGTCGGCCGACCTTAGTGAGCTCGCCTCGGTCATTGAGCGCCCCGAGTGCGTATAGTTGTTCCAACGCGCGGATAATAGTCTCCGATGGTGGCGGATCCATGAAGTCAAAGTCAAGCAACTGGTCAATACCCAGCGACTTGAGCATCAAAATAACTCCATTCAAGTTGGTACGTTGAATTTCTGGGGTGGTGTTCTCTTCCAGTTCGTTATAGTATGCCCACTTGGTATACAGGCGGAAACATTTGCCAGGTCCGACACGTCCAGCACGTCCAGCCCGCTGGTTAGCCGAGGCGCGCGAACACGGCGTCACTACTAAGCTTTCCATACCAGTGCGTGGGTTGAACACGTTTTCCTTGACAAATCCAGGGTCGATCACGTATACAATGCCATCGATTGTCAAACTAGTCTCAGCAATGTTGGTGGCAAGCACCACTTTGCGTGCTTTGGGTGGAGTAGGTTCAAAGATCTTAGTCTGTAGTTCGGACGGCAGATTGGCGTAGATAGGCGCAATGATCATTTCCGGTATTTTACTTCCGAGCTTTCGGGCCGTTTCCTGTAAACTCTGCTCGGCGGCCTCGATTTCTTCTTGTCCGGTCAAAAAGACCAGGATGTCTCCAGGGCCTTGGGTAACATGGATCTGGAAGACTGTAGTGATAGCGGCGGCAAGATAGTTGGCTTCGGGCTGCGAAGTGTAGTGAACGTCAACAGGATATCGGCGACCAGGAATATTGAAAATAGGGGCGTCGTCGAAGTATTTCTGGAACTTCTGTGCGTCCATTGTTGCTGAGGAAATGAGCAGCTTCAGATCAGGCCGCGCTTTGGCAATATCCTTAAGCAGACCACAGGCAATATCCGTCGGCACCGTCCGTTCGTGCGCCTCGTCAATCATCAGGGCCGAGTACTGGCTCAGGTCCGGTTCTGTCAACAGCTCTCGCAATAACATTCCATCGGTCATATACTTGAGGATGGTCTTGTCACTCGTATTGTCCTCAAATCGAATGGCATAACCAACTTCATTTCCGATCTTTGTACCCATTTCATCTGCCACACGAGCAGCAACACTCATGGCGGCCACTCGTCGCGGCTGCGTGCAACCAATCTTGAGGCCATCCTTCGTGTAACCAGCTTCGTGGAGGTACTGGGGGATCTGTGTCGTTTTTCCGGAACCAGTTTCACCAACGATAATCAAGACTTGGTGGTCTGCCACGGCCTGTATGATTTGATCACGGAATTGATAAATGGGCAAACTCTTGCGGGTTTCTTCCATCGTGGTAGCCTTCCTTTCTGCTTCGTCAACCTGCTGCTTGAACCGCAGCTGTTCCTGTGTCATTGGCTTCTGCGTGCCCTCGAGTTTGGCATCCATAACAAAGTTGATCTGTTGCGAATCGTCGAAGACATACTCATAGTCCCCCTCGTCCACAAACTCGGCCTTCTTGATCTGTGCTTTGGCTTTGGCCGCCTGCTCCAGCTCCCATTCCTCGTGCTCCGTGACAAATCGTTCCTGGCCCATTTCATCACGCTCGACATATCGCTTATACAGAGCTTCTTCCTTCTTTTTCCGGTCGATCTTGCCCTTTTCCGTAATGTAGTCAGATGGCATCTCATAGCCATCGCGGTGATCATCGATTCGAAGCCGTTCCTCGGCGAGGCGAAGAACCTCTCGGTTGCGCGCGAACTCCTCTTTCTCCCGCCGAGTCAGACTTGGGTTGTCGCGCAGCTCCGCAGCTTCCTCAACTACCTGTCGTCGCAGGAGCGCCAACCGTTCTGTTTCGCGCTTCTTCAGGTATTCCTGTCGAGACCTCTCTCGCAGATCGGGCATCATGGAAGCCCGCGCGCTGGAATCATCGCCCAGCGCACGCCGCCGTGCAGCCTCACCATCGCGTGTCCGATCCTCGACAATCTTCTTTGACTTGCTACTGTCCTTATTGGCCAGTCGCTTGGCGAACTCGTCCCGTTCACGAAGGTCTCGTTGACGGTCGATCTCTTCCTGGGTTTGAGGGTTGATATCATCGACCGGGGACACGGAGCCATCATCAATTCGCGTACGCTTCGATGGTGATTCTTCGAATTCCTCTGGGAACATCTCTTCTTCGGGGATCTCTTCGTCACCCCATCGGTCCTCAAAGTCCTGGGAACCTTTCTTACGGAGTTTTCTCGTCCGTGGTCGGTCGCGACTTTCCGCATCGCGGCTTCTGTCTCGTTTTCGGCTGTCCTCTCTGTCCCCGTGGCTGCGAGGTTCGGGGTCTCGCTTGCTCCTGCTCCTACCGTTGTCGCTGTCCCTGTCCTGTCTTCTCCGTCGCTCTCTGTCTGCTTCGACGTTTATGGGCCCTAGTGAGGTGGCAGGGTCTTGTTCGTCTTCTCCCATATCTACCAGACGATATTTCTTTTTTGTGGATTCCTTGCTCGTCGCATGTTTGGATGTAGACACGGTAGGCTGTGCGCCCTTGCCCATGCGGCTATGAAGCTCACGGGCGAAGGCCCCAATCTCGGCTGATTTGGTATCTACGCTGTCGAGGAATGATTCAAGAGTGCCTTGGAGAGCGGAGGTCGACTTGGATGAGCTAGCGGTCGCGAGCACAAAATCGACGATGGTAGGGTCTGACGCGCCCGTGAGGCGGATGAGGTTCTCCGACACGAAAGCTTTGTCGTCCATGATTCTTGGGAGGCGTTTGCGGTAAAATTAAATGCGGAACTGAGCGATTGGTGTTTGATCGGAGCTTCTGCGCGAGGTGGACAGGTAAGGTGTGGTATCGCGAGATTTAGAGGGAGCAGCGCATGGTGCACCAGGGTTTGGGGCTCAGAAAACCACGTTCAATGTCGGGATTGGAGAAAGGGACTTATAAACCAACAGAGTATGGGGCAAATGATTCAAAATCCAGATTGGAGAAGATTCGGGGTTGGGAGAGCTGGAGAAGTCTGCGCTCAACGCCAAGAGATTTCGTGGCAACCGGCGGGAAATATATTCTGCACGGTAGATTCCTAACCTCGACAACTCCGATCACAATGCAATAAGATATAGAGACATTAAGCCGCGATTTATGAACCGAACGGGATAGAAACCCGAGAGACCAAAATGATAGAGTACTCGAAGCAAATGTGACTGAAATATACCTAAACACAGTCCCATAGCTCTCGTATAGCGTCATCCTAGATCAAGGAACTACACGTCCAAGACAACCACATACTCTTACATGTGAAGATCACAGGACGAACTACAAGTCAGAAAAATGTTCAGATAGGATATCATATCGATTCGTAATTCCACAATTGCTATACAGACATGGAAGCCAGGTATTCAACCAAAGACACTAAACTAGCAGAGAAGATCGCGCTCAAAGAAAATGGATAGGGGGTCATCACTGCCCAGAGGGCACACGTTGGTCATCAGAAAAAGCAAAACGAAAAAAAAAGAGGCAAAGATAGCGGTGATGTTCCCAAGCCAACCAGGAGTGCCGCCAAACCAAGTATCATCCGTGAGGAGAATCGCTGTGAAGCAATCCCACGACAAGATATGACAGGAGATGAATACGGCAAAATCCCAGAATGGCCTTGGTCCTTTCCAGAAGCAAGCACCCTGCGATGTTGTGGTACATTTCTGGCATCTTGTAATGCTAGGTATTTGAATCGTACAAAAGAAAACAAAAGAGGAAAAGATCCGTGAAACAGGGTAAAGAAACCCATCGCAAACTCCGCCGAGTCGTGATCCATGAACTGCTCAAGGTAACGCCCAGATCCAAACCGTACGGATCGAAAACGCCCCAAAGCCCAGTCCACAACAGAAAACCCCAGCTTCGACCGTTGAAGCGTGGGGTCGAGGGGGAGATAAAATCGTGACGTGAAAACATGGCATCAAAGATAGGACCAAAAGAAAAATGCTCCGAGCTTGAAACGCCGAGAAGAGAGGACAAAGGGAAAAAAAAAATAATAAGAAAAAAAAGAAGAAGAAGAAGAAGAAGAAGAAGAAGAAGAAGAAAAGAAAAGAAAGAAACACCCTCCGTATGCACAATGGTGAAAGGGATATTAGATTACACATCGATCATTTCGGCATCTTCGGCCAAGATCTCGTCCGCGGGGCCCCAGTTACCCTCGAAGACGGTGGCGCCTGCGCGGCGTCGTTGATTAATAAATTGCACTCCATAAGTTTCCAGGATTTGATCGGCCGTAGGACGGTTTTGAGGTTCGGGGGAGATCATCCATCGAACAATACCGTCCAATGCCTGGGGATGGTTGGCGTCGACCATGAAACTGGGCGGATCAATCAGCTCCCCGCTTCGTGCGAGTAGCTGTGGTTTGGGATCGTTCAGCTGACGACTTGTCAAGAAGTCATCATCGAATTCGTTGTCACCCAGGTCAGAGGTACAAAGCTCCTCGAAGGATGAGCCTTCCGAGATGGGATTTCCTGATGCATCGCGGAAGATGCTAGTCTCCGAGCTCCAAGTAAGGCTGGGCACATCACTCATATCGCCATTACGGAGCTTCTGCCAGGACACTCCGTTGTCAGGAAGTTCAACGTTTCCAGCGATCTCGAAAATGATCAGACCGAGCGAGAAGATATCCGCGGGCTTGTCAAATCGACCCATGAGAATCTCTGGTCCAATGTATTCGCGATCGCCTTCGCCCTCAATACCATCCTCTGCAGGCCAGCGTGTTGCCATGCCGAAGTCACCAATTTTCAAGGTACCTTCAAACGTGACCAAAATATTGGCCGGCTTCAGATCAAGATGGATGAATCCCTCGTCGTGGATTTGCTTCAGCCCCAAAGACATCTCGAGCAGAATTTTCCAGATACGGAAGTCGTCAAGTCGAGCCTTGAGCCCTGCTTGGGCCAAAAAGCCATCTAAGCTACCCTCTTCACAGAACTCCGTTTGGATGTACAGATGGCCATTGCACTCCCAACTATCCATGAATGAAATCACATGGTCACAGTTGGTCAAAGTTTTGAGAACATCCACCTCACGAATCCGGCGCTCACGATCCTTCAATCCCAAGTAAGGCTGCTTGCTCTTCTTAACAGCCCATACCTGGTGTGGCATGGAAGTCGGTGATTTTGGCTCACTTGATGGCAGAGAGAAGACAGATGGAAAAGAGGCATCGTGGGGTTGCGCGACACGGTAGACTTGAGAGAATTCGCCAGTTCCGATAAGCTCGACGTGGTCGAAGCGGGCAGTCAGAGTAGGGTCCACATCTGGTACATGATAGCCGCTTATCTGGAGACTGGGGCGCCTGAATGATGACCAAGAGTCTCGCGGTCCTGTGGGAGTAGCCGGAAGCTCATGTTCCTGCACATACTGGTGGTCATTTGGCACCGAGATGGATAGGCCGCTTGGATCTGGGGGGAAGTACTGGTCACGCGGGGTATGAGGTGATGCCTGCAGGAATTTGTCCCGCAGTGGACTCGCTGTCTCGGATAGGCGTTCCAGAGATGGAATTTGAGAAGTGGCAGGAGGGTAGGTGCGAGATGCGAGGAAGGGTTGTTTGGTGGGGGTGGGAGGAAAGTCGTCGTTCAGTGGTTGGCTGTCCTGTCGGGAAGAGGGCGATTGGGCGAGAATGAGATCATCACCATCAATGCTAGCGAAGCTTCCCCGACGCGAAGCCTCGGGGCGATTGAAGCTGCTACCGAAGATTCCCATGCCCCGAGCGAAGGGGCTCGGCTTGGGACGTGAGTTCGTAGCAGGTGGATTAAAGGGTGAAGCTGCAGCCGCATCGGAGTGCTGAGCTAAACGCGATTTGTCAAATAGTCGGTCTGTGGGGTTTGGCCCGGTGGTGAAAATGTTCACAGGTCGCTTGCATGGTGTATCGGGCATGCTTTTGTTGAATCCGGGATTCTCCTCCGCATTGCGATTCTTCTTGGAAATCAAACCGGTGGACATGAATGCCGCGGGTAGAGGCTTCACTAACTTGAAGTTATCTGGTGTAGCAAATGTCTCCGAGGAGTCTTCTCGTGTAACCCGGCGCACGGGAGCAGGACGAGTAGCCCCAGCGGGGAGAGATTTGGAGAAGTTGAACATTGGTCGTCGGCCTTCTGGCCTGTGCACCGGTTCATGGGTGGGCGAGTCATCTAGACTTGACCCAGACGAGGATTGCGTGATGGTGCGCGAAAGGGGATGAGCAGTGGGTCGAGGAGGTTGAGTGGTGTTGACAGTGGAATTGGCGGGAGGATTGGCGGGAAGATCGAAGAGAGAGTTGGAGGAGAATAGAGGGCTGGCGGGCGGCCTTGGAGAGAAAATATTTTCGTTGCCTGTCTGGAATAGGCTGCTATCAAATGACATTCGTGGTCTCACCGACAATGGTGTACCAGGCGGCGATGCGTCAAGTAAATCATCCATTGCTCTAGGTCGACCGAAAAGAGGTCGCTCGCCGCGCTGCTGTAGGGTGGAGCGTCGCAAGGAAGATGAGCGCTTGGGAATCGTCGCAAATGGACTGTGGGGTTGGACCGGCGTGGGGAAAGAGGGGATTTCGTTCCTCGATGGTGAACCCTCTGGAGTCGTGTCTTCAACCTCGTTATCGAAAATACTGAACTCGGTCGATAGATGCGGCGTGTGCACACTGCGTCGCTTTGCAGAAGGGCTGCCACGCGATGCTTGGTCCAAGTTCATAATCCCATCGCTGCGCTTTAAGGGACTACCAGTCACCAGGCTGCCAAAGGTGCCACTCCGTCGCTTTTCGATACGCGACATCGTTGATCGCGGGGCAAAGGTCGATTCCCCGACAGGGGCAGAAGGGATGTTGAGAAAACAGGGACCATCGGGCGTGGTACTTTCACCTGGCGGCACGAGATCATCGAGAGTCAAATCATTTTCCTCACCTGCGGATAAAGAGATGGGTTGAGTTGGAGTCGCGTTGCCCGCGTCGGCCGAAACACTCAGAACGCGTTTGGCAGGACTGCGGGGTGACGTGCGCCGACGCATGGCTGGCCTGCTAATTTTGGCACTAGGAGGATACGGGACAGCGAGAGGTGACTGGTGAGATGGGAAGAGAACAAAATTGTTCTGAGAGGCGCGCCTTGACGGAGACAAGGGAGAAGAGATGTAGGCGGATTTGGAGGGAGACTGAGTACGTGGGTTGAAAAAGAAGTTCGAACTTTTAGAAGGTGAGCGCGAGAGTGAGCGTCTCAGTTGGCGAATCGCAGAGCTGGCATCAACGTGATGGATTCCCGAGTGCGATGATAGATGAAGTGTGCCGCCGGAGTCCCGGTGCGGCGAAAAAGTCGCAACCATGATCGGAGGAATGTGTCAATCGGCCGCGCAACGAGACCAGAATGAAGAGCGTGTTGCAGATGGCTGTACAAGATCCTGAGAAAGGCGCAAATGGGATCTGGATATCTCGCAAAATTCAAGACTCCAAGTCGGTGCCGATGAAAGCGCTACTGAGGCCTAACGCGTTTGACAATCAACAACGCGTCTCCAGGCCCGAAGAGAGTAAGACACAGATATGGAAATCAGACCAAGATACTTCCAAAGGAAGGCGCAGGAATGTTCCTCTTGGCAGGTGCGGGTGGCAAGTTGGGCAGGGCAAAATGATCGAGTCACACCACACTCATTGCGGATTCTAAGGAATTCACTTGACCCTCCCATGCGCCTACGCCGGGGAAGGACACACACGCGTGCGGTTTCAGGATGTTTTCGATGCGATAGGCGTGTGGAATGTTTCACACACGATGTGGATGAGACTGCAAAGGGCAGTTTATAGGATGGAACTCCTTTCTCCTGAAGTTGTTCCTGAAATTGTTCCAAGGACGAGATAAAAGTCAAAAACTTGCAAGGGGTAGTTCCCCCCGGTGCGAGATGGTGAGGTCAGCCCACGAGGGCGGCGAAGGGCGAGTCGAAGGAGGGGTTAGGCAGAGTATTGGTATGTAGGTATGATGGCAACCCAAGTACCCAAGGATCGAGACTGGGGGGATTGAAACAGGGGATGGGATGGATGAGATGGGATATCAAGAATGTTCGAATATCTCATGGAAATAAAATGGCTGGTTCGCAAACTGATTAACGCGCAGTCGCGTTGTTGATCGTCGATACCCAATGTGGATTAGGGTGACGCGTGATTGTGACATAAACAAATACTTAGGTAATCCGCAGCCCTGTCCCTATACTCCGTACTCCGTACATCCTGCGTTCATGTAGCTTGACTTGCAGAGGGGATGTGCCTATAAGAAATACTCCGTCAGAAAAAGACCGATCAAATAAATCCCCTCACCAATCCCCAGAAAAGAAAAAGAAAAAAGAACCTGAACACCGAAAACCGAAAAAACCGAAATCCCAGCGATGCGCGTCTTGAGCCTGCACGGCCCCTGCAGACGCCACCATAAACAAGAGAGGGGTACCCCATTGGGCACGGAGTGGATGTGGTCTTCGTTTCTCTTTTTTGTTTGGTGGTTTCTATATAGACAGGACGGAGGATGGAGTACATCCATAGGACATAGTACGGTGGATGGAGTAAAAAGTACCTCCTCCCGAGCACGCTGGATATTGTCGCACTATTTCCTGATACCCTTATTCTAACCACACCACTTCCTATAGGCCACGCGAAACCCTTGCATGAGTGCCCATGAGCCCACTTTTCTTTGGCGAAAATCCCATCTGATCTATCAGGCCTATTACCGGAACCGGAAGGTGAGTGAAGGGGGGGGGGGGGGAAGAAAAAGCCCTCGGGGGCGAGTCCGGGCGGAAAATTGCAGTGGGGGATAGGATACTATTTTTACTTGAATGCACCTTCATGCCCTCCTTCATACTCCGTACTGAACACATCAAAGTAATCTCAATCAACTGCAGGGATCTCAGCTCGAACAGGATCTGCCCGTCCCGTCCGTGGGTCCCGCCGTCACTCGGCAAATCACGACAAGTTCGAGAGGAAAGGGAGCAAAACACCGAAAAACAACAAATATACACATCCAGCGCCTCATATGCATGGGAACGGAGCGCTATGATCGACCAAACAGAAAACCAAGAAAACTGAACTAGACATCTAAATAATATCCCCGCAGAAGAATCACCCCGGATACGAAGCACTCCGTTCTCTTCCCCTTCCCTTCCATCCCTAGCATCCCTCAACCTTCTACATCAATTCGAAGCCTGTCACCAATGCAGACATTTCTTGTCGCATCGCGCCGATCACTGTCTCCGCTGTATCTCGGTCGAGCCGGGATTCCGGGGCGAAAAGTCCAAAGTCTAACCCACCATCGCGGATTGCCGCTTCCACGTCGATCGTAGGCTGTTCAGATGTAAGCAATTGCTAGGGAGCAGGGATCACCGGGAGATGCCGATATGATGTGCATTCGTGCTCTTACCTGGAAGATGGGTTGAATCGCTGCCGTTGAAGCGCTTGGATACTCTGGGTGCGGGTTCTTCTCGGCTGGCCCCGGTGGCGTTAAACCATTGCCATTAATCTGGCCTTGGTCCTGCTCGGAAATTGGAGCGGCCCCGCTAAGGCTTTCAAACTCCTCGCGTGGGATCGCCGCGAGAGTAAACTTTGTCTGGTTCCCGTCGGTAGGTATGTCCATTTCTTGCACAGGTAGTCGCAGGAAATTGACGCAGGTGTCAATCCGGACGCCGGTCCACTCTGTAATTTCCATGAGGGAAACACCAGAGTATTCGGGTCGGCTGATTTCATTGATCTCAGTTTGAATCCTGCGCGCAGCGTCAAGGAGGGAGTCGATGGAATCGCTTAGTTTGTCATCCAGTCGTAGTGGCACGATATTGACGGTAGGAATCACAGATTCGGCTAGCCCATCGATGGGATGGGATCGATTGGCAAGATAGAGTCCAACAATTAACCGCCCGTGGGACCCTGCGTGCTCTGCGGTTTCAGCTGCACCGAAGTTCTGCAAATGCACTCGAGCATAGACTGCTAAGAAGATGGTTTGAACGCTAAGACCCTGGCGCTTAGCAATCTTTTCGACGTTGGCCATCTTGAGCATCAGGCCCGGTCGATAGTAACGTTGTACCGGGCTGAAACCATCTGCTCCGTTTACCGCTGTTGAGATTTGGCCCAGATACTTTTGCCAGAATTGCCGCCGGATATCTACGGGCGAATGGACATGCTGAAATGCCACGAGCTGCGAGAGACCAAGTTCGGGATTCGGCTTCGTAATCTCCTCTTGGCAACATTGTGTAACAAGTCTGTCTAGGATATGAGGCAGACTAACGGCGTCATACAATGCATGGTGGATTTGCAGAAGAAGCGCCGTTCCCTGATTTGTCTGACAGGCATGCAGCGCGAGTGGGACTGCCCCAAATTCCTTTGTGAGACTTTTTGAAACTAAATGTCGATCAAACTTGGAATGCCAGATAACAGGAATCTGCACGGTTTCAAACTCAATTTGGATGTAGGGTAAAAGCCGCGAGTCGATCGTGGGCACGAACGCCGTTCGAAGCATCGGAGTTTGGTCTATAACCCGAGCCCATGCCCGATCAAGCATCTCCGGGCTCAATTGTTGTGATGCCACGTAATAAAACTCTGGATAAAACACCTCCGGATTCAAGATGTGCATCGAGAGGAAGTAGGACTGCCCTGCAGTTGTGGGAAACACCTTCTGTACTCGTCTCAAATCCACACGGTGCAACTCTAGTAGTCCCATCACATCGATGCTGTCAAGTGCTTCATGGAGGATACTCAAAATATTTGTGAAGGATAGCTCTGTTTGGTTGTTGTCGACTGCTCTGGCCATGTTCTCAATGGTACCAGCCCGGAGCATGTCACTAACCGCAAGCTTCACAGACTGTTTCTTCAAGAGCGCAGCCACCTTGATGGCGCTGATGCTGTCTAGACCAAGCTCGAAGATCGTGGAGTTCTTGTCAATGGAATTCTCCGGGACTCCAGATGCGATTGAAAGAACACTCCGGATTTTTGACTCGATAGGGGACCACTCCGCTTGATTGAGTGCTTTGGGCACTGCATCGATTTCTTTCACTGGCCCAGAGTCATCTTGGAACGCCGGGCTTCCACAAATCTTCACGCCTTCGTTGGTGAACTGAGCGCTTTGTTCAAATGGGCCGTCAATGATGGACGAAAGGATATCCCCCATCTCCCCTAAGAGCGCAAAAGTATCTTGATTTCCAGCAACGTTTCCCCGACACGCGACCCGGCCAACGAGATCCTCCCCGACACCTTCGACTTCAACGCAAACAGGATACTCAACATCGGCTGTTCCACCGGTAGATCTATAGAGAACTTGTCCAGACCCAACCTTGACATTTTCAACTGGTCTCTTGTGATACATGAAGAGAGTATCAAACAACGAGTGCGACCCTGTATCTGGTCTGGCACGCCGAAGGGGGAAATGTTGGTGTTCCGACATCGCCAGGAGAGCTTCCTGCACATATTTCACCAAATCCGCACGCGTACCATGAAGGATAACCCGCATAGCAACCGTGTTCATGGTTGGAAACATGACATGCTCTGAGCCAGCCACGCTCCGACCAGAAAGGACAAGTCCAAATGCTACATCTAGCTTCTTGACATGCGTGGCGAGAACAAGAGACCAGGAGCTCACAAGAAGCGCTTGGAGCGTTATACTATGGCGTTTACAGAACGTCTCTGCCTTAGACAATGGAACGGATAAGGGTTGTTCTGCTCGATGGACGACCGTCGAGCCATTTGCAGCGTGCTTCATGGGCGGAAATGACACCGGATTGAAGTTGGATAGCATTGCTCGCCAGAACCTGAGAGCTTCATCGCCAGATGATGCGATGATCTGCTCTAGGATGTCATCTGCCGATGGACGAGTACAGTCTGCACCAGCGTAGGACTTGGCGACATCTTCATGGAGCAGGTTGATTGACCAGCCATCATATAGGGCATGTGCGATTGACAAAATGAGATATCGTTTAGCTCCATCCACCGTAATATGAATAGATAGCAAAGGAGAGCTTGCCACCTCACTGCGGGCTTTTGAACACTGGGTCTCTATGACGGATTGCACCGAGACTCCATGAAGATAGACAATCTGAAGATCGATGGGGTCATTCTCGTCATGGATGATCTGGGCATAGGAAACAGGAATCTGCGGATCCCATATTTGAGCAAATGAAGTACGAAGAATGGGGTGGGCTCTAATGACAGCCCTCCACGCCCGCTCCATCTGCTCAATATCCACGTCTGGCCCAAGCTCAAGAATTTCGTGGTTGTAGTAATGCTTGTACCCAGAGGCAGTCATTTCCGCTACCATGGCTTCTTGGATAGGTGTAGCTGGTAGGACTCGAGTCATGCCCGGAGGCAGAAGACCTTCATCCCCGAGGAACTTGGCCAAAGAATTTTCCAGCTGGTTGAGCCGTGACAGTGGCTCTTGAGGGCTATGTTTGTTTCCCATTGAGAGTTGCTCGTTCATTGCCTTCACTGTACGATGGCGCATGATGGAACTCACAGGAAGCTTGATGCCAGCCTTGCTTAACCTAGAGGAGATTTTGATTGCATCAATGCTATCAAGTCCAACTTCAAAGATTGAGGTATGTTCGTTGATTGATTGTGGATCTACTCCCGCAAGGGTTTCGATTACCTCGCGGATTGTGCAAGCCTGCGGGGTCCATTCAAACAGAGAGTCATTGGTATGTTCCAAAGCTTTGAGAGGTTCATGATGGCTGGTCACTTTGCCATTCGTCACAACTTGTGTTTGAGACAAACCATTGGTCTTGGATAATTCTCTGTTCGGGTCTTGTGCAAATTCAGAAAGGACTTGCTCAAACTTGGATAGCATTTGCCGAGCCTGTTCAGAGCATACCGCATGACTCTTTGCAGCGAGCGTAAGTGTCAGGGATCGCCTGCCATTGCGCACAATCTCAAAGGCCAGAGGATACTCATTCTGAGCCTCTGAATCAATTGTATGCCAAAGATTCTTTGTCAAAGATTCATCAGTATCGTCTTCCCTCTGGAAGACGAATAAAGAGTTGAAGAGCCGCTCATCGGGACTCTTCCCGAGCCATTTCACAATGTCTCGTAGGGCAGTATACTGGAAGGGAATCATGGACACGTGGTAGTCATGGCAGCGGCGAGCGACATCAGCCCAAGACTTCAAGCCATTTAGTTGAACGTTGCTGGGGATGGTATTGAACAGAGGACCAATGACATCCCCAATGCCTGGTACATCGATCGTTCTACCCGAAACAATGATACCAAGGGGTGGCACAAACGAGTACTGCTCCTGGAGAGTGAGCAACCAGCAGGCATGGAGAACGGCTTGCTCGGTGACATTGAGAGATCGTCGGAGATGGTCGACCTGCTCTGTCGCATTCAGTTGAGCCTTGTGCAAGATTGGCGCACTGTCTAGTTGGCCGATCTCAGTGAACGCTTGATCGTGACAGCCAGCAAGGTGCTCTTTCCAGAAAGTTTCAGCAGCAGGGTCCTTACAAAGAGGCCCTAAGTGTAATATGTCAAGGAACTTGGGGATTGACTGGGGACTCTTGCTGCGGTTGAGATAGTTTCGCGCAACCGATTCAAGGAGCAGGATCAGGCTGTTTCCATCGTAGAGAGCATGGAACATATTGAGGCACATCACTGATGCCTCAGGGGAAGATATAACTCCGATTTCCCATAGGTTGGACGAAAGGTTATCGAGCCGGATGGTCCACTCATTGTGCCGCTGTTTGCGCAAGTCATCAATATCATTTTTGGTCTTCACTGTATCAAAAAACCATGGAAGCGTATCCTCTTTTAAGATTGCTTGGGCATAGCCGTCTGGAGATGGCAAAAACTTGGCGCGTAGTATTTGGACATCTGCTTGGACCTGGTTCCAAGCTGTGCGCAAGATTTCGGGATTGACTGCAGAGTCCAACTCAAAAGTGAAGGACGAGCAATACAATGGCGTGCTGCTTGATAAGTAGTGGTATATGATACCTTCCTGGAGTGGAGTGCAGGGTGCAATCTTTTCAATGCCACCATCAATGACTCCAATGTGTTCAGCGATAGCGTGGAAATTCTTATGGGCAAAAGCATCGATGTCTTGCTTGGCATTTCGTTGAATGATTTCCAGAGACACAGAAGATGAATTAGACACTTGTAGAGCAGATGCCATCCCGGAGATCGTGGGATCTATGAATTCTTAGTCAAGTAATCTTTAAGCCAGAGCCCCCCAACGTTAACGACTTACACTTCATGATGATTGATGGCTGAGCCTGAGAAAATCCAGCCTCCCGAAGATTTCTCGAGAAAGCGATGACAGAAATGGAGTCTAGACCAAGCTCGAAGATACTAGACCATGATGAGATCTTCTCTGTTGAACCAACAAATCTCGCCAGGACAGAGATGATCTTGTGCTCCTGGGCACTGTTAGCAGACTCGTTAATAGTCTTCGAGCTCAATTTCTGAATGTCCTCCAGAGACAGCTCCTGATATATGTTCTTTAAAGCCTTCATATCAGCCTTGTTGTTGGCAGAGAGTGGGAACCGCGTCATCGGGATGATATGTGTGGGCACCATATACCCTGGCAAATGAGTGCGACAAGCATCTTTGATCTTTGATAGTAGGAAAATATCATTTTCCGAGGAACGGACTTCGACATTGATGGCGCGAGACTTCTTCTCTGTTGTGATAGTCGTGAAAAAAGAAACAAGTTGCTCCTTGGATTGTTTGGGATGTGTGACTACCAAGGTGGCTACTTCGTTCAGTTCGAGCGTAGCTTGCTTGATGACTTCATTAATTTCTCCAATCTCGAGTCGTTGCCCTCGGAGCTTGATTTGATCATCGATGCGACCAACGAACTGGAAACTCCCATCGTGTAGGATCCTGACAAGATCGCCTGTGCGATAGATGCGATCATTGAATTCAGGCAGGTCCTGGAATCGCTCCTTGGTAAGCTCTGGTCGATTCAAATAGCCTTTTCCGACGAGGGGCCCTGATACACAGAGTTCACCGATGCCACCGCGTAGGACTGGTGCTATTGTGCCAGGGCTGAAGACATATGACCCCACATTGTCAAACTGGGGCCCGATGTTCGAGGCTTTGTCGTTGGCAGACATCCGTGGCAGCATGGTGCAGCCAATAGTGACCTCTGTAGGCCCGTAACCATTATAGATAACACCGTGCTTACCCCACGCATCGAGAATCTCTTGTTTCAACGCTTCTCCGCCGGTGATAAAGACTCCCCGACAAAGGGACGGAACCTCGTCTGGATGAACCAATCTTGCCAGACTGGGTGTTAAATCAATATGCGTAATTTGAAGCTTTTGAATTGTGCCAGGCAAGTCTTCAAATAGCAGATCACGGGGGCAAGACGTGACGCAAATTCCAACGCTCCAGCTCCAGTACTGCTCCAAAACACTGACATCGAAATGGAAGGAGGCAAATTGCAACCACCGAGAGTCTTCATCCCAGTGTCCTGAGAATAGCCGTTGAAATGCCAGCATCGCTTGTATGGCATTGCCGTGTGTAATCTCACAGCCCTTCGGTGTTCCGGTTGTGCCGGACGTGTACAGACAATAGCAAGTATCATCTGGCTGGATTGAACGGGCAAGTGAGACATCACTTTTTGACATTTCACCAAGTAGTCCGGGCTCATCAAGAGCTTCGACATCAATGCCAGAAAGATTTTCTAGTTCCTTCTTTTTCGATAAGTTGCAAAGCAGAACCTTGGTATTGGAGTCATCCAACATGAATTGCTTGCGAGAGATGGGTGCACCGGGGTCAATGGCCAAATATGCACACCCGGCTTTCATGATGCCCAAAATCGCCATGGATGCTTCGGGGCACTTGTCAAAGCATATGCCAATGATTCCACCAGGAACAGCCCCTTTGGTCTGCAGGAAATGCGCAAATTGATTACCACGTTCGTTGAACTCTCGATAAGTCCAGACTGTCTTCTGGAGACCACCCGTAGTGTCACCAGAAGCAAACTCGAACGCGATCCTCTCGGGAATCTTCAAGGCATTTTCTTCGACGAATTGGTGCAGCAAGGTCACGGTGGCGGGGATCGATGCCTCTTTGGCGGGAGTAACAGAAAGCAGACCTCCCAAAGTCTTGTGATCGGTGGAAGATGAATTTGGTCGGAGTACAGTATCTTGCAAAATCTTGTCATACTGGCTCAACAGGATCGTTGCTTGCTCCGTGGGGACAAGATCACTCCGGTAGCTCAGCGAAATCTCAAGATCTGTCAAGTGCGGAATCAACTCGATGGAAACAGGGTACTGCACAATGTTAGCCTAAAGCCTATAATGTTGAAAAATATGCCGGCTGCTTATTCTGCTTACATCAATCTTCGTCTGCTCGTCGATAATATCCCATCCATCGCTACTAATAGCATCTGAAGTGAACTTCTGATAAACAAATAGCGTATCGAAGAGGGGCTCGTCGCTGCCCACCCAACGCTGAATATGCGACAATGGTGCAAACTGATTTTTCACCAACAAAGCATTCCGCTTCAAGGTACGGTCCAAAAGTTCCTGGTTAGACCCCTCGATATTTAGAGGAGTGGGCACTGTGATCAAACATGGGAATACTGCATTTTGAGCAGCAGTCGATAGATTCCTACCCGAGAGCACTGTTCCAAAAGTGATATTGGACTCACCCGTGTATGCAGAGAGCAAGCGAGCCCATGCGGCTTGTCCTGCTGCCTGTAATGTCACACCAATCTCTCGACAAGAATCCTCAAGAAACTTCCGAGGCCGTGCGCAACGGATGGAGGTGGTGAGCAGTTCTCGCCTGTGGGACCGAATGGGATGCAAGTCAGGGAACCTTGAGGGCTGCACTTCTGGGGCAAGTTCTTTCCAGAAGTTGTGTGCGGACTCGCTCTGGGTTTTGCTCTCAAGGAGAATCGGTCCAAGTGTTGCGATGACTGGTGCGGGTGTAGCCAAGGTCTTTCCTTCATATGCTGCTTTGACGTCTGCGAATATGGAAGCCAGAGACTGAGCATCATAAATGGCATGCAATGCAGAGAAATGGATAACACTGGTGCTTTTGGCTTCCTCGACTTCAATTCTCCAAGGGGGTTGATGGAGGTTCTTCAAGACATGCTTTGCTTGAACGTTCGAAGTGTCTGCTGGGGAAATCGAGGGCTCCCACCATGGAATTTCGCTGCTTTCATTATAGGTTATCATTGCAAAAGGATGTTGTTGGTCATCCAATTGAGCAAAGCCCGTTCGAAGCATCTCATGCTGAGACATGACGCGAGACCACGCGTTCTTCAACCTCTCCTTGTCCAACGGTACCGAAAATCTGAAGGTCATTCGGTTGAAGTAAACTTCACCATCAGAATGCATGAACATCGCCAACATACCGTTTTGCACTGGCGTACAGGGACGGAGAGCTTGCACTTCTTGTCCAGAAATCTGAAGTCGCGTGCAAACAGATCTTAAATGCTGGTTTTGGAAAAGTGCGAAGTCAAACACATCTTCCTCGCCAATCTTCGCGCTGGAAGTGAGAAGAGAAGCAATTTGATCGATAGAAGCAGCCTAATATAAGTCAATAACCTGAGAACAAACTTGACACCTAAAATCGACTCGCCGGGATATGGAATACCTCAAGAATGTCACCAGATGAGATCTTATACCCCAACCCACGTAGCTTGGCTGAGAGCTGAACAGCATTGATACTATCCAAGCCAAGCTGGAATATTGTCGTCTCGTGGTACACATTATCCACCTCAACATCAGAAAGGTTGCAAATGATATCACGAACAACCTCCTCCTGATGTGACCATGGGCGCTGCTGACGAGATTTCGTCAGGAACCTAACTGGGTTGCTTGCCTTTGATATCTTTGGCTCAAAGACTCGAGGGATCTCTGCACCCAATACTCGCTTGTCGGATGCCTGAGCCGATGGATATTGAGTTGTATGCTCAACGAGGGCCACAAAGTCCCGCACAACATTCTCTGCCACGGCTTGGGGGATATACAGCGCTTGAAAGTGAAGGAATATTTGGACACTGTCGGTAGATTCGTCGGGTACAATCTCACAAATCAAGGGGAATCCCATGTTACCTTCGTCCTGAAGAAGTTCCCAGATATTGCAGTCGAGATCAGTATTTTTGTTTTGGAAGATGAATAGAGTATCGAAAAGGCGAGAGCCGTCGCCAAAAACACGTCGCTGGATGCGTCGGAGACGACTGAGCTGGTGGGGTAAAATGCCGTTATTGCTCTTCTGGGACAAATTCATAATGTCACGGTTTGTTGCGGTTGGTGAGGATTTGATTCGGATTGGGAGTGTGTTGAAACAAGGCCCAACTATCTCACCTACTCCTTCTAGAGGAATAGTTCGACAGCTGAACACATTACCGAAGCAGATATCGGATGAATCGGTATATAGAAAGAGAAGCCTGGCCCATGCAGCGTGCAAGATATTTAGAGGTGTCATAGAGAGATCCTTGCATTGTTGTTTGAAAGATGTAAAGGATCCGTTCAGTGATGTATGAATCTGTAGCGATGCCGACTCATCTGAATTTGCTGTAGAATTGGGAGTGGGCAGGAGGGTCGGTGAAACTCTTGACAAGTACTGGTCCCAATAGTCATCTGACGAATTATTACTGACAGAAGTCATATAATTGATGAAGCTTTGGAATGGTGTGCTTGGAGGTAGTTCTTTGCCTGAAAGAACTAACTGGACCTCATATAACAACTGGGCTATCGCTTCTCCGTCATAGAGTGCATGATGAATGGACAGCAGGAGATGTGTCTTTTGTCTGCTAGAATCGATAATCAAAGTCAACGAATAGGGCAATTGGGCGTTCACAGGAGGAAGACCCTCAAATTGAGACTTGCACTCATTGATGGTATTTTCAAGCTCTGGTGAGGAAGTTTCAACACAAGACCACGGTAAAACCGAGGTCTTCAGCACGACTTGAGCGTATGCAAACTGCTTATGACTAGTATGCGTGAAACACGTTCTCAGGATGTCATGTCTTTGTATCATCATACCCCATGCCGCTCTCATGAGCTCGGGATCAGTCCGTACAAGAAGCAAGAGATGGTTGAAGTAAGCTGAATGACTTGAAGACTCAGCTGCGAGCATGGCTTCCTGCAATGGAGTGCAAGGGTAAATACTTTGAACAGTTGCGTCTGCAGCTTTGAATTCATCTTCTACTTGGTGAATGAAAGTTTCATCGAACATTTTTGCGGGGCCAGGCACCTCGGCCTGTTCGGCGTGTGACCCATTCGTGGCAACAATGACAGCTGCAAGCTGAGAAACAGAGCTATGGCGCAGGATTGTTGACACAGCCAGTCTTCCGCACCCTGAATCTTGCAGCTTTCGCGAGAATGCGATCGCAGAAAGGGAGTCTAGACCCAGTCTATAGAAAGATGTGTGCTTGTGGATGTTGCTTCGGTCGGTACCAGTTACCGTCGATAGCGCGACAGAAATGATCTTTTCAAGCTCGGTGAAAGAATCATCAGTATCATTCGCGTTCATTTTCGGCGAAAATACCGCGAGCTCCTTTGGACTCAATCGTTCCAGCCGCTGTCGGAGCATAGATTGGTCGATTTTGCAAGATACGGTGAGGTCTATCTTATCCACGAGGACAAGAAGCGACGGAAGGCCAGAGGGAGGGAGAATTTTGTTGAGCTCGTTGAGAAGGTCATTCGTAGATTCCTCGATTTGTCCAGAATCTGGTTGTTCTGCCGAGGGAACCCAAAATACCGCGATTTGATGCTCATCCAAGATAATGCTCACGGATTCTTGAACCAGTCTAGAAGACGCAAGAGCACGATCAATCTCATCCATGTCAACAAAACGAGCATACGCTTGCCCAAAATTCCGGTAAAGAATGAGTGTTCCGTCAGGAAGCATCCGGCCAAGCTCGCCTGTTTTATAGATCAGGCCGTGATCAGGATGATCAATGAATTGTCCAGTCGATGAAGACTCTGAGCCGGAGAGACAGCGTCCAACTTGATCCCCGCCAAAGCATAGCTCTCCCACAGCACCTTTTGGAAGAAGACTGAATGAATCTCCCTCTGCTATAATCATCGCAGATGTGTTCTTAAGAGGCCTACCAATGTTTTGAACATGGGTCGATGCTTGGACATTGGGGCAGAGAGTACAAGCATACGTCAAAGCATTGTTGCTGTACGTTTGGTAGAGACCTCTGCCAGCCCAGTTGCAATGGAGCTTATGATTAATTTCTCCACCCTGAGAGAGCAGATATTCCACGCTTGGAACAGTGTGTGGATCAATACGAGACGCCAGCATGGAGGGCAAGTGAAGATGTGTTATGCCCATATCTTGACAAACTTGCTCTATGCGGGTCGTCATGATTACCTCTGTAGCTGAGCACAGTGCCATGCCTCTGTGCCAAGCGAAGAATGCTTCGCATATTGATGCTGTATTTTGTCAGAAATAAAGGAGAAAGATCTAGAGGATGTTCTAACTGACCACCTGTTCGTTGGGGATATGATAAAAGTTTCGCTCCAACCAGCGTTGGGTACATATTCGAAAGAACATTGATGTTGCTCTGTAGATTTTGCCGTGAGATGACAATGTTGTCCGTCGCATCATTATCCTTTACTGTCACCTGAACGTAGGCAACGTCGGATTTTTCGTTGATACAGGGAACATTGAACTCATGATAGACATCCAGCGAGTAGGATAGGTGAATCTGTTGAACCGATTTCAAACAGCCCAGGCGATGATTGTTTTCCGTGATAGAATCGACGATGCAGAATTTGGATTTTGCCGTGTACAGAATATCACGAATGATCCGTGGAGAGGCCTGCGGAAGCAAAAGCAGACCAGCGCCGGCTTTGGCAACCCCGAGCACAGCGACATAAAAGTCAAGAGACATTGTCAAGTCATTGGCAACAAGATCGGCTTTCGTCACTCCAATATGGAGCAAAAGGTGGGCAAGACCATTGGCTCGGGAGTTCAATTGACCATATGTCATGCTTTCCACAATAGGCTCACGGATTTCCGGCTTCCAAAGCATCAATTCAACAGCTGTCCGATCCGGGTCTGTAGAGGCAATCATCTCGACACCAGATGCCAAGTTTGGCAAATCAATTTCCTCGCGAGCTATTGCATCTTGAATAGATAAGGTTGATACCGAAAGATGGGATCGGATCTCCTCAATTGGCAGCGCGACCTTGTCAATCAAGATTGAAGCCACAGAATCAATTTGTTCGAGGAGAATCGTAGCCTGTTCAAATGGCAACACCGACTTCTGATAAGTTGCCCTAGCAAAGATGCTCTCCTCTCTTGGCTCGAACTCTAGCAAAAGCGCGAATTCCAAGAATTCACCGGCACCGATCTCCCGGAACAGGGAGCCCTGATGTTCATCCGACCAAATGCTTTCCTGCCACACGAGGGCCGTATCAAAGAGATTGCGCTCTAAGTCGATGCCAGAAGCCTTCTTGATATCTTGAAGAGGCAAATTGCCATGCTCGAGCGACTTGCGGTTCGTGTTGTGGATGGCTAAGATGAGATCGGTCACATCTCGCATTTTGTCGATGTCCATACGCGTAGGCAAGGTTCTAATACAGGGTCCGAGAACAGTCTCAATGCCTTTCAAGGGCAGAGTGCGCCCTGAAAACACAGTTCCAAAGGTAACATCACTAGTTCCAAGATAGGAGGAAAGGATATAGCAGAAAGCGGCTTGGAAAATGGTTTGCCGACTCACACGGAGGTGCTGGGAGACTTGATTGAGTTTGGATACGGGTAATCCCAGCGTGCGAGTCGCTTTCTCAGTGGCAGGCGAGATATCCATATCTTCATGGAAATTTGGGAAAGTTGCAGGATACAGGCCTTGTAGGTGATCGCGCCAGTAGGCGGAGGACTCTATGGCAGATTTGTCCTGCTTGTGTTCAATGAAATAATTCGTAACAAGATTGTAAGGGATTCTGGAACCGAGCTCTTCCCTAGACAAGATACTCCAGAGATCTTTCAAGATGAGCTGCCAAGACCACCCGTCGTAGAGCCCATGGTGTATATGCACAAGCGCACGGGGATGATACTTCCCTTCCACAATCTGGACTCGGAAAGGGTTCAGGATATCATGACCCTCATTCAAGCTCACGTTGTAGTCAAGCTCCTGTTGAACGGCAATACGCTCTCCAAGTTTATTCCAGGTAAAGCGACCATATAAGTGATCTTTGAGTCCAATTTCCACAAATCCAGAGCGCAGGATCTCGTGGTGGTCCACCAATTGACCAAATGCATGTTTCACCGAAGTTGAAGTAAGTGAAGGCTCAAACTCCAACTCGATCCAATTGCAGTATGCCTTGTTGTCTCGAATAGTTTCCAAAAGCATGGCCTGTTGGATATGGCTACATGGGACGATCTCCGAAACCTGCTCCCTCAGACCCAGTGAGTCTAGCCTTGCTGTGCCTGCATCTGAAACAAGCTGGATAATAGTTTGCAAGGCCGTTTGCGTATCCTCAATTGGGGTCTCTGTTTCAAGGCTGGTCGCAAGCTGCCAGATCGCATCCACTGAGTCAGCTTCCAGCAGATCGGCGACACCTAGGCGAATGCCGGCATCCAAGAGATGGGATGCAAGGCGGATCGCTGCTAACGAGTCAAGGCCTGCTGCTGTCAGGCTCTCTGTCGACAAGACCTGTCGATCTAGCACGCCAGTAACGCATAAAATGATAGATTTTTCTTTCTCGTCTCGGCAAGGCTGGTCGTCAAAGGACTGAGTGAGGCTACGGTGGCGGACAAAATCGGCTTCTAGTTTCTTGCGATCGATCTTCCCCGAGGGAAGCTGAGGAAATTGATCGACGAGTACAAACTCCCCAGGAATCATGAACCGAGGGAGTAGTTGACGACAAATGTCACGGAGGCCGCTGTCCGTCGTTTCTTTGTCGGCAATCAGTACAAATGCAACCAAGTTCCCGTCAATAACTATGGTTACAGCACTGCGAACACCAGAGGCCCTGGTGATAACGTGCTCAATCTCCCCCAGCTCTATCCGCTGGCCACGTAGCTTCACTTGACCACTGGAAATCCGCCCAAAACACTCAATCTCTCCGGTAGGGAGCATGCGGGCTTTGTCTCCCGTGCGATAAAGTCGGCCATACATCGGACTATCGATGAACGCCTTGGCATTTTCTTCAGGTCGATTAATGTATCCGTCTGCCAATTGAGGACCGCCCACCACAAGCTCTCCGATTTGGCCCAGTGAAAGAATTTCAAGGTCTTTGGAGGACGGGTCATCATCAGAGGGAAGTGACATGATGTATGCAGAAACTGTCTTAAATGGTCTGCCAATCATATTCACGGGATTGTTAGCTTGGAAGTGGGTGGCAGCGGTGCAGTGGATTGCTGCTTCGGTAGGCCCGTACATCCCATGGAGAATGCCATCGCGGCCCTCGGATTGGCCGAACTCGTCAACCACATGCCTGGTGAGCATCTCACCGATTGTGAGAAGTACCCGGAGAGATGGAGCTGCAGCTCGAGTGCACAGCAACTCTCCGGCCACCGTTGGGGTCAACTCAGCGGCATCAACTCTCATTGTAGTCATCACATGGGAGATATCAAGTAACATGTGCTCTCTTTCTGAACCGATGAGGGTTGCCCCTCGCATCATCGGGAAAAAGACTTCGAATACGGAAACATCAAAAGTAGGGGATGCAAATTGCAAAAAGCGCTTGAAATGGGGTATCAGATCATCATGAGCAAGAAGTGATTGGGTAGCAGCAAGATGGGACACCCCGACACCTTTGGGGCGGCCCGTAGAACCAGATGTATACATGACATAAGCGAGATCAGTGGGAGTGCTGCCAGTTGAGCATAGATCTGTGCTATGGGTGTTTGTTTGTAGATCATTCACAGTAAGGACAGAGATATGCTCTTTCGGTGATATCCGTGTTGCAAGAGCGTCATTAGTGACTACCACAGATGCAGCCACATCTTGCAAGATAAAGTCGATGCGGTCTGTCGGTGCATCGGCGTTCAAAGGACAGAACGCTGCGCCAGCCTTCAGAATAGCCAACCACGATATGTACAATTCCACGGACTGGGGTAGAAGTACCGGCACTACTTTCTGTACACCATTGGGAGTAGTCGAAGCACAAGCTATTTCACTCGCCAGATTCGAGGAGAGTCGGTCCAAGTCACGATATGACAAACAACGGACATTGCCATCCGCAGCGAGAAACTCAATAGCATGATTTGCATCGTGGAGCCCACGTAATGCAACTTCATGCAAAAGTTGAGGCCCTGGCAGCGTTGAAGGTGAGGGATTTGAAATCGCTAGATCAGGCACCTCGGTGGCACCCAGTGTTACCTGGATGCCTTTCTGAGCAGCCAGTGCTTGCACGATCTGCTTCAGCTGGTTTCCTAGTTGAAATAAGAAAGCTGCGTTCATGCCTCCGGTCGCACACAAAGCTCCTGACTGGGTTATGGGGTCCAGGGCCCACCGTAACGCCGGTGGTTTTCTGTCATCGCTGAACAGCGGATCTCCCAACACCACGGCGGTATGCTTGACTGAGAGATCTGATACAGCGGCCAAGTCCGCTGGTTGGAGCGTTTGAGAAGATAGATCTACCTTGACTGGTGCTCCGTTCAATAAAAAGACCGGGTTGTCATCGGTCGTAAATGCGCGTAGCAAGACTGCCCATGACAAAGGAAATATCTCCGAGGGGAGTTGGACATTCATCTGCCACGGAATGATATGAACAGCATCACCGTCATCGTTGACAGTAGGAAATTGGGTGAATCGATCCATGACTGGTTTAGTTTTTTTTTTTCCCACTGGAGCTCACTCGTTCATCTTCAAGGTATACAACATATAGTTAGGCTCTGCTTATTCGGTCTAATTAGATGCAACGTGAGTGGCTGGTCGGCCCAGAGGATCTTATGCAGGCAAGCGCGCGAAAAAAAAGAGGGTTCCCACACACACAGGGTTTTGAATGGAGGGGTTTTTTGCCGTTTAAAATAAAATAAAAAAAAGCCCAAGGGGATACTTCATGCAGCAGAGACTTTGGGGGGTTTGAATGATGCTCAGCGAGCCAAGCGCGGTAAAGGCAAGTTCCAAAGAGGCAAGCCGGTGATTTCTCAGTTTGTTTCCTTTGAAGTATAGTCCCAGAGTTCACAAGTCGTTTCTACTCTATCAAGAGGGAAGGTGTCCATCGGTATAGACAGGTTAGATCTAAGTGTCGATATTCCCACAGTCCGATCAAGATCATACCATCTTTTCCCGCTGTGACAACGCTGGCCTCGAATCGCTGAAACAACCGTTGGACTGGGAGGTGGAGTTGAAGAATGACCGGCGATGAATGACGTACATCGGTATACGATACAGGAGATAATACGGGCATTACCGCGCTTACCTAGGTATACAGTACCTACATGTATCTACCGGGTAGATAACTCCTTCGGGTCCCATGTATAGATGCATACGTCTGTACGGAGTGCTCCGTACGGAGTCCATGGATGTATATTCCAGGTTCTATCTATTATTTACGTCGATTGAAGATACTGAAGATTGCATTCCCGTCCGATGAGAATAATCTCATTGTCACCTCCCCCACTTTGAGTGCCTAAGCGTTCTCCGACATTACCACTGGCCACTGCTCGGAGCAATTTTCCTAGCTGCAGACCAACCCCACTGTAAACGAGTTCAATGCGTTGCCAAGGTGCACACTGAACGTGCAAATACCTGTTAGGTTCCTACGTGGACTGTCTCCGAGGCCCTCTTTTCTTTTTCCCGACATCGGCCGTAAGATCTGTTTCGGGAGTCTGGAATACACATATGTCGTGAGTATATGCACTCGACATGTACCTACTGATATTATGCTCTCCGGTTGCTCAAACCGGGTGCATGAAGCATGAAACCTTCTTTTTCTTTTTCTTTTGTTCTTTCGTAATTGGTATATTCGTGCAGTTCACGATGTATACCCGCCTATCGACCCTGGGGACTCTGGGAGGTAATGTATCCATTGGAGAACCAAAACAAAAGTAACGAAACCGGGATTTCGACCCTCAGAATGGCGAGATCAAAAGAATTAAAAACGGCAAAGAATAAAAATCAAAATCAACCCCCTCCTCAGTGGAGAAAATAGGGAATTGAGACGGTACCTAGGTGGGAAAAAAAAAAAAGTCCTCACTGATTGATAAAATTTGATCGGAACAGCCCAAAAACGCCAGAACCAGGGAAAATACGACGCCGAAGACTTGGCAAACGCTCAAGCGAGGGCTTCAGACGAGGGTAATGTCGCCGTATCCACTTGGTCAACTTATCTGATCCGCTCAGCTTTCTTTTCTTCGTCTCGATCCGACAGGGAATGAGGTGGGCCGATGTTCCGTGAGCATATAAAGCCGTTTTTATTTCCCTCTTTTGAAAGCTTGGAAGCCTGAAGCTCTCTGATTACCTCTTTCAGATTGTATATAATCCTCTTTTTTTTTTCTTCTTCTTCTTCTCAGCTTTCCAACCTTGCATTGACTCCATTCCCGTCATGGAACCTATTACCCGCAAGGCGGAGCTCTCCTTCCTCAACGATATGGTACCACGTACCCAGCCCCAGTCAGCCCGGTCGCTGCTGCGGTCAACTGGCTCCGACGAGATGCACGATCTGCTCTGTGTTGGATTCGGTCCTGCCTCGCTCGCCATAGGTATTGCTCTGAATGACGCGATGGACCCCGCCCTCGGTAGCCGGAAGAATCCCGACTTCAAGCCCAAAGTCTGCTTCCTGGAGAAGCAGGATCAGTTTGCCTGGCACTCGGGCATGTTGGTCCCGGGCTCGCGCATGCAGATCTCCTTCGTTAAGGATCTTGCCACCCTTCGCGATCCCCGCAGCAGCTTCACTTTCCTCAACTATCTGCACCACAAGAATCGTCTGATCCACTTCACCAACCTGGGCACCTTCTTGCCTGCCCGTATGGAGTTTGAGGACTATATGCGCTGGTGTGCTCAGCGCTTTAACAATGTCGTCAGTTACGGGGAGGAGGTCGTCGAGGTTGTACCCGGTCCCACCAATGCCCGTGGTGTCGTCGACTTCTTCACCGTTGTTTCTCGCAACACTGGCACTGGCGAGATCTCTTCGCGCAACTCGCGCAAGGTCGTCATTGCTCTCGGTGGCAAGGCTAAGATGCCTCCTGGATTCCCTCAGGACCCCCGCATCATGCACTCCTCCAAATACTGCACTCACCTGCCCCAGTTGCTGAACGACGATATGGCTCCTTACAACATTGCTGTCGTCGGCAGTGGCCAGAGTGCCGCTGAGATCTATCACGATTTACACCGCCGTTACCCCAATTCACGCACCACACTCATCCTCCGTGATACCGCATTGCGTCCCAGCGATGACTCTCCCTTGTATGTCCCTCGGTCGGCTCTGAATGATTACAATACTTACTCGATTCTTTTTTTCCTCTTCTAGTGTCAACGAGATCTTCAACCCAGAGCGAGTGGACAAGTTCTACAGCCTCGGCGCAGAGGAGCGTAAGAAGCGCATCGCCACTGAGAAGGCCACCAACTACAGCGTGGTTCGCCTGGAGCTTATCGAGGCCATTTACAACGACATGTACCTGCAGCGGGTAGAGAACCCCGACGAGACACAGTGGCAGCAGCGCATCCTGTCCGAGACCAAGGTCGCACGGATCGAGCACCACAACGCATCGAACCGGATGCGTATCCACGTCAAGTCGGTCAAGAACGAGAGCGAGGCCAAGGAGGTGCTGGACGTGGATGCCCTGATGGTCGCAACTGGTTACCTGCGCGACGCGCACGAAGATCTTCTCGAGAACGTACGCAGCTTGCGGCCCGCCGGCGCCGCGGCCTGGAACCCCAGCCGTGATTACCGTGTTTCTCTCGATGCTGCCAAGGTCAGTGCCCAGGCCGGTATCTGGCTGCAGGGTTGCAACGAGCAGACTCACGGCCTGAGCGATTCTCTGCTCTCGGTGCTTGCCGTGCGGGGCGGCGAGATTGTCAGCTCTGTCTTTGCGGATCAATTGGCTGGTGCTGCTCCCTTGGTGCAGGACACCCCGGTGCGTGCTATGCTGTAAACCACGAATGTTGAAATGTGACATGATTGTCATTCTGTGTTTCGTCTCCGGTTTGCTTTCTTGGGAAGTGGGCCGAGGTTCCTTCCAAAAAAAAAAAAAAAAAGAATATGTGCGGCGAGACAGCTCTTCTCTCCAATGATTCCCCCTCGCTGCCCTCACTATTCTGAGTGAACATTTAGACCCCTGTTTGTTTAGATTGATTTTTTTGTCCCTTATTTTCTTCTGGCTTTTGCGTTAATGATGAACTGTTCCATATTTCTTTGAAACTTACTCCGTACAATTTCTTCCTTACCAATCTTGTATTGGGGGTTTTTTCCCAAAAAAAAAAAAAAGAATTAATAACAATAACAATAAAAACGAACCTACTTTTCAATACGGAGTACGATATCATCGGCCCTACTCATCAGATAGGCGAGATCATCCCCATACCCTCCCAGGCAAGTAAAAAGCACCGAGCAAGTTCCCCAGTGCAGAGTGTCTAGTGGCGTGACACCAGTGGAGTAAATTCGGCGTACACCGCCGATCGGAAGCGTACGGTTAGCAACGCGGGTTTTAATAAAAAAAAGATCAAACAAATAGTCGTGGCCTTGGCAATGCGGGACAACCTGATCAAGAAATACGTGAAATTTGTCCAAGTGGGAAGCAATGTTGATCGGTGTCGATCTCAACCTCGTTAATAGAGTGGTGGAATTGTTGTTTTAACTTAGATGAATCCCTATATGTACCATGTGTACTCCGTATGCCGTACTCCGTGCCTACGTACCATACATGTATATGTACAACATAGGTCACGTAATGAAGGATTGCGATCTCCTCAAATCAGATAATCACCGGTGGGTCCTGCATGGATCAGATAAACTGGAAAATTTTTATCTGATCAGATGAGGACTTGGCATGTTCTTTTTTGGTTTTTTTTTTCTTCGCTTTTTCTTCTTTTCTTTTTGTTTCCTACTTTTCCTATGAATTATTCTTTTTTTATCTGGATTTCTTCAATTTGGTTGGGCTTGACCGTAACTTCTCTTCTGTCGACCTCTGGATTCCGACGGGGCTGTAAGTGTCCATCACCTGCCTAGTCGAGTGCTCCGCTAGCGAGATGGGGCCTTGCATACGAATCTGACTCCGAGTTACATTACCTACCTATATTATTCACTAGCTAATCATACCTTGTCTTTTCTTGTTCTTGCGCATCGCACGAGTCGCACGGTTGTATACGTTGCAGATCGTGAATCTTTTCCCACCGAAAAATAATTAAGCACAGATACTATCGATGGGTTCGGTCTACAATGATCGTAAGAGACCTTTCTCGATACTCCGTCGGACCCATGCATATGCCTCATGTTGGTCTCCATAGGTTGGATAGAGACTAGGCCCATATCCGTGCTCGAGAGCTTAGATCTTCCCCAATTTCCCGGGCTCCGCGGTCACGGTGTTCGGTGTTTAGGATTCGGCGATATCGGATGTCTCGCGCAGAACGGAAAGTACCCACCCCGGAGGTCACTGATTTACCCTAGGTACATGTACCTACGGAGTACGGAGTACATACCGAGGTAGGTTTCAGAACAGCGGCTGGGACATATGTGGAGTCCACTATCATTCAATGCCGTTCCGCGGGCCCTGCTATGTATTGTATATCCTGTACGGAGTAAGGTTGCGTCTTGGATTGGTTTTGGAGCGGTTTCCGGGGGGCACTCTGATATAGAATCATTGCCAACGTATTCAGCCAACAGCGACCTGTGCAGCCAGCCTCGTTGTAGAATCCATAAAAAGGAGAAAAACAGGAAAAAAGGAAAATAGATCTCAAGCATCAGGCCATACTGGCGTTTCGGCCGTGGAAGTTTCCTTCTTTGGACAATATACAGAGTAGATCGTCTCTCGAGGGCTGCAGCCCTGCAGTCTGCACATCCGGCGGAGCGACTGCATAATGCCCGTGGACGTAGATCTCACGTTACAGAAATACTTGGCCAGCTACTGTGTGCTGGCATATGCACCTTGGAAGCTCCCATGCAGGTACTCTCGTAATGTAAAGTGCGGGATACACTCTGGGCGTAGGTATGTACCTAGACATGGTACCAATTGGACGCCCCAACCCGCCGGTTCGAACAGGCTAGGGCGGTCCTTCCAAGGTAAGTATCCTGCCGACAGCACCGAAGATCCGGGACTCGGCCGCGAATGCAGCGAGCTTGTGGGTGTCTCAGCCGCAGAGCCAAGAGAAAACGGTCTGTCTTATCTGATGGGCGAAAATTCATGGAGATAGGGGAGCCTGAGGACCTGGGCCGCATATCCTATTTATCCCCGGAAACATATAAAACAGAGTGAACTACGATTCGGTCATACAGCAGAGTAGTAAAAGAAATCATTAATATCTGGCGTCAACTGTACAGGATTCTTTCTAAATGCAAACATTCGGTCGTACCACGTGCCCCAACAATCCAACACCACGCTGATTTGCATAAAACACAGAGGTATAAGGATATCATGCAAGATCCGGAATTGAAAACAAAAACAAATATGAACAGGCTCGGATTTCGGATCAATCTTAGACCATGCGTTCGGGATCCTCGCCAGCAACGCTGCGGTAGCCAGCTCCCTCGCCAGACCGGCTCCCAGTGTGCATGCGCATCGGGGTTTCGTACATATCATGATAATTAACCACTTCGCCGCCGAGCATTGCCAAGCCAGTTTGGCGCTTGCCAAAGAGCGGAGCCGGGTCGCACCAGAAGTCGCGGCAGTTGGTGATGACGCCGCGGGAGAAGGGGTTGCGAGGGCGAGCCGCTTGGGGTCCGTCGCGAAGGCCGTCCTTGGCTGTCGTCCAGAAGGCATCGATTCCCAGGAGAGATGACCATTGTTGGAGGCAGCCATGCTTCCGTCTAGGTGCCGGAGGGCCACGAAGGGCCGGATTCGGTCCTTGTCCAGAAGCCGAAAGACCAGCAGCCTCCAAGGATGTGGTTCCGGCGGTCATGGCCGATGCAAACGCTTGAGAACTCGGGTAGGACCGGTCGATATGATGACCTCGCATGTTCTCGTAGGTCGTCTGATTACGCGATATCTGAACAAGCTGGACCGCGCATAGCATCGTGACCCAGACCAGCTGAAGGATAGCCCACACATTCAGGACTAGAGTGAAGGGATCCCGAGAGGCATAATCACACAACATTTCGTTGATAACATTACACGTGACGTCGGTAGGTGCGGGTAAAGCGTTAATATCTTCGTCTTGTTAGTCGACTGATCGTAGGGCAATATCTTTCTCCGTGAGGTACTCACAAGCAATACTCAGCTGCACAAACAGAATAATACCAACTTCGAGGGAAACTATATAAAGGACAAAATGGCGGAGATTGTTTGATCCGACACAGTTATCAATCCACGGGCAATGGCTGTTCGAGCATTAGTGATTAGATCAACAGGCGAGGAATTGGAATCCCCCCCCAAAGAACACATACTGGTCATGCTTGGCAACGCAGCGTCCGCAGCGCCGACAGTGCTTGCTTCGGATCGGCTTTCTGGTCAAACAAGGGATGCAGAAGTTTTCTTCGTCAAACTTCCATTGCTCGAACAGCTCCTTGACGATCTCTCTCTGTTGATTCCTGCTGCTCACTTTCGGCACATAGCCTGGGTCCTGGACCATGGCATAAATGTAGAAATAAGCAGTCGAGCAGAAGAAGGTTGCGAAGAAAATGTTCAGAATCGGAGACGAGGAGTAAGTTGCGGGAAGCACCGTGAAAGCATAACGGAAGCCAACCCAGAACAACGAGCCCGCGAAGACACCAGCTAGATACGGTGTTTTATGCAGAACATGATATTCTGAAGGTCCCTTGTTTGCAAGTTGCTGTGCAACATACTGCATCCCGAAGACAGTCACTAACACGAGGGGCACGGAAATGAAAATCGCCAGGTTACTGAGCATCCAGATTCCAACCAAGATGGTTAAGAAAGGCCAGAGGAAGAAGAACTTGGCCATGATGTTCTTGTTGCGCACAAAGCTTGAGAGACCTAGGGGCACCACTTTCTGGGTGCCATCAGCTTCATAGCCACGCTCATTGAGCGAGCGATACCAGATCCGTAGGGTGTTCATTTCCTGCGCTACAGTTGCAGGAGACTTCCCATCGCGTGTTTTCACGAACCGGTCCGCGCCATATTCAAGCAACTTCAGGACACAGGGCATCGAGCCCTTGACTAGCGCCCAATGAAGTGGTGTCAAGCCACCTTCATCCACGGCGTTTGCATTGGCACCCCACCGGAGAAACAAGTCCACACACGCAGGGTATCCCTTATACGCAGCCCACATCAGCCCGGTGTGCCCTTGCTGATCAACGACATCCACAGGGATCTCCTGGTGCAGAAGCAGCAAGACCAGGAAAGCGTTGCCATCGATGGTCGCAAGGTGTAGAATGTTGTATCCTTGGACGTCGGTCAGGAGAGGATCCCCTCCATTCTGAAGCAGAAGGTTCACAATATAATAATGACATCGCTGCGCAGCCCACATGGCTGGTGTTGCCACCGATTCCCCTCCTTTAGCGTTGACGTCGGCTCCGGAATCGATCAAGAATTTGCACATCGCGTATTGATTGTTGATTGCCGCCCACTAGAAAGAAAAGAATGAGGTCAGTAAACGCTATTCCGGGGCTATTTCTTGCGCTGGGGTTGCGCGTGTGGCTTCAATTAACGAACGTGCAACGGCGTAATCCCCTCCTCGTCCCGGTGAGTTGCGGTGAACCTCTTCGCCGTGAATAAGTTCTGCATGGCGCCAATCTCTCCCATCCGAGCCAACTGCATTACATCCTCTCCTAGGGGAATTGAACCCTTAGGAGGATCAGGTCGCAATGTCTTCATCTCCATATCCTTTGGGGGAACGGGTGTGCCGTTACCATTCGAGGCGGAGGTGGAACCGGAGATTTGGCCCGGGCTGGGGCCCCGGGATTCGGGAGAGGTTTTGGCAGACATGCTGTCTACTGTCGAATATGTATGGAATGGGACTCGAGAACCGGTGGGCAGGAGACTCGATTTGATGACTATAGTTTGAGATAGTAAGTTAGAGGAACATCGCGATCCCGTCGCCGGCGCATCCACGAAAGGTCGAAATTCCCAGCTCCAAGGGTGCAAATTGGAGAGGGGTTGGAAGATTGAAGTTGAGGTCGAAGGGGCGGACTGGATTTGCGGAGACGCTAGCGAGACACCGACACGTCTTCTTCTGTAAACACTTCCCCGGGCTGCCTTGACTGTGAATAACCTTGGAACGATCTTCTGAGAACAACTCTTAGGAATCTCAATCTCACTTCTCTGCCAAATTTTCTATTTGTGAGCTCTCCTTTTTTTGGGAGATTACTCAGCCACAGGCAGCCGCATTTTGCCGCGGTGGCTCTTGGCTGGTTGATCACTGCCGATCTACTCTCTTGAAGTTATCATGCTCTTGTTTCTAATGTGTACGCTCCAAAGTTGAGTACTATGACGCCAGGATAATCTTGAGCTTGGAATTCATTGCGATCTGCCGGGGGAAAGCTGTATGTCTCCAAATTCTGCATACTCCAGACAACTGAACATCGTCCACTTTGAGCATACATCCCCTCAATAGCTTCAGATGTTGAAGAATTATAAAATCGGATGCGACTCGCCTGGATCTTCTTTCCCTTCATCCTCTGAACTGCCTGGGCAACTATGCTTCGAGCATCTCTGATCTATTCGCTTCTCTCTTATATTGATCTTTTTATAGAGAATAGCAACTATGAACCATGGCGAACCTCGAACCCGCTCATCTGTTAGCGCATTGATGATGGCCCCTTAACGATTTTTCTCTAGGTCCTGCGATGATACATAGGGATGGTATGGTTGGAAGTGTGCTCACGACTAACAGGAAATGAACGTCTCTAAACACAATTTGATTGTTTAAACCGGGCGTCAATATCAATGGTATGAACTTCTTTTCCACCATCTTTCTAAATACACTGTGCTTCTTACTTCTCCCGTTGAAGCTGGTCTTAATTGAAATCCTAGATATCATTCAATGAATCGAGATAAAGACCCGAAACTACATCAGGGATTGGCCGCATGGGCACGCAGACACTCGAAAGTACATTCGGGACCAGGCTCTGATATCCGATTCATATGAGTCCACAAGGTGAAAAGGAGATTCGCCCTGCCATCATCTTGTCCCTGGGATCCAATTTGCCATCTACGATCTTCTTCCTTTGCCATGCGATCGAATGCCATGGCATACTCATCCACTCCGTGATGGCCATCTAGAGTAAGTCGTCCGATTTGCATGGCCAGCATATTGAACATCTTCATCGTAACGACGGGGAACTGCTCATCTTGAATAGTAACCAAATCAGCAACCTGTCTAAGAACATCTGCGAAATTGGAGCACCGGTTCACAAAACATACGCAAGTGGCCTCGTGAGAATCATGGAGCTCGTTCCATGTTGAAAGGGTGTGGGCTATACGATGCAGCTCACTCTGGATTGTAGTGACGTCCTGACCTGAGGGATCCCCCGTGGACAGGTTTTGGATATAAACGACGAAGTCATCCCGTGTGTGGGCAAAGAGTTTCCGTGCGGCCTCCTTAGTAGCTATGTCCATCGTTAATATATAGAGAGGTTCTTACGTCAAATGAAAATATAGATGAATACCAGGGAGATACCTCGAGGCGATATATATATTTTACGAGGGAAGACGCGCCTTTTATCAAGCACTTAGCCTTTGATTGAAGCACCCAAGAGGGCTTTGTCGGTATATAAAGACATAAAAGCATAAAGAGGACAATAGATCAGAACAAAGAGAAATGAAGGCTTTCAACGGTGCCAGTCGAGTCTGGCCTTTGTTCCTCAAAATGAAGATCCAGTGTGTACGTTGTGCAGCTGCTGATGTCGAATGTGGACGATAAGGGATTTGGAGCTCCACCTCTCTCCTGTTTACGTCCCCCCCCCCCCCCCAACAATGATGGACATCTTGACAGACAAGATCACATCCATCCTCAATGATCGAGGTATCCCTGCCAAAAGACATGTGATTGGGGTGGCATTTGAGGATTCCGGGAATGCAGAATGGGCATCGAAATACCTCCGCCCGGACACTTTGCTATCACAGGAGGAGCTTATGTTGTACGCTTCTACGACAGCATTACAAAAAATAAAACTGATTAATACATGGCAGATATTCTAAGCTCAAAGATTCCGGTGCTCTCCAGCCTTTCCTCGGAAACCCAGAACTCGGCGCGACACGGCCTATTCTCGAAGATGATCTCCGCAACGCGATCGAGTCCCTCGAAGCCTCGACGGCAACGATTCAAAAACAGACCGAGACCTTGAAACTCCAATGTGCAAGCCTCAATACGCAATTAGGCCTTGAAAACGATGCAGAGCAGCAGCGGAGTCGTGATATTGCTCGGCTGCGAAAGAAACATGAAGTGGGAAGGCAAAACACTACAATGGCGGTAGGGAGCTTGTCCGCAACTAGACCCTCGCATCATTGCTGACTCTGTGTAGGCAATCGAACTTGCCGATGGGTTAGAGTCCGATTTTAGGACTGCGACAGAAAAATCGGGTGCAGAAAGCAAGAGAATCCTCGCCTCGGTGTCTACGCGGTTAAGGCAGGACGACAAGGCCCTCACGAGTCTGGAAACTGTTATGTCCAGTATCAAATATCGTGGTAATGATGCATCTACAATAAAGCGTACGGGTCATCTCAGCACGATGCTCTCGGACTATGCCGCCGAGGAAATTCATTATCGACTCGATCGACTCTATCTGGAAACAATCCAGACAGGCCCAGGTTCTGGCGGTACAGATGGAGCAACGAGCACTGCCCTAGAGGAGGAACTAGAGTCCCTGTATCCAGAGATTGCGATATTAGCGGAGATGTCAACTAGGCAGCAGTTCCATGAGCCCATTCTCCGTGAACTCCAGAACGAACACAGCCAGCTTCGAGTGGCGTCGCAGGAGAAACTAGAACAGGTATAAGGCACTTCCTGCGCAAACTGCGTAAGTGATCAGCGATGGGCTAAATTATCTTTAGGCACTCGACATGTTGATCGAGATGACTTTGTCGAAGCAAGATCTCGCCAAGCAACTCGAAGTCCGGGAATCGTCTTCCGAGCTGTTGGAACAACTTGCGGCATTATATCAACATGAAGCATGCAGCGAGGCTGTAACACAGCCATCATCCCGACGAGAGTCCCTGCGACGGCGATCGTTACAGCCCGGTCTCCTCTTGGCTGCCACCCAAACACCCACTGCGCCCACAGTTGCCCAACCAGCACTCGAACGACTTATACGGCGTGTTGGTATACCGCCAGAATCTATACTCCACCCACGCGAGAATAGAGGGGTCAGTAACCTTCATGAAAAGCGATATCACATGTCCGAAACACTCGGCAACCTCAATATAGCGGTGGACGGTCCCTTGGTGACCCATCTAGCGCCGTTGGACCACGCATCCCAGCTCTTTGATTCTTCATTGCACGCTAACTCTCATTATGAGACATCATTGCGCGATCTTGCCGAGGAAAAAGCGCTCCTGGGCCTCGAGGGTGAACTACGGAAGCTTCACGATGGGGTCCAAAATCTCAATCTGGATGTCCTCCACCAGCGTGATAGCAATCAAGACAGATTAATTGCGCGATGGACATAGCATGGCTCAGATTTGTCTGATTGTTTCTTTTCAGATAGATCGGAGACATTCTGAATGGTATTGTCTGATCTCGCAACTGCAGGTGTAAATGGTTGGCTCGTAATCGCCGCTTGTGTTAGCGCCCGCACCAGGGTGGCTCAGTCGCTTCTTCACGAATCCTCTGATGACTTGTGATTATTGTTGCGCATGCAGGTAGGCTTGAAAAAAAGGGGCAGGGGAGATACAACTCGAGTTGGTTCCCAACACTGATACTATAGGCTCATGATACCATCTTTGCAACTACATCCTCGTGGACCCCAATATCACATTCTACTCTCCATGTTGGACTCCAGAATTCTGATTTTGTCACCTGCAACTGCTCCGCTGACTCGGCGGATGATCTCTTCAGCCACATCTTTTCCGTGACTTGATATCTTCATGATCTCCTTCTTGGGCACAGGATGTTGCCTGTACCAAGACTACATAACGAGCCATTGTCTCCCTTGCCTTTCCGACTCTGAATCTGCTTTGTCCCAAATATACCTCCAATATCTATCTTTGCTTTTGATCTTTGCTCTTTGCTCATTTGAAAGGAATCAGCTACTTTGACTCGATTGACCACTGCCCACATGTCTTGCTTGCATACCCATTTACTTCGTATGATCGCAAACAATGAAGTTCGTGTTTCCGATTGTTTCTTCCACAACTCTCTTGTTCGAGAGTGTCTTTGTTTCTAGATGCATTGTTTGAAGGCCATTTATTATCTTTCCATCCCCCATGTATTGGACTGTCTCAAGTATCGAGAGCAAGATATTAACTTCAAGATAGAGGATACGCCGTCAATACAGGGAAGGCATTACTCGAAGACCTGTATCTCCAAAACATCGCCATTTCAGAAGCTATTCATATAGCGATAGATCTACTTTTGACTACGAATACCCATTGCCATTGTTGAGAAGATCGTGGTCGGGAACTTTAGGGCTTTCACCAAACAGATATTTCTTCGAAAGAGGCCCATTCGAATCCACAGAAATGAGGTCGACGCCCTCGTTCCCCTCATGGAGAAGGAAGGGATCAACGCCCACAAGGCATAGCACCGGACGCAGATCGTCAACCCATGAGCCGCTGTCTGGGCTCTTTGTAGTTGACCCTCCTCTCGAGTGGGAAATGGCCTCGAGATATGCTAGGGAGCGATTTGATCTCCGTCCAAGATCACCGGCCCCGGCTTATGAGACGCGAGCGCCACACTATCAGACCCAGCATGCTCAACAACGATCCCGTTCCCGGTATCGGTCTTCTGAAACACCATCTCCGGTTCGAGGAGTTATGCTGCGAGAGCCATGCAGTCACACCAGACGGTCGCAGTCGCCTCCCCGCCGGTGTACCGAGCCACGGGTGGATATTGAGACCCGAGAGCCACGACATGGCCGAAGCAAGCAGGTTCGATTCGATACCTCAACACAGTCTCGGGAAAGAAGGGCCCGCCCACTCTCTCCCGTTAACGAACGAACCCCTCGTCGAATAGGAAGACGGGTCAGTCAAACTCACATAGAAGAGCAGGCTCCTCGAAGCAGGCATCGTCCTGCGTACCAAGGATTTACTTGCCCGGGGTCTGACAACGACACACCAATCGAGACCTTTGAAAGAAGGAGATCGGTCTATAGCTACAACCCAGGACGATCCCAGATATATCAATCAAGAGATGCATACACTCGTGATAGCACCAACGTTGGGTATGAATATCGACGTCCCACGCGGGCTACCTCGCGACCAGAACGTGACCCAGCTCCTTCACAGAGTAACCGAAGGAGGGAAGATCAAACCCATTACCAGACGGGGCCCAGAATAGTTCGGGATGGACTCTCTGCAATGTCGGACTCGGCTCAGCGTGTCCTCCAGAGCGGGATTCGGCGGGGATACTATGAATAAACTGTCAAAGCACAAAGCCCATTGTGTTTCGCAATTTGATACCGCAGATTTAAGAGATTTGGAACTTTCACTAGAAATAGATTAGAATAGCTTAGAATAGAAGTATCTCTGATAGATCTTTGAAAATATAAGTGACAACATCACAATTGCGTACGTTGTCTGTATACGGAGTATAACGCGGAGATCATAAGATCAGGTGGTAACAACTTATCTTCGCCCCCGGGCCCTTGGGACCTGCAGACATCTCCACAGAGTCCAGGCCTTTGGCTCCTTGATTTCTTCGATTTGCTTTCCTGGTTTCCCCTCAATTAAATGACCAGGGCCTCATACGTTCTGACTCTGACACCAACGACAAACGGGCGTATCGCTTCCAAACAAGCCCCGTGATCGAATCTGAGATCCGCCACAACGCGAGCCCAACCAAGTCCCAACAGAGGCAAGAAACCACTCGTTGGAAAATGAGATATCTAGCTGGGGAGCCACCATTCACCTCAAGGTCCAGGTGCGCTCTTTCGCACATATTTGCCCACCCAGACCGCGTCTGCGTGTGGCAGTGAAAACCCCCCACACGCGCACGATGGCCGCTGTGACACAAACCGCGACCATGTCCGTGTCCCAAGACCCAAATTCCCACGCAAACTCCACATCAACCATGCGGAAACTCGGCTCGTCGCTGGACCTCGCCCGCGACCAGCCCGCCAACGATCCTGATTCGCCGCAGATCCCCGCTGTGTTTGACATTTCGCCCGAGGCTGCATTACAGCTGCTTTGCCTAAATATCGAGCGACTCGGTGCTTTCTTTGCGCAGGAGCCTGCCAGCACGGATGAGGTAGCCCAAATTTCCTCGCCTCTAGATGATGTTACTCCTAGCGAGGACCACCTCGAGCTGAAAACTGTCGGATTGCATGTTCAGGATCCGAATGATCCTGTTGACTCCACCAGGGCAACAGAGGAAGCGATCCAGATGGCTATCTTGTCGAAGAAGTTCTTATCGAAGAAAATCCCCCCGGTCCCCTTAGAGGAGTATCTGCTTCGTTTACATAGGTACTGCCCTATGTCTACGGCGGTCTATCTCGCAGCTAGCGTGTACATATCCAAGATGACATTGATTGAAAATGTGCTCCGAGTGTTGCCGAAAAACATGCATAGGCTGGTGCTTGCTGGTATATGGGTTGCTTCAAAGGCTCTGGAGGACTTGAGCTACCCTCATAGCCGAGTTGCCAAAGTTGGTGGAGTTAGTGACCAGGAATTATCAAAACTTGAGATTAGCTTTTGTTTCCTGGTCGATTTTGAGCTGCGTGTTGATGCGCAGATGCTGATGAATGAAGCGTTGCGCTCTCAATCTCCTTTGTAACCCATCGTTTCGTCTTATGTGGCGTCGTTGGACTCGTCGGATGTTCAAGGCTACTCCCATTTATGATCCATGTCAGCCCCATCTCGAAATTTACTCAGCGAGATCAGTGATATACAATATGATACTTCTCAAATACGCCCAAAAAAGACCTCAAACAAAAAAGGACTGACTATTTCAAGACTGATTTGTGGACGCCGTGTGCACTTCGGGGTAGTACCAAGTGCAAACAGCTACGATGAAATATACCAACACACAAAGAGCACCTTCAAGATAATTGGACTTGCCATCACGCAAGAAGTTTCCAACAACCAGAATCGCTAGCACAAGCAGAACAACCATGAAGATCTCGAAATTCAAGCTCATTTCCTTGCCCATACCCCAACCAACAATGACAGTGAGTGGGGCGTTCAGCAATGCGGTCTGAATCGAAGGGGCCAAGCAGTGGAAGAGCGCAAAGTTGATTTGGTTGTCCCAGGCTTCGTCGATGGCTGTGAGGTGCTCGGCGGCCTTTTCAACCAGCGGAACGAGAATCAAACCAAGGAAATTGTCCGAAACACCGCGCTCCACAATGTATTCAATCTCTTGGACCAGGAAGACGGCGGACATACAGACGCAGGCCAGGGCAATCGCAATGACCAAGAAACATTCTAGCATTGTGAGTTTCGCTCTCGCAGCCTCTTCATGTCGATCCTCATCGTGATGCTCATCTTTCTCTAGAATGTCGTCAAAAATCGAGTTATGGCTGTGTAGGTTGAAGAAAAGGTATCTATCGCAGATGTTAGTCACCCTAAAAGTCAAATGAGGACAAATAGAATCAGGAAAAATCGGTTCACTCACATGAAAAATGCCACTAAAAGAATCACCGCAGTGGCGCGGCTAATAGTTAAGGCGTATTCGCCCAACATCGCCAGGGTAAACTCTTCGTTGACGCTTCCGCGCAGTGCAGAGTAGAATGCACTAGGAATCAAAAGACCGAATCCCGCGACAAGGAGCAGCCCTGTGCCAACTTCACTGACGGCTTCGTGGAATGTCTGCTCTGAACGCCTGATACCGCCAACAAAGAAACACATACCCAAGCACAGCAGCAGATTTGCCAGTATGGAACCGAGAATAGCGGCCTGGATGACAGGAATAAGATTTCTATGCCTAGCCTCGTCGTGGTTATGCAACAAAACCATAAACAGCACTAGTTCCACTACGGCGCCCAGGGTTGTTTCAACCAAGATGCCTATCATCTTTGGTAATTTTTTGGCTAGCTCTCCCCCGGCAAATCCAAGCAGGTTTGCCGAGGGGACCATCGCAACATAGTTGAGACTGAAAATCCAGACATGCAGATCGGGTCGCGCAAAATGCATAACAATTGCAGCGGGAACAAACGGCCAGAGGATATTCACGACCATCGACAGCGTGCAGACACTCCTGAAGCATACCTTGAGCAGATTCCACGGATGAATGCCAGTTCGACCGCTCTCCCCGGCCGTGTCCACGCGGAAGATAGCCCATGCTCGTTTGGAAGTGGTGGAGTTAATAGGCAATATCGGGTTTTGCGAACGCTTTTCCTGGACCGTTCTCAACTGATCATTTCCACGGAGACGGAGGTCAGCGTTCTGGGAACCTGTCGATCTGATTGAGGCCATCCCAATGGTTATGAACAGATGAGGCAGAAAATCGGGCGAGTACGCGTTGTACACGCGAGGTAGACAGTGAAGAAGCAGCCAAAAAAAAAAAAAACAAAAAAGTCGAATTTGAAATAAGCGTCAAAGGAATGTTAGAGAGAAATATGAAAGAAAGAACAAGGAACCAAACGGAAATACCAAAAGACTGCAGAATTGGACAAGGATTTGGAGGTGCAGTTGAGAAGAAAAGAAAAGAAAAGAGCAGGGGACTGACAAGAGTATACTCCGTCCAAGCACAATAGGAGGCAATAAAAACAACGGTGCGTTGGCACTTGACAGAACCAATCAAACCTCGTTCAATTTGGATCAGCGATGGAGCATCTATCTGAGCCAGGCGGTCTTGGCGCATTCAGCCATGTGTTGATGCTTTTCCCGTGAAGATCGACCTCTGGTACGGAGTATTCCATCCTGAGTACATAACACGGAGCAATCCCTGGCGCATCACAATTTCCCCCCATGTTGCGGGAAAATAAGGACGGGTTGTATGGAGTACTCCATCTGGAGTACTTGCAAGTGGCCTTCAATTACGGAGTACTCCGTACTCCGTATTGTATCATGCTTGGTTTCTCAGGGATGAAACGCCAATTGTGGAGAATGCCATTTACTGCACAGCCACGGCCTTGGCTTCACAGAAGGTTCGTAATTAAGCGTGATTTTCTGCTTTGGATGTGTAACAGACTGTATGGAGCTTGTTGATCTTGATCGCGGTCAACATGCTTAAAGACAGCATTGGCCAATCAACCACTGTGGGTGGGTAGAGATCGTCCTAAGCGGTGATTCAGGTCAATCGTTGACAGGAGATGAGGGTTGGTAGTGAGGTCAGAAGAGGTTAGGTACCTCAGTATGCCCATACCTCCATGTATGTACTCCGTACTGCGTACTTCGTACTCCGTCCTCGAAGTAGGAGATGCCTCCATGTTGGTGTGTAGAATGACCAATCAGGTTCGAATTGATGTCCGACCTGTGGCGGTGATTGAGACTGGTCGCGCCCGTTTCAACCGATCTTCAGCTGTGTATATATGCCACATACATATGTATGCAACCCATGCAACCCATGCAACCCATGCAATCTGAATGTGTACAGAGAAGTGTGATCCGTACTCCGTAGTATAGATCTGATGGGCCCACAAGGGAAATCCGGTTATCGTCGGGCGGGGCGCAAAAAGTCGGATGGCGAAATCTTCAAAAACCTCAAAACTTCCTTTGCATTTCACCCTACATATCTCCAATCATGGCTTCCACTACTACCCCCGGTGTCCCGCCAGTCACCTTGGACACTATCACCCAGCAAATCGGCAATACACCCCTTGTTCGTCTGAATCGCTTGCCCCGCAGCCTTGGAATCGATGCCACCGTCTACGCCAAGTTGGAGTACTTCAATGCCGGCGGCAGTGTCAAGGATCGCATTGCCTTGCGCATGATTGAAGAGGCTGAGCGATCTGGCCGCATCAAGCCTGGTGATACCCTCATCGAGCCCACTAGTGGCAACACGTAGGTTTTACCCCCCCACCTCATCCTCCAGAGCATAGGGTGCTAACTGGCCCTCAGTGGTATTGGTCTAGCACTGGTTGGTGCCGTCAAAGGTATGTCTCTTTTTTCTTCTTGATAGTTGTCCGATCTATGCTGATCTTTTGCTCAGGCTACAAGACCATCATCACTCTACCGGAGAAGATGTCCGCCGAAAAGGTCGCTGTCCTGCGTGCCTTGAATGCCACTATCATCCGAACACCCAATGAGGCCGCCTTCGACTCCCCCGAGTCTCACATCGGCGTGGCTAGACGCCTCCAGAAGGAATTGCCCAACGCTCACATCTTGGACCAATACGAAAATGTGAACAACCCATTGGCACATGAGCTTGGTACTGCCGAGGAGATCTGGACCCAGACCAAGGGCCAGATCAACGCTATCGTGGCTGGCGCTGGAACCGGTGGTACTATTACTGGTCTTGCCCGTGGTCTCCGAAAGCACAACCCTGATATTAAAGTGATCGCCGCCGATCCCTTTGGATCTATTTTGGCTCTGCCTAGTTCCCTCAATGAATCCCGTGCCAATGAGCCTTATAAGGTTGAGGGTATTGGATATGATTTCATTCCCGACGTTCTGGACCGAGAGGCAGTGGATCAATGGATCAAGACTGAGGACAAGGAGTCTTTCAAGTACTCCCGCCGTCTGATTGCCGAAGAGGGCCTGTTGGTCGGTGGTAGCAGTGGCAGTGCCGTTGCAGCTCTGGTCAAGGCTAATGAGGCCAACAAGTTCTCCAAGGACGATGTTGTCGTTGTGGTTCTCCCCGATAGCATCAGAAGTTATCTCTCCAAGGTAAGATCCCTTTTACTAATATTCTGTATTCCAGGTGACTGATCTTTTTCTCTCTCGCAGTTCGCCGATGATGATTGGCTCGCAGCCAACGATCTGCTCCCGTCGCCTCCCGCCGTTGCATCGACCATTCAAACGCAGCCCGAGTCTGACCCTCTAGCCAATGCTAAGGTTAGTGCCTTGCGCTTGAAGCCCATCACCACTGTTACCGCCAACGCTCCTTGCGAAAATGCCATCGAGGTCATGCGCGATAGAGGCTTTGATCAGCTTCCCGTTCTGGCCCCCTCCGGGCGCAAGCTTGTCGGTCTCGTCACGCTGGGCAATGTTCTCAGCCGACTGACACACGGTCGGGCTTCAGGCCAGAGTCCCGTTTCAGAGGTCATGTTTGACTTCTCCAAGATCTCCGAGGTCGTTACCGACCCCCGTGATCTGTCCAAGGGCCTTGATTCCCTCAAGCCTCAGACTCGGAGCCGTGGCTTTATTGAGATCACCATGGATACCCCCCTTAGCGTCCTAAACCGTTTCTTCGAGTGGAACAGTGCTGCGGTTGTGACTGAGAAGGATGCAAATGGTGCAATGAAGCCTTTGGCTGTTGTCACCAAGGTGGACCTGCTCACTTGGATGCTGCACCAGTCCAAGGCAAACAAGGCCTAAAATATCTAATTTCTGAATTGCATTCGCGCGAGACATTGTTGGGTAAAGGGGTTCAACATTCCTGAACATTTGATATTGTGGGATAGGCGTTTCTCTTGCGTTGGCATGAAAGCTCCTTCGGTGGAATTCAACACATTGTGGGGATTGTAACGGGATCGTGCAGCGCAAAAGATGGCGTTGAATGTGATACATAATTTAATATAGAGAATATCCGGTGAAATACATAAAGCCTCCCAAAGGTCTAGAAACATTGTCATTGGTCAATGGAAGCTTGTCGGTGAGAACGGCATGTCGCGACACCGACAGAGCATCATTAGATCTGTGTAGAGTACGGAGTAGACCAGTACTCTATACTGATTATGAGCTGAGGACATGAAATTTGACATCTTGTATACGTAAAATCGCTGATCGGCACGGGATCACTACCGATAGAGAAGTTATAGTCACCCAGCACCTTTCTCATTGAGAGAATATGTATACATGGTCCATCTATGTACATTTTTCGTGGCAGAAGGCAAAAAAAAAAAAAACCCCCCGACAATCACAGACACATACCAACCCACTCCTCCCAACGGCGCACTCCGGATCCGAATTCCTCCTGCAAGTCACCCTTGACAGCACCGCCAATCACCTCAACTTTGACACCTACCTCATGTTCCAGAAGCTTGAAGCTGAAAGGTTCCTGGTCATCATTGCCCAATATTTCTTCCTCGTCCTCCAAGCTCGTATCCGCACTTGCATCTAGAAGACCCTTGGTCTTCGACTTGCGAATGCGATCAATCTCTGCCTCCAACTTCTCTCTCACCGCGCCCGGTGGCAGTGCCGTGAAGAGATCTTGCTTGTTGGCGGCGATTAGAACGGGTATCTCAGTAGTCCGCTTACTGGATGAACCATTCTTTGCGCGCTTTTGCAAAACAAGAAGAACGTCGTGCAGATAAGTGGCAGTATCACGGAGCGTTGCCTCATCCACTAACGCGGCGGTATCAATCATGAAAACCACACCGCGCAGCCTTGTCTTGATGTCCTTTGACAGGGACATAGCCTGGAGCTCGGAGATCCCTTGCGAAACGCGGAGCTTGCCATGACCGGGAGTATCTCTAACGCGGTACTTGATTGGATTCCGGATAGCTTCCCTCAAGGAGGGATCATTATCAGATCGGTAGCGGTTCGAACCAGTTGGGACAGTTGGTGGCAGAGTCACGGTCACGAGGGTTGATTGTTGGGAGGTGTGGGTACTATGTGACTGTTTCGAGGCAAGGGAAGACTTGGCTTCGAGCTGTAGGGTGATTAATAAAGAGAAAGAAAGAGAGAAGAAAGGCATGCTGAATCCAAAATATTTACCAAGGACGTAAACGCAGTCTTGCCAGCTCCACTAGGGCCCAGGAGCAGGAAGTTGCTGGAGGGCGGAGATGCTACAGCTTGGAAGAAGAAGATGTGCAGTGTGATGGGAACACCAAAGGTGACGAGGATGGCAATGGCAATGGCGACCAGATTACCATCGAACAACAGTGTGGCAATGCCAGTGACTGAATTCCAGTTTGCTTGAGAAGACATTGTGTGTCAACTTGCAAAGTGTGGGCTGACGGGGACACGATAGCCCCCGAGATAGCACGGGCCATCTTATCGTAGCATCTCCATGTGTGCCCAGTAATCCCTACATATACACAAGGGAGGAATGCACATACCAACATTTCAACCTATGAAGGGATGGCTTCTCACCTTGATCCCCAAGATGATTCCTCTTCCTTTGTCTTCACAATCACATCATGCGAGTCCAATTGCTTCCCCTGTTGCTTGCGGCTGCCTATGCTCAGATCTCTAGTCTGAGTTTTGATGGCGCAGCTGTCATCAGTCTGCTTTGGAGCTTGGATAGCGAGCCGAACTCGGCTTATAATTTCTACCTCTGTGCCGGAGATGAGACTACCGATTCATATGTATGGTAAGAGTTAAACCTTTGCGGTATAGGGCTAACCATACATATATCTAGGACACTCTATCGCCAGTCATTACCAATCGCGCCTATGCTCCTGGTGACATGGTGTCATTTCAAGTTGATCAAGGCATCGGTGGGAATGAACCAAATGCATAGTAAGACCCATCTTCTACATTAGCCCCTCATAACTGACCGGGTGTCAAGCTTCTTGAAGATAGTTCAGGCTGGATCTCATGAATATTGGTCTGGATTCACTTCCCATTTCACCTTGACCAACATGAAAGGTACCTTCTCAAGGAGAGTAACAGATGCAATCAACGTGATGCAGCCAAAGCCCGCCATCGCCATTCCCTGGCCTGTTCAAGACAATCATATTGCGGGAATTGATTCTGATTTCAACACGACCCGAGCTTCTTCGACCGACATGGTCTTGCAGTTCCCAACTCCAACCGTCACAAGCGAAGCACATCGTGAGTTGAAACGACAGGTGGCTGCTGCTGGCGTTGGAGGCGTCGGTGGCGCTGTTGGCGCTGTTGCTGTGGTTGACCAGCACACCGTTCCATATGGCGAGCAGACTGGCTCGATCAAGTACGCCCCGATGCCTAAAAGCGCGGGGACTACCATCGCAACTAGAACAGCCAGTCCTCAATATCCACCATTCCCGTTCGCCATTGCCACTACCTACCTAGGTGCGCCAAACGTCCTGTATACAGACATGCTCTATCCAACATGGACGGCGAACAGCATCGAAAACACTGTAAGTTGGATGATTTATGGCTAAGTATTACCAATCTAACTTGTACTCAGGCTGCTCCTGCTCCCGCGCCCACATTGGACAAAAGAATGCAGAAATGGTTGGACCGGTGGAGGGATTGATCTTAGTGGCATTAGCCCCTTATCTACATATATATCAAGGCTTAAAAACACTTTTACATCAATTGCTGAGTGCAGATCAAGGCGACTTCCATTCCTCCAAGGCAGGTGTTAAGGGCGTAGCCGTATGATTATCCTCGGGATGGAACGAGATGTTTTCTCGCATCGCAACATAGTCGCTATCGGAATAGCCAAGTAGTGCCTCAATCTGTGTGCTGCGATGGCCTTTGATGTGTGTGATTTCAATGCTCCCGTAGTTGACCAGCGCCCGGCCAACCTCCTTGGGTTCCTCTCTGTGGTGGATAAAGTCACCATCCAGGGCATCTGGAGACGGCCGATCAACAACGACCAACCGCACTGATTCCTGCTGTCCGAAGTGGCCTTCAACTCCGACCACTCCAGCTGGAAGAAGATTGGCATTATTCAAAAGTGCCTGGTACGCGCCGTGGTCAATGTATAATGTACCGTGCGGGTACAGTCCGTGAAGCAACCAGAACGTCCGTGATTGTATTGGAGTATCTGAACGGAGGAATCGGGTATGGAGAGGGGGAGAGGGAGTTGAGCCTAAGCTCCCGCTCTCTATATGCTGTAGATACTTCACAATCTCGTGAACATTGCCGGGTTTTGAGCTTTTAGTGATGACCGTTGTGACACCAGCACTAGTTCCAAGCTTTGCAGCGACAATCTTTGTGCTCATGCCTCCGGTACCGAGCGAGGAACCTGCCGATGAGACATCGGCTTCGAGAGAAGAGATATCGGACACAACCTCGATGGGTCTTGCGTCGGGATTTGTTCGGGGATTCGCTGTATAAAGACAGTCGACATCGGTCATCAGGAACAAATAATCGGCCTTGACCATAGCCGCCGTAATCGCAGAAAGGGTATCGTTGTCGCCAAATTTGATTTCCTTAATGAAGGTTAGGTTAGACTAGACAATGTTTGGAAATGAGAAGAAAGGAGAGAAACCTACGGAGACGGCTAGAGTATCGTTTTCGTTGACAACAGGAATCACTCCCATATCAAACAACTGCTCGAATGTATTTTGTGCATTGACATATTGGGTTCTCTGTGAAAGTCAGCGGGGGAGATCGAGTTGGATAGAGGAAAACATGCGTCGGCAATATCATTTCTTGTCAAAAGAATCTGGGCCACTGGAACACGGAGATGCGAGAATAAATTATCCCAAAGACTCATCAGTCGGCATTGGCCGACTGCGGCGAGGGCTTGTATGCGGGGTAGGTATGTTGGTCTTTCGTCCACATTCATCCTTCGCAGACCAACTCCGATGGCACCAGAAGATACAAGAACGACTCGGTGGCCATCTCTATGTAGCTTGGTCACTGTCTCCACAATCAAGGTCAAAATTGAGAGGATTGGCTCATGGGTCTTCTCGTCGACAATCGAACTTGTCCCTGTTGGAATTAGTAGTCGGAGCGCAGTCAGCTATAGATCTTCGCACCTAGCTTGATCACAATCGTGAGACCGGAGGTTGACATGATCAATGACTCTATCAATTAAGTGAGAATAAGATCCTGTTCACAGTCGCAATTGATCAAGGAAGAGTCACCATGTTGAATTCCGCTTATTCTGCCGGATATCACCGCTCTTTGCGGAGGATCTCGGTCTTTATCGCGCTTTAGAACTGATTAAACTGATTAACTCCACATCAAGCATGACAGACTCCCAGGCAGGTGCGACTGCACCAAAGGAGAAGCCCAATACTACGGGATTCGTCTCTGGTGATGATACCTGGACTCAATTCCGCAATATCTATTCCATCCTGACGGGCAAGATGTCCAACGAAGGAATCGAACAGTTCCGTGTTGCGCGAGATACCCGCAACGAAGAGGCAGACTGTAAGCGCTGTGAGGATCAGCGAGATTATCTTCTTCAATATAGTGAGTCATTTGCCTAGGTGTTATTGTCCAGTGACTAATCATTTCAGGTCCTACGATTCGATTCCTCAGTGAAAGTATTCAACAATTAGGAGGCGATCTTCACAGTCATAATATCTACTGTCGTCGCTGCACAGACCGGAAAGGTGGTGGCTTCGATCCAGAGTTTGGAATTTTGATCTGCGCAAATGAAATGAAGGATCAGGGACACCTTGAAGATACCATGGCCCACGAAATGGTTCATGCTTTTGACCACCTCAGGTTCAAGGTGAACTGGTCCGATAATTTGCGTCATGCGGCCTGTACTGAAGTATGTCCCCCGTTATCTTTTCTTTCTTTTTGATTCTCTGCTAAATCCGATTAGATTCGGGCTAGTTCGCTCAGCGGCGAGTGCAGATGGGCCCGCGAGTTCTTCCGACGAGGGCAGTGGAAGCTCACACAGCAGCACCAAGAGTGCGTCCGAAGAAGGGCGATTCTCTCCGTACGAGCACGGCCAACTTGCAACGACGAAGCTCATGCCACAAGGGTCGTCGATGAAGTCTGGGATAGCTGTTTCAGGGACACGCGCCCATTTGATGAGATTTACCGATGATACTCCACTCTTTTGTATATATAATGTACTATATTGTAATTCTACCAGCCCTACAAATCTTGTCTATATTCCAGAAGAATAGAATCGGGTAGTGAGTCTAACTTTAAGTCTTCCAGGGTTAAGGAATTAATGGTAGAGCCATACATGTAGTTATCAAGTCTACCAATGTACGTACTCCGTAGGTAGTGCATCATAGGCGCCACGCTATGTTATTGATAGCCAGTGAACTTCCTGTATGATTTCATGCCTTTACTAAGATAGAGAGGGAAATGATATATATGTTGGAAGGAATTGGATAAAATTAAAATCAAAATATCGCCAAATGAGTGCCGCTCCGGAACTCCTAGACCCAACGCGCCTTGAAAATGCTAGAAGAACACATGGGAATAATACCCAAACCATCAAAGAAAATACAAGACTACCACGTATGTTCATGCTCTGGTATCCTTAGAAGAGCTCCGTTTCCGGTCATCTTTCACACAGTGCTTGACAATCCAAGGATGACGTTGAATCTCCTCGAGCGGAATTCGCTTTGCAGGGTCAAGAACAAGAAGCTAGTTGATGTGTAAGTCAGGCACAACAATATGAGAGGATCTTTTTAGATTTACCTTCTTGATAAGGTCCTTCGCCTCCGGGCTTACGAAGGAAGGAACAGACATATCTGCTCTAGAAATGCGCCGTTGGGTCATAACGGGGGTATCCTCAAATGGCGCCTCACCGACCAGGAACTCGTAGGTCAAGACACCCAAGCTCCACAGATCCACCTTCTCGCTATAATAGTTGTCCTGGGAGCCAGGCTTGAGCATCTCTGGGGGCAAGTAGTCGAGAGTTCCACACATGGTTTGGCGTCGGTTGTTGGGGGCGTGAACACTCCAGCCAAAATCGCTGATTTTGATCTCCCCATGAATACCAACGAGGATGTTCTCAGGCTTGATATCACGGTGCATGACGTGCTTTTTGTGCAGATATTTCAATGCTGCGGCCATTTGTGCGACATATTGTGCAGCCTTCCATTCCGGAAATCGATGCTCTTTGCGAAGATGCTTGTAAAGCTCACCACGGCCAGCAAACTCCAGGATCAAGAAGATCCTTTTGCTATCATGGAAGTGACCGTAGAGCCTCAGGACATTGGGGTGACGCAGGTTGCTTTGTATCTCTATCTCGCGCCTGACCTGCTTCTGGACACCTCCTTGTTGTAACTCGGACTTATGCAGCACCTTGAGCGCACAGACAAAGCCGGAGGAGCGCTCTTTGGCAAGGTAAACCCGTCCGAACTTACCCTTGCCTAGAGGCTTGCCGATTTCAAACATTCCTAGGTGCAGCTCTTTAGGGGTGGGCTGATCGCAGAGTGAAGATGTTGTGCGCTGATCGCCGTTTTCGTCGGTGCTTCGGGTCACCAATGCGCCATGGGATCCTCTACCTGGCGAGGCAGGAACGTTCATAGCATTTGCCTTGTTTTCATTGTTGTTTTGCAGAGCCAACTTCAATAATTGTGCCCGATTCGAATTACTATTCGACTGGGAGGAGATTGGGGCCTTGATTTAGATAAGCAATGTATTTCTCCAGGGCTCGGGGTTCACAGTATTCGAGCAAGTACCTTTTGCTTGTAGATTTGATTTCCATCTTTCTCGTCTTTCATGGACAGATGCTCGAAGCGAGCTTCCAGGGTCTTAGCCATAGTGGGTGGGATAAAACGCAATCAGAGGAGGTATAACGAGTGATTTGGTCCCTTTAATCCAGTGCAATCATGATATGCACAAGCTTGGTTGGTCAAGAAGACCAAGAGAGACAAACAGAAGGGTGTTTGGACAATTCAAGGCGTCACCCCAGCAACGTCTTGCTGATGTAATAAGTACACACCGCCCAGGCCCTTATCCGCTCTCAGATGTATGCCAAAGTAATAAGGAGCTGAGTACAGAGTACTCCGTACGAGATGATATATATTCAGGGATGGGAAAAAGAATCTCAAATCAAGATCGAGTGACATGAATTAGGAGAAGAGACCACTAACTATCGGCCTCCAGGTCTTCAGGGATTAGGTATTCTGCTGAACAATTTTATCGGACCGCCTCTTTCTCCGTTCGCGGGGTTATCGCCATCTCCAATCGCAACCATTGAGAGATCCAACTTTACATGAGCTGACTTGTCCTCGTTGCTGCCATGGCCACTACACTCTCAGAGGCAAAGCCTCGTTCAATTACCATCAATGGGTTCCGTATCTCGACACAAAAGCTGCCCATTCTTAAAGCCGACCCGATCGAGGAAATGACCCAGAAGCTCGGCATCGCACCCCCGGAGATGATTTTTGGTGATAATTACGTTGCGATCGAGCACGAAAAGGGTTGGGGCCTTGATTTTAATGCATTTGATGCCCTGGATTTGGTGGACAAGACAGGTCAATCAATGCTCCAGGTCGCGTACTCGAGAGAATGGCAAAAGAGCAGGCACGTTTTCTTTTCTTGCTTTGTACTGATTTCAACTAATGATATGCAGAGAGAAAACCCATGAAGGGATTAAAGAGGTAGTCAAGCCGTTCGACTGGTCATATAGCACCGATTATAAGGGGACCCTCCATCCTGATGCGCCATCGTTCGAACCCACGACGAAGCCCATTCCAATCGAATTATTGAAGCGCCCAGACCCTATCCTGTTTTTCGATGACGTTGTTCTTTATGAGGACGAACTTGCGGACAACGGAATTACAATGTTGTCTTGCAAGATTCGAGTCATGCCCGGGAGACTTCTTCTACTGACGAGATTTTTCATGAGGCTTGACCATGTTTTGATCCGAATCCGAGACACTCGAGTCTACGTTGACTTTGAAACCGGTGAAATCATTCGAGAATATCTCTCTAAAGAGTGTGAATATGAGAATGTTCGACAGGTACGTTCTCATTTGTGTGGAGATTTATATTCAATCTGACAATTACCAGATGCTAGCAGCAACCAGGGATGACATTCCGGCTTTCTTGAGAGATCCCAACCGACTGTCCGAGATTCTCCCAATTGTAGACAAGCGTTGTGAGCGAGTGGTGGTAGAGGGTTCCAAACCCCTCTAGAAGCTACTTGTCAAAAATAAATCAATTTGTGATGCACATTTCGAGAATACAGTCTTTTGCACGTATCTATTTGGTTTCCCAAACTGGGCCAACCATTTTTCTCCCCTTAAATGGATATAAGGTACTTGGTTTTATCACTCCAGGTGTTCTATGCCCTGGGTCATTCGTTTTGATACAATCTTTTCAGAGCTGCATGACTGATTAGGGTAGTTAAGGGGTTTAGAGATCTAATTTATATTTAATGAGATACGTTTAGGACTCCGCTCAGCATTCACCTTGACATTTTCTTGCCCCTTATGACGGGCTTTAGGTCTAATGAGTCACCTGCTCGATCTATTGATACCCTAGGCAGCTGGTGGCTTTAGTGGAGGCAACAGCACCGATAGCCCAATACCAATACCCACAAAGGTATATACACCAAATTGAATAATATACTCCGATTCCGTATTGTACGAAACATCATGGTCAAAAGCCAGAGGTAACACTGCGAGAGACAGAGCTATAATTCAAGGTAGAGCGTAGCAGGGAACCCGGAAGACCTGCAATCGGAGCGTGAGCTTTGATACTGTCTGATCGTTTCGCAGAAGACTTGGGTTAGTGAAATCCATCTGTTATTCTGTCACATTGTGTGATTTCAGCCATGTTTCCTTATTAAATCGATTCTCAAGATCCTCTATAATCTTCTATCTTCTAATGTTGAAAGGATGTTCAAGCAATACTGCGGTGGTGTCGTCAAGGAATATACGTAAATGTATACATAGATGACATATAATGCACTGATAGTGTACCTAGTTTTACATCCTTGTATGTAAAGGCTCTGTGGATTATATATACAGTTCTATCGGATGATATTACCGTTCTCCTATCGGCCCTTGATGTATTTCGGTGTTATAGATACCTAGGTATCGATCAGCACCAGGGACCACTGGATCATATTACAGGACAGATGACCTCTATAGCGAATGAAATCTTCGGCAATATCACGAAGTAGTGTTCGAGCAACAACCCTGGAAGTATTCATCATGAGCGTATGACAGGACTTATATTTGTTAAGGATTGATTCACAATAATTGCAAACCCGCTTCGCAGTTATCAAGTGTTCGATTACAGAAAAACAGAGGAGCCAGGTAAAAAAGCATGGAGGACGGAAAAACAACCGGCTTATGACCTTCAATGTATGGAATTTTGAGACTACAAGAATCTCGAGATCTAATTCCCAGGGTGGGAATCAGCTTATGTATACCATCATCTTGTCGGTTAGCTCTCTAGAACGCTATCTCTGTAGAACAGCATATATCTAAAGCGAGACTGATTGAATCGGATCATCAGTACCAGAGAGCAAGATAAAATAACAGCAGAACAATTGTTTACAGATGAAAAAGACGACCTTCAAACGTGAAAGCCAACCTTAGAAACCTTACTGTATCAACAAACCAAATGCCTATCCATGTACCTACCTAGATATAACCCTAAAACTTTCAAGCACGAGCAAGATGACGAGAATTATTGAATGAAAATATCCAGACTTAACTGGTTACCTGGTTAATCGGTTCTATTCGTATCTACATACAAAAGGTAGATTGTAGAAGGTGCATTGCCGGATGTACATCGCAAACAGTGCAAACACAGGAAAAGATACAGATCCCCAATCATGGGAGACCAATTCACACAAATCCTACACCCTCTACAATGTCATCCAGGCGACTATCCATATGGGTGCGTGACATTCGCGTGTCTCCGCTATGCCTTTCCAGATATGCTAGCTCAATAACCACCTGTGCCTCTACGAAACCATCCCTCCTCCGATCATACTCGCAAGGCAAGGTCTCCGACTTGGCCAAGAACTTTTCCCGGAGACCTGGAAATGCTGCTGAGACTTATATTGCATATGGCATGACACAGAAGCTGTTTGAGGCCTGTTCCAGCCAAGCGGACTACAAGATCCCCCAAGCGTTGCAAAAGGGAGTCGAGGTCCCAAAAACTGAAGCTGGGGAAGATCTCGGCGTAGGAGAGGGTTGGTGGTATAAAGGTGAGGCACATCCGCATTTGGCATTTGGCCTTTGGCCTTTGACTTGAGCTAACCTGTTAGAACTCGGTCTCTTGCCAACATTTTCTACATGGTCCCAGGTGACTCTCCTCCACATGTACCTCTTGACAGTCCGCCTTCGTGCTCTTCCCTATCGCGACAGCGTTACCACCTACTCTCGCCACCTGATCGATCACTTTTCGCATGAAGCTGAACACCGCATGGATGTGTATCATGATTTAGGTAGTCGCACTATTCGCAACAAATACTTGAAGGATTTGTTCATTCAATGGCGTGGAATCATTGCTGCGTATGATGAGGGATTAGCCAAAGGTGACGCGGTGCTGGGCGCTGCTATCTGGAGAAACCTTTGGAAAGGGAGTCATACCGGACCAGACAACCAAGAAATTGACTGGGCCAAGGTTGCTCAGGTGGTAGCCTACATGCGCCGGGTCTTGTCGGAATTAGCCAAGAAGGACGAGGTCGATCTTGTTTTTGATATACATGGCCAGAACAACGGTATCTTCAATTATTCTGAGATGGACAAGAATCTTGTTGCAGCCAAATGAGCAAGCGATGACCATGTGGTTATATCATTTACATGTACAATACTACTCTTAATAATAAAAAAAAAATTGTTCATCTTTCAACCCTATCTTGGCTCAAAGAGCACCTTTTCCATGCCTTGATAGAAAATCCCACCCTAGTGTTTCTTGCTAAAGAGATCCTTTTCCACCATGCCTCGGCAGATGGGGTGGTAAAAGTCCTTGTACTTCTCGAATGTTGCGAGTGCAACAGGGCGATTAATCTTCTGGAGATTGCGGTACCTAAAACAATCAGAATCAAAAATAGCCTCCGCGATTTGGGGCACTTACAAAGGTCGCACAAACTTCATCCGTCCAATGCGGCCTAGCAGCTCGGTCGTGGGCTCAATGACACTTTCATCTTCTGCTTTCATGCCAACCTGCAAGTAAAGGTTCGAAACCTCGATGTTCTCACTCTTAGTCAAACCGTAGACTTCACCCATGAGCTTTGAGATTTCCGGGCTTAGAGGTTTTTCCAAGAGCATTTGTTCCAGGAAAACAACCAACTGGTTTGCCGTCAAGCCCTGAATGTCGCTGATTTGAGGTTTGAAGGAAGAGTCTGGAAGCGACTTCCATTTCTTGCAAAGATCATACACAACGTCCACCATTGATGTGTCGAAGCTCGGCTTAGGAGGCAGACCCGGCGCATAGAACCACTTATCCCAATCCAATTGCTCCAGAAGCCGGGAAGCCTCAGCATCTGACTGGAAGAACTCCAGAATTAGAGCTTTGAACTCATAGGAGTCGAGTGATTTGCACTTGAAGGTTGTGAAGTACTGTAGGTGTAAATATGTCAATATCCCGCTTGGCTCTTGAGAGGAGAGGGGGAAGGGATCCCATACGTGAGGAATGAACTTATCAAACTTTGCCTTTCCAACAAGATTCTCAAGGTAGAACAAGAAGTTGAAGCCCTTCTCATAAGGAACACTCGAGAACGCATCGTCGGGGTCCTTGCCCTTCAGATCAACAATAAGTTTAGTGAACTCGTGTTGGTCTCCAAAATGGTCGACAGCGTCAGTTAGAGACTTCCAACCAATAATGGCAGAAAAGTGACGATAGGCTTCGCCATGAATGGCAGCCAAAATCCTTCTCTCGAGGTAGACAGTCCAGCCTTCATTCAACCAGAAATGCTCCCACGAGGCATTCGTAACCAGATTACCACTCCAGCTGTGGGCCAACTCGTGTGCAATCACATCGATGTTCTCGCGGTCCTAGACAAAATTAGCCATGATCGAAAATTACACGAGGAAAAATACCTTGGAGATGATGCTTGGGGTTGCAAAAGTAAAAATCGGGTTCTCCATGCCGCCATACGGGAAACTCGGCGGCAAAATCAAAACATTGTACTCACCCCAAGCATAAGGATAAACAATTTTCTGCGAGGTCAGTTTGGATAGTCATAAGAACTAGAATATAGGCTTTTACCTCGATGGTGGTGATGAAGTTTTCGGTATCTCCCTCGAGTTCCCACTTGCATTCTTCCAGCTTGTCGGGGCTGGTTGCAACAACACTACGGGGACCGATCGGAGCCTCTGCAACGTCACTGCGTTTATGAGCACAGTCCTAAAAGAGGAGGGAAGATTTTCTTACCCGCTAGCAATGGCAAAGAGGTAGCTGGGGATTGGAACCGACTGGTGGAATCGATACAATCCTGACTCCTTGCTAACCGACAAACCGCTGGTCATGACAGGGAGCGGGGAGGTGATGTTAAAGTCAAATGTACTTTTAACATCTGGAGTATCCTGGCAAGGGAAGATAGATCGGGCATGAATTGCCTGACATTGCGAGACTAGGAAATGTCAGCTAATACAGTGGAAACCTTCACATGGAAGGAGGCTCTCACACATGTATGGATGTTTCTTGTTTGAGGTTTGCGCAGGCGTCAGCCATTGCAATGCGGTGCATTTTTCGGTGGTTTTCACCGCGATCTACATTGTTAGAAGAGATGGGGAGAAAGAGAAGGGGGGAAAGTCAATGGCGTACATCAACCTCGACGGTGCCATTCAGCTCGACGGCCTTATCAAGGCTGATCTTCAATGGCACACCAAAGGGCTCCAGAGGTGGAAGAAGCTCCCACTTGGTTGGCTGGCCATTCACCTTTACCGTGCCAATGTCAAGGTGGCTGGTATCTAGGATGATCTCTTGGGATTCGCCATCGGTGATAGACTTGAATCGATGAATGACATTGCCCACCAGCTTCTTCTGGTCAAACAAAATATCGAAATTGGCGGTGATATGGGTGGACCGCCAATTGTTATAATTACTCAAAGTATTCGGGTCTCGAGGATTGATCGTAGTCATGGTGCGAACTGAAGTGCGTAAAAAACTGACGTGGGCAAAGAAACGCCGATACATGTTGTGAGGGGGAAAAGGTGTCTCCGTCTGTAAGCGTCAACATGACTCAGGCCTCTACAATTCTCCAGTGGGACTCTTGACTGATACATGTTTTGAACAGCTTTCTGTATCCTCCCCCTTTCTTCAAATTCTCTTATATCCAATATCTTGGAAGTTTCTACTTTCCCCACGTCTGTCCTGTTTCCCCCCTCCACCGCCCGGCCCCTGAAGTGTAGACCCCCTGACGGACCTCCCTTTTGGCCCGCGCTTCCATTTCTTGCGATGTGAGAAGAGTGAGTCTTGCCTCATCCCGCATTGCGCATGGTTCCTGATCGGTTCTAGGGAATATGTCTTGGTTCGACTCTTAAGTCTACGATGTATTGAGATAGGGATACCCCTCACAAACCAAGCCGATACCCGTTTCTCTAGCAAACTCGATATACTAGAAAAATGATTCACACAATGGACGACGATTCCTATCTCCGACATCCCTCCTTTGCGGAACAAACCCAACCTTCTTCCCGCTCATCACAGCCCAGTTCTCGGACTCGAGTTTTACCAAACGCGGTCATGCCCACTGGCCTCGAGGTACTTACAGAGAATGTGGCCAATTTGTCTCCGGATCGCCTCGGGCCCACCAGCCCAATTCAGGAAGGGCTAGGCAGCTTGAATCGCTGGTCCCAGTCTACGGCATCGAGCAAGAGTCCCTCGGAGTACACGGGGCATCATCGTCGAGGAAGCTCGAAAATGTCCGTCTCGGGGTACAACCGTGGACCCGCCCCAGGTCTGCCATTCGATCTCCCGGGGAAGAGTTCTTCATTCTCAAGTCAGCACTTCCACCCAACCGAGCCCAGAACGGATATCGCCCATACCAGTTCCATTCCGAACGACGAAGATCCGGCGACCATACAACATGGCCTCACCCAAAAGGCCATGCTATCAAAGGCACTTCAAAAAGCCAATACGGCAGTCCTGCTTGACAATGCTGCCAATTTCGAGGGTGCTATGGAAGCCTACACTGACGCCTGCAATTTGTTGCAGCTTGTCATGCTTCGCAGCAACGGAGGAGATGAAGAGAAATTCAAACTCCAAGAAATTCGGGACACCTATATGCTTCGGGTCACAGAACTTCACCGTATGGACTTTCCTCTCGCACAGGACGACGGCAAGGCTCTTCCGGATCGTCCTCTCAGCCAAGAGTCATACGGAGAATTGCTCCATTCTGATGGGCAGAACTCGCCCATTCCACAAGAGTTTGAAGCAGCCCATCGCCACTCCTTGAAGCCATCCCCTTTAGAAGATCAACCCTCTATGACGGAAGAGAACGAGTCTACTTCATGGTTGGACACGATTGACGAATCTGGTTCATCGCCATCGTCAGCGAACTCTAAAGCGTCATCGGTGTACCTTCGTCGCCGAACAAGTCGTCGACTCAGCGATACTGAGGCTGAATTTGATGCGGCCCTTGATGCAGCCGTTGAAGCCGCATATGACGAAGGTCTGGAGCCAGTGCTTGAGTATGAAGAAAATGATGATATTGTTTCAAATGCTCGCAGGAATATTCAACTAGCAAAACAAAGAGTGCGCGAGGCAGAACAAGAGGCAGAGGCGATGAACATGCATCATAAATTACAAGACGCCAGCATGTATTCGGACGATGAAGAGGAAGAGCGCTTGCTAGAAGAGATGACCAAAGGATACGTGATGGACGACTTTGAATTTGGCATTCAGTCCAAGTCGGCACTTCCTCGAGAATCGGATTCTAGTAACATGTCTGCAAGGACATGGGAAAGCTCCACATCTAATGCTGCTGGGTTGTCTCCACTTGCAGAAGATGATGTTGTAGACCCAAGGCATACCACGCCCTCTTCCCCTCCATCCTCGGGTTTGCCACCCCTACCGGCGTCATCCGACTTCCCTATCATCCACGCGAAAGGCACTCCCGCTAGCTCTATCAGATCACTCGCGTCTTCCACGGGTCCAGGGGTGCGGGCCCGCAGACTATCCAGTCAAACCCAGCTCAAAATCGAGATCAATCGCTCTGCATCGGTAGAAAACTTGACACTGGCCAACCGTCCACCACCGTTGCCGAAAGACGAACTTGGAGCTCGTTTGTACCCACGCAACCCATCAATACACTCTTTCACCGACATCTCCAAAACACGTACTCATGAAGATGAAACCGACTTACCCCCCTTACCACCGTCAGCGCGACCCATGGGCAAAGTACCTTCCGCTCCAGATGGATTGAATAAGCATACCAAACCATTTCGAGCCCGGAACGCCTCTGTTCCGATTCAAATCCCCGATAGGTGTCCAGAATCCCCAAGCACTCCGTGGAGCGGTGCATTCCCTGACACTAGGGGGGTCACGGTTTCACCTATTCCTGAATTAAGTGGAAATATGTTTAGTAACAACATCCACTCACCAACAGAACTTGGTCGTCCAAATTCGTTAGTAGCCAATGGACCTGCTCCTTTAGAACCTTGTCCGGAGTCTTTTCTGCTCCGCCCATTTTGGCTCATGAGATGTCTTTACCAGACACTCGCGCACCCTCACGGGGGTTATTTGTCACAGAAACTCTTTATTCCTCGGGATGTCTGGCGTGTAAAAAATGTCAAACTGAAGGCTCTCGAAGACAAAGTCTCCAACTGTGATCTTCTGACTGCCGCACTGCTAAAATTGGCTCAAGTTGATACATATGATGCAGATGCCGTCCTAGAGGAGATGCAGTCATTTGAATCTGTCCTCGATCAAGTTCAAGGTCTTCTGTCCAAAAAGCTTGGCAGTGATGTTGGTGTCCAAGCTTCCATGCCATTGTTCAAGCCAGCTTCAATGCCAGATGAATCTGCTCCACCTGAAAATAAATACTTGACTTGGAAAAGATTACGCGCCAAAACTTCCGGACTTGCGGCCAATCCTGCCCGAGAAAGTCACAAAGACAACCTTAACCTCAACTCTGTTCCGATGACTTCCTTGCATGGAACGCCTGCGAAGCGAAATGTTACCCAGCTTGAGTTCTCTGGGCCCAACGCAAATTATATGGGGGCATTGGCGCGACTGTTCGATGCTGCACAGGTGCTAGGTGTGTTCTTCTCTATCTATATTTTACCGCCCTTCTAACCCATGTAGAACAAATTGCGCAGCAGGTTGAGGATCCCGGACTCAAACATTCGTCTAAAACACATGTCGGTCTGGAACTCAGCACGCGGCATGCTGCTGAGTTCTTTGGCTTCTATATTTGCCGGTTCGCACTGGCTGATGTGGGATTAATGCTCGACAAGTTTATCAAGCGAGGTAGCGAGTGGGTGTTGGTCTAGACAGTATATAATCGTTGTTGTTTTTTTTATTATTCTACGAGAGATACCATGATATTTGATGATTTTATGAGTTGCATTTACTTCATTCACATCTGTGCTGATAAAAAGATCTGCCGTCGTCTTTCTGCGTCTCGGATAATCTCAGCTGACAATTTTAGACTGGGTGCTAGATGTGCATACCTCTCTACCTCGTTCACCACTCCCGCAATGATCGCATCCACCCGTTCCACAGATGGAAGCAAAATAGAGAGAGTAGGAGACATGGTGGCACCCATGATCAACAATGTCTGTGATACCATTGACAAGGCACCTTGCCATAGGTATGGAAGATGGCCCTCGCGGTGACTAGTGATATGCTCCAGCTGACGGATTGTAGCATCCAGACATCGCCGGCAACATTCTTTCACCCCTTGATCTGCTCCAGCCTGTTCGTTCTCGAAGACTGCCAAAATATATGGGCGATAGATGATAGTACGGCATGCATTGTAGCGAAGCCTCAGTACTGTTTGGGCTGGATTGGAAAGAGGGGCCTGCGTCAAAGGGAACTGAACGGGCCGGGGAAGACTGTCGTACCACTGCGACAGCTGAAAGTCAAGCTCAGAGACAATCGGACCCAACGATGCGAGGGTGTGGGTGGTATCTTTCTGGTAAATGATATGGCTCACGCGGTTGAGGAGTCTTCGCAACGCAATCTCTGCCAGGAAATACCAGATTTGACATTGGGGCAAAGACATAGGCGCTCGACGTTCTTCGTCCCCCGCCTCCTCATCCTCTTCTTCCTCAAATCCCCCCGGTAGGTCCACTAGCTCCTCAAAGTTGACAATGCCAGAATGGGGAAGATCTAATTCCGCGAGAAGATCACTTTCAAACAGCAAGGCGTTCCAGTATACCCTCACACTTAGTTCTCTCCATTGGCTAGGGATTCGATTTGGACTGCCGAACAACAACTGCAATTTCATACTCACGTTGGATAGTAACGTCCACGCTTCCAAGGGCCGCACCAGATAGAATAAGTAAGCAGAGGCCATGACCATGCACTGCGTCGCAATGACAGTGTTTCGCATCATTACCGATGGTAAGAAGCTCCATGCAGCGGCAAAGTAAGGAAGGCCTGGCGGCTCTCGATCTGGTGGTACAAGGGAGATGCTGCCACTGTGGCTGGCGCTTCCTAATGCCAAAACCAGAAGTACAAGACAGCTCATGGGCCCTTCCTGAAACCCCTGTGCCAGAGCGGATTGATAGTATCGATTCCAGGTGTAAGGATTCACGCAGGCATACCAGACATTTCCATAATTGAAAAATGCCTGGGCATAGGTGGATGCATTTGTCAAGTCAAATCCTGAATTTGGAGTCAGCCGTAATGGCTCACGGGCCATTTCTAACTGAAGAAGTTGCTGTGGGTCATATCCCCCGGAAACCAGGTCACGAATCAGAGGCCATTGAAGAAGATGCAAAGCCGGCGTAGTATGCATCTTGGGCATTGTAGAAATGCTGATACTAATAGGTGGGTTGACCCAGGACCCAAGTCCGACAGCAGACAATCTTCCATGGGCCGGTAGTCCAGTATCAGACTCCGCTCTGTTTGTATCATTGCTGGTGGCCGGGGAGGTAGCAGAAAGACATAGCTTTGAATGCAACAAACTCTCAATTCTGGCCAAATGGTCGAGAATGAGCTTGTCCCCGGCGTCAAGTTTAATGCCCGGCTCTCGATAGACGCACTCCGCGTTCAAATCTGAGCATAGTTGACACTTGGGACGAGCCCCATTGCATCGGGTCTTGCGTAGCCGGCATATCTGACACTGCCAAAAAGAAAAGAAGGTTAAAACCCATACCTTTCATCAGCATATGATAAGAGGCCGCTTACAGCTATTGTTGCCCGTCTTCTGGGATATTCAGCAGATTCGGTGTTCGAGCGCTTTTTCTTGGGTGTGTCGCTGGTTAAATGGTCCCCCGCGGGGTCTAACGTCTCTTTCTCCGGAGGCAGGGCCATGCTCAGATCATAGGGTTTGTATCTAATGCAGTCCACTCCAACGAGGGGGTGATCATGATGGGCAGATCATTGAGTAGACAGAAGAAATAAGGCTAATATCTCTGTCGAGTCTTTCATGTGTAGCATCGCTCAACTCGGTACGGGGAGGCCTCCGTGACAGGTTGGGTATATAACATAAAAAAAGACGGTGTCATTAGATTGCACACTATACAAAGAACCCTTGTCCTTTATATAGTCGATCACACCCGTACATATGGACACACGGTACATGATGTATGTTACTCCGTACATGTCGATGAAATGGAGTCGATGACGGATGTCACATGCCACGTGCACGCGTCCCAAACAAACGCGTCGATCTTGGATCTAAATCTTGAACTTCTTCAAAAAACCAATTAAACCATGCCTCGTCCTGCTCCAAAACGAAGTCGCACAGCGGGGAAGAGTCAGAAAAAGAGTGCAACAGACGAAACGACCCAACAAAGTGACACTGCCGTATCGCCTGTACAAGATCCGAGACATACTCTACGCAATCAGACGCCGTTGACCAAGAGTCATGAACAGGCAATCGAGTCTTCACCCCTGGGTGACCGGCCAGGCAGTCGGCCTGGAACTGGAAGTCGTCCCCCTACAAGATCACGCGGTTATTCCTCTACGTTATCGTTTGCTGGACGCAAAGGCGATGCGAGTTCGCGGATTCCTGGAACGCCTGGATTTGATAACTCGGTTCTGAGCAATTTTAGACGGCGACCCCGACAACAAAGCATCCTGCAGATGATGCAGGCCGACGAAGATGGCTCATCTGAACTTGATGATGATGACTTCCTGGGAGGACTCAGCCCAAACGATGAATCGACGCCGCTCAATCGTTCCCGATCACTACATATCAAATCCTCGTCACCGCTCTCGGCCGGGTCGAAGCGCAAGCGCATGACCCAAGAGATCCAGGTACCCCAGTCGTCGCCCGTGGATGTAGAAGATACTCCAATTGCGGCACCGCGGGAAGAAGATGACAACGAAGATGACAACGAAGATGACAACGAAGATGAGGTTGAAAGAATCGAAGCTACGCAACAGTTCGAACTATTAAGCCAGACTATGTTACCACCGGCCAGCAGTCCTGCTGGCTCTACGGCTGACTCTACACGGCCTGTTCAGAAGAAAAAGTCCACTCATCTATCGACAGCAAGCTTACAAAACAAGCTTCTGCCGCGCCGGCGGCGCAGACTCCATAATGATTCCGACGAAAGCGATGACCAACATGATGCTGCATTTGGCGATGAGGATGAATTGAACTATCCATCCCGAAGGCCCCTCGCAAGGAACAACAAGCCCAAGCCATTAGTCACCGCGCAGAATCCGCAGCTGAAGGTCCAACAGCAGGAACCCGTGTATCCACGTTCTCAAGGCGTGGACAAGGAAAATGAAATGCTGTCATCACCGTCTTCTTCCCCATTGTCCTCGCCACCGGAGTCCGATGTGTCTGATTCCGAATCTAAGGCTCGTTGCGTGAGCGATGAGTTGCGCGCGGCAGTCAAGAAGTTTGCCGAAGTGGATCAATGGGAAATGGAGTTTGAGGATGTCTCTTCGGAGAACGAATAAATATTTGTCACGTTTGAATCTTACGATGTACCACATGTACCACCTGCACCGGCAGTAGCCGCAAATTTTCCGAACCCCGCACTTTAACCCCTGGTACACTTCTTTTCTTTTCTTTCCTTTCTCTCATTACCCCCCCCAAAATGACTTCTGTAGATGCCATCCTCGCCGGCAAGTATCCGGCCAAAGCTCACGCTCGTCGTGTAGCCGAGTCTCTCAAGGCCCGACATGGTGGGGCTGGAGCTATCTACCTGGAGGCCCAAAAAACTCGGTTGATTGAGGATAGCGATGAGGATTTGCCATTTAGGTACGTCCGCCTGTTCTTTATCTGATCTACATTAACAACTGACACCCAATCAAGACAGCGTCGTCCTTTCTTCTATCTCACTGGCTGTCTTTTGCCCAATGCCGCAGTGGTATACGATGCAATTGCAGATCAATTAACCCTGTTCATTCCACCGATCGACCCAGAATCTGTAATTTGGTCCGGTCTTCCTCTTTCTCCCGAAGAGGCTTCAAAGCTCTACGATGTGGACCGCGTTCTATTCACAACCGATGTCAACTCGACTTTGGCATCGATCGCCTCAGCCCATAATGGACAAACTGCCGCTTTTGCAATCGCTGAGCAGGTGTCGGAGGATACGAGCTTCGAAGGGTTCTCTGAAACAAACACTGCCAGTCTGAAAACTGCCATTGAGGATACCCGTGTTGTCAAGGATGCCTACGAGGTTGCACTTCTGCGCAAAGCAAATGAAATCTCGACCAAAGCCCACATCGCGGCTATCCATGCCTCCAAGACCGCGACCAACGAGCGGCAGATTGAGGCCGCCATTATCGGCACCTGTATTGCTAATGGATGCCGCGAGCAATCCTATCACCCCATTGTTGCTGGCGGTGAAGGCGGCGCTACACTTCACTATGTCAGAAACGATGTTGACCTGGTCGATCCAATCACTCAAAAGCGGAAGAATAACGTTCTCATCGATGCTGGCGGTGAATACCAAACTTACTGTGCTGATATCACGCGTGTCATTCCTCTGAATGGACGATTTGCGCCTGAGACCCGCCAGATCTACGAGATTGTCCTCCAGATGCAGACCGAATGTATTGCCATGTTGAAGGAAGGCGTGAGCTGGGATGATGTGCACGCGCTGGCACATCGTATTGCCATCCGCGGTCTGTTGAAGCTAGGTATCCTGCGCGGATCCGAAGACGAGTTGTTCGAGAAACGCGTCAGCGTAGCCTTCTTCCCGCATGGCCTTGGGCACTACCTTGGAATGGATACCCATGACACCGGTGGCAACCCCAATTATGAGGACAGTGATTCCATGTTCCGTTATCTGCGTATTCGCGCTAACCTGCCGGCTGGCTCTGTGGTCACGGTCGAACCTGGTGTAAGTCATCCAATATCCCTTCAACTAACCGACCGCTTATTTTTTTGATTTTCTTTTTGTTGCAGATCTATTTCTGTCGCTTTATCATCGATCCTATCTTGAAGGCCCCCGAGACCGGTAAGTATATCGATACCGAGGTCCTAGAGCGGTACTGGAGCGTGGGTGGAGTGCGTATCGAAGACAACATCCACATCACCAAAGATGGCTCTGAGAATTTGACGACCGCTCCGAAAGCCATTGAGGAGGTGGAGAGCCTGGCCTCGTAAATTTTCACTACCATTATTTGATTCTCTTCCGTAACAAGAATACATTGTTGATTTTCGGGATGGAATTGTACAATTGGCTAGATATCTCTTCTGCGCTTACGCGCACTTCCCCTGATATCATCGGTCAAGCCATTCTTTTCCTTGCGGTCCAGGATGATAGTCAAAACATCAAAAGAAAACTCAGGCACTTCGAGGCAAAGTTTCTTGAAATCATCTCCAACCTCATGGCGCAGCAGGTGACTTTGGTTTGCCCAATAATTTGCCACGGGCTTCCGGATGGTTCTGTCCGTTGCTGGAGTATGGGTATAGACATATCGTGCATATGAAAGCTCTGCTTGAGGCGAGCTCTTAACTTTATGGATTTTGCCATGTGCAAGGCTCTTGAGCACGGGCATCCCCAGCTTCTCTGCCAGAGTATAGATGCGGGCATGGCTCAGCAATTGGTCACCACTCTGGTCCGCAGTGGTCCGTCCGGGGGTTTCTGATGGTGTCACAGTGTAATCTCGGGTATACTGGAACTGGAGGAAGCAACCAAAGGCATCGACATTCTCCTCCTGTAGCTTGATGCGTCGCTATTGAGAGTTGGTCAGTATACCCCCAACAAAAGCATTTGTCGATCTAAGCTCACCGGGCCGGACACCTCGAATTTGGCCACCAACTCTGCGAGGAATGGTGACTCTACCAAAAGAGTTTGGTGGGCTGTTAGTACGGTCTCCTCGCCACCTTGTCCAATCACAATCTCAACGATAGGCGATGTCAAAAAACTAGGAAGGCATGTGAGCTGGTGAATAGTGGAAGGCAGAGCCATTGCGAGATAGCAATTGGGGAGAAATGCTCACTCGAGGAAGTTGAAGCCCGCGTTCTTCTTTGCAGGAACGGGGGACTCTAGCTCTGTTTGCGTGTCTGGAAGAGTCGCATCTTGGACGGGTTCCTGGCCCGTTGTTAGGTCTGTCCCTCCCATCTCCACTTCAGTAGAGTTGGGATTTAAGATGGCAGTCACATTGGCTTCCTGGGTTGATTCTGTTTCGCCAGGGACGTGAACCTGAGGGGGTTGTGGGGCCTCCATGATCAAATCAATCGCAGGGAGATCAAAGTGACTGAAATGTTAACCCAAAACACGAAGGCGGAGAAGCGGCAACTTCAGGGGCTTCGAAAGAGTACATCTATACAACCATGCAAACAGGTACGATGTACGATGTACATTGTGATTCCTTTTTTGATTCTCTCTTTTGATTCTCTCTTTTCTTTTGGTCTTATACTTCCAAATAGATGATATTTCCATCGATATGCTAACCTGGTGCTTAGAGACGAACTCCACAGAATGTGTGTCTATTCAACATCCATGGTACAGACCACGGGAGTACCTATGTTGTACATATCCATAATGACATGTATACATAGTTACGTGTAGTTACTAGTAGAGTGAACACATACATGTATATTCGATTCCTCCCCCTCTTTCCCACAACTCGCCTTTCGCCATCCAGCTTGTATCTCTCACATACATCAATAATGGCATCTAATCCACCAGCTGCTTGTTGCACCGTTAGCATTCAGCATGAAGGCGAAGCCAAAGGCAAGCTCCAACACATTGGCGATGGTATAGACATCTGTACTTTGACATGTTTGGATGAACGCTGACGGTCTTAGTTGAGGTCTATATTTCGACTCCCGAGCGTGCCACCAAACGTGCCATTTTACTACTCACAGATGTTATCGGTCATCGCTTTATTAACGCACAGCTCATTGCGGACCAGCTCGCGGCAAATGGCTACCTGGTCGTCATGCCAGACCTGTTCCACGGCGACCCCGTGCTGCTGAACCGCCCTGCCGACTTTGACTTGATGGCTTGGCTGAAAGGCCCCCGGGCCATCTGCCCAACCGCGTGGAACCAGTAGTTCAGGCCGTACTGAAGGAAATGAAGTCCACCATGGGTTGTGAGCGTGTCGGTGCAATCGGATATTGCTTTGGGGTATGTAAAATGTCCCTACGAGTGCCCCATTCTATTATCGAACCTAACCCATATAGGCAAAATATGCCATCCGACTGCTCCAGCCGGGTCTCTGCGATGCGGCCTACGTCGCACACCCCAGTTTTGTAGACGCGGAGGAATTGGGAGCAATCCGAGGCCCGCTGACCATTGCCGCGGCTGGTATGTTTGTTCTATACATGTAGTTGGCTGAAGTTTATTTGACTCAAACCCTTGGTAGAAACCGATTCAATCTTCCCAACTTCAAAGCGCCATGAATCTGAGGATATTCTTGTCAAAAATGGACAGCCGTACCAGATCAATTTGTTCGGTGGCGTCGAGCACGGCTTTGCTGTGCGCGCAGACATCACTAAGCCGACAATTCGCTTTGCCAAAGAAGCGGCGTTTCTGCAGGCAACCGCATGGTTTGGACAATACCTCTAAGACAAGCCGGATGTGCAGATTTATATGAATATAGAAACTCTGATTGATTCGCCCGGGCAAGTGCCAGGTTTACATGTAATGGGTAAACAGTAGAGAAAAAGAGAGAGAAAGATACCTATGCAATGCCATGATGAGCTGTTGTGTTCATCACATCTTCTCATGCGTAGCCATAAGGGAACCTGTTAAACAGTTAGAAGGGGGGAAATTCAGCTCAAAGGAAGGTATTTAGACTTACCAATGAATGTAGTGACCAAACGAGATCGAACTTGACAGATGTCTTCGGGGACCAACCAAATGGTCGCGCCCATCTTTCTGGCGATACTGATAGAAAGTTTGGCGTTTGCATATGCCTCTTCGTCGGACCGGCCGGGTGTGACCAAATCATAATCCACGTAGCTACTCTTCATGCCATTGAGCACATCAAGAAGGAAAATTCCAGATCCGATAGACTTGTCTTTAAAGCTGCGTATCGTAGAAGACCTGCCGCCACTGCTAGACATGTCATTGGCCCAGCGAATCATTTCAGTATCAGTAATTTCTCGTTTGCCCAGACGTTGGGCCAATGCAGAGAGGGTGTTAGTGATATCACGACGCATCAGCTGCCATACCAATCCAAGAGTGAGGGTTCGCTGGCCATCAGTGATATCAGCACCTTGAACACCGACAAGAGAAAATCCGTTGTGTTTCCCAAGCTCAATCGAATAGTTGGTGTTTTCCACTGCCTTGAACCGCATCAATTCACCACCAGATGTCGGGGGCTTGTTGACATGTCTCCAATTGACGCTTTGGGGAATAACCTTGTCGTATGCCTGCAACAAAACCGTACCATCACGTAGGTCATCGAAGAGTGAGTTGACTGCGGGCTGCACATCCAACGAATTTAACCACAGAGTGAAAACCCTAGCCTCTCGTTCACCTTCAGCGTCAAAGTCTTCAACTTCGAGCTTCTCCTCCTCGGTGATAGGGTCCAATCCTGGATGGGTGTTGAACAGATTGGCGACAAAGGCAAGATTCAACTTGGGGTTTCCGGCGACCAAGGATGACGGGGTCAAGAACTTGCGACAATCAAGCGAATCGGCGTTCTGCAAAACCTGTTCAGCCCGCTCAAGCAGGTCACGAGTCTGAAGAGGGCCACGCGAGCAAATATCCGGCGCCAATTGGTTGAGCAAAACGGTATAGTTCTCACCATCTTTGACATCGGTAGAAAAGTTCGTCACTCTAACATCAAATTAGCCCACTTTCATCCGTCTCTCCCCTCTCTCTTCTCTGACATACCGTCTGTCCCATTTGGCATTCTTAAGGTGGTAGTTGAACCAACGGAGGAGAATCTGCTCTGGAGGCAAGCGCAAGAACTGCTCCAGGGTTTCATCCTCATCCAAAAGCCTATAAAGCTCAGGATGAAGTTTGATATCGATCTTTCCAAGCAGACCACGGCGGATAATTTGCCAGATGAGACCCAGGATGAGATGCTCGCGCACCTCAATGATATCCCCGCTTCCAATGTTGACAACTGAGCATCCGATGCCCTTGGCAGAATTAATAACAATGTTATTGTTTTCGGTCATGTGGAAAGCATTCAGTAGTTTGATCTTCTTCCCGGCTTTGTTCAGAACACGCTCGTCAATGGTATCCGGTACGCTGTCGTTGATCAGTTTTGCTAAAACTAGGCCATCCTTGCACTTGTCAAACATCTCGAACGTATCAGTGGGAAACGGCAGCAGGTTTCCAACGTCTGCGTCGCCCGCCAGAACAGCATTGATGTGTCGCGTGAACTCGGTTCGTTCGTCTTCGTTGATTGTATGTGTGACATTGGAAGATGATCCCTGAACATGGATCCGCCCACCGACGCTGCCCTTGGAGACATGTCGAGACGCCCCAGTGCCAGCGCCGGCCCCTTGAATCACAGCAGCGGGAGTGGAAGGTGCACGGATGCCTTCAGCCGGTGCCGTTCGAAGTTTTGAAACTAGCTGCCATGGCGTTAATATCCGAGAAAAGGGGAGCGCGGGGAGGAAGTATTACATCAACATAATCTTCGAGTTCCACCCGTCGTGAACTATCGAGTTCCACGTCCTTCAAAGCCGCACGCACTACGTCATACGGCTGGCGTTCTGATAGTTGAGCAGCTTTGATCGCAGTAGATTCGTCGATGTAGCCTCGATCTTCCACGTCTAGTCTGTTGAAGGCATCCTGGAGGGAGAAGATCGCGCCTTGTTCAAGCTGTGGAAACCGCCTATGGTAAAAACCAACTGTCAGAATCGAGTCGCATTGGATTATTATGAAAGTATGTACTTTTGAAGCTTGAGGACATTCATCTTGTCAGGAAGATTCGACCCAGGTAAAGATACCTAGGTAGGAGGGATTGTCAACCCGAAAGTCCGGGTATCAACAAAAGAAGAGGGAACAATGATGCCGCCCAGAACAGCGCAATTGTCAGAATGGAAACAAAAACAAATTAGGAGAAGAAAAGTGCGATCCGTGCCAAACTGCAAAAGGGTGGGCAGTGCAGAAAGACATAAACCGAGGAGGGGGTGGGGTGAGATGAGCCACAACGTACTATGTAATCGAAGTACATAATCCGTACGCAAGATGGGATGATCGTTACCATCTGGAAGGCGCCAGGTAATGGTACATACCTGGGTACCTACCTGGGCGCCTAGGGAGGTAATGTAAATTACGCGAGTGTTACATGTAGTCTCTCGGTACGACATACTCCCGTCCTTGGGTACATGTAGCCATGTATCGTAATTAACACCCATCCACGTATTTGAGGGTTTCTTTGGATGACGTCGACTTTGCCCAATTATGTATTCTTTACTGGAATTTCAAGTTACCAGCAACATCATAGATGTACATATATAGGTATCTTACGTATGGCTGATTAGCTTCGATACAGCCTCATGTGTCTACCTAAATGTACTGCCTCTCCAGGGCTATACATAGTAGTTACGTACCCCTCGGAGAATTATCTACTCCCTTAGAGGGGCTATTAAAAGGGGGTCCCCTTTAGCCAACTGGACAACTACCCCGTATCGCCGGACCACTTTCCAATCCATGGACTGCCGGATTACATCATTACTGCTGATGCCCGGGCCGCAACCTTAGAAAACAAACGTTCCAGATCGGAAACATTTTGATAGCTTCGAAGGTCTCATTTCTCTATACGTACATTGGTCTTACTTCATTGGTCTTACTTCATGTCATTTTATTTCACTCTTCATTCTCCAATCTTTCTACTTTACCCGCCGGTTGTTCACATTGATTCGTTTCCCCTTGCGACGGGCTCGGCCGATCCCCATGGCGGTTGCAGAGCCAAAATCGTTCCTGGGGACGCTCACTCCATGGACTACACCAAGGAGTTCAACGCCGCAGTCTGACGATCCCAAAAAACCAGATATCCTGCAACGATCGCGGGGGGAGGACCATACAGTGCACAGGCATCGATTAAGCGCGCGACGCTATCCTCCAGATTGTCCGCCATTGAAAGTGAGATGGTTCTACGCAGTGGACTCCCCTAAGCGGAAACCATCCCTCCTAGAACAGAAGAAGACAGATCAAAAACCCTTGCCATTGCCGAAGAAATTTGTACCATTCCCAGGGAAAGATTCTCAGTCCATCGAAACAACATTCCAGAAGCTTTCAGACATCGAAGATGCCCGGCAGCAAAACCAACCATCCGACAGCGAAGCAGTCTTGACTGAGGTGCCCGTGAACGAAGATTTTCTCTTCAATGTCAATGTGGAACAACGGGAGCTGAGTCCTACCTATTGGATTGGTCCTGTATATGAAGTCCGTCGTGGAACGTGGTTCATTCAGGATGGGTCTAGTTTAAAACCATGTGAAGAAAATCTGGCTACTCAGCTTGAAGAAGGCTATATAAAATTATGTCCATGGAGATCCCAGCCATCAGAACATGATACATCAACAAAAGAACAAGAATCCGACCAAACAAAAAATGTGCCAAACAAAACCCATGAGCCAGATCCAAAAACTCCTCCTCGCGGCACATGGAATGATGCCAACGGTCTTGCAATGGAGCCTCAGCAGTATCGTCTATTTGGGGCTTACATGAATAGGATCGTTGGCTATCAAGATTCCACGACGGCCTGGCTGATGAATGATGATTTCATGTCCCGCTTCAGCACTTCGGTGTATCAAAAGTTGGGGGGTGTTCCTGGAACAAAGTTGGTTCGCGGATTTGAGCCCAGGAAACCAAAAGAGACACCTGATGCAAAGGGTTCCAAACAAAAACCATTGAGCGATTCATCGCCTGCTACGTCTTTGAATGATACACCGAACAACACTTTGAAAGAGAAGCCAAAAACACCCACAACTGATATCCCCAAACCAGCCTCAGCCGATCCATTTGAAGATTTTGAAAATAGACCAAAGTCAACATTAGAACGCCAAATGTCTTCCCTTGCGGGGGAGCCGCAGAATCCAGTGGATCTCGAAGAACAGGCTCGTAGACAAGAAGAACAGGAAATGGAAGAGTCGAGAGAAGTTGACACCGAGGACAGAGAGCGGGAAGTTGATCACCTAGTTCTTGTCACCCATGGGATTGGCCAGCGGCTTGGTTTGCGACTGGAAAGCATCAACTTTATACATGATGTAAACGTGCTTCGCAAGACGCTGAAAACTGTCTACAAGGCCTCGCCTGATCTTCAAACGCTGAACTCTGCATTCTCAGATAGTGATAAGAATTGCCGAGTTCAGGTGCTTCCTGTGTAAGACCTGGATGATGTCCTTTTTTTCTTTTTCCTTTCTTTTCCTTTTTCTTTTGTTTTGTGATATTTCTACCGATTTGCTAATTCTATCAGGTGCTGGCGCCATCTTCTTGATTTCCCTTATCGGGGAGTTCGACAGAATAGAAAGGAACTGGATCTCACTGATTCAGACATCCTCGAGGATGACGCTTACCCTAGCCTGGCGGATATAACACTGGAAAGTGTACCTGCTGTCCGAAACCTCATTTCAGATTTAGCCATGGATGTTCTTCTGTACCAGAGCGGGTATTGCGAACACATCTCCAATATTGTCATCCAAGAATGCAATCGAATAATTCGGCTCTACCGGAAACAGAACCCTTCTTTTAAGGGGTCAATCAGTCTCTGTGGCCATTCGCTTGGAAGTGCAATTTTATTTGACATCCTATGTCATCAACCGGGAACCCACAAAAATGGAAATGTGATGAGCAGCAGGGCCCACGATACCGACGAGCCAACTCTCAAGGGCTCTGGCACGTTCGAATTTGACTGCGAAGAGTTTTTCTGCTTGGGATCCCCCATTGCACTTTTTCAAATGCTCAAGGGTAAGACCATTGGTGGATACTCTGCGCTGGAATCACGAAATCGCACAAATTCCCTGGATGTGGAGATTGGGTTAGACTCGCACGGTCCTGGACATGGGCTGCGCGAAAACCCCAGTATTATCTCAACACCAAAGTGTCGGGATTTCTATAATATCTTCCATCCCTCCGATCCAGTGAGCTACCGGGTCGAGCCTCTTGTCTCTTTGGCGATGGGCTCTCTGAAACCACAACCTCTACCCTCGGTGAAGAAAAGCCTCTGGACGACCTCTGGTCAGAGTCTATCTATTCTTGGCAGCCGCATGGGCCAAAGTGTGGGATCTCTGTGGACAAATTTCACATCGGGTGTTGCAAGTAGTCTGTTAAATCGCAGCTTGGGGCTGAATGGTGATGACGCCTCATCCGTTGCTCGTGATTCTGGTAAACACAGGGATCAATCAACCCACAGACGGACACAGTCGGGCTGTGTTCATCATGAATCGGAATCCAATGACCATCATCAGACTTTGATCGAGTCCGATTTAGAGACTCTTTATGACGGGTTTCAAAAAAGCAGAAGTGCCGACCATGACGAGAGTCTAGGTCCCAACGCCGATATTGACCAAGATCGGAAGTTGAAATTTGAGGACGCTAAAGTGCGTTCGCTGAATGCCAATGGTCGTGTAGACTACAGCATCCAAGAGTAAGATAGTTATCTGCTGCTCTCGTGGGTTTTACTAACCGGGAATACAGAGGAGCATTTGATATCTCACTAATAGCTAGCATTGCCAGTCATCTCACCTATTGGGGGGATGAGGATGTCAATCACTTTATGCTTTCTCAGATGCTTTCCAGGAGACTCCGGCATAAGAAGACTCATAGAGGATAATTCAGTTGCCAATATGTTAAACTTGGAAAATGGCTTGCACGTTCTACATATGTATGATACTTTGGTACGGATATATGCACATACATACAGTGGATCCGTCTTCGAGCCAAACCCGGTCTGTCACCCTCAACAGCAATTAATCATCCACACAAGATTCCGGAAATCGGTACTTTTTATAGGGCGGTGCCATATAAAAGATACCTTACACGAGATAACTTCCATTTGAGATTTCTCGGCTCTCGAACTGCATGTAGCTAGAGGGGAAATAAAAACATGAATATAAACTACAAGTGGTCTTTAGCTAATGTATCGGTTTATTTTTATGAGAATAAAAGGGTTGCTCTTAAACAATATCTCCATCCATAAAATATATGCAGAAATTCCAAATGTCAAATTTCTGTTTACTAACCCAAGATATTATACCCGGGTTGATCGGAGATCCAAATACAATAAACTCATACTTAACCAAGCAATGTGAAATTAAAATCTCCTAAGCTATCATAGGGAATCAGAGAATCGCAGAGACACGATATCCAATACCTCGGCGCCTTTTTAAATAGCACTACCATGTAAGAAATACCTGATTTCCGGGATCTTGTGTTGGTGAATTGTTGAGCGTGGAAGACCGGATATACAACATAGACCCAGGTTAGGTATGTACATAGATGTGGGTGTCTAGACCTAACTAGGACTAGCGTGGTCGGTTGTGGATTATGTAATGGGAGTGACGAGGTGAACAAAATCCTTCCAAATTCCCATTCCTTTCCTCCCTCCTTTCCCAGTCGATTCCCACCATGAGTACTGGATCTCAGCAGAGTCGAAAAGTCTAGGGCTTCCATTCCAACATGCCCACGTCATGAATTTCTTCTTAATGAGGTTGAATTTCATGATGCTGAAGTGTGATTCGAATCTGGCATGCTGGGTCGCTATCCAACCCGTTAGGATGTTCGCACCTTTTGTAGAATTATTTGCCTCCATTTTCCTTCCCACCGCAATCTCTTTACATCTGGCATGAAGCGCATGCTCTTTGAATGCCCAGATTCACTCGGATAGCGGAGATCAACTCCTTACTGTTTGCTTTAGATTCCTTGCTATACAGCTCAAGCTTGCAAGGAAATGATGAAAGGATACATATCTAGATATTGGCAATTAGGACTATGGTCACAATAAAATAGAACCCTACTCTATATTCGAAGTGAATCAACTGCATACATCGTGGGATACCCCGACCGAGGTACGCACTGGCCAACAATCAGGAAACGCCCATCTCCGTTATCTTCTTGTTACATCTCCATTACTCTGCCGACAGAAGGTACCTACTTACCTACTCAAATCTATAGAATCTTTTCGTTTAATCCCGTTCGACACGGAATGGAGGGTTGACTTCCCTCTGTATCCGGGACATTTTAACACAATGGATCGCCCAGGCAATGCTACAGACTCCCTAGTCCCTTCAGCGCCGCCTCCACCTACCAGCAAAGACCAAACGAACACACACCCAACGCACGATCCCACCTTAAACACAGTCATTCCTAGGGAATCAATCGATGCCAGTCTCAAGTTTATCGCAAACTCTAGCAATGAGACCTTGCTCGGAGTCTTCGCGCTTCTTATACTTGCCACCTACATTATCTTGGGAAGAATTGGTTTGCTCCTGATTGGAGTGGTAATTGGGGTTATCCTTCATGCCTCGTGGGATGGATTGGAGATTGACCATGCAACTGGAGCGTCGCACGCACAAAGAGCCAACAGGCGACGGGAACTTGCGCTGGAAGTATCCAATAGGCTTCTGGACTGGCAGAAGCGGACTGGTGCCTTGGACATCCAGAGTGGAGGTGATGGAACTATGAGCACACCCGAAGATATGTCCTCGGCAGACTTGGAATATGCCACCTTTCAGCCGGCCACTGCTGTCGCGTTGAGTACGCTCACCGATGCTGTCATTGCAAACTATGTCAAGTAAGGAACCCTTATTACCTACACCATTTTTGCCCATCCGAAATCAGTAGCTTACCACCAATCAAGATACTGGTATGAGCCACTCATACCGTCCGAATCAAGTTTCCCAGGCTCCTGTCGACGAATTTTGACGCATTTCATCACGTCTGTCTCCTGGCACTTGTCCCGGAAACGAACAGAGGATACATTTTTGCAGTTTCTCACCAACTCATCATCCATCATCATTGTATTTTTGAATGAACTTGCTGCTGCATCTACCGCCACAGGCTCCTCTCCCATGGAAGCCCAACAAACCGTGGATGGGTATCTTGAGCAATTTCCGGATAGCAGCCTAGCCAATGTTCTGTCTGAGACGCAACAGAAGAAGAAGCTCAATATGATTTCCGATGACATACTCTCAACTTTTTTGGATTCCAAGGCTTACAATTGCCCGGTCGTACGAGACTTCCTCCGAGAGATCTTCGCCGGGGTGATATTGGGGTCCACCATTACCAGTCTTTCCCGTCCTGAATTCATCAACGACTGGATTATCTATCTCCTGCAGGACGGTGAATCTGAGATTATGCATGCTATTGACGCAGGCGTCGAAGGCGCACGCAACCGAGGCGTCAGCACCCCCAAGTCTTCGGAAGACCCAAACCCCACACAGAGATTATCTATGCAAGCGGCAAGGGCGTCGGAGGAAGAAGCAGTCTTAGAGGTGAAGCGTCTGAGTGCTATGATTGCATCCCATGAAATGCAAACGTTGGGGTCAGAAGGGCCATGCGTAAATGAACAAATTGACGAAATATACTCTTTGAATGCTGTTTTGCCCTCACATACGACCCATGAAAATGAAGATGGTCATCTGCAAGAACAGGTGTCTAATAGGCAATCGATTGCAAGCCTGGAGCCATCCGAGGACTTTTCTGCGCCTCTGGTGGTTCTTCACGGGGCACAAGTATTGGTAGACGATGATGGAGCGAGAGGTGAAAAGGGTCAGATCAAATCGCGGCCCATGTGGGATTATCTACTACAGGTTGAGCCAGCATCAACACGCTCGACTGGGTGGATGGTGTTTCGCAAATATGCAGACTTTGAGTCTCTTCACGAGATGCTGGGGACTGTTTCACGATTGAATCTTATTTCAAGCTTCTCCGAACGCCACCCCACATTACCTACTTGGAAGGGCAAAACACGACAAGCGCTCGCTCGGGAGCTTGAGTGGTATTTGCAGGATGCAATGAGGCACGAGTCACTTGCCGACACAGATCGAATGCGCCGATTTTTGGAAAAAGACCCTGGTTCTTCCACTGAAACGGCTAGTTCCAACAAGTCGGTATTTTCTTTTCCTAGTCAAGCTGCATTTGAGAACGTGGGCAAAGGTATGCTGGGTGCATTAACCAATGCACCTAAGGGAGTGGCAGGAGGTGGTAAAGCTGTCTTTGAGGGAATGACGGGAGTGTTCGGGGGTGCTACCAACAGCAAGAAGTTAGTCGTCACTGCCGATCAAAATCAACACAAGATTGGTGATTCTAGTCGCAACAGCTTGTCGCAGAGAAAGTCCAGCTTGGATGGTCTTACCGACTCAATTGACGAAAATTTGGACTCTCCTACGCTACTTTCTTACGCCTCTCCAGAGTACCCGCGCGGTGAAACTACCAAATCGTCTTCGACCAACGACGCCAGGCAGCCTATTAGGAATGAGCAAGATGCGTGGGCCCTAGGAAGCTCGTCCCCTAAAACTGCGCTTGGTACCAGTGATGATATTACAGGACTTGAGACCAAGAAGGGTACTGAGGAAATTTCATCACATCACCGATCACACACTAGGGAGAGTATTGATCAATCCCACAAGCATGAAACTCCAATCACAGCCGATGAAACGCAAATAGCAGTAGAGCTCATTTTCGCGGTCATCAATGAGTTATACACCTTGTCGTCTGCGTGGAATATCCGTCGAACGCTTCTGAATGCCGCCAAGTCGTACATCCTACGTCCTGGAAGCCCGACCTTGGAAACGATCCGTACTCTGTTGCAAGATTCTATGGTTCGAGGTCACACCTCAGACGATGCCTTGGGGGCTTATCTTGCCAAGCTCCGAGAGAATACGTTTCCAACAGAGGAAGAACTCAAAGCCAGGCCACCTCCACTCAATGATGAGGAGAAAATTCGTTTGCGGGACCACGCACGCAAACTCTTTGTCCAGCGAGGAATTCCACAGGCCTTGACAAGTGTTATGGGGGCGGCTGCTAGTCGAGAAGCGCTCGAGAAGGTCTTTGACAGTCTTCAAGTGGAGAGTGTCGCTCGAGGTTTTGTCTTCTCTGTTCTGGTGCAAGGGCTAAGGGTCTTGACTCTCTGATGTGCAATATCCCCTATTGATTCCGAGCATATCTAAAGAATTCCAAGACTACAAGTAGACTTCACCTATATTATTGTTCAAATGTTGTCATTGAGATAAATGGTACATATCTGCACGTGACAACGTGTTTGCTCGCGTTTCGCGTCTTCTTTTGACCATCAGCCTCTTCTCATAATTTTACACCTCTTTACAGCCAACCTCTCTCGTTGCGAAAAATGGCATCTAACAAACGTTCATTCGAGTCAGGTACTGTTGATGCTAGCGTTCGCTCCAAAAAGACCAAGGCCAATACTACAACAGAAGCCAAACTCGATTCTAATGGAGATCGTTACTGGGAAATTTCCAAGATGCGACGAGTCACCATAACTTCTTTTCGTGGGAAAACTCAAGTGAATGTCAGAGAACATTATGAAAAGGACGGGCAAGTGTTGCCTGGTAAAAAGGTTCGTGGTCTGTGGCTTTGCACAACAACCGGGCTAATCTCGTTCTCAATTTCAGGGTATCTCTTTGCCCGTGGATCAATTCGCTGCGCTCATCTCCATTCTACCCGAGATTGAGCAGACCTTGGAGGAAGGGGGAGAAACTCTGCCTCGACCTAAGTATTCGGCGGGGGAAGGGCAAGCCGACAAAGCAATGGAAGGACAGGTATCTTCGGATACGCGCAGTCCATCAAAGCAGAATATCGAGGCGACAAGTGATGAGGAGAGTGAAGCATGATTGCCATTAAGCCTCATTTACATTGCCCTAATTGTTCTCTTGCTATTTCACCATAATGAAACAGACATTGAGCGTTGAATTTGTTTCCTGATGGTCTAGGCCTGCCCCCAAACTCCCTATGGATCACATGCTCGCTTCTTGCATCGCCACGGCGTTGGCAATAGAACCAGCTCGCCAAGCACGACGGTGATCTTCTTCTCGGAGAAGCTGGCTGTGGTCTCCTATCGGACCCCATCCTCCTCCTCCGGGTGTACGGACAATAATGCGCTCTCCTGCTTGCATCTGAGCGGAGTTCTTCGCACCTAGGTTGACGGATCTTTCCCACCAACTTCCATCCTGTCTTTTTATCCGGCGCACCCAGATGTTCTGACCACACTGGCCATCCTCACCCCCCTCCAGCCCATATGGATGGTAGACCCTTCGCTCGGAAAGGATAGAGACTTGCACGGGAATCCGAAATTCAATGTCCCGTACAACGCCATCCCCACCGCGATGCTGACCATTACCTCCTGAGTTCGGTCGTAGACTGAACTCTCGAAGAACCACAGGATATCGCCGTTCAAATACTTCTGCGTCAGTGATCCGGGTGTTGGTCATGTGTGTATGAACCCCTGAAGTGCCTTCCCACGTCGGACCAGCCCCACTGCCGCCAGCAATGGTTTCATAGTAACCAAACCCTTTTTTTTCCGTCTCGCCGAGCATGTTCCCCCCAAATCCAAATGTAAGGTTGTTGGTATCACCCTGCGACGCGGCGCAAGCCTGGAAGCATTTTAAAATGACGTCGGTCACTCGTTGGCTCTGAAGAAGAAAGAAAGAAAGAAAATTACACGATGAGCCCACAATCACGTTAAGGGTGTTGCTGGTCTTACCGTCAAAACATTGCCACCTACCACGGCGGCTGATTCGGAGGGGGATAGAAAACTTCCAGGAGGGATTCGAACCTCAATTGGCTTCAAACAACCTTGGTTCAAGGGGATGTCTGCTGAAAGAAGGCATCGCAGGCAATAGATGATAGCAGAGTATGTGACAGCCTCAGGCGCATTGATATTACCTATCATCGCTTCAGTCGAATGGATATATCATGAGTTATGTATTCCAAGGATGTTTGACCATACCATATACTTCCGGCCCTGTCCCTTCAAAATCAAATATCGCCTCTCCTTTTTCCTCGTCCATGGAGATTTTCAATTGAATAGGGCTCCCATCATCCATGTAATCAATGGCGCTCAACTCTCGACCAATAGACTTGTTGCTGATATCTTTTAATAGGTTGCGCACGCTGAGCTCTGCATTGTCTTGAATCTGGTGCATATAGAACTGCACGATAGCTTCGCCATACTCTTCGATTAGTGTGTTGATCAAATTGATTCCTTTTTTGTTCGCAGCAGTCTGGGCCTTGAGGTCATTCAAGTTATCTGCTATGCATCGAGTTCCACTGCAGTTTGGATACTGAGCTGGCTCCTCATAGAGCAATTCTATGACACGCTCCTCGTTAAACCTGCCTTCTGATACCAATTTTTCACTTTTGATGGCTGCGCCTTCCTGGTAAAGCTCCTTCGAATGGGGTGGCATGGATCCCGGAAGTATTCCTCCAATGTCGGCTTCAGGCCAATCAGAATGTGTGTTCGTTCTCTCCTTTTCTGGCTCATGGGATATCTTAATATCTTACCGTGGTGCGCCCTGGAGGCGACATAGAAGATAATCTTTCCTTGGCTGAACGCAGGCTGCAGGACTGTGATATCTGGGAGATGGGTGCCCCCGAATTCGGGGTGATTTGACACGATTACATCTCCAGGCTCCAGTTGATTCTGCCAAATCTGGGCCTGTATCCGCACACACGTCGACATACTACCAAGGTGGACAGGCAAATGTGGTGCATTCGCAACCAATCCACCTTCCGCATCGAACAACGCGCAAGAGTAGTCAAGTCGCTCCTTAACATTGGTGCTTACACTCGTCTTCTGCAGAGCACGTCCCATTTGCTCCGCAATCGCCATGAATCTGTGCGAAAAGACGCTCAGCAAAATAGGATTCACACTGTCAGTGCCGGTTTTTGGCTGCGTGGCATCAGGTTCATCGATATTGATGACGACGTGGGTCTTGGTGAGGAGCGCTGAAGCTCCTGGAGTGATCACGATAGTCTGGGTGCCATCGGCCAAAATCGCCGGGCCTCTCACTCGTTCATCAACTTTCAAGTCGTCCAATTTATAGATTGGCGTTTCGTGCCGGCCTCCCTCAAAGAACACATGAGACTTACGATACTCCTTTCCCTCCGACACATCCTTTGGGTTGGATTCCTGTATTTGTTGGTCCACTGTCTTCTCGGATATCTTGAATGATTTCCCAATTCCTCTCACTCGCACATCATCCACAATAATATCTCGTGCCGGGAGAGTAAAACCAAACTCTCGATCGTGTTGCCTCACGAACGCTTGGCCGAAGGCCCATTCATCACCGCCAAAGAAAATATCGGCCTCCTCTTTGCTGGGTTTGAGTATCATTAAAGCAGATTCTGTACCTCGGTAACGCATATTGAGGTATTCTTCAAACACGATCGAATCATTGTCGAAGCCTTGATCTCGTAACCTCCGCGTGGATCTTTTCTTGAGATCCTCTATTCGCAAACCAAGTGCATCCCGAACCCCTCCTTTGCCTTCATCAGCCCAAACCTTTGATTCAGGCTCTTGGTTTTCATCAACAACATCTGCGAGTGCCATTCCGTAAGCCGAGAGTACCGAGGAATAACGATGAATCAAGATCTGGTGAATGCCTAGGCTCTCGGCAATGGCAATGGCATGCTGGCCCCCGGCTCCTCCAAACGTAGCCAATCTGTGTTTTGATGTGTCATGTCCTTTTGCCTCCGTCAGAGATCGAATGGGCCGGGTCATCGTCTCGTTTGCTACCTTGATAAAGCCATAGGCAACCTCGTCAAGGGACATCTCTCGGCTTTGGCCGCCTTCGGTCAACTCGTGGTTGATTTTCTCGGTTAGTTCTTCAAATAACACCTGACTAGCTTGCCCATCTAACCCTTGAGATTCCTCAGGGCCGAAAATCTTCGGGAAAAAGTCTGGGATCAATCGTCCAAGGAAAAGATTGGCATCGGTTACTGTTAGAGGCCCTCGTTTTCGATAGCACGCGGGCCCTGGGTGGGCTCCTGCTGACTCGGGTCCGACGACAAAAAGACCATTGCGGTAGAATAACCTCGAGCCGCCACCAGCAGCAACAGTGTTGATGTCCAGCTGAGGGGATTGAATAGTCACACCGGCGGTGGTTGTCTCGAAGACATGTTCATATCGGCCGGATCCATACCTACTGACATCTGTGCTCGTTCCCCCCATATCGAAGCCGATTACAGGTATCTTTGACACGGGATCGTAAGAAGTCAAGGCATATCCAACCACTCCCCCAGCAGGTCCTGACAAGATTGCTCGTATGCCTGAAAACTGGCCCACGTCCACAAGACCGCCATCCGATTGCATGAATTCACAGCGTGCACCTTTGGCACCCGGTTGCTGTTTGAGACTTTCACTGCCTAGGCCACCTTTGAATCCGGCTTGAAAGCCTGATATATATTTCTTGATAGCAGGAGTCAAGTATGCGTCGGCGCAGGCTGATGTAGCCCGAGGCACGAGTTTGATCATGGGCATAAGCTGATGGCTTAAACTCACATGGTGGAAACCAATCTCATGGGCAATTCTTCCCACCAGTGCCTCATGGTCTGGAAAGGTATATCCATGCATAAGACAAACGGCTATGCTTCTGATCCCGTGGCTGTACACATTTCTCAACTGCGATCTTACCAAATTCTCGGATGGACGCTTCAGTATTCGTATTGCCTCGGAAGAGAGTCCGCGAATCACGTCGGCTTCTTCCCCGGTCTGTTCCCGGGAAGGAGTGGTTGTAATATTCCGCTGTGGATCTTCCGTGTAGTCCTCCAAAGTGACGCGCTCATCTACTTCAATCACTTGCTCGTACAGAACATCAGGACGTCTGATGGCGAGGTCAAATATTTTGGGCCGAGATTGGTTTCCAACCTCGAGGCAATCTTTGAAGCCCCGGCTTACTACCAACGCAACCCTCTCTCCTTTCCGTTCAAGTAGGGCGTTTGTTGCCACAGTCGTACCCATTCGGATGCTTTGAACTAGAGATGTATCAATGGGCTCCCCGCGAGGGATCTCATGACTGGTAATTTTGGATATAATGCGCCGGATTCCCTCCAAAGGTGCATCTTGGTAGTTGGGGTCTTCTGATAGGATTTTGATCACAATGTCATCTTCCAAGCGATCTGTGCCTGGGTTGCCCACGCAGTCTGTAAATGTACCCCCTCTCTGTATGTGTGTGACATACCAGTCAGCATTTTGGATGAGTAGATCAAAACAGAAGTTTGGGAAAGGAGAGAGGGAGGGGAGGGGAAGTACATCAATTGCAATATTGACTCCTGTAGTCCGTTTAGCTGGACTCATGGTGGAAAAATCTAGATATAGCAGTACAAATACACCACGAAGACGTTACATATGCATGTAGTTGAGTTGCTTGAGATCAGAAAAATCTCAAGTTAGATCCAAAGAGCGCTCCTCGCGTCACAGTTCCTGCGCTATATTTCCTACGTCATTGCGCTGGACTGTCATCCGTGGATGCACTCTATGACGCAAGGTATGAATAACACGAGAGGGAAAGAAATATCTGATTTCAGGATAGGTGTGGTACACCGAAGGCCATCGGGTAAAATATCAATGAGTGCCTGAAATTGGGTTCCAACGCGATATTGACCTCGCATACAACTAAAGCACTACAATGGTTCAAGAAAATAAGACTCGCTAGGGTTTCGATCGGTCGAACACGGCGAGGAAGGTAACGGCTTTCAAGTTAAGCAGCGAACAAGACGGAGGGCGAAACGGAATTTATCGTGATGATTCGGTGTTGACTTAGGAATGATCGCTCGACGTTCGCTTCGGTGGTTCCGAGCTGCTGACCAGGATAAATTACCAACCTCAAAAAAGAGCCTCAAAAAAAGGAATATCTTCGGAAAGGGAAAAAAAAACGGAAAAAAAGCAGGGGAAAAAAGGGTGACACATTCACTTGGTCTCGGATTGACCTGAAGAAGAAACTTCACACCCTTTGAATTAACAAAAGAGTACCATCTGGTGACGGGCAAAGCATGCATGAATGGCGAGACTGGGGCGTTGGACCTTGATCGGGCAGTGACCTTGACTTCCACTTTTCCCCTCCCACCTAGTTGGCATGACCGCAACAAACGATACTTTGAGAAAATGGCACCAGATTGAGAATGAGGAACATGGGTTGAGAGCGAGCAAAGGCAATACTGAGTGGATCTACTCAGCAGTATCAAGCTCATCATGAGCAGAGGGCATTGGGTCCAGGGGTACTGTTAGATGTAAGTGAAAAGAACGTCAATTCGGCTTAGGTCCGATTCAACCTACCTTTCCTGTCTTCACCGTTGGGTCCATTCTCACGGTCCTCCTCACGACGCTCCCGATCATCATCACGTCTTTCACGGTCATCCTTGCCATCTCGTTCACGGTCATCCGGGCTGCGAGAACGGTCACGAGAACGGTCACGATCACGACGATCGTGGTCGCGGTCGCGGCGGTCAGAATCACGGTCACGGCGGTCGTAGTCGCGATCATTGTCCCGTTCATACCGATCGTCTCGGCGAGGGGAGTAGTCGCCACCACGGCTGCGACGAGGGGATGGAGAGCGACCACGGCGAGGGGGAGTGCGATCACGGCGGCGGTCGCGGCCAGCATCGCGGCCAGCATCGCGGCCAGAGCCAGAGTCAAAGCGCCAGGAGGCAGAGGGAGGGGTACGGGCCCACTAGAAATATATTAGAAGGTATTAGACAACGGTGAGACTAATGAAGACGTACCTCGATCTTCAGTAAATCATCACGGCCGATGCGCTTATTGTGCATCTCATGGTAGGCATCATCGGCATCGCGGCGACTCTCGTATTCAACAAAGGCAAAACTAAGTCATTAGGTTAGACAAACAGAGTACTTCATTATTTAGAGGTCAACTCACAGTCGGCTGGAGGGAGTGCGCGGAGCAGGGATATCACAGCGAACAAGACGCCCATAACTAGTTCAGAAATCAGTTGAGCTAGCTCTAGGTACCGGTGATGAGAGATATCATGATGATAAGATGACCAAGATGAGTAGAGTAGTTGCCCAAAGAGCCAGATGAGACAACCTGGACATAAGCTTTCACACCAATGTTAAGCTGGTCGGAAGGAAGCAAGATGTCATCCAGGCATTCAGTGCCAGTGATCTTCATCGGTACGGCGTCGAAAGGATGGGAATCGAGGTTCGTAGGTGCGAAGGTAGAGGCGACACGTACCGTTCGAATTCGTAGGCAAGATCGCGAGCACGGGTGCCATGGCCGAACCCGGTAACATACAAAGTCGTTCCAGACCGAGAAGACATGGTGCCGTCAGCACGAAACAATGAGAAAGAAATAGATCTGGTTAAGTAAATTGATCGAAAGAGAGTGAGAGTAAACGAGGAGGAGCTTGAGAATGTTCCAGAGGATAAGTGTATAAGGAAGTAGGGAGAGAACAGAAAGAATTAGGTGATGAAGGTACTACGGTTACTTTAACATGCCAATGACGCAAGTACTGAAAGAGTTGAGCTTTTGTGAACATTGTGTTTTTCCCTTCTTGTCCGTCTCCTTGAGAATATAATGTCCTAGTTGCTCTTGAGGGGATGGTTTTAGAAGCTGGAATTCCAATATGTCTAGTTTGAATACATAAATAATGTTGATATACATGGCTATACAACATATGATGTAGGCAGTTACAGGCACCAGAGGGCCATGTACATAGGGTAATGCAGCTAGAGCCCGGGTGCTTCAAATACGTAATCCGTGGCAGGTGCCCAGGTGCCCAGGTGCTCAGGCGGCAGACTATCGGGAGGTACCGCGTGTCCGTCGGCAAGTCGGGATTGATGTTCTCTTGACTATCGCAACATCTCTAGACACCTTGGACCCCAGTCAAATATACCGCACTCACTCTTCTTGTGTGTTCTGTGCCGTTGTGTTCTTGTCCTTATTCTTGATATATTTTGTATTTTTCCCCCTTCGCTTCTCGTCTTCCTTGCCAACATTGATAGGGGGGAAAAGCAACTGACCAAATAATCCATCTGATCACGGCGTTCTTTTCGGCCTCGCTTCCTCTTTTAGAAGCTATTGTCAGCACCTTCCTTGACATCTCACTTATATCACCTTTGAAACAAGCGATACACTTTTGGACACAACATCAATGATGAGCCTTTAGATCACCAAGCCTCATGAGACGGCCCACCTTCATGGCTACTAGCGCACTATACCAATACAAATCAGAGTTCCAGTGCTTTGTCGCATTCGATTTGCAGCATTCAAACTCTGCTTGTTGGTCAAAAGAATTGCAGAATACCACCACACCTCAGATCATCAGACGTCTTTTATAACCTCATCTCAGAACTTAATGTGCATTTCGACAATATGAGCTTGAATCGCCAAGATGCTGTTCACAAAGAGGAGCTAAAGGGCACAGCAAAGCCCGCTTTACAAAGCTTGTCTCAGTTTCCCTCTGCTTCGAATCCAGGCAAGGTGAGAATGACATTCCATCCATATAGGTTGGGAGGCTGACTTTCTATCAATTGGAGCAGGAGGGGAATATTGAGCAAACTCCATCGTTATTGGTTCGCAGTAGACATAACCTCGCCGAACCAGTGGTAGCTGCGTTCATAGCTGGTGGAGTAGCTGGTGCAGTTTCCAGGACAATAGTGTCACCTCTCGAACGGCTGAAAATTCTCCTTCAAATACAAAGTGCCGGTCGAAATGAATACAGACTGTCAATTTGGAAGGCCTTGGTCAAGATGGGGCGGGAAGAAGGCTGGCGAGGGTTCATGCGAGGAAATGGAACGAACTGTATTCGCATCATCCCTTACTCTGCGGTTCAGTTTGGGAGTTACAATTTTTACCAGCAAGTGAGTAACTGTGCCTGATCTGCAAACAATGCTTGATTCGAGTTAACATTGCTTTGGTCCAGTTTGTAGAATCTTCCGATGGCGAAATGACCCCAATGCGTCGTCTTGTTTGTGGAGGTGCTGCAGGTATCACCTCGGTGACTATCACCTACCCTCTGGATATTGTTCGCACCCGGCTTTCTATTCAATCTGCTTCGTTTGCCGATCTCGGCACAAGAGAACCAGGGCAAAAATTGCCAGGCATGTTCACCACAATGGTCATGATCTATAAAACCGAAGGTGGGACAAAGGCTTTATATCGTGGTATTACCCCTACAGTTGCCGGTGTAGCTCCCTATGTGAGTAATACCCCGGGGCCCTTTGACCCAGCTTGGTCATCGCTGACAAACGATAGGTGGGACTCAATTTTATGACCTACGAATCGGTCCGCAACCGTCTGACACCGGAGGGGGAGAAGAACCCTAGCTCTTCTCGAAAATTACTGGCTGGCGCGATATCAGGAGCAGTTGCCCAGACATGCACATATCCTTTGTTAGTTTTCCTCTCTTGGGCCCTTTTGCGGGCCGTGTGGAAATATGTGAAACTGACTATCCTTAGCGATGTGCTGCGCAGGCGTTTCCAAATCAACACGATGTCAGGGATGGGTTACCAATATACCTCAATATGGGATGCTGTGAGAGTCATCGTTGCCGAAGAAGGAGTGCGAGGATTATTCAAAGGAATCGGGCCGAATCTTCTAAAAGTTGCTCCCAGCATGGCTAGTAGCTGGTTGAGCTTTGAGATGACTCGTGATTTCTTTGTCGGTTTGAATAGTAGAGAATAGTTGAATACCTATATAGATATTTTCTTTCTATTTTTTAGTCCCTCTTGTTAATATGAACATTTGATTGTGTAAACTACAGGTAGTACCAAGTGAAGTTTCATATGCCGAGGTTTCAAAATATCAATTGCAATGGATCTATACTACAGACCTATGTAATATGTAGTACTCCGTACAGGTAGACTGTGTGGTACTATGCTGAAATCGTACCTTCCAGGCTAGGCTACCCCGCTGGCACGTGACTTGGTGGCGCTTGCTCGATAGTCACGTGGGGTGCATCGGGTCATGTGCCTCGCCTTTCCTAGTCAAGTCTAGCGTAGGGCTAAACCCACACACCACTGTCCAGCCGAAAGTCAAGGATCAAAAACTTCTTGCACTTTCCATACGGGTGCGACAGCAAGCTATTTCCCAGGTAGTCGATCAATACACAGCCATGGGTATGTTCAATCATCTCGGTTTCATCGATCATCGCAATTCGCAACATTCATTTGAACTTCGCTCTGTTTTTTTCGCCCATTCAAAGTTCATTCCACTGACAATTCATAAACTGCAGGTATCGACCTGGACCGCCACCATGTGCGGAGCAGCCACCGCAAGGCTCCCAAGAGCGAGAACGTCTACTTGCAGGTTCTGGTGAAGCTTTACCGCTTCTTGGCTCGTACGACTCCCCAATTCCGATCTCGTTTGCAGCGCGATTTCTATAGGTGTATCGTTCTGAGGATTTTGTGAGGCTGATATGGGATACATGATAGGCCGTACCGAGTCCAACTTCAACAAGGCCGTTCTCCGCCGTCTCTTCATGTCGAGAATCAACCGCCCCCCGGTTTCCCTTTCTCGCGCTGTCGCCAACATCAGCGAGGCGCAGAAGGGCAAGACAGTCGTCGTCATTGGCACTGTGACCGATGACAACCGCCTTTTGAATGTCCCCAAGCTGTCGATCGCCGCTCTCCGTTTCACTGCTACCGCTCGCGCTCGCATTGAGAAAGCCGGTGGTGAGACTCTGACTCTGGACCAGCTTGCTCTCCGCGCCCCCACTGGTGCCAACACTCTCCTCCTGCGTGGACCCAAGAACGCTCGTGAGGCTGTGAAGCACTTCGGCTTCGGTCCTCACACCGACAAGGTTCGTTATCGAATTTTAAGAATGACATGGCATAGTTCGATTTGGCTAACTCAAAGCAGAAGCCATATGTGGCCAGCAAGGGCCGCAAGTTCGAGCGGGCTCGTGGTCGCAGAAGGTCGAAGGGTTTCAAGGTTTAAGGGACTTGATGAGGATGATTCTGTGTCTGTGTATCGTGAAAGATGCATCGGCTACATTGACTTTATCGGTGCCTGGAATCGTTCCATATCTAGCCTGAGACCTCGAGTCTTTGTACTTAAAAGTGGCAGGATGTTTTTGGCTGGTATGGGAAATGAGAATTTACGAATGAAGGGGCAAAAGAAAATTGAAATAAGGCTTTGTTCTAAGTTTTCCTATGGGATTTTCAATCAAAAGACCAAAAAAAAAATATAAAAAAACCCTTGCTTATAAAATATAATATCTTTTTGATAGCTTTTGCACGAAGGCCCTTATTGGTCCATGAGCAGATTTGTATGGAGATATTTACGCCCACCTTTGCCATCATGGTAGTCTCCTGCCCGGTGACCATTCCCCCGGATCAAATACTTGTAGATGGTCAGGCCCTCAAGTCCAACTGGTCCTCTGGAATGAATTTTGTTCGTGCTGATGCCAACCTCGGTCCCAAAACCAAAGCGCATCCCATCAGCAAATCTAGATGATGCATTCCAGAAAACACCCGCACTGTCAATTCCACTCGTGAACATGTGCGCGGCCTCTTGCGACTGGGTCAAAATGATATCCGTATGCTTGGACGAGTGCACGTTTATGTGGGCAATGGCAGCCTCCACAGCTGTGATTGGGGGTTTCGTTGAAGGAATCGTTTTCACTGCCAGCACAAGGTCCAAAAACTCGGTGTCATAGTCAGATTCGGTGGCCAGCTGTACCTGCGCTGCTCTCTCGGCTGGCAAAATCTTCGTCAAAGCAGATTTCGAGGCAGCATCACAGCGAAGAGCGACACCTTTATCTAAAAGAGCGGCAGCAACCACCGGGAACACAGATTCAAGTGTATCCTCATGGACAAGCAAGGACTCCAGTGAATTGCATGCTGCTGGATAGTCGGTTTTGGAGTCCACAATCACTTTCACGGCAGTATCGATATCGGCATCGGCGTGTATGTAAGCTGAACAAAGGCCGTCGGCATGTCCCAACACAGGGATTTTGGTATTATCTTTCACGAAGCGGACGAGTTCGTTGGAACCTCGAGGAATGACCAGGTCAATTAACGAATCTTGTGCCAGGAGAGCAGACACGGCATCACGTGTTCTGACTAGCTGAATAGACGACACTGGCACCTGAGAGCTGGCAATAGCTTTGGAGACAACGTTTGCGATTGCCACAAAGGACTCCGTCGATTCCTTTCCGCCTAGATAATTGCGTCAGCCAACGAAAAAAAATCGGAGAATATTCACGGAAGATTTTGTACCTTTCAGAATAGCAGCATTTCCCGACTTGATAGCCAATGCAGCGATGTTTGCTATCACCTCTGGGCGGGCCTCAAAAATGATAAGCAAAACACCAATTGGGCAGCTGACTCTTTCGAGTGTCAGACCCTCATCAAGGAGGGTTTGCAGTGTCACTTTGCCAACTATGGTTGTTTGAAATGTAAATGCATGTTTCTCAATCGTTGAGGCTCCAGGAATACTGGATTCACTCACTAGGGTCATCCAAATTTCGGACGCTCAATATTCCATCCAGCATGTCATCATATTTTCCAGGCCGCGAAAGATCGAGTCTCTTGAGCACGCTATGACTCAAGTTCCCGCTCTCAGCCGCACGAGTTGCGATTTCCAGATCCTTGGCATTGGCAGAAAGGATTACATCCCGATTCACATCCAATGCATGATGAAGAGCCGTCAAAGCTTCGTTGCGAGCAGAATTGGATAAAGTTGCCAGGCGGCGCGAGGCGAGCGATGCGCTATAGGCAATATCGACTGCTGTAGAATCTGTCAACGACATGATGTATTTATGTAGTTTTTTTTTCCCCGTGCTCTGTGTGGGTGGAAGTGTTATCGTGGAGAAGAGTAATCTCGGGGCACAGGAACCGGGGGAGGAAAAGTGCAAAGTGTGGAGGGGCATGTTATCGATCCCTTCCCGTCGGAGCCCTGATAATGACCATCCTACTTCCCTCTACGGCACATCTCTTTCTTTGCCATTCTACATATCTAGGTATCTACACGTAGGTTAGATCCTGAGCCTTTTGAAATTGAACCTTCATCATTGATCTCCTCTTGGCACTTGCTTTCCTCAATCTTGAGGCACCACCATCTCCGCGATCCTAACATCACAAAAACGAAACTCAAGCTGTCACACCGGTTCAAAGCGCGATATCCCTTGTGCATTTGACATCCAAAAAGATATTCGGTTCTTCTTTCATATTTCAAGATGATACAACTCTCGGACCTTACTTCCGCATCGGCTCACTTATACAACTCCAGCCATCTACCAAATGAGGAGTACGACCGTCGAATCCGTGAGCTAGTTGAATACTTCAAACGGCTACTATCGACCAACGCCCTCGACTCTTTCGCTAAGGATGACTCTTTTCTTGATGTGAGCAGCCTCATCTATGTTGACTGTCGACAGTGGGTGGTGCTACAGTTTCCCAGCTAATGTGGATTGTCTGTAGCATTTTGACCCAGCGATAGATTCCATCCCATATCTTTTTGGGTTGCATCTACAGATTCAAAAAGCACGGGAGCTCAATAGCGATATATTTCCAGAGGACCTTCGCCCTATGGGAAGACTTTGGATACGCGCTACGCGCTTCTTGGGGTGTTTCGATCGGGTCCAAATCAGATATGCTGGGCGAGAATGGCGCCAGCTTGTTGAACTTATAGGACATGCTTCACAAGCTGCATCGATGGTGAGTAGACGTCTTTTTCGGCGCTCTCTATGCTTTCATTATTAATGGTCTCATAGCCACTTCTGGGCGCCACAGTGCTTAAAGATGCCATGCTTCGTCTCGACCCGTCGTGTTGTGTTTTCATGTCAAGCCACCTTTTGTTTGTTCGACTTTGCCTACAGGCAAAGGCATATTCATGTGCATTGCCTATCTTGAATAAGCAAATTTGTCATTTTCCAGTTTTGCCAGATCGCTCCTCCTCAATGCCCTCTGTGCTCTGCGCAGATCATGGATCGAGTATGTTTTTCATAACAGAAACCTCTGGGCTTTCATCCATGCTGTCATACCGAGACTATCTGCAGTACTTTCTTTATGGTGGCATGATATACATGGCCTTAACGGAGTGGCGCAAGGCGCTCCATTTCCTCGGGGTTGTCATCTCTGCACCTAGTGCTACCTCTTTGAGCATGGTCATGGTGGAAGCCTACAAGAAATATGTGCTAGTTGGCTTACTTGAAAGGGGCAAGGTGAGATTGATTTGTTTTTGCTCGTTCCCTTCCTAAGCTCTTTCTAAACACAAGGGAAAATCCCCCGAAAAACTAATAACTTCCATGACCAGCTTTGTTCGCCTCCAAGCATCACAACACCTCATGCGGTAAAGTTATATCAGTCACTAGGGAGGCCTTATATCGTTCTTGCTCATGCATTTGAGCTTGGCGATTTGAGGAGCTTAAAGGCCGAATTTGAAGCTGCCAGGGAGGTCTGGTGTGCGGTAAGGCACGGGTCTGATGATTTATAAATATAGAGCTAATGCTTCCGTTCTAGGATAATAACTTGGGTCTTGTTTTTCAGGTTGTGGATGCGTTCTTCAATCGAACAATCATTAATATTGGGAAGAAATTTGCAGCTTTAACTGTGGCCGACCTTGCAAAACAGGTGTTTCTATTCCCTGTGGGTGAAGAGGCTGCTGAGTCTGCTATTTCTTCTCTGATAATGTCTCACGCTTTGGACGCTACGTTGGTGAACAACCGGAACCACGCCAGACCTTCTATGCTACGATTTTCAGCCATTCAATCATTGCCTCAGCTTTCCCATGAATTAGACTTACAGTCTCAACTGAAGCATGAACGAAGGTTGATGGAGATTCTAGTGGGCAGTCTTAAGGAGACCAATAACAACCTAGGATTGAGCGATGAATACGTTGATAACCTCCAAAAGGGTCAGGTATGGTTGGGTTCCGGTGACGCCAACCTTACTGCAGGGGAAGAAATCACACTTGAAATGGACGAAGATCTGATGGGTGATATGCCCTAATCTTATGTTTGTAGGACAGAGAGCTAATAAAAACTCAAATCTTGCTTTGAATTCCTCACCTATGATATCAGTCGCCCCTCGACACTAAGAGGCTATCCTTATCCTTGTCCCAACTCACGGCTGATCTGCTAGCGCTTAGCTTCAATGTAGCACTTCACCTTCAAGCTCTACGAGACTCAATTCAAATACTCACTGCCAATGGCCGGACTTCCCAGGCGACCATGCTCATTGACATGCAACTACTTACGTCTACCTCTGCGCCCCTTATTTACCCCATGATTTGAAGAGTTGGCTAGTATAAACCAGATAGCCCAGGAGATGCACGTCTTTCAGGATCAGCTATGCATCTATTTGTTCTTTCCCACTGCGCCTGGAACTGCCCAACTATATGTTGCGTAGAAGAAAACTGGAATCATTCGCAATCTTCCTGTCTAAGTTATTTCTCTTTTCTCTCTTTTCCCTATTTATTCTATTTATTCTTTTTAATTTTTAATTTTTTTGCTTCGGAATTTGATATACGACAATACAATATGTGGCATCCTTCTCAAAAAGCATTTATTCGAAAAAAAAAAATTTCTTCGGGCTTCATTGAACGCTGTGCTATCCTAGTTTTCGTACGAGAATTTCTCTCGCACCGAGAATCATCTGGTTTCAAACCATTCAAGATGTACTAATATCGATTGCGGCCTCGATCTCGGTTCGGACTGCGACTTCGACTGCTGTGACCATAGCTGCTGTAGCTTGGGCTTCGACGCCTGCGGTGCCGCGAGTCTATGTGAGAATTGTCTCTGCGTAGTGGCGGTGACCGAGACCGAGAGTATGACCGAGAGCGAACAGGAGACCGTGATCTTGATGCAGACTGAGGTCTATAGATGTCATGCCGTTCGGTTGGTCGACCACCCCCATGTCGCCTAGGCGGAGATGATGGGGCCATATATGGTCCTCGGCCGTATCTCAGGCGGCTTCCATTCCCTCGAGTCGATGCAGGGGGTGGCGAACGTGAAAATTTGCGGCGGGGGAGAACAATCGAAACATTCAGAATAGCCCCGTCGAGCTGAGCCTCATGCATATGAGCGATGGCTGCCTCGGCGTCAGCGGGGTCATAGTAAAGAATATAGGCGGTTCCCCTGTTTGTCAAGACTAGAGAAGTGTCAGGTGGATTACTCAAGGGATCATAATAAAGATCAAGGATGAGTCGTACAAGCCTTGTTGATTGGAATGTCAAGATACTCTATCTCTCCAAAACCCCCGAAAATCTCTCGAATATGAGTTTCTGTGACGTTTTTAGTCAATTTTTCTACCACGATCTTGTTTTTAGAAGGGAAGTCAGTTTGGTTCATAGATATGGTTCCCATCGTGGGGTGTGCAGCGGTATCGCAGCAGGAATTGAACAGGCGCGTACCTTAGAACTTCTCGGAGGATTAGAGCTTGGAGTACGGGAGCGGCTTTCGCTTCGAGTGTGGTAGCGGTGATCAGCTCGACTGCGGCTGCGGCTGCGACTGCGAGATCGGGTTCTGCCGCGAGAAACGGATCGGGATTGGGTGCTTGAGCGATAACGATCTCGTCGTCCATGAAAGGGACTTCGAGTGAGGCTTTGGGATGGACTTTCGCTTCGGGGTCTTGAATGATGCAATGAACGCGACCTTGCTCGATCTTCCTCTGGAGAACATATTGGTGAATGTCCATGAGGTGATCTCAAAGACATGTTGAAGATTCAGCGCACAGCGCACAAATAAATCTACAGTGTCAAAGTGGTAAACTTGAGATATGTAGAAGGAGGTTTGAAGCAACAGGGGAAGGGGGAGGAATGAGATGCGTAAGAAAACGACGAGTACTGGAAACTTGGAACAGTTTCATGGGGAGAAGTGACTGGGATGGAGTTTGACACTAACCTAATTCGGTAATCACCTAGGCATACTCCAACACACTCTCGCTGCTTAAAAGAAGATCCCCAAGGCTTTTGATTTAATTCTTTATTGTATGACAGGTCTATATACATTAAAAAAAGTGCAGGGGGGAGGGGGGAATAAGCGCTTTATTTCTAGCCATCTCTCCATCTCTCATACTCTTGGATGACAGTATCTGTAATCTGCCGCCGCACTTGTCCTAGTGCATGTTCAAAGTGTTTCCATTGCACATCTTGCTCTTGTTGTGTTTCCTCTTCCTCGTCAAGCGCTGCATCTCCGGCAGTTTCACAGATGCTCACAATCTCAGCACCAGAATAACCTTCAGTCAGAGATGCAAGATTATCCAAATCGACATCTGGATTTACCACAGATTTGTTGGCCCAAATGCGCAAAATTTCTCTACGCGCCTCGAAATCTGGAGGGCCAATATAAAGGATGTTGTCCAGTCGCCCGGGGCGCATCAATGCAGGGTCTAGGACATCAGGCTTGTTAGTCGCAGCAATGACCAACACATTTCGGAGCTCCTCAATGCCATCCATTTCGTTCAACAAGGTTGTCAAAACATTGACTCCGCCCGAAGCAGTGCTGCGTCGGGCAGCAATAGCATCAATCTCGTCAAAGAAGATGATACTAGGCCGTGCTGCTCGGGCCTTCCTGAATATCTCTCGCAATGACCGCTCAGACTCTCCAACATACATGCTGAGAATTTCTGCGCCCTTGACTGCCAGAAAGTTCAGCCCTGCCTCTGTGGCTAGAGCTTTGACTGTCAGCGTCTTGGAACAACCTGGCGGCCCATAGAGTAGGACGCCCTTTTTACTATTCACATTGAGTCTGCGCATGCGTTGGGGATACTAAGGTACAAAGAAATGTTAGTCCCGGGTCTATATCTTCTGGAATCCAAATACAGGGTTTACCTTCAAGGGTCGCTCAACGGCTTGTTGAAGGCGCTTTTTGATATCGTGCTGTCCGCCAATGTCTGACCATCTCACTTTTGGGGTTTCCAAGAACACCTCCCGCATAGCAGTGGGACGGATTTCTTGCAGGGAAAGCAAAAGATCCGTTTCCTGGATCTCCAATGAGATGGCTAAGTCATCATCGCTGGAACCTCCATGGTGCGAACTATAAGGGTCGGTCATGTGAGTTTCTGGCGTCACTGTGGATCTTTGCTCCAAGGTTTGTCGTTGCCTAGCTTTGCGGCAGATCAATTGCAGGAGAGCGAAAAGGTCAGCCCCAACATATCCGTGTGTCTTTTCCGCTAGTAGCTCTACAAGCTCATCGGTCAAACCAGCACACACCGGCCCACGAATGGCATATAGTATTTCGGCTCGGTCCTGAGCAGTAGGGACTTGTATCTCAATTTCCGTTCCAAGTCGATGAGGTGTTCTGAGTGCGTCATCAACTTGATTGGGATGTCTTGTTGCGGCCACCACGAGAATCGATGTGTTTCGGATAGCATCTAGGTTCTCACAGAGTACAGATGCGAGGGACTGTGACTCGATCGAAGTTCTTTTTGGAGCAATAAATTCCAACTGGTCGATAATAATCACACTGGGTTTGACGCGAGCCGCCTCCTCAAATATGTTACGTAGTTTGACTTCACCTTCACCGACACTTCTACCCAAAGTTGACATGCCAATTTTGAATGTTTGTCTCCAGCCAGCCTTGTTGATTTGCTCCAGAAGACTTGTCTTACCAGTCCCCTTTGGACCGTAAAGTAGAATACCTCGGCTAGTCTCGTAAAATGATGGCATCGCCGGCTTCCGCAGATCGATGTTGAAATCGGACAAGCTTTCATTGATGTCCTCAATCTGACGGGAGAGACCTCCGAGACCAGTAGATTGCACCTCGATGCATGATGACTGTTCTTCCATTTCTGGCGTGACTGGGCCAAGGGAAATCCTCGAAGCCTCTGTAAACTGGAAAAGGGTATGACTAGAGTGAGAGTTCTGGGAACGTATGTTGACCACTCGAAAGCTCCTGTGTTGGCCCTTGAGCTCCAGGTCGAAAGTCAATCCCGTCGTCAAACATCCGCATCTGAGAAGTTTTTCATCCAGGGCCCATTCCCAATGGGATCTGTCATTTTCCGAGATCGGACCATGCCTAGCAATTTTCTCGGGATCTGAACAGTCCGCCAACGTCACCAAATCAATGTCCTCTAGTGAGCCCTCAGCCCTGGTGATGGAGACTTTTTCTCCAATCTTGATATCATAGCAATCCTGGAGGGTCTTTGAAATTTGCATCACTGTACTCTGGATATTCTCAGCCGCGTACCATGCGATGGCCGTTCTCGGCGGTCCATCGGCTTGCCTCAGAGTGCAGATGCTCTCTGTCTGAAGCCTTAAAGCAGCTAGCGAAGAGGAAGACAGATAGACACGAAAGGCATCTTTAAAATCCTTCCGTGCCTGTTGCTTTGACAATGGACGGGCAGTAAAACTGCGGCCCTCGGACATGACGAAGATATGGAAAGAGACCTCAATATGTTGTAATAGAAAGTTGATATTATGGAGAACCCTATGATCTGAATTTTCTGTTGGGATATCAGAGAATCAAGGTCATCGAGGCTTTTGTTGTGAATGCTGGACAGCTCTTAACACTCCAGGTTGGAATGAATGGAAAGCAAAATCTGAACCGAAGATCCAGAATTTTTAGTGGGGGAGGGGCAACTCCGGAAACAGAGATCAACCGCAGTGTTTTTGCTACTTTTACCTAGGTATACCTAGATAGTAGTAGTCAAATACTCAATCGGAGCGTATGATGTTCTCCCAAAAAAAGGAATGAATCAAAGAAAGAATACAGAAAATAGTTGATCGGGGCGGGAGGTGAAGGAAAGTGGACCCATGAACATTGCACGTCACATAGTACCTACATGTAGACACATTCTATAGACCTTAGGTATAACCGAGCAACCTTCATATAGACTACACCAACAGAGTACCAAACTGGTTATGGACAAGATTGCATGATACTCAAATGTTCATAGACGCCAGCTCTTCAAACATAAAAACTTGGACATTCAAATCTTGGCACATCATAATGTAGCGAGCAAAACAGAAACGAGATGGCGAAGAGAGAGAAAAGGGAAAAGGAAATAGGGAAAGGGGGGGAAAAAAAGGTGGTAGCTTTAAGATAACAGGATGACAGGGGAGATCATGGGGAAAAGGGAAAGGGGGGGGGAGGGGGCATGTGTGTGTATGTGTGGTGGTGGTGATACAGCAGCTAGCAACACTTGCCCCCTGAGTTGCCATTCAAACCGGAGCCTTGCTGGTCTATACTGACACCCTGAGCACCCGACTGTTCAGTCTTTGAAGTATCCATCCCTTTCTTGATATCCGATGCAAGGCTGTAGAACGCCTTCTCAATGTTGATGTTGTTCTTGGCCGAAACCTCAAGGAAGGGAATGCCAAGTTCATCAGCTAATTGCTGGCCTTGTTCAGTAGAGACCGCCCTTTTTTCTTCCCAGTCACATTTGTTTCCAATGAGAATCTTGTGTACGCCTTCACTGGCATGTTGCTCAACGTTTGAAAACCAGGTGCGAATGTCTGAAATGAAGAGAACAGGTCAAAACACATTCAGCTGGTTGAAAGAGGAGCGGGCGAACCTACTTTGGAATGATCGCTCATCTGTCACATCATAGACAAGGAGGATACCCATGGCACCTCTATAGTACGCAGTCGTGATAGTGCGAAAGCGTTCTTGGCCTGCAGTGTCCCAGATCTGCAACTTGACCCTCTTTCCATCCAACTCGATCGTTCGAATCTTGAAGTCAATTCCGATGGTTGTGATGAATGAAGGGGTAAAGGAGTCTTCGCTGAAACGCAGCAGACAGCATGATTTACCCACACCCGAATCTCCAATCAACAACAGTTTAATCTTGTGCTAAGTTAGCGAACTGGTGGGCTTTTAGGGTGGTTTGTTGGATTTCAAGCCGTCGATACTGACCAGGAAGTCATAATTCCGTGTGCCCGCCATGATGAATTATGGAGATATTTGAGTGGCAGTTGAGTGCCGTTGCTCGCAATATCAACGATGGTGAGGAGACACGATATGATCCGGGAATTCGTCAAGTCAGGTGGCAAGGGATGCTGAGTCTAAGGAGAGCAGTTCGATGCAACTTGAACGAGTAATTGCTGCAGATTGAATCAGAGCTACCAGGCGGGTGGTTTGGGTTGACAGATTTCCCAGGTTGCCCCGAGGACTTATCAGGAGCTTCAAAGCCAAATGCTAAAACCGGCTCAAGCTGATCAACGAGCAGAAACAGAACAAAACTGTAGGTCTCAGGTGCAGGTCCCACAATCAAGCATATAGGCACTAGGGACTTCGGGAATGTTAATGGGAGAGGAAGGAGAATGATGCACCACCTGTTGGAGTGGAGGTGATGACGGTACCTACGCAACGGTAAGGAGCATCTCACATGTTATGTAAGCAGTATCATGGCCCATCCTAGAGAGAGCAGCTGAGCAGAATGAATATATACTGCACACAACATCAATCCAAATTGTATACAGACAGACGTCCCTATATATAGCGTTTCGTGTTTTTTGCTGTGTGCATTTCAGCGGTTAAAATATAGTATATACGGAGCGAGAGTCGTGGCCAAAGTGCCTCTATCAACCCCAGGTCCCCCATCATTCTCTCTCTTTTTGCGATTACGCTGTACATATTTATAAATTTATATTGGCCCTCGACCCTGTATGTACACGGGGTGTAGTCATTCATTTGATACATTTGCAGGTATGTGATTATACATAAGATAGTGAGTACTCCAGAAGATTGGAAGTGCTGGCTCTTGGGTTCTTAGTGGCAATAAGCCCATCTCATCCTCTCAATCACGCGAAGTTGATTGTTCACTCCATTCTGAACATTGAGAAGATCTTGAAGATCTTCCCGGAATTCTTCATACTGCATCCGTCCGAAAATTGGTTTGACATGTTGAAGGAGAGCCTCTGCCTCGCAGATCAATTGTCCAGAGACTTTGTAAGGGACAGTCCCATTGGACAAGACCATCGAAGAAGTCAAAATGCGGGCCATGTTTCTATATAACTAAGTGATTAGCGTTTTCCTCGTATTCTTTTCTTTCAAAGATTCTAGGTTTCCCGGGTTGGCAGGATGGGGAACATCCATGGAGTATCGTACCGTAATCCACGTTTCACCTCATGTTGATGCCTGCCCTTTCGCAATCCTCGTCGGCTACCGAGAAGGCCACCCAGCCATCTGAAAGTGGCGAAAGAAACCAATATTCCGGGAGTCAATCCAACGAATCTAAAGGGGAAAAAATACAAATGTTTAGAGACAATCAGAGCGAAATGAGACTGACACAGCAGAATACATACCCGAATACAAGCTCTTGGCTCTTCAGAAGAGCATCAATACCACTAATAGCAATTTCCACGTCGACTTTTGTCTTCTGTATCTGGATCAGAAGGGCACGAACAAGGTCACCCCGAACAGTTCCAACAAATGGCGATCGCAGGTCCCGCTCATATGCTTTCAGAACAGGAGTCAGGTCACCCTCCTGAACAGAATTGACGATGGCAGTTGTATCAGCCACCACGCCATTTGATAGATCCGGGCGATCGCGAACAAAGTCAACCACCATTCTTTCTAAGCTCGCCCGATCGGCCAGCAGACTGTTCTTGCTCATTATGGCGATCTCACTTTTCTCGTCATGTCTGATTGTCCCAATAAGCTTTCGGATTGGTTGTACAACCCAATTACCCCAGAAGTCAATAGTGGTGGAACCAATATTGACAATCCACTGGACGATTTCATCTTGCCGGTTGGCCAAAAGCCTGACAGATGTACTTCCCGAAAGGATAGCGACCGATACAGGTAACCAATAACGAACTATGAAGGAAGGACGTCCCTGGCGAGCGGTAAATCGTGACATGGAAGTGGCATGGTCTGGCAACTTATCTCGGAGAACAAGCACAAGCCGCTCGATCAAGTCCAAAGGTTTATTCACAGGATTATCGTCTTGTGTTGGTAGTGAACATTTGCTGGCATCCTTATCCAGACTGGAAAATACACTTTCTTCCAACTCACGAGTGCTAGGCACAAGGGCAATCTGTTGAAAGATGGCTTCAATTGAAATCACCGCTCTGGAGATCACATCACACAACTCGCCATTCATAGGACTGGTACTTGAGCTTGAGGGGGAGTCATTTGCGTCAAAAAGATGACATCCCTCCATAAGCAACCCAAGGCTGCTGGCGTGAAGTTCTTTCATTGTCAGCAGCATGTCTCGTTTCTGTCGCATTTCTGCCCGGCACGATCGAATCGGGGATAGCAGATGTGCACGCATGGAATGTCCTTCCAATTTCCAAGCCTTTGGATGGGCAATCTGGAAAAAACGTGCCCAAAGAGCAGTGATTGCTGAGACTCCCCGATACGGTTGAGAGACACAGACGTCCTTTGTCCACCGGGACAATTGCCCTGGAGATCTTTGAACAGCATACAGACCAGTGTACCAGGTAGATCCTAGCATTTCGCCCCAATAATAAGTCTCATCGTAGAGTTGAAGTGTTTGGTCCAAGAGGGTGTTCATGACCAGTCCTGATGCCTGAACAGCAGCCTTTGCGGCCACTAACCATACATAGTCCGAAATTTGCAGAATAGATCCCCCATGGAGGTTAGTCTGCACCCGGAGGCGAGAAAAAGCAGGGCTCGAAAGTAAGTCTACCAATCGATCAGGGGATAGAAGAGGCTGCGTTTTAGAAGTCACCGAGATGGAGTTGATGATATCTTGTAATTCGCCAATTGAATCAAGGGATTCGGCAGATATGTCTGCGGCTCCCAGTGCCTGGGAATCTGCAAGTTGTTGTTGGAGGCGATCAAGCTGGATGTTGACGCCGCAAACCGTTCTGTGAGAATAGCAATTTGAGTACACAATGCAGTCTTTCTAGGGAATCGATTCATACTCACTCTTGTATGACCGACATAGCCGAATATGCCCGCGATGGGTGAGGTACAGCTACTTTAAGAGCGAACCATACATGTAGTATGTACCTATCTATAATGTACCGCAGTGTACTCCGTACGAAGGATAAGATTCAAAAGATGCCGTCATATATTGCAAACCATGCAAAGTAATTGCAAAGGATGCAAACTGTACTCGTCCCTACAATGTACACCGTAGCGATCATACCGGGCCACCTTGGAAATGAGTACCTACCTTACGTACGGGAGTAGGTACGGAGTAGGTTACTCCGTACTCTGTAGTATTATATCAGAACCGTACAGCTTTGGGAGGATGGTGCAAACAATGCCAAGATATGGAGTAGATTTATAGTATTATAGTACGGAATCGTTGACGCAAACTTCGAGACTTGTCGTAAGATTGTTGTAGACTATGGAAAGGTCTGGATTGCAGAAGCCTGGAGTCTGGAGTCGAGTTCAACCAAACAAAGACCAGCAAATTCCGCATGACCTGATTTCTGCAGGTGGGGTGATCTCGGATGGCGATCGGCTTGCCAGTGGCCTTACCCCTAGGCTCAGGGGAGGAAAGTTGATCTCGCCACGTCGGGATTGGACTGTCCCTGATCTCGGATCTTCTTTCCTTTTTTTTTCCCTTTTCTTTTCCTTATAACCTCTCATTAGACAGGCTCTGGTGACTGATTTCACAGTTTCACTACTTTGCGTCGGTCTCTTCTTTTTTTTTCTTCTTCTTCATCCCTTCTACTATTTCCCCTTGATCTGTTACTACATTCTCAGAAAAAAAAGGCAAGAAGCGAGCGCCCCCTTACAATGTATGGTGATCCCATCCCCTTTGCCCAGAACAAACGTTCCTAACAGCACATCAAGGAATTCAACCGTCCTGTCCTCGGGGACATATTGGGACCAATTTGAAGAGATTGGAAAATATAATGCCAACTTCAATGTCGCAGAGAGATTGTGGGCAGCCTGGTATGCATGGATGCAAAATGATGTCCTAGCCACTGGAATCATGTCATTCGTCATGCATGAAGTGGTTTACTTTGGTCGATCACTACCATGGATTTTCATTGACACATTGGGCTACTTCAATCGATACAAAATCCAGGGTGTAAGTAACACCCCGAACTTTGTGGCCTCCATGCACCTCTAACGCTGTGTAGAACAAGACTCCATCGCTTCGGGAACAGTGGGACTGCGCAAAATTTGTGCTCCTAAGTCATTTCACTGTTGAATTGCCTCAGATCTGGTAAGGATTGGATGTTTCTCAGGTTTAGGGAATCTTGTCATACTGATGTTGGCTTGTGCTTAGGCTCTTTCACCCACTGGCACAGTTCTGTGGTCTGTCAACTTCAATCCCTTTCCCTTCCATCTGGACCATGGCATATCAAATTGCCATCTTCTTCGTTATGGAGGATACCTGGCATTATTTCTCCCACCGTGCGCTTCACTGGGGCCCTCTTTACAAAGCCATTCACAAAATCCACCACCAATATTCGGCGCCATTTGGCTTGGCTGCTGAATATGCCTCGCCAATTGAGGTGATGATCCTAGGATTTGGAACTATTGGATGCCCAATTGTTTGGTGCGCTATGACAGGCGAACTACATATCCTGACCATGTACATCTGGATCGTGTTGCGCTTGTTTCAGGCTATTGATGCACACAGTGGTTATGAATTCCCGTGGAGTCTCCATCATTTCCTCCCCTTCTGGGCTGGTGCTGACCACCATGATCTTCATCATGAAAAGTTCATCGGCAACTATGCTAGCAGCTTCCGTTGGTGGGATTACGTTCTGGACACAGAGTACACCCCAGATGCGCTGAAGCGGCGGAGGGAGAATAAGGCCAAGGTTTCAAAAGCCCAGTAGGTGGTTTCCTATCTGCTTGGTTCACACCTACATCCTTTGTCTCTTCAAACATCTGCGAGCGTTTCTCTATGGCAGCCAGTCCTGGATAACATCCAGTGACTGTGTAGTTGCTCGTGGTACTTATTATCTTTGGGATAGTAATGTGATAATGTATTTTAATATTCTAACATGTCTGCTGATGCAATGAGCAGTAGAGCTTTTTAATAGTTCAATATATGAAGTATAATATCTGCATTTACGTAGGGTATAAATGGTAACATTCCCCTGGTATTGTTCTCTGTAAGAGAAAAGGATCATGGAAAATGAAGTTCATATATGTGCCTGACCCCTTTGTTGATAAGGCTCTTTATCTTGATATCATGTGATACCCTGACTCGAGAGTAAGGTAGAACTCTTATTATAACGGTAATAAGTTATAGAAGTAAGGTGAGACTCTTAACATAACGAAAGTGAGCTTCTTATTATGATGGGTATAGATTAGAGACGAAGAGGTAAAAGGGGATCCCCCTCACCCTCTAATCCTAATATTAGTAAGAATTAGTCTCTACACGAAGAATACTATACTATCTTCCCTTCTATCTATCTTTCTTACCTAACTAACCGGCCCCTAAAATTTCATACCAAAATTACGGACCCTCGCAAGCGAGGGTCCGCCACCCAAACCGTACATCCCACCCAAACCGTATATTCTTCCTACATTTTACCTTAACTACCATTTTCTATATAATAATATAGGAAATTAATAGTTTAAAAATCATAGATAAATCAATTCACTATTTGACTATTAGTATATAAGATTATATTAATTTCCCTTGCGTTTTTATGCTCGCCTATACTTCCTGATTTCGATTAACACCTTCTTCTACTTCCGCCTCGTTTTATCTTAATTAGCTTTCTTAGTTAATTTGTACTCTTTTCGCTATATCTCTTTAACTTAGGATAAATTAATAATACTAGTTATCTAGGTATAGCGCCGAGAAGTATTATATCGGGCGTAGCGAGTACCTATAATAGTACTTATTAAGTCGAATTCCCGCCGTAGTTCGTAAGCTAGTATAGCTTACACTTTAGTATACTTTTAAAGCTTTTCTAGTGCCCTTTTAAACCTCTAACTCCCCGGATCTAACTAGTTAAGCTAGTCGCTTATTCTTCTTATTTTACTAGTAGTTTTTAGAGTACTAAACTCGGAGTTTTAGGAGATAGTTAAGGGTATTCTCGACTAAGGGAGATTATTATTATATAGATTATAAGACTCTAACTTATCTATAATAAGCTTAGAATTAATAGGCTAAAGGCTAGTTAATTTAAACCTAAGCTTAATTATATTTAGCTAAAAGGTTTTTCGTCTAATTTCTCTAATTAAGTATAAAAACTTATTTTTTAAGAATTTATAGTATTTAGTTATTATAGTAACTTCTATAGTCTTACTATATTAATATTTATATATACTAAATACCCTAATATTAAGAGACTATAATATATAATTAGTATATAAAAATAAGAAGAATAAAATAATATTATTTTTCTTATAAAATTTAATAAATTAGTATATTAAATATAATCTAAAATAGTTATATAAAATAAGTTTTTTCCTTTTAATTATTTAACTAATTATCTATTTATAAAAGAGTTAGATCTACTAATATACTAAAATATTATTAATATATCTAATATTAGTTATAGAAATATACTTATTATCTTTAATAGTATTAAACTAGTATAGTAAAGCTTATTAAATACTTAGAATTATAAATAGTAGATAGATAAAACTATTAGTAGAAACTACCTCTAAAATAGTAATAGATTTATAATTAATAATAAATCTATTAAATAGCTTTTTTTAGATATCTAGTAATAATAAATTAATTATATCTAATACTAATTTAAAAACTAATTTCGTTAAAATTATAGATATCTTATTAGTATATACTATATTTAGATATAATACGCTAATAATTATTAAACTATCTTTTAACTATAGTTTTATTAAATATAGTAGCTTACTTAATATTAAAAGCTTACTATTATTATATATAGTACTTAGGATTATATTTAAGGAAGCGTTATAACTAGTAATTACTAATTATTAGAGATACTATAATTTTATTATAATAGTCTTCTTTAAGAATTAAATTAGCTACTATAGTAATTTAATAGCGGTTTATCGAGGCTCCGACTATATTAAAGTAGTCGATATAGTCCCGTAAAGCTTACTCCTATATAAAATTAAGCTTCCGACTATTAGGTTATCGTTAAAAAAGCGACTTTCCTCCTTTCTAGCGGTACCGTAGTCGGTTTATAGGAACCGCGAATTCTCGCGTAGTTTTCGCGATATTAGGTTTAGACTACTTAGAGAGAGACTCGAGAGCTTTGAGAAGCTAATCCTCTATCTCCTTATTATTTTTAGGCATTTTTAGTGGTATGGTTTATAATCAAAGTGAGAGGGTAGGATATAGAAAGAATATACGGTTTAGGTGGGATATACGGTTTAGGTGGCGGACCCTCGCTTACGAGGGTCCGTAATTTTAGTATGAAATTTTAGGGGCCGGTTAATAGGTACTAGCCTAAAAACCTAGTATTCCTTTATAATTCTAATTCTTCCTCTTTAGTTACCTAAGAGAGATAATAGTTAATAAAGGAAAATAACGTCTTTAGAGGTCCTCTCGATAAAAGGAGTAAGTAGCCTTTTAAAGATATCTCTAAAACTTAAGAGATAATATAGTTAACTAAAGAGTAGCTCTCTTTTAACCCTACTAAAACGGGATCTTCTTATAAGTCTAATATTCCTAAAGAGGAAGATTTAGTTTTAGATCTATTTTAGTAATTTTTAGAAGATTAGATACTCTAAAAGATATAAAAGTATATAAAAACGCTAAAATATTAAAATCTATAATAAATAAACTTAAATAAAATCTTAAAAAGCTAAAAAAATTGAAATTATGAAATAATAATAATTGAAATATAGAAAGTGAAAAAATTAAATAAGAGAAATCAAATAAGATATTAAGACTTTCGCTAAAGACTTTTATTAATATAATATAAAAGATAGATTAGAGATCTTAAAATACTGTTTAAGAGAGCTCTAAAAAAATATATCTTAAGTTTTTAAAAAGTTCTCTCTATATGAAGTTTCCTTTATAATAACTATAAAGATAGGGGATTGTTAATCTAACTATCCCTACTCCTAATCTGACTACCCCTACCTGAATTTTTAGGCTAGGTGCCTAATTAATGCCTGATTGATGCCTGATTTTCTGGGTTCCTTCGAACTCTCCCTAACCGCCTTTCTTACCGCCTTTATACTAAAACCATAGAATTTTGAGTTTGATGCCTAAGAGTTTTAGGCACCTCCTTCCTAAAAGGGAAGTAGAGAAGCGAGGTTAATAAGTCAATAAGCATTATATATAGATAGAAGGCATTATTGTATAGAAATCAACGCGTTGTTCTTATATAAAAGGTATATTTTTCACTATATAAACTCGAATTCTATGATCTAGAAATTTAGGTGGTAGAAAATAAAGGGTCACATAATATTTAAGTGGCAGAAAAAAAGATGTTCAGAAGTCATATGATTAATTAGGCACTATTAGGCATTAATACCTAAAAGTTTAGGTAGGGGTAGTTAGATTAGGAGTAGGGATAGTTAGATTAATAATCCCTAAGATAAATAATAGAGCTTTTTTTATATCTTATAATAAAGAAAGTTTATAAAAGGAGATTAGAAATATTACGGTATTTCTTTATTATATCATTTTTGCCTTAGGCCCCCTTTCTCTTAGACGGAGGAGACTCTTCCGAATACCCCACGATAACGGGATAGAACTAAGATGATCCGGTTATAAGAAGCGGGGAAACTAAATTATAAAAGGAAGACACTTATATAAATAGGGAAGGTAAGATTTAGTCTTATAACTAATATAGAATCGAATACCTTTCGTCCTAACTATATATCTCTCTTATATTATTATTTACCTAGTTAATAAGTACTATCTTAATAAATAGTTACTTTAATAATTCTAAATCTTCTTCTTTAACTATCTAAAGAAATAATAATAAGATAGAGTTTACGATCTTAATAGGGTAATAAAGAGATACCTTTATAAGAAAACCCTACTATCTATAAAATAGAGAAGGAAAAGATCTAATCTTTATTAGGACTCTTAAAAATACTTACTATTACTAGTAAAGATAACTAATAACTCTCTAAAACTACTCTAAATCTTTAGCGAAATAAAGATAATTCTTTAGTAATCCTTAAGAAAGAAACCTTCTAAGTCTTTATAATAAGGATTAAATAGCTTAAAAGAGTAGCTAAAATATTTATATATTATAGCTAGATTTATAGTAATTTATTAAATCTATATAGTTAGGAAATCCGTTTTAAGAACTCTAACTTTATAAAAGAATTCTTAATTTAAGAAAGAGAAGACTAATTACTTAGACTATATCTAGAATTTAAAAGAGTAAGTAAAAAATATAATACTAAAAAATAAAAAATTTTTAGTATTCTATCTTATATAAATAAAAACTACTAATAACTTTAGTATAACTATTTAAATAAAATATTTTTAACTTTAAGTTAAATTATATAGAGTTTATAAACTTACTTTAAAGAATAGACTTTATTTTTAATAAAAAATTCTATAAATATATAAACTACTATTACTAACTAAATATAAAAGATAATCTAATAAAATAATTAAAATCTAAAAGATTTTTACTATAAATTAAATTTTTTAGAAAAATATTTCCTAAAATAAAGTAAGAAATAAAAAGCCTATATTTTCTTTTTAAAATTTAATTATAAATTTTAAGCCTATATTTATAAATATAATCTAACTCTTTTAAAAACTTAAAAAAAAATAGTTTTTATTATATTAAAATTCTAAAAGCTTTAAAACTAAAAAATAAAATCTAAATAAAAAGTAACTAAATTAAAGTAAGAAGATCTAGATATAAAAAAGAAAAAGAAAAGATTTAAAAAATATAATAAAAACGAA